CCACACAACTGCATATACTTGTGCGGACTCACATAGACCGATTCGAAGATGGGTATAAATGTACATGCAGGATATCACGCAGACAAGCGTTGTGTTGCGGCGTACGCGCATGCACACCGTGTTGTCCCGTTCGACGTCACTGATCAGGGAAACGTGCAAATCATGTCGCACTCGAGGGATCGGACGTCAGCGGCCGGGGTGCCATTTCTTGCGAGCCCACGAAGTTGATCTTCCACAGAGCAACCTCCTCCAGATGGGGAAAGGCGCAGTGGTCCGCAACGGCTGTGAGATGTTGTGGAACGTAAGTACACGCCGAACGCCTCAGCGTGCGGACGGACTTACAGTGCGAGAGGTGATCGAAACACGCGCAACGAAGTCATCCACAGATGGGGATCGGATTCCGGGGGCCAGATGAACAAGTGAGAGGAAACGTTGCTGGATGAACCGTCTGTCCTTCCGTACTCGCTTGTGAACGGCCAACGTGTCTAGATCGAACGCCTTGACCCCGAGCACGGCCATGAGACCCTCCTTCGCGCGCGGTGCGGCGAGAGACATCTTGGCTAGCTTTTGCATAGCTCCCGCGGTTACGAATCTCGATGGCGCGATACAGGTTGGGCATAGCTTGAAGATACCAAGCCGTGCAGACCCGCGCAGCAATTGGGAGTGCTGATTGCTCCATCTCGTTGATGATAAGCCCAAAGACATCGAGCAGTATGCGGGAGAATATAGCTACAGACAGTGGGCGTGAAGAGTCGAATGCCTATGCAAGTGTTCGTGAGATAGGTATACACGAGTGAAGGGAGATAACTGGCAAACGAACCAATAACGCAACTCTCAAAGGCCGAGATACGAGTAGAGGGGGATGCACTGGTGAACAAAGCTATAGCAAGTACTGATCAGACCTACGCGACGGAATGAAACAGAAGATGGATGTACTGACCTTTGGCTCGTGTCTGGGGTACATCTGCCTAGCGCCGTAGAGGATGCAGAGTCAACGGGAGTGACAGTGAGGGTATGGATTAGAAGAGCGGGGAGCCTCGACGACGCCCCGAGGCTATGTTACTATGAGTGACAAGCCTCAGGCCCGGAGTTCGTATAGTTGTACTCGTGGGTTTGACGAACCGCACGCCGGCGGCTGCAGTGGGTCGTGGCAGCGGCCCATACATTCGTCGATACACTGTAGACTGAGATGGCGATAAACCTGGGATAAACGCTGATCAGCTCGAGCCGCTACGGCCAATGCAGTGCCCTAACCTCAAAACTAGTCTTGGGCGAGACGCTTCCCGGTACGTCTGCACTAAACACGTTTGAGTTGCCTCTCGCCCAACGGCGCAGCCTGTCGTTGTGCGACGATTGATTGACATAATCGATGTGACGAGCAGCGTTGAGCCGCAGTCGCAGCCGTACAGGCTAGTGGGTCAATGTCGGTATGTATGCGAACGAAGCACAGAAGATTCACTGACCGGGTACAGAAGTGATCCCGGATAATGACTGGCTGTGTCGAGCGGCGTGTCAGCCGACGCGGTATGTCGCGAGGACTGGGGCGGTCATGTAGGGCATGAGGCCGCTGAAGTATGCATACGGACTAGACGGTATGAAGATCACGACGGGTTTGGACGCATGGTGTTGGCTCTCGCAGTCTCCGTCCTTGTACATGCAGAACCTCGACCATGAGTTGTATATCCACCAATGTTAGGCGCAGCCATTGAGGCGTGTTTAGCTCAGGACGCACAAGACCATTTCAGGGTAGAAATACAGCGCGTACTGAGGGTCTGAGACCATGGTCAGCCTACGGCCAACTAAGCACGATGTGGTGACGCACCTGAACGACAGCGCAGTGGACTCCATCCATATCGTCAATCTCATTGCTGGGCTCGCTCGTCCGAGGGAGGTAGAGCACTGGCAGGGACCTGTAAGCCTGTCTAGGACAAGCGCGTAGACTGCGACGGCTTTCTTGGGTTGTATGCGGCAGGATTCTCATCTTCCCAGCAAAGCTTCGAGCCTTCGACTGTAGACAGCTACTAGGAGTCGACGGGGATCCGAAAAGATGGAGGGAAGGATGCCAGCGGACGCGTCAGCTGGGCGTGCGTGATACGAAGCTCCAGGATTCGACAAGAGACAAAGGTTATATATACTTATTACTGTGAGGTCGCGCGCAATGTTCGCCGTCGGTGGAGGTCGATGGACAAGTCCAACGCCGATCGCGGAGCAGACGCGCCAGCGACGGCGCCCGTTAGTGTTGCGGACAAGCCGAGTTCAACTCGCGAACTCACTCGACTTGATGATCAAGTTCGCAAAACTCGGCTTACTTGTTGCGCAAGTCAAGTCGGCGAGTTGACTCTGGAGTTGGGGCTCCATATCTTACTAATTTTCTCACGCACCATAACGGGACACCATCGCCCGCGCCCTTGCGCGGCCCGACGCGATCGATCCAAATGGCAAACGCGACTTCAAATCGTCGAGACTGCGTCTCCCGCTGCGTCTCCCGTCGAGTTCTCCGCCACCCTGCTGTACGCGAATGTTTCATGCACTTCTGCGGCTCTCGCTCTGCACTGCAAGGACCCTGGGCCCATGTACGCGATTCGTCAAGCCGTTGGATTGTGGGTTCTTGCGCGACGGTGTGGTGTGTGTTGCCGGTGGATGTGTTTGAGGGAGGACGCGATGCGCGAACTGTACAGTACCCTAGGTATCAGCTGAGTACCCGCCGTATGTTCTTCTGAGTATATATACTCGTTGCAAACACGCTATTATCCTGTTCGACTGGACTTGATGCCTGCCGACTGCACTTGCGGCGACCCTCTGGACTGCCGCTGCCGTGTCTCGAGTGCGAGTTCATCATTCCTCTCTCAGCCATCCTATACCACGCAGAGCCAAGGTACTCTTCCACCACAGCACTTCCAGCAGTTTCACTCGCCACCAGGCTATCCTCCATTATCTGGCTACCCGCAAAACTATGTCCATCCTTATGCAGCTCATCAAGGAACTGGGCCAACTGCGGCGGTCACAGATGGTGGTGCACCCTTCTATGCATATCCCGGGTACGGTTATCACGCTTTCCCACCTCCTCCACCCTTTCCGCCGCAAGCTACTTCGTATGTCCCGTTCCCGCAGGTGCCGCCTGATAGTTCCGGGCCGCCACCGGCAGCTGCAACAAACACCAAGTCAAAAGGTACTCGCGGCGGTACGTCAACACGGAAGCGCAAGAGCACGACCACTGCTACGAACGATGTGAACAAACGGACGTGTACTATGAATGTCGCGCCCGAGTCGTCAGCAACTTCGGGCCCGCATCAGGAAAAAGGAATTTCGGGCATAGCGGCCCCCCTACGTACATCGCCAGGATAGGCGCTATACGCATCATAGCCACTGGCGCCCACTATACAGTCGTCCATAGCTCACCATAGACAAGCGTAGGTAGCTGATAGTGATTCATAGGCATTCCTTACAGTAGATAGTGAACCGTTGCAGCTGTATTCTGGGTTATGCTGTAGTACTACTGATATTTTGATTGTCAAGTTTGTAGACTCTGTCGGCAGTGTCGCGCCACGAGCTTCAAATCCACTGACTTCATCACTGTTTGTCCATCTCTGTAAAGTGTGACTCATGTGTTATATGGTGAACCCGGTATACTATGTACATGTTTGAGGTGAGACTAGGTAGTATGTACTAGACACTACAAATGTCGATCCACGCTCTGCGCGGCACCGAGTCGGACCACCGACAATCTGAGGACGGCCTCCTCAATTGTGTTCCATCACCGAGACTTCTTCAGTGTCCAGGGGCCTGACGACGGCGCAGGCGCAGCGAACACCTTGACGATCATCGCACCAGTCTTCTGGGAGTGCACCTCGAACTTCGATCACGTCTGTTGCGTTTGGGCTTCTCCTGTAATCTCGGGATCGACCCCTGCTCGGACCCGCATCACTCTGGGGCATGGCACGGGTCGGAGTAGGGTGAGCCGTCCTTGCATTGGTTAAGGAACGCTACGCACCGTGAGCCGTCTCTGACGCGGCCGTCTGCGCGAAGTTGTGTTACGGCGCGGACATCCGGTACGTGCTTGAGGGCACCTTGTACGGCGTGTCCGATGTACGTCTGCGTGCCCGTGTGCAACATCCGCGCTTCAGGCGAGCTGTCCTGCCGCTTCTCGTAGATGGGGACACGGTCAAGCCCGGCATGGGCGGGCTCGTGAGCGGCGAGTTAGTGAGCACTTTGAAGGGCAAGTGGAACGTGCGGGCGGCGGCGGGGCGCACGGGGATGGTGCGCAAGACCGACCGTGTGAGTTTCGGGAGGGCACGGAAGGTAGACACGGTGGGCCGGGACGTCGGTAGGGCTGCTTGGGTGAGCGGAGGTACGGTGAGGCGTAGGCAATAGAGGTGGTGGAGGTGAAGGGCGAGGTCGTCAAGGCTCTCGCACTTCTGTGAAGGCGATGTGATAGATACTGGTCAGTACAGAGCACGGAAAACGCACCCGTCAACGGTGATTGGCCCGCCACAGAGGAGCGATGCTACGGTCGGCGCATCACAGGGGCGTGGTCGGCTCGGGCGCGAGCAATTCGTGTGGCTTGAAGCGAGTGCGGGTGGGCGAGTGTGGATGGGCGAGTGCGACGCAGACACTGACAGCAGAGTCGCAGACGCCGCTGGACACGCGAGGGTTGTGGCGGGCACAGGAGCGCAGACAGCGACGGCGAGGTTGCTGAGGGGGTGTGAGGGTAGTGACACCAGGCTGACACAGCGCAAGCAGCGAGCGCAAAGCTCGAAGCGCTCACACCGCATCAGGATTTCGTGCAATTCCTCTGAGGGCCCTGTCAGGGGCTTCATAAGCACTCAGAACGCTTCATTTCGCATCAGAACAGCTCATATGGCCAGACCTCAAGGTGTCGGATTTTTGTGAATTGTTGTTGTCAGACAGAATTTTCAGAGAGCATCAGACAGTGTCAGAGTGGTCCAGAGTGGTCAGACAACACGTCAGAGGCGTCAGACTCTCAGTGATTCCAGATGACATATGCTCAAAACGATATATTTCTGTCACTACAGGGGAATACAGGTTTGGTTTCGGCACGCTCATACACGTCGTGCGTTGGTGCACGACGGGTACTCTTGGGACATGCGACGAGCTACCCCGGTCCGTGCCTCCCTCAGCCTCAGGACCTTGGTTGTTGTATCCGTCACCTTCTGCATGCTTCTGCCTGTGCGGATGTGTTCGAACTTCGCGTCCACGCCCGCGTTACGATCGTCGCTGCGACCTGAGTGCACTGGCAACGGTTCAATCGTGAGACGACAAGGAGGGTACTCACGCAACATACACTTGCGACAGCCTGGCGGGATGGGTCCGAGGGCATGCAGGCACCAAATGCGCATACGGATGCGTATGCGAAAGACACAGCGGGTACCACCAATGGCGTGGTCACGGCATGTTGGTTGTATGTGCATGATACTGGCGGTCGGCGGGGGAGCACGAGCAGACGACCAGCGAGAGCGGCGGGCGGCGGTGGCAGCCATGCGGGCATAGCGTACGGCCAGCGACACATGCGCCAAGGCCGCTCTGTGTTAACAAGGTTGTTGGCGTCCAGAGGGTTGCACGATCGCTGCACATGCACGCGTGGCATGAGGTCCAAGACCACTTCCCGAAGAAGGCACGCATCCAGCAGGCCCAGCTATTCGCCTGCTTGTCGAGACATGACAACGTCTGAGGAACGCAAGGCACCCGAGAACTCATTCGTCATCCCCGCGCTTAGGAACACAGACTGGCGCAAACTCGCGAAGAAGTGCAAGGCGCTGTACGTCCCGCCGCAGTCCGCCGTGGCGGGCGCAGACGAGAGCGTCAGCGGCCTTGGCACGCGCGACGCGATCAACACGGGCTCGCAGCTGTCCGGTTTGCAGGTCATCAAGCGAGTGACGGTCGAGGAGGACGAGGGCTCCATCTGATCTACCCTGCCCGCGGACTGACTGCAACTGAGAGTGCAAAGAAGGAAGAAGAGACGGAGGACGCGCGCGCCCTCCGTGCTATCCACCGCGAACGGCGACGACCCAGATGCACCCCACATCGACACCATCACGCTCGCCACGCCCGCGCCGAGCGAAGACGATGTGTACAAGCAGCCGCTGGCAATGGTTCGACTGCGCTCGTCAGGCAAGGTTGCGAGACGACAAGGAGGGCACTCACGCGATTGCTCTGCCTCCTAGCCACAGCATCTGTGCGCATCACTGGAGCCCGTTGCGGCTGCTGGGCCATGCAATCGTGGGGCGCGTGGCGGGTCGATTCGGGCTTTCCGGTGCATGCTTACCGGGCTTGAGTTCACAAGTCTTTGTCACTCATCTTCACCACACTCGTTTCTTCTCGTATACACACGCATCGGGTCCGTCTCCCTCACGTTAGTCTTCGCCAGGTTGTCCTGGATGATATCTTTGTTTGGTTAGTCTGCGGGTCAAGCGGACAAGGGAGGTGCACTCACTGAAGTTGCTGGCTCGCTGGCCGCGCATTCTCCACAGACCTCTGGCGATGCTCTCGGTGCCGCGTTGCTGGAGCTCTTGGCGGCTGCTAGGCCACGCAATCCGAGTCGTGGGCGCGCGGCAGGTCGATCCACGTGCTGACATGTCTTGCATCGGGGTAGGCGGCAGGAAGAATGGGCGAAGCGGAGGTGAGACGGCGATGAGGGTTCTGAGGTCAAGTGTAGACGTGTGGTGAAGTGCGACGAGAGGACGGTGGCAAGCGCGCGTCAGTTGCGTGTCGTGGCTGAGGCGCTTAGCACTTCAGCTGCGCCTGCGAGTCGTGACTCACAGCCTCCACCGTCGTCTCACTCAGCCCCAGCCGCCGTCGGACTACCCCACCCACTCTACAGCTCGACGCTCAAGCCCGACACTGCAAGTAGGACCTGTGCGAAACACGACGGGGATGCGAGGGTGGTAGAGACAGAGGATTTGGGGCGCGGCAGGGACAATACAGGTAAGTGCAAACACTCAATATTTGCTGAGTTACCCTGTCTTTGCAGGCAACGAGTGAACGTCATGCATGTTCGTTCACTCCTGTTGCTGACTCGCGCAGCCAATCGCTCATGTATACCACGCTCCTGCACAATCGCCCACTCGCGCACCCATTCGTCGTCTGGCCGCCGCCCACCTACCCGCCCCTCAGACCTACCCGCCCCTCAGATCTACCTCAGACCTCTGACCTATCCTGCAGCGCCTCCGCCTCCGCCGGCCGACAGCAAGAGCATGCGCGAGCGCGGTTTCGCCGCTGCTGCACTTCATGCAGACTTGGACGTCTCGCTGTGCGGCCACGCGGACTTGGAGCACGACACTCTCGCCGCCCTGCTGTTGAGCAGGCTCTCCGCGATTGCCTACGCCTGCGCACTAAGGCTGGACTCGCTCAACATGTGCATGACGCCCGCAGGGCAGCTCCGCTTCGACAAGATGAGCACCCTCGTTCGTATCCCATGGCCCGATCCGTTCCCGTTTGCAATCGGCGCGATGGGTGTCTTCAAATCGCCCATCCCCTTCGAGTCGCACAATCCCTCCCTCTAGTGCGTCGTCTCCGCGCGTTGTGCGCATTCCGCCCCACGCGCGGAACATCATCCTCAACCGCTTCCTCTGCGGCACGCCCCATAACTCCGACAGGGCCAAGGCGGCGCCGCGCTGGACAAGTGACACGCGTAGTTTTGGACGTACGAGCGCGGGTCGAGAGCAAGCGCGGGGAGTAGGGATAGGATAGTAGGATGTGCAAGACTACCAGGTAAGCCTGTCGCTGCCCAATCTTCTGTTCGCGCCGCTCCCTGCTCGCTCTCGTAGCGCGTCCTCGAACGCACCCTGGGCTCGTACAAAACCCATGTTCGTGTTATCAAACACAGGTCACATCGATTACGACAAGACCACGTTGACCAGCCATCACCAAGGTTCTCGCTGAGCAGGGTGGTGCGCAGTTCAGGGACTACTCTGATCATATCGACAACCCGCTCATCACGCCGTTCCTTGCGATGCAGTCCGCGCGTCCGTCGTGCCACGCCCCCGCGCGGATGCGCTCCCGGACATGTGCCTCCTCCTCGCGGCGCAAAGCGGCGAGCTGCGCGTTCTGCACGGCGTGGTCGTGCCGCTGCCGGTGCGTCGTGTTCACGCGCCTGATGCCCGTGCCGACGACCTCGAGGATCTGCTTGAGCTGGTCGGTGAGCACCCGCCTGCATGCCGCGCTCTGATAGGTGGATGTATATGTCATTATAGTAGTCTTTAAATCCATTTCATCTGTGCCAATTTACACGGAGGGGTTGTTTCTTGATGAAATGTGTGATATGTGCTGTCTGATGTACTGTGCTACTGACACTGTCTGAGACTATCTGAGGTGAAATGAGAAGATCTGACAACCTGTGATGTCTGGAGTGGCCTGAAGCTCTGAAGCTCTGAAGCTCTCTGAAGGCCGACCTTCAGAGGCACATACCGTCAGAAATTGCACACTTTCCTGATGCGGGATCCTCCGACGTGCATCACGTGTGCGCTGCCAGCATTGCAAAATCCCCTCGCACACCTTCGTCGTTCGAGCAGTGAGCACCTCTCCTGCTTCAAATTCCCTCACTCCTCTGATGACCACCCCGCTTCTACAATACACCCCGCGAGCCCGTCTTCAAGAGACGTGCTCGTGACGTGGCACGCAGTACGCGCGACCACGTCCGCATTAGTCGCCACGCGCTCGAACAGTGCACCTCCAACGGCCACACAGGGCTCCAGCGACGCAACAAGAGCTTCGCTGGAGCCACGGAGAGGGTAGTGGGGTACGGAGGGAGGGATGAAACGGCCAGTAGGGCCATACAACAGGTGAGTCGCCCCACACCGTCCCTCTCAGCTTGCCCAGCGTCTCCTCCCGCCGTGGCTGCGCGTCCCGTCCCTCTTGCTCCCGGCCTCCTCGCGCTCGGCGCGCACACGCTCGGGGACGCACTCGATCCACGCGGGCGCAACATCCACACGTGGTCCGCGCAGGGCTCGCGTAACCCTGCTGAATGACGTCTCAACTTCTGGCGTGGCGCGGGCAACGACTGCGTCAGGCTGCCGGGCCCCAAGGGCGAGGTACAGGTGCGCACGCTGTATGGATTCGTGCCTATGGATGTTGCGCGGTAACGGCCGGTACTCACAGTATGATGGTTTGGCGGTGTATGTGGCGAGCAAGGGCAGAAGGGTCCCAACGGAGCCAGAGCTCAGGACACGTACTAAGTCGGTTACGAGGAGGGTGCAAATATGGGCTTCACCAAGTGGTGCCCCATGCCGTAAGCGATACCAACTACTCTTCTCTGCGTAGTAAGCTGAACAGTTGTGTAGTGCGACGACCGCAAAAAGGGCGGCCGGGATTCCAATGGCGGTGTCTGGGAGTAGACGTCAACGCTCTTCGACACGCACAAGTGGTTCGTGGGCATGACCATCTTCCGGGGTAATGTACGGTGTTACATCTACTGTAGCTCGTTGACTAACTGTGTCTTCAATAGCTACTCCTCTGACTTCTGTGACTGAAGCACCAAGTTGTGGTGAGTACCATTTCCCCTATGCTCCATCACACACAGGCCCGCATGCCTCGCCGCCTATGTATCATTACTTCATGCAGCAGATGAGATGGGCAAGCAGGCGGGCAGATGTGAGCAAAGGGTGAGTGGATGAGCGATGAGCGAGCAGCTGGCTTTTCATATAGTAAATATAGTAGCCTTTGTATCCAATGTCTCTAGAATCAAGTGAATGAATACCTGTTTCTCATGAATGATACTCGTATGATATAAGGGGTGAATACAAGAGATATGGCTTCCTATAGCCCGAATATAATGAGCTATGTGATATGGTTGCTGTGCTATGGCCTGCTATGTGAGATGGCTGCCTGGCTATGGCATGCTATGTAATGCTATACAGTATGAGGTGGCTGCTATGACATGCTATAAAATAGGGGGTTTGCAATGGCACTATGAGTGCTACATTGTCTACATTTCTCAACATAGTGATTATCTTTTTTCCTGATGCGGGTACTGCTGCAAGCAGCTCTAACGTGGACGGCAGTCAGGTCCGAACCGCTACACATTGCGGCGTCGGCCCGGTTGATGGAGGGTTGGAGTCGAGCGAGCCCTCTGCTGAGGGTTCGGCGTCCTCGTGGAGCTTGGGCAACATTGGTCCAACCGCAGTCAACTCACCGTTGACGACCTTTGGCCTCAACTCACGGAAAAGGGATGACACTAACAGTGCAACAGCCACTGATGTATGGTTTTTCTGCCGTGAGCTCAAGGTCAATGCAAGGCCTGAGACAAAGCCTGAGAACGAGCAGCCGTTGCATCAGAAGCCGAAGACCGAATTCATTGGTTGTCGGCTCTGCGAGTAGTAAGTCCATTGCTTTGCGTTGAGCATTGAACAAGGCTAAAAATCTCTGTTAGTCCGAAGTGGCAAACCTGGCGCAATACCAACGGAATTACGACCACCGTGCGGCGGCATCTTGTCGCGGAGCTAGGTCTGACGCGACTAGAAACAGAACTGACAACAGAAATACTTGACCTCAAGGTGTTGGACCGAGGTCAACAACAGTCTAGACAGCGTAGAACGCAATGACTAGCAACTCCAAGTTAGTTACATTGCACTCTACTTAGTACAATGTGAAGTGCTTACCTAGCAACTCCAAGAGGACGAGCTGGAGTGCTAGGCAGCGTACAGGACCCTATATATACTGGCTAAGTTGAGGGCAGGTCTACCTACGCTGGATCCGAGAACTGAGGTCATGTGTACGTATGAGTCAGAACGAGTCAGAACGAGTCAGGTGGCTAGGCGCTGCCGCAGGGCACATGATAAGTTACATCAGCAAAGCCACATGATGAACAAGTCACAAGACAAACCCTAGCACGTGATGTGTCACGTGACTAGTCAGAAAGCCGTTCCAGGCGAAGTCTACTGTACAGCGTATCGTACAAGTCCATAGAAAATGAGCAAAAATAGGATAAAACAAAGCAAAAATACGGGGCCTCCGTGTCATACCATGACACATCTTGAGCGTATGCACGGTGATCTCTACGGCCCGACCGTTAAGACCTTGGGTCTCAAGCATGCGAACGATCACCAACATTCCAAATCGGGCAAAGTAGATGAAGCGGAGGTGTTCTCCGTTGGTGAATGGGTCAAGAAGCTTGTACGTTTCATTGTCGTCGATGATCAGGTAAAACCTGGCTTGCTCCATGTCTCTGTGTGGTACTGAAATGGTGCCAGGCCATCAGTCTCGTTGATTGCCCAGAATTCCGCGAACTCCTTCTCTTCGGACCAGGGCCAGACAAATTGACAGACACTGATATTCCTCACCGTGACAAGCTTAAGGACGAGATTGTCAAGATGTACAGAGAAATATACAGTAGAATTGTTCTTGATGCACAGGTAAGCTCTGATCTACATTCCGTGCTATAGTCGTGTTGCATCATTGAATATAGAACGCTCTCGGTCGCGTGTCATTCACTGCTGATGTCTGGGATGATCCGACATTCCGGGCATTCATGGCTGTCACAGTGCACTACTGTACTAGGGACGAGAACCTTAGGCTTCGCATCCAGTCAAAGCTCCTCGCGTTTCGATTGGTTGAGGGATCCCATGATGGTCGAAATCTTTCCAAGGTTTTCCTAGGTATTGTCAAGGAAGCAAAGCTCGAAAAGAAGGTGGGTTTGTGCTTCTCCCAAATCCTTATCTTCGTATTAAATTGTAGTCGTCGTGGTTAGATCGGCTCAATCACGATGGACAACGTGTCATCCAATAAAAAGAAGATGACATTTCTCCAGGACGAACTCAACAAGGCGGGTATTGCGTTTGATGCCGACGGTAATCGTGTATGGTATGTTTGATCACTTTGCATGCCAATCACAGAGCTACATAATTGGAGTTTTGACAGTTGCTTCCCTCACGGCATTAACCGTGCATGCCAGGCCGTGACAGACGAGCTTGAGAAAAATCCATATGAGCCTGTGTACGCGCTTGCCTCGGCACCTGGAGTCACTGAGGAATTCAAAGAATCCTGCATGCGGTATGCTGATGCACTCGGTAGCAAGCCAATCAGTAGTGTTCGGACAGTGGTCGTTGCAGCGCGACGATCTGGCCCGAGGCGCGAGGAGCTTCAGCGCGTCATCAAGATGGGCAACCAGTCGAACTTGTGGGGTACTCTTGAAAACCCGGTAGTGCTTCCTGAGGTCCAACTGCTCCGTGATGTGGACACGCGGTGGTCGTCAATGTATAATATGATAAGCCGCATGCTTAACTTGTACCCTGTGAGTGACACTCTATGTCCGGTGCTTCTCGGCTCATATACCCTCTATAGGCCGTCCGACATTTGATACTGAAAGACACCCTTGGAGACATCGCCGATTTGACAGATGACGAGCTCAACGTTCTCGTTGACATCCATCAGGTATTCTCGGCCCCGAACGCAGCGCAGGAGTTGCTATCTGCGGAAAAGACGCCTACCCTTTGTATGGCGTTACCCGTTTACACCGACCTGATGGACGTCTGGGAAGAACAGGCCCGGACGATCCCGGAACTACAGCATTACATCAAAATGGGCATCGACCGGGTGCAGAAGTATGTCAACATTGCCCGAACCAGTCGGATTTATGCATTAGCAATGAGTACATCTGTCTGCACGTTACAGTAGTTGTCGCGGCTCTCTGACAACACATCATGCACCAGTAATCAACCCCACTGACAAAATGACGTGGATCAACGCGCACTGGACAGTACAACAAGCCGCCGATGCGAAGAAGTGGATGGTTGATGCCGTATGTAGAGTACCCAGCTCATGACACGTTGTACTAATATCAACAACTTTACATCAGATGGCCGCATTCGCAACATCCAAACGTCATGCAAGCAAGCAGACGAACCCTCCCCCGAGTCCTTCCGGGCGCGCAGGTACTACATCGAAAGCTGCGCAGGCACAGGTGTCTGGCGTGCATCGCCTGCGCGCCATCAAAAGCTTGCCGCGGCGGTCCAAGACACTCCCACTAGCAGCAAGCATTACCTCCCCGAGTCCCTCTGCCGTCTCTCGTAGCTGCAGCGAGTCATCAGCTACCAGTACCGCCCCAGGACCACAATCGAGAGAAGCTAGTGTACCATTGCTAGCGCAAACAAACAGCGAGTCACCTGCTCCGAGTCTGCAGCCACCTTCAAGTTCACCTGTGTTGAAGAAAGAGGTTTTAGGCTTAGTAAGCCCAGTGGCAGTGAAGGACTAATGAGTGAGTGAACAGACCAGTCCCAAAGGGAAGATCCTATGCTGGCAGGCAGAGGAGAGGACGAAGGATCGTTATCATTACAGGGCAAACCAGCCCAGTATATATACACATTTGATACAGGTCACATGCTGTATCAGTGGTTCATCAGTAAGCACTAAGTCCGAGGTTTTGGGGATATGAGTAAGCTGGTAAGCAGCATGAGTAAGCCAAAACTCGGAGTTTGATGTGGAGAGATACATGAAACGTGATGGAACATCAGGAATAATATGAGACATGATGGAACATCAAAGAGTGATATAAGACGTGATGGGACATCAAGGAATGATATGGAACGTCATGGAACATCAAGGAATGTCGTGGAATATCATGGAATGATCCAGACTAAAGTCACATGATGTGATCTAGGCAAAGTCCATCAAAGAACGTATGTAATCTGACATCGCAGAATATAAGTCCATATCCGTACATAACTGATAAGATAAGAACACTGAAAACTCGGAAGTTCAACAACCTGCGGAAATTGCTGCGCTTGAAGCTGACGCAGTGATCCGCGACCGTACCATTGCGGAAAATGAGCTTGATCGGTATCTCACCGTGCCCCTGGTTCGTTCCGAAGATCGCGCAGTTGACCTTGTTGCATGGTGGGAGGTACGCCCTTGCTAATACTCTATGTCTATCACAGTAATTGCTCATAAAGTCGTCGTAGGGTCACGAGAACGAATTCCCGCTGATGTTCCGGGTCGCGCTTGACGTGTTACCTGTACAGGCATCCGCTGTGCCTTGCGAACGAATGTTCTCAGGAAGCAAGCAGACGATTACTGTGCAAAGGATCAATCTCTCACCCGAGATGCTCGAAATCCTGCAGGTGGAGAAATTCGAATTCAAGGGCGACCGTTTAGACTTCACGGAGGACACCCTTGCGAAGCCCGAGGACTACAGTTTGGAGGCACCGACGGCGTCTGCGGTTCAGGAGCTCATTGCGCTGGGGCGATTTGATGAACTGCGCGATCTGTATCGTAACCAGGAACTTAGGCAGAAATAGCTTCTAATTGCATCGTCATTCAAGTCGCTCAGTATTACATTCAAGTCTTTGTATACTTTACGAGCCCTTACCACCGCGACGAACTTCGATACGGCCGCGCACACAATCGTGCAGACCGTTGCTTGAATCTGATTGGCCAGTGAACGTGAGAATCACTGTACAGTTGTGGCACCTGGCTTGTAAGCCAACTCCTTAGCTTACTCGGCGGCAACTCGAAATTCGAGTTGTGATCGAGTTTGCTAACTCGGCTTAGCTTGACTCAACTTGCCGCAACACTAGCGCCCGTGGTCATGCCGAGATTCGTCCGGGCAGATCCTTGCGCACGAGTCTCCCGGATCTCAGATCTCAGCACCGGCCCGCCAGCGCGACGACCACTTTCCGACTGGTTCTTGCTGTCTCCGTGCTGCTATTCGTAACGCTAAGTGTTCTCTCTCGACCAGCCTCAAGCCGTCTCGCTGCCACGACTCTCTCGGACCCCTACGGCTTCAAGCTTCATCCATGCGCTCCCCCTCGCCCCCGGGCGCGCAATGTCGCGTCGGGCGTGCATCTCGGGCGACCACCGGTTCGAACACCCCGGCCTCTTCCTCGCTCTGTTGCCGTACAAGCCACTCGCGTCGCTCGACCTGTTCACGTCCTCAATGAACAACGTCTCACAGCTCAATGGGGAGAAAGACTCCCAGGACCCCGGCCTTCGAAGTTGTCACCCTCCGAAGGCAGCAGCGAGAGTGCGGAGACCCCGCAAGGTGACCTCGACGTCGCTCTCGAGCTTGTCTATGCTCTACTGCTCCCGATCTTGTTGCGCGTGCAGAGAGCTCCACCGCGCGCCGCGCAATTGACAAACGAGATGGGCGATGTCCTACAGGTAAGTCAGCAAAAGCGGACTAACGTATTAATCACAGGGATCGCTTGCCCAGATCCAGAGTGATGAATGAGTCCTCACGGGAACCCAAAGTCTGCGCATGCAAGCCAGGTGCACATAGGGTATAGAGGAAGGGGCTGCTTCCTCGCGATGTTGCGCGGACTTGGAATCGTGCAGGTTCGCGTCCGCGCAGTGTACATCACATTGACACATTGCAATACATTCAGAGTCTCCAAAGACTCTAGGTTTCCAAGGAACCCCGCTCGCCGCATGCCGTCACGCTCGACCTGTCTTTGTAGTGCCTTGCTCATCTCCACCTCGCGATTGAGCCTTTCGATCCCGCCGTCACTTCGCCGCACATGCAACACGGTCGCCCGCCATTCATGCGTGTGTAGCTCTGATGTGTGTGATTAGTGCGGGTCGCACCCATGAACTGCCTGTGCCTATTCTAAGCACGGTCACGGTAGTACCGGAGATCCACTGGACGCGCTTGGGACGCGCAGGCAATCATGTTCACGCGAGGCCGGTCTGTACGTCGTGTCATTGTCCTGTTGGAGATGCCCAGCAGTCAACGTTTCAACACTCTCCTCACTTGGCCGCGACGCACCTACTCGCGCGCGATCCTTGGCAACAGAGTTTCACAATTTGTCTCTGTCGGATGCGTTCGTGCTGAACGATGGATAGGTCGTGTTGATCATCCCGTTCAATTTCCTTGGGCTTCTGGTCGACTCACGCCTTGCATGGTGTAGTACGACACCTTCATGTGCGCATATGGTGCCCTCCGAGTCCGCGTTGGTCTCCTCCACGGGCGACTTGGAGAGAGGCTCTCCACGCGGATCGCCCCAGTCATGGGTCATCACGAGCATCGTCTGCTTGTTCCCAAAGAGCTGCGTACCCCAGTGGAAACGCTTGCACGGACCTCAACGAAACCAGTGCTCACCGAGGGCCGTTCACGCGGAGAAGGGCGGGGCAGGCGCGGTGCGTGCAACATCAGCCGCAAGGGTGCGTCCGCCTCTGCCATTGCCATTTTGTGTGTGGTGCCTAACGTCATCACAACGTTCTCGCAGACACGGAATAGAGGTCGTGCCGCGCACCGCTAAGATAATGTTCACTCTGTCGAGGAAGCTTACGCCAGAGGGTGCAAGACGAGCGAGCTACGTCCGAGCGCCAGAAACCATGAACGGCATGATTCATCGACAACATCCTCGGGAAGCTCGACGTACTTGAGCGGGAAGAAGGGATGCTGTAGGTGGAAGGGCTCTACCGTGGTGAGTAGTGAGGAAGAGTTCGTGAGTACCCTCGTGTGCAAACGCTATCCAAGCCAAATTATGACCACTGCCCAGTGCGACCACAGCCGGATCGAAGAGTGCGCGGCGGCCCTTACGAAGGTCGCCAGGTGAAGTGGAAGCATGCGTGCGAGTAGGAGGAGGAGGAAGATGAGGAGGGCGAGCCCGAGGACAAAGCGGAGTGGATGGACGTCGGTCGGGCCCAGGACTGCCGACGCTAAACAAGCGGGAAAAGGCAAAGTTGTCAAGCACGGTCGTGGTGAAGAGCCAGCAGGAGCGAGGCCGAGTCGACGCTTGGCTGGTATGCGCGATGGTGCAGTATGTATTGCGCTTTCTATGCTCGTTATGCTCGTGCTGACCATGCCTTGTCATTTGGCCAGCATGAACAGCTACGAATTTGTGGGATCTTGGCCGGAGGAGACTGAATATGCTCGTAAAGGAGGGCGAGCTGCATCGCGTGCAAGGTCAAGATCTTCCATGTTTCCACCAGCACTTAAGTATCTCGATCAGGGTCTATATAGTACACATGTGTATGCGTTGTAATGTGAACACCTCCACACCAGCCCGTCCAGCCGAATTCGCCAATGTGCAGTCCGTCATAGCAGCAGGGCTGAGTCCTCAGATGCACGATCTGCAGAATCATACCGCATGAGAGCTTCAGGGCGCGAACAATACTGTAGGACTTACCATGTCCGCCATTTTACGCCGAGCCCCAACACTCTGTCCATGTCGAGCCATGCGCGAACTGGCGGAGGTCGAGACGAACGGGATGTACGCCTATGACTGCAGTCATGCGAGGCCACAACAAGCCAGTGCGATATCCTGGGGGAATCCAAAGAAAGAGCTCTTCATGAGGGCCGACGATCCATCCGTCGTACCCCCTATCGAACTCCGCAACATGCGACTCCCAGAGATCGACAAGGGAGGGTGAATCGGATCCCGTTACGATCTTGGGTGCATGCGATGCCCCGACGGTCACGTCCCAGATACGGACAGTCTTGTCCCCTGAACCAGTTGCGATGTGCTGAGCGTCTGGCGAGAATGCGACTGACCACACCGTATCCGTGTGTCCTGTGAGAGGCGGTAGGACCAGAGCACCTGTCTGAGCATCCCAGACGCGAACCGTTCCGTCATAAAACGCGGACGCGAGGTGCTTTCCGTCGGGCGAGAACGCGAGTGACGTCACCGTGTGTGTGTGGTCCATGCATGACTGCTCGATATGGGTATTCCAAATGCGAACACGCACCGAATAATCGGAGCTATACGCAAGGAGCTTGCCATCGGGCGACAACGCGATGCAATCCCCACCCCGTTTGTCTACCTTGAGCAGCGGCCCAACACGGGTACCAGTGTCTGTCTCCCAAACCTGAATGGTGTCATCGTAGAAGGAGGCTGCAACGAGCCTGCCATCCAGCGAGAACGTGGTGGATTTCAACGTGTCTTGGGATGACATGTCGATGTCCACGATGTGGGCGCCCGTCGCCGATTCGACAATCTCCAACTTCTCCCACCCAAACTGAAGTGCGACTCGCTTGCCGTCCGGCGAGAGCGCGAATTCCCACATACCATACTTTTCCCAGTATCCATTGGGTGACCATTCACCAGGGTTGCTCGCCGCCTCCACGTCCCACACGTTGATTGCAGGGCCACGATGATCGTCATCGTCGTCGTCCTCCGAGGCCGAGTCGGGGCAAGTTGAATAAGACACAAGATTTATCTTGTTGTCGTCCACCAAGAATGCGATGGCCTTTGGCCAGTGACCACATTCATGACCTCGTCCCAGCAGCGGCTCTCCGACTGCAGCGCCCGTATCTGCATCCCAGACACGAACAGTTCCGTCGCACGATGCAGATGCAACCTGTCTGCCGTCCGGCGAGAATGCGACCGACCCCACTGCGTCAGTGTGCCCGGGCGGCTCGCCAATTGAAACTGCGTCCCCTGTAGTAGTCTGGGCTACATCCCAGATACAGATGTCCCCGTCATCCGAGGTGGATGCAAGGAGGTGACCATCCGGCGAGAAGACGACCGATTCGGTCGAGCTTGTATGTCCCTTCAGCACCCGATGAACACCAAGTCTGCCATGCTCGAACGACCAGACGCGAACCGTGGTATCAGCCGACCCGGACGCAACGAACTTGCCATCCGGCGAGAATGCGAGCGAGCATACTGTCATTGTGTGTCCATTGAGCGGCTGTCCGATTGCATCACCAGTCTCCGCGTCCCTGGCATGGATAGCACCCCCGAGTTCCCCGTACACAACGAATGCGCTGTCTGGTGAGAAGACGGCTGAATTCACGTCTGCGAATTCTTCTACAATTGCAGCGCCAGTCTCTGCGTCCCACAAGGTCAACTTTCCAAGGCCAAGATTGTCACGGGGATATGTCGCAGCGATGCGCTTGTAATCGGGCGCGAATGCAATCAATGAAAGCCAGCCTTTGAGCGCCGATCCTGCCAGTTCAAGCGGTTGGCCGATGGGGTCACCCGTGGCTGCGTCCCATTTACAAATGACCGAGTCACGGCCTTCCGCCATTGTGATACCGGCTGCGGCGACGCACTTGCCATCGGGCGAGAACACAACCAAGCTTACGGATGTGGCATCCGTAGGTACTTTGAGCGACCGTCCAATGGGGTGATCCAATGTAGTGTCCCAGACACAGCCAGTACTCTCGGACCAGGATACAGCGCGAGATCCGTCCGGTGAGAGCGCGAGGCGAGAATGCGGAATGTCAGGTCCCTGCTGCGGCTGGCCAATTGACTCCCCTGTCCTTGCATCCCAGCGGCAGAGGTTGTCATCTGCAGCAGACAGGATGTAGCTGCTGTCAGCTGAGAAGGCTAGCGCTCGCCAATGTGGTAACTGTGATGTCCAGCGGCGATGCTCGTGTATCTCCAGGAGGGGTAATGGTGTGAGCCGTTCCGCAGTATCCACCTTCAATCGACGCTCCAGTAGAGCGAGATATACCTGGCTGATCTGCGACTTTGGAGGTGTGAACGCAAGAGCCGAGATGTATATATGTGGTGCACTGTCGTGAATCGGCATCCCAAAGCGAATGAGGAAGTCATTCGCGTCCAGCAGAAGCCGCAGACATCGTGACACGTCCGCGTTTTCCGTGTTTTGTCTGGTTTGCTGGGTGTGGGCTCAACATGTATCCACAGGACGGCATGCAAAGGGACACACCTGTTCCCGAAGCCAGACCTCCAGCCTCATGATCAGTGAAGACGCTACATTTGTGTAGTTACAAACACTCAACACCTCCAGCCAGTATAGGAACTTGTTTTCGAAGAAAGCCAAGACATCCTGAGTCGCTCGTTCCTCCGAGACGGACGACATGGTCAGGTGTTCGATCCAGAATCGACACGCGTAAACGAGATACGAAGGGAGCTCTCGACGCGACGGCTGCTTTGCATTGCTGGCGTACGATGTGCTACACCCCGACACGTTGAAGAACAGGCCAGTCTCCATGATCTTGTTACACCCGAGGAAAAGGTCGCGATGTGTCGCTCCAGTGTCTGCCGCCCATCGCTTTGATCCAGACCGCGTCCGTGTAGTGAGATAGTCTGGGAAGGAAGCATGGTATGTTGTCAGGAGACCGTGTTCCTCGTCATGGTCGGGGACGTTGATCACGGAATGCAAAGCGACGAGTGCATAGCGGACCTGGTCAGGGGTGAGGCATAGCAAGTGCGCTAATTCGGGGACAGAGAGGGGATTGCGCGCGCAGACGACTGCGTGTAAGCACCGCAGAACCCTCGTCGACTGGTCGCCATTCAAGCGCTGAAGAGCTTGGCCAAGGATGTAGTCGTACATTTCATCAATACCAGTGGGGGGATGATCTGCATGCGGAGCAACCAGTTCACGTAGCCGCTCCTGCGGAGGCTCTGGTACGTCACGCGCTTTGATGTATTTGCATGCCGTGGCCGCATAGATGAACAGACCCTGCGAGCGGTCCACAAGAATCTTGATGTCCTCGGGAGACAACTGAACATCTTCAAAATCGGACAGTTCTGCCGTCAGAGATATACGGATGTCTTCGTCAACAATATCGCGCTCGATGTCACGCAGCCGTAGATGTCGCGAGCCTGGCTGCCTGAACATGGTCCTGATGTGATGCTCGGGCCGGCTAGTTATGAAGAACTTGAGAGGCAGCTGGCGTCCGTGTTTTACGATGACCTTCAGCAGGTTTTCTGTCGCATCCGCGTCATCGCATTCATCAAGACCATCCACGACGACAACTGGCACTGGACCCACTGCAGTGAACGCGGCAGTCGCTGGATCGGAGATCAGAAGACGAAACTGCTCCTCGATGTTCGCACTGGCAGCGAGCGGGTTCTCTCGCAGCACCTTGACGACCTCATCCGCGAATGAGGGTGAAGACAGTGATAGGAGGTACGCAAGTGTCCGAAAGATGGACCGCACATCCCGCTGCTCGGCCTTGCGGCGAGAGCAGAAAAAACTAGCACCCAGGCGGCCTGCGTGATTCCACGAAGCGCACAACGTCTTCGCAATAGTGCTCTTCCCAGATCCCGCGACTCCGTTCAGGAAGAAGATCGACGGTACATCCTCGCCCTCGTTGCATGCTGCCCAAGTAAAGACGTCTTCGAGGAGCTGAATGCGGGTGTCCGTGGTACAGAAGGGGATGTCTATCGCATCGTAGCGGGCCGACTCACTCCCAGACAGCTTGTCCAGGTAATCTAAAGGTTCCATGAATTAGAGCAAGCCAAAGTGAGGAAGGGCTGATGGCGACTGACCAAACTGGATCCGGCTGGCTGAGTTTGCATGCGATGACTGATTAAGCCTACGCAACTCTTCCAATGCCGCAATCTGGCGTACGTTGACTAACAACTGCATCCTTGTGAGCAAAGTCGTCGTATATTCAGGCTGAAACGAACCTACAAGGAAAAGGTCCGTGGCATCCCCAACAGCACGGAACTGTCGTTCAACTTCGTCGACGTCGGCTGGCGCAAGAACTATGCGTTTGCTAATCTTGCGATCCTGTTTCTTTTGTACGATTTCCTCCACTGCGTTGAGTTCGCTGTGGACATCTGTTGAGTCTAATCATAGAGCGCACACAAGTTCTACGCTACGTACTCCGCGACCTTGTCCAGGTACTTCATCATCTCGCCCTGACGGCCTGAGTCCAAAGATCGATACATCTCAACCACCTCCGTCACGAGGGAGACTTTCTCTGTGATGCGCTTGAACTTTTCATGCACATCGACAACCGTCTGATCAAACAAAGTCAACAGATGCTGTGGTCTACTGCATGCTGACGTACCTCGACCAAGTCGAGGATTCCCAGCAGACCTCCCACGGCTGACTTGAGAGGGGGAAAGACGTCGGCGGCCCTCTCCGTGATCTGCAGCGCGCTTTTGAACACAGCTAGGCCTATCATGGCCCTACTGGGGGACTCATACGTTGCAGGGGGTTCGACGCCCTCGCCTGGATCGGCAGGTTGGTCGCCTGAGCTGGGAGCGTCGGAATCGGAGGCGCCCGCTGGGAGGCGGACATCTGAATGCTCGAGCAGCGAGTCTGCTTGGGAGTGCACTGCCTGCGAACTGAACTGTCTTCGGAATGGGCTTGTCGACCTCGGCATATGTAGGGACGGCGAGGAACCTCCCCGACACAGGAGCGACATGAGGCGATGAAATCCCTTGCTCGCAGGTCTTGACTTGTGCTCAGGCGTAGAGGAGGGCTGTCGCCGAAAAGACTTGAAGATGTTCTTCTTAGGCCTCTTAGCCATGGCGACTGAGGAGGGAAAGCGAGACTACACGGGAGAGGGTAACGGCGACGGTGAGAGTCAGGGAGAGACCTGCGCGGCAACTTCGACGATGGTGCGTGCTGATAACGACTTGTGAGCAGAGATCAAAGAGTGCTTCCGAGGACAAACAACACGAGGCCTATAACGTGTGGTGCGGAATCGGCTACCCTTGTTATGGTGACTGGCGAGCCACATCTCGGCACGTTCTACCAGCGCAGGTGAACGTTGTTCTCTGCCTTGTACCCGACACTCGCTACAGCGAAACGCGCACACGACTACGAGCATTGGAGAAAGCAGCAAGCGTCTAGTAACGAAGGAGCAGAAGCTCCAAAATCAAGCTGCCTTGTAGACGCCGGGTGCCCAACTGCTATTCCCAGTAATGGCCTGGAACACAGTCACACGCCATAGGCCGTACGGCTGGGAGGTAGCTCCGACCGCAGGAGTACCGCGAAGACTCTTAGACAGCATGTCTGCCTCTTCGACGTTACCTGCCAACCCCGGCGCATACACGCAATCGGCATGAGCTCACCTAGATAACGCCAGCCGAGCATACTCGACTCTCTCTCGTTTTCACAGTTGGTCTACCAGGCGACGGCGTGCTCCTGCGCAGGTGCTGTGTTAGCAACCCCTTCCGTTGGCGTACAAATAGGACAGTCGAGAGGTGACGACCGCACCTAAGCAGCAGACGATTCAGAGCACCTCTCTCAGCCTCGTCGCTTTTCTCCTCGGTCCGTAGCTCTTCTCTGCGCCTGCAGCTTGAAGACGCGCCGCGAGCCGAGTCGTTCAGCGGCACAGTCCCGATCGCCATGCCGGCAGATACAGTCGAACTCAGACAGGCACGCGCTCGATCTATATCATGTCATCAGAACCGTACAACTGCAAATCCTTGTGCGGGCTCACATAGACCGGCCAGAAGTCTGAATGTACATGCGGGATATCGCGCAGACAAGCGTTGTGCTGCAGCGTACGCGCATGCACACCGTGTTGTCCCGTTCGACGTCACTGATCAGGGAAACATGCAAACCATGTCGAATTCGATCGAAGGCGTGCACGAGACGTCAACTTCGTGGGCTCGCGAGACATGGAACCCCAGTCGCCGATCTTCCACATAGCAAGATCTGCCAAATGGGGGAAGGCGCATAATATCCGAAATGGCTGTGAGATGTTCTTGAACGTACACGCGGATAGACGCAATGCGCGGACGAACTTGAAGTGCGAGAGGTGATCGAGCCGCGTGCAACGAAGTAATCCAGAGATGCTGAGGAATCGAGGTCCAAGGGACAGACGACCGAGTGAGAGGAGAAGTGGTTGAACGACTATCCTTCCCTACTGACCAGCGTGTCTAGATCGAACGCGTTGAGCCCGCGCACGGCCATGAGCCACTCCTTCGCGCGCCGCGCCGCGCGAGACATCTTGACTAGCCTTGCGTAGCTCCCGCAGTTATGAATCCCGATGCCGCGGTAGAGGTCGGGCATAGCTTGTAGATACCAAGCCACGCAGACCCGCGCAGCAATGGGGAGAGCTGATCGGTCCATCTCGTCGATGGGAAGCGAGAAGATGTCGAGCGGAATGCGAGGATAGAGCGACGGGTAATGGGGGCGAAGAGTCGAATCTACATAGAAACCGAGTCTAGAAAGTACGACCACGGGCCGGCGCGTACGACGGGCCTCCGACAGGCTCTGTAGAGGGAACGAACGACGCAGCTACGAGTTCTCAGTGGCCGAGGTGCGAGTAGAGAGCGACTGAGGCGGGATGCCCTGCAGGGAGGGCGGTTGGTTCTGATGAGCACGCAGTTTGAATAGCACGTCGAATCTAGTCCGAAGAAGGGAGCTATACTCAATCACTGATCAGGCCCGCGCGACAGGATAACACAGAACATAGAAGACTGACACTTGGTTCGTGTCTGAGCAACATCTCCCTAGCAGTAGTACTAGGAGACTGCGCTCTAGGATGCAGAGTCAACGGGTGACAGCGAGGTTGTGGGTAAGAAGAGCGGGGAGCCTCGAGGACGTCTCGAGGCTGTGTTAGCGGGAAGCCTGAGGCCTGGGATCCGTATAGTTGTGCTCACGGGTGTGACGAACCGCACGTCGGCGGCTACAGTGGGTCGGGACAGTGGCGCATACATTCGTCCGCACTGCAGAATGGGATGGCAGTGTATCTAGGATGTACACATATCAGCGCGAGCCGCAACGACCAATGTGCTGCCCTAACCTTAGACCCATTCTTGGGCGAGGTGCTTACCGATACGTCTGCACGTAACGGGTTCGAGTTGCCCTCACCCGATGGCACCGTCTGTCAGTGTGCGACGACTCATCCGCATAATCGATGTTAAGAGCAGCGTGGAGCCGCAGTTGAAGCCGTGCTAGCTAGTAGGTCAATGATGGTATGTGTGCGAGCGAAGCACAGATGGTCTACTGACCGGGTGCGGAATAACGTCTCAGAAAGGCGGCCGGTGTCGAGTAGCGTGTCAACCGACGCGACATATTGCGAGAATTTGGGGAGAGAGATGAGGCTGCTGAAGCAGGTATGCGGACTGAATGGTATAACGATAACGATGTGGCTGAACGCATCGTGTTGCCCATCGCAGTGTCCGTCCATGTCGATGGGATGAAATTGTCGATTGTAAACGTTGGACTGTCATTGTTACTAGGCGTAGGCTTTCGGACGTGTCTAACTCAGGACACAAAAGGATGTATATAGAGCGCGTACTGTAGGTCTAAGACCATGATTAGCGTACGGTCATCTAAGCACGAAGTAGTGGCGCACCTGAGCGACAGCACAGCCAGCCCTATTCAAACTCCATCCACATTATCGGCCACAGAATATTCCGCATTACAACCTCACGTCCGATAACGCTCAAGGCCTCCCCTTTGCTCGGGGTCGCTCGTCCGAGGGTGGTAGAGCACTGGTTGAGACCTGTGAGCCTGTCCAGGACGAACGCGTAGACTGCGACAGTTTTCGTGAGCTATATGCGGCAGGACTCCCGTCTTCCCAAAACAAGCTTCGATTGTGGACCCGTTGCGGTCGGTAGTCTACGGGGATCGAAAAGACGGCGGAGAGGATGGCGAGCGCGTCAGCTGGGCTTGCGCGGTGCCAAGTCTAAGCTCCAAGAGACGACAGGAACCAGACAAAGCTGCGCACGTAGTATGGTACGATGAATTCGCGCGATTTGAGGGCAGGAACAGCGCCGTGGTGGCCAGGTGGGGACGCTGGAGGAGGAGGAGTAGGAGGAGGAGGAGGAGAGGGGGATCGGTCGTCAGTGTCGATCGCAGAGCAGACGCGCTAGCGCCGGCTCGGGTGGTGCCGAGATCCATCCGAGCAGATCCTACGCCTCGCGCGACGCGCGAGTCTCCTCTCGAGTCAGTGGGACTCTCAGTACCGTATCAGTACCGCGACATCTAGCATCCTGTCGTTCAGGTCAACAAGTGCCCTGCATATGGATTCCCATTTCCGGGGCACAGGAATCAGGCCGAACTCAGGAGACAGGGACTCTCATGGCAAGTGTCGGTGGCGACGCGACCGCGTCGGGCCGTCGGCAGACAGGTCTGTAGATCTCTTTGTGTGTTGCACGACGACTGCAGGCTGACGTGCCGTATTTATCTCAGTCCCAGCAGAGCAATCCGCGCAGCACAGCCCCGGATTGAGCTACGCCCAGCCGCGTGCCTGCATTGTCCGCTACTGGAGGAGGAGGAGGAGGAGATGGGTCCATTTAGCCGCAATGTACGCGTGTCTACTACACGTGACATCCGACAACGTTCACTACTTTCATGACAGAATCCGACCCAAGCGGCCCCCTCTACTCTACAATGACGTACTCTATTCGACGAATAACACGGCGTGAGCGCATTCCTACAACGATCGGACACCCCGGCCCACTGGACACAAACCGGGCGGGTCCCGAGGTTAAAACCTGGGAGGAAAAATCGAAAAAACCTCCAGGCGTCGGCTGCGGTTCCCCGGCACACCAACATAACTCACCCCGGGCCAGGTGGGAACGAACGATTTCCAGACCCTACACGCTACGTAGCGTGTAGCGTAGCGCTTAGCGAAGCGTCGGCGATCGTGGCAAATCGGATTGTAGCGGATAGTGGATCGGGTTGTAGCGTAGCGAATCGGGTTGTAGCGTGTAGCGGATCGAGTTGTATCGTAGCGGATCGAGTTGTAGCGTAGCAGATCGAGTTGTAGCGTAGCGGATCGAGTTGTAGCGTAGCGTGGAGCATCGTGTAGCGAGCGACCTGGGATATAAGAGCCAGCGAGGCTGCTGTTGCCTTCTCGTTCCGTTCCCTCCCTTCGACTGTGCCTAGGCTTCCTCGCCGACACACATTCCTCCTGAATACGACAGCCTTACTCTCGCTTACTTATTCGCTGCCACTCGGAGTCTTCGCCGATAACTTACACCCACTTATCCCTTTTCGTTGGGATCTTAACTTACAGTGGCCTTGATCGGGACCCTCGCTCGTTTCCCTCCGATCGCTAATGCTCTACTGAGAGCTTCTGAATCAGTAAGTCGTCGCAATAAATCTGTCAAAGTCTGTCATTAATTTGGCCATATAGCATCTTATTCACTCGTTTGGCTCGTTTGGTAGGACAGTCTCGTTTTGTTGTCCACTACTATCACTGATCTCCGATTCTATTATGGTCTTGTACCCATGATGTGTCATGTTTCTCTGTCCTTGTAAGTACCCCCATTAATGTCGCATTGTCTTGCCCGATACTTACACCCCATATACCTTCAGTATTGGTGAAGATATCAAATTCCACTCGATCATCCTACACCTATCGGCAACATCCTGTATAGGCGATGTCAGGTAAGTATTCTTGCTTAATAAGCACCACACTTTAATTGATATTCGTCGCCTACAGCCTCACAGCGACAAACAGTGGCCAATCCATGCACACGAGGTTCATGCCAGAGGGCTGTGAACAGGGGGTGTGCACATAGTCTCTGCCGCCAATGTTGCCTGGCAACCTCTAAGCAAGAGTACGAGCAGCGAGCTCAAGCCTCTGAGCCTGAGCCAAGGACTAAGTGGTGCCGAATTTCGACCCATAACTATGTGCCACCGTCGGGCTCTGTCCCTACTGGTGCGCCAGCCCCTTCTAGTATCGCTGTCCAGGAAGCTGTGGCTGCCTCTTCACGCTTGGAGACCCACGTGCCTTCAACGAGTGCTGAACCTGCTCCACAGGAAAGGGTGGGCTCTTACGCCAACCCAGCCCCTAGCCTTTGGCAGCAAACACCACCGGGTGCGATTGTCGCTAACCTCCATCGCGATGGCCAGGCAGCTGCTGCTGCCCAGCGGAAGCTTGCTGCTGTGCAGGCTAAGAGCATCGTTAAGAAGCTCTCAGTCTGTTTACTGTTGTGGACGAAGGTGAGTCTGTCGGAGTTGGTGTGTTTTGTGAGTATTGCTCATGCAGATATCTCAGGCTGGCGACGAGTCGACGACATACAAGATTTCTGTCGAACCTCATGCCCCTATCATGTTATCAGCATATCCGCACATCGTCGATGCTCTTGCACCTCCCCATCTTCCTGAGTCCTTACCATCTGTGCCCGATACTCCCCGCGCACCTGCAACCGATCCTTCGTCTGCTCCAGGTCCTCCGGTGCCCAGCCCTGCTCTCTGTGTTGAGGTCTTTGATCCTGCACTTTCTCGCTGGGTCGTCACTGCTGTCAGCGATAGTCTTGGTGTCGATCTTGGGTCTCGCAAGGCCGAAGTCCTCCTTCGCGCATGGGCCCCGAACCGCAAGCTTACCAATGTGGACTGTCCAGGGCTCGCAGGGCATCTTGAGCGCCTGTACGGTATCCGCTGTTCCACCGATGGTTCGTATGAGCGCAAGCGGGCTGCCTCTCCACCAGCTGCTACTTCCAGCAGCAAGCGGATTCGCCTTGCTTCCGACCCGCTCCCAATCGCTCCTATGAACGCTCGAAGCCCAGCTCGTAGGGCCACAACCTACTCTGGCCATGCTGCGTCGTCGCCCGGTCCGATCCTACACGATACTGGCCGGAGTCTGCTTCGCTTTCATCAACCCAGTAATCCCCAGCCGATTCCCTCCTCTTTCTATCTATCGCTGAACGACTTGCCGACCATTGACGAGGAGTCTGATCATGAGGTATCTTTCCCCGTCTCATTCTCTTTGTCGTCACTTGTGCTGATTTGATTCTGTACCTAGGGAACACCGAGTACGACTAGCGCCGATATCGAGCAAGATGGTCCTGCGAGCCTTGCCAGTGTGGCCATGGACAGCAGCGATGCCAGTGTGCTCTTCCCATCCCGCTATTACTTCGCCGACATCTACCATGGTGCAAAGCGAATCGACGAACTCCACACGGCGAGTGGCTTGTCCATCCGAGATGCCTTCGCAGAGGTCTTTCCGAAGGCGCGCTATGCGGAATCAACGTGGACAGCTGCTAAGCGAGTCCTCCGCAAGGCGACCAAGGCCGAGTGTGCAGAATGGCTTGCGAAGGGCAAGACAGCCAGCACTTTGTTTACCAACTTTCGGAGTATCGTACAGGCACGGCAGCACGAGCGACCCCTGCCCCGCAGTGCTCGGCGAGGGCAGACTCTTCCACCTTCTACACCCGGCTCCCCGATGGTCGTACTAGGCAATGTCCCACCAGTCGAGAGCCATGGCCTGTCTGCCCCTCTGGGCGAGCGAAGCACCAGTGTCGATGTGCAGCAAGGCGAACCTCAGAGCAGTCGTAAGTCGTCTTTTGCATATCTACTGGAGATTACGAAGAGAAGTTCTAACCTGGCGTCACATTAGTAGATCGCCAACCTGCCGAGACTGCATCTTTGCAGGTCGGCGAACATGTGCCTGCCAACACAAATCTGCCCGTCGATGCGACTCTGCCGACGATTGGCACAAATCCGAGTCTGCCAGCAATCGGCACGAGTCTGCCAGCAACCGACACGAATCTGCCAGGCGATGCGAACATGTGGGACGACTTTGCAAAATGGCAAATGCTCACGAACCTGCAGGCCGGCACGACTTTCCTCGCAGACTCGCCGATTGAAGACCAGATTTTTGGAGCCCATGCTAGCCAACAAGTCGTACCTGCAGCTCTTTCTCAACCAGGTGCTCCCTATTACTCGTTCCCAATCGACCCAGGCTTTCGCTTCGACCCATTGCCTAGCTCATCTGTTATCGACCCTCGTCTTACTGAGGCAGCCGATGCAGAACTGGCCCACTATGTCCAATCTGGGGCCACCACTGGCGACTCGGAATCGTTTGATACCATTCCCTAGATTCCCCAGAACCATCAATATGTGTAGCATATCACCCCATCGCATCTAGTGCCCATACCGAATCATCCAAGGGTAGTTGTAGCATAGCCACATAGTCGCCCTCATACATGTCCATATACCACATATCCACACTCGCATCTTCATTTACTCGCATACCCATACCCTCGCATACACATCTACTCGCATACACATCTACTCACATATCCACACACCCAGATACCCATCTACCTAGTACCCACATAGTTGAACTTGCATACTCGCATACCCTTCCAGTCAAGCTCACTCGTTTGATACCTCCAGATTGACGACTACAGCCTAGTATCCCTTACAATACAGCATCATAATAATTCAACTTCCCCTTGAAGTCACAATAGCGATTCACAAGATACCCACCATGGATTGGTGAGGCGAAGGTAAGGCAGACGATTGCTAAATGGACCCAAATGCACATTGGCAAACCTTGAGCAATGGTATCAATAAGCCAGGCCAAGTACAAAGTAACAAACGATGGGGCATGGCATCGAGCAACAGCAAGTAACAAACTGGTAACTAACAATGTAGGGTACACAGGTAGCGAACATGGAGCAGCAAACAGCAAGCAGCGAGTAGCGAGCAGCAGGCAGCGAATAGCGAGCGAACAGCGAACAGCGAGGAACGGGGGGCGGGTGGCAAGGAACGAGCAGCGACTCGGAGCAGCGATGGGGCGAGGGGCGAGCAGCGAGGAACGGGCAGCGAGGGCGAGGGGCGAGGAGCGAGGGCGAGGGCGAGGGGCGGGCAGCGAGCAGCGAGCAGCGAGGAGCGAGGAGCGAGCAGCGAGCAGCGAGGAGCGAGGAGCGAGGAGCGTGGGGCGGGGAGCGAGGGGCGGGGAGCGAGGGGCGGGGAGCGGGCAGCGAGGAGCGAGGAGCGAGGGCGAGGGGCGAGGAGCGAGGGGCGGGGAGCGAGGAGCGTGGGGCGGGGAGCGAGGGCGAGGGCGAGGGCGAGGGCGAGGGGCGGGCAGCGAGGGGGCAGCGAGGGAGCAGCGAGGGAGCGAGGAGCGAGGAGCGAGGGCGAGGGGCGGGCAGCGGGGGCGAGCAGTGAGGGCGAGGGGCGGGCAGCGGGGGGCGAGGGGCGGGGCGTACATGCAGTGCACGCGCGGCGCGGCACTACCCCAGCTTGCGGGCGCGGCGCGCTGGGCGCGCCTTGCTCTCCGTCGCCCAGCTGCAGCCAGCCGCCCTTTCCGCCCGCGAGCGCCACGCCCGGCGACTCTCGCGGGTCTCCGCGGGTGTGGGTATTGGCGCAGAGCCAGGCGGGCGAGGAGGCGGGCGTGGCGCGTGGCGCACCCGTTCACCGCCCGTGCTTGCGCGCCCAGGCATGCGGGCATGCATATGGGCTGGGTGGGCGAACGCACACGTGGGCGGCCGAGGGGTGGGTGCGCGCCGTTCGCGGGGCGCGGGGGCGTTGGGCGCAGAGGGGGGTAGTGGGCAGCCCTGGCGCGTGCGCGCGCGGGGCGGCTGCTGGGGCGGCAGGTGGTCGGAGGGGCGCGACGCGCCGACGGCCGCCTCGCGCGTCCCCTTGGGAAGTGCAAGCCGGGCGCGCGTCCGCTTTGCGCGCGCGCGGCGAGGGCGGTGGGGGACGCGCGGCGGGAGGGCTGCGCTGGCGGCGGCGCCAGCGGTGTAAGCGCACGGCGCGGCCCGGCGGGCGCGATCCTACCGCGCAGGCGGCACGCGCGACAGCGCGGAAGGGCGGCGGGCACGGGTGCGCGAGGCGGGTGCGCAGTGGGCAAGTGCGCGCGGTGGGCGGCGGCGTTTTGCCGCGGTGGCGGGGTTGGGGCGCGCGGGGTGGGGCCGCGGGCGCGGGCAGGTACCGTGCCAGGGGGCGGTGGGGTCGGTGCGCGCGTGCCAGGAGCTGACCACGGCGGGCGGGTACGGCGGGTAGGGCGCGCGCGCGCACGGGGGGGCTGCTGCGGCCGGCGGTTAGGCCTGCCTGCGGAGCGGGGTCGTCGTTCGTCCCCGAAGGGCCAGAACAATGCCCACTGCACTCGCAGACGGGCTGCCGCGGCTAGCCATTGGTGCTGGGGGCGGCGTGGGGGGCAGGTCGAGGGGCGGGAGGCGCGACGTGGCGGGTGCGAAGAGCGATGCAGTAGGCGCTGGGCAGGCGCTTCGGGCGGTGGCGTGGTTCGGGCGCCTAGTCGCGCTCCTGCGGCGGCAGCTCGAGGCTTCGCACTGTTCGCGACTGCCCTACACTCGCTTTTGCCACTGCTTTTACCCAGCGATGCCACGATCTAGGCGCAGACCGAAACTCACGCCTTTTGAAGCTGCAGCCCGCGACCAAGAATTTCTCAGATTCTGCACCGATCTCGCAGCAACATCTGCTCTACTCCTGCTCTACTCCTCTGCCGACCCTTCCTTTCGCGCCGAATTTACAAACGAGCTCACCACACAAGCCGCAGGGAGAGCAGTAGAACTCGGGGCCGACCCGTTTTCCGAGTTTCTGCGCCAGTCCGGTGCTGCATCTGTGTGGCCCCACCTCCCAGCCGACCTTCGCACTGCACTCAATCACAGAAAACACGAATGCGAGGCCAGGCGCAAAGAGCGCGCCCGCGTAGTTGCAACGATGGGACTCAAGGAGCGCAGCGACGAGGAAAAGCTGGCTGCTCTCGAGGCGCAGGTGCAGCAGTACAAGCTTCCAAAGCTTCCGAACTACGGCTATCCAAAGAAAGATTACTGGGTGGGCGAGAATGCCCAGAGCGCGGCAGGCTGGAAGGGCTATGTCAAGAAGCGGCCGGCTGAGGTAGACAAACGCCTGGTACTGGTTCCACCTTGAACACACATGCATTGAAGTAACTGATAACTGGGATTAGCATCCTTATCCAGTACTCACCCTCGATCCAAACCAGCTCAAGCTCATCATTCGTGCTGATGAAGGCGCGATGGTTCGTGATGCCGCGACTGGTGAACTTGTCGCCGTAGTTATTCGCAACTTCTGCAAGGACGCCCCAGTCCTCGACTACGTGAATTCGACGATCACTGTAGCTTGCGACTCGAAGCGCGACAGCCGGGTTTGTGTCTGAATCTTGCGCCTGTGGCTAAGTGCTGAATATCTCTCACAGAAGCAAGACCCGGGGACTCTTGTCCTTGCTGGATATTCGGCAGGATCGCGCAGTGCACCAATCTTTGATTGGTGCCACAATATTGAGTTGACGAAGCCCTCGGCGGAGTTCATACAGAGCCACGAGATGGCAGTATCCTCTTCCTTTGCAATCTTCTACAACCTGGCGTGCGCCCAGCTCCCCGCCGAGCTTCTTGACGATCTCCATTCGTACCTCGAGACAAATGGCTTCCCCCGCATGGATGCAAACGGGGCAATCGGCACGAGCGAGGATGGCCGCGGTGAGTACTATGTGCAGAGGGGTGAGGATACCATTGTGTTCTGCCACGAGAAGCTTGCGCCACCATCAGGTGTGATGGGTGTCAACTACGCTCGGTGCGCTACTCCTATTGAGCCCCCATCTTCGCTAAAAGCTGATGTGTTCTGCAGACACATGCACCGGGAGACTCACCCACACAAGTATGCCTACTCGTGGACAACGGGCCGGACAGCTGAGGTTGGCGGACATTTCTATGTCTCAGAATATGGGATCAAGATCGAGCAGTCGGCAAACACGTTCATTGCCTGGCAGCCACGCCTTATGCATGGCACCAGCCTCATTGGGAATGGGCCAAACTTCTCACCACCATATGCTCAGCAGGGCCTCAGCATTGTCAGCAGTGCCCGGCTTGCCTCCATTTGGCAGAAATACAAGGGCAGTGGGTTGCCTCAGCAGGAAGCGGCAAAGAAAGCAGTGGCAGAATATGCAGCAGATATGGAGAATGACTTGTTGTAATGTAGAGGTTGCCTTGCAACCTGAATTCTTATGAGGAACCTCAGCCGCAAGGGTGTAATTGGTCCCAGACCAGCATAAGTGATGACAATGACAATGACAATGTCATTTAGGGCTCCAACTATATTATATTGTATATATACTGTATATATACAGTTTATATAGTATGATCTCCAGCTATAATTGTCATTTTATTTCCCTACTTAATCCTCAAACCATCACAAACCAGTGTACATGTTAGTGTTCAAGATGATGGAGAATGTTTGTACCACCTCAATATGGGTACTGTACTACATACTGTGTAGTATAATCCTGTTGCTAGTGAATGATGATTTACTTGCTGGTTTTGGCTAAAGTCACATGATATGTCACAAAGGTTTATATGTGGCTTCACTTCTCTTGTAGATGTTCAATCACATAGTAGCACCAATTAGTACTAACACAATGCTCCAGGTAGCTGTCTAGATTCAATCACACCAATGATTTTCAGGCCTAATCCTTGCCTATCAGTAAGATTAGACATGTCAGTCTCATATACTTTTCCACATGTGCTGTTGTGCTCACCCACACCAGTCTCATTCCAAGATACTCAACCTACCAGCTGATCCAATGCCTTGAGAATATCTCATGTACCATGCATTTGTCATGACTTGTTCAGAAAGACAAAAGCCATCAACTCTAGTATCTCTGTAGTCAATTAGGAGAGTTTCTGTTATGTGAAGAGCTCTATGCCATGTACTCCAAGATGTATTGGGGATATCCATTGCACAAAGTCCAGATATTTAGGACCCAGATTACACTGTCTCTGATCTATAGAATCAGTGTCTGGCTCTGAAAAAGCATCTATGGCATTGAGAACCTAAGTCTAATGACTATTAGAAAAGCAACATTGGACACTGTTGTAAGCCTGCTGCTTACCGCAGATCACGACACTTACCATAACGGGATGTTGTGCCACATGTACGCATCCCCGGATTTGCTTCCGCTCTCGAACCAGGTCACGGACATGCTCCCAAACCACGGCCTCATCTCACTCTGCTCCTGCTCCCCTCACGCATCTTGCTAGCTAGATCACACTCCCCCCGCCTATAGTCACAATCATAGCCTGTTCCTGTTTCTGTTTCCCGGTCCGAGTTGAGTGGTCCTGCCGCACCTCCAGCAGCAGGCCTTCAACTGTCCTGTTTGTTGAGGAGGGATCGAGATGCGCGCGCCTAAAGTGACACGGACACGTGACTGGGAAACGGACTCATACGGACGTGTTTTCGTAGAGCTACCTCAGTCGAGTACCACGAGGACGCGGCTGAGGTAAGCCTTGTAGCCATTAGATTCCGGACATGGACGCTCACATGTTGTACCATTAGACTGTATAACCTTAACAGGTACTGTAGTAATTGAGTCGAGTACCACGAGGACGCGGCTGAGACTGTATAACCTTAACACTGTTGACCCTAGGCAAATTTGAATTGTAGCTCAATCATGATGGCATGCACAATGGTCCTAGGAGCTTTTCATGAACATGAACAACAGCCTAATAAATTAACAGAAGCCTACATGGGTTCTCAACTTGTCAAACTGGAGGCCATTGTAGTTCACACAACAGGATTCCACTCCCTAGTATGCTGTAAGCACATGTTTGAACATAGAACACAAAAAAGAATACAATGCTATCCATGCTCTCCCCAATGTCCACAAATCATTGCAATAATGAGTCCCTGTGCTCAATAGTGGTCTAATTTCTACCAATATTGAAGCTCCTGTATTACTATACTTGAAACCATATATACTGTATATATACTATACATTCAAGATGCGTGGACCCTGTATGTGTACAGATAAAGTATAGGGTAAAACCTGTATATATACAGTATGTATATATATTGTTGGAGCCTTAACTTAGTGTGATGTGCACAAGACAGGAAGTCCGCAGGGGAATCATACACAGGAGGGGGAGTCTGTGGTATGAGTTGAGCACCAAAAAAGGAGTCTGGGCTGCACAGCATGTTATACAAGGAGTCTACAAACAAAGTTGGCAAGGAGTGCACATAGATGCCAGCAAGTGACAAGCCCAGGAACTGAAAGATGAAAGCAAAGCTCTCAATGGTGCAGTCAATTGCACGCATATGAGATAGTAGCCCAATAGTAAAGAGCAGTGTCTATGCCTGGGTGTGTGCCACCAAGTTAGGTGTTGCATGCATGGCGCGCAGGACTCTAGCAGCAGCAGGAGTACAGTTTGTATGGTAAGTGAGGTACAATTATAGAGAATACTGTGTGCACAGCGCAACAAACAGAGGGGTGTAATCATTGAACTTGTTCTTGTATGATGTGGTATATATGGTTTGGACATGCTCCACTATATCTGCCACAGAAACAGGTGGGAGCAATTGAGCAAGCGGGGCAAGCAAATATGGGATGAGATCAACAAATGTGTGCAACTTGAATTTGCTCCTCTGCGGGGTGGGGAGGCAAACTTGTGAAGGGGAAAATACAGTAAATCTGTAGCTTAACTACACAGTATAATCAATGTGATGAACAAGGAGTGGTGTGGCTAGCCTGAGGCAAGGCTACAAAAGAACACTACAGGAGCACACAGAGCACTGTAGTAAAGGAGAACTTACAACAGATCTCTTAAGAGCTGAGAGGGAAGACTCAGAGGCGTAAGACGAGAGAAGAGACCACTACATTCTAGGACATATCCAGCCCGGTATATATACACATGAGAGAGCCATCACATGATCGTACAGTAAGCATAACAACGTAGAGTCATAACGGAGCGATATGGTGCAATGAGTGAATACACAAGGATGAGGCGATATTGCACTATGAATGGAATGTCATGGAAAGGACTGGAACAGCGATGTGCTCGATGATGCAATACAATGCAATCAAGGAATGTGGTGGAACATGCTGGAAAGCGGTGGAATGTTCCATCAAGGTCTAGATCTAATCATGTGCTACAGGTCTGGATCAAATCCGAAAAGAATGTACGTAATATGTAGCATAGTAGAACATAAGTCCATAACAGGTAAGGATAAGTCCTATCCCGTGTGATAGCACCTAAAACAGTTGAAGTTCAACGCAATGAGCAGGTGCAGTGTGGGTACAGTAACAGTGCAGTAATATCACACTGTGTCAGTGCACCAGCATCTGGGCATGTACACACCCAGAAATTTTGACAATAAATCTGTTGGCACTGGGATTCACAAGGCAGCTAATTTATCTGGCAATGTACAAGAATGAAACACAGCTACTGCTCTGCTAACAGCCAAGACCGCTCTAGCTTGCGGGGATGCGCGCCATGAAGGGCAAGCTCGTGAATGGTGCGGCAGTTTCGCTGTTTGATGACTTCATCAAGGAAGAAATCATAGCGATCCTCGCGCATCTCGCGCACTATTGAAATAAACCCACCAAACCAAGCATTGGTCATCTCTGCTGCTGAGGAATTGAATCGCCATACCCCTCCGTCATGCAATTCAGGCCACCGTGCAGGATTGCAGTGAAACCCACAAAACTCGTCAGACTCCTTGTGCTTGCTCTTCATGTGGAAGACATCTACAGGCAGTGCTGAATTGTCAAAGTATGTGTCACCGCTGGCCAGTAGATGCTTCTTGAGCTGGCAGGCGCTATCGTAGAAGATGACACGGGGAAGTGAGTGCTGGGTTGGGAATAAGCGGCGCAGAAATACCTAGAACCCAAAATTAGCTGTATGAAGGATTCATTGATGATGGAAGCCTACTTTGACCCCGCTTACTGCTTCTGAGCCATACATTGTCATCCGGCCAAGGACCACCCCACAAGTTGCAACACAAAGCTGCTCGTTGTGAGTCCACCGCCGGCCAAAGCGAGCGCGGACCTTTGGGCTGCTCTGTGTGCTGGCGCCGGTACCGCCCTCTTCATCCATATCGAGTTCATCATCGAGCATAGGATCGCCGTCAGAGCTGCCATTGGGGTTACTCGGCTGCCGCTGCCCGACTCGCTCCAGCCGCTGCCGCAGCTGAAACAGCGCAGATCGCTTCGCAGTGTGGGCGGTTTCGATTGCACGATGGGACTCGGTAGTGCATGTCTTGAAGCCCGACTCTGCATCGTTCTCGCACCCAAGGATGCTACATTGACGTTCGTAATTGATGTGGGTGTCACAGAAGCGGGCTCGCTGGGAGAGGAGTCGTCCCTTGCAGTCGTGAACCCCACAACATGGCCGACCAACTGTGACACCATCTGTGACAACTGCTCGCATCGTATCTATCCCAAAATCAGCCTCACGAACAGCTAATCAACATAACTTGGGCTTACAGAGGACACCACCATCCACCTTTTGAGCACAGCAGCGATCACAGATGTGATTCCATTGCTCTTGACCAGGGCCAACCATTGCCGTATTCCGCTGCAACAAAGCACTGCTGAGTCGTATCGATTGGTTGGTATCGTTTTGAAGGACAAGAAGAGTTTCGTGCTCATCATGGTCGCGTAGGAGTGCAAAAAGGAAGAATGCATCGGATACCATCGGTCCGTCGAGTCTCGGCACAATGGGCCATACGAGAGGGAATTCAGCTTCAGCTTCCCAGTGTTGTTCCTGGTAAATCTTCGCATTGTTCTGTCCCGAGACCCTTGATCGAGATGTCAGTCCTATGTCTACTAGCGGACAAAGCTGGAAGGAACAATACCAAGCAAAGACCATAGAAGCCGAAAACTGCTCGCAAAGTGTAGCCTCGATATATGTGTGTTTTGCGACCTCGATTGATGGTGGGACTCCAGGGTAGTAAGATCGAAGGCCACGGCGCTCGTGGACATAGTAGTCCGGGTAGTACCGAGTAAAACAAGCTGTTGAATATAATGAGCTACAATCGAACAAAAAATGGGAATCAAAACATACACCGGCATTGGGCAGAGTATGCGACAACTGGGATAGGTCCAAACTCTCGAGTGAAATTGACACAGCGCAATGGAACAAGCCGAGTCAGTTTGCGCGATTCGTCAGGACTTGTTCCTTCACTGGGTTGATGGCTCGGAACAATTTTGCAGTTCGAGTCAAGACAGACCCGGGTGCGTGGGTATAGATCATGGAAGCCTGGTAACATTAATCGTACATGCCAGCCAAGACTGTAATTCGAATGTAGCGTACCTATTCCTTGAGGGATCCCATGCTTCGCGAAGACATCGAGAAGCTCCTTAGAGCGACACTGCTCAGCAAAAGTACTGCTAGTACTCGCCCAAACAGATTTACGAAGCGCGCTCCAGCACCGGTCGATGAGTGCACCATCTGGTAACTCGCATGACATATGCAGAGCGCTAGCCAGGAATTTCTTGACATCGGAGGGCAAATTCAATGGGGGCTCGCTATCCGTGCATGGCGAGAACCATGACAGCCGCTCTTTGAGGCACTGTAGTAGACGAAACAGAAGGAGAAGTGAGTCAATGGAAAGGTGCTGTACGATCTCTGGGCATTGCTGAAGACAAGCCAACAGACTGAGAACTGGCATTCCAGCCACCGATTCCCGACAAACAAGTGTTGTGGTAAGAGATAGACAGCAGTGGGCAGAGTCGCACCGAGCGATGGTGCAACAAGGAAAGGACAGCAAGCCACAGCGAGCGAGCAGGCTACCACTCAGTGATATCCTCGCTTAACAATAGCTCGTGTTTGCCCGATCACGACTGGGCACCAGGCTCCAAGTGCCCTGGCATAGCTCATAAGAGATGTGATTGTCACATTTACGAGCAGTGATTCATCGTAACACAAGCTCTACTAGGTTTATTGACCACTTACATTATACTAGATACATTGTGCAACAGGCGAGGGTACAGACAAGCGAGGTGAGGGTGACACGACAGTAAGGCACAGCATGGTAGATAGGCAATGAGACAGTGAGCAGGCAATGAGACGATAGGCAGGCGAGATGGTACTTGCAAGGCTACGAGCGATGGAAGGAGTGAGTGAGACAGAGGGTGAGCGAGGGCAATCAACATGGCAAACATTCAAGGCGATGAGAGATGGGTTGCAATATGGTGAGGAAGGGTGAGGACAGGGCGAAGGACAGGCCAAGGACAGCGAGGTGAAGGGTGCACAAAAGGCGGCCAAGACGACAGCGAGCATGGCGATGTAGCACAAGCAGCAGGTGGCACACAGCGAGGTGAAGGGCGGGCGAGGCAGCGAGCGCGGCGCGCGTGCAGTATCCTTCTCGCCCAGCTTCGACAGTATTGTGTCGGCGCCTGTGTACTCGCCTGGCTTCGAGGACACACTCGTGGAATCGCCCGTGTCGCCGGGTACGTCTGCACGCAACCCCTGCGTGATTTCCGCAGGAGCCCCGTCGCTACATTTGGCAACGACGACGACTCGCGCTCGCACTCTGGCGAGTCCGCACAGTTGCGTGCGACCGACACTGCTCCCCATCGGCGAGCTCCCCCACCCTGTGTTCGTCCCGCGCTGGCCCAGGGCGAGACGGCCGCAGGTAAGACAGCGGGGAAAGGTGACAAACGAGGCGGCGGGGAAGGGCGACGAGACGGCGGGGAAGGGTGGCGAGGCAGCGGGGAAGGGTGGCGAGACGGCGGAGAAGGGTGGCGAGATGGCGGAGAAGGGTGAGCCAGTGGCGTGAGTGGTTTGGGGACAAGGATCGGGGTGCGCCCGTGCAGAGCACTGCGCAGGCGCTAACGGCGGACGTACAGTGCGGAGTGAGGGGCGAGCGTGCGCGCGGGCGACGCGAGGACGGGGCGTGACGGGGGGCGGCGGGTGCATGCGGGCGATGCGACGCAGCCGCGAGATGCGGGAGGCGGCAGCGGCGGCGGCGGGTGCGGTGAGTGCGGAGGGCGGCGGCGGCGGCAGTACGTACTTGTGCGGGACGGATCGGCGGACGCGCGCGATGGACGGAGCGGCAATGCGCGTGGCGTGACTGGGCGGCGGGTGCGCGCTGGTGTGAGTGGCGGCGGGTGCGTGGTGTCGGTAGTGGTGGCTTCAGTGGTGAGGGCATCGCGGGTGCGGGAAGGACGGCGTCGACAGCGCCGGGCAGTGAGGTGGCAGCGACACGTGACGAACGCGGTCGACGTGGCGAGCGCGGTCGACGTGACGCGCGCGTGGGGTACGACCGGTGGACGCGACGCGGGTGGGCGGCAGCGGGGGGGCGACGCGGGTAGGTGTCTGAAGGGCGGAGAGATGGTGGGCGGGCAAGGGGCGGGGGCAAGATAGCAACAAGCGAGGTGACGCAGAAGGGAGGCGATAGGGTGGCGCGAACTAGGGGCGGGCGACGCGACGTAGAAGGGTGGCAAGATGACGTAGAAGGGTGGCGAGACTACGAAGATGGAAGGGGCGGCGGAAGAGTAATGGGCACTCACCAATAGCATGCGATACGCGTGGCGCCGAAGCGTGGAGGGAACGATCGGTACTGGCGGCCCCAGCACATGAGGCCGCGGCCACTGAGGCCGATGCCGCAGCCTAGGCGCAGAGGCGCGGGCTGGGCGCGGCCCTGCAGCGCGGGGCGGGGGTGCCGACGAGCATCGGGCAAGGTGGCAAGGGCCTATATACGGCGGTGAGTACCCTGGGCTGTCTAAGGCACTAAGGCAGTCGCTAAAGGACTTACCGACTTGCACGCCGGCCTCGAATCGCTACACGCTACAGCTCGACCGAGACCAGAATCGCTTCGCGCTACGATTGAGTCGGATTGCGATCGCTACGCTACGAGCAGAATCGCTGCGAGCGGCGCTCGACTCCGCCCGGAACTGGCCGGACGCTATACGCTGCGGGCGCTACGCGCCCGCAGCGTGTAGGGTCTGAGATTCGTACTTTCCGGGCCAGGTGATAGATACTGAGTAGTGCCACTACCGTCCGCTCTCACGCAAAAACGCAGTGGGCGTTAGACATGGTAGTTGCCGAGCAGGCGCACGAATTGCAGGGCAGAGGTGCACCTGTGGATGCATGGGCATTGAGCCATCAGCTGCGGTGGTGTAGTCTCACGCGGGGGCGACCCTAAACTAATTCACCGCATGGGGTATGATTGGTACTGCTCCACTGAGGGGACCACCAGTACGGGGACGGTGTCACAGGCCCGGATCTGAACTGAAGACCTCGAGGACGGAGGCCGCTGTGATCGCCATAGTGCTTTTGTGCCCAAATAACCAATGAGGGTCATGAGAAGCGCGGCCACTGGCCAGCTCGCGGGTGGCTACAGGCGAGCATTCCGCAGGGCCTCGTCGACGGCACGCAAGAACCTGTCACGCAGTGTTCGCAGGACAATGGCCTTGCACTCGAGTAGCACGTGCACTTCGTCTTCGACGTTGTTGCATGCCCTGCAGAAACTGCAGATCTGCCGTTGTCGCAGCACTGGCGGGGAACGACACCAGAGCGGCTGACTCGGGTGAACTCGTGTGTGTGCGCATGTCTTGACAAGATAGGGCGAGAGGGCTCCGTCCAGTGGGAGGGTCACAGGTGCTGGTAGCTGTTGCAGGGCGTACTGTAGGTCTCCTAACTATGAGGCTGTGCCAGCCATAGCCATTAGGTGAGGCTCGGCTAGGGCGGCCAGAGGCAGCAGGCGGCGCTGAGTCACCACGTAGAGGAGATAACGCAGCGCCAGCAAGAGCCGCCAAATGGGCCAGAGGCCCGTTTCTGTGTACAAGACGACACATGGCAATCGTGGGTTACATAACGCCAAGGACACGGCGCAGGTATGTGTGTTGGAGCGAGGCCAGCGCGGCGTGGGCCGCCAGTCAACGTCAATGCCAGATGGTGATCTCATACCAAGATATGACTTGGTGGCAGTCTACATGAGTTTGGTACAGGGTGATAGGCTCACCCAGCTGGGGGGGAGGACACATAGGACTCAACCATCAGGCAGGCGTTGGGCATCTTACGCGCAACTGATATCCTGTGCTCGAGATGCGCCTCAGAGGTATAACGTGCGGTCAACGAGAAGATGACCCCGGCGTGCCGCGTATGTGTAGCGGTCGCCACGTAGCACTACCGCGCAACGTATTTGTACTATCCCGCCGTCTGCATTCGAGCCAATGGTTGCAGCGTCAAGGAGGATGGGATGTATATAGGTTCACGTAGTGGTACATAGTCTCGGCAAGGCAGCCTCACCTAGCAGCACTCGGGGCACAGTCCTCCGCCACAGGGCTGGAGTGATGGCTTACCGCGAGATGCGCGGCGGCAATAACCAACGCTAGGAGCACCAGTTGCAGGGGAGGCGCCACCGAGATGGACTACAGCGCATGCGCCAATCCCAAGGTTTGTGCATCGTCGTATACATCCACTGTGTCAGGAACGTTCTTATATGCGTATGTAGCTCCTGCCTAAGCCCCGCCCAAACTACCAACGAAAGCCCTGGGGAAGTCCCGCGTACATACCCTCCACGACGATCCGCTATCACATCTGCAACGTCCTGCGGGACGTTATGCCGGTGTATGACGCGCACAAGTAGAGCGATGCTCATCGGCGCGCGCTGAGGGAACTCGCCTTCACCTCCGCCTCCGGCACCGACACCGGCCGCACCAGCTATATCCTCTGTCCCATCTACGAGCGCGACCTGCCCGCGGCGCACTAGGAAACGCACGTTGCGCGCGACGCGTACCATCGCCGGCGCGAGCAGTATGCGGACGTCACCGCACAGGTGCGGTCTGCGGAGATGAACCGCGGTGGAGTGTCCGTGACGGGGCGAGGCGGGTGGTATTGTCTGTGGGACGCTCGAGGCGGATGCAGTTCAAGGGACCGCGGTTGAGCATAGGGCGGAAGTGACGGTGTCAAACGATGAACAAGGGGGCTTGTTCGCTCTACAGTCAATCAAGTTCAGCTCGTCGTACAGAGCAGGGCCTGGAGGCTCCAGGTATATGGTCATCACTGGAAGTGTACCTCCCAAGCCTGGCATAACTCCTCCCAGCTTCTCAGCGCTCCTTCGCCGCGCCCAGCGCTTCGTGAACTACGTCGCCGTCACCTGCCACGCCGCCCATACGGGGCGCTTCGACGACGCGCTCGAGCTCGAGTTTCACGACCTGCGCAAGCGCAAGCGTCTCCCTCTCCTGCGGCGCGCCGCGTGCTCGCGGTCGTCGCGCCCGCCGCGACTACGCCTTCGCATCCACCGCGCGCGGCCCGTTCCACCTTCCGCTCTTCGCTCCGCACGAGCTCACCACGCACGCGGTCCCCACCCGCCGCCCACCGACGTGGAGCAATGATCCTCCTTCGCTGCTTCGCGGTCTCATCGAACGACAGTGAACCCCTCATGTATTATGGATCCGTCTCGCCATTTATTCAGATCCATTCGGCACCGCACGCGAACCGCACAATAGCGCGCTCGAGATCCAGTGTGATAGCGAGGTACTATCCTCTTTCGCAGGCACCGAAGACGCCGCGGGACCGGACACGATCGTCTTGCAGCTGCTTTGGTTTCGGAGACGGATGCGTGAGGCTCAACGATAGACATTCTCCCGGTCGATGTTGCCTGCGAGCTGTGCGTCTTGCTCACTGTCACGTCGACCCGGACGCGGTGCACCATGTCCAACCTCGAGTTCATCCTGGGGACGAGGATTGGGTGCGGCCTCGTAGGAGCCGCTCTGTCAGAGCTGTGAGTGGCTGTGTCTATTGGGGTGTCTTCGCGCCTGGCTGACCGTTGCTCTATTACGGCAGAGGAACGCACCATGCAGGCCGTGTGCGGACTGGTTCTCATAACCTCGACTTACATGCCGTCTTTGTGTGCGGGTACTGAGGGCGCTCCGCCGACTCAGATGAGTCTGTTGCCACGCTATTCTGCGTTAACGTTATCGGTAATACAAATGGAAGAAGTGATAGTAAAACATAGCGGTACGTCGCCGATATACGGTGCTGTGCCCTTGGCCACGACTCCTGGGCGCACCATGACCCGTGCGGAAGGCGTTGTACTTGGGTACTGGCATGATTCGTCGTATCCAGATCCCAGGACACCGATCGATACGGAGTGACACTGACCCGCGGATTGTACAGTTTCATGTGAATGACAGACGTATGTCGCACTAGGAACCTCAGTCCGATTACAGCTTCCAACACAATGGATCATAAGTAGCAAGGTAGATTAACAGCATACGGTCAACGATAGCGTAAAGCGCAAGCAATGAGTCTTAGTGACGTTGTCCTAGGAGGTCACGGAAAGGGCGTTGGTATGGGAGGCCGCCGTTTGGCGAGAAACTTCGCTGTGCGGAAGAAGTGCACCGTACTGAGCACCGCACGCTCGAAGACGGTCTCATCTTTGTACACTAGTCTCGTTCGGAGCTTCCACCACGAAAGCTCGCGGGATATCGCGTCGAACCGCGTCTCGACCTCCGCGATAGTCGGGCGCTTCTGCGGATCGCTCTGCACCATGTCGGCTACAAGCTGCTCTATGAACTCAAAGCCACGGTATTCCTGAAGATATTCCGGGTTAGTATATGCCATGCAGCGCAGCGTGGGAGTTCGAATACTCGCTTTCGAGAAGGTTGTCCGTATGAGATTCCCTAGGTAGTAGATGTCGGTGCGGAAAGGGTCGGCGGGCACGTCGTATCCATCTTCTTGGAACTCTGGGACGGTTCTGTCGCCACCAAATACCGGCAATTCCAGCGGCGGACCGTCCGCCGGATCGCACTTGCGGGACAACCCAAAGTCGATGTAAAAGTATCTTGGTGGGCGCTCAGTGCGACTGCAGTGCCTTGCCCATCCGGAGAAGTCACGCGTAAAACTGGGCACTTGAGGATGCCATAGCTTCTTCGTATACATTGGTATGACATCCATCATGACGTTCAGTTTAAAGATATCACTGGTTCAAGCAAGTCAGGATTGCGACGGTGTACAGTAGTAGATGCTGCCGCACCGATGCGCAACGTGATGTTCATGCATAAAGTGCAGTCCCTTAAGTACCTGTCAGCAATGCACGGGTATTGATACGAGGCTTGTGCATGTACCTCAATTGCCTGCTTGAAGAAGGCGACAGCCTCTCCAATCGTCACGATTCGTCAGGAAGTCCGGCGCATCGAATTTTTTGAGAAAGGGCATGACAATCATTGACTTGTTGAGTTCGGATGGATCCTGCAGCACCTCGAGGATGCGGACACAATGGTTCCGCGGATCTTTGGTTGACTGCTCAGACGACAGGAACTGTCCGATTTCAACCTCGAACGGATGGACGGCGGTGTCAATCGCCTTCAGCGTCACCAGCATACCATCCGACTGCTGGGTGGCGTCTAGGATAGTATCCACCTGGTAAATGAGTAAAGCGCGATGCCGAAGACTCTGAAGATCGAACGTACCAACGTCCTTTGACTATCTTCGCATCATTCGTAATCCTTGTCCGTACTCAGCCAGGAGGGCTTCCAGTCTGATGCGTAACGCGGGCGCAAGACGTATCCATGCTCCCGAATCCATGGCTGTCGATCGCGCCAGAAGTACTCGTGCTTTGCGAGTCCGCCGGCTGTTGGCCCGGGGGCAACTGGTGCGCCAGTCTCGGGGTTGGATGGCTGCGAAGTCATAGAACACTAATGACTGCCAGGGTCAGGTGGAATAGCCACAGATTGAAGAGTCTCACAACATGACGCAGGGGGTGCGGACCAGGTGGACCTTCTACGACGGTCTATTGTTTGTTCAAGTCGCTATTAAGTCACCGCGACCGCGATGTGAGCGTCGGTACTGTGAGCGCCTATTCGCTCAGGGCGAGCAACACACGGTCACGTGTGCGTGTCGCCAACGTTCTCCCGTGCGTCGAGCGACGTGCGCCGTCAACGCACTACGCCCGCCCTCCCGACCGCACCCCATCGCATACGTCAGCTACTGTCATGCTGCGCCGCTCCATGACCCGCCTGCGCGACGACCATGGCAGTGAACCTCCGGCGTCGCGTCAGACGCATCGAGAGACCGCATCCCCTTCCGAGTCTGCAGTCTACCTCAACGGCACCACTGGCACAACAGGCCCCGACGAAACTCTGGGAATATAGAATGAGAGAAATATCGCGTGGTATGGCGTACAGGCGGAGGGACTGCTTCCTCGCAATGTTGCGCAAAGACTTGGGATCGTGCAGGTACGCGGTCGTGCAGCGTTCATTACATTGACACAAAGCATACATCCAGTGTCCCAAGACTGCTGTACAGGAACCCGCTCGACTTGTCTCTGTCGTGGGCTCCTCATCTCCACCTCGCGATCGAGCTTGCTCAATCCCGCTGGTCACTTGGCCGCACATGAAACACGGCCGCCCGGCGTTCACGTGTGTGTGCTGCTGTCAGTCCTCGGGGATCCAGAAATCGCACGGCTGTTCTATGTAATATATCGAGACACGTCCGTCACGCTTGCCATTCACGCTCGCCGCTTTGGGCAGTGCCGCCGGTGGCCTCTGCCATCTGCTTCCGCGGCCATTACCTGCGAGTGCATTTGGGATAGCCCTCCTCTTCCCACCACGGGTCGTGCTATCCCCGCTCTCGCTGCTCGCCGTTGCTGGGCCCCTTCGATCGACTGCGAGCAAGGTTGCGGACGGACCCGCCGCGCTCTCTGATTCGTCCAAGGGCGACAGCGTGCGCGGCCTCTGTGTCCCTCGCTCCACGTGTCCGGGGCGTGTGTGCGTCCGCCGCTCTTGCGACGCGGTGGAGCCGCAGCAGACGGCGGCGCGCGGATCCTCGCAAGACGACCAGCACCGCGCGCCCGCTGCCAGCGTCCAGACGTCGCGTCCAGACGTCGCGTCCAGACGTCGACGACCCGTCGCTCTTCCATCGACCCGTCCGCGCTGCCTCACGCGCCAGTGCATATGTACTCTCGCTCACCAACACTCGCCCCCTGCCCCCTCTCTCTCTCATCTCGCGCAGGCAGCGTCGCACACGGACGTGCGTAGAGACATCGCGTACCAGCGACCAACGGCAGAAAGGAACGAAGGACTTGTTGTCCTTGCGTGTCATTGCCCGCGGTGAGCGTTTTGCAAATCACAACGGGTGGCTGAACCGGAGACGCGTCTTCGACCTGCACTCGACCCTCATGCTCAACGACCCGGCCACTCGCGCCCACTGCCCCTCCGGTACATCTCATAACGCCACGAACATCGACGGCGACGCTGGACGGAGCACAGCGGACACCGTGCAGACACGCCGAGACGCCGTCCGAAACGACACGCCGACTGTTCAGCACCTGCCACACGACTTCACCTCGTCGCGCAAGTCGCGTCTGGTGCCCATCGCTTGTAAGCTGCTTTTCCGCACTCTGTTATCTGGGGCGGCCGCTCGCTGGCACAGTCCGTCGCGAGTTAGCGCCGCGCGCGTAGCCCCACTCGACGACCGGCACTCCTCGCTAGCAGCTCACGCGCCGCGCGCCTTCACCGGACGCGTACTTCCATTCACGCAGCCTGGCGGTGGCTACTCACTGCTTCGTGCGCGTGGCTATCCCTCTCCCACACACTCCGCTGGTTCACCTATGTTGGTTTCCCTTCCACCTTTCCGCGGCCGTTGCTTCGCGGCAGGTGCGGCTCAAAGCGCGGTACGACCACATGTCGACGAACATCCCGACCGCCTACACTGTACGGCACCGTCCGCTACGGCATCCCGCGGATGCGTTGCACGCGATGACCCGCCGGGCGCGCGCTCACACTTCGGCTGGTTAACAACCCTGCGTCCCATTCGTCGCGGACTCCCATGCGACGGGGCATCAGCCTCCGCTGGTTCCACCGCGACCGAGACCGTTCTCGTGCTCGCGGTGATGCGAGGTTCAGGTCGATAGGCAATGTACGCTACGGAATGTCGTGAGCGCGCAATTGAACCAGGCACTGGGGGTCGTGTTTAGCGGACGCCGTCAACGAACGAGGTGCCGGTGAGCTTTCTGAACACTTACCAAAGTGGGAGGGAAACCATGTGCTCCGCTAGGTTGCCTTTGAGCTAGCTCAGCAGCCTCTCGAGTACCGCGCGACGAGCCGCCTCTACAACGACATGAAACACGGCTCATTCGGAATGAGCAGGACTGCGTACCGTGGACCTACAGCCGTGCGAGGCGTGAGTGCGCTCGCGACCACTCAGCGTCACCGTACATTTCTCAGTACCAGCGGAACTCTCCTGACCCACCCCAGCACCGCCGGTTCGGTGAGTGTTTGCGCAACATTGCCCGACGAGTGACTCACTCATCGGCCACAGCTCATGCCCTCCACCGGCTCCCCGTCGACCCACCAGTGGGTCCGCCGCTTGAGAGCGGTCCGACAGGAATCTGGACCGGCGGTGTCAGCCCTGTACACCGTCATCCGCGAGCGTGCACCTACCGCTACCGGCTACGCGCGACATCGCTGCTGACCGGACAGTAGCTGCGGCGGTGACGTTACCCGCAGCGAGACAGCGGTCAGTCAATCCCTCCAGCAGAGCGAAGCAGAACTTCGCTCGCAGGTTGACGAAAGTGGCGTGGCGGCGAGTCCAACGTTCGTGCCGCGGATCGCGGTCACCATGCCACGTCGACGGGGAGAGCAAGCGCGCTGAATAGAGGGAGAGGGAAGAGGGTAGCGAGTGGACAGAGGTGCGTGGGCGAGCGCTGCTTAAGTGAGTGGCCAACAATACGGATGTTACAGTGTCGGAAGACGAACTGTCTTCCCGTATCGTTGTCAAGGGTCGGCTGCGGACGCGGCCTGCAACTGTGGCGGCTAGTCCATCGGACGATCGTTCGGCACTCCAAACGACTTCGCCGATCTCAAGCGCAATTCAGTGCCTTGGGAACGAGCGAAGTAGTATTCAGTCCCGGCACCGCGGACGCACGCGCACCCGATGAGTCGAACATCTGCGAGCGCGCACGGAGATTCGGGTCCATTTCGTGCGCTGCCGTAGGTGAGTAAGTACCATTACAGTGTCGGAAAACGCGCCGCGCGGATCGGTGGTCGTCACGTCCGGCGCTGGCTGGTCCCGATTACGTTCACGGTGTGCGTATGCTGCCCTCGATGACGGTACGCTGCCGGCGACATGGTGTGCTCGCTGCGTAGGACCGGGGTGTCTGTGCGGACCTGTCTCCCCGCAGCCGTCGTGCTTCAACGCGTCGACTTGCGCAACTGGATCCTACGGCATGACCGTTATCCTTGTATTTTCGGAGACTAGCAGTTCATCATTGTATGAACGGTGTGTGGCCTGAACGGAGTGTGCGCGCTGTCCGCACTGTGTGCCGAACGCAGTGTTCGTCGACTCAGGGTGATTGACCAATCAGTAGGTGTGGACGGCGATACGGCTCCTTGTGTGGGTCGAGTTTCGAATGTACTATGAAACCGCAACAGAACGCCTGTGCATTTCGTGAGTGAGCTGGAAGCAATTGAGTGTCAAGACGGATAGTTTACCTACTTGAGTGCTGGGTGTTGCACCTGGGCTGCCAGGCTGCAGAGATTGGCCTTGTAAAACCTCACAGACAGGGGGAGGTGCAGGCATCGCCGATAATACATACATGTATCTTCCCTTACAAGTCGCGGTTCCGGACGGCGTCCTGGTCGGTTGTGGTGCGTGTTTTGTGCGACGACTGTCACTCTACATTGTCTCACACGCAACCAATACTCACGACGTGGCATGAATAGATACTTTATGACTTATTCGTCCTGGTCGTTGTCGTCGTGAACGCGTTCAGTAAACCACGGCGGAGTGACATGGACATCATTAGAGACCTGTACACCGATGGGTTCCTGATATTCCTGGTGCGCCTTTCTGATCACCGCATCCTCACTTCAGTTCTGACCGCGTTCTACAGGCCTTCCTCGGTGAGACCTCTGTCCTGCTGCATGAGAGACCCGCTCATGGTATCCTCAGTATTCCGTGTCTCGAGGCTGTTGCCGAGTACCATCGGCGGGGTACGTGGCTTCTCTTGTCAGGACACCGTAGCGTATCCGCTCAAACGACCCCCAGGGAGACGACGTACTGTTGACACCTCTGTGCGTTCTCTCTTCTGGGGTGTGCCAGCGCGCTCGACTGAACGTCATTATAGCATCTCGTGGTCACTGGAAGGTGTGCTGAACACGCGGCTCTACTACAAAGTCAAGGACCTCGAGGTGCATCGCAAGCACTGGACGCCGTTTGCGCTAGGCGGCGACACTCATACACGGCAACGATCCGGGGTTCTCGAAGTTGTAGTGAGAGGGCATGCGATCCTACCGGGAAACCGTCCAAAGCATCAAATTTGTTCGAACACGGTATTCGGGAACATTGTATTTGCGATATTCGACAGGCGCACCGTCTCCTAGGAGACTACGTATTCGTCACGAGAAATCCTGTTCACTACAACTCGTACATAACCCACCAGACAAACCGTTTGTAATGAGGATCGAAATCGTAGGGTGGTCGATCAAGCGAGAACGCACATAGCCAGGAAGTCAGTCCTTTGAATCACAACATAATATAACCCATCTTCAAGTACTTGCAAGCACAGAGTATGACATCTGCGAGTCAGAGGTTTGAGAGCTCAACGTCTGCCTCCGACATTCCCTCCGGGTCGACCGCGCTGTTCCGTCCAAACTGTATGGACGCTGTGCCATGAGTAGGCAGGTCACCGTTCGTGGTCGTAGACCGGGTACCATATGCCGTGGCTTGTAGGAACCGATTTGAAGGATCGACGGCATCATGCATGTTGAGCTGCATTGCATGTCATCGGAGCGTATCAAACGCACATGGAGGGAAGTACGCACCAGTAGCCTTGATGCCAGGACGGAGAATGCCATTATTGCTACCCTTTGATTCCATGAGTTGTGAGAGCCTTGTCGTACACCCGTCGGAGCTGACTTACGGGAAGAATGCCGCGAATAATCCATTCTACAACGAGATCCAGTCAGAATAGTGGTTCACAAGGTTCGATGTAAGACGCTTACCCCGGCTACTTTCCACCCAACCACGTTTGTGACAATGGCAAGCACGACACCTCCGAAGTAGATCACCGAGTCCCGCAGCAGAACATAGATTATGGCCGGCCGTCTGTCTTCGAAGATCAACTGCATTGATCTGAAGAGCGAGAGGACTAACAGCAGGGTTTCGAACGTCAACATCGGCAACCAAAACGTCCACGCCCACGGCTTGATACCACTCGGTATACAGCCTGTGATTTCTTGCAGAGGGCCTGGCAGCGGTTCGACTGTGGTCGTAGCTTGTCAAATGCACGCATTCCGGCACAAGTCACTCAGTGCACTCACATACAGAGTCGTGTGCAATGATACCAATAATCGTGCTCTCGCTTGAGATGACACCTACGTAGAAGATGCAAAGGAAAACAAGAATTTTCCTATTACACCCATAGAGAGCGTAAAGGCGCATGATGTAGACAGCTATGTCACATTGAACGATCATAAGACTTGATAGTATGGCTGATACTCACTGCAAATCGAAATTTCATACGGTATGGAACCGTACGACAAGAAGTTCATCCAATTGCTGCAGCTTTCGTAGAATTAGCCATAATGACATGAGTGTAGATTGCATGATGCGAGTCACGACCTACAACTGCGCGAAGTTATGCATCGGCTTTTACACGAATGACGATCGATGAACGTACCTTTGCGTCTGAGTTATGAACGGTAGCAAGCACTATGGAAGGTGTCAGTCCGACTCTTGGAAATTTATGTAGTACAGACCAATATTGTCGAATCTACGAACCGGTGAGCAATGGCGACGACATAGCCGAAATAGACTTAATACGTACATGAGGTTGAACATGCTAATCAAACAGGGTGTGAATATTTACATCAGAACTCATGTCCCCTTGTGAACCACACTCACGGCCAATATCGGTTCTGATGAATTATGAAGACTTAGCCGGCGGTTCCAGTTTTCGAAAGAGTATATGCGCGGCTTACCCAGTAGAAGAGAAGATTCGTCCATAGAAATCTGCCTTGCCAGATATATCTGACCTATCAAAATATGGTCGATGAATCAGTGTCGAGAACCCGAGTGGCAGACGTACTTCATCGGCAAATGTCAGCACTATATGGAAGTGTAACGATTACGTGAGCGGGCAGTGACAACAGTATTGAGATCAGGCATACACCAGTCGTACAGCAAGAGCGCGAGAGAAAGTGCTAGAGATTAATGCTCTTTAGCTCCCATGAGCAGTCCGGAAAGTGTTGAATACTCACCCCACATCATACGCGTGATATGATAGTCTTCCATGGCGCTCTTCAACAAGGCCTCCTCCGCGTTCAGAAACGCAGTCAGTGGAGAAGTTGCGTTCGGTGAGCTGGAAGGTTCCATTGGGCTGAGCGTTCAACTAGCAAGCGGCTCGATGCATTATCTGTAGGTCGTGACGTTGCTTTTATGTATCGTGCCAGAGAGTATTATGATCATCAAGAAGGCATATACAACCACAGACGTACACGTCCTTCGGCGATAGAATGCACCTGGCAGGTGCACTGGCTTACTGATGAGAATCAGTAGATTTGTGCACATGCACGCCGAGTTAGGGCTGCCGAGACAGCAGATATGCCAGCGGGTAGCCATGAGTTCAAGACGACATGGAGCTGGTCCCTGGAGGGTTGATGACAGGTGAGCGTTTGTCTAAACTTTACAAACAGGTGAAGAGACCTACTTCACTGAGAGTTACGTCTACGGGCGGTCAGTCTTGCGGCGCCGATAGAGGTTGGCAGGTGGACACGCGCAACAAATCTCTGTAGTTCCGCATGAAGGCGCTGTGCAAACGCTGTCTAAACGGGCAGTGGCAGATCCCTCGTATGAAGTGAGCACCGCCCTTCGAACAGTGGTATGAATCACCCGTGTGCTGGTCCCTGGACGAAACCCCAGTACGACTAAAACAGGTGACACTCGTACCAGTACTGTTGAATACGATGCCAGTGGCAGTCCTCCTCCTCCTCCAGCGGTGGTCGAACAGATGACAGGTCAGACAGGCGCCACTATGAGCCGCCTGCGATCGTTAGACGCCCAATCCGCATCATGCCCGTATGTATGCCCTCGAAGTCAAGAATGACAGGAACGTGTTGCTGACGCGCTTTACCCTATGAGGTTCACAACCTGTCCTTCCGAGGTGGCTTCATCTTCGGTTGCATACGAATACTTCGGGCATAAATGACACACACAGGGAGAATCAATCATTCCATGCCGCTGAACGTCTACAGGAACAAGCTTTGTCCGAGATCAACAATGAACACGATAACATGGCCGACGACGTCCACGTCAAGCAACATGAATCTTGTTCTAAGCGCAGAATGAGTTCCGAATGGCATGGACAATGTCAAATTGTCTACTGACCGGTTCACTTCATCTTCGGTCGCCGCGCTTCGAATAGGGCTACCACTCCCACCAACTTCACTTCCACTTCTTCGAAACAGCCCTCCAGAGCGCGCTTGAGTTCATCGAGGGTGTCGTCCGCATTACCAAATATGCCTTTCTTGTTGTACAGGCCCATCAAACGCCTGCCGAACCAATTGTGCGACACCCCTGGGCCTCGTCCCAGTATGGTCGCGCCATACAGCACGCCGTCGGGTCGCAGAGCGTCCGCCAGATTAGCGAGTACCTTCGGTCCCTTGTCCTCCATTCTGCCCGGGAGACAATGGAGAAGATAGAATAGGGAGACAGAGTCGAATCGTCCGCGAAGGCTCTCGGGGAGGGGTTGAAACACGTTATGTTGGACCTCGTCAATGGTCCCCTTGTACCCCGCGTGGCGTAGTCGCGATGTCGCAGTGCTCAGCGTAGCCTCGTTAAGATCGACTAGGGTGACGTTCCCCGTCTTTGAGAAAGGGTGCACTGATTTCGCCGGGTAATACCCGGTGCCGACACCCACGTCTAGATGGGCACTCTCGCCCAAGTTCTTATGGAAGAACGGAAGGAGAGTGGAGGTCGTAGAGCATCGCCATGCCCAGGCATTGGAGACGACGAGGACGACGATATTGTATAGATGCAGATTGAAGCGTGAATAGATGCGAGCCGAGGGATCCATGCTAACGCGGTGCGTGAGTCCGATGAGGCTGGGGTACAAGATCAGGGGCAGAGTGCTCGGTGAAAATTACCGCGATAGTACCTCTTATGCGACTTCTCAAGGATCGAGCAGAAGATCAGAACATGGGTTCGGATAAGGCCGTATTCGGCTGACCATGTACCATCTATCAGTAATTGACTAGGTTCGGCGGTCGTGGGCATGTGCCAATCAAGGAAGAATAACTCACATAACCGTATCATTCTTCGAATGATATCGAAGGGAAACCCGTTGAACCGATAGTGCTGGAGCTCCAGGTCGGCTCTTGACGCTTCAAGGGCCGCTCTTGCTTTCCTCTGGCCGCAGGGCGCGGGCCCGACAAGGGCGACAGAAGTCGGAATCGGTACCTGGCCGCTGGATGCTGGACGCGCAGGCAAAGATGGTTGCGCGAGACACATGCGATGGCAACACGCCTGCTCGGTTGGTATGTCATGTCATTGTCCATTGTCAACAGCTACCTATTAACTCTTCACTTAGCCGCTACCCACCTGCTCGCCTCGCGCAAGCCCGTCGACCTCCGCATACACACGCCCGCATCGCCCGTTTATCCGTGCCGTCAATGCTACCGTGACACAGCCACCATCCAGCGTGCATTTGACCAGGAAGAGCACTTCCAGGATTCCGGTAGGATGACGTGAATGCCCTGCACGCGACCGTCAGTCACGCACCAAGCCGTACTGATCAACCTCACCTTGTCAAACCTCGTCACTCGTTCTCGCCTCAAGCATGTCTATGAATTGCCATGTTCACGCGGTCGTCTTCAAAGGCGGTCGTCCGTGTCCGGGGTGTGGCTAAGCCACGTCGCGCGAGTGTCCGCAAGTCCCCAGAAGCACCCGTACACCTCCCGGCCAAATCGGTACACGCTCAGCGGCGCTGCGTCACGTCGTCCTCCAGGAGACTGTCAGTCCAGGCAAACGTCAAGTTGATACGAGCTAACATACCGGTCGGCCCTTGCATGCATCGCGCAGTGGTCCTAGGAGAGATTGCGGCGAACCACGGTGATTGGACAGCACACAACAATCTTTCGACTTTTTATGCTGCCGGTTTGAACCGCAGGTCCGCGACACGTACGAAGCAGTAGGAGTCGTACCTTCCTAGAGGCGGTGCTTCACCAACTGCCCTCGAGCACTGCCGTATCGCCGCTGATGGCCAGGGGGTCACGAGCATGAGCGCCGTGGGCTTGAGGGACTGACTGTCCCACTCGCGCACGAAGTCCTCTGCACGAATAACAGTCAGTTTCGACTCGCCGCTCTCCTTGACGGCTTACCCTCCGGCTACTACCGGCTGACTCGCGACGAGCCCGCCGGTTTTTTGGATCGTCATCCCCGGTGTGCCTTGTTCGCGCGTACCGCCAAGATCTAAGGTGTGTGGTTAGTGCAGGTCAAGTCCCCGAACTGACTGTTGTCTCACTCACCTGTGGCTCGGGCGTACTGTTGACAACGCGGCAGCGCGCTTCGTGAACCTTCAGACCCGCTGCACATGTTGACCTGGCTCACGCGACATGCAGACGATGTATGTCAACGCAGGCGCATGCTCAAGGCGGTCGGTACGTGACCGAGATCCCCCATCCTAAGAGACATGGTCAGCCGCCGCCTATCCTCCCCTCCGAGCCTCGCGCGGATGTCGACGTCACGCATCCGTACTCATTCATGACCAAGTCGCCGCTCCCCGTCAGACGCCTCGACTATCGCTGCCTGCGAGGGCCAGTCATCGACACGCCTGGTATTCTGGCAACCCCCTACCGAGAACGTGAACACGCTGGAGATGGCTGGGAGCATAAGCACCGTTGAGTACATGCGTGCTATGTTCTGTGGACGCGTACCTTCGGATGCGCGACTCGCAGTTGGTTGACGACTACGTCGGTCATCCTGTTCTCCTCGAGCTTCCAGTTGACTCCCGCTTTGCATGGTGTAGCACGACACCTACATGTGCGCATGACTCCCTCCGAGTCCGCGTTAGTGGCCTTTTCGGCCCTGTTCCGGCTCCCGGTCGAAATGCCTACAGTTTCCACGTGGGTCATTTGAATCTTGAATCACCACGGGCCCTCGTCTGCTTGTTCCCAAATAGCTGCCTAGTCGAGTGGAAACGCTTGCACGTACCTCAACTTACATTCTAAACAGTGCTCACCGAAGGTCGTTCACGCGGAGAAGGGCGGCGCAGGCGCGGCGTGAACAACATCAGCCGGGTGCGTCCGCCTCTGCCATTTGGTGTGTGGTACTCACGCCATCACAACGTTCTAGCTGACACGGACAGAGGTCACGTAGCGGGCCGCTAAGATAGAGCTCACTCTTTTGGGGAAGCTTAAAAGGCTGGCACAGGGTGCAAGACGAGCGAACCACTGCGTTCAAATGCCGGAAAACATGGACGGCAAGATCCTTCGACAACGACATCCTCAAGAAGCTCGACGCGCTCGAGCGGGAAGAAGGGATGCTGTAGACGAAAGGGCTCTGGACCATCATGGTGAGTAGTGAGAGAGATCGTGAGTGCCCTCGTGTGCGGACGCATCAAGCTTAGCTCTGACCTCACCACTGCCACGTACGACCACAGCCGGATCGAAGAGTGTGCGGCGGCCCTGGCGAAGGTCGCCAGGTGAAGCGGGAGAATGCGTGCGAGTAGGAGGGGGAGGGGGAGACGCAGATGTGTGTTAACGAGGGGAGCGGGCCGGAGGACAAAGCGGAGCGGATGGACGTCGGTCGGAAGGACACAGCCGACGCCAAACAAACGGGAAAAGGCAAAATTGTCAAGCGCGGTCGTGGCGAAGAGCCAGCAGGAGCAAGGCCGGATCGACGGTTGGATGGTTGCACGATGCTGCTGTATGTCTTGCGTTTTCTCGCTCGTTGTGCTCATGCTGACCGTGCATCGGCCAGCATGACAAGCGACGAACCTGCGGGATCTTGGCCGGAGGAGACTGAATATGCTCGTAAAGGAGGGCGAGCTGCATCGCGTGCAAGGTCAAGATCTTCCATGTTTCCACCAGCACTTAAGTATCTCGATCAGGGTCTATATACACATGTGTATGCGTTGTAATGTGAACACCTCCACACCAGCCCGTCCAGCCAAATTCGCCAATGTGCAGTCCGTCATAGCAGCAGGGCTGAGTCCTCAGATGCACGATCTGCAGAGTCATACCGCATGAGAGCTTCAGGACGCGAACAATACTGCAGGACGTACCATGTCCACCACTTTACGGCGAGCGCCAACACTCTGTCCATGTCGAGCCCTGTGCGAACTGGCGGAGGTCGAGACGAACGGGATGTACGCCTATGACTGCAGTCATACGACGCCACAACAAGCCAGCGCGATATTCTGGGGGGATCCAAAGAAAGAGTTCGTCTTGAGGGCCGGTGATCCATCCGTCTTCTGTCATACCGAACTCCGCACCATGCGACTTCCAGAGATCGACGAGGGAGGGTGAACCGGATCCCGTCACGATCACGGGTGCATGCGATGCCCCGACGGTCACGTCCCAGATACCGATAGTGTTGTCCTCTGAACCAGTTGCGATGTGCCGAGCGTCTGGCGAGAATGCGATTGACGACATGTACCGCGTGTGTCCTCTGAGAGGCGGCAGGACCAGAGCACCTGTCTGAGCATCCCAGACGCGAACCGTTCCGCCATACGACGCGGACGCGACGTGCTTTCCGTCGGGCGAGAACGCGAGTGACGTCACCCAGGCTGCGTGTTCAATGCATGACTGCTCGATATGGGTTTGGAGATTCCAAATGCGAACACGCCCCGAATAATCGGAGGTATACGCAAGGAGCTTGCCATCGGGCGACAACGCGACGCAATCCCCACTGGCACGCCATTCGTCTGCCTCGAGCGGCGGCGCAACACGGGTACCAGTGTCCGTCTCCCAAACCTGAATGGTGTCATCGTTGAAGCAGGCTGCAATGAGCCTGCCATCCAGCGAAAACGTGGCGGATTTTAAGCTGCGATCGGCTTGGGATGACATGTCGATGTCCACGATGTGGGCACCCTTCGCCGACTCGACAACCTCAATGGACGACTCCTCCCGCCACTTCGACCGAAGTGCGATCCGCTTGCCGTCCGGCGAGAACGCGCATGCCCGCGTACCATCCTTTGCCCAGTATCCATTGTGTGGCCGTTCACCAGAGTTGCTCGTCTCCATGTCCCACACGTTGATTGCAGGACCACGATGACCGTCGTAGTCCTTCGAGTCGGGCCAATCTGAACAAGATACAAGATTGATCTTGTTGTCATTCACCAAGAATGCGATGGCTACTGGCCAGCAGCCACAGTCGTGACCTAGTCCCAGCAGCGGCTCTCCGACTGCAGCACCTGTATGTGCATCCCAGACACGAACAGTTCCGTCGTACGATGCAGATGCAACCTGTCTGCCGTCCGGCGAGAACGCGACCGACGTCACGAGGGCAGTGTGCCTGGGCCGCTCGCCAATCGAATCCGTGTGCCCCGTAGTAGTCTGGGCTGCATCCCAGATACAGATGTCCCCGTCATCCGAGGCGGATGCAAGGAGGTGACCATCCGGCGAGAAGACGACCGATTCGACGGAGGCTGTATGTCCCTTCAGCACCCGATGACCGGCAAGTCTGCCATCCTCGAAGGACCAGACGCGGACCGTGAAATCACCCGACCCGGACGCAATGAACTTGCCATCCGGCGAGAATGCGAGCGAAAGCACGCCCTCTGTGTGTCCCTCGATCGGCTGTCCAATTGCATCACCAGTCTCCGCGTCCCGGACACCACGGATATCACCGTACACAACGAATGCGCTGTCTGGTGAGAATGTAGCTGCCGATGAATCCGATGGTTCTGCAATCTTAGCGCCTGTCTCTGCATCCCACAACCCAATCCCCGACTCCTCCCGAAGGGAGGGAGGGCTCTGTCAAGTAGAAACGATATTGCGCCGGGGATGCCGTGTCGCCGTGGGAAATTTTTGTCCATATACGGTACGCGCGATACCGCATAGGGAAACTGTCCACATGCAAGCTGTGCGCTCGCGTCTGACCGAGGCTTTGCTTGGCTCTGTGTTCCGCTCGTGCGGCCGGATCTTCCTCCGGTTTTTTCCGAGCATATATAACATGCCTCCTGCCACTATTATCGAGACATTCACTTCAACACATCTTGTCTTCTCCCCTGAAGCAGCTGCCATTTCCATGTCACAACAACTAACTAGTATTGCCCCTACTTCCCAACTACCAGATAGGGCCTTGGGCTCAATACTAGTTTTACCAGACAGTGTCTCAGGCCCACTACCAGTTTTAACAGATGATTCTGCAGACTATATACCAGTCTCATCATCAGACAGCATACCACATACAATTGCAAGTGTCTCCAATGACACAGTCCAAGGCATCATGAATAGCAATCCTTCATGGTTCTATTATACTGATGATTATTACCTGCAGCAATTACAATCCCTTACCAGAGCTGAATTATGGGCTGCTGTTTGTACATGTGTTGATCAGACACAAGGTATCAGGCAATCCAAAGCATCTTTGGCTAAGCAACTACTGCAGCATTTCAACTCATCTAAAGTGTTATTGGCAAATATGTCAGATGTTCTCCTGTGCCAAACATGCAACTGCTCTCTGCTGCTCAGTTCACCATTCCACTGTAGATATATAATTTTGAAGCATTACTATATACAATTATATGGCTGCAAGATTCTGAAATGTCTATGCCAATCTCCTATGCTTTCCAGTATAGCACATGATGTTGCTCATTCAAGTACAGTTCCTGATATAGACCCTCATATTCTCAGCCAACTGAGGTGTTTAGACAAGGACATTTTAGATCATTGTTACACCATATTTCAGACTGACCACATGAAGAGCAAAACAAGAGCAATGCAAATACTGGTTTCCAAGATATTGGCCATTAAGCAATATATCAGTGACTTGAGTATTGCTGAAGTGTACCAACAATACTTCACAGCTGTGACATACAGTGGCAACATGTTATCTAATGTGCCAAATCCATGCAATATTGTTGAAAGTATCTTGATTGCATACTATGGTGATGCTGTGATAAATGCAATATTCCATAACACACTCCCAGAAATAAGGAAACAGCGGCAAGTTCAGTATCAAAGAGACTATAGAAGGTTGAAAAGACAAGACAAGAGCATACAACTAAAGCAATCATACCTCAGTGAAGAAATGAATTGGCCTACCATACCTAGCACTGAGACTGAGCTACAATGTGCATACAATTATTGGAAAGCAACACAATGGCATTCTCCTCTCATCTGCTCTGTGTGCTCTAGCAGTGCCCATAGATTGAAAACAAAGATCTATGATATGAATCAAATCCCCAACATAGTGCATAACATGTCTGTTTTGCAGGTACATGACCCATGGATTATTCAGAAATGCATTGTACAACAAAATTCCAATGAGTTCTTGTATGGAAATGAATTTGATGGCTTCATGTTGGATAAAAAAAGGGCTGCTATGCAGTGACCCTATCAATCACAGAATAGCACTATGTTCAGACTGCTACAATTCCCTAAAGAAACCAGCTATGCCCAGATATGCACTGGCAAATAATCTATATAGAGGTCATCTTCCTACTGAATTTTGTGACCTTACATGGGTTGAAGAGATGGCATGTGCTATTTATCATATCACTGCCCATGTAACCTGTTTGTATGGATTTTCAGAACCTGGACAGCCAAAGATTTTTCATGGAAACACCATAACACGTGATATGAATGTCATATCAACAACAACAGTGCTTCCTAGAACTCCTGCAGACATCACTGGGTATCTCCCAGTTGTATCTATTGGACCTCATAAAATCAAAGCCAGTGACCTGGGCAATACATTCAGAGTGCAAAAAGCCAAAATATGGCATTTTCTTCTTTGGTTGAAGCACCCTAACAGATTATATGAGCAGATCCTGTTGGATCAGAGTAACATAGATCAATTTCCAGATGATGGTGTTCTTCCTGGTGTTGATGCTCAATTCATCCAAGACATTCACCAAAAAAGTGATGAAATCTTCCAAGAAGAAACAGCAGGTTTTACAGAACATCCTGCAGAGGCATTTATGCATGACAACTCTAAACATGCAGATGATCAACCAACTGTACTGCTGGAACACACAGGTGTATCTGACCCAGAAGGAGACAGCATTAGTATACAGTAGTGATGCTGATACTTATGTTCCGCTTTAGGTCTATGTTGTACCACTAAAGCGGAGTTTGAAATCTATGTAGATTATTGTATCATCTTATCTACACCACCCTCACTGCTCAATCGATGTTCATTCATATTACGGTTCAGGCACCCACATGGAGTCGGGGACGGCGCTTGCGCCGCTACAGGAATGTTGCTATAGCTAGTATAATCGAATACTGCAGCGATTCGCTTGCCATTGGGCGCGAACACAATCGAAACAAACTCGCGGTCGTCCGAGTCGTATGCCGATCCTGCCAGTTCAAGCAGTTGGCCGATGGGGTCACCCGTGTCCGCGTCCCATTTGCAAATGGCGAAGTCGCGACCTTTCGGCATTGTGATACCGGCTGCGACCCACTTGCCATCGGGCGAGAACACTACCAAGCTGTCGGATGTGGCATCCATAGGTACTTTGAGCGACCGTCCATTGGGGCGATCCAGTGTAGTGTCCCAGATATGGACGGCACTCGAGTACCAGGCATCCCAGGACACAGCGCGAGATCCGTCCGGTGAGAGCGCGAGGCGAGAATGCGGAACGTCAGGTCCCTGCCGCGGCTGGCCAATTGACTCCCCTGTCCTTGCATCCCAGCGGCGGACGCGGTCATCTGCGGCAGACACAACGTACCTGCTGTCGGCTGAGAAGGCTATCGCTCGCCTAATGGATTCCCGAGAATGCTCGTGTATCTTCAGGAGGGGTAACGGTGTGAGCCGTTCCGCAGTATCCACCGTCAGTCCACGCTCGAGCAGACCGAGATATGCCTGGCCGATCTCCGACTCCGGAGGCGTGAATGCGAGAGCCGAGATGTATATATGTGGCGCGCTGTTGACGATCGGCGTCCGGAAGCGAATGAGGAAGTCATACGCGTCCTGCAGAAGTCGCAGACATTGTGACACATCCGCGTTTTCCGTGTTTCGAGTGGTTTGCTGGGTGTGGACTCAGCATGTATCCACACCACACCACGTGAACGGACACACCTTGTCCCGGAGCCAGACCTCCAGCCTCTTGACCAGTGAAGAGGCTACATCCACATGGTTACAGACACTCATCACCTCCAGCCAGTATAGGAACTGTTGTCCAAAGAAAGCCAAGACATCTTGAGTCGCTCGTTCCTCCGAGACGGATGACATCGTCAGGTGTTCGATCCAGAATCGACACGCGTAAACGAGGTACGAAGGAGGGACTTGCCGCAGTTGCTGCTCTGCATTGATAGCGTACGACGTGCTAGAACCCGACACGTTGAAGCAAAGGCCAGAGTTCATGGTCTCGAGACACCCGAGGAAAAGGTCGCGATGTGTCGCTCCGGTGTCTGCAGCCCATCGCTTCAATCCTGACCGCATGTGCGTAGTGAGGTAGTCGGGGAAGGAAGCATGGTATGTCGTCACTGGGAGATCGTCACGGTCGGGGACGTTGATGACGGAATGCAAGGCGACCAGCGCCCCGCGCATCTGCTCATGGGTGAGGCGCAGCAATGGCGCAAACTCGGGGACAGAGAGGGGACTGCGCGTACAGATGACGGCGTGGAGGCATCGTAGAACCACCTCCACCTCATTGTTCTCCAAGCCCTGAAGAGCCTCCTCGAGGATGTAGTCGTACATCTCATCGATACCAGTGAGAGCGGTCGCGCGTGAAGAAGTCAGTGCTTGAAGCCGCATCCCCGGAGATGCGTTACGCGCTTTGATATATTTGCATGCCGTGGCCGCGTAGATGAACAGGCCTTCAGAACGAGCCGCAAGAGTGCTGATATCATCTGTGGACGCCGGAACGGCTTTGAGTTCTTCGGTCAGATATTTCAGGATGTCGGCGTCGACGACGTTACGGGTGATATCCTGTAGCCGCATATGTTTGCGCGAGTCCGAGTCAAGGGGCCCAAACATGTCCCTTAGGCCTGCCTCCGGCCGGCTGGTCACGAAGAACTTGAGATGCAGCTGAGGTGCCTGGTCTACGATGACATCCAGGAGATCTTTAGGTGTAGCAGCGTTATTGCTGCGAGGCCACTCAAGTTCGTCGACAGCATCAATGACAAGCACCGGCGCCGCGTTTGCCGTGGTGAATGCGATCTTGGCGGGCCTCGCGATCAGGACATCGAACTGTTTTTTGATCACAAACTTCGCGACATCTGGGGCATCTTGAAGAGCCTTAGCGACTTCGGCGGCGAATGTGGGTGAATAGTGCGATAGGAAGTACGCAAGTGTGTGGAAAATGGACTCTACATCCTGCTGCCCAGCCTTGCCGCCGCGAGAACAGAAGAAACTGCCTCCGAGGCGGCTTTTCCCCTCCAGCGCAGCGCACACGGTCTTTGCGACGGTGCTCTTGCCTGTTCCAGCTGCTCCGTTCAGGATGAATATCGGTCGTGCATCCGCCAGTGCCCACGTATATATATCGTCCAGGAGTTGGATGCGTGTTTTCTCCGTGCAGGAAGGGATATGCATCGCATCGTGATGCGCGGATACAATCGGGTCGAGCCGCTGCATGAGAGCTGCAGGAAAGAATGTGTCAGAGCAAGCCAAAGTGAGGTAGCCGTGACGGCGACTGACCTAACTGGACCAAGTTGTCCAGTTTCGCATCCGATGACTGATTGAGCGTACGTAGCTCTCCCAACCCCTCAATTTGGCGCACACTGACTAGCATCTGCATCCTTGTGAGCAACGACATCGTATATTCGGGCTGAGACGAGCCTACAAGGAAAAGGTCCGTGGCATCCCCGACAACACGGAGCTGTCGTTCGACCTCGTCGACGTCGGCTGGAGCAAGAGCGATGCGTGTAATGATGTAACGCTCGCGTTTCTCCCGCACGACGTTGGTCACTCTATCGATCATACTGCAAATAACAGTTGAGTCGCATCACAAACCACATGGAAGCGTGGGCTACGTACTCCGCGACCTTCTTAGCGCACTCCCTCATCTCGGCCTGACTATCTGGTGGCAGAGACTGGTACTTCTTAAGTATCGTCGTCATGAAAGACACCTTCTCTGCGATGCTCTTGAGTTTTTCCTGCACGTCAACGACCGTCTGATGAAGCAAAGTTAATCGATAATGTGGTCTCTAGTGCATGTTGACGTACTTCGACCCAGTCGAGGATTCCCAGCAGACCTCCCACGGCTAGCTTGAGAGGGGGAAAGACTTCGGCGACCCCCTCCGTGACCTCCAGCACACGCTTGAAGACGGCTAGGCCTGTCATCCCCGCTGCAGTGGATTTGACGCTGGGGCTTGGATCGGCAGGCTTGCTGGTTGAGCTGAGAGCGTCAAATTCGGAGGTGCCCGCTTCCCAGTGGACATCCGAATGCTCGAGCAGCGAGTCTGCTTGCGGGCGGACTGCCCGGGAGGTGGATGCTCTCCGAGTTGAAGATGAAGGTGGGCTTCGCAACCTCGGGTCGCCTGAATTGGCAGGCTGGTCGTCGCCTGAACTGAGAGCGTCAGATCCGGGGGTGCCCGCTGGGAGGAGGGTATCCGAATGTTCGAGCAGCGAGTGTGCTTGCGGGCCCACTTCCTGCGAGGTGAATTTTCCTCGAATTGAAGATAGGCTTCGCGACCTCGGTATTTGCAGGGAGGGCGAGGGATGTCTCCAATGCAGGAGAGATGTGAGACGATGAGACCCCTCCGCTGTCGAAGCCGGTCTCGCAGGTCTCGGAGCTTGCGCGGGCGTAGAGGGCTGAGGTCGACGTAAAACATCGAGAAAGCGTTTCTTTCCGCCTTTACGCTTCTCAGTCATGGCGGTTGAGGTGGGAAAGCGAAACTGCACGGGAGAGGCAAAGGCAACGATGAGAGTCAGGGCGAGACCTGCGCGGGGACTTCGAGGATGATACGTGCTGATAACGACTTGTGAGCAGAGCTTAAACTCAAACTGACATGAGTGCTTCCGAGGACACAGAACACGAGGCTTATAACGCGTAGTGCGAAGTCCATTACACATACTATGTTGATTGGCGAGCGAAACCCGAGGCAGTACTCACCAGCACAGGTGAACGATGTTCTCCACCTTGTACTCGACACTCGGTACGCGAAACGCGCACACAAATACGATAGTTGGGGAAACCAGCAAGCGTCTAGGTTGCGAGGACTTGGGAGGACGTATAGGGCATGATGCGGCTGGAGCATACATATGGACTGGGCGGTATGACGATGCGTTTGAACGCATGATGTTGGCTCTCGCAGTCTCTTCGTCCTTGTACATGCCAGAGCCTCGTCCATCAGTTGTATTTCCACCAATGTCAGGCGCAGCCATTGAAGAGTGTTCAGCTCAGGACGCACAAGACCATTTCAGGGTAGGAATACAGCGCGTACTATAACTCTAAGACCATAGTCAGCCTACGGCCAAATGAGCACGATGTGGCGACGCACCTGAAGGACAGCACAGTCGACTCCGTCCATATCATCAATCCCATTGCTGGGCTCGCTCGTCCGAGGGAGGTAGAGCACTGACAGGGACCTGTGAGCCTGTCTAGGACAAGCACGTAGAATGCGACGACTTTCTTGGGTTGTATGCGGCAGGATTCCCATCTTCCCAACAAAGCTTCGAGCCTTCGACTGCGGACCCCTTGCTGCAGCTACTAGTAGTCGACGGGGATCCGAAAAGACGGCAGGAAGGATGCCAGCGGACGCGTCAGCTGGGCGTGCGTGATACGAAGCTCCAGGATTCGACAAGAGACAAAGGTGAGCATGTATATATACTATATTACTGTGAGGTCGCGCGCAGTGTTCGCCGTCGGTGGAGGTCGATGGACAAGTCCAACGTCGATCGCGGAGCAGACGCGCTAGCCTCGGCGCCCGTGGGCATGCCGAGATTCGTCCGGGCAGATCCTTGCGCGCCGACCACTTTCTGAGTCCCGACTGCCTCTTGCTCAGGCTGTCTCCGTGCTGCTATTCGTAACGCTAGGTGTTCCCCCTTGACCAACCTGAAGCCGTCTGCGAGCTCTTCTCTGCGACGACTCTCTCGGACCTCTACGGCTTCAAGCTTCATCCATGCGCTCCCCTCGCCCTCGGGCGCGCAATGTCGGGCGTGCATTTCGGGCGACCACCGGTTCGAACACCCCGGCTTCTTCCTCGCCCTGTTGCAGTTCAAGCCACTTGCGTCGCTCGACCTGTTCATGACCTCAGTTCACCGTTTCACAGCTCCGCCGCATCATCTGCGCCTTCCCCCTGCCTCGCCGACCTGACGCTCCGGGCAGACGTTTGAACGCGGCAATGTGGGCACCAGTTGACAGCTGCAGGCAGAGTTCGAGATACGTATCCGGCACCTGAGCATATACATCTGCGACGAGCGGATGCGGACGCTCGTCGACTGGATTGTCTGCGCAGGGACCCGGACCTGCACGGCTCTTGACGATTTGGCAGTTGGATTCCAAGAGTAGTCTTCACGACAGAAAACAGACAAGCTCCATGTCGCAGCTGGTCCATCCGTGGCGCGGTACACAGAACGTCCGGTGAGTAACTTGGCCTTGTCGATGCCGATTCTACCTGATCTCTCCATTTGTGACGCAGACTCCCATCCCCACGGCCCGCGAAGCACCTCGCTGCGCTCAATATCACTCTGCTCAGTGACCTCACCCCGCAGACCCTGCCGCCCGCTACCTGGATCAGCGTAGCCGACATGCCTCACAACGTCTTCTCCATTGTCCGAAGCCTTCAGCTCGAGCGTATGACGATGTGGTGCCGGGGTACAGTCGACGATCAGTTGGCGACCGAGCTCGACGCTGTACATGCGCGGCCTGCATGAAGTCGCAAGCCGGCCGTACTGTGGCGTGCTGAAGGAGGTCAAGGTCGACGAGGCGGAGGAGCAGAGCTGAAACAAGCGTGATCGGTCAGAGGCTCGCGGGCGTGTATCGGAGTTTACTCCGGCCGTCGTATGGAGGCGGCGTCATGAGCGGGCATGTATCTGCGCGTGCTCGTACCTCAAGGGCTGTGTGCGGTATAGCGCTGCACTTGGAACAGATACCGCGTAGATCTGGACGCAGTTCCTCTGCTCGCGTTCTACTCACGCTCAACCTAATAGTGCTCATATCCGCTAACACGGCACAACTACGGTGATCTAACGGCCTCTAGAGTCTCTGCACGTACGTAGCCAGAGACCTTCCGAACAGTGCCGAATAGCCAGGTTAGTATCAGCCCGTCGTGTATGATCGTTATACAAGGCTGAGTCTTACCAGGCAGTTCGCCATATCCGCGACGGTATCGAGTCGTTCTCAATCTGAATAGAGGCGATCCGCACAACTTGACGAATGGAGCAATTATGAAGACATTTACTACGACTTCGCCCCGCGATACCTTCCATCCGCTCACTCCGCCTGCATCCCGGTCGAAGTATTCGAGCTCATCGACCACATGTTCGCTCCTGCGACGCTGTGGTCTGTCGGACATGAGTACACGCCAGCACGACGACCACTTTCCAACTGGCTCTCGCTGTCTGTCCGACTATCTCAGCCTAAAGCCATCTAGCTCTTCATTGCGACGATGACCCTTAGCTACTGAGTCATCAACTCGAAGCCTGACACTCTTGCGCTTGGATTCGCTTAACTCATTCCACATCTGGGCATACACCGTGGCAGCACGGAGTTAGCGGAATGGATCTATGAGCTCTCCGGTGTTGGCACGGGGCCTCAGTACGAGGACGGTACTCGAGGCGTATGTCTCCGGTGAGTCGCCATTACGGTGTCTGAGCCCTCTCATGACTGAATCTTTATTGTAGACAGCTCTATTCTCGTTTGCAACAATACCAGAGACGTCCACGACTTGATAATGGGCCGTGCTGACGCGTGCACGCACTCGGCCATCTACGCAATCCGGTTTGCGCCCAGCCGGCTCGCGGGTACTTGGATGGTATGTCTTCGTCCTGGGTGTTCAGACAGGAGCCGCTACCCACCCTCCACGCGGTCTGGGACTTTGTGGATACTTACATGACGTCCTGCTATGCCTCAGCGCTGGGCTCTGCATTGCGTCGCGCCTTCAGTGCTTGTGTGGCATGTCTCCGTGATGGCTCGCAGAGAGCTCGATGTCCGCGCGAGTGAGAGGTGCGTTCGGAGCGTGTATTGATGTTAGGCCATGTCTGATTTCCGGTCGACTCTAGACGACCCCGGGTATGAGACCCTCCCGTGCATACATAACGTGAACTGTCGCACAAAAGAGCTGTATGTATCCAGTCGCCAATCATAACGATGTATCGTATAATTTGAAGCCTGTCTTTATGCACACATACCAAGTCGTCGCGGCAAGTACATCGATGGAGAGGAAGTGTGCCGCGCTGAATGTCTCGTTACATTGATGGGACTGGACTTCAGTAACAGCGCAACCCTTGTGCCGCTAGAGCGCTCCGACGGGCTCGATGAGATGGTACTGGCGATACGACGTGTCTTGAAAGCGCTTGTCTTGATTCATGGTCGGAACGGAGACTACGACGTGGCGGACGAAACGCTCGCCGGCCGGCCTATATATGCGCATATCTGGCGGCTGGGGATCATACAGTGAGTCACCTGTTTCGTGCGGATGAGGGAGCACAGTACTCACATCTGCATCAATCAATAGGTCTTGAACTGTCTAGGAGATCTCAACTAGACCACGAGCCGCACCATGGCTGCAGCAGCAGTGTGAACTGCTCGTGGATGACGACTGCATCTGCCTTGTCCCGTCGCCAATGCAACGACCCTGACCTCCTTAAGCGCATTGAAGTATGACCGGCTCATCACCTCGTGCAAGTTCTGCACGTCCAGCTCCTCCTCCGTGGTATCTATCAAGGCTTCGCTTATGCTGTCGGTCACCTTCACCTCGATCTCGATCTTAATACGCTCGAGCTTGTCGCTCCGGACGGTCCCAAGGATTTTGTGTAAGTGTTCTGCTGCTCCGGACCAGCAAACGAGGGGATGACCTGCTAGGTCTAAGGTGCCGAGACAGAGCTCTAGTGATCGCAATGCGGCGCTGGTGGTAAGCTTTCCAAGATAATCTGCGACCACACGTTACCAGGGTCAGACATGTAACTACGGTATATAAAATGAAGGACGAACCGGGTGGCAAGTCATATGGCACCGAGTAGCGCAGAAGAGATGGACCAGCGGCTTCGAGCAGCTCATCGACTAGGCTAGTATCCAAATCGTCTGAGACATCAAGGCCACATACTGTATGATTAATTCTTCGAGCATCTCGCAAGATCCGCGACTGTGCGAGCCAGTGGATAATGATTCGAGATGACTTTGAACCCGTGCGCAGGTCGAGGCCGAGATACTCAAGCTGGAACTGTGTAGCGTTCGCACGAATTGTGTGAGGCGGGCCGCGAACATTGCCGTGCAGGCTAAGGCTATTCAACCTGGGGAAGGCATTGATGATCCGACGCAGCTCGAAGGTATTGAGCCAGGCGTAGGATAAATCTAGTGATCTGACCGGCTAGAATTGCGACAAGGAAACAAAGAAAGAGGAGTGAATGGAGCCATTCGCGGGTCAATAGCAAAGTCCCTGCAACCAAAGTTCCTGCACGCCAGCCATCGGCAGTGCATGGATGAAGCGGTGGTCTTTTCTGTTTCTCCCAAAGTAGGGGCCATACGGGTCCTTCCCTTCGTACATCTTTGAGACGTACAGCTCGCGCGTCGTTATGAGCCAGTGCGCGATGCGCGGAGAAGCCCAATACTGCTCGAGCAACATGAGGAATACTTTTCGCTCTCCAATGTGCATGGAATGGTAGAGGCTGCGCATGGCCAGCGACGCGTCTGTGGTCGACCCTCCGCGACGCGCAACGCGAGATATTGACGTGTTTGACGTGTTCGCATTATACGCGTGTACGGCAGCGAGCCGCGGAAGGAGGGGGGAGGAAAGCGGTGAGTCCTAGTTCTGATCTCAGTCTCGCCGAGTGCTAACCCCAGGCGGCCTCAACCGTCAGCGCGAGGCGCGCAGATGGGAGAGCGCACACGGCATGCGGGCGGGAGGATGCGCAGGGAATGCGAGCGCTAGGGTGGGCGAATGGGTTTGTATGACATGCGGTTACGAAGGGCGGGCCTGGCGGGCGCGATACGCGGAGGCACGCGCCACACTTGTGCGAGCGGGTGCCAGGGGATGAGGTGTGTAAGTGGGGCGAGTAGGGCAGGTGCGAGGGAGGTGCTCGGTGGGCGAGTGAGACCAAGCGAGTTCGGCAGTTCGCATGCGCGCGCAGCATATGTGAGTAAATTGAAAGTCCGCGAGTACCAGCAAGGACTGAGCGAAGGCGGTGGTGGCAAGATACACGGAGGCGGTCACCTGGGCATTGCCCAACGCATGCCTCGCACGTAAACTAGCCACCATACGACTAGGCTTCATCTAGAGCTAGCTTTCTCGTCCGAGGCTCTGTCCGGTGCCCGAGTCCGGCCTTCGAGGTTGTCACTCTCGGCTCCTCCGCAGGCAGCAGCGAGAGTGCGGAGACCCCGCAAGGTGACCTCGACGTCGCTCTCGAGCTTGTCTATGCTCTACTGCTCCCGATCTTGTTGCGCGTGCAGAGAGCTCCACCGCGCGCTGCGCACTTGACAAACGAGATGGGCGATGTCCTACAGGTAACTCAGCAAAAGCGGACTAACGTATTAATCACAGGGATCGCTTGCCCAGATCCAGAGTGATGAATGAGTCCTCACGGGAACCCAAAGTCTGCGCATGCAAGGTAGCAGGAACTCGCCCAGGCATACGTTGCCGCCTATATGCGTCGTCAGTCATCAAGGCGAAACATGTCAGGAGCAGAAACGCACCGCCTAGGTCAATCAGTAGCCGTGTCACCTCTGTATCCAAGAGCGCAGGGACGACATCGGCGACCTGGGGCTAGAGGCCGTAGTAGTAGTCCTCGGGCTCGAACGAGCCAACGAACATCTGTGCCATGCGAACGACCGTGAGCAGATGTAACGCAGTGATGCCCTACGAGCTACGTACCACGCCAGTCTTGTTATCAGGCAGGATGTCTCCACAGGATGTCTCCTCCGTAGATCGCGGTCAGGCTTGGCACCAACTGCGACGGGATCCCGACGCCCAGCGAGTGCGACGCCGCCAACGCTGCGCGGGTCTCGCGAGTGCGCGCGGCCGAGCGGCCGCCGCCCTACGTCGAATAGTCCACGCCGTTCGTCTTGTTCTTCGCCGCGCAGCTGTCTGCTCAGCTGTTGATCAACACCTTTCCAAACCGTGAGGATGGGTCAACGAGTATGTATGTCAGCACGCACTACAACGCCGCGTCCGTGAACGGCTGTCCGAGGTAGCCCGGCAGGTTGGGTATGACGACCGTCTCGGGCTCCGTCCCGTTCGCGAGGATGAGTTCCATGGTCAGGTTGTCCAGGTCGGGGAACACCGGGCCCGCGAGGTCGCCGAATCGTTGCGAGTAGTTGCCCCCGTTGATCCTGTAGCTGCGAACACGCTGTCCACGCGCGCGCCGTGGTCGAGGTAGTTCCGCGAGGCAGTGTCGGCGATGTAGTCTACGTACGAGTACACGGGGTGCCTTCGATGCTCACGACGCATGCACCCGCAGGCCGGGCTGAGTTGAAACCAATTGAGGCGTAGTAGCCAGTGTACTCCGTGCCACAGAGGGAGATGAAGTCTACAACACCGGCGACGATGTAGACCTCTTGAGTGCCGTTGACTTCGAGGGAGATCGCCGGCGCGGGGAGTAGATTGTGGAAGGTCTCCCAGACGCAGTACGTGTACGAGCTCGTGTGACCGTCATTCAGGCTATTGACCAAATCGAAGAGATCCGTGTTGAACGCGTGGTCGGACTTTCATAGGGGACATCAGACGCGTTAACATTGCGGATGACATAGAACATACCGCATAGCCTGTGCTCCCAATCCGCGCCAACTCGTCGCGGATGTACACCGCTGGCTGACCAAACTCGGTGACGGAGGCCACGTAATAGTCACCCGAGGTGTAGAAATCACCATGGATCGACGTCGAGGACATTCTGGCGCAGAGTCTCATTGAACGGGAAGTAGGACAGACGAACGCGTGCGTCAGCGGGGACAACACAGGTTTCTCCATCAATATCCGCGCATGAGTCTTGTGCGCGGGTCTCGTACGAGGAAGCCGTGGCGGTTCCCAGAAGCGCAGATGCTGTAGCAAGAAGGGCGAGGTCTGTCGTTTTGGAGGGCATCGTGCGAGGACGAGGACCGGCGAGTGCCTAGTATGTGCGGCAATGCGGGGTGTATGCGTCGTTGTCATCGCTTGATATGCACGAGGAGAGTGCGAGCGTGGCCACCAAGACACCTGTAGCATCGCACCGAAGGCGGGCGAGCAGCGGGGCCGTCCAACAGCATGTAAGTACAAGCGCACACAAACTGGGCGGCAGCGTCCACGGCGAGCAACACACGGTCACGTGTGCGCGTCCCCGACGACCAACGTCCAACGCACGCACCACGCCCGCCATCCCGATCGCACCCCGTCGCATACGTCAGCTGCTGTCATGCTGCGCCGCCCCACGACCCACCTGCGCGACGATCATGGCAGCGAACCTCCGACGTCGCGTCAGACGAGCGACCGCATCCCCTTCCGAGTCTGCAGTCGACCTCATCGGCACCACTGGCACGACAGGCCCGGAAGAATAGGGGGCGCGCGATGCACTCTGGGCATGTATGGTATAGAGGAATACGGCGTGGTATGCCGTACAGGCGGAGGGACTGCACTTCTTCGCGATGTTGAAGACTTCGGATCGTGCAGGTACGCGGCCGTATGGTGTTCATTACACTGACACATAGCATACATCCAGTGTCCCAAGAATTCTGTGCAGGAACCGGTTGACGCGTCTCTGTTGTGGGCTGCTTATCTTCACCTCGCGATCGGACCTCCTCAATCCCGCCCGTCACTTCGCCGCACATGAAGCACGGCCGCCCGCCGTTCACGTGCGTGTGCTGCTGTCAGTCCCCGGGGATCCGCTGGACGCGCAGGCAATGTTCGCGCGAAACACAGGCGATGGCAACACGCCTGCCCGGTCGGTACGTCATGCCATTGTCCATGGTCAACAACTACTCATTAACTCCTCACTTAGCTGCAACTCATCTACTCGCCTCGCACAAGCCCGTCGACCTTCGCATATACCCACCCGCATCTCCTGCTGATCCGTGCCGTCGATGCTACCGTGGCACAGACGCCATCCAGCGTGCATTTGACCCAGGAGAGCACTTGTAGGATTTCAGTAGGACGACGTGGATGCCCTGCAAGCTATTATCACTCACGCGCCAAGTGTATGGATTAACCTCGCCTTATCAAACCACATCGCTTGTTCCCGCCTCAAGCATGTCTATGAGCTGCCCTGTTCCCGCGGCCGTCCACTGTACAAACGGTCGTCTTCACAGACGGTCGTCCGTGCCCGGGGTGTGGCTAAGCCACGTCGCGCGAGTGTCCGCAAGTCTACAGAAACACCCGTACACCCGCCGGTCAAATCGGTACATACTCAACGGCGCTGCTCCACGTCGTCCTCGAAGAAACGGTCAACACAGGCAAACGTCAAATTGATACGACCGAACATACCGGTCACCCCTTGCATGCACTTGCGTGCATCGCGCAGCGGTCCTAGGAGCGATCGTCGCGAACCACGGTGATTGGAGAGCACGCAGCAATCGTAACTGGCTTCAGTCCCAGGAGTGATCTGGATTGGCTACAGCGGCCACGCCGGATTAGCTTCGCTCCTCTCGACAGATTAGATTCCTTGTACTGATTACGAACGGCGCAGGGGGCTGGCGCACTCAATGGGTGATGTGTACCATGCACAAGGTACTGATCGCGCTCGCTTCGTTGTTTGCTTGTCTGACGCTTCCGCAGTGCGCCGTTCGTAGCGCGATCATGGAGAATAATGGTGCGCTACCCTCTGCTGACGGCATACAGCCGCAGCAGTCCAAAGCATGGCCTTCAAACCACATCCGGGGACTCGTCAATTCGGGGCGTGTAGCATGATAATGCGGATGTCCTGCACCCATGTCTCGCTGGTCTCATATGTTCGGTTCTTGGTCTGATTCTGTGCCCGCAGAGACAGCGTTCAAGCTGAACAGGTGTTAACACTCGTCAGAGTCGGCCTTCCCAATCCGCGAGCTATGCCGCCATGTCTTCGAACGAGAGCATACTGTAGTGTGGTTTTTCGAGGAGGGCCTATCATCATGGGAGATAGCTGAAATGGGACACAAGCGAAACATCGACACAGGCCGCGGTCGCTCGCGCGGATGTCGACGTCACGCATCCGTACTCATTCATGACCAAGTCGCCGCTCCCCGTCAGACGCCTCGACTATCGCTGCCTGCGAGGGCCAGTCATCGACACGCCTGGTATTCTGGCAACCCCCTACCGAGAACGTGAACACGCTGGAGATGGCTGGGAGCATAAGCACCGGTGAGTACATGCGTGCTATGTTCTGTGGACGCGTACCTTCGGATGCGCGACTCGCAGTTGGTTGACGACTACGTCGGTCATCCTGTTCTCCTCGAGCTTCCCGTTGACTCCCGCTTTGTATGGTGTAGCACGGCACCTACATGTGCGCATGACGCCCTCCGAGTCCGCGTTGGTGGCCTCCTCGGATCTGTTCCGGCTCTCGGTCGAAAGCTCTATAGTGTCCACGCGGGTCATTTGAGTCTTAGCTCACCACGAGCGACGTCTCGTTCCCAACGAGCTGCTTCATCGAGTGGAAACGCTTGCACGTACCTCAACATTTTCAAGCGATACTCACCGAGGGTCGCTCACGCGGAGAAGGGCGGCGCAGGCGCGGCGTGAACAACATCAGCCGCAAGGGTGCGTTCACCTCTGCCATTCTGTGTGTGGTGCCTAATGCCATCACTACGTTCTCGCAGACACGGATAGAGGTCGCGCAGCGCGCCGCTAAGATCATAGAGCTCACTCTTTCGGGGACGCTTCAGGCCGGAGGGCGCAAGACGAGCGAGCCACTGCGTCCGGGTGCCGGGTATCATGGACGGCAAGATTCATTGACAACGACATCGACGTGCTTGAGCGGGAAGAAGGGATGCTATACGGAAGGGCTCTATCATAGTGAGTAGTGAGGAAGAGTCCGTGAGTGCCCTGGTGTGCGGACGCTATTCAAGCTTAGTTCGGACCTCACCGCTGCCAGGCGCGACCTTCGCTGGACCAAAGAGTGCGCAGCGGCCCTTGCGAAGGTCGCCAGGTGAAGCGGGAGAATGCGTGCGAGTAGAAGGTGGAGGGGGAGACGCAGACGTGTGTTGATGAGGAGGGCGGGCCCGTGGACGAAGCAGAGTGGATGGATGAGTCGGTCGGTCGGACCAGCCGACGCCAAACAAGCGGGCAAATCTAACATTGTCAAGCGCGACTATGGCGAAAAGCCAGCAGGAGCGGGGTCGGATCGATGGTTGGCTGGTATGCGCGATGCCGCTGTATGTCTTGCGCTGTCTATGCTAATTTTGCTCGTGCTGACCGTGCCCTGTTCCTCCGCCAACATCAAAAGCTACGAACCTGCGGGATCTTGGCCGGAGGAGACTGAATATGCTCGTAAAGGAGGGCGAGCTGTATCGCGTGCAAGGTCCATAACGTCCATAACAGTACACATCTCGCTCTGAGTCTATATATACATGTGTATGCGTTGTAATGTGAACACCTCCACACCAGCCCGTTCAGCTGAATTCGCCAATTTTCAGTCCGTGGTAGCAGCAGGACCGAGTCCTCAGATGCACGATCTGCAGAGTCATGGTGAGAGCACTATAGGCGCGAATAATACTGCAGGACTTACCATATCCGCCACTTCACGCCAAGCCCCAACATTCTGTCCATGTCGAGCCATGTGCGAACTGGCGGAGGTCGAGATGAACGCGATGTGCGCCCATGACTGCAGTCGTGCGAGCCCACAACAAGCCAGTGCGATAATCTGGGGGAATCCAAAGAAAGAGCTCTTCATGAGGGCCAATGATCCATCCGTCTTCTCTCATACCGAACTCCGCACCATGCGACTCCCAGAGATCGACGAGGGAGGGTGAACCGGATCCCGTCACGATCTGGGGTGAATGCGATGCCCCGACGGTCACGTCCCAGATACGGACAGTCTTGTCCTCTGAACCAGTTGCGATGTGCCGAGCGTCTGGCGAGAATGCGATTGACCACATGTACCCCGTGTGTCCTGTGAGAGGCGGTAGGACCAGAGCACCCGTCTGAGCATCCCAGACGCGAACCGTCTTACGCGACGCGGACGCGATGTGCTTTCCGTCGGGCGAGAACGCGAGTGACGTCACCGTGCCCTCGTCTTCAAGGCATGACTGCTCGATATGGGTTTGGACATTCCAAATGCGAACACGCTCCGAATAATCGGAGTACGCAAGGAGCTTGCCATCGGGCGACAACGCGATGCGATCCCCACTGGCACGCCATTTGTCTGCCTCGAGCGGCGGCGCGACCCGGGTACCAGTGTCTGTCTCCCAAACCTGGATGGTGCCATCGTTGAAGCAGGCTGCAATGAGCCTGCCATCCAGCGAGAACGTGGCGGATAAGCTGCAATGGGCTTGGGATGACATGTCCAGGTCCACGATGTGGGCACCCTTCGCCGATTCGATAATCTCCGTGGACGACTCCTCCTGCCCCTCCAACCCAAGTGCGATCCGCTTGCCGTCCGGCGAGAGCGCGCATGCCCGCGTACCATCCTTTCCCCAGTATCCCTTGTGTGGCCGTTCACCAGAGTTGCTCGTCTCCATGTCCCACACGTTGATTGCAGGACCACGATGACCGTCGTAGTCCTTCCAGTAGGGCCAATTTGAACAAGATACAAGATTGATCTTGTTGTCATTCACCAAGAATGCGATGGCTACTGGCCAGCAGCCACAGTCGTGACCTAGTCCCAGCAGCGGCTCTCCGACTGCAGCACCTGTATGTGCATCCCAGACACGAACAGTTCCGTCTAGCGATGCAGATGCAACCTGTCTGCCGTCCGGCGAGAACGCGACCAACATCACGTCCCCAGTGTGCCCGGGCCGCTCGCCAAATGAATTCGTGTGCCCCGTAGTAGTCTGGGCTGCATCCCAGATACAGATCTCCCCGTTATCCGAGGCGGATGCAAGGAGGCGTCCATCCGGCGAGAAGACGACCGATTCGACGGAGCCTGCATGTCCCTTCAGCACCCGATGACCGGCAAGTCTGCCATGCTCGAAGGACCAGACGCGGACCGTGGTATCAAACGACCCGGACGCAATGAACTTGCCATCCGGCGAGAATGCGAGCGAGTACACATGGTTTGTGTGTCTGTTCAGCGGCTGTCCAATTGCGTCACCAGTCACCGCGTCCCGGACATGAATAGCACCGCCTAAGTCCACGCCCACAACGAATGCGCTGTCTGGTGAGAATGTACCTGCCCGTGAATATGATGATTCTGCAACCTTAGCGCCTGTCTCTGCATCCCACAACCCAGTATTCTCAGCAGTTCTGCTTACTGCAGCGATTCGCTTGCCATTGGGCGCGAACACAATCGAAACAAACTCGCGGTCGTTCGAGTCGCACGCCGATCCTGCCAGTTCAAGCAGTTGGCCGGTGGGGTCACCCGTGTCCGCGTCCCATTTGCAAATGACCGAGTCGCGACCTTTCGGCATCGTGATACCGGCTGCGACGCACTTGCCATCGGGCAAGAACACGACCAAGCTGCGGGATGTGGCATCCATAGGTACTTTGAGCGACCGTCCAGTGGGGTGATCCAGTGTAGTGTCCCAGATATGGACGGCACTCGAGTACAAGGCGTCCCAGGACACAGCGCGAGACCCGTCCGGTGAGAGTGCGAAGCTAGAATACGGAATGTCAGGTCCCTGCTGCGGCTGGCCATTTGACTCCCCTGTCCTTGCATCCCAGCGGCAGACATCGTATGCTGAGGCAGACACGATGCATCTGCTGTCAGCCGAGAAGGCTAGTGCACGAATGGAGTATTGTTCGTGTATCTTCAGGAGGGGCAACGGTGTGAGCTGTTGCGCAGTATCCACCTTCAGTCCACGCTCGAGCAGACCGAGATATGCCTGGCCGATCTCCGACTCCGGAGGCGTGAATGCGAGAGCCGAGATGTATATATGTGGCGCGCTGTTGACGATCGGCGTCCGGAAGCGAATGAGGAAGCCATACGCGTCCTGCAGAAGTCGCAGACATCGTGACACATCCGCGTTTTCCGTGTTTCGATCGGTTTGCTGGGTGTGCCAGGGAGTCAGCATGTATCCGCATGACAATATATAAATGGACACACCTTGCCCCGGAGCCAAACCTCCAGCCTCTTGACCAGTGAGGATGCTACGTCCGCGTGGTTACAGACACTCAACACCTCCAGCCAGTATAGGAACTGCTTTCCGAAGAAAGCCGAGACATCTTGAGTCGCTCGTTCCTCCGAGACGGACGACATCGTCAGGTGTTTGATCCAGAATTGACACGCGTAAACGAGATACGAAGGAGGGACTTGCCGCGGTTGCTGCTCTGCATTGCTAGCGTACGACGTGCTAGAACCCGACACGTTGAAGCAAAGGCCAGAGTTCATGCTCTCGAGACACCCGAGGAAGAGGTCACCATCAGTCGCTCCGATGTCTGCCGCCCATCGCTTCGATCCAGACCGCGTGCGCGTAGTGAGATAGTCGAGGAACGAAGCATGATATGTCGTCAGTATACCATGTTCTTCCTCAGGGTCGGGGACGTTGATCACGGAATGCAAAGCAACGAGCGCGTAGCGGACTTCCTCAGCGGTGAGGCTTAGCAAGTGCGCGATATCGGGGACAGAGAGGGAATCGAACATGCAGACGACGGCGTGTAAGCACCGCAGAACCACCTCCACTTCGTTGTTCTCCAAGCCCTGAAGAGCCTGCTCGAGGATGTAGTCGTACATCTTGTCGATACCAGTGGGAGCGTTCGCGCGTGACGAGATTAGTGCTTGAAGCCGCTTCGTTTGAGGGAGGGGTACGTTACGCGCTTTGATATATTTGCATGCCGTGGCCGCGTAGATGAACAGGCCTTCAGAACGAGCCGCAAGAGTGCTGATATCATCTGTGGACGCCGGAACGGCTTTGAGTTCTTCGGTCAGATATTTCAGGATGTCGGCGTCGACGACGTTACGGGTGATATCCTGTAGCCGCATATGTTTGCGCGAGTCCGAGTCAAGGGGCCCAAACATGTCCCTTAGGCCTGCCTCCGGCCGGCTGGTCACGAAGAACTTGAGATGCAGCTGAGGTGCCTGATCTACGATGACATCCAGGAGATCTTTAGGTGTAGCAGCGTTATTGCTGCGAGGCCACTCCAGTTCGTCGACAGCATCAATGACAAGCACCGGCGCCGCGTCTGCCGTGGTGAATGCGATCTTGGCGGGCCTCGCGATCAGGACATCGAACTGTTTTTTGATCACAAACTTCGCGACGTCTGGGGCATCTTGAAGAGCCTTAGCGACTTCGGCGGCGAATGTGGGTGAATAGTGCGATAGGAAGTACGCAAGTGTGTGGAAAATGGACTCTACATCCTGCTGCCCAGCCTTGCCGCCGCGAGAACAGAAGAAACTGCCTCCGAGGCGGCTTTTCCCCTCCAGCGCAGCGCACACGGTCTTTGCGACGGTGCTCTTGCCTGTTCCAGCTGCTCCGTTCAGGATGAATATCGGTCGTGCATCCGCCAGTGCCCACGTATATATATCGTCCAGGAGTTGGATGCGTGTTTTCTCCGTGCAGGAAGGGATATGCATCGCATCGTGATGCGCGGATACAATCGGGTCGAGCCGCTGCATGAGAGCTGCAGGAAAGAATGTGTCAGAGCAAGCCAAAGTGAGGTAGCCGTGACGGCGACTGACCTAACTGGACCAAGTTGTCCAGTTTCGCATCCGATGACTGATTGAGCGTACGTAGCTCTCCCAACCCCTCAATTTGGCGTACACTGACCAGCATCTGCATCCTTGTGAGCAACGACATCGTATATTCGGGCTGAGACGAGCCTACAAGGAAAAGGTCCGTGGCATCCCCGACAACACGGAGCTGTCGTTCGACCTCGTCGACGTCGGCTGGAGCAAGAGCGATGCGTGTAATGATGTAACGCTCGCGTTTCTCCCGCACGACGTTGGTCACTCTATCGATCATACTGCAAATAACAGTTGAGTCGCATCACAAACCACATGGAAGCGTGGGCTACGTACTCCGCGACCTTCTTAGCGCACTCTCTCATCTCGGCCTGACTATCTGATGGCAGAGACTGGTACTTCTTAAGTATCGTCGTCATGAAAGACACCTTCTCTGCGATGCTCTTGAGTTTTTCATGCACGTCAACGACCGTCTGATGAAACAAAGTCAACCGATAATGTGGTCTCTAGTGCATGTTGACGTACTTCGACCCAGTCGAGGATTCCCAGCAGACCTCCCACGGCTAGCTTGAGAGGGGGAAAGACTTCGGCGACCGCCTCCGTGACCTCCAGCACACGCTTGAAGACGGCTAGGCCTGTCATCCCCGCTGCAGTGGATTTGACGCTGGGGCTTGGATCGGCAGGCTTGCTGGTTGAGCTGAGAGCGTCAAAATCGGAGGTGCCCGCTTCCCAGTGGACATCCGAATGCTCGAGCAGCGAGTCGGCTTGCGGGCGGACTGCCCGGGAGGTGGATGCTCTCCGAGTTGAAGATGAAGGTGGGCTTCGCGACCTCGGGTCGCCTGAATTGGCAGGCTGGTCGTCGCCTGAACTGAGAGCGTCAGATCCGGGGGTGCCCGCTGGGAGGAGGGTATTCGAATGTTCGAGCAGCGAGTGTGCTTGTGGGCCCACTTCCTGCGAGGTGGATTTCCCTCGAATTGAAGATAGGCTTCGCGACCTCGGTATTTGCAGGGAGGGCGAGGGATGTCTCCAATGCAGGAGAGATGTGAGACGATGAGACCCCCCCGCTGTCGAAGCCGGACTCGCAGGTCTCGGAGCTTGCGCGGGCGTAGAAGACTGAGGTCGACGTAAAACATCGAGAAAGCGTTTCTTTCCGCCTTTACGCTTCTCAGTCATGGCGGTTGAGGTGGGAAACCGAAACTGCACGGGAGAGGCAAAGGCGACGATGAGAGTCAGGGCGAGACCTGCGCGGGGACTTCGAGGATGATACGTGTTGATAACGACTTGTGAGCAGAGATTAAACTCAAACTGTCATGAGTGCTTCCGAGGACACAGAACACGAGGCTTATAACGCGTAGTGCGAAGTCCATTACACATACTATGTTGATTGGCGAGCGAAAACCGAGGCAGTACTCACCAGCACATGTGAACGATGTTCTCCACCTTGTACTCGACACTCGGTACAGCAAAATGCGCACACAAATACGACGATTGGGGTAACCAGCAAGCGTCTAGAAACGAAGGAGCAGACGCAGGCAGACACTCCGACATCAAGCTGCCATTGTAGACGCTGGGTAGACCAATCGCCGTTCTCAGTAGATGCACCGTCGCGCACCGTAGGCCACACGGCTGGGAGAAAGCTGCGACCACAGAAGTACCGAGAAGACAGCCAGTCTGCCTCTTCCATACAACACTCAGTACGTCGCCTGCCAACCCCGACGCACATGCATGCAATCGGCATGAACTCACCTAGATAACACCAGCCGAACGTACTCGACTGTCCCTCGTGTTTCACACTTGGTCTACCGGGCGACGGCGTGCTCCTGCGCATGGCGGTGGACCTGTGCACGCAATCGCTCCCGTTGGCGTGCAAATCGTACAGTCGAGAGTTGATGGCCGCACCTAAGCGGCAGACGATTCGGAGCACCTCTCTATCAGCCTCGTCGCTTTTCTCCTCGGTCCGTAGCTCTTCGCTGCGCCTGTAGCTTGACGACGAGCCATGTGCGGAGTCGTTCAGCGATACAGTCCCGATCACCATGCCGGCAGATACAGTCCAACACAGACAGGCACCTACAGGCACGCGCTCGATCTACATTATGTCACCAGAACCGTACAACTGCAAATACTTGTGCGGACTCACATAGACCGATCGGAAGATGGGTATCAATGTACATGCAGGATATCACGCAGACAAGCGTTGTGTTGCGGCGTACGCGCATGCACACCGTGTTGTCCCGTTCGACGTCACTGATCAGGGAAACGTGCAAATCATGTCGCACTCGAGGGATCGGACGTCAGCGGCCGGGGTGCCATTTCTTGCGAGCCCACGAAGTTGATCTTCCACAGAGCAACCTCCTCCAGATGGGGAAAGGCGCAGATTGTCCGCAACGGCTGTGAGATGTTGTGGAACGTAAGTACACGCCGAACGCCGCAGCGTGCGGACGGACTTACAGTGCGAGAGGTGATCGAAACGCGCGCAACGAAGTCATCCACAGATGGGGATCGGATTCCGGGGGCCAGATGAACAAGTGAGAGGAAACGTTGCTGGATGAACCGTCTGTCCTTCCGTACTCGCTTGTGAACGGCCAACGTGTCTAGATCGAACGCCTTGACCCCGAGCACGGCCATGAGACCCTCCTTCGCGCGCGGTGCGGCGAGAGACATCTTGGCTAGCTTTTGCATAGCTCCCGCGGTTACGAATCTCGATGGCGCGATACAGGTTGGGCATAGCTTGAAGATACCAAGCCGTGCAGACCCGCGCAGCAATTGGGAGTGCTGATTGCTCCATCTCGTTGATGATAAGCCCAAAGACATCGAGCAGTATGCGGGAGAATATAGCTACAGACAGTGGGCGTGAAGAGTCGAATGCCTATGCAAGTGTTCGTGACATAGGTATACACGAGTGAAGGGAGATAACTGGCAAACGAACCAATAACGCAACTTTCAAAGGCCGAGATACGAGTAGAGGGGGATGCACTGGTGAACAAAGCTATAGCAAGTACTGATCAGACCTACGCGACGGAATGAAACAGAAGATGGATGTACTGACCTTTGACTCGTGTCTGGGGTACATCTGCCTAGCGCCGCAGAGGATGCAGAGTCAACGGGGGTGACAGTGAGGGTATGGATAAGAAGAGCGGGGAGCCTCGACGACGCCCCGAGGCTATGTTACTATGAGTGACAAGCCTCAGGCCCGGAGTTCGTATAGTTGTACTCGTGGGTTTAACGAACCGCACGCCGGCGGCTGCAGTGGGTCGTGGCAGCGGCCCATACATTCGTCGATACACTGTAGACTGAGATGGCGATAAACCTGGGATAAACGCTGATCAGCTCGAGCCGCTACGGCCAATGCAGTGCCCTAACCTCAAAACTAGTCTTGGGCGAGACGCTTCCCGGTACGTCTGCACTCAACGCGTTTGAGTTGCCTCTCGCCCAACGGCGCAGCCTGTCGCTGTGCGACGATTGATTGACATAATCGATGTGACGAGCAGCGTTGAGCCGCAGTCGCAGCCTTACAAGCTAGTGGGTCAATGTCGGTATGCATGCGAACGAAGCACAGAAGATTCACTGACCGGGTACAGAAGTGATCCCGGATAATGACTGGCTGTGTCGAGCGGCGTGTCAGCCGACGCGGTATGTCGCGAAGACTGGGGCGGTCATGTAGGGCATGAGGCCGCTGAAGTATGCATACGGACTAGACGGTATGAAGATCACGACGGGTTTGGACGCATGGTGTTGGCTCTCGCAGTCTCCGTCCTTGTACATGCCAGAACCTCGACCATGAGTTGTATATCCACCAATGTTAGGCGCAGCCATTGAGGCGTGTTTAGCTCAGGACGCACAAGACCATTTCAGGGTAGGAATACAGCGCGTACTGAGGGTCTGAGACCATGGTCAGCCTACGGCCAACTAAGCACGATGTGGTGACGCACCTGAACGACAGCGCAGTGGACTCCATCCATATCGTCAATCTCATTGCTGGGCTCGCTCGTCCGAGGGAGGTAGAGCACTGGCAGGGACCTGTGAGCCTGTCCAGGACAAGCACGTAGAATGCGATGACTTTCTTGGGTTGTATGCGGCAGGATTCCCATCTTCCCAACAAAGCTTCGAGCCTTCGACTGCGGACCCGTTGCTGCAGCTACTAGTAGTCGACGGGGATCCGAAAAGACGGTAGGAAGGATGCCAGCGGACGCGTCAGCTGGGCGTGCGTGATACGAAGCTCCAGGATTCGACAAGAGACAAAGGTGAGCATGTATATATACTTATTACTGTGAGGTCGCGCGCAATGTTCGCCGTCGGTGGAGGTCGATGGACAAGTCCAACGTCGATCGCGGAGCAGACGCGCTAGCGACGGCGCCCGTGGTCATGCCGAGATTCATCCGGACAGATCCTTGCGCACGAGTCTCTCAGATCTCAGATCTCAGCACCGGCCCGCCAGCGCGACGACCACTTTCCGACTGGTTCTTGCTGTCTCCGTGCTGCTATTCGTAACGCCAGGTGTTCTCTCTCGACCAACCTCAAGCCGTCTCGCTGCCACGACTCTCTCGGACCCCTACGGCTTCAAGCTTCATCCATGCGCTCCCCCTCGCCCCCGGGCGCGCAATGTCGCGTCGGGCGTGCATCTCGGGCGACCACCGGTTCGAACACCCCGGCCTCTTCCTCGCTCTGTTGCCGTACAAGCCACTCGCGTCGCTCGACCTGTTCACGTCCTCAATGAACAACGTCTCACAGCTCAATGGGGAGAAAGACTCCCAGGACCCCGGCCTTCGAAGTTGTCACCCTCCGAAGGCAGCAGCGAGAGTGCGGAGACCCCGCAAGGTGACCTCGACGTCGCTCTCGAGCTTGTCTATGCTCTACTGCTCCCGATCTTGTTGCGCGTGCAGAGAGCTCCACCGCGCGCCGCGCAATTGACAAACGAGATGGGCGATGTCCTACAGGTAAGTCAGCAAAAGCGGACTAACGTATTAATCACAGGGATCGCTTGCCCAGATCCAGAGTGATGAATGAGTCCTCACGGGAACCCAAAGTCTGCGCATGCAAGCCAGGTGCACATAGGGTATAGAGGAAGGGGCTGCTTCCTCGCGATGTTGCGCGGACTTGGAATCGTGCAGGTTCGCGTCCGCGCAGTGTACATCACATTGACACATTGCAATACATTCAGAGTCTCCAAAGACTCTAGGTTTCCAAGGAACCCCGCTCGCCGCATGCCGTCACGCTCGACCTGTCTTTGTAGTGCCTTGCTCATCTCCACCTCGCGATTGAGCCTTTCGATCCCGCCGTCACTTCGCCGCACATGCAACACGGTCGCCCGCCATTCATGCGTGTGCAGCTCTGATGTGTGTGATTAGTGCGGGTCGCACCCATGAACTGCCTGTGCCTATTCTAAGCACGGTCACGGTAGTATCGGAGATCCACTGGACGCGCTTGGGACGCGCAGGCAATCATGTTCACGCGAGGCCGGTCTGTACGTCGTGTCATTGTCACCCTGTTGGAGATGCCCAGCGGTCAACGTTCCAACACTCTCCTCACTTGGCCGCGACGCACCTACTCGCGCGCGATCCTCGGCAACAGAGTTTCACAATTTGTCTCTGTCGGATGCGTTCGTGCTGAACGATGGATAGGTCGTGTTGATCATCCCGTTCAATTTCCTTGGGCTTCTGGTCGACTCACACCTTGCATGGTGTAGTACGACACCTTCATGTGCGCATATGGTGCCCTCCGAGTCCGCGTTGGTCTCCTCCACGGGCAACTTGGAGAGAGGCTCTCCACGCGGATCGCCCGAGTCATGGGTCATCACGAGCATCGTCTGCTTGTTCCGAAAGAGCTGCGTACTCCAGTAGAAACGCTTGCACGGACCTCAACGAAACCAGTGCTCACCGAGGGCCGTTCTCGCGGAGAAGGGCGGGGCAGGCGCCGTGCGTACAACATCAGCCGCAAGGGTGCGTCCGCCTCTGCCATTGCCATTTTGTGTGTGGTGCCTAACGTCATCACAACGTTCTCGCAGACACGGAATAGAGGTCGTGCCGCGCACCGCTAAGATAATGTTCACTCTGTCGAGGAAGCTTACGCCAAAGGGTGCAAGACGAGCGAGCTACGTCCGAGCGCCAGAAACCATGAACGGCATGATTCATCGACAACATCCTCGGGAAGCTCGACGTACTTGAGCGGGAAGAAGGGATGCTGTAGGTGGAAGGGCTCTACCGTGGTGAGTAGTGAGGAAGAGTTCGTGAGTACCCTCGTGTGCAAACGCTATCCAAGCCAAATTATGACCACTGCCCAGTGCGACCACAGCCGGATCGAAGAGTGCGCAGCGGCCCTTACGAAGGTCGCCAGGTGAAGTGGAAGCATGCGTGCGAGTAGGAGGAGGAGGAAGATGAGGAGGGCGAGCCCGAGGACAAAGCGGAGTGGATGGACGTCGGTCGGGCCCAGGACTGCCGACGCTAAACAAGCGGGAAAAGGCAAAGTTGTCAAGCACGGTCGTGGTGAAGAGCCAGCAGGAGCGAGGCCGAGTCGACGCTTGGCTGGTATGCGCGATGGTGCAGTATGTATTGCGCTTTCTATGCTCGTTATGCTCGTGCTGACCATGCCTTGTCATTTGGCCAGCATGAACAGCTACGAATTTGTGGGATCTTGGCCGGAGGAGACTGAATATGCTCGTAAAGGAGGGCGAGCTGCATCGCGTGCAAGGTCAAGATCTTCCATGTTTCCACCAGCACTTAAGTATCTCGATCAGGGTCTATATAGTACACATGTGTATGCGTTGTAATGTGAACACCTCCACACCAGCCCGTCCAGCCGAATTCGCCAATGTGCAGTCCGTCATAGCAGCAGGGCTGAGTCCTCAGATGCACGATCTGCAGAATCATACCGCATGAGAGCTTCAGGGCGCGAACAATACTGTAGGACTTACCATGTCCGCCATTTTACGCCGAGCCCCAACACTCTGTCCATGTCGAGCCATGCGCGAACTGGCGGAGGTCGAGACGAACGGGATGTACGCCTATGACTGCAGTCATGCGAGGCCACAACAAGCCAGTGCGATATCCTGGGGGAATCCAAAGAAAGAGCTCTTCATGAGGGCCGACGATCCATCCGTCGTACCCCCTATCGAACTCCGCAACATGCGACTCCCAGAGATCGACAAGGGAGGGTGAATCGGATCCCGTTACGATCTTGGGTGCATGCGATGCCCCGACGGTCACGTCCCAGATACGGACAGTCTTGTCCCCTGAACCAGTTGCGATGTGCTGAGCGTCTGGCGAGAATGCGACTGACCACACCGTATCCGTGTGTCCTGTGAGAGGCGGTAGGACCAGAGCACCTGTCTGAGCATCCCAGACGCGAACCGTTCCGTCATAAAACGCGGACGCGAGGTGCTTTCCGTCGGGCGAGAACGCGAGTGACGTCACCGTGTGTGTGTGGTCCATGCATGACTGCTCGATATGGGTATTCCAAATGCGAACACGCACCGAATAATCGGAGCTATACGCAAGGAGCTTGCCATCGGGCGACAACGCGATGCAATCCCCACCCCGTTTGTCTACCTTGAGCAGCGGCCCAACACGGGTACCAGTGTCTGTCTCCCAAACCTGAATGGTGTCATCGTAGAAGGAGGCTGCAACGAGCCTGCCATCCAGCGAGAACGTGGTGGATTTCAACGTGTCTTGGGATGACATGTCGATGTCCACGATGTGGGCGCCCGTCGCCGATTCGACAATCTCCAACTTCTCCCACCCAAACTGAAGTGCGACTCGCTTGCCGTCCGGCGAGAGCGCGAATTCCCACATACCATACTTTTCCCAGTATCCATTGGGTGACCATTCACCAGGGTTGCTCGCCGCCTCCACGTCCCACACGTTGATTGCAGGGCCACGATGATCGTCATCGTCGTCGTCCTCCGAGGCCGAGTCGGGGCAAGTTGAATAAGACACAAGATTTATCTTGTTGTCGTCCACCAAGAATGCGATGGCCTTTGGCCAGTGGCCACATTCATGACCTCGTCCCAGCAGCGGCTCTCCGACTGCAGCGCCCGTATCTGCATCCCAGACACGAACAGTTCCGTCGCACGATGCAGATGCAACCTGTCTGCCGTCCGGCGAGAATGCGACCGACCCCACTGCGTCAGTGTGCCCGGGCGGCTCGCCAATTGAAACTGCGTCCCCTGTAGTAGTCTGGGCTACATCCCAGATACAGATGTCCCCGTCATCCGAGGTGGATGCAAGGAAGTGACCATCCGGCGAGAAGACGACCGATTCGGTCGAGCTTGTATGTCCCTTCAGCACCCGATGAACACCAAGTCTGCCATGCTCGAACGACCAGACGCGAACCGTGGTATCAGCCGACCCGGACGCAACGAACTTGCCATCCGGCGAGAATGCGAGCGAGCATACTGTCATTGTGTGTCCATTGAGCGGCTGTCCGATTGCATCACCAGTCTCCGCGTCCCTGGCATGGATAGCACCCCCGAGTTCCCCGTACACAACGAATGCGCTGTCTGGTGAGAAGACGGCTGAATTCACGTCTGCGAATTCTTCTACAATTGCAGCGCCAGTCTCTGCGTCCCACAAGGTCAACTTTCCAAGGCCAAGATTGTCACGGGGATATGTCGCAGCGATGCGCTTGTAATCGGGCGCGAATGCAATCAATGAAAGCCAGCCTTTGAGCGCCGATCCTGCCAGTTCAAGCGGTTGGCCGATGGGGTCACCCGTGGCTGCGTCCCATTTACAAATGACCGAGTCACGGCCTTCCGCCATTGTGATACCGGCTGCGGCGACGCACTTGCCATCGGGCGAGAACACAACCAAGCTTACGGATGTGGCATCCGTAGGTACTTTGAGCGACCGTCCAATGGGGTGATCCAATGTAGTGTCCCAGACACAGCCAGTACTCTCGGACCAGGATACAGCGCGAGATCCGTCCGGTGAGAGCGCGAGGCGAGAATGCGGAATGTCAGGTCCCTGCTGCGGCTGGCCAATTGACTCCCCTGTCCTTGCATCCCAGCGGCAGAGGTTGTCATCTGCAGCAGACAGGATGTAGCTGCTGTCAGCTGAGAAGGCTAGCGCTCGCCAATGTGGTAACTGTGATGTCCAGCGGCGATGCTCGTGTATCTCCAGGAGGGGTAATGGTGTGAGCCGTTCCGCAGTATCCACCTTCAATCGACGCTCCAGTAGAGCGAGATATACCTGGCTGATCTGCGACTTTGGAGGTGTGAACGCAAGAGCCGAGATGTATATATGTGGTGCACTGTCGTGGATCGGCATCCCAAAGCGAATGAGGAAGTCATTCGCGTCCAACAGAAGCCGCAGACATCGTGACACGTCCGCGTTTTCCGTGTTTTGTCTGGTTTGCTAGGTGTGGGCTCAGCATGTATCCACAGGACGGCATGCAAAGGGACACACCTGTTCCCGAAGCCAGACTTCCAGCCTCACGATCAGTGAAGACGCTACATTTGTGTAGTTACAAACACTCAACACCTCCAGCCAGTATAGGAACTTGTTTTCGAAGAAAGCCAAGACATCCTGAGTCGCTCGTTCCTCCGAGACGGACGACATGGTCAGGTGTTCGATCCAGAATCGACACGCGTAAACGAGATACGAAGGGAGCTCTCGACGCGACGGCTGCTTTGCATTGCTGGCGTACGATGTGCTACACCCCGACACGTTGAAGAACAGGCCAGTCTCCATGATCTTGTTACACCCGAGGAAAACGTCGAGATGTGTCGCTCCAGTGTCTGCCGCCCATCGCTTTGATCCAGACCGCGTCCGTGTAGTGAGATAGTCTGGGAAGGAAGCATGGTATGTTGTCAGGAGACCGTGTTCCTCGTCATGGTCGGGGACGTTGATCACGGAATGCAAAGCGACGAGTGCATAGCGGACCTGGTCAGGGGTGAGGCATAGCAAGTGCGCTAATTCGGGGACAGAGAGGGGATTGCGCGCGCAGACGACTGCGTGTAAGCACCGCAGAACCCTCGTCGACTGGTCGCCATTCAAGCGCTGAAGAGCTTGGCCAAGGATGTAGTCGTACATCTCATCAATACCGGTGGGGGGATGATCTGCATGCGGAGCAACCAGTTCACGTAGCCGCTCCTGCGGAGGCTCTGGTACGTCACGCGCTTTGATGTATTTGCATGCCGTGGCCGCATAGATGAACAGACCCTGCGAGCGGTCCACAAGAATCTTGATGTCCTCGGGAGACAACTGAACATCTTCAAAATCGGACAGTTCTGCCGTCAGAGATATACGGATGTCTTCGTCAACAATATCGCGCTCGATGTCACGCAGCCGTAGATGTCGCGAGCCTGGCTGCCTGAACATGGTCCTGATGTGATGCTCGGGCCGGCTAGTTACGAAGAACTTGAGAGGCAGCTGGCGTCCGTGTTTTACGATGACCTTCAGCAGGTTTTCTGTCGCATCCGCGTCATCGCATTCATCAAGAGCATCCACGACGACGACTGGCACTGGACCCACTGCAGTGAATGCGGCAGTCGCTGGATCGGAGATCAGAAGACGAAACTGCTCCTCGATGTTCGCACTGGCAGCGAGCGGGTTCTCTCGCAGCACCTTGACGACCTCATCCGCGAATGAGGGTGAAGACAGTGATAGGAGGTACGCAAGTGTCCGAAAGATGGACCGCACATCCCGCTGCTCGGCCTTGCGGCGAGAGCAGAAAAAACTAGCACCCAGGCGGCCTGCGTGATTCCACGAAGCGCACAACGTCTTCGCAATAGTGCTCTTCCCAGATCCCGCGACTCCGTTCAGGAAGAAGATCGACGGTACATCCTCGCCCTCGTTGCATGCTGCCCAAGTAAAGACGTCTTCGAGGAGCTGAATGCGGGTGTCCGTGGTACAGAAGGGGATGTCTATCGCATCGTAGCGGGCCGACTCACTCCCAGACAGCTTGTCCAGGTAATCTAAAGGTTCCATGAATTAGAGCAAGCCAAAGTGAGGAAGGGCTGATGGCGACTGACCAAACTGGATCCGGCTGGCTGAGTTTGCATGCGATGACTGATTAAGCCTACGCAACTCTTCCAATGCCGCAATGTGGCGTACGTTGACTAACAACTGCATCCTTGTGAGCAAAGTCGTCGTATATTCAGGCTGAAACGAACCTACAAGGAAAAGGTCCGTGGCATCCCCAACAGCACGGAACTGTCGTTCAACTTCGTCGACGTCGGCTGGCGCAAGAACTATGCGTTTGCTAATCTTGCGATCCTGTTTCTTTTGTACGATTTCCTCCACTGCGTTGAGTTCGCTGTGGACATCTGTTGAGTCGTATCATAGAGCGCACACAAGTTCTACGCTACGTACTCCGCGACCTTGTCCAGGTACTTCATCATCTCGCCCTGACGGCCTGAGTCCAAAGATCGATACATCTCAACCACCTCCGTCACGAGGGAGACTTTCTCTGTGATGCGCTTGAACTTTTCATGCACATCGACAACCGTCTGATCAAACAAAGTCAACAGATGCTGTGGTCTACTGCATGCTGACGTACCTCGACCAAGTCAAGGATTCCCAGCAGACCTCCCACGGCTGACTTGAGAGGGGGAAAGACGTCGGCGGCCCTCTCCGTGATTTGCAGCGCGCTCTTGAACACAGCTAGGCCTATCGTGGCCCTACTGGGGGACTCATAAGCTGCACTGGGTTCGACGCCGTTGCCTGGATCGGCAGGCTGGTCGCCTGAGCTGGGAGCGTCGGAATCGGAGGCGCCCGCTGGGAAGCGGGCATCCGAATGCTCGGGCAGTGAGTCTGCGCGGGGGCGCACTGCCTGCGAACTGAACTGTCTTCGGGATGGGCTTGGCGACCTCGGCATGTGTGGGGACGGCGAGGAACCCCTCCGACACAGGAGCGACATGAGGCGATGAAATCCCTTACTCGCAGGTCTTGACTTGTGCTCAGGCGTAGAGGAGGGCTGTCGCCGAAAGGACTTGAAGATGTTCTTCTTAGGCCTCTTAGCCATGGCGACTGAGAAGGGAAAGCGAAACTGCACGGGAGAGGGCAACAGCGATGGTGAGAGTCAGGGAGAGACCTGCGCGGCGACTTCGACGATGGTGCGTGCTGATAACGACTTGTGAGCAGAGATGAAAGAGTGCTTCCGAGGACAAGCAACACGAGGCCTGTAACGTGTGGTGCGAAATCGGCTACCCTTGTTCTCGTTGACTGGCGAGCAACATCTCGGCACTTTTTACCAGCGCAGATGAACGTTGTTCTCTGCCTTGTACCCGACACTCGGTACAGCGAAACGCGCACACAACTACGAGCATTGGAGAAAGCAGCAAGCGTCTAGGAACGAAGGAGCAGAAGCTCCAAAATCAAGCTGCCTTGTAGACGCCGGGTGCCCAACTGCTATTCCCAGTAATGGCCTGGAACACAGTCACACGCCATAGGCCGTACGGCTGGGAGGTAGCCCCGACCGCAGGAGTACCGCGAAGACTCTTAGACAGCAGGTCTGCCTCTTCGACGTTACCTGCCAACCCCGGCGCATACATGCAATCGGCATGAGCTCACCTAGATAACGCCAGCCGAGCATACTCGACTCTCTCTCGTTTTCACAGTTGGTCTACCAGGCGACGGCGTGCTCCTGCGCAGATGCTGTGTTAGCAACCCCTTCCGTTGGCGTACAAATAGGATAGTCGAGAGGTGACGACCGCACCTAAGCAGCAGACGATTCAGAGCACCTCTCTCAGCCTCGTCGCTTTTCTCCTCGGTCCGTAGCTCTTCTCTGCGCCTGCAGCTTGAAGACGCGCCGCGAGCCGAGTCGTTCAGCGGCACAGTCCCGATCGCCATGCCGGCAGATACAGTCGAACTCAGACAGGCACGCGCTCGATCTATATCATGTCATCAGAACCGTACAACTGCAAATACTTGTGCGGGCTCACATAGACCGGCCAGAAGTCTGAATGTACATGCGGGATATCGTGCAGACAAGCGTTGTGCTGCAGCGTACGCGCATGCACACCGTGTTGTCCCGTTCGACGTCACTGATCAGGGAAACGTGCAAACCATGTCGAATTCGATCGAAGGCGTGCACGAGACGTCAACTTCGTGGGCTCGCGAGATCAGGAACCCCAGTCGCCGATCTTCCACATAGCAAGATCTGCCAAATGGGGGAAGGCGCATAATATCCGAAATGGCTGTGAGATGTTCTTGAACGTACACGCGGAGTGGTTGAACGACTATCCTTCCCTACTGACCAGCGTGTCTAGATCGAACGCGTTGAGCCCGCGCACGGCCATGAGCCACTCCTTCGCGCGCCGCGCCGCGCGAGACATCTTGACTAGCCTTGCGTAGCTCCCGCAGTTATGAATCCCGATGCCGCGGTAGAGGTCGGGCATAGCTTGTAGATACCAAGCCACGCAGACCCGCGCAGCAATGGGGAGAGCTGATCGGTCCATCTCGTCGATGGGAAGCGAGAAGATGTCGAGCGGAATGCGAGGATAGAGCGACGGGTAATGGGGGCGAAGAGTCGAATCTACATAGAAACCGAGTCTAGAAAGTACGACCACGGGCCGGCGCGTACGACGCGCCTCCGACAGGCTCTGTAGAGGGAACGAACGACGCAGCTACGAGTTCTCAGTGGCCGAGGTGCGAGTAGAGAGCGACTGAGGCGGGATGCCCTGCAGGGAGGGCGGTTGGTTCTGATGAGCACGCAGTTTGAATAGCACGTCGAATCTAGTCCGAAGAAGGGAGCTATACTCAATCACTGATCAGGCCCGCGCGACAGGATAACACAGAACATAGAAGACTGACACTTGGTTCGTGTCTGAGCAACATCTCCCTAGCAGTAGTACTAGGAGACTGCGCTCTAGGATGCAGAGTCAACGGGTGACAGCGAGGGTGTGGTTCAGAAGAGCGGGGAGCCTCGAGGACGTCTCGAGGCTGTGTTATTGCTAGCGGAAGGCCAGAGGCCTGGGGTCCGTATAGTTGTGCTCACGGGTGTAACGAACCGCATGTCGGCGGCTACAGTGGGTCGCGGCAGTGGCGCATACATTCGTCCGCACTGCAGAATGAGATGGCAGTGAATCTAGGATGTACACACATCAGCGCAAGCTGCAACGACCGATGTGCTGCCCTAACCTTAGAGTCATTCTTGGGCGAGGTGCTTACCGATACGTCTGCACGTAACGGGTTCGAGTTGCCCTCACCCGATGGCACCGTCTGTCAGTGTGCGACGACTCATCCGCATAATCGATGTTAAGAGCAGCGTGGAGCCGCAGTTGCAGCCGTGCTAGCTAGTAGGTCAATGATGGTATGTGTGCGAGCGAAGCACAGATGGTCTACTGACCGGGTGCGGAATAACGTCTCAAAAAGGCGGCCGGTGTCGAGTAGCGTGTCAACCGACGCGACATATTGCGAGAATTTGGGGAGAGAGATGAGGCTGCTGAAGCAGGTATGCGGAATGAATGGTATAACGATAACGATGTGGCTGAACGCATCGTGTTGCCCATCGCAGTGTCCGTCCATGTCGATGGGATGAAATTGTCGATTGTAAACGTTGGACTGTCATTGTTACTAGGCGTAGACTTTCGGACGTGTCTAACTCAGGCGACAAAAGGATGTATACCAGAGCGCGTACTGTAGGTCTAAGACCATGATTAGCGTACGGTCATCTAAGCACGAAGTAGTGGCGCACCTGAGCGACAGCACAGCCAGCCCTATTCAAACTCCATCCACATTATCGGCCACAGAATATTCCGCATTACGACCTCACGTCCGATAACGCTCAAGGCCTCCCCTTTGCTCGGGGTCGCTCGTCCGAGGGTGGTAGAGCACTGGTTGAGACCTGTGAGCCTGTCCAGGACGAACGCGTAGACTGCGACAGTTTTCGTGAGCTATATGCGGCAGGACTCCCGTCTTCCCAAAACAAGCTTCGATTGTGGACCCGTTGCGGTCGGTAGTCTACGGGGATCGAAAAGACGGCGGAGAGGATGGCGAGCGCGTCAGCTGGGCTTGCGCGGTTCCAAGTCTAAGCTCCAAGAGACGACAGGATCCGGACAAAGCTGCGCACGTAGTATGGTACCATGATTTCGCGCGACTCGAGGGCAGGAACAGCGCCGTGGTGGCGAGGTGGGGACGCTGGAGGAGGAGGAGGAGGAGGAGGAGGAGAGGGGGATCGGTCGTCAGTGGACGTCGATCGCAGAGCAGACGCGCTAGCGCCGGCTCGGGTGGTGCCGAGATCCATCCGAGCAGATCCTAGGCCTCGCGCGACGCGCGAGTCTCCTCTCGAGTCAGTGGGACTCTCAGTACCGTATCAGTACCGCGACATCTAGCATCCTGTCGTTCAGGTCAACAAGTGCCCTGCATATGGATTCCCATTTCCGGGGCACAGGAATCAGGCCGAACTCAGAAGACAGGGACTCTCATGGCAAGTGTCGGTGGCGACGCGACCGCGTCGGCAGACAGGTCTGTAGATCTCTTTGTGTGTTGCACGACGACTGCAGGCTGACGTGCCGTGTTTATCTCAGTCTCAGCAGAGCAATCCGCGCAGCACAGCCCCGGATTGAGCTACGCCCAGCCGCGTGCCTGCATTGTCCACTACTGGAGTGATGGCTTACCGCGAGATGCGCGGCGGCAATAACCAACGCTAGGAGCACCAGTTGCAGGGGAGGCGCCACCGAGATGGACTATAGCGCATGCGCCAATCCCAAGGTTTGTGCATCGTCGTATACATCCACTGTGTCAGGAACGTTCTTATATGCGTATGTAGCTCCTGCCTAAGCCCCGCCCCGACTACCAACGAAAGCCCTGGGGAAGTCCCGCGTACATACCCTCCACGACGATCCGCTATCACATCTGCAACGTCCTGCGGGACGTTATGTCGGTGTATGACGCGCACAAGTAGAGCGATGCTTATCGGCGCGCGCTGAGGGAACTCGCCTTCACCTCCGCCTCCGGCACCGTTACCGACCGCACCAGCTATATCCTCTGTCCCATCTACGAGCGCGACCTGCCCGCGGCGCACTAGGAAGCGCACGTTGCGCGCGACGCGTACCATCGCCGGCGCGAGCAGTATGCGGACGTCACCGCACTGGTGCGGTCCGCTGAGACGAACCGCGGTGGAGTGTCCGTGACGGGGCGAGGCGGGTGGTATTGACTTTGCGACGCTCGAGGCGGATGCAGTTCAAGGGACCGCGGTTGAGCATAGGGCGGAAGTGACGGTGTCAAACGGTGAACAAGGGGGCTTGTTCGCTCTACAGTCAATCAAGTTCAGCTCGTCGTACAGAGCAGGGCCTGGAGGCTCCAGGTATATGGTCATCACTGGAAGTGTACCTCCCAAGCCTGGCATAACTCCTCCCAGCTTCTCAGCGCTCCTTCGCCGCGCCCAGCGCTTCGTGAACTACGTCGCCGTCACCTGCCACGCCGCCCATACGGGGCGCTTCGACGACGCGCTCGAGCTCGAGTTTCACGACCTGCGCAAGCGCAAGCGTCTCCCTCTCCTGCGGCGCGCCGCGTGCTCGCGGTCGTCGCGCCCGCCGCGACTACGCCTTCGCATCCACCGCGCGCGGCCCGTTCCACCTTCCGCTCTTCGCTCCGCACGAGCTCACCACGCACGCGGTCCCCACCCGCCGCCCACCGACGTGGAGCAATGATCCTCCTTCGCTGCTTCGCGGTCTCATCGAACGACAGTGAACCCCTCATGTATCATGGATCCGTCTCGCCATTTATTCAGATCCATTCGGCACCGCACGCGAACCGCACAATAGCGCGCTCGAGATCAAGTGTGATAGCGAGGTACTAACCTCTTTCGCAGGCACCGAAGACGCCGCGGGACCGGACACGATCGTCTTGCAGCTGCTTTGGTTTCGGAGACGGATGCGTGAGGCTCAACGATAGACATTCTCCCGGTCGATGTTGCCTGCGAGCTGTGCGTCTTGCTCACTGTCACGTCGACCCGGACGCGGTGCACCATATCCAACCTCGAGTTCATCCTGGGGACGAGGATTGGGTGCGGCCTCGTAGGAGCCGCTCTGTCAGAGCTGTGAGTGGCTGTGTCTATTGGGGTGTCTTCGCGCCTGGCTGACCGTTGCTCTATTACGGCAGAGGAACGCACCATGCAGGCCGTGTGCGGACTGGTTCTCATAACCTCGACTTACATGCCGTCTTTGTGTGCGGGTACTGAGGGCGCTCCGCCGACTCAGATGAGTCTGTTGCCACGCTATTCTGCGTTAACGTTATCGGTAATACAAATGGAAGAAGTGATAGTAAAACATAGCGGTACGTCGCCGATATACGGTGCTGTGCCCTTGGCCACGACTCCTGGGCGCACCATGACCCGTGCGGAAGGCGTTGTACTTGGGTACTGGCATGATTCGTCGTATCCAGGTCCCAGGACACCGATCGATACGGAGTGACACTGACCCGCGGATTGTACAGTTTCATGTGAATGACAGACGTATGTCGCACTAGGAACCTCAGTCCGATTACAGCTTCCAACACAATGGATCATAAGTAGCAAGGTAGATTAACAGCATACGGTCAACGATAGCGTAAAGCGCAAGCAATGAGTCTTAGTGACGTTGTCCTAGGAGGTCACGGAAAGGGCGTTGGTATGGGAGGCCGCCGTTTGGCGAGAAACTTCGCTGTGCGGAAGAAGTGCACCGTACTGAGCACCGCACGCTCGAAGACGGTCTCATCTTTGTACACTAGTCTCGTTCGGAGCTTCCACCACGAAAGCTCGCGGGATATCGCGTCGAACCGCGTCTCGACCTCCGCGATAGTCGGGCGCTTCTGCGGATCGCTCTGCACCATGTCGGCTACAAGCTGCTCTATGAACTCAAAGCCACGGTATTCCTGAAGATATTCCGGGTTAGTATATGCCATGCAGCGCAGCGTGGGAGTTCGGATACTCGCTTTCGAGAAGGTTGTCCGTATGAGATTCCCTAGGTAGTAGATGTCGGTGCGGAAAGGGTCGGCGGGCACGTCGTATCCATCTTCTTGGAACTCTGGGACGGTTCTGTCGCCACCAAATACCGGCAATTCCAGCGGCGGACCGTCCGCCGGATCGCACTTGCGGGACAACCCAAAGTCGATGTAAAAGTATCTTGGTGGGCGCTCAGTGCGACTGCAGTGCCTTGCCCATCCGGAGAAGTCACGCGTAAAACTGGGCACTTGAGGACACTGCGGACAAACCCCTTTGTTTGGCGTCGGATAAGTCTCAGATCATCGTTAGAATGAGTATATCATCTCGAAATCCGAACATGAATTATTATCGGTGACCGAACATTGAAAGGCACGGCTCCTCATTGGCTGCCTTTCAATGTTCGGTCCAGGAAAATAGATAATATTCGGATTTCGAGATGATATACACGTTCTGACAATGTTCTGACGATGTAAGCGCTCCGTGCAACCTACTTTGTCCGCAGTGGGATGCCATAGCTTCTTCGTATACATTGGTATGACATCCATCATGACGTTCAGTTTAAAGATATCACTGGTTCAAGCAAGTCAGGATTGCGACGGTGTACAGTAGTAGATGCTGCCGCACCGATGCGCAACGTGATGTTCATGCATAAAGTGCAGTCCCTTAAGTACCTGTCAGCAATGCACGGGTATTGATACGAGGCTTGTGCATGTACCTCAATTGCCTGCTTGAAGAAGGCGACAGCCTCTCCAATCGTCACGATTCGTCAGGAAGTCCGGCGCATCGAATTTTTTGAGAAAGGGCATGACAATCATTGACTTGTTGAGTTCGGATGGCTCCTGCAGCACCTCGAGGATGCGGACGCAATGGTTCCGCGGATCTTTGGTTGACTGCTCAGACGACAGGAACTGTCCGATTTCAACCTCGAACGGATGGACGGCGGTGTCAATCGCCTTCAGCGTCACCAGCATACCATCCGACTGCTGGGTGGCGTCTAGGATAGTATCCACCTGGTAAATGAGTAAAGCGCGATGCCGAAGATTCTGAAGATCGAACGTACCAACGTCCTTTGACTATCTTCGCATCATTCGTAATCCTTGTCCGTACCCAGCCAGGAGGGCTTCCAGTCTGGTGCGTAACGCGGGCGCAAGACGTATCCATGCTCCCGAATCCATGGCTGTCGATCGCGCCAGAAGTACTCGTGCCTTGCGAGTCCGCCGGCTGTTGGCCCGGGGGCAACTGGTGCGTCAGTCTCGGGGTTGGATGGCTGCGAAGTCATAGAACACTAATGACTGCCAGGGTCAGGTGGAATAGCCACAGAAAGAGTCTCACAACATAACGCAGGGGGTGCGGACCAGGTGGACCTTCTACGACGGTCTATTGTTTGTTCAAGTCGCTATTAAGTCACCGCGACCGCGATGTGAGCGTCGGTACTGTGAGCGCCTATTCGCTCAGGGCGAGCAACACACGGTCACGTGTGCGTGTCGCCAACGTTCTCCCGTGCGTCGAGCGACGTGCGCCGTCAACGCACTACGCCCGCCCTCCCGACCGCACCCCATCGCATACGTCAGCTACTGTCATGCTGCGCCGCTCCATGACCCGCCTGCGCGACGACCATGGCAGTGAACCTCCGACGTCGCGTCAGACGCATCGAGAGACCGCATCCCCTTCCGAGTCCGCAGTCTACCTCAACGGCACTACTGGCACAACAGGCCCCGACGAAACTCTGGGAATATAGAATTAGAGAAATATCGCGTGGTATGGCGTACAGGCGGAGGGACTGCTTCCTCGCAATGTTGCGCAAAGACTTGGGATCGTGCAGGTACGCGGTCGTGCAGCGTTCATTACATTGACACAAAGCATACATCCAGTGTCCCAAGACTGCTGTACAGGAACCCGCTCGACTTGTCTCTGTCGTGGGCTCCTCATCTCCACCTCGCGATCGAGCTTGCTCAATCCCGCTGGTCACTTGGCCGCACATGAAACACGGCCGCCCGGCGTTCACGTGTGTGTGCTGCTGTCAGTCCTCGGGGATCCAGAAGTCGCACGGCTGTTCTATGTAATATATCGAGACACGTCCGTCACGCTTGCCATTCACGCTCGCCGCTTTGGGCAGTGCCGCCGGTGGCCTCTGCCATCTGCTTCCGCGGCCATCACCTGCGAGTGCATTTGGGATAGCCCTCCTCTTCCCACCACGGGTCGTGCTATCCCCGCTCTCGCTGCTCGCCGTTGCTGGGCCCCTTCGATCGACTGCGAGCAAGGTTGCGGACGGACCCGCCGCGCTCTCTGCTTCGTCCAAGGGCGACAGCGTGCGCGGCCTCTGTGTCCCTCGCTCCACGTGTCCGGGGCGTGTGTGCGTCCGCCGCTCTTGCGACGCGGTGGAGCCGCAGCAGACGGCGGCGCGCGGATCCTCGCAAGACGACCAGCACCGCGCGCCCGCTGCCAGCGTCCAGACGTCGCGTCCAGACGTCGCGTCCAGACGTCGACGACCCGTCGCTCTTCCATCGACCCGTCCGCGCTGCCTCACGCGCCAGTGCATATGTACTCTCGCTCACCAACACTCGCCCCCTGCCCCCTCTCTCTCTCATCTCGCGCAGGCAGCGTCGCACACGGACGTGCGTAGAGACATCGCGTACCAGCGACCAACGGCAGAAAGGAACGAAGGACTTGTTGTCCTTGCGTGTCATTGCCCGCGGTGAGCGTTTTGCAAATCACAACGGGTGGCTGAACCGGAGACGCGTCTTCGACCTGCACTCGACCCTCATGCTCAACGACCCGGCCACTCGCGCCCACTGCCCCTCCGGTACATCTCATAACGCCACGAACATCGACGGCGACGCTGGACGGAGCACAGCGGACACCGTGCAGACACGCCGAGACGCCGTCCGAAACGACACGCCGAGACGCCGTCCGAAACGACACGCCGACTGTTCAGCACCTGCCACACGACTTCACCTCGTCGCGCAAGTCGCGTCTGGTGCCCATCGCTTGTAAGCTGCTTTTCCGCACTCTGTTATCTGGGGCGGCCGCTCGCTGGCACAGTCCGTCGCGAGTTAGCGCCGCGCGCGTAGCCCCACTCGACGACCGGCACTCCTCGCTAGCAGCTCACGCGCCGCGCGCCTTCACCGGACGCGTACTTCCATTCACGCAGCCTGGCGGTGGCTACTCACTGCTTCGTGCGCGTGGCTACCCCTCTCCCACACACCCCGCTGGTTCACCTATGTTGGTTTCCCTTCCACCTTTCCGCGGCCGTTGCTTCGCGGTAGGTGCGGCTCACAGCGCGGTACGACCACATGTCGACGAACATCCCGACCGCCTACACTGTACGGCACCGTCCGCTACGGCATCCCGCGGATGCGTTGCACGCGATGACCCGCCGGGCGCGCGCTCACACTTCGGCTGGTTAACAACCCTGCGTCCCATTCGTCGCGGACTCCCATGCGACGGGGCATCAGCCTCCGCTGGTTCCACCGCGACCGAGACCGTTCTCGTGCTCGCGGTGATGCGAGGTTCAGGTCGATAGGCAATGTACGCTACGGAATGTCGTGAGCGCGCAATTGAACCAGGCACTGGGGGTCGTGTTTAGCGGACGCCGTCAACGAACGAGGTGCCGGTGTGCTTTCTGAACACTTACCAAAGTGGGAGGGAAACCATGTGCTCCGCCACGCGACGAGCCGCCTCTACAACGACATGAAACACGGCTCATTCGGAATGAGCAGGACTGCGTACCGTGGACCTACAGCCGTGCGAGGCGTGAGTGCGCTCGCGACCACTCAGCGTCACCGTACATTTCTCAGTACCAGCGGAACTCTCCTGACCCACCCCAGCACCGCCGGTTCGGTGAGTGTTTGCGCAACATTGCCCGACGAGTGACTCACTCATCGGCCACAGCTCATGCCCTCCACCGGCTCCCCGTCGACCCACCAGTGGGTCCGCCGCTTGAGAGCGGTCCGACAGGAATCTGGACCGGCGGTGTCAGCCCTGTACACCGTCATCCGCGAGCGTGCACCTACCGCTACCGGCTACGCGCGACATCGCTGCTGACCGGACAGTAGCTGCGGCGGTGACGTTACCCGCAGCGAGACAGCGGTCAGTCAATCCCTCCAGCAGAGCGAAGCAGAACTCCGCTCGCAGGTTGACGAAAGTGGCGTGGCGGCGAGTCCAACGTTCGTGCCGCGGATCGCGGTCACCATGCCACGTCGACGGGGAGAGCAAGCGCGCTGAATAGAGGGAGAGGGAAGAGGGTAGCGAGTGGACAGAGGTGCGTGGGCGAGCGCTGCTTAAGTGAGTGGCCAACAATACGGATGTTACAGTGTCGGAAGACGAACTGTCTTCCCGTATCGTTGTCAAGGGTCGGCTGCGGACGCGGCCTGCAACTGTGGCGGCTAGTCCATCGGACGATCGTTCGGCACTCCAAACGACTTCGCCGATCTCAAGCGCAATTCAGTGCCTTGGGAACGAGCGAAGTAGTATTCAGTCCCGGCACCGCGGACGCACGCGCACCCGATGAGTCGAACTTATCTGCGAGCGCGCACGGAGATTCGGGTCCATTTCGTGCGCTGCCGCAGGTGAGTAAGTACCATTACAGTGTCGGAAAACGCGCCGCGCGGATCGGTGGTCGTCACGTCCGGCGCTGGCTGGTCCCGATTACGTTCACGGTGTGCGTATGCTGCCCTCGATGACGGTACGCTGCTGGCGACATGGTGTGCTCGCTGCGTAGGACCGGGGTGTCTGTGCGGACCTGTCTCCCCGCAGCCGTCGTGCTTCAACGCGTCGACTTGCGCAACTGGATCCTACGGCATGACCGTTATCCTTGTATTTTCGGAGACTAGCAGTTCATCATTGTATGAACGGTGTGTGGCCTGAACGGAGTGTGCGCGCTGTCCGCACTGTGTGCCGAACGCAGTGTTCGTCGACTCAGGGTGATTGACCAATCAGTAGGTGTGGACGGCGATACGGCTCCTTGTGTGGGTCGAGTTTCGAATGTACTGTGAAACCGCAACAGAACGCCTGTGCATTCGGTGAGTGAGCTGGAAGCAATTGAGTGTCAAGACGGATAGTTTACCTACTTGAGTGCTGGGTGTTGCACCTGGGCTGCCAGGCTGCAGAGATTGGCCTTGTAAGACCTCACAGACAGGGGGAGGTGCAGGCGTCGCCGATAATACATACATGTATCTTCCCTTACAAGTCGCGGTTCCGGACGGCGTCCTGGTCGGTTGTGGTGCGTGTTCTGTGCGACGAGTGTCACTCTACATTGTCTCACACGCAACCAATACTCACGACGTGGCATGAATAGATACTTTATGACTTATTCGTCCTGGTCGTTGTCGTCGTGAACGCGTTCAGTAAACCACGGCGGAGTGACATGGACATCATTAGAGACCTGTACACCGATGGGTTCCTGATATTCCTGGTGCGCCTTTCTGATCACCGCATCCTCACTTCAGTTCTGACCGCGTTCTACAGGCCTTCCTCGGTGAGACCTCTGTCCTGCTGCATGAGAGACCCGCTCATGGTATCCTCAGTATTCCGTGTCTCGAGGCTGTTGCCGAGTACCATCGGCGGGGTACGTGGCTTCTCTTGTCAGGACACCGTAGCGTATCCGCTCAAACGACCCCCAGGGAGACGACGTACTGTTGACACCTCTGTGCGTTCTCTCTTCTGGGGTGTGCCAGCGCGCTCGACTGAACGTCATTATAGCATCTCGTGGTCACTGGAAGGTGTGCTGAACACGCGGCTCTACTACAAAGTCAAGGACCTCGAGGTGCATCGCAAGCACTGCACGCCGTTTGCGCTAGGCGGCGACACTCATACACGGCAACGATCCGGGGTTCTCGAAGTTGTAGTGAGAGGGCATCCGATCCTACCGGGAAACCGTCCAAAGCATCATAATTGTTCGAACACGGTATTCGGGAACATTGTATTTGCGATATTCGACAGGCGCACCGTCTCCTAGGAGACTACGTATTCGTCACGAGAAATCCTGTTCACTACAACTCGTGCATAACCCACCAGACAAACCGTTTGTAATGAGGATCGAAATCGTAGGGTGGTCGATCAAGCGAGAACGCACATAGCCAGGAAGTCAGTCCTTTGAATCACAACATAATATAACCCATCTTCAAGTACTTGCAAGCACAGAGTATGACATCTGCGAGTCAGAGGTTTGAGAGCTCAACGTCTGCCTCCGACATTCCCTCCGGGTCGACCGCGCTGTTCCGTCCAAACTGTATGGACGCTGTGCCATGAGTAGGCAGGTCACCGTTCGTGGTCGTAGACCGGGTACCATATGCCGTGGCTTGTAGGAACCGATTTGAAGGATCGACGGCATCATGCATGTTGAGCTGCATTGCATGTCATCGGAGCGTATCAAACGCACATGGAGGGAAGTACGCACCAGTAGCCTTGATGCCAGGACGGAGAATGCCATTATTGCTACCCTTTGATTCCATGAGTTGTGAGAGCCTTGTCGTACACCCGTCGGAGCTGACTTACGGGAAGAATGCCGCGAATAGTCCATTCTACAACGAGATCCAGTCAGAATAGTGGTTCACAAGGTTCGATGTAAGACGCTTACCCCGGCTACTTTCCACCCAACCACGTTTGTGACAATGGCAAGCACGACACCTCCGAAGTAGATCACCGAGTCCCGCAGCAGAACATAGATTATGGCCGGCCGTCTGTCTTCGAAGATCAACTGCATTGATCTGAAGAGCGAGAGGACTAACAGCAGGGTTTCGAACGTCAACATCGGCAACCAAAACGTCCACGCCCACGGCTTGATACCACTCGGTATACAGCCTGTGATTTCTTGCAGAGGGCCTGGCAGCGGTTCGACTGTGGTCGTAGCTTGTCAAGTGCACGCATTCCGGCACAAGTCACTCAGTGCACTCACATACAGAGTCGTGTGCAATGATACCAATAATCGTGCTCTCGCTTGAGATGACACCTACGTAGAAGATGCAAAGGAAAACAAGAATTTTCCTATTACACCCATAGAGAGCGTAAAGGCGCATGATGTAGACAGCTATGTCACATTGAACGATCATAAGACTTGATAGTATGGCTGATACTCACTGCAAATCGAAATTTCATACGGTATGGAACCGTACGACAAGAAGTTCATCCAATTGCTGCAGCTTTCGTAGAATTAGCCATAATGACATGAGTGTAGATTGCATGATGCGAGTCACGACCTACAACTGCGCGAAGTTATGCATCGGCTTTTACACGAATGACGATCGATGAACGTACCTTTGCGTCTGAGTTATGAACGGTAGCAAGCACTATGGAAGGTGTCAGTCCGACTCTTGGAAATTTATGTAGTACAGACCAATATTGTCGAATCTACGAACCGGTGAGCAATGGCGACGACATAGCCGAAATAGACTTAATACGTACATGAGGTTGAACATGCTAATCAAACAGGGTGTGAATATTTACATCAGAACTCATGTTCCCTTGTGAACCACACTCACGGCCAATATCGGTTCTGATGAATTATGAGAAACTCAGCCGGCGGTTCCAGTTTTCGAAAGAGTATATGCGCGGCTTACCCAGTAGAAGAGAAGATTCGTCCATAGAAATCTGCCTTGCCAGATATATCTGACCTATCAAAATATGGTCGATGAATCAGTGTCGAGAACCCGAGTGGCAGACGTACTTCATCGGCAAATGTCAGCACTATATGGAAGTGTAACGATTACGTGAGCGGGCAGTGACAACAGTATTGAGATCAGGCATACACCAGTCGTACAGCAAGAGCGCGAGAGAAAGTGCTAGAGATTAATGCTCTTTAGCTCCCATGAGCAGTCCGGAAAGTGTTGAATACTCACCCCACATCATACGCGTAATATGATAGTCTTCCATGGCGCTCTTCAACAAGGCCTCCTCCGCGTTCAGAAACGCAGTCAGTGGAGAAGTTGCGTTCGGTGAGCTGGAAGGTTCCATTGGGCTGAGCGTTCAACTAGCAAGCGGCTCGATGCATTATCTGTAGGTCGTGACGTTGCTTTTATGTATCGTGCCAGAGAGTATTATGATCATCAAGAAGGCATATACAACCACAGACGTACACGTCCTTCGGCGATAGAATGCACCTGGCAGGTGCACTGGCTTACTGATGAGAATCAGTAGATTTGTGCACATGCACGCCGAGTTAGGGCTGCCGAGACAGCAGATATGCCAGCGGGTAGCCATGAGTTCAAGACGACATGGAGCTGGTCCCTGGAGGGTTGATGACAGGTGAGCGTTTGTCTAAACTTTACAAACAGGTGAAGAGACCTACTTCACTGAGAGTTACGTCTACGGGCGGTCAGTCTTGCGGCGCCGATAGAGGTTGGCAGGTGGACACGCGCAACAAATCTCTGTAGTTCCGCATGAAGGCGCTGTGCAAACGCTGTCTAAACGGGCAGTGGCAGATCCCTCGTATGAAGTGAGCACCGCCCTTCGAACAGTGGTATGAATCACCCGTGTGCTGGTCCCTGGACGAAACCCCAGTACGACTAAAACAGGTGACACTCGTACCAGTACTTACTGTTGAATACGATGCCAGTGGCAGTCCTCCTCCTCCTCCAGCGGTGGTCGAACAGATGACAGGTCAGACAGGCGCCACTATGAGCCGCCTGCGATCGTTAGACGCCCAATCCGCATCATGCCCGTATGTATGCCCTCGAAGTCAAGAATGACAGGAACGTGTTGCTGACGCGCTTTACCCTATGAGGTTCACAACCTGTCCTTCCGAGGTGGCTTCATCTTCGGTTGCATACGAATACTTCGGGCATAAATGACACACACAGGGAGAATCAATCATTCCATGCCGCTGAACGTCTACAGGAACAAGCTTTGTCCGAGATCAACAATGAACACGATAACATGGCCGACGACGTCCACGTCAAGCAACATGAATCTTGTTCTAAGCGCAGAATGAGTTCCGAATGGCATGGACAATGTCAAATTGTCTACTGACCGGTTCACTTCATCTTCGGTCGCCGCGCTTCGAATAGGGCTACCACTCCCACCAACTTCACTTCCACTTCTTCGAAACAGCCCTCCAGAGCGCGCTTGAGTTCATCGAGGGTGTCGTCCGCATTACCAAATATGCCTTTCTTGTTGTACAGGCCCATCAAACGCCTGCCGAACCAATTGTGCGACACCCCTGGGCCTCGTCCCAGTATGGTCGCGCCATACAGCACGCCGTCGGGTCGCAGAGCGTCCGCCAGATTAGCGAGTACCTTCGGTCCCTTGTCCTCCATTCTGCCCGGGAGACAATGGAGAAGATAGAATAGGGAGACAGAGTCGAATCGTCCGCGAAGGCTCTCGGGGAGGGGTTGAAACACGTTATGTTGGACCTCGTCAATGGTCCCCTTGTACCCCGCGTGGCGTAGTCGCGATGTCGCAGTGCTCAGCGTAGCCTCGTTAAGATCGACTAGGGTGACGTTCCCCGTCTTTGAGAAAGGGTGCACTGATTTCGCCGGGTAATACCCGGTGCCGACACCCACGTCTAGATGGGCACTCTCGCCCAAGTTCTTATGGAAGAACGGAAGGAGAGTGGAGGTCGTAGAGCATCGCCATGCCCAGGCATTGGAGACGACGAGGACGACGATATTGTATAGATGCAGATTGAAGCGTGAATAGATGCGAGCCGAGGGATCCATGCTAACGCGGTGCGTGAGTCCGATGAGGCTGGGGTACAAGATCAGGGGCAGAGTGCTCGGTGAAAATTACCGCGATAGTACCTCTTATGCGACTTCTCAAGGATCGAGCAGAAGATCAGAACATGGGTTCGGATAAGGCCGTATTCGGCTGACCATGTACCATCTATCAGTAATTGACTAGGTTCGGCGGTCGTGGGCATGTGCCAATCAAGGAAGAATAACTCACATAACCGTATCATTCTTCGAATGATATCGAAGGGAAACCCGTTGAACCGATAGTGCTGGAGCTCCAGGTCGGCTCTTGACGCTTCAAGGGCCGCTCTTGCTTTCCTCTGGCCGCAGGGCGCGGGCCCGACAAGGGCGACAGAAGTCGGAATCGGTACCTGGCCGCTGGATGCTGGACGCGCAGGCAAAGATGGTTGCGCGAGACACATGCGATGGCAACACGCCTGCTCGGTTGGTATGTCATGTCATTGTCCATTGTCAACAGCTACCTATTAACTCTTCACTTAGCCGCTACCCACCTGCTCGCCTCGCGCAAGCCCGTCGACCTCCGCATACACACGCCCGCATCGCCCGTTTATCCGTGCCGTCAATGCTACCGTGACACAGCCACCATCCAGCGTGCATTTGACCAGGAAGAGCACTTCCAGGATTCCGGTAGGATGACGTGAATGCCCTGCACGCGACCGTCAGTCACGCACCAAGCCGTACTGATCAACCTCACCTTGTCAAACCTCGTCACTCGTTCTCGCCTCAAGCATGTCTATGAATTGCCATGTTCACGCGGTCGTCTTCAAAGGCGGTCGTCCGTGTCCGGGGTGTGGCTAAGCCACGTCGCGCGAGTGTCCGCAAGTCCCCAGAAGCACCCGTACACCTCCCGGCCAAATCGGTACACGCTCAGCGGCGCTGCGTCACGTCGTCCTCCAGGAGACTGTCAGTCCAGGCAAACGTCAAGTTGATACGAGCTAACATACCGGTCGGCCCTTGCATGCATCGCGCAGTGGTCCTAGGAGAGATTGCGGCGAACCACTGCGGTGATTGGACAGCACACAACAATCTTTCGACTTTTTATGCTGCCGGTTTGAACCGCAGGTCCGCGACACGTACGAAGCAGTAGGAGTCGTACCTTCCTAGAGGCGGTGCTTCACCAACTGCCCTCGAGCACTGCCGTATCGCCGCTGATGGCCAGGGGGTCACGAGCATGAGCGCCGTGGGCTTGAGGGACTGACTGTCCCACTCGCGCACGAAGTCCTCTGCACGAATAACAGTCAGTTTCGACTCGCCGCTCTCCTTGACGGCTTACCCTCCGGCTACTACCGGCTGACTCGCGACGAGCCCGCCGGTTTTTTGGATCGTCATCCCCGGTGTGCCTTGTTCGCGCGTACCGCCAAGATCTAAGGTGTGTGGTTAGTGCAGGTCAAGTCCCCGAACTGACTGTTGTCTCACTCACCTGTGGCTCGGGCGTACTGTTGACAACGCGGCAGCGCGCTTCGTGAACCTTCAGACCCGCTGCACATGTTGACCTGGCTCACGCGACATGCAGACGATGTATGTCAACGCAGGCGCATGCTCAAGGCGGTCGGTACGTGACCGAGATCCCCCATCCTAAGAGACATGGTCAGCCGCCGCCTATCCTCCCCTCCGAGCCTCGCGCGGATGTCGACGTCACGCATCCGTACTCATTCATGACCAAGTCGCCGCTCCCCGTCAGACGCCTCGACTATCGCTGCCTGCGAGGGCCAGTCATCGACACGCCTGGTATTCTGGCAACCCCCTACCGAGAACGTGAACACGCTGGAGATGGCTGGGAGCATAAGCACCGTTGAGTACATGCGTGCTATGTTCTGTGGACGCGTACCTTCGGATGCGCGACTCGCAGTTGGTGGACGACTACGTCGGTCATCCCGTTCTCCTCGACCTTCCCGTTGACTCCCGCTTTGCATGGTGTGGCACGGCACCTACATGTGCGCATGACGCCCTCCGAGTCCGCGTTGGTGGTCTCCTCGGATCTGTTCCGGCTTCCGGTCGAAAGCTCTACAGTTTCAAGTTCCACGTGGGTCATCGGAGTCTTAGGTCACTACGAGCATCGTCTGCTCGTTCCCAAGGAGCTGCTTCATCGAGTGGAGACGCTTGCACGTACCTCGACATTCTAAAGCGGTACTCACGGAGGGTCGTTCACGTGGAGAAGGGCGGCGCAGGCGTGGCGTAAACAACATCAGCCGCAAGGGTGCGTTCACCTCTGCCATTCTGTGTGTGGTGCCTAATGCCATCACTACGTTCTCGCAGACACGGATAGAGGTCGCGCAGCGCGCCGCTAAGATCATAGAGCTCACTCTTTCGGGGACGCTTCAGGCCGGAGGGCGCAAGACGAGCGAGCCACTGCGTCCGGGTGCCGGGTATCATGGACGGCAAGATTAATTGACAACGACATCGACGTGCTTGAGCGGGAAGGAGGGATGCTGTAGGTGGAAGGGATCTACCACTGCCATGTAATGAGGAAGTGCCCTCGTGTGCGGACGCTCTCCAAGCTTAGCTCTGACCTCACCACTGCCAAGTGCGACCACAGCCGGATCGAAGAGTGTGCGGCGGCCCTGGCGAAGGTTGCCAGGTGAAGCGGGAGAATGCGTGCCAGTAGAAGGTGGAGGGGGAGACACAGATGTGTGTGTTGGCGAGGAGAGCGGGCCGTAGGACAAAGCGGAGCGGATGGACGTCGGTCGGAAGGACCCAGTCGACATCAAGCGAGCGGGAAATGGCAATATTGTCCAAGGGCGATCGTGGCGAAGGGCCGGCAGGAGCGGGGTTGGATCGACGGTTGGCTGGTATGCGCGATGCTGCTTTATGTCTTGCGCTTTCTTGGCTCGTTGTGCTCGTGCTGACCGTGCCCCGTTCCTCGGCCAGCATCACAAGCTTCGAACCTGCGGGATCTTGGCCGGAGGAGACTGAATATGCTCGTAAAGGAGGGCAAGCTGTATCGCCTGCAGGGTCAAGATCTTCCACAACAATACTCATCTCGCTCAGGGTCTATATATACATGTGTACGCGTCGTAATATGAGCACCTCCACACCAGCCCGTTCAGCCCGATTCGCCGAGTCGCCCTTCGTCATAGCGACAGGACCGAGTCCTCAGACACAGCACGCACAATCTGCAGAGTCATACCGCATGATGATTATTGAGGCGCAAATAATACTGCAGGACGTACCATGTCTGCCACTTCACGTTGAGCGCCAACACTCTGCCCATCTCGAGCCATGTGCGAAGTTGCGGAGGTCGAGACGAACGGGATGTACGCCTATGATTGCAGTCATGCGAGGCCACAACAAGCCAGTGCGATATTCTGGGGGAACCCAAACAAAGAGCTCTTTGTTGGGGCCGATGATCCATCCGTAGTATGTCATATCGAACTCCGCACCATGCGACTCCCAGATATCGATGAGGGAGGGTGAACCGGATCCCGTCACGATCTGGGGTCCATACGATGCCCCAACGGTCACGTCCCAGATACGGATAGTGTCGTCCTCTGAACAGGTTGCGATGTGCCGAGCGTCTGGCGAGAATGCGATTGACCTCACCGCGATATCCGTGTGTCCTGTGAGAGGCGGTAGGACCAGAGCACCCGTCTGAGCATCCCAGACGCGAACCGTCTTACGCGACGCGGACGCGAGGTGCTTTCCGTCGGGCAAGAACGCGAGTGACCTCACTATGTCTGCGTCTTCAATGCATGACTGCTCGATATGGGTTTGGAGATTCCAAATGCGAACACACCGCCAACGATCGGAGGTATACGCAAGGAGCTTGCCATCGGGCGACAACGCGACTGCTGTTTCGCTCGTTTTGACCTTGAGCGGCGGCACAACACAGGTACCAGTGTCTGTCTCCCAAACCCGAATGGTGAGATCGTTGAAGCAGGCTGCAATAAACCTGCCATCCAGCGAGAACGTGGCGGATGTTAAGTTGGCTTGGGATGACATGTCGATGTCCACGATGTGGGCGCCCGTCGCCGATTCGACAATCTCAATGGACGACTCCTTCCGCCACTTCGCCCGAAGTGCGATCCGCTTGCCGTCCGGCGAGAGCGCGTATACATTGTACGTGCCATCCTTTCCCCAGTATCCATGGTGTGGCCGCTCACCAGACTTGCTCCGAGTCGTCTCCATGTCCCACACGTTGATTGCAGGGCCACGACGATTGTTGTAGCCCCTCGAGTTGCGAGTTGAACAAGATACAAGATTGATCTTGTTGTCATCCACCAAGAATGCGATGGCTATTGGCCAGCAGCCACTGCTGTCATGACCGAGTCCCAGCAGTGGCTCTCTGACCGCAGCACCTGTATGTGCATCCCAGACACGAACAGTTCCGTCTAGCGATGCAGATGCAACCTGTCTGCCGTCCGGCGAGAATGCGACCAACGTCACGTCCCTAGTGTGCCTGGGCCGCTCGCCAATCGAATCCGTGTGCCCCGTAGTAGTCTGGGCTGCATCCCAGATACAGATCTCCCCGTTATCCGAGGCGGATGCAAGGAGGCGTCCATCCGGCGAGAAGACGACCGATTTGACGAAGGTTGCATGTCCCTTCAGCACCCGATGACCGGCAAGTTTGCCATGCTCGAAGGACCAGACGCGGACTGTGGTATCATACGACCCGGACGCAATGAACTTGCCATCCGGCGAGAATGCGAGCGAAAGCACGCCCTCTGTGTGTCCCTGGATCGGCTGTCCAATTGCATCACCAGTCTCCGCGTCCCGGACATGAATAGCACCACTGGGTTCCCCGTACACAGCGAATGCGCTGTCTGGTGAGAATGTAGCTGCCCAAAAATTCGATGGTGCTGCAATCTTAGTGCCTGTCTCTGCATCCCACAACCCAGCATTTTCAGCATTTCCGCTTACTGCAGCGATTCGCTTGCCATTGGGTGCGAACACAATCGAAACAAACTCGCGGTCGTCCGGGTCGCACGCCGATCCTGCCAGTTCAAGCAGTTGGCCGATGGGGTCACCCGTGTCCGCGTCCCATTTGCAAATGGCGAAGTCGCGACCTTTCGGCATTGTGATACCGGCTGCGACGCACTTGCCATCGGGCGAGAACACTACCACGCTGTCGGATGTGGCATCCATAGGAACTTTGAGCGACCGTCCAATGGAGTGATCCAGTGTAGTGTCCCAGATATGGATGGCACTCGAGTGCCAGGCGTCCCAGGACACAGCGCGAGATCCGTCCGGTGAGAGCGCGAGGCGAGAATGCGGAACGTCAGGTCCCTGCCGCGGCTGGCCAATTGACTCCCCTGTCCTTGCATTCCAGCGGCGGACGTCGTTTCCGGCAGACACGATCCAACTGCTGTCGGCTGAGAAGGCTAGTGCGCGAACGTGGGATTGTTCGTGTATCTCCAGGAGGGGTAATGGTGTGAGCCGTTCCGCAGTATCCACCTTCAATCGACGCTCCAGTAGAGCGCGATATACCTGGCTGATCTGCGACTTTGGAGGTGTGAACGCAAGAGCCGAGATGTATATATGTGGTGCACTGTCGTGAATCGGCATCCCAAAGCGAATGAGGAAGTCATTCGCGTCCAGCAGAAGCCGCAGACATCGTGACACGTCCGCGTTTTCCGTGTTTTGTCTGGTTTGCTGGGTGTGGGCTCAACATGTATCCACAGGACGGCATGCAAAGGGACACACCTGTTCCCGAAGCCAGACTTCCAGCCTCATGATCAGTGAAGACGCTACATTTGTGTAGTTACAAACACTCAACACCTCCAGCCAGTATAGGAACTTGTTTTCGAAGAAAGCCAAGACATCCTGAGTCGCTCGTTCCTCCGAGACGGACGACATGGTCAGGTGTTCGATCCAGAATCGACACGCGTAAACGAGATACGAAGGGAGCTCTCGACGCGACGGCTGCTTTGCATTGCTGGCGTACGATGTGCTACACCCCGACACGTTGAAGAACAGGCCAGTCTCCATGATTTTGTTACACCCGAGGAAAAGGTCGCGATGTGTCGCTCCAGTGTCTGCCGCCCATCGCTTTGATCCAGACCGCGTCCGTGTAGTGAGATAGTCTGGGAAGGAAGCATGGTATGTTGTCAGGAGACCGTGTTCCTCGTCATGGTCGGGGACGTTGATCACGGAATGCAAAGCGACGAGTGCATAGCGGACCTGGTCAGGGGTGAGGCATAGCAAGTGCGCTAATTCGGGGACAGAGAGGGGATTGCGCGCGCAGACGACTGCGTGTAAGCACCGCAGAACCCTCGTCGACTGGTCGCCATTCAAGCGCTGAAGAGCTTGGCCAAGGATGTAGTCGTACATCTCATCAATACCGGTGGGGGGATGATCTGCATGCGGAGCAACCAGTTCACGTAGCCGCTCCTGCGGAGGCTCTGGTACATCACGCGCTTTGATGTATTTGCATGCCGTGGCCGCATAGATGAACAGACCCTGCGAGCGGTCCACAAGAATCTTGATGTCCTCGGGAGACAACTGAACATCTTCAAAATCGGACAGTTCTGCCGTCAGAGATATACGGATGTCTTCGTCAACAATATCGCGCTCGATGTCACGCAGCCGTAGATGTCGCGAGCCTGGCTGCCTGAACATGGTCCTGATGTGATGCTCGGGCCGGCTAGTTATGAAGAACTTGAGAGGCAGCTGGCGTCCGTGTTTTACGATGACCTTCAGCAGGTTTTCTGTCGCATCCGCGTCATCGCATTCATCAAGAGCATCCACGACGACGACTGGCACTGGACCCACTGCAGTGAACGCGGCAGTCGCTGGATCGGAGATCAGAAGACGAAACTGCTCCTCGATGTTCGCACTGGCAGCGAGCGGGTTCTCTCGCAGCACCTTGACGACCTCATCCGCGAATGAGGGTGAAGACAGTGATAGGAGGTACGCAAGTGTCCGAAAGATGGACCGCACATCCCGCTGCTCGGCCTTGCGGCGAGAGCAGAAAAAACTAGCACCCAGGCGGCCTGCGTGATTCCACGAAGCGCACAACGTCTTCGCAATAGTGCTCTTCCCAGATCCCGCGACTCCGTTCAGGAAGAAGATCGACGGTACATCCTCGCCCTCGTTGCATGCTGCCCAAGTAAAGACGTCTTCGAGGAGCTGAATGCGGGTGTCCGTGGTACAGAAGGGGATGTCTATCGCATCGTAGCGGGCCGACTCACTCCCAGACAGCTTGTCCAGGTAATCTAAAGGTTCCATGAATTAGAGCAAGCCAAAGTGAGGAAGGGCTGATGGCGACTGACCAAACTGGATCCGGCTGGCTGAGTTTGCATGCGATGACTGATTAAGCCTACGCAACTCTTCCAATGCCGCAATCTGGCGTACGTTGACTAACAACTGCATCCTTGTGAGCAAAGTCGTCGTATATTCAGGCTGAAACGAACCTACAAGGAAAAGGTCCGTGGCATCCCCAACAGCACGGAACTGTCGTTCAACTTCGTCGACGTCGGCTGGCGCAAGAACTATGCGTTTGCTAATCTTGCGATCCTGTTTCTTTTGTACGATTTCCTCCACTGCGTTGAGTTCGCTGTGGACATCTGTTGAGTCGTATCATAGAGCGCACACAAGTTCTACGTTACGTACTCCGCGACCTTGTCCAGGTACTTCATCATCTCGCCCTGACGGCCTGAGTCCAAAGATCGATACATCTCAACCACCTCCGTCATGAGGGAGACTTTCTCTGCGATGCGCTTGAATTTTTCATGCACATCGACAACCGTCTGATCAAACAAAGTCAACAGATGCTGTGGTCTACTGCATGCTGACGTACCTCGACCAAGTCGAGGATTCCCAGCAGACCTCCCACGGCTGACTTGAGAGGGGGAAAGACGTCGGCGGCCCTCTCCGTGATCTGCAGCGCGCTTTTGAACACAGCTAGGCCTATCATGGCCCTACTGGGGGACTCATACGTTGCAGGGGGTTCGACGCCCTCGCCTGGATCGGCAGGTTGTTCGCCTGAGCTGGGAGCGTCGGAATCGGAGGCCCCCGCTGGGAGGCGGGCATCTGAATGCTCGAGCAGCGAGTCTGCTTGGGGGCGCACTGCCTGCGAACTGGATTGTCTTCGGGATGGGCTTGGCGACCTCGACATATGTGGGGACGGCGAGGAACCTCCCTGACACAGGAGCGACATGAGGCGATGAAATCCCTTACTCGCAGGTCTTGACTTGTGCTCAGGCGTAGAGGAGGGCTGTCGCCGAAAAGACTTGAAGATATTCTTCTTAGGCCTCTTAGCCATGGTGACTGAGGAGGGAAAGCGAGACTGCACGGGAGAGGGTAACGGCGACGGTGAGAGTCAGGGAGAGACCTGCGCGGCAACTTCGACGATGGTGCGTGCTGATAACGACTTGTGAGCAGAGATCAAAGAGTGCTTCCGAGGACAAGCAACACGAGGCCTATAACGTGTGGTGCGGGTTCGGCTACCCTTGTTAATATGTTATGGTGACTGGCGAGCAACATCTCGGCACTTTTTACCAGCGCAGATGAACGTCTTTCTCTGCCTTGTACCCGACACTCGGTACAGCGAAACGCGCACACAACTACGAGCATTGGAGAAAGCAGCAAGCGTCTAGGAACGAAGGAGCAGAAGCTCCAAAATCAAGCTGCCTTGTAGACGCCGGGTGCCCAACTGCTATTCCCAGTAATGGCCTGGAACACAGTCACACGCCATAGGCCGTACGGCTGGGAGGTAGCTCCGACCGCAGGAGTACCGCGAAGACTCTTAGACAGCAGGTCTGCCTCTTCGACGTAACCTGCCAACCCCGGCGCATACACGCAATCGGCATGAGCTCACCTAGATAACGCCAGCCGAGCATACTCGACTCTCTCTCGTTTTCACAGTTGGTCTACCAGGCGACGGCGTGCTCCTGCGCAGGTGCTGTGTTAGCAACCCCTTCCGTTGGCGTACAAATAGGACAGTCGAGAGGTGACGACCGCACCTAAGCAGCAGACAAATAAGAGCACCTCTCTCAGCCTCGTCGCTTTTCTCCTCGGTCCGTAGCTCTTCTCTGCGCCTGCAGCTTGAAGACGCGGCGCGAGCCGAGTCGTTCAGCGGCACAATCCCGACCGCCATGCTAGCAGATACAGTCTTTCAGACAGCCACGCACTCGATCTAAATCATGACATCAGGTCCGCACAACTGCAAATACTTGTGCGGACTCACATAGACCGTCCGGAAGTCTGAATGTACATGCGGGATATCGCGCAGACAAGCGTTGTGCTGCAGCGTACGCGCATGCACACCGTGTTGTCCCGTTCGACGTCACTGATCAGGGAAACATGCAAACCATGTCGAATTCGATCGAAGGCGTGCACGAGACGTCAACTTCGTGGGCTCGCGAGACATGGAACCCCAGTCGCCGATCTTCCAAAGAGCAAGATCTGCCAAATGGGGGAAGGCGCATAATATCCGAAATGGCTGTGAGATGTTCTTGAACGTACACGCGGATAGACGCAATGTGCGGTGTGCGGACGAACTTGAAGTGCGAGAGGTGATCGAGCCGCGTGCAACGAGGTAATCCAGAGATGCTGAGGAATCGAGGTCCAAGGGACAGACGACCGAGTGAGAGGAGAAGTGGTTGAACGACTATCCTTCCCTACTGACCAGCGTGTCTAGATCGAACGCGTTGAGCCCGCGCACGGCCATGAGCCACTCCTTCGCGCGCGGCGCGGCGCGAGACATCTTGACTGGCCTTTCGTAACTTCCGCGGTTATGAATCCCGATGCCGCGGTAGAGGTCGGGCATAGCTTGTAGATACCAAGCCACGCAGACCCGCGCAGCAATGGGGAGAGCTGATCGGTCCATCTCGTCGATGGGAAGCGAGAAGATGTCGAGCGGAATGCGAGGATAGAGCGACGGGTAATGGGGGCGAAGAGTCGAATCTACATAGAAACCGAGTCTAGAAAATACGACCACGGGCCGGCGCGTACGACGCGCCTCCGACAGGCTCTGTAGAGGGAACGACCAACGCAGCTACGAGTTCTCAGTGGCCGATTTACGAGTAGAGAGCGACTGAGGCGGGATGCCCTGCAGGGAGGGCGGTTGGTTATGATGAGCACGCAGTTTGAATAGCACGTCGAATCTAGTCCGAAGAAGGGAGCTATACTCAATCACTGATCAGGCCCGCGCGACAGAATAACACAGAACATAGAACACTGACACTTGGTTCCTGTCTGAGCAACATCTCCCTAACGCAGTAGTACTAGGAGACTCAACGGGTGACAGCGAGGGTGTGGGTAAGAAGAGCGGGGAGACTCGAGGACGTCTCGAGGCTGTGTTATTGCTAGCGGAAAGCCTGAGGCCTGGGGTCCGTATAGTTCATAGGTGTAACGAACCGCACGTCGGCGGCTACAGTAGGTCGCGGCAGTGGCGCATACATTCGTCCAATCCACTGCAGACTGGGATGGCGGTGAATCTAAGACGAACGTTAATCAGCTCGAGGCGCCACGACCAAAGTAATGCCCTAACCTTAGAACCATTCTTGGGCGAGGCGCATACTGATCCGTCCGCACTCAACGCGTTCGAGTTGCCCCTCACCCAACGGCGCAGCCTGTCACTATGCGACGACTGATTCGCATAATCGACCTGACGAGCAGCGTAGAACGGCAGTGAAAGCTGTACTAGCTACTGGGTCAATGACGGTATGGGTGCGAGCAAAGCACAGAAGGCCTACCGAGCGGATACAGAAGTGACTCCTCAGAAGATGGCCGACGGTGTCGAGTAACGTGTCGACCGACGCGGCACGTTGCGAGGATTTGGGAGGACATAGGGCGAGAGGACCCTGGCGCACACGTATACGGACTGAACGGTATGGAGATAACAATATGGTTGAACGCATCGTATCGGCCGCCTCGCAGTGTCCGTCCGTGTCGATTCCAGACTTTTGTTGATGCCATGCGTTGGACTGTCATTGATACTAGGCGTAGCCATTCGGACGTGTCTAACTCAGGACACAAAAGTCACCGCGCGTTCTCTGGGTCTAATACCTTGGTTAGCATACGGTCGACCAAGCACGAAGTGGCGACGTACCTGAGCGACAGCACAGTCGACCCCAACCATATGAACAATCTCGACAAGTCAGGCATTGAAACCTCACATCCAGGAACGATGGGTATGCTCAAGGCCTCTCCTTTCATCGGGATCGCTCTTCCGAGGAAGTAGAGAATTGGCTGGGATCGGCGAGCTTGTCCAAGACGAACGCGGAACGCGTAGACTGCACAAGATTTCTTGGGTTATATTCAGCAGAATTCCCATCTCCCCGAAGGAGAACTTCGACGGTAAACCCTCTGCGGTAGCTGGTCCACGGGGCCCCGAAAAGACGACGGGGAAGACGGTGTACGCGTCAGCTGGGCTTGCGTGATACCATACTCCAAGAGAAGACTAGAGACAAACTGAGCATGTAGTATATATAAGTTCGCGTGAATTGAGGGTAGGAACTATCGCCGTGGTAGCCAGGTGGGGACGCAGCAGGAGAGGCTAGGAGAAGTCGTCAGTGGACGTCGACTTCAATGAAAGGTCGATTGGATCTCGGATCGCGGAGCAGACAGGCTAGCGCCGGGGCCAGTTGTGCCGAGATCCATCCGAGCTCCTCCGAGTCCTCGCGCGCAAGTCTCTCAGACTCTGCGTCTCACTGGCAGTACCAGTATGTACCATCTGGGATCCAGCAAATGGCGCGTCTAGTGCTACAGTGAGTCGACGGGAAGTACCAAAAAACTACTGAAATACAGAATGATGTTCATTGTGCATCGCCGGCAGCGACTGCAAGTTCGTTGGCGGCGACTGCCCCTGCAGCGACTTCACCAGCGGCCACTTCACCAGCAGCTGCTTCCCCGGCAACGATTTCACCTGCAGCGCCTTCTCCTGCAGCGATAGCGTTGGCTCGCCCAACGTACTGCATGATCTCGTCTTCCAGCTCCCGTGTGCTCGTCTTCGGGTAGAGCAATGTGAGATACGCCACCGTGTAATAGTAGGTGCGCTCATCGGCACACAGAACCCGGCAACCCTGGTGCGTCACAGACGTCGTCGGGACAGGGTGCCCACACGTCTCGTTCGGGCACTTGTTGTCGCCAGCCCACACATCAAAGCCTATGCGCTCCAATTTCGGGCACTTCGTGGAGAACGCTGAGAGGGACTCGACACAGACAGGTGTCACGCCGTCCCACATTTGGTGAATGTTAATCGTCTTGAGACGCGGCCAGGCGGAGGCGAGAGCGCTGATGTCGTTGCACGAGAGGGTGACTCGGGGAAGACCGAGGGTAAGGTAGCGTAGATTGCGGAGCTGTAGAAGTGGCCGCAAGGTAGACATCGAGGACGTCATGGTTCGTGAGCCGAGATTACTGGGCTCCAATTCAGAAATTCTCGATATAACGAACGAGAATTTCGTGAGCGCGTTGGAGAACGGGCTCTTAGTCAGACCCTCGTAGAATCTGCGCATCTTCGTGGCATCGGGGGCTACATCCGAGATCGACACTGATAGGTCGGCCAGGCAGGTGGACTCGATACTATCAAACAGATGTTCGCCCGCAGCGCCAAATTCGGTCAGGTGGAGCCGGAAGCTGGTGAGGCTGGGGAACGAGCCCGGTGGCAGTCGCTCGAAGTCGGCCGTCGACTCCGGGTCCATATACACGGACACGTCAGCCAGCTCGAGACGGGGCAACCGCGCGAGAGAGACGACGTCCTCCCAGACGATGGGCACGGACATGCGCAGGGTGCGCAGGCCCATCAGCGCCTTCCCATCGATGCCGTTGCGGAGGAAGTCTGTGAAGACGGGATAAAACGCCTCGGACTCGCCGAGCCCCCGCTCGTTGGTCCACCTCGGCGGCGCCCGTACGTGCAGATGCCGAAGGTTGCGACAGCGTAACGGCAGCTCGTCAAACATCGCCGTCAAGGCTTCTTCTTTGACAAGCGACGCGGTCACCCAGAGGTCCTGTAGGCTGGGTGAAGCGAAAAGCGCGAATGGTGGTATGGTGTTAAGCGAGAGGTCTTCGAAGACTCGCACAGTAGGGAGCCACGGTTTGTTGAGCGACGATAGTGCGTCCACGAAGAAGGACAGCGTCCGTGGCGTTAGGTCCCTGTCGATCCAGGTAAAATTCTTGACGTAGCGGGAGTGGTGTTCGAATCGGACGGTGTCGACGACCGTTTGGGACGATTTAGAGTCAGTGGCATCGGCCTCTTCGACGTCCTGATGTGCACAACGAGATGAGACGTGCTATTGGAGCGATTTATGGAGAATGATACACGTACCCAACGGGTGTCTCCGCGCTCGTCACGACACTTCCTCCAAGTGAACCCCGGTATGAGTTTGAGTAAAGGGACGAACGAGTCCATGTTTCCCCACAGGATGCGGCTCGCCATGTGGTGTAGCTTTGGGTGTGTGCGGGCAAGGCGCGCGACGGAGACTCGGGTCTCTGGCCGGTCGGGATCGTATAGGAACCGAAGAACGATATCGCAGAGGTCGGGGTTGAAGAAAACTCGGTATACGGGGGACGATCTATACTTTGCCAGGAAAGCATCGCGCTTGGTGGCCTCAGGAGAGGCAAGCTAGAACTCCTCAGTCAGATGAAGTCATGGGGAGATGCACTGGTGACTGACCGTGCTTTTAGAGGGGGACGGGGGAGTCGAGAGGGTCGAGGGGATCGAGCGCAATAGTTGGGCAGGCATTGCGATAGGGATGTTGATCACGATGTGGCGGGGTAGTGTTACGATGTAGCAGTGTACTAAAGCGCACGGTTACGCCGGAAGTAGCGGGGCACAGTACGAGGGTGGATGGAGCAGGGTTCGAGTTGAACTGACGCGACGCGGGCCACAGGTAAGTGTTTAAGCGCGCGTGCATGTTCAAGCCACAAGCCACACACAGCCGCCCGCCCCCGAGCCTCCGCCCAGATTGAGGCCCAGCGTGATTACAAGGGCGCGTGCATTCTAACACATGCACAGCATTGTCGGGTCATCGAGTGTTGGGATTGGATAGAAGGCGTGGACGTACCTATTTGTTCGCTCGAATAGGAAACCTCTGGCGGGCCGTCGTCTAGGCCCGGAGGCGAACACATTGCAGCCTTACCACACCGGGGTTTCACTTTGTTTGAAGCAATACGTACTGCCGGTGAAGAGTCCAGCTGGACGCCATCAAAGGTGGACGTGACACTCACTCATCATAGGTGTGTTGACGAGTTGATCAGCGCGTCGCATCCAGCTCAATGCCAATCCTCAGGACCAACCACCTCGAAGTTTGCAGATGGGTCGCGGTGACTCCAAGCTCGACAGAGAAGGGTACAGTATGGCGGCATAGAGCCGTGATGCACTAGGCGGAGCAGAAGACTCGACTGTCAGCAGGCAAGTTACGCATTCGTACATAGCAGACGTGTGCTCACCTACGAAGTCGACCGGAATAGCTTGCGGTGCGACAGCATCAGCGTTGCCGGACAGAGGACCCGTCATACTCTATTACGATGTATTTAGTGAAACTGCGGTAGCGGTCAGGGACTGCACCGTTTATCTGCACTGGGATGAATACCTATCGTGCGTGCTGTAGGGGCCGATTTGCAGACAGGTGAGTTATCTCAACGCGAATGCGCATTTTCATCGAGACTGATACTGCCCATATGTCTATGTCACCCATGGCCGGGCATCTGATACTGCTTTGACGAGTAACGGCTCATAGTCGCATTCGTGTTTGCATTCGGATCCTGATCATCCGTGACGCCTCGTGGGGAGCCTTCAACCATCGGCATATAACGAGAGTTCAATGATAGCACATGCAGCTAAAGCACGCTGGAGAGCTTCAGTACGGCATAACGGGGCGATGGGTACAACCTGAGTAGGCGCAACAGAATGACCAGGAGTCATGACGTGAACTTGGACGCTTTTGTTGTGCCGCCGCATCAGCGTCGTGACTGCCGTCAGAGAAGTATGGACTTACAACTCTCAGTGGGCTTCATGTATGCTATTCGCCTCCTGACCCATCGCCGTCGACTGCCAGTGCGTGCACGGCAACACTTTGTGACGAATGCGGGCTACGAGCACTCGTCGATGAACATTGAACGTTGAATACACACGTTGTAATCTTGCTTTTTCTCCGCGTTGTGAGACGTTGGTAGCAGATCTACGTCTTACAGCTGATCCTCGAGGAGAACAAGTCCTAGACTCGGACGCCGCGTCTTGATCCCGTTGCTCAGGGGTCCCAAAAAGCGTCTCCCATGGTACGGGTCGCCAGAGCCAGTAGCATCAAGCATCCAGACGTGAGTTCACCTCGCCGCTGCTGTTACTGCGGTATCGTGCAGACAGAGAGGCTGCTCGTCGTGTAGTGACTCGTGAGCAGGTGGTTCAAAACTCGGATAGCCTGACGCCCTCCGGCTCGACTTGGTGTCGCGTATGTAAAAAACAACCGGCGCTCGCGTCTCTGCTTTCGGCCTCCACCATGTCCTCTCGCAGCCTCTTCTGCCACACGGCGTGCAGCATACTGCACTCAAGATCCTCTCTCGTCATGGGATCCCTCACCCGAGAGTCTACAAGGTGCTCGGGCCTAGCGGCCATCATAGGTCTGCCAAAGTGCAATGCGACCTCAGCGGCGATTGCTCTGTGTTCTGTCTCTTTTCGGCCGGCCGAGTTGTGCAGTAGACACTACGTTACGGCCCTATCTTGCTCGGAAAGCATGGACCAGACAACAGAATGAGTTCATGAGTTCATGAGTTCGTGAGTTCGTCCCATCTCAATCTGTGACTTTGCACGTAGGGTGTGTATGCCAGCTGACGCATGAGCTCTGCACGTTCACCATCGGGTCCGGCCATGGTATCAGCATCTGACATCAGACAGACATAGAAAGTTGTCCTCATCCACGACGATGAGCCGCGAAGAGGCGAGCATGAGTAGACCTAATGCGGAACACATCAACGCAAGGTTCCTGCGGAGACGGAGATCGGGCGTAGTCAAAGAATGGTGTGGTGTCATGGTGAGTTAAGTTAGTAGATCAGGAGGACTTGCGATGTTTCCTACAGTACCTCGAAGGCCGAGAGCATACATGTAACTTACCCTGTATCGCATCTACACTCGACGGAATGACCTGTAGGTTAGCCGCGACCATGATGTACGTAGCGGACGCATCGTCATGTGGTGGTCGGGACGGTCGCGCTCGGATTTTGTCATCATGACCATGGCCATTCGTCTTCCATACGCTCTTGTCCCACCTTGCTCTCAAGGCTTGAAGCTTGATCTGCTCATGGGTATACTCCGTGGAGGACATGCCGAGTGCGTACCACATATTTACATAGATATGGGTACCCGTGGCATTACTATTGAACATGGTTGTAATGTAACCGCATTGTCGCGAAAGATCACGAGGAAACGTTACGTTCAGATCCAGTATGTGGCATCTAACGTTGAGAGTGATCTACATGGCAAGTAGCTAAGAAGAAAAAGTCGACGCCTGCAACAGAACAGTCGGTCAACTAGACGCATTTTTGATATGAAGTACAGCTTTCGGGAATAGGTGACCTAAGTAATCACGAACCGACTGTTTGTCTTCGTAAACACCACAAGCGACGGCCTCGACTGGCGTCGCGGGATTCGGAGCATCAGTGAAAGCCGCCAGAGATTCTCCAGGAATCGCCTCCATCACGTCGATTCCTGTTATCGTCTTCAACTTCAGCGAGTAAAGCGCGAATGGGGCCAGCCAATCAACGGGGAAAATATAAGTGATGCCTGCGGTCTGCTGGAGGTCGATTGCCGTGAGGTGCGGCCAGGCCTTGGACAGGGTGCAGAAGTCGTCCATCTCCAGATACAAATTGGGCACCGTGACGGATAGCGACGCCAAGTTCGAGAGCTGTAGGAGCGGCTGAAGTGTGCACATTGAAACTGAAAGGACCTGCGACGAGTCGTCCGTTTGGTGAGCCGCAGCCTTGTAAACAAGCCGCTCGACGGCCTGCCTGTATGCGCTCCGAGAGAGGGTCTCGAACAACTGGTGTACCATTCGTTCGCGGGGGGCAACGTGCGCGATCGACACGTCGATGTCCTTGAGTCTCAGGGAGCCGATGCCATCGAGCAAGCGAACCACCACACCGTGACCGCCCAACGTCTCGAGGCAGAGCTTCAGGACGAGCAGGCCCTGGAAAGCGAAAACGGGGAGCGCCTCGAAATCCTTGGGTTCCTCCTTGGACACATGAATCGCGAGTTCCTCCAACCTCGGCATCTGCGCCAGCGTCATGATGTCCTCCCACTGAATGGGCACGCACGAAAGCAGGGTACGAAGGTTCGGCGCGCCCGACGAGATCTCAATACACTTGTGTAGAAATCCGGTGAACGCTGCGGCGAAGTCGGAACTCTCCTCCAGGCGCGTATCCTCGGGGTGCACCGGGTTCTGGATACTGAGATGTTGAAGGCCGGGGCAGCGCTCCGGCAGTCCCTTCAGTATGTTGATCAACGTCCATTTCTCGTAGCGAGACGCAGTGATGAAGAAGCCCTCCAAGCTCGGTACGCCAAAGACCCACACGGGAGGGAGGGTGACTACCATGCGCCTTTCGAACCATACGAGGGAACGTATGGATGGGAACCACGGCCTGACAGACGACAGCGCCAGCCCGAAGAACTTGAAGGTCCCCGGAGTAATTTCGTCGTTCGTCAACCAGGCGAAGCACTTGATATATGCCGAATAGCGTCTGAAGGCCGCCGTATCGAGCGCAAGCATCGTCGGATCATCCTGGGGCACTACGACGTGCTGTTGGCAACACATCAGGAGGTGCGATAAGGGCTGGAGAGTCCGTTAGACGTACCCATTGCACTCCATCACCACTATTTATCGGGGAGCTCTTCCATACAAGCCCGGGTACCGTTTTGAGGAGGGGGACGAGCGACCACATCCTCTCCCATAGGACTCGCAGTGCTGTGTGCATGAATTCTCGCGATGCGCAGGCTAGGCTGGCCACAGAGCCGTGGTTGCGTCCCTTCCCTAGGCCGAGCAGGAGCCGCACTACATTCTCGAATAGGTCCTCGTTGAAAAGTACTCGGTAGACCGGAGACGACTCGTAGAGAGCCATGATATTGTTACGTTGGGCCAAGCAATTCTCAGACTGTAGCCCCACGTCATAGTAAGGCCACAACACAACGAGGAGAGGTACTAACGACTTACCGCGGACTCAACGGAGGCAATGTCTGAAGTCGACATAGCTGGTAGCAATGCAATGCGAGGCGCAGTTGATGTTTTGAGCAAGTGATCGCGTATATAGCGTTGTAGCGTTGTTGCTGAAATCCAGGTAGTAGAAGCCGTCCTGACCGCGAGGACAGAGTGCGAGGGCGAGGAGTGCGGGTACGGTACAAGTCGGACGGCAATCGGTCACGACCAAGCGCCCGTCGATGTTGACTTTCGATGCAGCCACCAGCCTCGGCCAAGCGCTTCCGACTCTCCGACGGATTTGAGACCCAGCGCGCACGCAGAGTACAAGGGCACGTCCATTCTAGAACGACGACGAGCTCAGACCGCGCGGTGATTGGCTAGGCCTGTGTTGACGCAGCCGTTTGTTCGCTGGATTTGGAAACTGCCCGAAGTTTGCGTCGGTCGTCGTCTGAACCCCGAGGAAACATCTTGTCAGTGACTGATTCTGTTCCAGATTGTTGGACTTGGACTGACATCGATTCGCCATGCAGCCATTGTTACTCTCCTGCGAGGCTAGCGGCCGCTTTTGACATTGCTGGCCTCGTTTCCGATGATCTATTGGAGTGCTGAGGTCACTGGGCTCTAGGATGGAATTAGATGAAAGCGTACGCCATTGACAAGAACCTGGTGCGAGTGAGGATGACCGAACGATGTTTTACGAACAGGTTTGATCTGGTGAGCGACGTGGCGGCATAACAGCAAGACGTAGAACGTTGAGTGGCGCTGGCGTACTTTGGACAGATGTGTGAGTACGTGTTCTGTGAACATTGCCGCATACTGAAACTCACAGTCTGGTTCCTATGGTCGTTTCTACCGCCGCTACGTCGGCGGCGACGCCAACAAAGATCGCGGTCGTTAAGAGACATCCTTGTCGCGACGACATATCCAACGACGTGGCGGCAAGAATGTACAATTTCATCCCCTAAGCGAGCAGACGAGTACCAATTGACGGGGTGCGTGGCTAACAACCAGTAGGTGTTATGTCATCGTCTATGATGTGAAGTATCCAGCTCAGATGTATTGTTTACATGCAGATTCAAATGTGATGGCTTTTCATTCCATGTAACGGAATGGAGGCTGGCAGTATATGAGCTCACCCACGATGCTTGCACGATGCAATAAATCCTCCAAGATGTTGGATGCTATCAACACAGATGTCAGACAGGTTGATTAACGGCTCATATTGAACAGGCGTACCATACGTTCGCGTAACTCCCCTTTGCGACGTCTCAGTGAGTTCTGCCAATGGACTCTGCGACAGCTCTCTTATGCGGCACGCGGCACTAGCAGCAGAACTGCTGACGGTGTTCAGTGTCTGTCGCGCTATCGCGGTGATTCCTGCTTGCTACCCGCACTCCCAGCTCGTGTTGGCTTTGCGATCAGAGCACGCTCATTGTCGCTCTGTACCTGTTCGTAGTCTATACACGGCGATTTCAAGCTTGGAGCGTTGTCGGGAACTCGACCTCGAGCATATTGCCAGTAACACGGCTGAAAATTCTATCAGGATAATGCGTCACAGACAATGGACGTGATATGGCTCACCTCAGAGATGATTCATTTCCTTTACCTGCTTCTCCACCGTGACGCGAGGCCGCCGTACTGAACACTCCTTCCAACGCCGTAGACCACTTCGTTCTCCTGGGATGAGCGCTTGGATAGCCTACCGCGTATGTTTCACCAATAGGTCCAAGGAATAGAAAGCAGAACGCAAACCCGGGTTTTCAGGGGACAAGTACGGAACATAATCTCAGACAAGGAGTACCCCCCACGAGGTGGTTATCAGCTCTGAGGGAGTCTCCCTCGTCCGCTGCGCAGCCAATTGTGTCGAGGGGCGCAGAGAGGTCAAAGACACGAGGGGCAGATTTTTGTTGGTTGAGAGGAGGCCCTCGCCCCCGGAGGGCATGTATGTACGCGGCCCGACAACGTGACCGGCACACAACCGCTCCTTGCTCTCAACCTTCACCATGAGACTCAACAATCCTCACGAACTGTACTATCTCACTAGATGAGTTCTGGAAACTTCGTCTACTGGTCCCTATGTCAGCCACTCAAGAACTTCGACCTGAGAGGCGACAAACCAAGCATGGGTATCGAATGTATAACGCCCAGACAGCAGACACGGAGGCTTCCCCTACTAGTACCGCTTGAGTAGACGTATGTCATGGATGCTACAGGGGATTGGGATGAAGGCCATATGGTGAGTTTGCACGCGTCGCTCCTAGGTCGACTAGAAGCGTCTTACCACCGAGGACTTAGGCGAATTAACAACTCGCTTTTCTGTCCATATATTTGCACATCCTCGGGTACATATCCATGTGCCCGTCAAGTTGCTGTGAACAGTGAAAACAAGGTGCTTCACCGCTGGCAGATGTCCAACGAAACGCCCTACGACGGTGCCCCATTCTCGATCAACAGAGACCAATCGATGTGTCCTCGCAATCACTGGCTGTTTGTGGTTCTACTGCACCATACCCAGGGTGAGCATAGGCCTCGTACTCCCGCTCTCATCGTCACCAAGCTGACAACAGTGTGAAAAAGTGTGTCGACCTTTGACCCTCCTTCGCTCAACTTTCCATCCTTCGCTGTCTCATCGAACGACGGTCGACCCTCTCAAATCATATCAACTCTCGACGTGTCAAAGTCGGCGTCGCTATGAGTCTAGGACTATCCGCACTGAGGAGGACTGAGGTGCCCAGATACTATACCTCGAAAGAGCGTATCATAAGTGCTCCCGGCAGACTTCTCGAGTGGTTTGCCGTCCTACCAATCATGCTATGTTTCATATGAGCATCAGTTGATATATATCGCATGTCGTTTCAGGCGCTATGACCAGAAACCCGGAACAGCGACGATGAACGCAGAGCGGCTGAACGAGGTATTTTGGGCGCTTCCATGTGTACAGAGGCCCGCGGCGCCGCGCAGTTGCGGCCATCTTGTGCTTCACTGCAAAGGGCCCTACAATTGGCCGGGATCTCTCGTTGTCCTTGTCCTAAATGGCTGGCTCGCAAGTCGAATAGGCTCGGCGTTCTCAATGACATCAGTAGTTGTTGGCCCGTATGTCGTTGTGGTGAAAGCCGAAGACCGCCGGGATAATTTTGGGAGGATCGCCTGGTTTGCAAATCCAACAGTAGTACTTATGGTGCGTGTTGAGCGCGGGTACTGTCGAGCGCGAATGTGCGGGTTCAAGCAATCGAACGATGCGACATACAGCGGTCTCGTAACAAAACGTTCCCTCTACGCCACGTACGTTGAATATGCTCCCTGCCATCCAGCCCGCCGCTCTGTGCTCCTGGTTGAATCTCACTCAATGTACAGACCAGCACTGATCGGGATATATCTGTTCCGTCTGTTCCGTCTCGCGATTCATTCAGATACATGCGGCACCGCACGCAAACCGCACAATAGCGCGCTCGGGATCCAGTGTGATGGCAGTGCTAGCGACTGCTAGCGAGGTGCTAACATCTTCCGCAGGCACCGAAGACGCCGCCGAACCGGACATGATCGTCTTGCGTCTGCATGGTACCTTTTGGTTCCGGAGATATGTGCGTGAGGCTCAACGATAAACTTTCCCCAGGTCTATGTCCCCAGCGGGCTGCGTGTCCTGCTCACCGTCACGCCAATCCGGACGCGGTTCACCATGGCCAGCCTCGAGTTCATCCTGGGGACGACGATCGGGTGCGGCCTCGTAGGTGCCATTTTGTCAGAATTGTGAGTGGTCGTGTGTTTTCGCGCCTCGCTGACTCCGCGGCTGATCATACTCGGATTCGACCAGTCTGTACGGGCTGTCCGTGTCTCAGGCCGTGTATTACTTTTGGGTGTATCGCGAAGACCCAAGACGACTGAAGTACCTGGTGCGTACAACTTGTTCACGAACAAGAAGATGCGAACGAACTCGTTTACGTACAGGTTGCGTGGTGGCTGTCAGTCTTTCACGGTTCCGATTCGCCATCATGATCTCATATTCGAAAGCAGACTATTAGCTACAGTCAAGGAGGCAATTTCCCTGCAGGTACGAGAGCAATATGAGGGTGCGTGCCGTATGCGTGCTCAAAACATAAACGCCGTCTACGCAGGTCCTCTTTGAAGACTTGATCTCGAATCATGCAAACCTCGAGAGTATAGCGCATCTGTCAGTGTGAGTGGTCTTTATGATACAAGAATGGGAACGTACTGATCTGGTGTATACAGGGCGTATGGAGTAGGTCCCAGCTGCTCGCTCTTGCTGGACTTAACTGATGTTCACTTGTCGAGGCGCAAAATATACTCGGAGTGCGTCACTACTATGATACTCTTTCCTCACACTGACACGCTAGACATACAAAGTGGATACTTGTATTCTCAGTACACTGGTGAGGCAAACGGGGGTTTCCCTCTGTCAAGGGTAGTACTGACAACCCTACCGATCGTACGTCAGTTTCTACATCAACACTATGAAGCATAGTGCGTCAAATGCTCGTGTAACTTGCACGGCTCACCGACGTGATTCTGCGCAGTCCTACGGCATCACAGGCAACGCAGACTGATCATGGGTGTTGCGGTATGTAGACCGTCGTTCAACAAACGCCTGACGCTCATCGCTATGCAGGTCGTGCTAGCCATCCTCACGCTTCGTGAGTGGCTACTGTATGCGCTCTACCCAATGCTACTGACCTCTCGTCCAAGTAACGGGTTCTGCCAGTACGTATCCCCGAGTTTCCGTGGATGGCATGACTGACACTCTCCAACCCTCCAGTTATCGACTACGCTATGTGAGTCCCCTGTCGTCACTGGTCTCGTATCCCGTTCACGCGCACACACTGCAAGCTACTACAAAGGCAAATTCAACAAAAAGGTAGGTTCGCGACCTCGCATCCGTAGCATCGAACTCACCTACAGCGAATCCCAGTCCCTAGTGGCCCTGGCTCCGCCATGCATCATCATTCTGACAGACGTCTACATCACGTTCGTCCTGTGCTGGACACTAAGTGCGGCGCGGTCTGGCCTTCATAGTCCGTACGTACATTTGTTCTTTTTGACTTGATTGCGCCGATTACCGACGCGCTCGCGGTAATAGGACGGAGAGCCTGGTAAACCGACTCATCAAATACAACGCCGACCGCGGCATCATTCTCTGGTACGTCCGCGCCAGCTCGGCATACATCGACGATCGCACTGACGCGACGGAGACAGTATGGTACAACTCGTGGCTCTCACCACCGTATGTCTTGCCTTCGCTCCCGTTCGTGCAGCGGTTACTGAATCGTGGTCTGTGGAAAGTACATCTATGACATCTACTCCGGGTCGACAAACATCACCGCCGTCGTCTACTTCGCCGAGATCAATAGTAAGCCCCACAGCCGCGCGTCCCTAACCATATCCTGGCTCACGGTAGATGGTCGAAGTATACTGCAATACCGGACTAGCAGTGTGAGTGTCCTCGCTCTGCATCATCAAGAAAGAGCTCTGCACCGACTTACTCTCAATCGCTAATCGTAACGCAGACTGAACATGCGCAAACAAGTCCGAGCAGCGCTCTCCGATACGTACTCCGTCGAGATCATGCCCATGACCCAACCGGAGCATGGCCTCGAGGGAAGTAACAACACTTCGAGGTCAGCTCCACGACTAACGTTCTTCTCGTTGCTGGGCATGCGACTGACGCTACGCTTCCTAGCGGGTCCGACGAGACCCAGCTTGCCACCCCACGAACACCGCGGATTCCCTCTCTCCTACCTATTACCGATCCTCATGCCAAAGTATGAGACATCGTACGCGACGATGTCGCGCACGTCTCGAGCAAACACTTCCTCTCCATGCGCATGTACGTCCTGAGGGGTGACCGGTGTACAACGCTGGCGTGCTCGTCTGTACCTACAGCGAGACTCGCTTCGCCTTGCAAGATCGCGGATAGGTCGAGTGTGCTCCCATGGAAACGGACTGCGTCGAGAACTGTGTTGCACTAGTTGCACTGTATACGCGATGCCCAATGCAAATGTACGAGTGAAAGGTTACACAAACCACGGACAAGCTCAAGCCTCCAGACGCCACCCCTTCTCCACGATGTCCATCTCACGTGCTCATTGTTATTAGGCCCCCCCGAATCCCGCGAGCATGCGTCCTGCAGTTCCAATACCCGCTAGGAGGAGCCCACCTACGGCCTGCTTCACCGGGCCCATCCAGGGCCCGGCCTTCATGCCTGCTCGTTGCAGGTGCGAGAACCAGCTGCCCTTCGGGATGTATCCACCATAAAACGTGCGTTGAGCCCATGCCGCCGCGGATCCTGAAGATGTACCGATGTGAGCATAAAACAACATACCACAATCCGTCGCAAAGCACAGTAAGGATGTCTCTTACCTTTGATGGGTCCCTCAGGGGACATGCCAAAGAGTCTGAACAACGGGCGGAGGAACCACGACTCGGGGATGATGTACATAATGGCGGAGATGAGGATGGTCTCAAGCAAGACTGGGTGTTGCTCAGCCAAGTCACCTAGTGCAGCATGATACAGATGAGCTCGTTTCTCAGACAAGAGTTATTGGACGAGGGGCACGGACCGATGGTCACAACGACATCTTGAACGTGCTTCATGATTGGGCCAAGACGCGCCCGGGCGTGCTGCTCCTGCATCCCGTGTTGTACGCAGAACTTGATAAGAACCTCCTCTACTCTGCGGATGACCAGCGACACATGGCCCCTTCGCTCCTCATGGTTCGGTGCGTGGTCAGGCGGAGGAAACTGGTCTTTCAACTCCTCGAAGAGGTCCGCGAATAGCTTCTCGATAACATGGCTTATGTCGTCCACCGAATTGCCCTGCATCTGTGCGATGACTCCTCTCAAGTCTTCAGCGTCGGATACAATGGTCAGCATCATTGCTTGGACATGACCTAGTCGCGCGGCAGTGGACTTGTCGACCGTTTTAGCGGCCTCGTCCACGAGAAAGGTCGCATAGTTCTGGGCACGCTGGCCCAGCGACAGCGTATCATGCCAGAAGTGATCTAGTGTCGCGCGCTCTCCAAGGCGTCGAGTGGCGTCGGAGACAACCTCTGTGTCGCGGCTTAGCACACAGAGATACCGTGTGGCTGCAACAGACGTACTATTCACTCCATGATGAGCCTTGTCAGCAATCCCTTTCACTTCGTGGAATATGTTGCTATATTCATGTGAGAAATGCCCGAGCAAGAGAATGTTGTTTGTGCTCACCTAGCGAAGTCCGAGCTGGTTGATCCCGTGGCCAATGCTGGAGCGATGAAGAGAGTCAACAGGATCGTGCTCGCAAACGCAAACCACGCCGACACGGATACGACTCGCATGATGGTGGGCGAGGATAGACAGAGTCCTCGCCCTCGCCAGGCCTTATATATGAAGGATGAATGGGCGTTTAGGGACGCACGAAGGAAGCGAGTCGTGGTGACGGAACCTTATTTCCACGCACAAAGGAAGCAGGACAGTTTCCTGTCACGGACAACGCACCTGCGTCGCCGCCACAGCGGTGCACCGTGCGTGGACTTATACATGCTAGCGCGGCCGAAGATGCACTGCGCGGACGGGGCAAGCTCTCCTCGGCTTCGCCCTAACGCGACAATAAATGGGAGTTACAACAACAAGCTCTCCTCGACGCCTTCAGCCAGCAGCAATGATCCCGCCTCGAATGCATTGTCGACGGGCAGCCTGCGAGTGCCGGGCCTTCCGAGTCTGCTGTGGGAGATGTACGATCATCTGTGCATTGTGCGCCGGATCGCGTATGAGTATCCCGTGTTCAACAATACGGACTACTTCAAGCTCTGCCGCACATAGCAAACATACCACCCATAGAAGCAATGCCGGCTAAGTAGAATGGTACCAAGTATGGTCTTCCTGACCGCCGGCTTCCAGGCTCCCATAGCTGCACGCTGTCACGTAGGTGCGAGAACCAGCTCCCCTTCGGGATCTTTCCACCATAGAATGACCTTTGGGCCCAAGCGACCACAGAACATATGGATGAGCCGACGACGTAAGCATGATGTGCCCTTACACGACTGTCAAGATATGGCGGAGACGCTGACTCTCACCTTTAACAGGGCCTTTCGGGGACATGCCGAAGAAATTGAACAGCGGGCGAAGGATCCAAGACTCCGGGACGATGAGCATGATGCCTGCAACGAGCAACGTCTCGGTCAAGTATGGGTGCTGCTCCGCCAAATCGCCTGGTAGAGGTACGAATCGAGATCAGGAGAATGCTGGACAGGGGAACTGCGACGTGCACGACCCGATGGCAACGATAACGACTTCGACGCGCTCCGAGACGTGCCCTGAGCTCTTCCTCCTCCATCCCATGTTGCACAACAACCCCGATGATGGCCTCCTCTACTCTACCAAGGACCAATGACGCATTTCCCTTTCGTTCGATATGATTCGGCGCATGATCAGGCGGCGGGAATTCGTCCTTCAACTTCTCCAAAAGGTCTGCGAGGACCTCCTCGATACCTCGCCGGATATCATCAAACGACTCAGTGTGGACCGGTAGGAAGAGCCCTCTTAAGTCTTCTGCCTCCTGGACGATATCTTGCATCGTGTTTTGGATGTCGCGCAGTTGCACGGCAGCAGTGGAGTCCACCGATTGCTCAGCTTGGCGAAACAAGAAGGCTGCGTAGTCCTGAGCACGTTGGCCGAGCGAAGTTGCGCAGTCCCGGAACTGTTCCGGCTCCTCGCGGTGACCAAAGCCATGTGTTGGTGGAAGAAACAACGTCTGTTCTACCTTCAGTATGCGCCGATAAACTGAGATAAAGATCTGGACGTACTGTTGATTGTGAGTGCGTCTTGTGTTTGGTAAGCGATACCCTCGGCTTCACGGTAGATGTTCCTGAGACGGAGTGAGCGGTGCCCATCATCGACCAAAGGTAGCATCGATCTCCTGAGTTCACCTCGCAAAGTTCGCCGTCGTGAGCCCCGGGACCGACTCCGGGCCAATGGAGACCGTCGACAAACCGATGCTGAGGAAGGCGAACGACGCTGAAGCAAACGCGACTCTCATGGTGGGAGTTGGGTTACAGGAGCATTTGCCCTTCGCCCTGTATGAACGGCACATGGGCGTTAAAGGACGCACGACGGCGACTCGTGTTGACGGAACCTTATATCTGTGGACAAGAAACGAAGACGAACAGCACGAACACAGGTTGTGATGCCACCACCACAAGTGCTCGATGTGTGGAGCTCATAGAAGGACGACGTACCGCCTCAGAAAGTATCCATGCAAGAGATATAGAATTGGAGCAACGTTGTAACAAGCCAGTTTTCGACGTCTTGTATTACTAGGGAGTATGATAGGAAGTATACACTGTTGTTTCCTCGTAAGTATGCCATAGCGGAGGTTGTGACAGACTTCCTGCGACGCACCGATTGTACATATGCTAATATCGTCAGACACAGACGTCGTCGACGATTTCAAATTCCATGTTTTGTTTGCGACACTCTGCGTTGAATCCGAGCCACTCGTGGCTTCGGGCTCGTCGGAGAGGTGCGTTCGCAGAGCCGGAGTGTACGTTCTCGGGCTTGAGAGGGACCACGGTCCTGATAGCTACACGAATGCCTTAGCACAGCAACACAGACCACATCGAGGAACGACATGCCTGGTTCACGCTTCCGCAAGACGTCTTCCCACCTGATGTCCCTGAACGCAACCTGTGTCAGCGAGACAGAGCGGGCCCAACGCACTGCCAATCACCCACATGTGTATGTCGAAGCCAGGATACCGTGAGATACTGTCCAGAGACATCCGCTCGCTCGGGTCTTCTACGAGAATCTGCGCGAGCCGTCAGGGGACGGGGATAGGACGAAGACCAAACGGACGCACTCTGCACGCTAGGTTGACCATGTAGCTGCATGCGCCCTCTACCGCCGCCATACGCGACAGCGCATCGTCGCACATCTGGCTCAGGCTTCTCTTAGTGCTGCTTCCTTCGTCTCCAAACAGCTGGAAGCCATGCTCAGCACCCCATACACATATGACACGTGTCCGTAGACGTACCTTGCCCGTGAGCAATTCGCTCATGACGACGCCCAAGGACCATATATCCACCGACTGGTCATACTCCGCGTCCCGACCGTCGACCAACTCCGGTGCGGCGTAGTTCTGCGTGATCACCACATCATCGGCCGTGCATCGCCGCAGCTTCCCGTTCTCCAGCCGCTTGCATGAGTTGAAGTCGGAGATCACACAGTGCCCGGCGCTGTCGACGAGGATGTTAGCGGGCTTCAGGTCGTGGTGGACGTATCCCTGCGTATGGAGCCACCGGAGGCCCATGACCTGTGCGGAGTGAGCGTTGTGTTTGCGCGACTCTATAATAGGCTTGTGCTTACCAGTTCTGCGGTGACAAGCCATACTTCTCTGTGGCTCAAGCGACCCAGATAGCACTCCAAGGTCCCTCCAGCGTAGTATCTCTGCGAGAGTTATGAGCATCATGGGATGCATATATCCAACGAACTTCTTACCGTCAGGATATGTAGATCTCCGAAAGGAGACAACCAGTCGCGCCGCTCACAGCCCATATAAGGCGACAGGAGGAACGCCTGGGGATCGTCGCCGAGCCTGTGCAGAACCTCAACCTCTGTGATGACGCAGCGATAGTCGTAGGCTGACGACAAGCCGCCGGTGATGCGCACGACCTTCATCGCAGCATCCTGCTTTGCGACGACATCCCGGACCAAATAGACCTTGCCGAATGCCCCCTCGCCGACGATACCGCGTACGACGAACCTCTGGTGACCGTCTGAGCCATGCCTCGAGGCTGATTCGGAGGATGGCCAAGACGGGATCGAGCCCAGATCCGATGGTTCGGAGCCCGCCAACGGAATGTTGCTGCAGAGTGCGAGGAGGGTGAATGGTGAACGTTACTGAAAGAACATAGGCTTACCTGATCCCTGACGACGGCGACGATTGGCTTGGCTTAGCAGACACCCTCTGCCTTGGTTTTCCCCCTCTCACAACCGGAGCCATCATCATCGACTCTGTAGGCTTCGGAGGCTCCTTCCTCCTCCCGCGCCGCCTGAAAAGAGAAAGCCTCAGGACGCGCCACACCCCGCAAGGAACAGTAGCTCACCTCGGCTTCTTCTCGCGCGACGCCGTTCCCCTGCGACTAGGCTGTGGACCTGGATCCTGGCCGGTGTTGGGTGCGCGCGCGAGGGCGGATATCCAGGATCGCGCGCTGGTGTGCTGGGAGCCGGCTTGGGCTGTCACGGACAGCCGAGTGACGGGGATGTGATCCGGCGTCCATTCGCAGGCGTAGACGGTCGACGAGAGATCACTCGAGCGGTCGTCGGTGCCTTCGAATGGCCAAGGCGAGCAGAGCCTGGTAATATGTCGAAGGATGCGCCTGAACATATCGGGGGTGAAAATACGGGAGGGTGAGGAGGAGTCGTGTGCTCACCTGCTATTTAACTACGGATGCTTCGCCACTTCGCCACCGGTCTGCTTGAGCAAAGCGTCCCCTTTGCCACTCACCCCTCATCACGAAGGACCACACAAAGGCGCGGCTAATCGAAATACAGCCAGACAACGAGTGGCGAATGCGGGAGAAGTGTACACGAAGCGTTGAATCACGATGCGATCTTGTAGTGCGATAGCCACGAGGCCACTATCGCCACACGAACGCTCTTTTTGAGGGCGACGGCAGGAAACACGGCAGGGTTGTAGACAATGCAATGACCTGGCAGCCAGAGAGTGGCTATGTTCACTAGGTGCTGCATGGCCACCCAGCGCTGTCTGAGCCTCGAGGCTTGCACTTGCCCGGGTTGAGACTCGGAGCTACATAAGAGTGAGGCTAACCGCACGGAAGCGAGAGTACAGTGTCACGACGGTCGAAAGGAATGCAGACGAGGGTTGGGTGGAGGAGAGTTGACCGTTGCACTTGTGGCAGGCAGACGAAGTGCGCCCGCTCCTGGTCGAAGGCCCATCTATGGCCAAACGGTGTCAATACTGTGGCTGGCTCAGGCTCCGAAAGACAGTTACGTTGGTGAGCGCACCTTGCACGTTCGCATGCAGGAAGTCCGGTAGTACTGCCGTAGTAGGAACTCATCTTCGGGCCTGTACGCAAACAAACTGAGGCATGCACCCAAGGACTTGAACGTTGAACGCCAAGAAGCGTATCAAAAGACTCGGCGCGACCTCTCAAGTCATCATCCATGACCCACCCCATCCTCATACGTATGCAAACGAATCCGTCCATGCTCCTGTGTCGAGTCTGGAGGCCAAGGCTGAGCGCTGAGCGCTGAGCGCTGAGCGCTGCTGAGCCAGCACTCAAACGACCGTACGACGAGCCTCGGCGTGAATGTACGATTTCAAAGGGCCCCGTCTCGATTGCATACAGGACTTCTTGGAAGACTGCAGCCAGTCGAATTTGTGACATTGCGAGGCGTGGCGACAGAGGTGTATTCAGTGCAAACAGGAAACGTCGCATTGGCGGAAGGAGAGGAGCGCGAATGGCAGACTGGCGCCGGCGCGCTGCGAGGAGGGTCACGTTGCCGCCGGATGCTTACGAGCACCCAAGGCCCTTCGGCTCTTAATCCTCCTCCTCCACCTCGCTGCTTGCGCACCCTCGCACCTACATCTACCTTACGAGCGCAATGGCTGCAGCACCGACGAAGCAGGCTCTCACCGAGCTGTTCAACGCTACAATGCGCACCTCGCGGGAGTTCAGCTCGTACAACTTCCGCAACTACTTCATCCGTCGGACGAAGAGTACATTCCAGGAGATCGAGGTGTGTCTCGTCGAAGGCCTGGCTACGCCTGTGCTTACTGACCATGTCATGCTCACCAACAGAATGAGTCTGACCCCGCAAAGCTGTCTGCATTTTACAACGAGAGGTCGAAGGAGCTCGCGACGCTGAAGCGTAGTGCCATCGTCAACCAGCTCTACGGTGGTTGGCAACTCGTAGTGGAGAAGCAGAACGAGCAGAGGCAAAGGAGTGACAATTGAGAGGTGCGTTCATATATACGCCTGTATATGTTCCGAGTGTTGACGACAACCTGCAGGACTGCTCTCGTTGTTATCGTGTTCACTTCGTCCTGGCTATATATCATCCGCTTCCCATTATCCGCTCGGTCTACGCTGCTAAGTGTATTATAGATGTATGTGCTATGCTCGATCTTGTGTGCTGAAGGGCATGATTTGTCTACAAGACCTTCGGCGATATGCGTTCGCCAGTGCTAATGAGTCTCCGCGTCAGACATCTCACAGGGGCTTCGCTCTTTAACGTGGTGCTTGGTGGAATAAGCCGCAGAGATCTTCGTAACGGTCCAGGGTCAGTACGCTCATATGCGATGGTTTGAGTCCGACTGGACTCAAACCGTCGAATATGAGCGTACTTGTGTAAACGACCCCATTGTGGCTGATACACTCGCTGACCGCGGACTGGCATAATTACCACGGCGGCGCGTAGGAATCCTTGGATCGACCTCCCCAAGACGGAGCCTGTGCTACGGCGTATCGACGACATTGGTGGCATTCACAGGATGAATGGTCATTCTGTGTCGCGCGCGTTCACAATCACTGCACTACTTATCGTTGTGAGATTTGCTGTCAGTTACGCCACGCAGGTCGTGGGGTGGGTCGTGGAAAGGTTGATCTTTACCATAGGCACGTCCAGGCCGTACTGGAGTCACTTGTCAATTTATAAGGGTGACAACACACTTGACACAGCACTTCCACATTCTGGAGCGAGTAGCAAGTACAGCAAGCAGGTTGTATATAATTTCTATGACATATTGCAGCGAGCTCCGTGAAGCTTGAAGCTTATCGATTCTCCATTGCGCGGATATGCACCTTGCTTGATCATGAGGTACTAGTACACGATGGCTACGATTCTGTCAAAGAGGAGAGAATGCCCTGCAGTTCAGGAGACGAGAAGGCTCTATGAGAGGCCAGAGTAGATGTATAGTCGCTATCCCGCTCAGGAAGTAACTCGCTCGTATACTCCAAATTGGCTACAATGGCGTCAATAGCGATCTCTGGATCAACATCAAACCTCAGAAATATGTCGCCATGTTTGATCGTCTCCGACGCATCTTCCACGGGGGGCGGAGGCATTGTCGCGGTCGATTCTCATGGGTATCGTGAGACTGGTGAGCCGACGACAATGCTTCGCAAATAATGCAATGCTCTCGACAGGCGCAGCCCGTTCCTCCAAATCCCAGGACCGGCTGAAGGATCTGCGAGCCGATAGAATATTGCAGGTCCACCTGTTCCTCGTGATGGAGGTAGAGCTTGACTTCTCGCAGAGAATTTCTGAACGGAGCTTGGCTCAGAGCAGTCATATGAGCGAGAAGGAATTCCTCGCTCAAGTGACTTTCAGCTCGAGCTTTGACCGTGAGCTCCAAGCGATGCAGGTCGGTCGAGGAAATCGACTTGATAGCCGCGAGAGTGAGGTCATTGATCCGACGCGTGGATAGGTGCAACGACTTGAGTGAGGGGAATAATGGTCCAGCCATTCGTGGGGCGGCGAAGGTCTTCGAGTCGCTGCCTTGGTCAAGTCGCGCGCTGACATGTTCCAGGGTGGGAATCGCAGAGAGCACACGGAAGGCATTGATGGTCAATTCGTCGTGGGCGTCGAACGTCGATATGCGCGTAGTCGTCAGAGGGCCCAAGGTGTTCTTGGTGAGTGGTGGCGGCGGCGGCTCGAGGGGCCAGTCATGTGCAAGCTTTTGAGCCAAGGAAACATTTGATGCAGCCGTTGGAATATGGGCTCCGCGTCCTGGGCGCACGCGTTGAAATGTAGTTCCTCCAATTCCGGCGCTGTGAGGATGGGACTATGAACGAGCAGTGCAAGCCACTCCTTGTCACCCTCCACTTTGACCGTGCGTGCAGTGGGAAGTAGTACCATCGAGCGAGGTAAGCCGTCCAAAAACCTCTTGGCACTGTAGAAATCGAGGAGGTGGCTGTGTTTCCAAGTGAAACGCTTGATGTGAGAGGCATAGAAGGCCAGGCGACTGACATCGAAGTTGGTGTCCTTCTACTCGACGGCATGGAGTCAAGATCAGGGATGCCAGAGTCTGTACAATTGACGCACCATTTGCTTCGGCTCCCAAACGAATAAGTACATGTCCATGACCCATACATGTCCAGGGATTGTGGACATCAACGGCCTCAGCCCAGATACGTCTCGCCAAAGGACGGCATCGGCGACAGGATAAAAGGTCTAGCAGGTTCTGGCCATCGTGGCTACGTCCCCACAACTCGATTCCTGAAGGTCACATATGACCAGCTCGAGCACCTCTTGAACACTCAGACAGCGGAATGCAGCGTCTTCTGGCATAGTTGGATGTAGAGAGTGATAGGTCTAAGTACTTTGTCCGAGTCGTAAGCGATATTATTCTGAAGATAGCACAACGGGCAACATACCACGGTAACGGCGCCTTATTCAAGTTGAGCGGTCAGAAGGGGGGGGGGGGGGGGGGGGGGGCGAGCGGAGACAGAAGGGCATTTCAAGAACGAGGGTACTTATAGCCTGAGGCCCTGTTGTTCAAGATGCGTTGGGCCACAGCAGCCACAGTTGCCAATGTGCCATGGTGCTTGAGCAAATGACAAAACAAAGCGAGAGACAAGGACTTGGGGATTGCGGAACGTCACGGCACCGTCGGCATAGTCTCCCGTAGGCAGTCCACTAGGACGACCTTTCTGAGGGGAGGAGGGCGGTCGTCTAGGGTCTGCTTCAAAACGCGCCCGCAACACCGTTCGACTCCTGGAGGACGCATTCTGTGATGGCCGAGTAACGCCGGTGGCTACGGCAGAGCTGCCGGTGGCTATGGCCGGACTGCCGGTGGCTGGTGTTAGATCTATCTAAGATTGGCATCATCGGCCACTACTGTAGTACTAGGCTATGCAGGCGATAATTACATGGTATGTCGGTCTCGGGGTTTTCCTATATGGCATCCATCTCGTCAACCTTGCACTACGCGAGGATTGCCCGTGCGACCCGGGTGTCGACTCGTGCGGAAGCCGACTTGTCCAACTCGGCTGGGGGCCTTGTGCTTGTTAAGTTAGTCTGAGACCGTGACACTGACAGTACCGACGTAGCTTTCACGAGAGCCACGGCTTCGAGAGAAACAATGGCTGACCACTATCAGCAAGTCCTCCGCCACCTCCGCTTAGGCGTCGAGCGGTCCTCATAGCACATCGTTCTCTCGGATGACCTTCGCTCTACAAAGAGCGGACTGGAGACAAGAACATGCTCCCCAATCCCGCTCTTTGTACGGTGAACTCCGCGCGAAGTCCTCTTGCGATGAGAGTAACCCGAAGAGTCGTGCAAGGGACATGTTCGTCCCGAGCGGCACTTTGAAGCGCGTCGCGACGTCGTCTGCCATGCATGCTCCGGGAATTTGTGTCATGAGCTCCTGTGCGCGGACGACCTCATCGCACGTCGGACAACAGAAATGCACCTCGTAGGTGGCATATCGTTGGGCCAGTGCATCGGTTGTGCCCACAGCTGCAGCAAACACGACCTCCATCTCAAGTGTCGATACCCGTGGAGAACTCATCGAGCACGAGTTCCCTGAAGCACCAAGGTTAGTGCCACCGATGCATCAGCGCAATGTTCATGGTGAGCGCACCTATGAGCGCGATGGCCAACGCCAGCTTGCGCTGATTTCCACCCGGCAGCCGTACAGCCAGGCGGTCCGCATAAATGTCCAATGACGTTGCGCATAGTACCAACACCTGGACGTTCCGAGTGAGCTCCTCGCCACGGTATAGCAGGCTATAGTGAGAGACGGGCGGAACATGTTGAACGTCGTTGATTTGCCCGCGCCGTTCGGGCCAAGGAGAGCAAACACTGTCTTGCGACACTCCAAAGCTGCTCAGTGCTCCGGATCCTTCGCGATGGCTTGAGCGACAATCACGTAGATGAGGAGGAAGCCCGTCTTGCCGGGTCCCATTAGGGTTATGGCGAAGACGTTGATCCCATCGAGAGCCTTGCAAATGCCCTCGAGTTCAAATAGTCGTGAGGGTCCCAGGGGAGGCTCTTCGAGGCGATGTTGCGGCAGAACGCGAGGCCCTCGGGTGAGTTGAATTGTGTAAATGAGTGTGTAACGTCCCTGTGCAAAGCCGGGGTCTCCATTGATTATCGACGGCTATGGTACATGAAGGGTAGAGAGCGACGAGGCGAGGATAGTATAGGGGATCGCGTCGAGCCTGACCGTGACGCGTCGCGCGCGACGAGATTTACACGCGCGTTGCGGAGATCGAAGTGCTTATGTAACTCCGCTAAGGAGTCGAGCGGTATTCGACCCGTTAGTTGAAGCAGACTACCGTCGGCACGAGATGGTGGTAAGACTTCGACGTCGCGACCAAGCGGCAGTGCTGGGAAGACAAGGCGGTGCTCTAGCACCGTTCAATGACACCGGAGGCTACAGTTCAAATTCAAATGTGGCGCGGCTCAGCGCGCGCGAGTGTCCGCCGAGACGCGCTCGCGTCACCCCAGCGCGCAAGTCCAGCACTGAGCGACAAAATCGCTAGGGACAGGACAAACATTGACTGCGGAGGTGATCATAGGCACTTGAACAGAGAGAAGAGGAGGTACCACTGAGAGGTGCGCAGAGTATGCGCTGTGCAGTAGACCAAGTCGAGATGAGTGCCAGTAACCTAATCAATAACGTAACGCCACCGGCGCGCAGAGGGTTCAAGCACATGTGTTGTACAATAAGTACACAGTATACGTGTTGCTTGGGCCAGTGACACTTAGTGCTACACAGTAACTACAAATTTTCCACAGTACGGAAGATGTCAGTCACGTAGAGTCATGTTGTGGGGGTCTCGAGATGAAGCAGTAGAGGAAAGGAGTAGAGAAAGGTCAATACATAAATAGGCCTTCATACGCAGGAAGCAACACGTCCACATACGCCCGCACACTGTCGTACACAACGGCTTCTTCGTCGCCTTCGAGCCTCAGAAGTATTAGTCCGTCTTGAATCGTCGCTGATACATCTTGCGCGGCGGGCCAGGCAGGCAGCACGCTGCTCTCGATTCGCACGGGCATCCTGATACTGGTGAGCGCACGACAATGCTTCGCAAAGAACGCGAGGCCCTCGAGAGGCGCAGCTCGTGCCGCCGTATCGAGTCTTGGACTCAGCGACCCGGCGTAAAGGTCGTTGCCTTCATCCATCAATGCCAATGTCTCCAAGCGCGGGAACGCCTCCGCGACGTTCCGACACATTTCGAAATCCAAGGCGATTGCGTCCCCAAATATTTGAAGGGATACGAGAGAGTCCAGACGGCCCAGGACCGGCCGAAGGATCTGTGAGCCGATATTCCATTGCAGGTCCACCTGTTCGTCGTGGTGGAGGTAGAGCTTGAATTCTCGTAGGGAATTCCTGAACGGAGCCCGGCTCAGAGCAGTCATATGAGCGAGAAGGAACTGCTCGCTCAAATGACTTTGCGCCCGAGCTTTGACCGTGAGCTCCAAGCATTGCAGTTCGGTCGAGGAAATTGACTTGATAAGCGTGAGCGTGAGGTTGTTGATCATGCGGGCGAATAGGCGCAACGACTTGAGTGAACAGAATGGTCGTCCCGGCTGGGCGGCAACGAGATTCGAGTCGCTGCGTAGTTCAAGTCGCGCACGGACGTGTTCCAGAGTCTGCATAGCAGAGAGAACACGTAGGGCGTTGATGGTGAGTGGGTCGTGGGCGTCGAACGTCGATATGCGTGTGGTTGTGAGAGGGGCCAAGGTATGCCCGGTGAGCGGTGGGGGCGGCCACGTAACACTGCTCGAGGGGCCGGTCATGTGTAAGGTCTTGAGCCGAGGAAATATTTGATGCAGCCGTTGGAATATGGGCTCTGCGTGGCGTGCACACGCGTTGGAATAGAGCTCTTCCAACACTGGTGCTACAAAGAGGCGACTGTTGACGAGCAGATTAAACCAATCTTTGTCGTCTTCAAATTTGGCCGTGCGGCAGGCAGGCAGCAGGACCATCAAGCGAGGTATGCCTTGGAGAAACCGTGCGGCACTGTACAAAGTGATGTCACCGTCGAATTTCCAGGTAAAAGACTTGATGTAAGAGACGTAGAAGGCTAGGCGGCGGACATCGAAGTCGGTGTCATTCTACTCGAGGACATGGAATCAGTATCTGGCATGCAAGAGCCCGTACAATTGACGCACCGATCGCGTGGGCTCCCATATCCATTCATATCCCTTGACCCATGTGTACCCAGGGATTGTGGACATAAACGGCCTTAGGCCAGTTACGTCTCGCCAAAGGACCGCGACGGCGACATGATAAAAGGTCTTGCAGGTCCTGGCCATCCTGGCCACGTCCTTGCGACTGGATTCACGAAGGTCATCCATGACAACCTCGAGCACCTCTTGGATTCGCAGACAGCGGATAACAGCGACTTGTCTCATGGTTGAAGTAGAAAGCGGTTGGTCTTGAAGCGCATTGTCAGTGAAGCGAGTCCTAGATGATACCAAGCAACGTACCACGGTGTTGGCGATTAATTGCAAGGTCGGAAAGACGGGGTGGAGCGCAGAGACGAAAGGGCGAGTGGACGAGGGTACTTGAGAGTGCGTTGTTCGAGTCGCGTCCTTTGAGGCGCGCGGTTTGCCGAACCTTGAGCCACAGCGGCCACAGCGACCACGGCGCTTATGCAAATGGTCGAAACAAAGCGAGAGCCCTGCTTGGACCAAAACGCAGGAACGGCGAAACGTGGCACGAAATCGGTAAGCCTTGGCCCAAGCAACGATGCTGGACCAGGACCGTCAATGAAGCTGCCACGCTTCTTTCCTCCCGGGCTGGCCGGTTGATGTCCAGCAGCGGGCCTTTCTCCCTCGCCTGCCTCCATCAGCTTCAGGATCATTGTCAACGTCGCGTCTCCTGCGGATATTGGTAGAGTGCAGCTCACCGATCCCATGTCCGTGTTGTCTTCACTGGACATGCGCCAGACGCAAGCCTTTGGTGCGACGAGTGGCACTGTGAGACGCAGGCCTTGTCCGAGACTCCGAGGCATCCACCAACGTCCCTAGCAGAAGGGCTCAAGCCTTGGAACCTCCCTGAATACTCCAGATGCAATCAGGTAACGCACACCGGTACGCCAGACACATCCTCTCTTGTTGTACCTGTATTGACCTTGTAATCAGGTCCATAGCACACATGCTCCAAGACCTGAAATACGAACCTGCTTCACTGCGAACTTATTATGAGCACGCTCATCAGCCCAGAACTTCGACTGAAAGCACACCAAGAGCAAACACGCGCACGTTTTGACTGATCGAGGGGCATTGTACACTCACCTTGACAGCCTGCTTAGCTTCCGACTGTCAAATGCCTGCAAAGCGTAAAATGCAGCCTCAAAGTTTCACGGTGCACTGAATGCGGTTCCCGATGGACAGTGTAATATTGACTTACGTCGTGGCGCCGACTCGCGCGAGCCGCACTCGTTAATTTTTCTGTGATGTAACAATCTGACTTCCTGCAGTGTCGCCGTATCATTCTTTCTTCCGGAACCTAAGCCATCGGCTACCTCTACGGCCATGCGCGCGGAGCACAATAGCCTGACGAATGACTTGGTCCAGTGCGACGTAGCTGTCGCATTTCGAGGTGCCATCGTCGCTTGATTCAAAGGTTGGCTCCTCCAGCGACCAAAGATGGGCCTGAGCTCTCTTGGAAGGTGAGCGAACATACTGCTCGTCTACAAATGATTTCACACCTTTTGAGCAATAGTGAGTGGTTGTCTCCCCTAGGCAGACCCTAAAGAAGACCTCGTTGAGAGTGAGTGGGCGGTCTGATGACCGCCTACTGCCTGCGGTCTGGGATCGGTCTGGGGGCGCGTTCGGAGAGGGATGGTGCGTGAAGGCGTGGACGCAGAAGAACACAGATGCAACGCGGAAAGCGACCGCGCCAATCGTGAAGGCCATAGTGGAAGGCCGGGAGTTAGGAGTTGTGTAGACTGCTGCCGTGGTTCACGACGTGCAGTGTCTCAGATGTGGCCCCCTTGCGGACGGGCTGCTTTTAATTGCTACAACCTCGGGCTGTAGTGAGCCCCTTTCCACGAAACTATGGATTATCTGGCTGAGTACGGACTCACCGAGTAAAGTTACGCTGACCCACGATGCATGGACGCCAGAGCAAACAGACTTGAAGCAGTGCACATACTACAATAATGAACAACATACACTCCTCTTAACTGTACGCACATACACATATCACACGTCAGATGGGCATTCGACGACCTGTCTTGCCCGTAGCTGAGGTATGACTGCGATGTCGAGAACTACTATGATATAGATCGAAATTCCGCCGAGATGGGATATAATGGTATCATCCTACCGAGTGTCGTGATATGTGCGTACACAACCATCCGGTGAGCTTAGAGCATTCATCGACCTGAGCCTGCTATTGCCTGCCATTTCAGGTAGAGAACATAGGCGCGTTTCCTGAACTTGAACTCGCCACTGCGGTGCACTTTGTGCGCGGGCAACGAAAATATGCGACGGACGACCATCATAATATTCGAGAACTGCGCCAGATACGCAAATGAGCAAGCACAAGTCGCGAGAATGCCACTCGGAAGAGCGAACGGTGGTCTGAGTACGTAATGACGACTCACAGCGAGACGTTCGGCGGTCATGTCCTTGTAGTCCTCGACGATAGTCAGAAGCTTATCGGCTCCGAGCACATCCTGCGGGCGCGATTGACACCGGTTCAGAGCGGACAGACGGAGCGTCACTCACCTCGTCTGTGAGACCTCTCTCCAGAAATGCGAGCTGCAACCGCCGCATCCAGCCCATCACCATGATCGCTCCGGGGTCGCGAACGTCTCTGCTCCAAGTGAGAGGGTAGGGCATGAAGGCATGGTCCGCGTCGACGTCCACTGTGGCCGTGGTCGGGATCGAGATGTACTTGCGGATGACCACGAGCGGGCGGCGAGAGTCCTCTTTGAGTTTGAGAGAACGCATGTCGCGGAGGGGCACCACGGTGCGCATGAGCTCGTCGGAGGCGTTCCCGCCGTGATTGCGCGCGATCTTCATCCCGCAATTGACGAAGAAGAGGGTCTGCAGGTGGGGGATCGAGGACAGCAGTCGAAGGAGGTCGTCGAGCTTCGGCTGCTGCTGCCACAGGAGGCCGTACATCTGGACGAACGTCAGATGCGGCAGCACCGGGGGGTCCCACGCGGGCTCCGTCTCGTGCAGCGTCAGCGACTGCAGCTGCGGGAAGAGACCGAGGTCGATCGGGGGCAGCGCGAAGACCCCGACGTCGTTCGCGTCGACGCGCAATGACCTGAGTGCCGGCATGGAGAGGCTGAGAAGGGTGGATACGTGGTACCAGGCCGCCTCGGTGCGCACGGCGGGCCATAGACGGAGGTCGAGTACGGCGATGCGCCCGGTGTGGGGCAGGAGCAGCCGCGCCTTCGGTGCCCAGCTGGCGTCGCGCGACCCGTTCGCATACACGCTTATCGGTGCGTTGCGGGAGCAGCGCAGGAAGTGCTCGAGCATCCGCACGTCGTCGTCGAGGCGGATTGTCGTCCAGAATGCAGGCGAGGTCTGCGCGACGTCGCGCCAGTGGCTGCACACAGCCGTGAGCCGGAATGAGCCTTTCACATCACGGTCGCCGTTCCGTTGAAGGGTGCGTTGGAATATCCTGGAGAGCAGCTCGTGCGGAAGTCGGTGGACAGGGACCGTCAGATTGTGCGCCTTCGATTCTTCAACTGACGAGGAACCCATATCGCGATACACGGCCGTTCCCCACTCTCCTCTGGTTCAAGAAAGCGGTGATATAGGAGAAGTAGAGCGGGCTATCTGCCAGAATGAAGAACAGCTTGAGGGCGTCGGGCGTCGTCGTGGTGTCCATCCGCAAGACTTGCCGCCGGGGCGGCTAGATCACCGATTGCCTACATCACGCGAAAAAAAGTCTATCGCCAATCCACCATGGGTAATCATGAAATGGGTACGAACATGCTTTGTCTGCGTCCTCCTCAGAATCCCTGAGGGAAACATAATCTACGTACTCAGCACGATCTCGAGACTTGGTCATCGTTCGTACCTCACAAAGCGCCTTTCCCACTGCGCACAGCGGGGGTCACACTCACTGTTGCGCAAGAGGTGTGATTCATTCAAGAGGTGTGATTCATGATTTTGTGGACGAGCAGTATGTTCGCTCACCTTTCAAGAGAGCTCAGACTCGTCGTTGGTCGCTGGAGGAGCCAACCTTTGAATCAAGCGACGATGGCACCTTGAATTGCGACAGCTACGTCGCACTCGGACCAGGTCGTTCCTCAGGCTATTGTGCTCCGCGCATGGCCATAGAGGTAGTCGGTGGCTTGGAGGTTCTGGAAGAAAGAAAGATACGGCGACGCTGCAGGAAGTCAGATTGTCACATCGCAGAAAGCATAACGAGTGCGGCTCGCGCGAGTCGGCGCCACGACGTAAGTCAATATTACACTGTCGGTCGGGAACCGCATTCAGTGCACTTTGAAACTCTGAGGCTGAGCTGCAATTTACGCTTTGCAGACATTTGACAGTCGGAAGCTAAGCAGGTTGTCAAGGCGAGTATGTATAACGCCCCTCGGTCAGTCCAAACGCGCGCGTGTTCGCTCTTGGTGCGCCTTCAGTCGAAATTCGGCCTAATGAGCGTGCTCATCTGATGTCCTACATACAGTCGTCCTTTACAAACGCCTCGCCCTCGGCGAGCCGCAACGCACGCTCTCACGAACGGATACAGTCTATTCGTCAAGAGGCGATGGCGACGTTGAAGACAGGCGCATCATCCCTCTCAAGACTGTGACGGGCAAGACTGGTATGGGCGCGTGCAGCACAGGCGGCGGGGATGAGGAGACACTCAGGCGGGAGTAGCGACATACCGACCGCCAAGAATGACAGGCATGCTGGCCTTCGAAGGAGGGAAATAAGTTCGCAGTGAAGCAGGTTCGCATTTCATGCCTTGGACCATGTATGCTGTGGACCTGATTACAAGGTCAATCCAGGTATAATAAGAGAATATGTGTCTGGCGTACCGGTCGGTGCGTTACCTGATTGCATCTGGAGTATTCAGGGAGGTTGCAAGGCTTTAGCCCTTCCGCTAGGGACGCTGGCGGATGTCTCAGAGTCTCGGACAAGGCCTGCGTTTCACAGTGCTACTCGTCGCACCCAAAGCTTGCGTCTGGCGCGTGTCCAGTGAAGACAGCACGGACATATGGAATCGGGTGAGCTGCACTCTACCAATATCCGCAAGAGACGCGACGTTGACAATGATCCTGAAGCTGATGGAGGCAGGCGAGGGAGAAAGGCCCGCTGCTGGACATCAACCGGCCAGCCGGGAGGAAAGAAGCGTCGCAGCGTCATTGAGGGCCCTGGTCCAGCATCGTCGCTTGGGCCAAGGCTTACCGCCTCGTGCCGCGTTCCGCCATTCCTACTTGTCTGTCTCAAAAGGGCTCTCGCTTTGTCTCGACCATTTGCATAAGCGCCGTGGTCGCTGTGGCCGCTGTGGCTCAAAGTTCGGCAAACCGCGCGCCTCAAAGGACGCGACTCGAACAACGCACTCTCAAGTACCCTCGTCCACTCGCCCTTTCGTCTCTGCGCTCCACCCCGTCTTTCCGACCTTGCAATTAATCGCCAACACCGTGGTACGTTGCTTGCTGTATCATCTAGGACTCGCTTCACTGACAATGCGCTTCAAGACCAACCATTTTCTACTTCAACCATGAAACAAGTCGCTGTTATCCGCTGTCTGCGAATCCAAGAGGTGCTAGAGATGGTCATGGGAGACCTTCGTAAATCCAGTCGCAGGGACGTGGCCAGGATGGCCAGGACCTGCAAGACCTTTTACCACGTCGCCGTCGCGGTCCTTTGGCGAGACGTAACTGGCCTAAGGCCGTTTATGTCCACAATCCCTGGGCACACATGGATCAAGGACGGGCAGCAATATGAATGGATATGGAAGCCGACGCGATTGGTGCGTCAATTGTACGGGCTCTTGCATGCCAGATACTGACTCCATGTCCTCGAGTAGAATGGCACCGACTTCGATGTCCGCCGCCTAGCCTTCTACGTCTCTCACATCAAGTCTTTTACCTGGAAATTCGACAGTGACATTACTTTGTCCAGTGCCGTACGGTTTCTCCAAGGCATACCTCGCTCAATGGTCCTGCTGCCTGCCTGCCGCACGGCTAGAGTTGAAAATGACATAAAATGGTTTGATATGCTCCTCGGCAGTCGCCTGTTCGTAGCACCAGTGTTGGAAGAGCTCTATTCCAACGCGCGTGCACGCCACGCAGAGCCTGTATTCCGATGGCTTCAACAAATATTTCCTCGGCTCAAGACCTTACACATGACCGGCCCCTCGAGCAGTGTTACGTGGCCGCCCCCACCGCTCACCGGGCATACCTTGGCCCCTCTCACAACCACACGTATATCGGCGTTCGACGCCCACGACCCACTCACCATCAACGCCCTACGTGTTCTCTCTACTATGCGGACTCTGGAACACATCAGTGCGCGACTTGACCTAAGCAGCGACTCGGATCCCGTTGCCGCCCCGCCGGGACGACCATTCCGTTCACTCAAGTCGTTGCGCCTATTCGCCCACTGGATCAACGACCTCACTCTCGCGGTTATCAAGTCGATTTCCTCGACCGAACTGCAATGCTTGGAGCTCACGGTCAAAGCTCGGGCGCAAAGTCATTTGAGCGAGCAGTTCCTTCTCGCTCATATGACTGCTCTGAGCCGGGCTCCGTTCAGGAATTCCCTACGAGAATTCAAGCTCTACCTCCACCACGACGAACAGGTGGACCTGCAATGGAACATCGGTTCACAGATCCTTCGGCCGGTCCTGGGCCGTCTGGACTCTCTCGTATCCCTTCAAATATTTGGGGACGCGATCGCCTTGGATTTCGAGATCTGTCGGAGCATCGCGGAGGCATTCCCGCACTTGGAGATATTGGCGTTGATGGATGAAGGCGACGACCCTTACGCCGGGTCGCTGAGTCCAACACTCGATACGGCGGCACGATCTGCGCCCCTTGAGGGCCTCGCGTTCTTTGCGAAGCATTATCGTGCGCTCACCAGTCTCAGGATGCCCGTGCGAATCGAGAGCAGCGTGCTGCCTGCCTGGCCCGCCGCGCAAGATGTATCAGCGACGATCAAAGATGGGCTAATACTTCTGAGGCTCGAAGGCGACGAAGAAGCCGTTGTGTACGACAGTGTGCGGGCGTATGTGGACGTGTTGCTTCCTGCGTATGAAGGCATATTTATGTATTGACTTTTTTCTACTCCTTTCTTCTACTGCTTCATCTCGAGATCCCACAACATGACTCTACGTGACTGACATCTTCCGTACTGTGGAAAAGTTGTAGCTACTGTGTAGCACTAAATGTCACTGGCGCAAGCAATACGTATACTATGTACTTGTTGAACAACGCATGTACTTGAACCCTCTGCGCGCCGGTTGCGTTACGTCGTTAGTTTACATTCTTGCCGCTGCTTTCGTCGAAGACGATGATTCGCTCAATATTTGCGATTCTACGGAGTATGTCGACGAGGATTTGCCACGCGTGACGTCGCCCCGTGTGACGCTGTCCAGACCCACTTGCACTGTGTGAGTGGGGAATCCCACCACATCACTCAGTGTACGTACCGAGAGAAGGGGGCAAATCTAAGACACCGCATGTCGTGAACTACGACAATCTGTACAAATCATTACTCCCGGCCTTCTACTATGGCCTTCACGATTGGCGCGGTCGCTTTCCGCGTTGCATCTGCGTTCTTCTGCTTCCAGGCCTTCACGCGCCATCCCTCCCCGAACGCGCCCCCCGACCGATCCCAGACCGCAGGGTCCGCTCCTATCTTCTCCCACTTACGCTTCTTTAGCTGCAGTACGTCGTTCTCCTCCAGACCGCGGAACAGCCTGCGCGCCAGCTCAGACTGCACATCGTCGCTTGCATGTACGACCCAGAGTTGCTCCCTGCGGTGCTTGCCCTTCCCGCCCTTCCCCGGCTTTTTGTCGTCTCGGAACGACGTGAGCACCCCGAGCGCAGTCAGCCCACGCTCATCCATATAGTGCTTTGTGTCATTGACGAACTGCGCCTCGTCCCTCGGGACGAGCGTCGCAAGCCCGAGTGGGACAGACGCTAGCCCAATGAGCAGCTCCCGACTAGGTGCGAACGCGGGCGTGTGAGCGTACTCTTTGTAGTCCCGCCGGAGCAGGTCGCGCACCCCAAGATGCGCGACGGAGTTCTTCTTCATTTGCAAGGTACCGTTGAGCTTCTGAATTGCCTCGGACTTGTGCAGGGGCGGGATCGCGGCAGGACTTCTCAGCGCTAATGAAGATGCGGCGAGGTTTGGGGATCGGGAGGCGAGTGTGCATCTGGAGGCGAGGAACACCGCTGCTCGCCGGTCGACCTCCACGGCCTTGCCACCCGGAACCATTCCACCAGTGTCGACCACGATCGCGGATAGCAGTAGCACCGCGAGTTCCGGGGGTATCTTCTCCGCGCACTTGTCCTGGAGGAACAACGCGACAAGTGCCGCGCAGCTCCCTACGCCCTGTGTGACGATCCGCGGGTCCGCGTCGGTGTGTAGGCCCTCGTCGGCGTGGTGGTCGATGATCGCCACGACTCGCGCGGCCGAATTGTCGGCGGAGAACTGCGCGTTCAGCCGGTTGTGATCGACGAGGGCGAACGTCGTGGAGGGAAATGGGGAAGAGGAGGAAGGGGGAAGCACGTCGTCGACGCAGAGCAGCTCGTCGAGGCTGACCCCAGCGAGCGCGAGTGCGTGCGCGTTCTCCGCGCGTAGATGCAGGTCTCCGCGCGGGGTCTGTACGAGCGCGACGGCCGGTGTCTGTTGCACGTCGGAGAGGTACCATGCATAGGCGACGGCACATGCGAGCGAGTCAAGGTCTACCCTTACAGTGAAGGATTGAGCGCGATGTCGTTAGCAAAGCAGAAACAGGACGCACCGCCCGCCTCGTTCCCCATTACGACAGTCCACTCCTTCCCTCTCCCATTCCGCACGGCCTCGAGGTACTCAGCCTTCGTACGATCGAGGAACGCGCGCAGCGTGTCCACAGGGCTCTTCTCTTCTGGCATCTTGAGATCCAGCACGGCTGAGGTCATCGTAGCGGATTGCCTCGAAGTTGCGCGCGACCCTCGCAGATGAACAGTATCGACCAGCCCGGATGTCTTGCGTCTAGATCGTTGCTGATACAGAGTGCCGTGGACGATGTACCCAGGTGTGGGGGTGGCCGCAGGAAGATATTTCGCAAAGAGAGTATGATGGTTCTCAGCGAGTAGTGTAGTCAAAATTCGCCTCGACGGGAGGTATATGGGCATACACAACTTGATCGAGCGACCCGCAATTCCGGGCGCCCAGCGACGTCATTCATGTAGGCTCGACGACCCTGAGGTTCGGATATTCGCCGACTGAAGAAATGAAGGGCACCCCAAGTTAACTCACGTTTCACGAACACACGTATGAGTGAAGTCGAGAGATTGGGAAAGAGTGAGGCTGCAGCAATGGCTTGCAGAGTCTCGCGACGCGATCTGCGCGCTGAACACGTGCACGTGATGGATATGTACCCGTTTTTGTGCCATTGCATGCGCGAAACTGATCCACCAAAGCGATTCAAGACCAACCATACAGTATTCTACACAGGATCGTATATAGTACACCAAGGAGACCATCCAAAAACCTGTTGCCGTTTCTACAGCGGTAGTACAGTCCGCCGGGACGGAGCCGCTCACAACTTCGCGTGCTCCCCCGGACCAGGCGGCACACCACTCGGGTTATACTTCAACGCCTTCTTGTTGTTATGCACGTCCTTCGTGATGCTCTTGTAGCCCGCCACCGTCATCAGGATGTCCAGGTCCTGTGTAGACAAGCATATCGTCCTTAGCAATAAACTTCATTCCAGACGGAACGAAGACGTACCGCAAGCAAACTCTTCATGACATGCCGACAGCCATACTCGCCCTCATGGGCCATGCCCCAGACGTACAGCCGTCCGACTTCGACGACGTGCGCGCCGAGCGCGATCGCCTTGAACACGTCCGCGCCAGTCCGGACGCCGGAGTCGAAGATGATAGTCATCTCTGGATGCGCGCCGAAAATCAGCTCCGGCCATCGCAGAAGACGAAATGAAAGACACGTACTGTCGCCAACGGCTTCAGCGATCTCAGGCAAGACTTCCAGGCTCCCGACAGCACCGTCCACCTGGCGACCAGCATGGTTCGTCACGACGATCCCCTCACACCCAACCTCGTACGCCTTCAGTGCGTCCTCCGCGTTCTGGATGCCCTTGATGACGAACGGGCGTCCGTTGGAGATGCGTTTCCACTGTATACGCAGCCACTCAGTACTCATTCATATCGCGCAGGAGAAGCCTTCGTACCTCGCCTACAAGCCAACGAATCTTCTCCCACGTGTGCGGTTTCCCGTGCCACACGCTGTGGTCAATCCACTTGCCCGAGTCCTTCTTCAGCTCCTCCCCGTGCTTCCTCATGAATACCGGATCGGATGCACCGATTTCATTGCCAGCCTACACTGCCGCTTCAAAGGAGACGCTCCTCGATTAGACAGAGAAGTACGCTTACAGCATTGGGGTAGTAGAACGTGTAGTTCGCGATGTTGATGTCTGTCGGTCTCCAGGCGAGCTGCCAGGTGTCCGTCGTGAGCATGAGCACGTCAAAGCCAGAGTTCCATGCCCGGTTAAGGAGCGACAGTGTCTGGCGTGTTAGGCAGCTAGTCAACGCATGTCCTCTCATTATGAGTTAAGTTACAACACTTACGATCTCGTCGTCATGGCCCATGTAGAGCTGGAAAAATCGCGGGCCCTTGGCGTTTCCACCATTCGGTCCGCTGTACGAGTGCACATTGTTACTCTCATTCTTGACGGATGCACCGAGGTCATTGGCCTTTGCCACATCCTCGATTGACTGAGAACCGGCCGTAGACAGACAATACTGCATACAACCCGTTGAGTCTGCGGATATGAGATGAAGCAAGATTCGAACTTACAGGAATGCCAAGTTCTCCAGCGATCTTCGCAGGGACCAGCTCGCCGAGGGAATGGTATAGTTTGTTGATACCGATCGGCGCGAACATGATCGGCGCAGGGATCTTGTGGCCGAAGATGGTTGCTAGACCACAATGTCACCCCGAGGAGATGTCTTGGTACGAAAAACTCACTGGTCAGGTCGCGAACGTTGGTGTCGACCAGGGTGCGAGGGATGATGCGCCATCTGTAGAACGCCTCCCTGTTCGCGCGGGCTGTCCACCCAATCCCAGCATTCGAGTTGGCGTAGAAGTATCCTCTGTCGTTGAGCTTCTTCTTGGTAGATTCCTGCAGTTCCTCGGGGTGCACAGAGAACGTCGGAACTACACATGTGTTGCAGATCAGAAAGGGCGCGAGTGTCACAGGTGATGAAGACTTACGCTCTCCTGTCTCTCCTCCTCGTTTGAACACCTCACGCTGGTAGAGCGAGTAGTGAGGCGATGGACCTTTTGGCTTGTTCTCCGGGTCCATGGTCAATTGCTCGGGTACTTACAAGATGGCGGGTTAGAAAGACTGGTACGGAGCTCAGTCCAGAACCAAGCGAATGTATTTATGTCTCCCAAGACAACACCTGCGCCTCATTGACGGCGAACGCTGTGGTCCATGACATCATCCTGAGGAGGCTGACGAGACGCTTCGCCGTCGGAGACTTGTCCGTGCAGTCCGCTCACGGGCACACTCTTCGGCGGAACAGCGACGGAACCAGTAGAGCGGAAAATAGACATCGACTCCAAATGCTTTCCCAGAGACATCATCCAACCGTAAGCAGTGCACTGGTGTGCCGTCGGCGGCTGCTTAGCATGGGCAGAAACGGGGAAAGACAGAGTGGAGAACTCGACGCGTGACGTCACGACAACGCGCATCTGTGCGCGTCCGGAACGCGTAGCCTTATGTATACGAGACACTTCGTGACAGAAACGAAACTGTACCAAGTTGTCTGTGGCAGACATGAATCGCGATACCGCGCTGTCCGAACCTGACCGACTGAGAACTATAACAGTAGCATGGTCACGTACAGGTGGGCTGTCTTCAAGAACGAGATGATGTGCAATCGCAAGCGTCCTCCGCGCATACAGACGTGATCCTTTCCCCAGGAGGCACCACCATCGACAGCATCGGTGTCTGAGCTACAGGCAGTCATTGGAGTGCAGACGGAACACACCTGGCGTCCTTAATGTGAACGAAACACGACTAGAATAACCGTTCTTCCGCCCATGAGTCGAAAGACGCAGGAGGTGATGGTAAACCGGGAAAGAGTGGTGAAGGAGGTGAATATCTCGCCCTGCGATGAGCATCGCCTTTATATACGCGTGCGGCCATGGGGCGTAGACTACGTCATGGACAACGGCGGAAGATGGATTCGTTGACACGCAGTGAACTAGGTGGTCAGGGTGCGGGCGACGACGCCAGAGATGATTTTCCAGTTCAGTTCGGGAAATTCGGCAAAAGAGGTACCAGAGGTCCGCTAAGGGCACTAGGTAAAGCAGCATGGATACACTCAGGTGCAGCAACCCACTGGAGCAAGTATCCATGCATAGACATTCGCCAAAGATTCAAGAGCGAGTGTGTTAAAATCTGAGAGACTAGATACAACGATTTCCTTGAGCTTCCAATGGTAGTCACATAGGGGTTTGTGTCAAGGCCTGGGTATACCGGCGCAACGAGCCTCGAGGAGCATTCAAGTTCTAAGATCGCATAGACGCCGGTATTCGTGGCCAGCGGGTTAGCGTAGATCTTGATGCGTACGTAAGCACGCTGGATCGAAACCTTAGATCGCTGACTGTACAGGAGCACCGGCTGCTCTCCTCACTCTTACCCACAGCGACCAGCCCCGTACCCCCGCCTCAAGAAAACATGGGAAAAGGTTTGTCTCCTCGTCCGATATCGAGCGGCTCTGATGCTGAACGCGATGATGCCGCTGTGTAGTTCACGGATCCCTCGCCCGTGCCGGCAAAGTCAAGTCGCAGACCCCCAAGGTCGAAAAGCAGGAGAAGAAGAAGACTCCTAAGGGCCGTGCTAAGAAGCGGATGCTCTACAACCGTCGGTGCGTAGTCATCCATCTCTTCAGGGTATCGCGAGGCTAACTTATGATCCAGCTTCGTGAACGTCACCACTCTTCCTGGTGGCAAGCGGAGAATGTGAGTCTCGTCGTCACTTCTTCCAATGCTGGTATCCTCGCCTCCAAAGATGATACACCGAACCAAGCATAGTTCACACTGAAAACTTATGTTGATAAACATGCATCTGTCTTTCGCTCCTATCTGACACTCCTTCATTCTTTTGCACCTTTCGTCGTGCGGGCGCTGACCAAGTATGTCTCCACAGGAACCCCAACCCCGAGAAGTAAACCTTCTCCTCGCCACACTCTCGACGCTTAGTGTCATCGCCAGGGAGCCGCGCCTCCTTCGGTTTCTGCTGCGGACGTTGGTCCGGGCTCGTTGCAGGCTTGGGGAATCGCATCGTTGTTGTATCACTCGCATTCTCGCTCTCCCCGTATGTTACTCTCACGCATGCATATGCCCCCAACACGACTATGATTCAGATTCAAGAGCATCCTACGTGTGATTGAGGCGACAGTAATCGCTTGCCTACGTTAAGGGCGATAGTGCGTATGATCGTTCCGTAGAGACGCATCTCGTCACGTCCCTGGGCTGCGTCGCTGTACATCCCCGCAACGCAACCATCTCGAATGGTGTCACGCATGCAGCGACCAGTCGGTATAAATGACGTCGTCAATACTTCGTCAATCATCCTGAAACTTTGTTTTTGCCTGGAGATGACACTCAGTATCATCTACGTGACATAGCTGTAGCTCATGTGTCAGCAATGAATGCTATCCTTCTACGATTGCACAAAGTTCTGCCACCATAGGACCTCCAAAAACCGCAATTGCTGAGGCTTCGCAAATAGATATCATGAGGGAATGATGTCAAAGTACATGAGTGACGACGAACGTAAAAGGCCATCTCACTGTATGATGGTAGCCAGGACGCTGATGAGCTCCTTGTCGACCTTCGGCGGAGACTCCCCCTTGATATTCAAATACGCCGTGCGTAACCGTTCCGTCGCGAGTTCGTCGAGACTGGACATCATCCCAGTGGAAAGTGCGGGTGTATGCGATGCTGAAGATGTCAGCAGACGTGGTTCCGAGATCAGACGGTGCGTGCACTGTTGATTGCGCTCAGTCTCTGCTAAGTATTGAGGACGCAGCAACATACCAGTTTTACTCCGTACCACGCGCGGAGCGTAAGCCCAGTCGGTATCGAGTCCTGTGGGGGAACGGGGCCGTCGTCGTCATCTGTCATGTCCACGGCGACGAGGAACATCTTCAGTGACAAAGTGATGTCGGCGGCAAGGTATGCGGTTTCGGCGAATTGTAGGAAATAGAAAGGGCTTTGCGGGGCAAGGATGAGAGCATGAGATAGGGCCTGAAGCGCATGTGTGTATCTGCGGCAATGTCACGAAGAGAACGACCCGAGGACGCTGAGAGGACTCACTGGGTACATGAGGAATATATGTCGGCGAGCTCCAGCCAGCCACCAACGTCTGTGTAGAAGGTATCGAGCATCGAGGACAGTTCCTCGACGGCTTTGTCGACCTTCCCCATCTTCCGGAGTACTGCTGCTTTCCGACGCCAGACCGCCTACGCAGTGTCAGTGGCCATGTGGCCACATACGCGTCAATGAACTCACAGCATTCGTCTCGTCCGCTTCCAGCAGCTCCTCGTAGAACTTCAAAGCAACTTCGGGTGGTTCTGTGGCCTCCATTCTGAGCCCTTGTAGGACGTCAGCGCGAGGAGAGCCGGGGAACGCGTCTAGGATGAGCTGGAGGCATTGCTATGGTCGTCCAGAACAGTATCCCCACCGTCGTGTTAGCTGTGCGGATCGCTGGCCATGGCCCTGCATACGACTCACGTCAGCTACTTCAGTATCCCCCTGGTCCAACGCAGCGAGGTACAGCTTCTCGAGGTTGTCCCATCCTATTCGAAGCGCGAACGTGTCAGGCTAGCACACGTCGACCTCGCAGCAGCCATAACTCACCCTCGTCCCCGCGTTTGGCGTACGCACCGCTCTTCAGTAGGCCTACACCCTTTGTGAGAGCCTCCTTCGAGGTCTCCGATTGCCGTTGCCTGTAACTGGCGAGTTTCTGGAGGGAGTTCGTGAAGTCCATGGTGAAACCATGTATGTACCACGACCGCGACTGCTACAGGCGCCATCACATGTCCGCGCTTTGCCACTTTCCTCGATGGCGATCTGCTTTTGCTCACCACATCCAGCGTCGCTCGAGGCCTTGGTCTCGTCCCTCTCATTCCTTTCCGTATGTACATAGTATGAGTGTGGATAATCGGTGAGTGGACAACCAAAATCTACATCGTCAATGTTGCTGAGCGCCTGACTCGGGCAGACAACTCTCCTCGAAGACCGGACATGTAGCTGTTCAGCACAGTAATGAGGCTTCAACAGGCCGTCATGACATTATACGAATCAGGGACTTGAAAATCAACGTCCCGGTATCAACCACCGGAGACGGGACAGACCAACAAGGCGTCCTAGTCACCCTCGCCATCGTGCATGACACACGCTCCACCGCTGCAACGGACGACTTGGCTCGCTCTATCAACTATGCGTCGGTCTCGGAAACTGTGTCGCAGGTGCGGGGCACTTCAAGCGTTCTATCACTCGAAGCTCTATTGGAGCGGGTGTGCACGTCGTGCTATGGCCGACATCCGGAGGTGCAGGAGCTCTCGGTGAGAGCCAACGTCGCTCTTTCAACCGACATTACAGCTGGTATCGAGATATATTCCTCGAGGAGCGTCCCGCACGCTGCAGCATGGCGTTCCTTCCTCGAAGGACTGGAGTGTCAGACTATCATCGGAGTGAACCCGGAGGAGCGGGATGTAAAACAACCCGTTTTACTCAACGTCACGCTCGATGCTTCGCGCAGTCCTCAGGAACCTCTGAATCTTCGAGGGCTCGCAGCGACCATCATGCAGGTGCGTTCCACAGATACACACATGTATGCGCTTGCCGACTCAGCCTCGCAGGGTGTGACTGATAGCTCGTATCTTACGCTGGAAGCGCTTGCGTCGTATGTAGCACGCATCGCCCTCTCGCAATGCACGGAGCCGTCGTGTCGTGTAACAGTGCGAGCCTCGAAGCCGCATGCGCTGCGTCCGGTCGCGGAGGCAGCGGAGGTGGAGGTCTCACGTACGCTGGAGGATTACCAGCGCGAATCAGCTGTAGACGCTTCGGAAGTCACAAAGGTCTCGCCGTCGGAACGAGCAAGGAGCAAGACACCAACCTTTGCCTCTCTGCTCGCTTCTGTCCTTGGGCGGAAGGCACCGGTCAGGTACCCTCATCGGGCTGCGATTGCGCTCGGCGCAAATCTGGGCGATCGCTGTGCCAATATCGAGCTTGCGCTCCGTCTTCTGGACCTTCCCCCTGAGGGGATGCAGACGCCGAGAGCTGTGGTGGTTGATACGAGCTTCATGTACGAGACTGCGCCAATGTATGTCACGGATCAGCCGAAGTTCATCAACTGCGCATGCATGGTGTGTCTGTTGTTGAACTGAATTGCGCATATGCTTACAGGACAATTCTACCACACCAGATCGAGACAGACATGGGACCATTGGAGCTACTCAGTTACGTCAAGTATATCGAGGCAACGGTCGGGCGGGTCACGTCTTTCCGAAACGGCCCACGAGCGATCGACCTCGACATTCTCACGTACGATTCGGAGGTCTTTGATTCACGGCCTGCCACTGAGCGAGGTGCGCTGGACAACTTGGCAGGCCAGCTCGTCGTACCCCATCCGCGCATAGCGGAAAGGGAGTTCGTCCTCCGGCCGTTGAGAGAGTGCGTCATCAGTCAACGTCGTGTTCATGACCCTTTCTGACCATGAAAAGTATGATCCCGGAATACGTACATCCGACGTTACACAAGTCTGTCCGCACGCTCTTCACCGAGCTCCTCGCACGCTCAGGTCCGGACGTAGCGCCCATGTACAAAGTAACGCCCTTTCCGCGTTACGGGCTCCCCACCCAACCTCCTTCACGGCCGCCGTCTCCGTCGCTCTCTGACGTTCCGCCCGTCCCACCTACTGCTGCATACTGGACGTATCCTGTCGCGCCAAGCAAGGCAAAGCAGCGCCGCACGACGTACATCATGGGCACGTTGAACGCGACGCCAGACTCGTTCTCGGATGGCTCGAAGCATAACACCATCCCTGCTGCCCTCGCGTACGCGAAGTCGGCGGTGGCTGGTGGTGCCGCGATCATCGACGTCGGTGGCTACTCTACCCGCCCGAGGGCCGCGTGGGTGTCTCCACAGGAGGAGACCTCGCGCGTCGTTCCTGTCATTGAGGCCATCCGCGCCATCGGGCAGGATGAGGGTGACGACCAGGCCTTGCGCTCAAAAACGGCGAATGTCCTGATCAGCGTGGACACCTTCCGATCAGAGGTCGCAGAAGCGGCCGTACGTGCTGGTGCAAACTGCATCAACGATGTCTACGCATTCGTCGGGAACCGGTGGCCGCTCGACGAATCTTCCGCGGAGGACTTCCTCGAGATGCGCCGCGTCGCGCGCGAGCTCGCCGTCCCTGTCGTGCTGATGCACTCGCGTGGAGAGGCGTCCGCGAACAAAGACTACTCGCAGTATGCATATGCCCAGGACGCGGACGGGTGCGGAACCGTGCTCGAGGGAGTCAGAGTCGAACTGGGCGAGAGAGTCGAGGCGGCCGTGAAGGGCCCGGGCGGGATCCGGAGGTGGAACGTCATCGTCGATCCTGGTATCGGGTTCAGCAAGACGGTCGAGGGCAATTTGGAGTTGCTGAGAGATGCGAGCAAGCTCACTGCCGAGCTGTGGAGTTGCCGGGGGAGGAACCAGCTTGCGGGGTATCCGCAGCTGATCGGTGCGTCGCGCAAGTCATTCCTTGGGACTATTTTGGCGCAGCCAGACGAGGGCGGGAACTATGAGGGACGGGAGACAACGGCCAGCGAGCGAAGTTGGGCCACCGCTGCTGCGGTGAGCTGCGCCGTTCAGCAGAGAGCTGAGGTAGTGCGGGTGCATGATGTCTTGGAATTGGGCGATGCCGTGAGGATCAGCTCAGCAATATGGGATGTGTACTAGACGGGAGTGCCTCAGTGCAAATATGAGATCGCTCGCTTTTACTCGTGGTTGCCTATGTGAGTTCCATAACTGACCGGTTGACCGATAGCTGACGCCATATGTCTTGGGTCTTATAAGATGACCAACTATGTATCCAGTCGTTGTTCAACGTTACGTTAAACGATGGCTACATTTCGGGTTAGTCTTCCCTCGGCAGACCCTAAAGAAGACCTCTTCGAGTGGGGAGAGGACGGTCTTCTAAGGTCGGGCAACGCTGTCATGCACCGCACGGCGCGTGGTCAGATGGATCGCCTCCTCCGGGCTGCTTCTTCGCCCGGGTTCTCTCAGAACCAACGCTATTCTACATAGCCTGTCCCGGCTTTTGTCGGATCACGCGTGGCTGTTGCACATTGCCCAAGGTGAGACGCTTCACGACCCTGATGAACAGCTCAAACAGAATGCCGTCCGCGTCGTCTGGGATAAGGGATAAGGTGCTCATCGTTGAACAGAGTGTCCCCCGCACTGTTGCAGCAGGCGGCGACCTGCCCTTTACGCACGCTGAGTAGGTATCAAGCACCCTCAGGCTTCTGGGTGTGAATGACCTATGCCTGTAAGGGCTACTGCAAGTAACCCGCATCGTGCGTAGCCGCTCGCATCGTGCTTCATACCACATCTGCGTAGGATGGATGGGCGCAGTCTACCCGGATACGGTGCGTCTGCGTTGTCGCTCGCATCCTACATAGCTCTCGGCCTCCTCGCTGATTCGAACGCTATGTCGTAGTGAGCTGGAGACACTGGATGTGTGACGCCCAGAGCGTGTACGTGTGGTACCCGGGGTTCCCTTCCCTACTACGGTTGTCACCCGCGACTGTGTGCCGAACGCACCTCGCAATCCGGGATGACTTGTTACTGATATAGATTCACTTCGCATCGTGGCAGACACGGAGCACTGCATGAAATGCGTGATCAACATACGTATCGTCCAGGTACTGCCCTCGGTACGACCTATAGCATTAGTTGTAGGTGAAATCCACCGAGTCCCTGGGTCAATGCATATCGGGAACCGGACCTCGCTGGGGCTACGCCACGTCGCCTGCTCCGCAGAGTCCGAGTATGGACTTTGGAGTAATGCCATGATGTAAAATGCGAGCCAAAACTGAGGCTCTGATAACTGTTCTGATCTCCATGTATCTGTTACATCGCTAAATCTGAAGCTCTGGCCTAAAGCCTCGAGGTAGCCCTTGCGATGCGAACCCCACGGCTGCTGATATATGTGACTGTTTCTTCACCACAGGTACCAGATATCTGGGCTCCGAGGCGTGATGAAATTGCGTCGCTTTTATTAGTCTACTTCCCGGTACGTCTGTAGTACACACATGTAAACCTCCACTCACACACTTATAGTATCAGACGTCCGATCGCGGTGCGTGGGGTTCGCCTCCCATCACAATACGATATAGACTACAGAAAGCAAAGCGACCCGCCGGCGGCGTCCGTAGGCGTTTTCGAGGATAACTCCATTTAGTCGGCGTTTGTGGTAAGATTCAGGATGAACAGGAAACAAACAGCTCAGCGCTGAACTATATCCGGCTCTGAAGATTTGATAGCCCGCTTCACTTGCCCTTGATCTTGCTTCGACATAGGTCTGTCTTTAAAGTTAGAACCGTCGGCGTTCAAGTTATTGACCCCTTTCCGGGATATCGGCATTCGCTGTCAACGTATTTACTGTTCTGTGACAGTTGAGTTCAGACTGCCATACAATATCATCGATACGTCTGATTGATCGAGACACTCGGAGCAGGGATAGATGCGATTGAGTACGCTGTCTTTCAAGCCATCGCCGGGTCCTCCAGGCGCCACAATTCGCGGACTCGTTGGTAACTATCATCTCTTCTGTGATATTCACGACATATTGATCGCAAGGCATTACAGTTGGACGTGAAGGAACATGGCCGCTCGAGCGTCCTCTGATTCAGTTGTTCCATTCCATGTGACCTAAGCTACCCATGGTATAAACATCCGGTTTCAAGTCGCCTATCCAATGCGTCGCGTCTGAAGTCCGTGAAACAGGTTGTAAGCACTAGGTGAGCAGTCTGCGCAAGGCTTACGAGCACTGAGACACCTAAAACAAGCACTGCCATACGCGTAATTGAATCAAAGCGATGTCCTCTCAAGTTGCATCCTTCGACAGGACCAGGCATTGTAAGCAACCCACCCCATACAATGGGACATGGGTGGCATACTTCAAGTTGACGCGAAAACACAACTTCCCCACCGGCGTGGATTTATTATTTTGGCCATGTAGTAAGTAGATTGTCAGCAATGGAAGGACGACCATGCTTACAACGGTTCGCAGCGTGGGGTTTGATCATGAGTGCCTACGCTTTGCGGCTCTCCTTCCAGTCGCTTGCGATTCAGCTCATCACATACCTGGTTGGCGTGACGCTTCGGCATAGCACGGCCTGCATCTGGAATGACATGTGTGACACCGAATTTGACCGGAAAGTCGGTGCGTGTTGCGTCCCAAATTCGGCGTCAGTCAGGTCCAATTTGATCCTAAGTATGTGTACGCAGGTAGGACGAGAAGTCGTCCGTTGGCCTCAGGAGACGTTTCTATCCGTGGCGCAAGCATTCTCCTCGCCGTGCATTTCATCACATGTCTCATCATCCTATCACACATTGGAGGTGCAGCGTGAGTACGCAGATACCGTTCAGAGAGCATTCTGACGTTCTTGGCAGCTTCATGTGGGGTTTGTTCTGCCTCTGCGTTTTGGATCCCTTATACCCTCTGATGAAGCGGTGGACTAACTGGCCTCAGTTAGGGCTCGGTACGCGCATCATGCGTATATCAATGTCAGAACCTAGAATTAACACGACACTGCAGGGCTTGCCATGACATGGGGCTTCCCCGTCTCATGGGTGGCTAATTTCGGCGAAATGGATTGGTATATTGTACCAGTTCTATTCGTAGGTGGTGTCTGGTAAGTCAGCTCTCATGTTCTCTTGTAATGTCTGTCTACTATATTTCCGAACAGCTGGACCGTTCATTATGACACCATCTACGCTTGTCAAGATCGTCGCGACGACATCAAAGCGGGTGTCCAGTCTACGGCACTCCTATTTGGAGATTGGACTCGCCTCATACTATCTTTCTTCTCCGCCTGCTTCGTCGCATGCCTTGTGCTTGCAGGCATCATGAACCATCAAGGCCCTCTCTTCTTCGCTGGCGTTGCAGGCACCGCAAGCCATCTAGCTTGGCAGCTTATCGTGGTCGACCTAGACGACAGCTCAGATTGTAGCAGGATCTTCAAGGTAGCATATAATGGTTCAAATGGTCCAAGGGCTGACATCCCATATTTGTAGGCAAACGGCACGCTCGGATTCATGATTTTTGCCGGGATGCTATCGGATTACGCCGTCGGTACGCGCGTGACCCTATTCCGATGAAAAGGCGTGCTGCACGAGTGTCTGGCATGTCTAGCACCGAACGTCGCAAGGCGATATGTCATCGTAATAATGTATCCCACTTCTTGTCTACCTTCAAGTGTGTCGTCTTCATCTACCTCACGCCGTACAAGTTTCAACTATACGCCGACTCAACTCTGACGACTTGTGGTCTTGTACGTACTTATGTGACATACTACGGGTGTTGACGCTCGGCGAATGGCTCGACGGCGGGCGGTAGCCTCACCAGGGTCGAGAGTCCACCTGGCCTCTCTATGCGCACTCGACGTATGCGCCTAGCACTATTTCGTTTGCTGTCAATGAGGAGGCAACGTCTTTCGATCATGGTATGTGCTGAGTCATCCTAGCGAATTTGTTTCTGTACAAACGTACTCTATCCGATGCTCAGACCATATTCGGATACTTGCTCTTCAAAGCCTACAATTACATGCATAACTAACACATTCCGACTCGCCTTACGCTCTAGTGAAGAGTCCAACCTTGCGCCAGTATGCGATCCACCGCGTCACGTCCTCCACAGAGAGCTGCCTCAACCTGGGGTCTGCCAGTGTTGGTGATGCCTCCTTTGCACGACTGATATCCATGTTAGCCATCCCCAACGCCATCCTCCCTTTGTCTTCCTGAAGCAAAATTCCGCGGAACTTCGGAAGCAGGTGCAGGGCATGCAGCCTCGCAGTACGGTCGCCCTGCGCCGCAGCGTACTCTTCGAGCTTTGCCAACCACGTCGCGAAGGGCACGAGTGGGACGGCCAACTCAGCGGAGACGGCAACGGCGAGGTCGTGCCATGGGATTGGGAGCGGGTGGACGACGTGCACGAGGCTAGTAGGGCTCGAGGCCTTGCGGAGGTCAATGAGCGCTGCGGTTGCGAGGTCCAGCTGTAGCCAATCGATCAGCTGTGAGACGCAACACCGTGTTAGTCTTATCGAGCGTGTATATGAAGCCAAAGCAAGACTTACCCTCTCGTCATCGGGGAAGCAACCTACTGTGGGTGCACTCTGTACTATAGACGGGTACCACTCGTGCGCGTTCCATGCGCCGTCAGGGCCAGCGCACATCTGACCAAGTCGGGCGATGAGCGGCTTGAGCGCGGTCGTCTGACCGGCGGCGAGTACGATCTGCTCAGATACCCATTTTGACTCCGCGTAACCAGTGCCCACAGCCCACTCTGGCATCGTTGCCGTCTCCGCGATTACGTCCTCTGATGGAGCATCTGTAGGTGAAGTAGTGAGTATTGAACGTTATGATGGAAATCCTCAGACTGACTCTGAAGTGTGCCAATGGAGCTCTCGAAGAGGAACTTTGGCGGCTCAGGCAAGGGAGAGGAGAGAGCGAATTCGATCAGGGCACGGACACCTTGTACCTGTGGTTCGAAGGAGGTGAGGTTGATGACGAAGTCGACACGCCACGCTGCGTGGCAGATGTAGTCAGGATCATCATGAGTGTCATCAAAGCATCAGGCTTCGTACCGTTGTGTATGATATGGGTGACAGTGCGACGTAGTTCCCCAAATGTTTCCTCGCTTAGCCCGAAGCGCGCCGTCGTCAAGTCTCCCTCCAGCAGCAGGATTTTTCCGGAGTCCAGAATGCGCGCATCAAGCCCCCGGGAAGCGATCGCCTCCTTCTGCCTCTGGTGCAGCGATTGCTGGTCAGCCGAGGCCCTGTTCAAAGCATAGATCCGCTTGACATCCTTCTTCGCTGCAAGCTGAGAGAGCAGATGGCAGCCGAAACTCCCCGTCGTACCCGTGACGAGGACAATGTCGCCGGTGGGACGTTTGGCACTCAGGTCCGCTTTGTGTAGAGGGAAGGCGGTAGTATACTGTAAAACCATAGCACGCATGGCGTTGACGCGATCTGTAGAAGATGTGGTATCATCCTCAGGCTGGTAGGTACCGAGCGCGACAGACGAGATGAAGGTAGAGAGCAGTTTGATGTTCGGATTGTTGTACACGAAACTTTCAGTCACAGGGCGAGTGTCGATCTTCAAGCTCTCACGAACAGCACGTAGCAGCGTGTTTCGTATATAGGTAGCTTGGAGACTAGCCATGATAAATCATGAGCCATAGTATCCGCAGGCGACATATGTGATCTCACCTGTCACAGCCATGTTGAAAGAGGTCGTCACCGTCTTGCGGACAATTCTTCATGATCTGGGCGACCGTCTTGCGGACAAATTCGGTTGTCACGGCGACGTCCCAACTTGCCGGTGATGCAACGCTGGACTGGGAGCTCGCATCCACAAGTTCGTACAACGCGTTAATCTCGTCATCGTATTCTTTGATGGCAGCGGCACGGCGTACGGTGCCCTTGGGTGTGTATGTGAACGGTTTAGCCGGATTTGCGACTATGATCATCTAACGACATTGGAATCACATAAACATCACAATGATAACGACGAAGTGAAGGTGCGACGCACCTCCTTAAATACTCGCGAATGCTGCGGGGCGTATGTGTTCATCTTCACCACAGTCGGCCTGAGTAGAGTCATCAGTAAGCGTCCACACTTTAGCGTCCAACACCCGACCTACCAGATCATGTTGCGGAACACTGCAAGCTTGGCTTCATCGGAGGGATCGACAGTGTATTCTGGCTTCGGATCGACCAGAATCCCAGCCTGCAAACGTCCACGACCGAACATGGCAGATCCTCGGACGTGCGGATCCTGGTTCATCATAGTTTCTGGGACAGTAACATCAGCTGAGCGTCGAGTGCTGCCGATCAAACGACCTCACCTAGAGGACCTGGGTTCGTCTGTGACACTCGTTGGTCTAAAATACCTTGCAGAAGTCCTGATTGGTACATACCTTTTCACCAGTACTGTGCATGATCTGATCATCGGTGCGACCAACAACCTTGTAGAGACCCTTTTCAGTCGGATGGGGAGTGACAAGGTCAAAGGTTGCGTAAGCATCCACTCCATCGACCTTGGCGTTGATTACGTTCGGTCGCAAGAGCTCGTTCTCCTGCAGCGAACGTTCATGATCGGATGATACCCAGAGAAACATGTACACATACCACAACGATAACTTCGTACTCATGCTCGACATAAGGCTCAAGCTTGACTTTCAAGAATGATCCGAAGCGGAAGTACTCCCAATTCATCCCCGTCTCAGCTACGAAAGCGTCAAATGATCTGAATGTCGACATGTAAAGACAAGCCTACCTGGTAGAAATTCACTCATTACACCGCTTTCCGTACTGGCGACACATTCAGAGAGGTGCAATATTGACGGGCAGAACGTGACTCACGATCCATAGTTACAGAAAATCCGGACCCCTTGTGAAACGAGATAATCGCCACGTTCCTTGTTGAGAGGGCCGCCGCCATATGACTGTATGCGACGTCGCTTCAGGTCAAGTGATCCACTGCATATTTAAAAACGCACTCACGATGCCATCGATCGTAGCCAGCCATTTGACCCACTCCGGATTATGCGACCACGCCTGATCATGGATGTTGAGTGGACTATGAAAGTCCTACCAATGGGGTTATGTAACACTTACCTCAACCAGGGAAGGCACGGTCATGATGAGATCGGCCTTGGTTGCCATTGCACCTTGGATAATGTTCTCAACAGTCGGGAGAGCCGGAGGTGTCTGTGGTGCAGGTACGGCGATCACTTGGCCGAAGGCGCACTGGATCATTGAAAATGTGTGTTATTCAGCATTAGGCCGCATCGCCTGTGCATATGAACGTACCGCAAATACTGTTGACATGATGCCCATCGCATGGAACATGGGCATTCCAAACAGAGCCATTGTGCGACCAGTCAAGTCACGTTCTCCGTAGAACACCGCTCTAGATATCTGTATCATTCTGCGATACGTCCAAGGAATAGGTTTCGGAAAAGCGGTAGACCCTGACACGATACCGTTAAGGTCGGTGCATGTAGAAGCACTGTCGCACTCACCCGAAGAGTGCAGGTAGAAAATGGTCTTGTCCAACCCCGGGTGCACATATGGAACATCGTGCGCGGTGTTTCCCTTGAGTCCCGCGTTGTAGAAGTCGTCGAATACAGGCATAGACGATGTGCCCGGGACAGTAACATAGCCGTATTGCGATTTGAGAAGCTCACATGCCTCTACAGTCAAGTCACGCATAGCCTGGTCAAGCCCCACGAAGATGTGCACAGCGTTAGATTGGGCGAGGAGATGAGCAATTGCCGCAGCTGAGTTGCGCGCTGAGAGGGGAAAGGGAGTGTAACCCGCACGCATGATGCCCATCATCAATGTCGCGTACGGAATGGCGTCTGCAACGTCTCACAGTCAGTGCTATCCTTGTCATACACACCGGACAAACCTGAGGCTGATAATATTGCGACTACCGGGACCTCTTGAGCATCCGTAGGTCCTCCCACATGCATAGTACCCACATGCTCCCTGACTAGCAAAGCAGCTCGCCGGATAGCGACGCACGCTCGAGTCCAGTTGATGGCATTGATGGTACCATCCTGTTCTGCATAGACGAACAGGCTATGATTCGCAGAATGTTGTTCATGGAAGTCGAACAACTGGGGAAATGTCAGTGTACCGTCTAACGGCGGAACCTTGAATGTGGCGCAGGAGCGGCCTTGCGTTTGAGGATGGGAAGGGAGGAGGCGCAAGGGCGTGGACATGACAGCAGTTTGAGTCAGCGGAAACACAATGGAGAACGTGGACATGGGCCGTACTTTATACAACGTTTGTGTGCAGCGGGGGATGAGAAGTCCTCAATAACCTTATTACAGCCGTCGACATCTGCCAGTGAGACAGCTCGAGAGCTTCGGGACTCCGGTAGTACGCACGGGGTGACGAGCGCCATGATCAGCAACCTCGCTGCCAGAATTCAGATGGTATCGTGCCTTCCTCGCTTTTTGCTAGAGGCCTATCCGCAGGCTGATTTCTTCGCGGCTACCACCTACGAGTGCTGTTCATTGAACCATAAGTACAAACTCAAGTGCGATTGCACGAGCACTTACCGAAACACTATTTGTCTATCGGGATCGCAGAGCACTACGAACATCAGTACCATGTTTGACTAAGTATAGAAGATGGCAAATAGCAGATGGTCCGCGGCGAACTCGGAGACGACTAGAGTATTCGATACGTATTAGCACATGCTGCGATCTGCTCGGCTTGCCACTCGTGGAGAAGATTTCGGCACTTATCATTCTGAAATGTCCACTGGACGTCCATGTATTTGATTCTGGGCGTGAAGAGGTCCTCCAGTGCTACAGGCTGCCGCGCGCGATCGGTACGGTACATGCGCTGGCTGAGCGGCTTTGAGAGCGTGGGCCGGTAGATAGCGATCTTATCACCGGAGATGACATCGGGTGATTTGAGGCCGTCCCATTCCCAACCCATTCCTTACCCCCTCCTCCTCCTCCACGTGAGGGGACTGTGTCGAACCTACTTAGCAAGAACCTAGGCCAGAATCTGCGGTAGCATTCCCGTCAGCCCCATTGGGACAATCTCCAAATATTGACCGACATCTCCGGTGTATTTGTTCGGGACGTGCACTGCGCCACCGAGAACACAGTTCTGCGTGGCACATGTCGCTCACAGTGACTCACGTCGCGCGCGCCGCCTGCGTCATCCAAGGTACCGCACAGCAACGTATTATCATATATACTCACATCTATGTTTGTAGTTATCAATAAATTGAATGGCGCCACAACGACGAACGCGAGGAACTTACCCTATTCTGTGACTTCAAGACTCAAGTTGTTCTGTGAGCGCTGTTAGCGTTGGCAGTGCTGCCGTAGAACACCGCTTTCTGGGGTGCGTAACGTACGGAATTTGAAGGCCCTCTCGCACACTGATCAATCAGCACGGTGCTGCCTACTCCCCGGTCCCGTACCACTGGTAAGTTCTGTCTCCGGCTTCGCCTCCATTGCAAGAACCCATAAACATGACGCATTCAGATCAATCTAGGCTGCCACGTCTTGTACACGCTTCATCTGATTCGTTTCTGATCCCAGGTCATACGCCGTGCGGTGACGTGGCGCGTGGCTTGCCAGTCAACTTCTCGCTGTGATTGAAACTTGGAACTACGAATCGATATGGTGAGTCCGATCGCAGCATCTCTGTATACTTACCCGCTGTACCTGCATTTACAGTTCATTCTCAATCGGTCTTCCTCTACCACGACTATGCACGAGCACCGCGGCGACTTCAGGATTGAGAAAGTCCACTGACGTACCCGCGAAATCTGTCAACTGGGATACGATTGGAGTACCGCATATGACTACAAGTCATCCCGCATCTGGTACTTCGTCACGTTCTCATGCACGATAGTCCTGCACACTGACTCTTAGACAAGTGCTGCAGAATACTGGACCGCCGTCAGTGCTATGCAATACGGCCACGTTGTACACGAGAGCGTCTGCGGGTTCCAACTGGAACACGGTACTATGTATTGATATCCGTCTAAGCTCATCTATCGGGTGCCGGAGTTTAGGATGGGTTGTGGGTTTGCCGGTCCACAAGAGACAGTCCATTTGTAAGTAGGTACTACGTGATCTTGACGTACTCAGGTCGGTCATGCCAGTGGTTGCTTAGTTGACTGGTATATCCGAGTGTGTGCAGCTTCTGTGTACCGCACTGTCCACAGGTGAATCTTCGAGAGCACGTCAGAGCGCTGTTACATGACGCCTCGTGCAAGCGTCTGTCAGACTGTTTTCGATATCGTGTTGATTCCAGGGTGTTGATTCCAGGTGAGTGAACCTTACTGCAACTATATACAGGTTCCAACATAATGCTGACGGCTCCGCAGTACAATCGCGATCTAGTCAATATTGCGATGTGTCATGCGGTTTCACATCATTGGCTGTCTGGAGCTCCGAAGCAGCCATCGTGGCTATGATATTGGCGTCTCAGTTGATACTAGCGGCGGCGTCATGCGGAACAAGCGAGCAACACAGGAAACAATCAAGAAATGCGTGCGGTCTGTTTTCCCTCTCGGGCGGGGATGCAAGTGATACGCGAAGAGTCAATACACAAGCTCACATATGTGGTATCATCGACGGTGAGGTACGTCGAGGGTACGGTAACTTCACACTGCGGCGTGTCGGCACGGACACGCGTTGGCCCTGTTGTTTCAACAGCCTGGACATGACATCTATCATTCCGATGAACTGTGCATATGGCTAACGATCATCAGCCTGAGAGGCTATCGGAGCATGTCAGACACGTCGTACGGACGTCATGTACTAGGCCGTGTCATGGACCTGTGCCGATGGCGGTATTATATGTAGCTTGCCGTAGTTGCAACGAAACTGTGGACCTCGACAGTGCTGTGAAGATGCCCCAGGTCTCTGTTGCAAGCGCGTCTCTAGCTGCCGCAGCAGTCGAAAGCTTTTTGTATGGCATATTCCTCATTCTTGCCTTCGCATCGATCTACTTCCACTTCTCCCGGACGGCTGCATCTCACCAGGACTTCAAACGTACCATCTTGGCTTTGTTTAACCCTATCCTTGTAGGGTCAATACTCATTACAATCACAGTAACAGGGGTGAGCACAGATTACTTCCATCCTTTGTCGGTAGTCCTATATCCTGATGGCACTACACAGCACTGGATCACTATTGTCGCACGGCTCTTTGATGCCTTCATCTACTTTGACAGTGGAGCATCTCCATCAGCATACTATGCCATGTTGCCTTTACCCACTGCGGTTGTGAAGACAGCATTCCTTATGGCCACATTGATTGAGTGTGATACCATGCTGGTAAGTCCCATCAATGTTTGGTGCTTTCCCCTGATCCTCACATGCCTTGAAGGCCTATCGCCTGTGGATTTTATGGAATTATAACTATGTCATAGTCATCATACCAGCACTAGCTATTCTTGGACAATGTGGTCAGTATGCCCTACATATCAGAATAAATCTGCAGACTCATATTTGTCCTAGTTACAATGATTGCAGCTATGTATCAACAGACCCACTTTCAAGCTGGTGTTTCAGATGAAGTATTTCTTGGTACCATGAGCCACTGGATTACCGCAGGGAATGCTTGTACCTGGGTGTGAGTTATTTCCAAACAGATAGTGAGCCCTTTACTTACAATTCTGCAGGACCAACATCTATAGCTCATGTGATTACAATATTTTTCTACCATCTGACATGTTTCACACTCACATTCATTGACCCAGGTGGTATAGCTTTCCGTGTCTGGTCTGTTCGCCAGCACTTGAGGCCAATAGGAGGTCCAAATATCATGGTAGGATCCAATTGATATACTCACATAGAGCTGGACTGAGAATTTCTGATTTCTCCCAGAATGTTCTTGTCACTGTTGTGGAGAGTGCCATGCTCTATCTGTGAGTGACTGTTTAATTGAGATACAATTGGTTGAATGAACATTTCAACAGGTTCTGGACCTTTTTCTTCTTGGTGGCCTACACAACAAAGAGTAACCTGCAGTACTTCTGCATAGATACTTTCAGCCCTATTGCTGGCATAGCTTGTATGCTCATTAATGCCCGTGTAGGCTTAGGCTGGGCACAGAGAGCCTCCCCTCATACTTCTTTGGGTTTGAGCTTTCCACAAGACAGTCATAGTGTAGCCTATACTGGACAGTCCTTTACCATGAACCCTGTTGCAGTTACGATTGCTACTAGTATCGAGAGGGACGATGGAGAAGATCTGGGGCAGTCCCAAGTAAAGGTAGATCTTTGTCATGCTGCATAGTTGTATGTCAATTATGATAGATTTGATCATGCCAGTATCTCCATTTGATCCCCTAGGTTCTATCCATTCAGTGAAAATGCCCATATACTTGTTATCAAGTACTCCAGCAATGCCTGAGAGAGAAAGGTGCCTAGACAGCCATGTCATTGATCTGGGTACATTATGGATTGCATGTCATACACTGCTAGATAGGCATGAGCACCCCAGTAATATACACAGCTTCTCTCAGTGACAGACTGTATCAGCTACCTCCAGCAGGTTGGATTGCCTGCTGGCGAGGCCACTTTTCGAACTGGCCTGCTGACTGATAGATTGGAGCATACCACGAGCCATCGCCCTACGATTGACCCGCTCAGTGCCGTCTAGCAAACGTTCGACGAGGCGTGTGACTCACAAACATGTTCTGAGGGAAGCCCAGGTCAAACGGCAATACATCTTCGACCTCCGCGATGTGCTCTTCGTTGAGGCTGACGTCGAGAGCATTGATGTTGTCCATCAGGTGTTCGACTTTGCGCCCACCCACGATTGGGAATACGTATGGTGTCTTCTGCATGACATATGCAATCGCGACTACAACACTCCTTTAGGTCAAGCGAGGGATCTGCTCACGATGGTGACGTACCGGCAGCGATACTCTTAGCTCCGACCTCGCCGGCGATCTTCTCGAGGACTTTGCAGACCTCCCTTTGCTCGGGTGTACGCTCCCAGGCATCGCTCGCAATCTTACGACCTAAGCAGGACGAGTCAGTCAAGACAACCCCGATGAATGGGCGATTTTCCTACCATGTTCTCCGGATTGACGTCGGCGTTCCTCCTCCGCATCCGTTCGAATTTTGCCTGCGGCGAGCACATTCCACGGCGCAATGGCCATACCTGCAAGATTTCACGTAAACTATGTGGGCCAACCTTGTAGCCAGAGGCTTATACCTTCCGCACGCGCCATAGGAATGATCTCGCGCTCCAGGTCTCGCTGCAAAACGCTCCAGGCACCTTGATACACTACAAAAGGTGTCTTTCCCGTCAAGCGTGCGTACATATTCGCTTTGGCAACGATCCAAGACGGAGTGTCAGAGACGCCCTACACGTCATTCTGTTGAGTCACACATATCGCGCATAGCATCCAACGATACACGTACAAGATACAACACCTTGCGGTCGGCGACGAGGTGGTGAAGACCGTTCATGACCTCCTCAACGCCGCATGTCCAGTCCCACTGCCAGAGAACCGTTAGCCGTCGCAAGTGTGTTGGGAGTGCTACGGACTGACCCAATGGACGTAGAGGATGTCGATATAGCTCGTACGAAGGTCTTTAAGAGATTTCTCGACGGATAGGTAGAGCGACTTCATGTTGTTCCCGACGTAGCTAGTCTTCTGCGGTAGGTCCGCACCGCGCTTCCAGTTGCTCGTATACTGTCATAAGACGGAAGGTCATCAACTATACAATCCAATACCAGACTATCAGATGACTGACCTTCGTGGCTACCACCATGTGATCGCGCACACCGCGCGTCTCCATCCACTCTCCGATGAACTGTTCCGACTCGCCATCCTGGTAGTTGTTTGCGGTGTCGATGAAGTTCCCGCCCGCCGCATAGAATGCATCCAGGAGCTTGAAGCTCTGCTCCTTGGTCATCTCGCCCATTCCCAGCGGGCCCCACTTCTCGCCGATGCTCATGGCACCGAGGCAGAGCGGAGAGACATGGATGCCAGCGTTAGGTGCCAGTTGCCTGTGGCGACCGAGCTTCGTAGCCGGTGGAGGGGGCACAGATTCTGCCCAGAACCTCGAGAATCGTGGGCCTCTGGACGACATGATATGCAACTGTCAGTTAAGATGGGAAGTCACGGTCGGACTGGTGGGGGATCCTGTTGAAGATGGTGTGGTCTGCGAAGGGTTGTTATATAGTCGCGAGTCCCATTTCCCGCTCCGAAGGATGCGCCTCGACTCACACCGTCACATAAGCAACTCGTCGACCCAAACACCCGGAGCGCCAGCGACAGGTCCTTGCACTGAGGTAATAGACGAATGAGATTCAGTCAACCGGGCTTCACGGGCAAAACGCGCACCTCGGTGTCGAAGTGAGAGGGTATGCTCGCTGCGTCACATCTCGCCGTCGAAACATCTGTACGAAGTCGAGTCACATCAGGGCTCATGTGGCATTGTATGCACACAAGTTTCGGACGGTTGTTCATGGCCCGTAGGAAGATGCTGCCCATTATCATCCGAGCGACATTGCTTCGACTGCATTGCCCGCGATGATGGGCTACTGATGCCTTGGGAAGACCAAAGATGAACCCACAGATTGATCCGAAGCGCCAACATGGAATAGGAGTCGGCGAACTTGTAAGTATGACGCGGACGGCTCGATTCCAGATACCGTATTGTGCATTGACTACGGCGAGATTTGTCATGGCCTGGTGACTATCGCGCGCAACAACTAGTCCTAGTCGACAACGTCATAAGGATACCTTTGCGAACATGAAGAACGATAGCAGTTAGCACAATCTGACAAGACATGGCAAGTGTTTCATCACACGTACCTTAGCAAGGACCCAAAACGGCGAGGGCTTAGTAGCCTGACATTCGAAGTTTTCCTCCCAACGCTCAAAAGATTCTTCTGTAGGATCCTATGGGAAACTCAGAGTAGCGTGAGGTTGGCGTGAGGCATTGGATTCCGAGGCCTCATGGAGGTCCACACGAACATGATAGAATTAGCGCCTTAGCGCTCTTTACCCGTACGTGCCTCAAGCGCCCGACGACTGAAGACTACCATTGACCAAAACATACAGTTGTACTACTACAATCACACCCATTGGCATGTAGTGACCGTTTCTGGTACTTCTGGCTGGATTCCCTATTTCTTCGTGTGGATGGCTGCGTCACATACTTACCGCTGAAAGTAATCTCGCGCGGGTGACTCGGACCGCCAGGGACGCAGCGGATTCAACTGGTACGCCCCCCTGCCATCCTGAACGCACCTGTTGTACGATGGCTGGACCTACCCCCACCGCCCCTCAAAGCTTCGTGCAAATCCTACAGACATGCGATAATTTCCGCCTTGCCCTTACAGCGGAGCACCTAGTGGCATGGCGCCTTTCATCCGACCCGGGGGCTCCTGCAATAGGCCTGCTACGACCGCCCGTCGTCGAGCAGCTTCTGCGCGAGATCAAAAGTAATCAGAGTAGCCCTGCATGGGAGTGCTCTACCCACGAAGGCAAGCAAGTGTTCAGCTTTGCGTCCCATGTCAACACATCCGCCGCTCGGTCGCGCGTGATGAAGGAGCTCTGCCAGCGCTGGCGAGACGAGGGCCTCTGGCCGGACGTAGTCGGTCCCAAGAAATGGCGCGGCGAGATGTACCCCATCTACCGACACCCCTTTGGCCCACACGATGCACCGAGCGAGGCCGAGGAATTCGGGACACCTGTGGGCACGGACCGGGAGGACAGTCGGAATTACGCATTCATGATGGAGCGCGCGGCGTGCGCGCTGTTCGGCGTGGTCACGTATGGGGTTCATATGACGGTCTATGAAGAAGACCAGGACGACCTCGGCCTACCGACAGCCTGCAGGATCTGGGTACCGACGCGCTCCAGGAGCAAGCAGACATGGCCGGGGTGGTTGGACAACTCGGTTGCGGGCGGCATCCCATCGGGTCTTAGCGCGTTTGAGAGCCTGGTCAAGGAGTCGATGGAAGAGGCCAGTATCGAGGAGGCTATCATCCGGAAGCATGCACGTACGATCGGTAGCGTGAGCTACTTCTTCAAGTATGTACTATCTGTCCGTCGCGCGGGCGGAGTATAGTACTCATGGACCATTTGCTTCCAGGTCACCTCTCGGATGGCTCCAACCCGAAGTCGAGTGCGAATGACCGCTGGTCAGAGAGGTATCTGACTCATGACGCGTGCCAGATATGTCTATGACCTACGGGTACCATCTGGGGTTGATCCTGCTCCTTTCCGACCTAAGCCACTCGATGGCGAGGTAGAAGCATTCGAGGTCAGACTTCCGTTGTCGACTGATGATTGGCCGTAACGGGCTGATTACGCCACTCTATTCAGTTACTTCCTTTGGAGGAAGTCATAGCCCGTATGCGTGCGGGCCTTTTCAAACCTAACACCGCTCTTGGTGCGTCACGCTATCCGTATACAAGATGGGCACTTACACATCTCAGCGATCCTGGATTTCATGATCCGTCACGGGTACATGACGGTGGAGAATGAGCCAGACTATCAAGAGATCGTGACAAGATTGCATGGTCGTTTCGAATATGACAGGTGGTAGAGGATCGTGCATCTATACCCAATGGTGACCTGAGATGTCCAGGAATACTGTGTATGTTGTACCCCCAGCAAGCAATGACCTATGTCTCTCGTCGGCTGTTTTTATCAGTGGCCCTGCAATGCACGTACTGCAGATGCCATGCCGCCGGCAATCATACGTCTTTGACTCTTGTCGTCCGGGGGCTTTGTGAAGCAGCAGTCAGAACAATATGCCAGGTTCGCCCCGGTGCCACAGCCGCACGCATTTCTTTCTCTGGCCGCTGCGGCCGGCCTCAAGCTCAAGTAAGTACTTACTGGCCAGCGCCTACAGGCCCAGTCACGTGTACAGTACTGTGTGCGTCGAATCCTTCAACCTTGTATTTTTCTTGCATTCGAATGTTAGTCTCGACTCTCGTCCCAGCCTACTGCCGAAGGGCCCTCCGCACGACAGCGGACGGCAGTAGTTAATTAAGTAGGTAGTTGACTGGCCAGCGCCTAGATCTGACTAAGCTGCCATCTAATCTTGTCTGGCTCAGTGCCAGTCTGAGTGAGCCGGTTCCGTCTCTTCTTCTCCAACTGCTTGTTACTCGAAATCAAAGCCTCGAATGGGCCGTTCACGTCGCGCATGATTTACGTGATCCTTTTGGAAGTCACTTCTTGTACTTGAACCACCATATCAACGCAAAGAGGTCCTCTGGGCGCATAACTCTTGAATTTCAGCAAGCAAGACTAGTGCGACATCTGATGGCTCCGGCCCCGGCCCCTACGTCGCTCAAGCAGACGTCGAGCGGCAGCTCAGACAAGTCCACCTTCAGACGCATCGAGGATGAGGAGGTCAAGCCATATGTGATCGTGAGCGACCTCGGGAAGGGCAGCTTTGCGACCGTGTACCGGGGTTATCATGAGGTGCGTATCGGCGCGATTTCCAGACTTGAGTTAGCTGACGGGTGGATCTAGCAAACACACCGGCCAGTCGCGATCAAGACCGTCAGTAGGGCAGGGCTCAGTCCGAAGCTCTTCGATAACCTGCAGGGCGAGATAGAGATCCTCAAGGCGCTGTCGCATAGACATATTACGAGGTTGCTGGATATTGTCGTGAGCATGAGTGACTTTTCTGGCTGGTCTGCCTATTTATCTCTATCCTCAGCGTGCGGATAGAAATATATACCTCATCATTGAGTTCTGCGCCGGAGGCGACCTTTCGAACTACATCAAGAAGCGAGGCAGGGTGGAGGGCCTTGAGTACATACCTTCTCCTGGCGCAGCTCCGACGTACTATCCGCACCCGAGAACAGGAGGACTGGACGAAATAGTGGTCCGTAGCTTCCTTCGTCAGCTCGGTGAGCATTCTGACCATCGCCGTTGAGCCCTCCTGACCTTCATGAAGCTCGTGCTCTCAAGTTCCTGCGGCAACGGAACCTCATTCATAGGGATATCAAGCCTCAGGTCAGTGACGGCCGAGAGTCTCAACGAGTTCTTGTAATGACACGTCGTAGAATCTGCTGCTGAATCCCGCGTCACCCGACGATCTCGCGAGGGGACATCCGTTCGGCGTGCCCATTCTCAAGGTTGCCGACTTCGGGTTTGCACGGTCATTGCCCCAGGCCATGATGGCGGAGACGCTCTGCGGATCACCGTGCGTCTGTGTGTGCGACGCATGCTGTCCTGACTAACGAATGCTTAGACTGTACATGGCCCCCGAGATTCTCCGCTACGAGAAGTACGATGCGAAAGCGGATCTGTGGTCGGTGGGCGCGGTCTTGTACGAGATGGCTGTTGGGAAGCCGCCCTTCCGCGCCTCGAACCACATCGAGCTCCTCAAGAAGATCGACATGTCAAAGGGAATCAAGTTTCCCGACGAGGACCCGCAGGCGCAGTCTCGTACACAGGCCGCGGGCGAGGAGCTCAAGCCCGTACCCAGCGACGTCAAGAAACTCATCCGCAATCTCCTGAAGCGCGTTCCTGCGGAGCGATGTAGCTTCGAGGACTTCTTCGGGAGTACCGCCATGGCGAAGTCCAAGTTTCCGCGGCCAACACCTGAGCTAGTGGACGACGGAGGTGTTGAATACGGCCCAGATGGCAAGATCATTACACCAGAACATCACAAGGTCATCCCGCCAGAGGTGCTCGATCCCAAAGCGATGATACCTCCCAGCAAGTTCAACTTCCGGAGACGGGAGATTGTGAGCGGAGGACCGCAGGGTGGGCCGTCTGGCCGCAGGTACGCTCGTGTGGCTATCTGTACTAGTGTTTTTTTCCAATATTCCTTCAGTAGTCCTACTGGCACTGGGAACGGGATTGTCGAAGTTTCTAGATCACCAGCTAGGTCACCGCGGCAAGAGCCTTCTCTCCTGCCCAAGCCGGCATCCGGAGAGTCGTCTGACATACCCGGAGAGACCGAAGAGGATGGCCTCCTTCGACGTGAATATGTTCTCGTAGGTGACAAGCGAGCGGTGGAGATCAACCGGGCAGTAGACGGTAAGGCGACTAGGCTCACTCATCCCAGCGCACCTCCCAATAGACCTACCTCCCTTGTAGAGATTAGCACCGCCCGACGACGTCCGCTGCGCGATCGACGTGTCCTACCGACGCCCTTACCTCTGCCGCACGCGAGGACACGATCGGACTACACAGACTTCGAGACGTCCTCCCCTACCAATGCCAACACTACATTCCCTCCCCCACCCAACCCCAACGCACCCGCTCTTTCCTCCTCACCATCGAGCGTCGGCTCCCGCGCAGCTTCGAATGCACTGACACGCGCTCTGAACATCGCCACGAAGAAGCTCTTTGGTTCGTCCGGTCCGCGGACGACGTACTACAAGGAGTTCGCTCCGTCGTCGTCATCGCCTCGGCGGCAAACCATCCTGTCAGGTCGGGCACAGGGTCTGGGGCTGCAAGTCAATGGCCAGCGAGACGCGATGGAGGACGAGCTGCTGGCGACGCTTGAGGAGCTCGCGCAGAAGACAGAGGTGCTGACACACTGGGCGGACGAGATGTACGGGTATGTCAAGGCTATACCTCAGAGTACGTCTGCATGCATCTGCCCGGTCTCCGCGGACATTGATCCCTGCCCCTGTCAGAGCCGTTGCCGGACCCGACCAAGTTCATACGGCGGGAGGGCGAACCTGAACGGCACGCTGTGAAGCGGAAGAACGCAGATATCCAGGCGGAGTACAACGCGATGACCTGCGTCGCGCTGTACATGCTCCTCATGTCGTTCTCACAGAACGGCGTGAACAAGCTGTGTCATTACTATGAGCATCTGCAGATGCGCGATCCGGACGGGGACACCGAGGTTAGCGAAGGTTTCGACGAAGGTATGTTCGTAACATATGTTCAATCACAAACTGATTACTTACCACCGCCTTGCGGCAGCTCTGACCTACTTCGAGGACCACTTCAACAAGTGCCATGACCGCGCCGCCCTGGTAAAGACGTGGTTGCCGGCCCAGTACACGGGGCCGCCGACATTCTTGGACCAACTCATCTATGACCGCGCTCTCAGCCTTGTGAGTGACTTGAGGTGTGAAATGTTGATGCTGTGTTGATGCGTTCCTCAGAGTAAGATAGCAGCTCGCAAGGAGCTCACAAACGAGATGGCATCCCCTGATGAGTGCGAGAAGCTGTATGAAGAGGCGCTCTGGTGTCTGTACGCGCTGCAGGACGACCTCCTGCAGAAGGACAATCCGTATATTGAGGAGGACCGGGAGACAATCTCTACATGTAGGTCTGCGCCAGATAGGGTGAAAGTCCGCTCTTATGGATGTTTCATAGGGATCAAGCGAACGAAGCTGCGTCTCGTCCGGTGTCGTGTCCGTATGGGCATGAACGAGCGCGATCGACTTCGCGATGCTAACGCAGACGTGAATCTCTCCGACGTGCCCCGGGAGCCACCTCCATGGGAGGTGTCCGTCCTAGACAGGCAAGCCACGGCTTCGCCACGGTAGCCCCCACATTTCCTTCCTTGCTGTAGATATATGATGGGTGTACGTTACTGTTAATTATTGGTTTGGGAGGTGGCTGGTCTCGTAGTTGGCATGCCATCATTATGTTCGGTCTCCAGCGGTTTCTGACGCTTTACCATGGATTGGACTTGTATCTGCTCACTATTGCCTGTTCGCTCTGCATGCATTGTAAAGTACTTATACATCACCTATGTGCTTCTATGCGTTCTTTGTCTCTATCACTGCCTCAGAAATCGAAGCTTTTGTTGAGATCTTCGTGTAGATGCTCGCGCATCCCGGGTGGGAGTTTTGGTTCGCCGTTCTCCGCGATGTACCCTGGTCGCCAACATCAGGTTCGAGTTACCGCGGTGCATGTGAGCGCATGGACGTACGAAACGGCATCTCCACGCTTTCCTTTGGATTGAACACAATCGTCGGGTGGTCCTGTTAGGCTCGTTCATCATGAGAGCACAGAGATGTCCTGCAGCGGCACGTACGATGTAAGGGATCTCAGACAATGGAACTACATATACGATGTTTCAGTTCTGTATTCGACGGGTTGCAAAGCTGAGACTCACTCTTGTCCTGTACGACCAGTTTTGCAACTCCAAGAGCTGTATCCGTTGTCATCTGGATAGGCCCAAGGTGCCGCGTAGGGAAACCCAGGACCCGAAGTTCGGACGTTCGATCGCGCGGTGGGTCATCACCTATGCGTCGGTTGAGTAGTCGTCGTGTTCGAGCACTCTCTTTGACAGCTTACCCAGGATACCCTACGTTGATCGCGTGAGGGGTGCGCGGACACAGTTACAACTTCGCAGATCGAACGTACGTACCCCGAAAAGGAAGCACTCGAAACGACCGTCTCCGTCCTCAGGAGAGATCTCTTTTCCTGCCTTCGGGTCGAGCAAGCACACCTTCTCCATCGGTATCGACAAGTGTTGCATCAGATCTAGAATCGGTTCTGAGTGTACTGAGGCCCCAGCGAGTCGACTGCCGGTATCGGCGGAAAATAGAGTAGTGAGAGTTTGACAAGATGACTTGGACAGGTGCGTGAAGTGCACATGCGCGCCGGGCCCTGCGAGTGACCGCATGTGCTGTCAGAGTGTGAGCTGGGCTTTTGGCTTTCTGCGGGCGGGGAGAGGACCATGTATTCCAATTCTACCCACTTCGGTATGGCTTTGGATGTCTCTTCATCCTCTTCCAGGTGTTCTGCAGAAATATTCAATCAAACTGGGGTGAGTCAAGGAGATTTTGAAGTCAGATGCTTGACGCTCACCGACAACATATCTGAACCCCATGACAATGCACTTTTCTCTTAAGAAACGGTCCAACGCACTTGAGACGAGACGAACGTAGGGTGCAAGGTCAACCAACGACTGGTCAGTCCTGTACATACACGTGACCCAGTCCTAGTGTATTTCTTGTTTCGGAAGTCTTAGCGCCCAGTACTGTAGTTCACTGTGCGATCAAAGACTTCGGGTGTGTGAGCTTGCGAATTGTCAGCCATGCTGCACTGTTCAGTTGCGTGGACCGGGATCACCGACCAGTATCGACTAGGGACGTGAAATTGCCCTGTGCTCCTGCTTGAAACCGTCGGACTCTGATTGTGGCGATTCGCGTTTACTTATGAAGCGTCAGTACGTACACTGCGGACAAAGCAGGTTGCACGGAGCGCTTACATCGTCAGAACATTGTCAGAACGTGTATATCATCTCGAAATCCGAATATTATCTATTTTCCTGGACCGAACATTGAAAGGCAGCCAATGAGGAGCCGTGCCTTTCAATGTTCGGTCACCGATAATAATTCATGTTCGGATTTCGAGATGATATACTCATTCTAACGATGATCTGAGACTAATCCGACGCCAAACAAAGGGGTTTGTCCGCAGTGGTAGGCATCGTCACGACATCGAGCATACTACACTAGATCCAACTCGGAGGCCCGACGTCGGTCAATTAATCAGCCACTTTCTCCTTATACTGACTGCCAGCTGTCCGTCTACATGCCAAGCACAATTGCATCGGCGAGGGTGTCACCTCGAGGCTATGATGAGCATTTAAACCGCGTCAGTACGGCAGTGAGGCGCGCGCAGTCTGTTTTCATCTGAGCGGGCCTTGTAGTTGCCGAGTATTTTAGCTCCTTGTTCTGTTTTCAGAAGCCGCGAACTCACGCATATGCATGGCGCGCAAGTACTCATGCCGGTGACGCGTTCGGCTGGCATGGTCGCGCGAAGCGATGTTAACATCGGCGTACGCAGAGGGTTTGAGTGAGTCAGCCATGGACGTTTGAACGTTGAACGTTGAACCTTCTCCGGTCCCCACAATCTGACCGATGGCACCAATACAAACACCATGACTGAGCATGGCATGACTGGCCAACACCTGAGAGATAAAAGGGAGGTCCGTAACAAACACTGACGACGACGACTTCTCTACAATCTAGTTGCACCCACCTATGGAAAACTTTTGGGCCCCACCGCCGACGCCGAAGACCAGGCTCGGCCGCCACCGCCAGCTGGCGCCCCTCGCGGGCGTACACGTATCGCCCATCTGCCTTGGAGCAATGAGCATCGGTGACAAATGGACGCAGATGGGCGCCATGGACAAGGCGCAAAGCTTCCGCATCCTCGACGCGTTCTACGATGCGGGCGGCAATTTCATCGACACCGCGAACATGTACCAGGACGGCACCTCTGAGGAATTCCTCGGCGAGTGGATGCAGGAGCGTGGATAGCGCGATCAATTGATCATAGCGACCAAGGTCGGTGACCCCCATTCGGGAACAAATTTGCGTGGCACGATATCTAAATAATTGTCTATCAGTATACGAACAACTACAAGCGCAGGGAGAACTACCGGCAGAAGACGACATTCACAGGAAACAATATGAAGTCGCTGTACCTTTCCGTCGAGGATTCCCTGAAGAAGCTGCGGACGGATTACATAGACATCCTCTACGTCCACTGGGTAAGCCGCGCGCACATATCCGTAACTTTCGACTGACCCTGTCCTTGGATAGTGGGACTGGACGTGCGGAATTGAAGAAGTCATGAACGGCCTGCATTACCTCGTACAGCAGAGGAAAGTGCTGTATCTTGTCAGCATCGTTCACATTTACTACTCTTCTGCGTGCTAAATGACAATAGGGAGTCTCGGATGCGCCAGCATGGGTCGTGTCAGCGGCGAATATGTACGCACGGCTCACCGGTAAGGCTCCATTCGTCATCTACCAGGGCTCATGGAGCGTACTCGACCGTGACATCGAGCGCGAGATCATACCGATGTGTCGATCCCAGGGTACGTCTTGCTTATATGCGGTCCGACGAGGGCTCCCTCTCACCGCTAGTGTGAGCAGGCATGGCGATTGCGCCCTGGAACGTCTTGGGGGCTGGCAGGATTCGCACCGACGAGGAGGAAGAGCGCCGTCGCCAGAGTGGTGAACACGGTGAGCTCCCAGTCTGCTTTTTCTACTATTCGCGATCACCAATCAGGTGTCTGCACACAGGCCGGACCATACTGAACGGGCAGTGGGAACGTACGCCAGAGCAGAGAAAAGTATGCCAGGCCCTCGAGAAGGTCGCGGAAGAGGTTGGCGTGAAGAGTATCACGGCCGGTACGTGTCTGCGACTTGACGGCCACCTCGCAATAGTGTTGACTCACGATCGCGTAGTTGCGATTGCATACGTGATGCAGAAGACGCCATTTGTGTTTCCCGTCATTGGGGGCCGGAAGGTCGAGCACTTGATGGATAACCTGAAGGCCCTAGAGATCTCTCTCAGCCCCGAGCAAATCGCGTTCATAGACAGCGCGCAGTCGTTTGAACCTGGATTCCCATACAACATCATCGTGAGTGTTTCTTCTCACTTCGTTGGGCCAGACCTGCGGTAGCTAATCAGTACGGGGTCTAGGGCGACGGAACGGAATACTCTGACCCATTCAAATGTGGCGGGCACTTTGACAAGTGGCCGTCGCAACAGGCTCTGCGCCCTCATTGATGCGTACTTGCAGAGTAGGCCAGATGCAGGTTGCCACGCACCGGGTACTGTGTCGAGCACACGCTCCCCAGGATCAACTTGCCCCTTGAATTCTATTCTAGACAGAGATCCGTCAACTGCTTCCTCTATTTACTTACTGTAGATAGTTACACTGCGCTTTGGCGCGCTACGTTCGCCTGTCGCGCAGTATAAAAACAAAGAACTTCGCTCTCTCTCCGTCAACTGTTCTCGTTCCCGGGGATAAGTGTACCGTAGTACCGCGAAGCTATTATCCTTCCAGAAGATTGTAGCGCGAGATTGGCGTTGCCGAATACAGGCAATGACGGCTTGACACTTCAGCGCTTCAGCGCTCAGCCTGGCTCGAGGTTTGGAGCACCTTCCTGCCGGCGAGACTCCGTCCACAGCAGAACCTGCGTCTGGTCATAGTCGACATCGGCCGGCGCATCGCACGTCACACCGGCTACTAAGGGAGCGGGCGAGACTGGCAAGAAACTGGCAGATGGCGTGTAGAGGCGAAAAGAACCTTGTTAGGCTGCCGCGCCTGATGGGCGTGTCAGCGTAATAAGGCCTGGTAACAGTGATGTCCAGGTGGAGGAGGAGGAGGAGATGAATGTGCGGAAGCGAGCCTACACTAGAAGGGTCACAGGGCCCGTCTCATCTATCTAATTAGGGTGTTTATGTGGGATGATTAGGTGGCTTTTTGCTGATGCAATCTGCCAACCGATGTCAAACACAAAGACGGTGACTGAGCGTGGAATGATCGGCCAACACCTGTGAGATAAAAGGGAGGTCCGTAACAAACACTGACGACGACGACTTCTCTTCAATCTAGTTGTACCCACCTATGGAAAACTTTTGGGCCCCACCGCCGACGCCGAAGACCAGGCTCGGCCGCCACCGCCAGCTGGCGCCCCTCGCGGGCGTACACGTATCGCCCATCTGCCTTGGAGCAATGAGCATCGGCGACAAATGGACGCAGATGGGCGCCATGGACAAGGCGCAAAGCTTCCGCATCCTCGACGCGTTCTACGATGCGGGCGGCAATTTCATCGACACCGCGAACTTGTACCAGGACGGCACTTCTGAGGAATTCCTCGGCGAGTGGATGCAGGAGCGCGGATTGCGCGACCAATTGATCATAGCGACCAAGGTCGGTGACCCCCATTTGGGAACGAATTGGCGTGGAACACTATCTAAACAATTGTCTTTCAGTATACGAACAACTACAAGCGCAGGGAGAACTACCGGCAGAAGACGACATTCACGGGAAACAATATGAAGTCGCTGTACCTTTCCGTCGAGGACTCCCTGAAGAAGCTGCGGACGGATTACATAGACATCCTCTACGTCCACTGGGTAAGCCGCGCGCACATATCCATAAGATTTGGCTGACCCTGCCCGTGGAAAGTGGGACTGGACGTGTGGCATTGAAGAAGTTATGAACGGCCTACACTACCTCGTGCAACAGAGGAAAGTGCTGTACCTTGTGAGCATCATTCACAATTAATACTCTCCTGCGTGCTGAATGTCAATAGGGAGTCTCGGATGCGCCAGCATGGGTCGTGTCAGCGGCGAATATGTACGCACGGCTCACCGGCAAGGCTCCATTCGTCATCTACCAGGGCTCATGGAGCGTGCTCGACCGTGACATCGAGCGCGAGATCATCCCAATGTGTCGAGCCCAGGGTACGTCTTGCTTATATGCGGTCCGACAAGGGCTCCCTCTCACCGCTAGTGTGAGCAGGCATGGCGATCGCGCCCTGGAACGTCTTGGGGGGTGGCAGGATTCGCACCGACGAGGAGGAAGAGCGCCGTCGCCAGAGTGGTGAACATGGTGAGCTCGCACTGGTCTGCTTTGTCTTTTCGCAACCGCCAAACAGGTGTCTGCACGCAGGCCGGACCAGAAACGGGCAGTGGGAACGTACGCCAGAACAGAAAAAAGTATGCCAGGCTCTCGAGAAGGTCGCGGAAGAGGTTGGCGTGAAGAGTATCACGGCCGGTACGTGTCCGCGACTTGACGGCGACCTCACGATCGATGTGGCTCACAATTGCGTAGTTGCGATTGCATACGTGATGCAGAAGACGCCTTTTGTGTTCCCTGTAATCGGGGGCCGGAAGGTCGAGCACTTGATGGATAATCTTAAGGCCCTGGAGATCTCGCTCAGCCCCGAGCAAATCGCGTTCATAGACAGCACGCAGTCGTTTGAACTTGGATTCCCATACAACATCATCGTGAGTGTCCCTCCTCACTTTGTTGGGCCGGACCTGCGGAAGCTAATCAGTGCGGGGTCTAGGGCGACGGGACGGAATACTCTTACCCATTCAAATGTGGCGGGCACTTTGACAAGTGGCCGTCGCAACAGGCTCTGCGCCCTCATTGATGCGTACTTGCAGAGTAGGCCAGATGCAGGTTGCCACGCACCGGGTACTAGTGACTGTGTCGAGCACACGTTCCCCAGGATCGACTTGCCCCTTGAATTCTAGACGGAGATCCGTCGACTGTTCTCGTTCCCGGGGATAACTGTACCGTAGTACCGCGAAGCTAGTATCCTTCCAGAAGATTGTAGCGCGAGATTGGCGTTGCCGAATACAGGCAATGACGGCTTGACCCTTCAGCTTCAGCCTGAGGCCTGAGGTTTGGAGCACCGCCCTCCCGGCGAGACTCCGTCCACAGCAGAACCTGCGTCCACACGGACAGCTGTCTCGTTGCAATCGCAGAGTAGGATCATTCCGGTCACTGTCCGTGGAGTACTTGTTGGACCTCTGAAACACACCCGAGCCGGGAGCGCATAAGTACTTGTACTTGAGACGACCCGGACTTGATTCTGGTGATATCTGGCGACGATTGTCATTGCGTACCGCGTCGCTTTCGGTAGACTCATCCGAGTCTAGCCGGCCACGCTGAAGACGCATATACGAGCCGAGCTTGGGCAGAGTCCCTCAGGCCTCAGGTCCCTCCCGGCGATCATGATCTCGAACAAGCCATGTCAAAGCAGCACATTGAATCCTGCCAGTGTAAGCAAGGAGGTTTATCATGGCAAGAACCTGAACGAGAGCGGCACTCAGACTCACGGTCACGGTCTTGCTGCGACTCCGCTAGCAACGGAGATCTCCGGCACTTTGTGGCGTTTCAAAGATCAATCCAAAGAAGTACTCGTTTGCGTACTTGGTAACTTACAAATTACAATGAATGAGCAGAAGACACTCTAGTAGTACGAGCTCAGAAGTCTGAGCGGCGTTCATTGCTGTATACTACAACAGATTATTCCCTACACGTCATGCCTATCCGCAATGCACAGCACGACTGTGAACTCCTGGACCCTCTACGCTGCCGTCGGTCTGAGGGCCTGAGGGCGCGGCCAGCGGTCGAAGTAACCACCCATCGCGTTCAAGAATCCGTAGCCCGTGCCATCGCCCTAGGAACGAGGCCGTCAGCAATCTTGCCAATAGCATCCTCGTACACTGAGACACTTACGATCATGTCGTGCGGGAACCCGCGGACGAACGGCAGGACGCCCTCGAGGTACTGGACCTGCTCCTCGCTGAGCGCGATGTCGAGCGCGGAGATGTTGTCGAGCAGGTGCTCGACCTTGCGTCCGCCGATGATCGGGAACACGTACGGCGTCTTCTGCATCACGTACGCCAGTGCCACTACGCACGTCGTCCCCGTAAGCGGAGCCTGCAGCAATCAGGATGGTTGAAAGCTTACCTGCAGTGATGCTCTTCGCGCCAACCTCTCCGGCGACCTTCTCGAGGGCGAGGCAGACCTTGCGCTCGTCTTCCGTGCGCTCCCATTGAGGGGCGAATGTACGGCGACCTGTGACGGGATTTAATCAGTCAGACTAGCAGACAAGACCGACACTGAACGCACCTTTCTCGCCCGTCTGACGGCGGCGCTCTTCTTCAGCATCCGTCCGGATTTTCCCTCCAGCAAGCACATTCCAGGGCGCGAGCGCCATGCCTTTACATCCACGGCATGAGGCGGACGCATATAGCGAGCCGTTGAGACTGCTCACCTTCCTCACGCACCATCGGGATGATGTCCCGCTCGAAGTCGCGCTGCAGGACGCTCCACGCGCCCTGGTAGATCGCGAACGGCGTCTTGTTCGCCATCCGCGCATACATGTTCGCCTTGGAGACGAGCCACGCAGGCGTGTCGGATATGCCCTAGAAAGGAGGTTAGGGTCTGAACTGCCCCTCCCGATCAGATGAGTTCTCGTACCAAGTAGAGAACCTTGCCCTGGGCTACGAGGTTGTGGAGGCCGTTCATGACCTCCTCAACGCCACAGGACCAATCCCACTGTGTGTCATTGTCTCATCAGCCTGACGACCTGGAGGTCACGTAGTGCGCACTTACCCAGTGGACGTAGAGGATGTCGATGTAGTCCGTGCGAAGTTTCTTCAACGAGGCTGTAACGGACATGTGGAGGGACTTGATGTTATTCCCCACATAGTGTGTCTGTTGGGGAATATCGGATCCTCGCTTGTAGTTCGTGGAGTACTGCGAATGGGGGCATCAGCGCCTCGGGATCTCCTCGTCCGTGGACGTCGAAGCGTCACTTACCTTCGTTGCAATGACCATCTGGTCACGGACTCCGCGCTGCTCCATCCACTCGCCGATGAATATCTCGGACGTCTCGTCCTGGTAGTTGTTGGCGGTGTCGATGAAGTTCCCGCCGGCCTCGTAGAATGCGTCGAGCAGCTTGAAGCTGCTCTCCTTGTCCATGGCGCCGAAACCGATCTTCTCCCACTGGTCGCCAATGGACATCGCTCCCAGGCAGAGCGGCGAGACGTGCACCCCCGCGAGCTTAGAGAGCTGACGGTGCCGACCCAGGCGGGTCTTGGTGGGTGGGGGAGGAATGTGGAAGAGGGACATCTTGCTCGCGCAGTATGAGTGTAAGAGGAGCGGGCTGTTATGAAGTGGGAGACGGAGACACTGGTGCCCTTCGTCGACACGGACGGGGTTTTTATTTCGGGCTGTCTGTGGGCTTTCATCGCGTCAGCAAAGGCAAGTGCGTCATGGCGGGACCGTAAGAGGGCACGATCGTGACATCCTCGAGCCTTCCCTGGTGCGTTCGTTACCGCCGGATGTACGCTGACAAGCTACCAGCGGCGTTCGACGCGCAAACGCCTCTGTCAATGTTTGAAAGCCTCTGAAAGCCTCTCCGGATTTTGAGGTGGATTCCCGCCCGCGTGTGCTCCGTAAGCAGCTGGGAAATCGGCGGAAGCTGGTTTCTTTGAGATTAACGTTTAACCAAGTTTAACCTGGAACGTCTCTGATTAAGAGTGGCGGTCGAGTGCCTATTCAGGTTGCATGCGGATATGACGGAAGAGAGTACACCCGGTCTCGAATGTCCTGCCGTGGGCAAATGCAGACCTTGAAATAGCGTGCCCGGCTTCTAGGTCAACTGTAGGTTCCCTCTACTGTCGAGGAGCTGGAGAGCAGCATGTTACGCGTCTTGACGACAGCCCGATATGCACCCCCAGTGCACAGCTCGAGCTTGAAGCTTGAAGTTCGAAATGTGGCGTTTGGCGATGTGGCTTTGTCACGGTTACCTATGTGCGTCCTCTGGGTGCCACAACGCTTTCCGGGGAGGAGGGACTACCGGGCTTACGCAACGGTGCGCCTGCCGGCAGTCGACGTGCCGGGGATCCGGACTCGGAGGAGGGCCACGCTCGGGCCGCGCTTCGCACGCGCCACAGTGGGTACACACCCGGCATGTACCCCGGACGCGTTATCCTTGCTCGTCAAGGCTTCGCTCCGACTCTTGTCTTTGAGCTACGACATGAACGAAGACTGTAGGTGTGGACTTCCTACACGCCGGTACCGTCGATGGTGGCAGAACCGCGACCACAACTTAAAATGGAAAGTAGGCCAAATACAGCACAACTCGCGGTTCACGCGCTGCGCGTCGTCTGTCGTAGGGCCCAATCCGCACCCTACGGTCTACCTACCACCGCAGCGACTACTGTTGGAAAAAGGATGGGTACGAGGCCGAAGGTACGTGCTTACTCACGAAACCTTACGCTTGATTCTCATGAGGATGCAACGAATCTCTCGGAAGACTTGGAGTAAGTACCAAAATACGACGATTGATAACGATCGCACACTGCGGAGAAGCGCACACACACTCGTGTACCACATGGGGTCGATGACTGTATACCTCCAATGAGCCCAGGAACACCTCACGCGTGACCATTCGACCCGTTCGCACCGTTGAGGGCGCGAACCGATTTGCTGCCACTGGGTCGGATAGCTTGCTGGGTAGGCCATCTGTCGAAGTTGCCTGCTGAACCCTGAAGCGGTATATAGAACGAACCGTCGCCCTATCCACAAGTCATCAATCAGCTTCACGTTTCCGCAGCTAGCCCAGCAGCAATAACGTTACTTACGCACACGAATCCAGGGAATCCAGGGTCGAATGGGACCACGCTCTCGATGTACGTGATCTGCTCGGGGCTCAGAGCGATCTCGAGTGCTTCGGCGTTGTCTGTGATCTGCTCGACTTTCCGGCCACCGATGATTGGGAATACGTATGGCGTTTTCTGCATCACGTATGCGATAGCGACTGGTCCAAGGCAGCTTCTTAGCATGATCCGGCACCAGGGCGGACACCGAAGGCACACTCACCAGCTCTGATACTCTTGGCGCCGACCTCTTTTGCCACCTTCTCGAGCGCTTGGCAAACCCTCCGTTGCGCCGGCGTACGCTTCCAATCGTCGCTGCCCATGTCCTTACGACCTGCGAGCACGTTCTGGATCGATTGGTTCTCATACGCTCAGGCGACTTACCTCGCTCCCCGGTCTGGGCACGCCGTTCTTCTTCCGCGTCTGTCCGTATTTTGCCGGACGCCAGGACACCCCACGGGGCTAGCGCCATTCCTGCGGACATGACAGAGTACCATCAGGACGATCTGCAAGCTGGACAGGAAACTCGGTGCGTACCCTCCGCGCGCGCCATAGGTATGATATCACGCTCGAAGTCCCGCTGCATGACGTTCCAGAGGCCCTGGTAGATGCAGAATGGTGTCTTGCCCATGCACCGCGCGTACGTGTTCGCCTTCGCCACAATCCATGCTGGGGTGTCAGAGATGCCCTAGAGACCGATGAGCCGTGCCTTCGGACGACAACGATATGGCCGGACGTACGAGGTACAGCACTTTGCCCGCCGCGACGAGGTTGTGCAGGCCGTTCATGATCTCCTCAATGCCGCAAGTCCAGTCCCACTGGTTCGTGTTTCAGGTGAGTGAGGCCGGAGGCTTCGGTTTCAGACATGACGCTTACGAAGTGCACGTAGAGAATGTCGATGTGATCGGTGCGGAGCTTCTTCAGGGAGGCTTCCACAGAATTGTGCAGAGACTTCATGTTGTTACCCGCGTAGTGCGTCATCTGCCCGACCTTCTGGCCGCGCTTGTAGTTGCTAGTGTACTGCGGCGCGCGTCAACTCTCTTGCGATTCCGGACGACGTCAAGACCGACCTTCGTCGCAACCACTATCTCCTCCCGGATGCCCCTCGCCTCCATCCACTCCCCAATGAACGCCTCAGACTCCTCGTCGTGGTAGTTGTTCGACGTATCAATGAAGTTCCCGCCGGCCCCGTAATACGCGTCAAATATCTTGAACGCCACCTCTTTGGTGACAGTTCCAGTGATCGGGGCCCATGTCGTGCCGATGCTCATTGTCCCGAGACAGATTGGGGACACATGCACGCCGGCGAGGGGTGCGAGAGGGCGGTGGCGCCCGAAGGCGGTCGCCGGCGCGGACGGAGAAGCCCAGAATTGCATGTAAGCGTCCGACATAACGAAACGAGGCTGGAGGTGTACGAGGCCGGGCCACAGAGGGGAGGGTCAACGATGCCTGCATCATAGCATGAAGGTTATAAATACAGGCATGGCCTGGGACGGGAGCTGTCGTCAACATGCGAGCACCTGAATCCAGATTAGTCCAGGGTCAGACGAATTCATGATGGAAGATAACTTACCAAGACCCCGGCCGCACCACGAGCGTTACCCCAGCATTGATTCAGGTCGCTCCGCGTGCCATACTTAGAGCGTACATTCGCTTAACCGCTGCGACAGGCTGGGTTAGAGACGTGGCGGTAAATATGCATCAAGCCTCAGGCGCGCGATGGGTCCGACTCGCTGCGGTCTTTGCGTTGCACCGTAGGTTACTGAAAGCGGACATGATAGCGAAGAATGGCGTAGCCTTCCCTAGCTCGGACTGAAACGACGAGATCCCCGCCGGTGGCGCCGCCCTAGAGGTCGAAGATCGGAAGCGAGGCGCACTACGCCAGCGGCATCAGAAAATCTCGACAAAGCGCGCAAGATCTGCGTCTCGGCGAGGAAGGCTCGGCAAGGGACTGGGGTCGGCTGCGGCCGTAACGTTCCCTCGCGGGAAACAGCCTTAGCACTGCCACCGCATGTCACGATGGCATAACGACTGGCAGTGAGTCTCCTTTGTCAACGGTTCTGATAGGCCAGACTCGGAGGTGGCCAAGAGGTGGCTCACGTACAGTTACACGAGCAAGCGAGGGCAATTGCTGGCATGCAGATCTTGGTTGGCACGCAGCATGCTGTGTCTCCTCCTACCGGGCGAACGTTCTTCCTTGCTTGCTCTGGGGCGAACCTTTTGAACCCGAGGGAGCACCGGGCAAGGACGAAGGGAACACCGTTGATGGATCATCGTGGTCGGGAGCAAGACTTAGACTCCTCCGGTTCGTAGGTGCCAGTGGGTCCATTCGTCTCGCACGCCATCACGTGGTCGTTCCTGGACGAAAGACCCTGCTCTGGCCCCTGGCCTAACATCTATCGCTTCTGATCCACGAAGCATCGAGGCAGCTCGTGTTCGGGCTGAGTTTTCATGCGTCAATGAAATGGTACCTTCCAAGTACCTCCGCTGGTGCGTGTCATCCTATCCATCATCACGGGCGACATGGAATCGATAGTCGTTCGAACTAGGCTCAAGTTGGCAAAATCAATGCGTGCCGAAGCCCAGCGAGGCGGCGAGGCCCCGTATAGAGGCAGCCTGGCAGGTCACGAATGCCGGCACATCTCGCTGGATCTCTACCGACAGACTGACAGCCTCTGACAGCTAAGTCCATATTATTGTCAGGCCCCATCGTTTGAAATCATATACAGGCGGTGTTTGACGGGACGCAGATCGCGATCAAACCGCTCAGCCACTGGGGGATCGTGCCACCGAGAGACCAGTGTCACACCAGCGCAGCAGGTGGCGCAGCCCAATATCCGACATGCATACGGACCAGCTCGGGATTAGCTACAGTCATATCAAAGGCCGACACATCCGCGCTGTCCGAGCGGTGGACTTAGCTGGAAGAGCTAACCAATTCCTTCGCTTGTTCACGGTGGACTAGCTGACATTTAGTCACAGGTGCGGGTATGTCATGGTGTCAGTGTCCACATCGTACTCATTTCTCTGACTGGAAGCCGCAGAATGCTTTGATGTGACCACGTGCTCCGGATGATAACCCAGGACAGTAGTTTGCTTCTCTGGTACGCTCCAGCTTGCAGTGGACATCGTCGCTCACTTCCACCGCGCAGCAAACGACCCCTTTACGAAGAGGTCCTACTACACCGTAGCAATCGAAATCGACTTGAATGCGCTACCAGCCACATAGTCCATACTCGTACCCGCCATGTTGTCCGTCCTCGATATGAAGACCATCTCATACGCCGACCAAGATCTTAGCAGAACGGCAGCCGACATCAAGACCATACTACATCGCCGCAGCCCGAGGGCGGACAATGCAACCTTCGACGTCACAGCCGCTGCCACTTCGAGAATTAGTCTCCCGTAGGCAGATCACTAAGACGACTTTTCTGAGGGTCGTCTAAGCCGGTATTGTACTGTCATTCCATCACCAATCACACAAATACGATGTAGCTCATTTGCCACATTGCCCAACACCGGATGAAAATCGGAGGAGATACACTATCAAGGCCGACTGGCAGCGCGGCCAGTTCTGGGTCTACTAGTGGGAAAGGAGCGAGGTACGCCTCCACGGATATGCGTAATGTGGTCGACTGTGGTCAAGTTCGCGAAGCGCTGTTGGTACGGCATAGATAAGTAGCTCCCACCGCGCGTCAAGCCAAATGTACGCCCAGGATTTTGGCTGGAAACCCGGCATGTCCTACGAGTATCCATGTGATATACGGCACGGGTATTGGCAGGTCATTGACAGGGAAGTTCTAATGTTCGATCAATTTCTAGTTTGTTTCCTGTCACTTCCCGTCAAGTACCCGCCCCACAAATGCTCGGTCGCTCAGGGGGCCCGCGTGCCAGCACTAGCCCATCATGCGGTAACATGGCTTGTTGAAATGTATTGTAGAGTCGAGTAGCATACAAAACATTGAATACATAGAAGCCTGACATGATTTGTCGCGCTGAAGCTCACGACACAGCGCCGTGAGCGCAGATCCACCGTACAATGATCGCCTCAGGCCGCCATGCGGAGATGTCGCAAGGTGACATCAGCGCATGCGTTTTGAGGGGATACGTTGGAGAGCTGTACTGGGTAAGAAAACAACGGTGAACACCTGTCAAATGCGCAGGAAAACTCACTCAAATGACGACTCGGAGGTACTCAAAAACACGGCGAGTCTTCCTACACCGACTTTACACACCCCGCAGCGATGCCTAGCAAAGCCAAGCGTCCCAAGGCAACCAAAGCGTCGGCGAAGATTGACTCGGACTCGCGTCCAGATCCGTCTAAGCGACCACGGCTCGATATCAATCCGGATCGGGGGCCACTCACTGATAGTGGCAGGGCCACGCCGAAGCCAGTAGCCAGTCGCCCAGGGCTTGGACCAACAAGCGGGTTCAACGATCCGTTCTCTGCAGAGGGTGCTCCGAGGAGCGAGAGTCCTGTAGTGAAGCAGGCTGGCGTCAGTAAGTTTTCACGATTCCGATAAGCATACGTGTTTCTTACCATGTGGCCGGGCCAGGGACAGAAACAACTTCACATGTTCCCCCGGTTACTGCGCAAGCCGCGTCTAGCTTGACTCTTGCCGGCGGCACGGGACAGAAGGCTGTGAAGATAAGTAAAGCGACCACTGACATTATCCAAGGGTTGAAGAGCGCAGTTGCGAAGACTCGTGCCGAGCTGGATGCCAATGCTGGAGAGACCGAACGCAACGGGGTAGAAATCGATAATCTGTGGGCAATGACCGAGGAGCTCGACTGTGCTATCCGCGTCGGCGAAGACTCTCTGCGCGGACGGGTTGCTCGGCTTGAAGAAGTCGTCGACAAGTTGCAGGCAACCGTCGAAGAGATAACCCCGAGACTCGAACACCTGAGCCTGCTTGCAAACTCGGTTGGACGTGCGTATCTGTGATTTGCTGACATATTGATACTCACTGTGCTCTTTGAACAGATCTACCTGAGGTGTCTGTGCCGTCCGAAGCGTGCAATTCTGTACGGAAGACGCGCCTGCAGGTAAGTGGCACAAACACGTAACTGAGGCAATGATCAATGACGCACCCGGGCCGTTTGCGGGATAGGCTATGACCCGTAATGCTGTGTACGACATGATTGGTATCGACCACAAGTGCCCGTTGCCTGAGCCAAGCCGTGACGAGGGATGTTTCTGGGTTGAAGTTGAGGACATCGGTACGCCGGGTGAAGTACACCGCCGTCTCCGACCTACCTGGGACAGAGTTTACCCAAACAAAGTCGGGTGGATGAAGGAGATCGCATCGAAGATTCAGACAGATGGGCTGAGGTGGCTTTCGGGGATGACAGCGGAGCAGCTGGCTAGCTACTCACTGTCTGACATTGAAGCCGTGGTTGAGGCTGTGTGGGAGTCACTGAGGGATAGGTATAAACTTACGAAGAAGTCGGCAGCGGAAAAGGCGAGGAAGGCGAGGAAGAGACGCCATGAGGCGCGCAAGCAGCAGGTATGTTTTCGTTCCCCGTCAGCCTGTAGAAGCGTGTAGTATTAACAACACGTGTCATTCATTGACGTACCTTAGAAACTGCGTCAACGCGCGGCTGCGCGCACCAAGGTCCCTGAGCTGGCAGACGCCGCTTATGACTGGTTCTTCAGTACAACCAAGTACATGTCGACTGATGAGTCCGGGGCCGAAGACGAACTTGAAGATCACGACGTACCAAATGCAATCGACGCGGAGACCTCGGAGGAAGAGTGCAGCGCGGGTAAACAGAAGGGAGCTGGTAGCAATGCTCGATGTGCGGTCACCGCGCGGCCTCCTACTTATCGTCTAGCTGCGGTGCGTATCAATCTGGTATTGATCTCCAATTCGAGCCGAATTCAACACTCACCTGCAGCTTGGGCCATTGCTTCAAAGCCTCGACGAAGCAATTTTGAAGGGACGCAGGGGGAAGCCGTCAAGCCACCAGTTCCTTACTCGAATCCGTGGCCAGCCGAGGGACAAGGAGCTTCCAAGCTTGGCTAAGGTCAAGAACGCGATCCAGATACCCGATGGTATGATCAATCCGGAATGGCGGGCTCGTCAGAATGGCATAGTAGAGTCTCAGGGCAATTCCGGAGACATGGTGGATGTAGATGAGGATGCTGAACCGGGGACGGCGGGGAATGAGGCAGGGGACGAGGTGGGGGATGAGACGAGTGACGACGAGGGTGAGGAGGAGGCCGCCGGGACTCGGACTGGCTCTCAATCTATCCCAGTTGACCCGGCATTGCTCGCTGACATGGCAATGATGTAGCGGTACCTGATTCATATCGTTGGTCTTCCAAGATTGTCCTTGTACATTGTGCTAAATTAGTGTGATGAATCAATGTGAAACGTCAGACGTGCCTGATGTACGAGTGCTGCTGAGGCTGAGCACGTTCCAGCTTCCGCCGTCATGACCAGAGGCGCTAGAAATCTTCGTTGCTATCGTCGTCCTCAAGTACATCAGGTTCTTGAGCGTCCTGCCGTCATCACAGTGTGAGTTGTGTCAGCAGCCACAGTGAGTCACAGTCCCGTGGATTTGACAAGGCACAACGTACATGACATAGCGACATGGTGACCCAGAACTTGTGATCTTGGTACGGAACCTCTGCAAGGGCGAAGTGTCCAGAGAAGCGGGTCACCTGAACGATCTCGGCCGCAGCAAAACGATCTACGTGCCAAGTGGCAATGCCAAGGTCTGTCGAACTGCAAATGATGCAATCAGCTGGGTCATTGCTGTGTTTGCTGACTCGCAACGCACCGCATGGACCAGGGCATCACCGGCATGTTCTCATCTGCAAAGAAACGCTGTACAACAGCGCATGTTATCTCCAACGGGGCCAGCGCGCGGTCGCGCCGTTGGTGCTTGATGGTCAGTAGATGAACGATACGCACAGGGCAACGACCGTCGATGTACCCATAGCATGACGTTCGTCCACGATGCATTGTATATGCCCCGTATCGAAGACCATCAACGAGGATGTGCGAATAGGTGGGAATATTGGTGGCGACGAAGGGTTCCCCGGCGTCGACAGGTGCAGTGGCTGGAACGAGGTGCACTACATCGCCCCAGGTATGCTGCAGAAAACGCAAGACAAGACCGTATATGCCAAGATCAACGAGCTTGACTTTTCTCGACTGCTGCGGGAGTTTGAGTCGTTCTGCGAAACAGGCGTAGAAGGGTAGTTGTATACTTGAATTGATAAGTAATGTTGAGGGCGTACCACCAGTGTCCCGGGCAACCATCTGGCCAACGAGATTGAGGAGTGTACCACGTTGATGATTCGGCCGACTGTTGCTCTTGAGAAGACTGCGCAATTCCTCAAGGACGGCGATGTCCTCTACTGACTTGTGATCAAGGTTGTCAAGGCGCAGAATCTCCGAGAATTCGTGATAATCAGCAATGTTCAAGACCGGGAATATTCTGCACTTACAAGATCATGTATCAATTGACTTTTGATCCAACCGCGCATCATTGTCGCCTCGAGCTCCCCACCAGTGTGTCCGTTTGTCTTGAAACGACCGAGGAACCCATTGTTCCGCTCATATGGGTACGCCCACCATGCGTACGAAGGGCCTAGGCGCAGGTAAAACTGGGGATTGTGTGCAGCGAGGTGGAAGTACGGTGTCAAGTGGCAGTTCATTTGCGCCCAAGCCTGACATGCTCGAGCGTGGCACTCATGCGCCCGTATCACCTCGTCTGGTGATATTGACTGTGATCCCCAGATCCGCAGAGCGGTGCAGAGCTCGAGAACGTTACTGTAGTGTTCCTGGTAGTTCCGACTGATCTCTAAAGCATCTGCGGCATCGAACTCGGCCGCCGTCGCATTATCGCGTGCCGCAAGAACAGCATGTCGTCGCAACCGCAACAGTCGTTCTTTTGCTGAAAGGGCCTTCGCCACATTGGTTTTGGGCTTGGGGCGTGGTGCATCGGTATCAGGGATGATGCCGTCTGTCTGCCATGCACAGTACAGGGCGACTGCTAGTACATGGACAAGGTTGCGCCACTGGTCTGCCTTGACTGAGCAGCCATCGGCGACCTGCCAGATTTTCAGAAGAAAATCAATCAAGGCGTACTGAATTTGAACATCGAATGAATTACTCGCCTTCTGCGGTACACGTCCAGATGACGAAGGCCACCAAATTGAGTTGAGGAAGTCTTCAAACTTCGTGAGTGGCTTGTCGTTCCGGCTACGAGCAGTGAACATCCCAGAGCCAACCAGGATCTCCTGGAATGTATGTTTGATCTGGACTGTGCAATATAAAGTGTATCAATAGCACACAAGGTCGAGATAAAGGAACCCAAACCTACCAAGATAATTCGCATGCATCGGTTCTGGGGGTGAGTTTTGCGCCGGCATCCATCCCGGAAGAGCATCTAAGATAGACCAGCGTATGCCACGCTTTTCTGCAATCTCATCGCGTGCCTCAGAGTCTGATATGCGTGCCCTAAACGCGTACTTGAGAAAGCGCCAGTCATCTCGCAGACGAAATGCTAGAAGTAATGATAGATATCCGTAAAGATTCAAACAAGTCGAAACACAATGAAACTCACTTTCCGAATCAAACGCGTCTGCAGTTGTGAGCGAATCGAAGCTCTGGTAGCAATAGCAGCACATAAAGTCCTTCGATGTTGGCCCACGCAAACCGGCTGCCTTACGACTGGCTGGGAGGTCGGAGGCGTCAATATACAGTGTTCCATGTATTGGATGCACACCCTCCTTCCCGTGAACCTTCATGAGCACACCTGTAGTTGTGTAATCCAGTAAGTCATACTGAACATCTTTCTGTAACGGTTACACAAATTGGATAGTAGCTCACCGTCCTCGAGTTCTTTGACATCTTGAACGAAGGGCTCAAGGATATGATTGAGCTGCTCTAGCGATGGCTCATGCGGTCCGGGGATGCCAGATACAAGAATGCTCTCCTCCCTCAGAAACCGCTTGTGTCGAGGATTGTTGCAGATTGTAACATAAACCGCACCTGTCGAGTGATGTGATCGCTTGCTGGCACTGAACCTGCAAGCAGGGTTCCAAATCAGTACGTGATCAGTGTTTGTCCAGGTCATGACGGCGATAGCGACCATGATCCCTGTACTACAAAACGCTTACCAGTCGATGTTGAACATCAGTACCAGGCCGCATGGGAGAGAAACAAACCGCTGATGAATTTCATGAACATCAACGTCCTCGACATCCCATTTCCCACCACGACGCCGTTTCAGGCCTGCTTGTATCGCACGCCATCCCCAGCCGTCATACACGTCCTGCATGCGAACGGAGGGATCCTCGAATGCGTCCATCCCGCGTGCCGTCAAAGGCGGTACACGCCCCGGTTCGTCACCCTCCTTCCGCCAGTGTTGAAACTCCTCGTACTTCCCTGGTCGGAGAAGTATTCGCTGCAGCGCCTGCTTAAGCGGGGTGACAGGGAAGATCTTCACCGGTATGCGCTTGGTCTTCTTATTGCTCATCACCTTTGCCGTGAACAGCGTCCCTGAACAGCCATCCTGGGTACAATCCGGGCTGTCGAGCTTGTATAGCTCGGAAGGATGATGCCGAAACCAGCATACGTTGCACAAGAAGTAGTACACGATGCACTGATCAGGGTCGATGCCAAGACGACGTTCCACCGTACGAAGAGTGAGTGCCATCTTGTCGAGTCCCGGGGTCTCCTGACCGTGACGCCGGTCGAGGGATGCGATCGTACGTTGGTGACTCTTCAGACTGCGCTGCACCGCTTCGTGGGTCGCATGGTCGAAGGTAGCCGAAATGAACGCCTCGATATACGCGTTCCGAATAACGGGAGCCTCACTGAAAGCTGGCGGTTCACAGGCAAGGCCGTCGTAGAACAGGTCTGCGGAATGGTGTATACCATGGAAAAGGTCATCGAATAGTTCTTCCCGTGAGGCGTACGCAGGGTCATCTTCGAGAGCAGGGGCTTCCTCTTCATCTTCTTCGCCTGTTGTGGTAGTTGGCTGCTGACATAGAGCCTTCTCTTCGAACGAGGAATGCACCGTGACGTCGATAGTCGGACTTTCGGAACGAGACACAGACACTGAGGCCGCCGGCGAGAGAAGCAACGGAGAGCGAGAGTGAACACGCGGTGTAATGGCGCTGACGTGCGCTGGCTCGGAGTGAACAGTCGGAACATGAAGGCTGCCAGACGAGACCGGCGATGACCTGGCAACAGCAGGGAAGTGAATGGGAGACGGACGAGTAGATGGTGACCCGGAGCACATGGGAGGTGAATGAACACCGGGGAGAGACTCGCCGCATGCGGCATGCGGGTGAACGACAGTGACCGCTGACCGTGGTCGAGCTTCAGAATCTGAAGTTGGCAGGGTGTTATTGCTATCGTGCCGGGGAGGTGGCTTCGGGAGCATCTCACTCGCGTCCAGATCCATATACTCTAATTCAGAGTGTTCCCTGTAAAGTCATACACTGTCAGCATCTGTTGTTAAAGTCGGACAAGATGGACACATTACATTGGCGTTCGCTCTTTTGGTTCTCCGTGAAAGCCAACAATCTGATTTATCTGAAATATGGCATCAGTCAGCCGGCGCAAAGTTGTGACAAACAGGTCTCGTACCGCAGGCTCATCCTTAATCTCTTGGTCGCGGCTGTGGTGGGAACGCATTCCGCCGACACTAAACCCCTCCAACGCTGCCTTAGTCTCCCTCGGCGTGGGTCTGTCGCGGTCAGATTTGCTTGGCTGTTCCCCTTGGGTTGCAATCAAGTTGCTGCGAAGCTTTCTATTTTCCAGTAGCTGCGCTTTGTTCTCTCGGTCTTGATCTTTCCGCAAATGCTTCCCGATGTTGCTCCGAGACTGGAGGTCGCTATGAGGATTGATCTTGCAGACACTACATGGGCATCTATGAAGCCCCGTTCCTGCACGCTGCCAGATCGGATTACTGTACGGCTTAGTAGGTTGGAGGGCTTGTCGTGCTGGCTCAGTAGACTTGGGCATTGCTGCAAGAGTCGAAAAATTGGGTTGTATTGGTTGAGAGCAAGCTGAGCGCGAGTGTCACGGATGTATGCGCGCAATGTTCGAGCCTCGACAGTGGCGTTCGAACGCATACGCGTGCGACGCGACGCGACTGATATGGTCACCTGCCCGCGCGACTAGATTATGTAACTTGTATATACAACGGACATTGGACGGAAAGCTGCTCCCAGGACATCTACAGGAAGCTCGCCGGAAAGCTGACTTGTCCTGCAGATTTCCCCGGCCGGGAAATCACGATCAACACGCAGTGTCCAAGATAGCTCTCCGGTAGTTGTCTTCTTTGTGCACGCCTACTGTGATCGTGCCTGTCAAGCTCAAGTCTAGGTGTCGACATGCCGGACTTCGCTGTCGTCATAAGTGGCATCTCCCGTCGAAGTCGTTTGACTGCACACTGTCGTGGCCTGAGATCCTGTCTTGAGTGCAGTCGGCTGCGCCAGACTGGCTGCGATCATGCGTCAGTTTCTTCCAGTCGTGCATGTCGAGTCTGCCTAATCACATTCTCGCAGACTTTCTGCAGAGATACTGCAATGCATCGGTGACATGTCAAAAGACGGCGTACAAACAGGTCATCGTGTTAGAAGCTTGCAATGGACCCTTCGAGCTGTCCGAGTCACTGGAGGATTGGCGAGTGATGATCGTCATACTCAGTCATACCTGTAGACAATGTATGTAGATCTAAGCGCACGTTGCGCGTTTGTGAGTTGGACATTTGCAATGGAGCGACATGTAGTCTCATACCAAGACCCTCCACACGGCCCTCACACGTGAGGGGTTTGTGTCGAACCTAGAGCGACATGGTCCTACTCCACAAGCAATCACCGCGATCGACGTGCGCAAGAATGCCATGAGGCAGAAAAGTGTCCGAGGTCGTTACGCCAGACATCCCCACCCTCAGGCTGGATGTGCAACATCCTAGCTTACCTTCGGTGATCCGACCCTTACGCTAATTCTCAATGCTGCCCGCAACACAGCACGTACGTTTATTGTACTAGCCTAACTAGGCCATCTTGAGGCCATCCACTTGACACTGCTGCCGAGCTCGCATCTGAGACACTCCAGGTTCCCGCCGACACCGGAGGCAGCGTGAACCCGCACGTAGCAAACATCGTCATTGACCGCGTGGTCGTCGGGAGACGGCGTACAAGAGATCAATACTGGTACGACTTTGACGGGGGCATGAACCAGTGCGTAGGCGGAGACGTCTTCCGCTTCAGCTCCAGCCGGAACCCACCGTCTCTGCGCTTCTCAGCCTGCATACCGGCAAGAGGTAAAGTCAGTCCACACGTCGGCAGTACGACAACTGAGATGGTAGAGGGGCCTGGGGGACGTACCGTCCACACACGCTCGTCCGTGATGACCCTGCGGAGGTTGGGCACGATCCCCATGATGGTGCGTATGTCCGGCTTAGACACGGCAACCCGTGTGCCATGCGAAGAATGCGTGTCGCTGACGTCGCTGAGCGTATGGAGACTCGTCGACCGCGAGAGCGCCTCGGCGAATGAGTACTGCGCAGACGAGGGTCAGTATATGCGACCCCACTGCAGCGCTACGGACGTACGATGTCCCTGATGGGGATGCTCACTGCGAACCGCTCGAGCTCCGCGCAGCGCCTGCAGATCTTGCGGACGCTCTCCAGGCTCAGCGAGCAGTTCAGCAGGGCTACGTGCGTAAGCGTGGCGTCGTGCGCGTTCAGGAGCTCATCAATGAAACCGTCCGCGATGACCAGTTTCTCGGTGAGCCTGAGTGTGATGGAACGCAGAGGGGCTGACCACATGCGTGTTTTCTGGATGAAAGACGTCCAGAGACCGGGCGTGTTGGTCGGGGAGAGGGAATGATGGCTATCAATCGTGAGGTGGCGAAGGCGGCGGAGAGGGGTGATGATGCCATTTATGATGGAACCCGCAGCCCGAGGAGAGTCCTGAGAGGCTGATGAGATGGAGCTGGCGAAGTAAGTGCCAAAACATGTACGTACCCAGCTCGTAAAGGAGAGACTCCGCAGATCTGGTGTATGTGAGGTAAGGCGCAGGACTGTATTGTGGTCGATCTTGGTGCAGTTAATGACGTGCAATCCAGTCAAATGTGGAAGGTCGATGAGTACGCTTTCCAGGATGCAGTCGTTCAACTCTTGGATGGACTGCGGTAGCATACCGTGATTGAGCACAGAGAATTGTATCGCGGAAGTAGTAACGCACAAATAATGTTAGGTTCATCAATGTAGTCTTCACCGAGGCTATCCATTTTGGTAAGACGTCTACCACATACGGCGAGCCGGTGTCCAAAGCGATGCTCCTGAGGCCTGATATTTTGGCGAAAAGCTGCGATTGTTCGTACGTCAGGTTAGCATTGACGCGTATATGCTGCAGCGAGAGCTTCTTCTGGAGACTGAGGAGGAAGGACGCTAGGACGCTAGGTGTGCATGTGAAGGAGACGATATTGTCGCAGAGGTCGATGGTGCGAGCGCAGTCGCGCATGAACTCTGGGTGCACAACGGACTTATTGCTGGGCACCGCCCGTATGTCTGAGAATGCGATGAGTAGATATCACCGAGCAGGTGCGTGGCGGCAGTCGTACCGATGTGCCGTACATGGGTGGCTAGGTGAGGGTGGCGGAGCACAGAGGCAAACGGTGACAGGATCTACACACATCTAAGTATGGACAATGAAGGACCCAAGCGGTAAACACGCACAGCAGGATATCGTTTTGCTTGGTTTAACTTGAATATCAAGCTACGGTAGAGTCTTGAGATGACTCCCGCCAAAAACGACCGACTGACGAGCGAGACAGAGACCAAGTCGTTGCCATACAGATATGCAAATATAAGCTCGAGACAGTCCAGATTCAAGTTATCCGCAGAAACCATGTTGACCAGCGCGACGCACGACGGAGAGCACGAGAGTTGGCTCCAGACCTTGCTGGTTTGTGGTAGAAGACAAGCAGGCCAAAACACGGTGCTCCGTCACAGTGGCTGGCGACCTCCGGACCGCGCGACGCCGTACGGGGACGTTGCGATTGACAGTGACACTCACCGCCACCCTGCCTTCTCCCACCACTCTACGCCCTCCCCCTCTAGTCTAACCATATCCACCTTGAAAGATATCTCTCAAGAACGCCTCAAGGTAGCCGGTGCTCAGAGAAGAAACGCCGATAATGTCAAGCGTGAGGGTTGCGCGAGGGTCCGGGGTCAAACGGCATAAAACTGAGTCAAAGAATCACAGCTTTGGCAATCACTCGAAGGACCATCTACAGTGCAGTAGAGGCGCACGAAGCGTCAGATGCAGCTCACTGAGAGCGAAGATGAAGGCAGGAAAAATGTAATCGCTCGAGGGCAGATGCGCGCGACGTGCAACGTATACAAGATAAGCGCAACATCGAGCGGCGGATGTTAAAGCTCGAAGTGAACGAGACGATGATAGTAGCAAAAGGTGAGCCAGTCCTGCCCTTCCTCAGTTTCCCATGATTGGCCCATAATGTAGGCTAGCATGGTGTGCGTGGCGTAGCCAATAAGGAGGGTCGACCCGCAAGCTCGATGAGCTGAGGGCGAAGCGGAGGGATAAGGACAAGAACACGCGTACGCATCAGTCGACTCTTCTCGCTTGCTTGAGCTTAGGCCCTTGTGGACGAGGGCCAATTCCGCCTGACCTTATTTGCCCGTCGAGAGGAACACCTCGAGCGAAGAGGAAGAGGATGGCCAGATCAGCAAGGGCGAGGAAGAAGAAGGATCGCAGGTTATTACCACAAGCTACACCCAGAGGAGGACAACTTTACCGAGGACGACCATGGAAGGCCTGGAGAAGGTGCGGCTCGAGAAACACGTTGGCATGCCTGTCAGCGACGCTATGGTTGGACGAGACGATCAGTCAAGGGCACTACGCCCTCAGGCCTCAACGTCCTCAACCGTCGCAAAGCCACAACATACTTCAGTCTCTATACACCCCTCACGACTAGGGCGCTGGACCGCACCGCGTCTCCGCCCTGCTGTGCGGCTTCAGGGGGATACCTACCTACACGAACGATGAATCATACATCTAGTTCAGTATGGAGATCAAGTGCTTTCATGCGTCAACCTCATCTCGTCAAGGCTACCTCTATTGAGAGTCCCAGGTTTGCGGTCATGTTGATAGTGTTATTATTCGCACTGTACAAGGACATCGTCGCTGATCTATTTAATGGCTCAAGCTCGATTTGTATCCTAAATACATCAGCAAGGCATACGCTATGCTGCAATGCGATGGTGACTACAAGCGTTCACTGGTTCTTGGCGTCGTCGCCGATGCCGCCCATACGTAGGAGCCTCAGGGTATCCTCGACCTCCTCCTTGATACCGAGCTCGACCTTGATCACGGTGGTTTGGAAGGTGGCCATCGTGAGGCCGCCCGGGTTGCGGATGCGGGGCTGCCACTCGTCGGGGATGCGCTCCTCGAGGAGCATGGGTCGCAGATCTTTCGTACGACCGCCGCAAATCGTGAGCAAGGTCGAGCCGCTGTAGCACGTGAGCACGAATGCAGGAGAGTCGGGCAGGTAAACGCACTTGGAGGCACCGAAGAGCTTGTGGAACGTCGTCTGGCCGTATTGGTTGTTCTTCGCCTTGGACTCGGCGCGCCGCTTACCGAGCATGCGCGAGAGATCGCTCGTGGTGATGTCGCCGTTCGGTCCTGTCCCGCTTGCGAGGAACTCCTCGATCAGGCGACGTGCGGGTTTTGACTGGTCGGGGTTGTGGAAGGTGTCCACCCCTGCGAAAGCACATCAGTTTTAGCATTCGGACCGAGTGTGGACGACGCACTACAGAGGGACGCGTCGTGCTCGATGCAGTTGTGCGCGTTGAGGTCGCTGAGGTCGAACTTGTCCGTCCAGTAATTACGGTTGAGCATGTCCGCGGCGTAGTGCGGGACGAAGAAGCAGAAGGTCGGTGCGAAGTTGAACGTCTCGCGGACTTTTGTGTTCATGTCGCGGAAGGTGATGTTGCGCCCGTCTCGCGGGAAAATGCCTAGCGTGCAAAAGCGACCCTACGTTCAATGGCACGATCTCGCTTTGCGCGCACATGACTACGCACCGTGGTTTGCCATCGCGTTCAGCATGGGACAGCAACTCCGGCTGTCTGTCTCTGAAGGAGGGATGTACTGTGGCCACAGGCCGTTCGCGCCCGGCCGTCCTTCTGGTACGACTTTGTTTTCGGGCAGAAGTGGTGCGAACGCGTTGTACAGAGTTAGGGCGAGATCCCAGATGAGTAGCCGGATTGGTAGGATAACATTCGCGATGGCGTAGATGAGGCCTACGCCCAGTCGGGTTGCTGCTACCGCCACAAAGGAAGGTGCCATGGTGTTTAGTCTCGGGAGGGGGGAAGGGGGGAATGCGTTCGCGGTCAGCCAGGCAACCTAATATACGTTCGGGCGTCGGAGGCATGTGACGGGAAGCTGTCCGCAAAAGCTGGGACGCATACCGCGATTCGCGAAGCGGACGCTGTACGGGCGGCGGGCGGCTGCTAATCGGGGCGTGGCGCCTGCATATGGCAGTGCGTCTGCTCGTCTTGTCCTTTGCTGGCTGCCATGTCCGTGGATGTCCGGCGCCGTGTCCAGATTGGGCGGAGGTAGCGTCCTGAGATGCCGTGATTAGCAACATACGATTTGAACAGGTTGTGGCCGTCGTCTGACCGAGGATGATACGAGCAAGCAGGGAAGGCCTTACTAGCTTGTCCGAGGCTATGAGGGCTCCTGTATGTGACTCACTCGGCTGCGAGTGAGGAAGAATGACAAGCACAGTGCCACTGCGGGAGTCGGAGGTCGTGTCGGTGAGTGCAAAACAGGCGACCGTCAAACCGCGATCTGTGGCGGTGAATTCTCAGTATGACATCAACGGACTTTTAAAAGAAATGATTGTTTCGTCTGGTGTCGTCGGAAGAACTTCAAAAGTTCAACGCAAGACGGACAGGGAGGCGACTTTATTTACTTTACGCACATAACAATTTGCTCGCTGTAGTAAAAATGCACTAGGACATGTAGATTCAACATGACGTCGCATCTCTAGGTTACTGGGACCTCATGATACCCAGCAAGTACTCTATACGCTGGCTTGGTATTGTCCAGTGACCTATACTGACACTACACTCTCCAGCCAGTCCGGGCCAGAACTAGCCAATGGATGATCGATGAGAACGTGTTTGTACAGCTCTTGTCAGCGACATAGTCAGATCCGGACAGATTAGAACGGTGCTGTCCTTAAGCGCTGGGAGGTGAATATTGTGACCACGTGATCATGCCGCTGTGGCCTACCAAATTGGGAAAACTTCAGTACTGTCCTCCCTCCGAGTCCTCGATCATCTCCGCGTTCACGCCTGTTCAGGCGCGCAGCGACAATAAAATCACCATACCGCGTCACCTTTACATCTCAGAACACTGCTCACGCTATAAAACATGGTGGTGAGCATTACCGACCTGCAGAATGACTGATGCTTACCGGAATCCTTGCCAGAAAATATCGGTCTTACAACATGCACCCTCGGCGCACCTTCCAACGAGACCAGGGGACCCAACACCAACATCAAGAAATCTTGACCCTCTACAGCACCCATTTGCACGAGCGCGCGAACGTATGCGCGCGCTCAACGCCGCGAAGATGGAGCGAATTTTCGCAAAGCCGTTCGTAGCCGCTCTGGAGGGCCATGTAGATGCAGTAGAAACGATGGCACGGAAACCGGACAGCTTGGACATGGTCGCGAGCGGGAGCTGGGACGGAGGTGTGTGCGTGTCTTCCGTCGCGATGCGCTGCATGTGCAACGCTAGGTTCTTACTCGGCTTCTCGATTTGCCAGGACTCATTCTACATGACATATCAAGACGAACGAAGGTCTTGCACGTCGAGAATGCGCACAAGGGCAAAGTGACCGGGATATGCTTCGCGGATAGCGATAGGCTGCTTAGCTGTGGGGTGGACCGGAATATCAAGTTGTGGAGCATACGGCCGTCAGAAGAGGATATGGACGAGGATCGTGCTGGGCCCTCTACGGTATGTACATCATAGCCAAATGGAGGTCGCTTCTGACTGTCCGCAGAGTCGGAAACCCCTCAAAGTCTTCCCGGGAAAATCAGCCTTCAAGTAAGAGTCTCAAACACTGTATTCTGCACACCTGCTCATACGGCTTCACAGCTCAATAGACCACCATCGGTCAGACCCTCTCTTCGCTACTGCATCAAATATGGTGCAGATCTGGGATGAAACGAAGTGGGCATTCATCAGTCCGTTACCTACTGAAGTCGGACTGAGACGCTTTGCAGGAGCGCTGCCATATCCAACCTTACGTTCCCGACATCGACAGAAACGATCAATGCAGTGCGCTTCAACCTTTCAGAATCTTCAGTGCTCGCAAGTATCGGTTCGGACCGAACCTTCACACTGTACGACATCCGAACAGGAAAGGCCGAACGTCGAATAGTCATGCAGGTGCGTCCATAACCTACCCCCACCATCCACAGTGCCTGACGTAGACCCACAGATGCAGAGCAATTCGCTCGCCTGGTCACCAACCTTCCCGACCACGATCCTGCTCGCCTCCGAGGACCACAACCTCTACACCTTCGACATCCGCGCGCTCAAGACGCCCACGCAGATCTACAAGGCGCACGTCGCGGCGGTGATGAGCTGCGACTGGGCGCCGACGGGGACGGAGCTCGTGAGCGGGAGCTGGGACCGCACCGTGCGGGTCTGGCGCGAGGGCGCGGGCACGCAACCGGAGGTCTACCACACGAAGCGCATGCAGCGCGTCATGGCGACGCTCTACACCGCGGACGCGCGCTTCGTGCTGTCCGGCTCGGATGACGGGAACGTGCGCATATGGAAGGCGCACGCCTCGGAGAAGCTCGGCGTGGTCACGGCGAGGGAGCGCGCGGCAATCGAGTACCGGGAGAGCCTCAAGCAGAGGTGGAAGATGGACAAGGAGGTGGACAGGGTGCAGAGGTGCGTTTTGCGAACGTGTTTTTCTAAACGGGTTGGGACTCACCTGGTGGATGTAGGAGTCGGCACATACCGAGGCCGGTGTACAAGGCGTCACAGCTCAAGCGGACGATGCTGGAGGCGCGTCGGGTCAAGGAGGAGCACAGGCGGAAGCACACGCGGGCGGGCGAGACGAAGCCGAAGGCGGCGAGGAAGAAGATCGTCATTGCCGAGCAGACGTAGTGCAAGTGTCTACTGTATCGTTACTTTTGCTCTGTGGTAGTTCAGCATCTTGTTTCATGGTGTATCCCATTTGGCATCAATGCTCCTCGCTGCGTGTACTCCGGTGGATTGTCTTGGTCGACTAGTGTCGCGGGCGGCTATGACACGCACTGATTTCAGTCCCATGCCTCGAGAACATGTTTCTTTGACCTGTCTACGCCGATGGCTGCGTCGTGCACACCAAGCGGTGTGGAACTCCGAAGAATGAAATTCGTTGATCTTTCTTGATGCATACTACAAGTACAGGCGGAGATGTCTATATGAATCATTGAATGTGTACGTGTGCCCTAATAACGCCCCTTTTCTACGGTTCTAATCTACAAGCAAGCTTGGTAAATGCGATGGTAGTCAGTCTGCGCCGACGAGGTCGACGTCTAAGATGGTAGGCAATCAGATCCGTAACGAATGAGGTTGCCCAACTGGATATCCTATCCACACAGCTCATGTCAGAGCACCTTTCGTATTGATAGACAATAGAACAATACCTGTTCAATGCTGCCGTGCCGGTCAGTCCGCCCGCGGCCCCTTCTCATTCATCCCGAAAAGACCTGCAGCACCGGACATGCCCAGCAGAGGCACCAAGAACGGAGTCAGCCGCGGCTAGACGACACGCATGCACAATAAGCTGTCTCCCAGCTCAGGGGACGTCGCGCACACGCACCGATTTCTTGCCAGCACCGGCGCCGGCGGGAGGGCGCACCTCCCTCCTTGGGCCCCGCACGTAGGCGGGCCCGTCGAACGTCTCGGGTGGTGGGAGTGTGTGCGGGAGGGAGTCGGGAAACATCCATGGGGAGGAGGCAGACGTAGAGGCGGACGCGGGGGGAGAGCGCGGGGGTGTCCCGCTGGGCCCGTCGAAGATGATGGGGCTCGGCATCATCAGGCGCGTCGGCCGCTTTGTCGCGGGCGACCGGGGCGACGGGGCAGCGGACGGCGCGCGCTGGGGGAGGCGCAGGCGCGCGGGGGAGGTGCCGAGTCGGGCGGGGGCGTCGAAGATGTCGAAGATGGGGCGAAGCTCGGGGACGCCTTGTGGGAGGTCTGCGGAGACCGTCGCGAGCTGGCGGCGGGCGGACGAAGAGGCGGAGGGGGCGGTGGTGGTGCTTGCACTGGTGGAGGAGCGGAGGGAGGCGGCGAGAGCGTCTGTGTTCAGGACACGCCGGACGGGAGTTGTTGGACGCATGGCTCGTCTAGTTTTATGACGTCTAGGTGGATGGGTGTTGTGTTCTGAAGGGATCAATCCGAGTCTGAGTGTGGACGACTCTGGAGGGAGAGGAGGGTGGACTGTTATACGTTGGCGAGTGTGTATTGCGTGCATTGATAGCTGCCAGGGAGTTGTGGGACTTTAGAGGTGCTTCGATCGCATCCGAAGGAAGACTGGGTGGCTGGACGTGTGCATGCCAGAGAGGACGTCGGAGATGCTGCGGCGATAGCATCTTGCATGCTGAAGACTCGACGTGTATGGCGAAGGGCGCTGCGGGGGCAGACCCACCGATGCCTGCGTTCCCCGCCGTGGCCTCGGCCCAACGCTCAGCGCCCAGCTACCCACCACTGTGGATAGACATCTGCTGTGTTAAGTGATTGGCGGCAGACTTGACGTGCGCATACATCGCCATGGATGAAGCAGTCACCGCGCCACCTGGCAAGGTGCCGCATTATCGCCATAAGGAGCTCACCAGGCCAGTCGATCATACCTTCCTAGGGGACGATGAATACCGAAGGCGTGGCTGGACCGAGGTTCTGTCTGTCGGAGGTCTGTTTCGACGTCAGCAATGTCCCGACGTAAACGAGGCGCCCGGTGTTGAAGAAGGAAATAAAGCAGACAAAAAAGCGAAATCCTCGCCCTCTTCCGTCAGTCCTGACGTCGTACTTGACGGAACAGGCAGCGCGGACCGAGGTGAATGTGCCGGCGACAGCTTCTGGACTCGCAAGGCAAGACAGGCTGGCACTGACCATTCGATGAACCTGTGCCCGGACTGTGGTCCAAGGGCGCTTTGCGAACGAGGATCCTTCGACGTAATCCTTCGACATAGGCGCTCTCCCTGTTCGCTACGTGCTGATCTTGACGGAGATCCTACACACGGACGTGGTCTGCAGTAGCCTCACAGACTACGATATTTTGTTCCGCGAGATGCTGCCCAATGCCCATGAGGGCAACCATCACTTCAGTGTCAACCTCCACAACAAAGGCGCCTGTGTACTCACTGGCGCGCGTGCCCAGGCATCTTAGTGGGCTATTGAGCAGGATGTCTTCAAGTTCTGATGCTACGTGGCACTTCAGCGAAGCGGCCTGGGTCTCTGATCGACTCAATGTCAGAGGAACGAGGTACCAAGCCCGCAAGTCTGTAGAACAGAACAGACACGTACCGACGATAGCCTCCGACATCTCAAGTACTGACAGTCGGCCGAAGCGCTCCACTCAATGTCTATGCCCTCCCGCGATCTAACAATAGCTGAGGTCAATGAGCATCCAAGCCCTTATCCTATCGAAGAACGTGTTAGCAACAGATCCAAGACGGGCATATCAGTACAATGGCCACGCACGGATTGAAGATGGCGGGGTTAACAGAGGACCTTGTGATAGGCACTGGAGCAAGGTCCAGCTTGAACTGCTGATAGGGATTGCTGGGCGAAGGGTCAATCACGGACATAGAGCGGACGGTGACCACGCACTTGCTCGTTCGCCTCTGGGGTTTCAGAGGATTTCATTCGTTGGTCGCCCAGGGCTCTGGCAACGTGAGCATCGCGTTCAACACTTGTGGTAAGCGCGTAATCAACATGAGGATCGTCGCAAGATCAACATTGGGGGAACCAATGGTCGCGCGCTGACTCCTAGTACCGAACAAAGCCAGGTTTCGTCCGCGCAGGCCTGCTCGAGTTGCCCAACTGCACGCGCCGAAGGGAAGGCGTCATAACCCAGGATATCTATGAGTTCCAGCAGTGTCAGGGCTATCAGCAAGACAGCAAGAAGCCTTGAAGACGTCAGCCAAGTTGCAACGCTCGCGTTTGAGGGGGTGCGCAGCCCATGTATACCTCGTGTCGTTTGATCATGAGCTGCGTCGCATTGCATCAAAGCCATGCACGTTCAGCGTTGAGTCAATCGCCAAGACTTGACCAAATTTCATTTCATTCGAGCCTGCTTTTCAGACGTCAGTCGTCTCATACTGTGATACCCCGAATGATTTCCGCTGGGCGTAAGTAGCACACATTGGGGGCATTCCGTGCTGTGACTCCGTGCTCCAAGAGCGAGCAAATGTGCCAACAGACATTGCGGGTGCGAAAATGATTCGCCGGAACACTGGTGATGTGCGATTGAAGGATGAGCGACTGGACTGAAGTACGTATACAAGTGTGGCCATGTTTTGAGAGGAGTGCATCGCCGGGCGCCTGGCAACGGACAGGTGACTTTTTGCCACAAAACGTCCTAATTAGGCAAGTCGCCCTCCGGATGCGGCGTCGTCACACAACATGAGACCCCAACCCTCACTCCTCCTGGCCTGCCGAAAATTGGGCTGCGCGATTGGCGTCGCTGTTGTCAGTACCGGGTCCTATTTAAAGGAGGATACTGCTGTCGCCGTGCGCCGGGTCTTTCCGGTTCGAGAGCTGTCATACTTGTCGCCCTCCTACCTCGCAGTCGCAATCGCGCGCGCCTTTCCTTCTACCCTCAATGAACATCCTCGCCGTTACAGGTTGCGCAAGTGATCATCGCAGTACTTGTACCGCAACATCACGGGCATTCAAGTTCAGCTTCGGCTGTTGATCGGCGACATTATCAAGTACTTGAATTCGAGCAGCTGGTGCGCACTCTCATTGCGCTCGATACTCGTTATCCAAGTCGTAGCCAAGCAGATCTGAGTCCCCGTCTGTTGTTCTCCCTTGCGTACATGTTAATTGGCACGCTGAGGTACCTGTCATCAGCCGGTATGAGGTCCGATGAACCAGCCCGGATCCTCAGTGCGAAGGCAAGCTTATCAGCCTGCCTCTTTGGATCCTAGCGCAATTCCGAGGCGTCTTCTGCACTTCTGCACTCGTCTCGTATCATCTGTCTTGGAGGCGCGGGCGTGTTCTTTGTGCGAATGCGGAAGGTGGGTCCAGGGAAATGAGCGCCCACCCGTTCGCCAGAACGATTGATCAATCCCCCGGTCACGTTGTCATATCACTCGGACGCCAGACACCGCTCGCCATCGTTCTGGACGTCGTCCTCGCCCTCGACGTTGACCGGATCCTCGTCTGTGCCACCAATTCCGATGTTATACCCTGTCGTTCATGTCCTAGCTCAACCCCGTCCCTACTAGATGGTCCGACCGGCCTCCACGAGCGTGGCAGTCCTCCTCCCCGGCTCGTGCGAGGCGCGCCTCGTTGTTTTCGCATGCGAAGGATGGGGTCCGGAAGTCCTGCCCGTATTGAAAGTGCGTGGCTTGGGCACAGCACTAGCTCTATCCAGAGTCCTTAAGTGCGCCCGGGAGGAGGTGAGCATCCTTCGGATCATCTACCATCGCCCAAGCTCAACTCATCCCCACCCTTCCCTCCCATCCTCTCGCAGAATGGGCATTCCTGCTGGTCCTGGAAGCGCTCTGTCCACGGAGGTATCAGTCCAGGATCGCAACGCGCTGCCTCAGTACGGCTTCGGGCCGGATGTCGAGTTTGACAAGCTCGTCAGCAGCAATCCCTTTCTCTTTCGGGTGCACACACCGCGCGAGCTCTCCCCGTTCTATGACCGAACAGACCCCTACTTTGTCGGCCCACGTTTCGAGGAGGACTTCGCCTCGTCCAGCTTCTCGTCCCAGAAGTCATCGTCCTCGCCGTTCCGCAGTCCACCTGAACCCACATATGCCGACGCTGTACAACATATGGACTGGACGACCCGCTCGTCGTCTCCCTATGTGTCGACATCTTTCAGTTTCGCATGGGCTATCTGGGAGGCAACGAGGAGATATCACCATAACATGAAGCATTCCGTGGAGATCGCGATCATAGATGCCCGCGTTGTCGCAGGACGCGCGGTCACGGCGGTCGAGCTGCTCAGGCAAGCGGCTCCGAAAGAGTGCGTAGATCTAATTGCACGTAGGGATCACACATTGACCAGAATGCCTTTAGCCGTCATGCTGACCACTGGAAGTGGTACCGATTTGCCCTGGAGGCGCAAGACGTCCTCGTGTGGGGCTACGTCCCTGGCACGGCTGTTCTCGCCTCCGTTCCTCTGACGCAGATATTCCCGAAGCTCCCCTCCTACTTCCTCCAACCCGATGCACCCACTCCCATCGATGGCAAGGACACGCCCCTCTCACGGCTTGCCTGGGACTTCACCCGCAAGAAGCCAAGCTACCGCCAGTTCTGCCAGGACATGTCCGACCGCTTCCTGCGCATGCCTGTCGACCGCCGCACCCGGGACACAACCGCAGGCGCTGTCCGCCTCGCGCTCTGCCATCTGCGTCCGTGGTTCCACCGGCTCGCGCTCGAGGACTTCACGACCGCGACCGTGACGGCGTGCGAGCTCGCGTTCGTCATCTCGCGCTGGAGCGGGCAGTGGTGGGTGCGGGAGCACCCCGAGATCCAGGGCCTCGTCCGGTGCATGGTGCACATCGTCGGCGAGGAGGTGCGCGAGGCGCGCAGGGTGCAGGCCCTCGCGGACGCGACGCGCATGCAGGAGATCGTCGGCGGGCTGGAGCAGCTCGCGCAGCGATACCAGATGCGCGAGCGGATGCGCAGGTGCCTCCCGCCGAGCACGAAGGCGACGCCCGTCGAGACGAAGCCCGCGTTCGAGCTGCCCGCACCCGCTGCCACCACCACTGTCATGGCCCTGTCCCAGCTGGACGTGGAGAAGGCGGAGGCTGGCTTCGCGGGGGAGCAGGCGGAGGCAGACGAGGCGGCGCCCGGGGACGAGTCCAGGACGGACGCGTTCGCGTGGTCCGCGTCTTGTCTGCTGACAGGCATCTTCATTGGCACGTTCTTCACCCTCTGCCTTCTCGCGCCCGACCGGAGGACCTTGGCACACCATCTCGTATGAGGCGCCTCGGCCGCTTCGCGAAGCCAACCCCTTGCTCGCTCGCCCACCCGATATGCCTTATCATCGCCTCACTCACATATGCCGCCTATGCGCCTGCCGTATGCCCCCATCTCAATCTTCGTCTACTTGGGCTGTTGACGCTTCTGCCTGAACTTAACCCTAACTTATCGCCTTCGTTCGTTTGCTTTGAATGTACCAAGAGTACTGTTGTATTTCTAGATAGCTATAGGACCGGACCGCAGTGCGCTGACTGGCTGGACCTCTGTATCATCGTCCCATTCCCAGACGAAGTTGATCCTCGTGGTGTACGTCCGGTGTGCATTGCAAGCTCCATCACACGCTGCTTGCGATAGCGCTATGAAGGCCAGCACGGATCCGAACGCGATATGCTGCACGCGTCAGGCGCGAAGGCGACCTTGCGCTGGACGCGCGAGAGTCTCATTGCTGCTCTGGGCCCTGGCTGCCTGGCGGTCATCCTCGGGTGAGTCGTCGATTTCTCCATCGCGTGAAGCTTCCACTGTTCAGTTCTTGTCCTGCCAGAAATATCGAGAAGGTGGTCGGCCAAACGTATGTACCACCTTGCTCGCGGGCGTTGCTGGTCACCTGGGCGATGCTGGGGCGATGTACAATGTGGGCTCCGATAGGCCCGAACTTGAGGGTATTTCGCGAGCTGGGGCGATCGATACGCTCTCTGGACCAAATCGGCTAGGTAGGCCTGAGCCGCGGCCTGCATTAGTTGCTACTGCTGCGCCAGTTTAGCGACGCACCTGATGGTGGCCGGGATCCTCGTGGTAAGCAGCCATGCGGAGGGCGCACGCTTGCTCAATGCTCATTGGTGGCTCCTGGGTGGCCCGCCCCAGGCTGGCGGCGCTGAAGAGAGGACCCGACGCGCGCAGTGCTGGTCCCACTCGAGCATGTGGGATGCACTGTTCGGGTGCATGTGCATCTGTCATGGACTGAGAGCGTATCGACCGTCGACTCGAGCCGATGTCATTCGTAACTAACGGGCGGGAGTCAGCTGGTGTTGGGCCTCAAGGTAGCCTTGGCCCTCCCCCAGGTATACACTGCGTTCATGTACGTGGTACGTGTACCATCGTCTTGTGGTGCATGTCCGCTCTTCTCAATTATCGACAGGCATTGTACTTGGCGGTATGGCGTTCAGTATAGCAGATATGCAATACGTAATGGCCATTTCAGTTGATAAAGGGATGATCAGGCGTCCCTGAACCTGAGATTCGACGATCGAGATCCCCAGAATCAAAAGTCACGCTTGGCAACGGAAGGCTCGCTCGGGGCGCTCAGTGGGCGCTCGAGCTCGGGTGGGTTGAACCGCCACATTGGCATGGGCCGGTACGTACGGTATTCCGCCGATCGTGTACTGAGGCTGTTCCACGGCATGGATGCGAATTCGAGTCGCTTGTCGTGAAGATAGGTCCCCAGTGGGCCTCTCTGACTGCAGAGCTCTAGAGGCACCCGGGCCTGTTGCTGCTGCCGCCGTCACGGTGTCGTTGGTGAGTCACCGGATACACCTTTCCTGCCTCGCACTCGTCACTTGGCGACCTCAGATTGACCTCAGACTCGGGGGCCCTCTCTCTTTGCAGCACGGTAGCATGTGGTCGCTGGCACCATGCGCGGTCCCCGAGCCCAAAGGGAAGGCGCACAACATCGACCGGACTGTCACATGGGTGTGTATAGTCGGAAGATCTTGTCCCTGGTCGTTGCTTGTGACGGGGGCTGCGTGGTCGGGCCATGGTATGACATTTTGCCTGTTGCAAAGGCGGTGACAATGCAGAATCGCGCTTCAGTGAAGGCGGTGTGAGCTCTTGGGATTCATGATGTGCATCTCATCTACTAGGTCCTATGTTTTCTTCTCACAACACAAGAGTGCGCGGCAGGAAGCCGATAAGCCTCATCATTCTGAGGCTGAGCGGCGTCAAGTCAGTTGTGCATTTCAATGTGATCGCCTCACGCCGAAGCACATGGTGGTGCGAACGATGACAGACACGATTCTTTCTGGGGTATGTCCGTTCATGTTCATAAAGGACGAAATTGAAAATCCAGATCTGACGGGTTGCACAAGTGTACTATTTGCGATCATGCTGGTGATCGGCCGAAGCGGCTGATACGGTGGAAGTCAAAATGCACCTCTTGATAATGTGGAATGACCTGTGCACAAGGTCGAGCACGATCAAGCGGCGCCGACAGGTTCGACAGATGTGACAGGTCCGACAGATGTAATGATTGAATTCCCATCTGAAGCTGCCACCGTTCACAAAATGCGATGTTCGACCAGTGTTCAACAGACAAGGATGCTTGATACATTCCATTCTGCAGATGTTGTGCTTCGATTGCAAGCCCCTAACTTGTGCTCAATCTCGAGGCAGCATACTGGATGACAGCAGGTATCATCTGCAGCAGATACCGGCAGCTACTACTGTATACGTGACGCATGGAGCACTTGTCCGCCCGCGCGGTCCTCTGTTCGCATGCGTCGTCTCTAATGGTCATACTGGTAGGTCATCCGGGCCCTTTTATCATGTGCTGTCCTGAATCGGGCCTCGATAGACCCCAGGAAGACTACTACCTCTCGAGACAAAGGTTCCGCTTAGCGACGGACCCGGCAGGGGAACACGAGCATCATGCTGCCCACGAAGTCAACATCGAGCCAGAACTCCCAAACAGAACTGCACATCCATCCTGTGCCTCTGTTGGGCGGACTTGGCAGGTCGCGCACCTCGCTGACCGCTTGATCCTGCGTATGCATTCTCTGTACCGCCCAACCCCGTCGAACGTCCATCACATGGTCGCCATCCGGCAGATGGAGGTCTGTGTACTCAGGCGCAGACGTGCTGCCTAACCCATGGTTGTCCTTGAGTCTCGGTGCCTGAGAGGAGTCCAGTCAGAGGAGTATAAAATCCACGCTCGATCCCTCCCACAGAACAGCACGGCGACAGCAGTTCTCCTCACGTACACAACTCGAACAGGATGAAGAGCATTCTCGCTGCCTCCCTCGTCTTCGCCGCCGGCGCTGCCGCGGATCGAACTTTCACCATCTACAATGGCTGTCCGTTCACTATCTGGTGAGTCCGATCGTACTCTTCGCGCTCCACCACCATCTGACAGAAGCCCGTCCCCAGGCCGGCTGTAAGACTCCTCAGCTATGCGCCCCGTTACCGCTTACTGACCGTCTGTCCACGATGTAGTACTACACCGGCGCCGGTACCTCCCGCCCGTCATACCCTACAGGGTGCGTGCAGATATTATCCTTACGACAAATTCAATCTGAATTTTATAATTCTAGTTGGGAGGCGGCCGCCTACACCTCGGTTAAGTTCTCTGTTCCCGACGACTGGAACTCTGGACGTATCTGGGTAAGTCAACTCTCAGCCGACGATGAGCGGCTCTCATTGATCATTACTGTAGGGTCGCAGAGACTGTGACTTCAGCATCAGTAACCCGGCTACTCAGTGCGCTGACGGCGGGTGTAACGGCGGCCTCGAGTGCGCTCTCAGCGGCGGTACTGTGAGCAACTCCATACTCTCATCATGTAAGGTTTCGTTTGACACGAGGTGCACTTAGGGCGTACCGCCTGCCACTGTTGCAGAGTTTACCCTCGGTGGAACCACTGGCGTCGACAACTACGATGGTGAGTTCGATTCTACGTCAGCGACCTGTAAATGGCTGATTGGTCTGTTCCTCCAGTTTCTCTTGTCGACGGTTATAACCTCCCCGTGAGGATCGACAACACTGCCGGCTGTGGCATCCCTAGCTGCCCTGTGGACCTCGGACCGAACTGTGGGTTGTTTGAAAGCCGCACAGCGTATCACTCATGACGTCTGACGCACTGAGTAGGCCCCGACGCACTGAAGGGTCCGTATGACTCTTCCGGCTTCCCTGTCGGCTGCAGGAGCGCTTGCGAGGCCAACCTTGACGGCGACCAGAGTACGTTTACACAGGATCCGATTTTGACGCCAGGAATCTGATATCATATACACAGCCAACTCGGCCAACTGCTGCTCGGGCTCGCACAACACACCGGCGACGTGCCCATCGTCCGGTGTCGCTTATTACTCTTACTTCAGTACGTCATATTCGACGGCATCTGATTGTACACGACTGACAGTGTGGCTACGCAGAGAACAACTGCCCCGACTCGTACGCCTATGCTTACGACGAGAGCAGCGGCACTGCTCTTTGGACGTGCGACGCAAGCAAAGGCGCCGACTACACGGTCACCTTCTGCCCTTGAGCAGTCCTTTGCTCGCCAGATATCAACGGCTCCTCTCCCGTCAATATTTAACTGACGGTTGGTCCTTGACATAGGGCTTCTTTTGTCTCCCACGAAGACTGTATCACGGATTACGATGTACGGCGTTGGCTGGTCACTGGATGCTCTATCTAATAAACTCTCATGCGTATTATTTCCTCTTGTCAGCCTGAGAACAACCCACGACTCAGGCTGTTAGTACCTGCAGAGGTCGGTTGACCTGGAGCATATCGATTGATCGTTACTGCCAGTCACGAAATGCTCAGCCTGAGAAGAGCCTAATCTACACTCAGTTGACGTCGGCACCAGTTTGCACATGATGTAGATGCTTGGCGGACTGCAATCGCATGGTCGCACAGTTGGATTTTTGGATCACAAAGAACATGGGGACAACCTTGGGATTGGGTGTGGCATCGTTGGGTTAGGACACGCTGATCGTAGCTCGTGAGCAAGCGTCCGTTGTGTCTCTTTCAAGCTGAGCACACAAGCCTGGAACGTTCATCGTCGATGCTAGCAGTCCGAGTCGACGCGACGTTCTTGAACACTTGCTAAATAGGGCGATCTTGGCCACAGATCTAGATGCGTTGGTGACGCTCACCTGCCAGCGCGCAGCATCACCACCGTGACGGCAGCATGGCAATCCGCCACACTCAAACCTCCATCTCAGATTATCTGGACATGTCCTGCGCAAGGCCAAACGACTAGGAACCCCTGTAAGTCGGGTAGCTGTGGTCTCTCGCGTTCGGAGCAGGTGGAACAGCAGCAGCAGCCTACTCCGAGCCGCCCTTAGCAGCATGCCGCTGGCAACCGCTGTGAGAGTCCGATCCAGTATCGCCTGTGACTTGATAGCCCGTGCGGTAACGTGTATTCCCGCCGTTACGGTTCTCAAAATTAAATGCGCGCAGGATGTTATACGATCAAGATTACCCAGTTCCTGCCAGAACCCGTAACAAAGAGACGAGGTCTGCTACATACATCATCGGCCTTCCCGAAGAACCATTAGGCTACACTACGTAACGTGCGTGGTCGTGTGCAAATGCTTACATGTGCGCCTGCTGACTTTGGCTTGTGTTCGCGTGTTCTAGTGTTGTGCTCATGTGGAATTGGGCCCCAGCCGGTGCCCACCTTGAGGTCCGCCTCGTTCTGCCGACTGCGACGACGAGCGCGCACTCGCACCCTCAAACTTGTATGTGTCACGCAGCGTCGTTACAACGCCTACTTCAGACTGTTCCCCGTGCATCGCACAACTCAACTGATAAATTGATTGATTTCTTGCCTTTTGGGTCAGTCCGCCCGAATATTTCCAATGCATGTCGGGGTGGAGTGAGCATACGGCGCACCGCTCTCACCTCGCAGTCCATTGCTCCCTCGATCAACAACCCCGAAAACGCTGCAGAGATGCCGGTTGCTCTTCAGTTCATTCTGACGACTCTGCTTGACATGCCTGACATGCGCTGCAGTGTATAAAGGGAGGAGCATGGCCAGCTCCTCATCTTCAGGTCCCCGGTAAACAACACTCTACAGTCCTTTCTTCCACTCGTCTACAGGTTTAGTCATGAAGAGCATCGCTGCTGCTTCCTTGATCTTTGTGGCCAGTGTCGCCGCTGACCGTACCTTCACGGTCGTCAACAACTGTGACTACACTGTTTGGTAAGTAGTCACTCTTTCGCCGTTTCCTACAATCACTCATGGTCTACAGGCCTGCTGTAAGGAGCCACTAGGATGTCAGTCTGACTTCATGCTGACTACGCACTTGGCACAGTATTTCACCGGCGCAGGCACATCAGCCCCAACCTACCCCACTGGGTAAATACTCCTGAGTTCTCTAATGCGGCATTGCTAATACGATATTTCAGTTGGGAAGCGGCAGCAGGTACTTCAGTGAGCTTCACAGTCCCGGGTGACTGGAACTCAGGCCGCATTTGGGTGAGCGGATTTTCACGCTTAGTCGCGCCATGTATCTCTGACCTTAATTTGTAGGGTCGCCGGGATTGTGACTTCTCTTCTTCGACTGATCCGTCCACCTCTTGCGCGGACGGAGGCTGCAACGGCGGTCTCGAGTGCGCCAAAGTTGGCGGTACTGTAAGTCACAACGCCACATCAATATCCGGACAGGTCGCAGCAAAGCTGACATCCGCTGTTCGCAGGGCGTTCCGCCCGCGACTGTCGCCGAGTTCACGCTCGGGGCTGACGGCACGGACAACTACGATGGTACGTTGCGTTCCGATCCCTCGCCGAGGCACGTCTGACTCTCCGCAGTCTCCCTCGTGGATGGTTTCAACATCCCCATGACCATCACCAACACCGTCAACTGCGCGGTCGCGAGCTGCCCCGTCGACCTGAACGCGAATTGTAAGCGCTCTAGCCTCATATACGCATGGCGGTCCAGAAGCTAACGATCTTTCGATCACTTGCACAGGTCCCAGTGATATCAAGGGCCCGTACGACTCCACCGGTGCCGCCGTCGGCTGCAAGAGTGCCTGCGAAGCGAACCTCGACGGCAACCAGGGTGAGTATGCCATGCTCTGTGGCTGCGTAGCAGTGTGCGGACCGGTGTCCCTGACGTTTGGTTTTCCGTGAAACAGCGGACTCGGGGAACTGCTGCTCGGGCAGCCACAACACTCCTGCGACTTGCCCGAACTCAGGCGTCCAGTACTACTCCTACTTCAGTGCGTAATCCCACCTCCACACGCATTTCGCGAAGGAACTGACCCGGACGGACAGAGGACAACTGCCCGGACTCATACGCGTACGCGTACGACGAGAGCAGCGGCACGGCGCTCTGGACCTGCCAGTCCAGCCTCGCCGCGGACTACACCGTCACCTTCTGCCCGTCCTCCTCGACGACGAAGAAGCGCGGCGTGCACGTCCTCGACCGCTCCTTCAACGTCACCCGCTCCTTGCTCGCGTAAAAGCGAGCGCCCGGGATGTCCTCTGCGCGCGTCGCAACGACCCATACCCATTGCTAATTCCTTTCAGTGTCGTAGACACTGCGATCTTGGTACCGGGCTCTTGCACCTTTCACACTCCTTGTATAACGTGGTCTTTTCGCGCGGGCTTCTTTTCAAGCATGTAAAAGTTATCAGTGTATTTAAATTGAACATATCCATTGTGCTTCGTCGACCTTGTGGCGGGAAGGCATGGTATCAAGCCCCAGCATATATCTTATGCAGTCAGATACTGCACCATTCTCGGAGGAGAAAGCGTGGAGTGGCGTATGAATTTATCACGTATCGTAGACGAGGACTTAGGACTTAGCATGGAAGTGCAATATCTCACTGATTATGCCCGAAGTACAGGGTCAGTGGAAGTGCTATGATACCCATGCCTCCACTTTTCTTACCTCCTCCTTCCGCCTCTCCACCACGCGCGCACACTCCTCTCCCCACACGTCTTCGGGCCTCCGCCCTCCCTCAAAACACTCCTTCACATGCCTGTCCGCGTCCTTCTCCTCCATCGCGACGCAGTTTCCAAGGGCGAGCGGCTGGGTTGCGTCCCACCGGACAAGCGCAGGGCGCGAGGGGACGGCACGCGGGGGGACGACGGAGCGTCCGCGGTGGATGTCGTCGAAGAGCAGGCCGCAAGCATCCTCGTCAAAAGGCAGTTTACTAGGTCAAGTGAGATTCATTGGCATGGTCACGTCGATGAGGAGTGCGCACGCACTTAATCGTCTGCCCGGTGATCTTCTGCTCGCGGTGGAGGAGGTCGCGGTATAGCCGCTCGTTGAGCTTCTTCCGGCCCTTGACTGAGAGTGGGTTCGTGATCGGTCTCCCTGCGAGCTCGCAGAGGATCCACGTCGCTGCGTTCAGGCCGAATATCGACGGTAAGGGGCCTACCACGCAACAAGCCGTCAGCTTCACAGCACCGAGGTGAGGCCCGATCGGATAACGCACCGAGAACGGGGAGGATCCGCACGCGGAAATCGTCGAACACGCCGAGCTCCTTCACGTTACCCTTCTGGAACTCCTGATCAGGCAGCGGGAGCAGCTTGACATCGCCTGGGACCTCCGTCGAGTACACGACGGGGATCCCGGAGGACACGCCCTGCAGGCGCAGCCGCCGCCGGACGGAACGCGCGAGCGGGTCGTACATCGTGTCCGAAATGTCGGCAATCTGGATGCGCGTCGGGTCGCATTTCGCACCGGCGCCCATGGAGGAGAAGACCTATGTTCGGTGGGTTTGGGCGGCAGGCCGGAGAGATGAGACGTGGTTGCGTACCTTGATTCCGTGGTCATGGCAGTACTTCAGGAGGTCGACCTTCGTCGTTATGTTGTCAATGGCGTCTGAGAATAGGTTCAGCGTGCGTTCGGTCTGGTATCCTGCGGTGCCGCACACCTATGACCCAGTCCGCGCCTTCGAGGAGGTCGCCGCCCTGCTCCTTGCGCCAGATGTCTATCCGCGCGTCGACCTGCACCCACCGTGCCATCTGCTTGATGGTCCGCTCGATGGAGCGCACCTTCGGCGTGCCCACGTCCGCCAGCACGGCGGTCGCGTGCCGGTTCAGCGACGACAGCGTCACCTGGTCGAAGTCGACCAGACGTATTTTAGAGATGCCTCTGCCGTCAGAAAAGCTGTCAGTATTACGGACAAGAATGCCTAGCCAGAGAGCGTACGATCTTACGAGCATGATGGCTGCCCAGCTCCCTACACCCCCACACCCGACCACGACGACGCTCCCCTTGCGTATTTGTGCCATCCCCTCCTCACCGAAGAAGGCATAGTTCCGCGCAAGCTGCTCCCGTATGAGCTCGTCGTCGTACTCGTATTCCTCGCTTTGCCTAGCCGCGAGCGTAATGTCCGCGACAGCATCCTGCGCAGCGGGTGTCTTGGGCACACGAGATGCTGCGCCCTGGTTCTTGAGCGACCGCTTGATTTCTTGCTCGAGGTCGCGCCGCTTCTGGTGTCTGCTGTGTTGCTGGTAGGCGGTCAAGAGCCCGGCAGTGGCAACTGACGCACCCAACGCTGCCAGGGCTAGTTGGACGCGGTGCGATGAAATGTCAAGATTCATGACTTGCTAATGGACAGTGGATATATGGCCAATAGTTGACTGTCGAGTTCAAATTGACAATTCTAGCTTGGGTATTACGGTAAGCGTTCGTAGGAGGAGGAGGAGGAGGAGGAGGAGGAGGAGGAGGAGGAGGAGGAGGAGAAGAGATCAGCCACCGGCCGTAGGCGCACGCGCGATCCTCGGCGTCAGTCTGACGCACTTGCTCGGCCCGTTTGCGCGAGGCAGATGCGCTCCTGATACATACGTGCATCGCCCTGAAATAACTTATGAGGCTACTAGTGGTTGTGTGCAGCAGTGTGCGCGGGATCGACATGTGCACAGAAAGGTGCTTGAGACGACTTCAGTCCAAGGCCGGGAGCATGGATAGGCCTGGGGGACCGGCCGGTATCTCAATGGATGGTCACGGCTTTCTAGATCTGTTCTCATCTGTTGGTGCGTTACGCTAGAACTCGTGGCCCATGGAAACCTGAACCCTCTCTTGAAGAGGATATAGAGGCATCGCTTGTCTACAGATCGGACCAGGCTTTCTGTGAAGGTATCCTCGGTGTTACAGACAGGACATGTGCTAGGCGCGGGATGTGGAGGCATAGCCGTCAGCTTACGGGGGACAGTGAAACACGACACTTCGGGCGGGAGACGTGAGTTCCAGAATAAACAATACGTATAATAAGTACACAGAGTCCATAGCCATCAGTTCTATGTGTACAGCCCATGAGTGAGACGTAAACGATGCAGGACACAGGTTGACGTACCTCTGGAATACGGAAAATGGTGATTTCCTAGGAGCGCGGCCACGATTTTGAGTGAGTGAGAGGCGGAAGAGTGGCAAATGATGCTCACCTGTTGCTTGAAATACCTCCGATTCTCCTCGTCGATCAAGACGAGGTTGAGGTAGTACCGCACGCTGAACTTCTTGTTCACCTCCCGGAACGTCGGCGTCAGGTCGAACCCGCCCAGGAACAGCCGTATCGGAATTGTTTCCCCTGTCAGCACCCGTCAGAACATTCACGCAGTATACTAGCGAGCAAACGCACCTCGCACGGGCGCGCCGTCCATGATTTCGAACTTGGTGATGGTCTCGCTCTCGTTGTACTGGTTCGGGGGCGCGCCGGTCGTCTCGCGGCGGATGATGGAGAGCTCCATGTGTTTGATCTTGATGCGCACGAGCAGGAAGTAGATCTTGCCCACGATGACGTCTTTCAGGTGGTATCTGCAGCAAGGCAGGCAAGGCGTAAGGGAGGGAGGAGGGCAGAGTCATTGAAAACATTCAACTGGACACGCACTTGGATTTGTTGTATTCGAACTCGATGTGGAGGCAGTCCTCTATGCCGACCTCCATCTTGATTGAGTTATTGCTGTCGGGAGGCATGCGGAAGGAGTGCACCCATAGCTCCTTCTCCTTCGTCACGTCTGCTATTCGTCGCGAGATCGTCACGCGTACGAGGTATCTGTCCGGGGAACAGGGCACATCAGCCCAGTTTCAAGATGGCCTACGAGAGGGCGGAAGACAGCGCACCGGAGCTTGACATTGATCCCCTGGTAACTCTCGTACTGCTTCTCCACGTTCTTGAAGAGGAAGTCAAACGTCTGCGCCGCGCGCATCTCCCCCGGGGCCGCGAGCTCCTGCGATAGTGATAGAAACTCATGGTGGTGCCCGCGGTCGTAGAACAGCTCTGACAATCACATTCGCCATCACGCTCCCCTGAACGACTAGGACGCGACGCACCTATGCTGCCAATGAACTCCACCTTGATACCCTCATGCGCGAGCCGCTTTCCATCTCGCACACGTACCGTAACCTAGGACGCGCGGTCGGACGTCTGTGAGTGGATGTGCGATACGTGTGGACGCACCTGCCCTGCGACTGCGTCGCCGTCATAGTACACCGGACATGACACAGCGCGCTCCTTCTCGAGCTTGAGATCCACCTTCTTGCGCTCGTCCTCGGCCTCGAGCTTGATGTCCACGTCTACCGGTGATGCGAAAAAGTAGGCCGCCATGGCTGCTTAGTCTTGAGTGTGCTTGATGCGTATGGACGCGCCACCGACACGGTCGCGCTTGTCCGGGTCGAGTCGCCCGACTCGTCGTGAGCTGCGGCGGTGAAGCGCAGTGCTGATGCGATGATAGATGAAGAATTCAGTGAGCAGCAAAAGTCATGATACTGTGTGCCGATATGCGCTGGTGTACGTGGGGATAGTCGGTGGTTGCTAGCGGTCGATGCACTTGGGTATGTCGCGCCGAACAAATATATGCAAATGCAACTTGGATTCTCTTTCAGCAATCTGTCAGTAACGTCCTTCCAACTTCCGTGAGCCCCGGGGCAACCATACACTTCTTCGTTGTCAATATTTCACTGCCTGTAATACTTATCGACAGTCGCAAGTGTCTACTTCGAGCTCATGAAAAAACAGCAATGCACTCGCAAATGTGCGAAGATTTGTATGCTGCGGCGCATACATGCCAGTGCAGCACCAAACGGCCTCCAAATGGCTCATCTGTTCCTGCCAAGGCCAGCCTCCTGCAATGTAAGGATGCAAGTCAGATGAACGCAGGGTATACGATCGAACCAAGTCGATAGATGTCAGAAGTAGTGCTGAGACACAGACAATCTGAACAACCGCAGGCGGCAGCATGATGATGCTCCCCATGGGGTATCGCATGGACCAGCTCGGTGGCTTGAATGACCGGTCACCGCACTCATTCTCCTACATCCTCAATTGATCCTCATCACGGTGAGCAACAACAGACGCCTCTGCCACCCTATGCGTTATTTGACAGACGTTATGCTTGCAAGACGAAAGGCGATGCTCCGGCAACAAAGTTGGGCATCGCATCCAAGACGTGACGAACGCGGAACTCAACGCTACTGCGGACTTGTAGGTACCGTTCTCAGGGTCAGCACAAAGCCGGCCTATTGAAAATCAAGATCAATAGCAGCGTCGTACACATGCGCTGTTGCAAGTGCAACAACGCCCTTAATTGGTTGGTTACTTGGCGGGACCCGTCGCGAAGCGTGGTAGCACTGTGGCGTGCCGACTGGCAGCCACGGAGTCAGACAGACCGAGGGCCTCAAGTTCAACAAGCCTGGCTGGCCCGTTTTGTGCCCATTGTGCACATATCAGTCCGCACAAGTGGGTTTTTTGTCGAATCGAATGTTGCGGACACTAAGGCAGGCACTGGATGCGAATTCGGCGCGCGGGAAGGCGGGCGGCTCGGAGACCGTGGGCGCCAGAATAGGCAAGGGGATCGCCAGGGAGACGGGTGCGATGTGGTAACTGCGAGTCTCGATTTCGATGAGAACAGAACAACACAATCCGAACAGTTGTCTTCGGCGCGCCCCTATCACGCTAGTCATGCCCGCGTCGCGCCCTGCTCCCTCTCTCACCCTCCCCTTCCTCCCTTTCCAGGTGCCGGCGCACCCTCTAGCAGCCAGCCTGCAGTCCATTCCTTTCTGCCTGGCCCCTCCTTCGCCTTCGCCTTCGCTTTCGTTATCCGCGGTCGCTGCTCGCAGGTCTTCGCACTCCGGCCCGTGTCATCTGAGATGCTTTTGTCTGGTTTCTGAGCTTTCCAAGTCTCCCCCGGCCTCGCTCGATGCACGCAATCTGTCTCTCTCAGGCCCCAATTCTGCGCTGTCAATCGCTCACAGAGGTCGAGTCTGGTGTTCTCCTCATCCCGCCGGGCCTCGAGTTGGTCTTCTGCGTAGGCCTAGTTGTCTTGAGAGGTTGTGACAGGTGAGTTCGGCGTTTCATAACCGCGGCCATATGAACTACCACAAGGGCCTGGCGCAACGTGCGGGGTTGACCCTACAAGCCCCCTGAGGTTTGCGCAGCGCGACCCGAATCCTCCAACAAGGTAGAGCGCATCGGTAATGCTCCGAAAAGCCCGCAGTCATGCAATTCTTGGGTTGTGTCGGATTGGCGGAATCCCTCGCACATCCCGTTAGCGCGTGAGAGCGTTGAGTGTCTTGCTCACAACGGTCACTTGCTGCAGTCGTGCGTGCATGAGAACGACATGTTCGGCGGCAACACCGGTGCACAATGCACAGTGGGACCATTTCCTGACATGGTGTTCGATCGCCTGCGCAGCACTAGCAATTACGATTACTCCGATTTGCAAACAGGCCCTTGGACTGCTTGGCTACGATCTGGCATACTTCGTACGCTGACTGACCCTCCAGAAAGCATGTATTTCTATCAACCGAGGGTTTCACCTATTGCTGCCTAGCTCTACTCGACCTCCTGGTGCACGTCATTCCGGCCGCCTCCTCACGGCTCGGTGTGTTCAGGCCTCTGGACATCCTGACAGGTACGCGGACATTGCTCGCGCAAACGATCTTGGACTTAGCGATTCTTCGTAGGCGCCCTTTCTTCGATCCCGCTTTTGCTTTACACTGCATTCCTTTACACTTTCACGGCTTCCCAGTTCATTCCCAGCCTTCCACGGGAATTCCGTTTTCTCGCGAAACAGACCCTCATCTTCTTCCTCCCTGTGATCGTCGCTGCGAACGAGATCGGCTCATTTACTGGCATCTCTTACCGTAGGTTCGCCTCATGCCTTCGCAGCTATTGTGCTTACGTCGGTGCAGGAGATTTGAACGGCGTGCTCTCCGTTGGCTTCAAGAATCAGGAGATTCACGTCGGCTTCGACAGTCTCACACTCGCCGTTCTCCTCGTCTACCAGCTGCTGATCTTCGCGCTCGCAGCGAATCGCCTCGCTCGCGCATTTCGTTACCGCCAAGATCTCGCCACGGAGAAGTCCGACGACGGTGAACTCAAGACGCAGATGTTCCGTGGGTCGCCCTGGCTGGTCACTGGTATGTTCCTCGGGTCACTCGAGACCATCCTTGGCTTTGCTGGCGGCGGTTTTGCGCTTGCGTTCTTGCGGCGGGCGCTGCGCATGCTCGGACGGGCGTGTCTCATTATCGGCGCGTTCAACGGGTGCGTTTGTCTGAAATATGTTTCGAAAGATCTGTGCTGACTTCTCCCATGCAGTGTGGACACCGTTGAGGATTTCCACATGCTTAAGTCCGAGGCGGTCCAGCACCGTCGCCGCTCGAAGCTGCTGGGCCTGATCGGCAACCCGCGCCACAGCACGTTCCGCCAGCTCGAGGGCTACCAGTACGATCCCGAGACCGGCGGCCTGCATCCTAAACTGGAGCGACTCTCTGCGATGGCATCCAACGCATTGGACGAGATCCGCACCATCTCCATCCGCTTCGGTAACAGCCCGCGGTCTTCCGTCCGTCCGTCCGACAGTACGGCCCCAGGTTCGTCAGTAGAGGCTCTCATTCATGCACGCATGGGCACGCCTCCTCTCAATGTCATAACCCTCCCCGACGACCGAGATATCTCGTTCCCCACAGTTCGTCTTCGCAACCCACCTCTCCGGCCGCGCCCAGAGGAACGCGTGACGATGCACTGGGGCAACGGCCTTGACGCACCCCAACTCGAACTCCGGCGCGTGTCGGACCTGCTCGATCAGAGCGCGCTGAACCGGCTCACGCAGCTCGGCATCGACCCGTACGGCGACGTGCATCCGCATATGGGTGTCTTCCGCTCGCTGAGCCTCCCGACGCACGTCGCGATGGAGGAATGGGCTACGGCGCAGCGCGACCACCCGAGCCTGCGCCGCTATAGCCACGAGACGCGCAACAAGCACCACAGCACCCCTGCAGAGTCGGGCTCGCCAACATCAGCGTCACCAAGCGGGTATTCACAGACGATCGAGGAGGCGCAGGCATTCGCCTCGCTCAGCAGGAATGGCTCTGTGCTATCCGTGCCATCATCTGCGATCCTTGCACCCGTCACGCGCGTCGACCGGGCGTACGCACGACATACGTACGCCGGACGTCAGCCGCAGGAACCCTACCGAGGGAGCTCGTATGCCTCGTCCATCGAGCTATTGCAAGCGCTCACGTCGCAATTCCCTGGCACCCCGTATACGACAGGCTCATCCCAGGGGGCGTTCCGAACCTCGCATGTACCATCCGCCAGCCAGGATAGCGACCAGACCATCATGATGGCCATCGGTGAGCAGTCGCTTGCACGCGCGGATAGTTGGGACGCTCGGACGCTGCCTTCGCATTCTCGGGCGCCCTCCAAGGACCTCCTCGCTTCCCCGAACACGATCGATGAGGTCCCGGAGCCACGTATGTCACAAGATAGCACGCTCATCGGCCACGGCGATCACAAGAAGCAAATGTCAACTGACTCTCAGGCTGCCGCCGCCTTCCCCACGCCTACGTCTATGCGCACCGGTTTGCCTTCCCCGCCGGACTCTGCCTCTGAGGAGAAGATACGCGATCGAGCACGGAAGTCGCGTACACTTGAAGCTCGTGCCCAGCCGCTTCGAATGGGCAGCGTGGACAGCACGGACCTCCCCGACGTGCCTCCAGCTCGCCCACGCGAACCTCGCATCAAGAGCGTTGGAAGCGTCCCGCGGCGGTACACACCCACTCCGACGAGCAGCAGCATCTTCACTCGGGAGAGCGTCGCTGTGGAGCTAGACGCAGTAAGCGAGATGTCAGAGGAGAGGAGAAGAAGTAGAAAACTCAGTAAGAGGTCGCGGAAGAGCTCGACGAAGAGCTCGACGAAGAGCTCTGTGAAGGACCGCCGGAGTGCGGTCAGCCAGGTGGCGCCTGTAGCCGTTGTCACAGTGGGCTCGGAGCAGAGTATATTTGAGGACTAGGCCATCTATTTTGTACTATTAGGACCGTTCAACTTCAGGCTGAGTTTCTTGGTGTATCGCTGTCAGAATGTTTCGAGCTGCTTCGTGTAGAGTAGGTTGTGATTCATGGACTACCCTACTCTCCTTCCATCCCGTGTATGTTTAGCATTAGATTCGCAGATCTATCGATCCATCATAGTGGACAAGATACTTCTGAGCACTACCGGGATATCTGCTGTGTTCGTAACGCGGAAACCCCTACCCTGTAGTTTCTTGGGGATCCTGCACGAGATTGCAACGGGTAAAGATCAATCGCATTGACAGTGGAATTTGCTTTCTTACCACAGAGCCTCGGCGCCTTCTCCAATGCAAATCAGAGCAGTGTGCACCTTCGGCTGGCGGGTCATAACCCGCTGTAGATCTTCCTCGCTGATGCCATAGCGTGCAAAATTGGCATCCGTAATTGTGATCACAAACCAGTCATCTGGAGGTTCAACGTGAGTAGCGATATAACCAGACGCGCGAATACAGAGGCAGCACTCACCAGCATCGAACTTCGCTACGTCGTTCACTGCCTGGTCAATGGCCTCCACTGTCGGCGCGGTTATCTGTGTCAGGCAGAACCATTGCAAGGCAGGACGCGCCGCACCTGTATAATCGCCCGCAAAAGCGTACTGGGTAACCAGCTCCATCTTCTCGACGACTTTCCATCTATCCCTGATCTCGGTAGGTAGGTTGTCTGTTTCGACCAGAGGAATCACCGGCGAGTCTCCAGACTAGTAAACCGTAAGAGGATAGACTTGCTGCGAAAAGAATCAACTGACATGTCCGTACATCTGGTCAACATAGTCAGCCATTTAGGCACAACTGTATGAAGCATGATACACTCACATCCCAAACATATTTGTCCTTTCGAGTTAGCCGGCTGAATGTTTCCATCAGCATGACAGCTAGGGAACGCTTAGCAACGTTCCTAATGAATTGAGTGGAAACCATAGGAAATCACTTACCGGTCTCCATGCTTCTCTGCAACCGCCCGTCGTACTGGAAGCGATACATCGAAGCACTGATGTCGAAGACAAACCGGATCCGCTTCGGTCTACGCAGGTGTTATCAACCCAATGCAAAACAGTGAGATGCGGCACAGCTCACTTGATTTGCGGTCGACCTAGCTCGGGCTTTGCCATTCCCCTGCGCTTGTACACAGTCGCTTCGCCAGTTAAACCTTCAGTCAAACGACTGTCATCCAGCTCCCCATCAGTCTGTCGTTTGACCCAAACACGCTCTTCTTCTCTCGCGGCCAAGTCTACGATGATTGGTCTGAACATCGTCAGGCAGTATGAAGACCAACTCGACCTACTCTCAAGCAGGTCATGTAAGGTTGCAATGTGCGATTCCACAGCGGTCAACAGCGCCCCGTAGCCTTTGGCTTCGCTGACCTTCATGTCCAGTTCCTCGAGCCTGCGTGCCAACTCCTGCCGGGCCATCTCGCGCGCCTTTTCCTTGATATGGTCAGGTACGTCCTTCTTGAGAGCATCAGAGACCTTCGGAAAGAGTTCAGTAGAGTTACAATCCTGGGATTTGCATCATACCTGGTTGATATCGTGCCCCTTGAATAGACGCATGTAGCCGCCGCGACCACCCATACCTGCGGTGTCTCGTCCGCCAGTCTGTGCTATGGTTAGCGTCCGTTACCGTCCAAGCTCTGGTTTAAGTCTCTCACTCCTCCCGCCCACGTGTTGCCTCCTGTATGAGGCTTATTCTGCGGGTCCTCCTTACCAAACTTTGGACTTGAAAGTTCTGTGCTTCCCTTCGGCTCGAACTTCACGTCCAGTACTTTCTTCTGTGCCGTATCGCGGGCTGCGTCCAACCCAAGACGTTTGACCACCAACCTTCAGATGAGTGAGTACTAAACCTCCCGAATGAACGCATGAAGTATACCCGTGATGATCGAGGATCTCGCCCAATCTCGTGATTGTCTCCGGTTTGTAGACATCGAAGTCAAAGACATTACGCAGTGTGGTCTCAAGCGGGTCGTTTGGGTACGTTTGCATATGCCGAACGATGTTTATGAGCTCTACAAGTCCGTCAGCCACATACATCCCACTCGGTGTAGACGAGGTCGTACCTCTCAGCGAGTAGGGGTAAGTCAAGGTTCCGGCCTCGTACGCCTTGCGCAAGTCTTGGAACGCGCCGACCAGTCGGATGATCATGTCTTCCTTCAGATCAGGCGCAAGCTGGGAGAGCAGCTTCCTCTCGCTCTCGAGGTCAGGATTCGTCACTGCATGACAGCTGAAGTTGTCGCCGAGCACCTGAAGGAAGTGGTTGCCCAAGAAGGCTAGTGATTCTGCATGAGATGCACCGCACAGTTCGGAGACGACGTGCACTTACGGTAGCCAGGTCGATTCGCAAGGAGAATAAGTCTGAAGTCCGGATGCACGACTAAATCACCTTCGCGCTCCTTCTCCGCACGTACCCTACGTCCGTCTGCGAGGGTCAGCTGGCCGTGCCCCGCGAGCCCGCGGAAGATTGCGACAACATGTTCCGCGGCCTTGTCAGCTTCGTCAACGACCATGACTCGTCCATGTGTGATAGCGCGCAAAAGGGGCGAATCGCTGTACTCAATGGTACCTCGGGACAGTACAGTGGTGAACATGAGTTGATTGACGGTCGTATCACGATGAAGTTGAATGTATTCGCGGGGCCGTCGGAGTAACTGAGCGTGGTCAGCATAACTCGAAGATTAAAGTCACTATGAGTATAATCGCCATACCTGACATAACCTGGGATAACCATCGTCAGGGAAGTGTAGTATCTGCAACCAATGTGACACTCACCGGTCAATAATCTTGTTCTTGCCAACACCCTACAGGATCGCTCAGTCTCAGGACCGATGCAGTTGAAAGTCTCGCGACTCACTTGGTTGCCCAGGAGCACTAGATGTTCTCCCATCTCTAGATCAACGGCCACATCTCGCATCAAGCCGGTCTGCAGGCTGTTGTCGTAGAAGTGATCCATGTGTGGAACGTGCGTCTGCACACCCTCAGGATCCCGCTTCGAGTCGAAAGCGGGTATGAACGTCGCCCTCTGGCTGTCCGGCAAGGATTCGCTACCAGAGCTTGAGTGTGTCGGGACCGGGAAAGTAATGCCGTCTCCTGAGACGACGGGTGGAGGATTAAACTATCACCGTGGAAAATAGTCAGCGAACGATATTCTGTTCGAAGAGTCGCGCTACATACAGGTGGGCTCCTGCGCGGGATGTCACACTCCTCGAGCAACTCATCGAGGCTCATAGCCTCTGTCCGGGGTAGAAACTCCTTCAAAACCGCACGTGCCAAAAGCGCTCTCAGATCGTCTTCTTCTCCGTTTCGCGCTCGCGCCATCCTCTTGCATATCCTGACCAATGCGCGTGTGCCCAGCTTGCGGTTCTTCTGGGTGTGCATTGCGGAACTTGAGCCTGACTCAGCACCCGTGAAGCGAGCGCGGTATCGGTCGGCAAAGCCGAGTAGCCTGTCAATTGTCGAGGGCGCACACCCGGTCTGCGAGAGGACGGTGGACTCTTCTTTGCGGGCCATAGGTAGGAGAGGCAGGGTAAAGAACATATTGGCGTGCTCGGCGTTGAGCCAGTCATTCAGAGGCTGGGACTTGGAGGCGGTGGCGATTATCCGGAAAGAAGGATGAGCGGTGCTTAGACCATCATTCCTCACCTGGGCGCACGAGCAATGCGCGAGTAGTGAGTCTTCCTGGAAATCAATGATAGAGCCCCGATGGATGGGTACGTACCTCATCTTCCGACGCAGACCGCACGATCCTTCGGCCCTCCCACAACTCGCACTCCCTGTCCTGCGTGAGCCGCGCGAGCGAGCCCGCCGTACTACCCAGCGTGTCCAGTCCGTCCAGCCGAACCATCTTCCCCGCCCACGCAGCATCTACGAGCATGCTTCACCGACCTCGTCAGCACACTTGCATTCCAACCGCCACCGCGCACAGAGCACTCACCTCGGCTCCCATCGCGTCGCCCCGCCCTCCTCTACGACCCTCCTCATAACGAGCTCCCGCCCGCCCAGCTCCTTGTACATTCCCCACTCCTCGCTCTCGTACCCGAGCACCCGCGCAAACGTGCGCACGAGCGTGCTCGTGCTGCAGCTCGCGCCGGACAGCGCAGGCGGGACGAGCGACATGTCGTACCCGAGCGCATGTGCCTGTAGCATGCTCGTGAGGAGGCCGACGAAGCGCGGGGTGGGGAGGAATCCGAGCTTGTCGGTGAGGGGGTACGGAATGAGCGGACGCGGGCCTGCAGGGACTGAGACGGCGACATGCGTTCCTGAAGGGTCGGTGAAGGTGAGACGGGCAATGCGCTCGCCAGCCCGCTCGATCTTGAGCAGGGTGTAGCCGAGTAGACCGGTGCCCTCTTCGTCTTGACTCTCCGCCGGGCTGCCCAGGGCGCCCACCCCCGCCTCCTCAAGCTGCCGTGAGAGCAGTGCCCATGCAACGAATGGCGCATGCGTCAGTGCGGGGTGTATTGTGAGCACCAAACGTGCTAGGAGGACAGGTGACAGCACAGCGGCATCGCGTACAGGGAAGGTTGCCAACAGCGTCCGCAGCTTCGCGAGGGCTGTCTGCGGGAACGCGGGGAGGGTCGAACGCGCGCTGCTGTCGAGCGACGTCCTTGCCTCGCTTGCGTACTGTGTTGCGACGATCACTTGCCTCAATTTCTCGTATAGGCCGTCCTCGCCGACTGACAGCGCAGGATTGGCGATGCGTGCCGGGGCAAAAGGCTCTGAGGCGCTAATAGGGATGTCGAGACTGGTGGGGCGGGGTGCAGCGAGCGCCATCATCGCGCCAACTGGGTCGATGAAGCGTGCTTGAAAGCGAGAACGGAAGGGCGGGTCGAGCGGGTAACCTGGGTAGGGCGGGACGGGTGCGCCCAGGGCGATGACGCGGAAGCGGGTATGGGCGGGGACAAGCTGCACTTCTGACTTGATTGTGGGAGATATTGCTGCCTTCGAGGAGGAAGGGGATTCGAGGAGGGCGTAGCGATGCGGGTGAATGATGTGCGTGCCATCGTCTAGATTCCTGAGGTAATGTGGCAAAATGAAGAGAGGACGAGCAAGAGAGAAAGAGATGCGTACATCTCACGATTTTCTAGCAAGTTGTTCAGCAGCTGCGTGACGACAAAGCAACGGTCAGCGCGGCCAGATCGGCAGCAGTTGGAAAATCCTCACAGGCATAATACCGCGCTCTGCTTTCTCTACTCCTTCGATGACCAGCACTCGTCCGTGCTTCACGGCACGGACTGCGGCGCTGTCCACATAGACAAGGTTTCCTCCTGCACGAATCTCGCGTCCTTGCTTCAGCTCGGTTTCGCCCACGTCTCGGTGAAGAGCGATGTGTTCGTATTCAGAGTTGATAAGTCTACGATGCAATGTGAGTTCGCAGAGTTCGCAGACAATGACATGCATATCATTGAGACATGTAACCCGACAATATATCAAATATAGATTGTGGCAATAAGAAACTCTTCGTCCGTATATGCGCATATGCACAGGCATTGTACAGAGCATATGCTGCCCAACGCACCATAAGTGCTCGCTAGCTCATGACTATGCAAGGCCCCGATTCAAACAGCAAACCATTCGCGACTTACCGGCAGAAGGTCATAATCAGTCTCCGCGCGTAGGGGCCCGGCTGTCCGACGAGGAACACGTCCTGTCCGAGCAGATATTTCTGCAGGAGGAACTGAACGTTCTCCAAGTTGACAGGGTCGTTCAGGTCGAGTATAGCATCCTCGGAATGCGGCAGTCGAGCAGGATCAGACGTCGGGGGCACATCATAAGAGATATCTCCTACGGTGAGAGTGCCTATGGGTTCCACAGCCGGAGTGAGGGACGATAGGACGTGCTGAAGACGACGGGAGGCCATAGCTCTCGAAGAACGTAAGATAGGAAATGGATTTCTGCAAATAGAGCGGAGTATGCCTGGCCTGCATTTCATCACGAATAATCGTATGAGTAGAGCGTTCACGACGCGTCCTGACGCACAAGAGAGCTCACCGCATACACTCCTAGTCTCCTGCGCCAGATGACTTCCGCGTCAGTCACGGTCGCGAGCCGACTCGCCGGAAGGCTTCCTTGTCAATGAGACCGTCGTCAACAACTGAGACGCAGTGGATTCCTCGCCTACGGGGGTGGACGCTAGTGCGAGCTTCAGGTTGTCCGACGCATAAGTATGGTTCCGCTACGGTCACGGTGCGACCAGCGCGGGGAAATCATGCTCGGCGACGCCTCGGGCAATGACAAGCAGCATTACCCCGCGAAATCACGCGGCTGCATCCCCGATCTAGATCCAAGTCCCGAATCAGATCCAGCTCCCGATCCGGTCGCCACGCGCTCCTCGAGTGTGGGCGCCAAAGCTAGTACACCGTACACAAACCGTACACGCCTTCGACTGTTCAACCAATCTAGTCACACAAATACAGCAGAGTCTCTGACTCTCTCCACAGACGACAGCTTTCCCGACATGCAGTGAATGCATACACGACCTGCGACACACAGCAACTCGAGACTTTGGATCAAGACGCAATGCGAGCTGGTCGCTCAGAGGATACCGCGGAAGCTGAAAGCGACGGCTTACTTCCTTCTGGGCATGATGAGACGTTGCTTGACACTGCCGGACAGAAGGAAGGTACGTATGGATTGACCGGTTTCCGCTTTCGAAATCAGGAAGCTAAGTCGATTCTCCCAAGCACCTCGCAGCCTGCTTCGCAAACTAGGGCTCTCGTTCTTCCTTTTCGGACTCATAAACAACGGTACTCACCATCCATGACACCTCCCAATCCTTTGTCTGACGAAGCACAGTACTCTATGTGATCATCCTATCCGCCGCACTTGACCTCGTCCCTCCGTCCACGCCGAAGGGCATCATCGCCTTCTGCAATATCTTCCCCTCCCTCCTCGTGAAGCTCGGCTGGCCGTACCTCCTCCGCGGCCGCGTGCGGTACGCCATGCGCCTCGTGGGCTGTGCAGCTGTCAGTGTCTTGGGTATGTGGGTGAGTGCGAGGCGCTCGATGGTGGGCATCACAGCTTGACTGACGGAGGAATGGGAGCCACGTAGATCATTGCCGCGTTTGATAGCCTATTCATGCGGCTGCTGGGCATATGCTGCGCGTCGTTCTCATCAGGTACGTGTTCCGAGCCAGTTGAATCCATACTACTCGATCCGAAGGGTGTGAAGAGGCAGAATGTGTCGTCCTCGGTATCCCTTGTGTATCTCCTTCAGTATTTCTTCGCAGTAGGCAGCACCGAGGGCCAGCCAGACCGAGGCTCATGATCCACGTCCGCGAACGAAGCGTGCAGATTACCTGTAAACGAGGTCAAGCGAAGGCCCGTGCCCTCTGTCGTATCAATCGTTGCTCCTGGCTTGCCCCCGATGCTGCCAGCTCAGTCTTGGCATGGTCATGATGGGAACTACAAGACAGACACATTTCGCCTCTGTGCGCTTGTGAATGTGGGGGCCTATCATTACGGACCGGGAAACAGCTGTGACTACCACGGGTTCTTCACCAAAGCTGACGGCGCCGTAGGGCTGGGCGAGCTCACATTCCTACAGCTCTCGACACGCTACCATCCACCGTCTGTAGCAGGACACAGTGTAGGGTACGCATCCCTTCATTGTTTCAGTTCTGAAGAAAAATTTATCGTGATACCTACCAAGGTACTTCGCCTCTGGCACAGGCGCAGCTGGCCTCGTCGGCGCGTTCCTGTGGTGGGAGCTCCGCGGGCTAGGTGTTCGCACAGGCGTTGGGCTTAGCTCGGTGAGCATGCTCCTCGCCTTCCTCCTCCACTCGCTGACATTGATCGGGTTGCAGGTCCTACCCCTCGTCATCCCCCTAACATACTTCCTACTCCTGCCCAAGCCGTCTGCGGTTTCGAGTGTCGATCTACCATCGACTACTCTCCCGGACTCGGTCGTCGCGGCTGAATACACTGCACTATCCTCCAGCGAAGAAGATGCGTTGGGGCAGGTTCCGGTGCAGGACACGGCAGCGATAGGCGCAAAGACCGGAGTTGGCGTGGCGCTGAGCATGGAGGATAAATGGAGGCTTGTGAAGCCACTGGTAGGAAGGTACATGATGCCACTATGTGAGTGTCAACCCTGCGTGGTAGAGTGCATGGACATTCTGTATTGACGATGAGGTAGTCTGCGTGTACCTTGTGAGCACGGTCATGTGTGTGATGCCTTTCTGAGGCTGATGACGTGCAGTTCGAGTACACGATCAACCAGGGCATCGCGCCGACGCTCATCTATCCTGTCCCGACACCAGCAGAATACCCGCTGATGAGCAAGATCATACACTCTATCCGGGACTATTATCCCCTCTGGCAGGTCCGTCTGTACTTCCTCACCTATCGTGCAGCCTGGCTTAGCTTGCCCTCGATTTACGCAGCTCGTCTACCAAGCCTCCGTTTTCCTGTCTCGCTCGACGCTCTCGCTCGGTCTCCCCCCACTCCCCGCTGCGCTGCTCTCCGTACCAGCCATCGTCCAGGCCTTCGTGCTCCTCATACTTGCACTCGAATCTGCTGTAGGCCTGTTTGACGGAGGTCGTGACGGGGGCGCGCTCGCGTTCGGACTCGTCTTCGGGCTCATCAGCATAGAAGGGATCTGCGGCGGGCTAGCGTAGTGCGTCTGCCCGTATTCCCTCAATCCCCTTCACTAACCGTCGCAAATGCACACTACAGCGTGAATGTGTATCATCGCGTCAACCAAGAAGCCGACGCGCAGGGGGTCGCGCTCGACACCGAGGAGAGCAGGGAGCGGGCGCGGCAGGAGCGCGAGTTCAAGATCGGTTCCATTGGGATCGCAGACGGCGCGGGGATCCTGCTCGCCAGCATTGTGTCGGTCCCGACGGAGATGAAGTTGTGTCGTACGCAGGTCGGGAGGGGGAGGACATTGTGTGAGGGGCTGTAACAGACGGCGGCTGCGAGGCGGCTGCTGAAATGGTACTGGATCGTGCTGTCTATGGTGCTACAATATGGTGCTGGGTATATATGGTATTGTATAGCTAGTACATAATCTACGAACGGATACATCAGTGTGTATTTGCGTTGTCCCCCTTGGTATTTGCTTGGTTTGCCACTTGATCTCATACCAAGACCCTCTACACGGTCTCAAGCCCCGAGGCCTCAAGCTCAAGGCCTCACATGCACAAGTGAGCCGGCGTTGTTGTCGAACCTCTGTGATTGCGAACTTGTTGCGAACCCGAAAAGGTCGGAATCAGCGGGGCACGCCGCTCACGAGTCGACGTCGACCTTGTGATACTTTCCCCGCACCGTCAGTCGAGCGGTACCCGGCCGGCGCATGTGTCTGAGAAATATGTGTGTACATCTGGTGTACATTCCTCGACTCTGTCACCTCGACCCTCCATTCTGTCGAGTCTTCCAGCGGCGTACAGCGACAAACCCAGGATTATGTCAAACGGTACGTGGGCAACCGCGCTGCGTGCCAGTGTGCGGGAAGCTGAGCTCGTCGGTGGCAGACCTGAACATCCCCTCGCTCTTCGATGTGAAGGGCAAAGTTGGTGCGTCTCACATACACTCGTACGTGGCATGTCTGACCACGCACACAGCGGTGGTGACGGGCGGGGGGTCCGGCATCGGTACGATGATCGCGGCGGCGTACGTGCAGAACGGGGCGAAGGTGTACATCGCCGCGAGGAAGGAGAAGCAGCTCAAGGACGTGCGTGTCTCTTGGGTCGCTCGAGCATAATACTGAACAAGGACACGATGCGCTATAGGTCTGCGACACGCTCAACGCAAAAGGTCCCGGGAGCTGCCATTACTTCATTGCCGACCTCTCGGTGCGTGCCCATTGGGCTTGACAGGCTCGTTCGGTGTGCTCATGGGCGAATCATGTGCTGCAGACAAAGGCTGGATGCGACAAGCTAGCGGCATCCATCAAGGAGCGAGAGAGTAAGGTCGACATTTTGGTGAACAACTCTGGCATTAGCTGGGGTGCTCGATACGAAGAGTACGTGTGTGACGCGTTTCAACTGTTTCCAGCATTGCTCAGAAACTGACCATGCCGCCTGTTCTACCGACAGCTTCGCAGAGGTCGGCTGGGACCGCGTCCTTGCTCTCAATGTGAAGAGTATCTTTTATCGTGAGTGACCTGTACTGCAGACGAATATTCCTAGCTCACTATCTGCCGTACGGCAGTGACTGTCGCGTATGTACTCTCAGATTTTGACTTCAGGCGGGATGATTCAGCCTGTGTTGTAGCCTGACGGATGTCCTTGCGAAAGACGCGACCTCGCACGAACCCGCAAGGGTCATCAACATCTCGTCCATTGCAGGCCTCACACCCATCCCCTATGACGACCGACTCACAGGCGGGAACGGTGCCGGCTTATGGAGCTGTGAGGATTCACCCGTGCAGCGTGACTGTTGTTGGTCTGGAAAGTAACTGCCTATGATAGACAACACGAGCAAGGCCGCGGTCAACCACCTTACGACTCAGCTCGCCTCGACTCTCACGTCGAAACACATCACGTATGTACTCCTCTTGTTGATTTCCCGGGGGGCCTACTGATGCATCAACCCAGTGTGAACGCAATTCTCCCTGGGTGAGCCTGACGTTTCAGACTGTCGAAGTGGCTATCGATGCTCAAGCTATATCATAGGATCTTCCCCTCGAAGATGACCGCCTTTGGCTTCAACCGGAGCGGTGAGGACAAGATGAGCAAAGAGAATCCCTCCGGTGCGTTCTTATGCATCATTCACTGCGTCACTGACGTTTCTACCTCGTGCATAGGTCGTCTCGGTGACCCGCGCGACATGGCCGGCGTCGGTGAGTCTGCGTCTCACCGGGGAATGTCAGTTCATTTGCTCATAATATTTGTGCAGCCCTCTTTCTTGCAAGCCCGGCGGCTGCATACGTGACCGGCACGCACATCGTAGTGGACGGAGGTGACGTAATCTCTACGAAGGCGAAGGCGAAGCTGTGATGTCGGCGTATTATTCCCATGCGTAGCAGGTGTTTTCTCTTCTTCAATATGCAACTGCGTTTTGCTACTGGCAGAAGTGGCCGCGGTACACAACGGGAAGGACGTGATAATTGTGCTTGCGGATCACTGCCTTACCAGAAATCCGTCTACGTGGGTTCACAAGGCCAGAGTCGTACTGCGCTTCGCAAAATGTTCCCTTAGACCACTCACAGCTCATTCTCCTCACGAGGATTTCTTCGCCTTCTCCCTTTCGGCCTTCTGGCGTTCCTTCTCGGCTTCCTTCTTCGCGATCTCGTGTGCGGCGTCGTTCAGGCCGAGCCTGTTGCGTGCGATCTGAACCTTCGTGAGCAATGTTGCGGAACAAGGGGCATGAACGTCCCACCTCGAATGCGTAGAACTGTATCCGTGTCACTGAGCAACGAACAGATCAGGTATATGCTCTTGCAGCACCTGACGAGGCAAAGACGCACCGAAGATCGTGTTCCTTTCCCCATACTCCTCCCGCGCGTCCGTCCGTATGAGCGAGCCGAAGTTGTAGTCCTTCACCTTCTTCTCATACCTGGTGCATCATCCCCAGCAATCGACCGCCAATGAGACGGGCACCCAGGCACTCATGAGTTGACCGGAGAACCACGCGTCGGCAAGAAGAACTCACGTCTCGATGAACTTCCGCCACCGCTCCTTCCCATCCTTGCTCTTCATCCACTCCTCGTCCAAGACAGTGAGCTTCGCGTAGTTGTCCTCCTTCAGCTCTGGGAAGTCCGTTATGGTGTGCTCGAAGATCTCGTCGTCGATCCTACCCAAATTTGATTCGTCTCTATGAAGTCTGCAGTTGGCGATGAGACTCACTTGGTGAGCTTGAGCTCGCGGGGCGAGACCTTCTCAAGAATATTCCAGTAGGTCTAGAGGTACTCATGAGTGAGTGAGAGGTTGGTAGGGCCATGAGAGGTACCTGAGCATGCTCGACCGCCTTCACTGCGAACCTGTCCAGTGCCATAAATCGCCAAAAGCCTGCACTTTAACCTCCTGTAACATACTGTTTCTCGATCTGTTTTACACCGTCATTATGAGTCTCTCCAGTCCCCTGTCTTAGAAGGACAAGTACAGACCTCAACGAGGTTCTGTGCGTTGTTTGGGTCGAATTTCCCGGGGGCAGCCATCGTGACACGGTGAGAGTCAGAGTACAAGGCACGTCAAACGCGAAGGCTGCGAGCTCGCAGAGTCAAATGAGGGACGCAGAAGAGCCCAGGATCGACGACTTATTCCGACTCGGTCGATCCCATATGTATGCAAAGGCGAATCGCGATGTCGGAACGCTGGACAGCCTTGACATGATGGTGAGGGCGATCATATGAGCGATGCCCGCAACCCGCGTTTGACATGCCTGTCAGACGTATGCGAACCTGCAACACACCATTTGCACAGAATTTTATATGACATTCGAGGATAGTACGAAGATAAGGCTACAGGTTGCTGTACAAGGACTGTGATCCACATGAATGCCATCGTCCGAAAAAGGATGTTACAAATTGAACCGTGTACGATCATGCAGTACTTTTCGCAGTGCCGCTGACCTCGACACCAAACCGCTTGAGTTTCTCGAAGTACTTTTGCACTCGGCTCGCGACCTGCCTCGCAGTGCGCCGGCCGCCCATGGCTTGTGAGATCTTCGCCCATCTGTCAGGAGCGATGTGAGCCGTGCTGCATGAATAGCAGCATGCTGACCAACTCACCTGTTCTTCGTTCCGTCGGGGATTTCCTCAAGCAGTCGTTCGAGCAGGTGCTGCTCGGACACGGACCAAGCCTGTTTGTATGTCTCGGACTTTTGTTTTCCTTTCTTCGAGCCCTTCCCAGCTTCAGGTGCCTCGTCGACTTCGCCCGGACCAAGTGTTGATCCGTCCGGGTCAGCCTCGGATTTGTCCTGTCCCTTCGTATCCTTCTCTCTCTTGTGAATATTGCGGGACGATGAGGCTGAAGTAGCGGAGCGCTGAGTATTCTTGGGTAGTCGACGATCACGGGAGGTCTTGTCCACCAATGGCGGGAGGGCTGCCTTGGCCGAAACCGGGGATGCAACCGACGTCGGCGGCGTGTCCACCTCCTTAGGCCCCGTATCCAGTCCATCGAATACAGACGGGATGCGCTCGCCAGCCTCGCCATCCGCGTCCAAGGATATATCCACCTCCGCACTCTCGTCCTCCTGATCTCGCCGAACGAACACGCCGTACGACGCCTGCGTGGGTCGACGCAGTCCTGCGAGTACAGGCACAGGAGCATCAGACCTGATGCGCCGCTGTTTCAGCTCGCGGATCTTCTCTCGCTCAAGGGCACGGCGGATCTCTTCAGGGTCGGGCGGCTCGTCGGGCTCAGAGTCGGGCTCGTTGAGGAAGGCGTAGGATGCGAGGACCGGGTCGATTATTGGAATCCGGGCGTCTTTCACTAACCTTTGGAGGTCGGACAGCGCAGAGGTCTGTTTCAACGAGGGTTTGTCGCGTTCGGCCTGGGCACGTCGCAGGGAGGATGCGAGGTCCTTGAATGGCCCTGGGTCTGCTGCCGTACATTAGACGTTGGATATCTGAAGAGAAGGGCTGACGTACCGCATGTTCTGAAGGCATCCCAGTCTAACTCGTGTGCGACTGACGCCACCACATCCGGTTGTGCAGTGAGCGGGACGGCGATCGTGTTCACCTGTCTGTCTTGAGTTCAGAACTTGTGTGATATCCTAGGTCACTCACCTGTTCCGTAAAGATACTCAGAGCATCGTCTGGATGACCCGCCACATTTCCCCTGAGTTCTCGTAGTCTAGCAATGTCCCTCTGTGTTTGCTCTAGCAGGGTCTTTTGCGACTGTATAAATTCGGACAGCGCCTCCAAGCTAGATCACAGTTAATTCGATAGGAATATGACTTTTTTGATACTAGCGTACGTTTTGGCGCGTTTTTCTTCCATTGAGTGGCTAGCTGTGACATGAAAGAGTATGCAGAGGGGCGAAACGGGGGATGGCTGTAGGATTTCAGAAAGCCTCGGCGCTCAGCTATGAAGTGAAGGGGCTCACGAGACTAGTTGCCTATTTCGGATGTCTGCAGACCCGCCCCCCCGGTATATATCGGCGAGCCCGTCCTAGGCTTCAAGCTTCAGTATCAATCTTGGGTCAATATTTCTGTGTCAATACTGCTGGACAACGTGCTACTGGACAGTACTTATGTACCATACCGTGCACAATTCAATTCCGGGGCATACTGTGCAGAAGCCAGCGCATGAATCTGTCGGAGAAGAGGTCCTCGGGTGACCCAGACGAAGCCAATAAGTATGTTGACAACGACCTGAAATCACATCTAGCTAGAAGTACACTCTAGTGGGTATATAAGGAGGGGCGCCAAGGTGATACAACAGCAGGCGCATCGCACGCAATTTATCTGCAAGGGACAGTGTCAGGCTCTGGTAAGGCTACGCCGCCATGCATCCTGTTGATTACTCACCATCGCCGTTACAAAGTACGAAGCTATGTACATATTGCATAAGCAGTTATATGCAGGCTCAACTAGCTATGATACCGGAGGGACTCGGAGGAGTGGGTTTGGTCCTGCAAATGCCCGGTGTGAGCGTGGCCGACAGCTAAGCCTCAGCCTTGTTACTGACCATCGATATATGCTCAACATCGTCAGGCCCTGAGCTCACAATACCAGACCTCTCGCGGACGTGTTGAGGTTCGAAAGCGTTTATGGAACTCTATTCTGGATCCATCTCCGACGCTCCTGCGACACTAGCATCATGTCGCCCGCTGTCTGAGTCCAAAGGGAGCAGCTGCATACCAAAGGAGATATCGCTCTCGGTCCCACCATGCTTCAGCGGCGCTCCCATGTCCCCCACTAAGTCCATGTTGGTGAAGCGCACAGTGCCGCTCACTGTGGTAGCTTGCGAGTCTGGCTCGCCTAGCGACTGATGGTGGGCGTGTCGGAGGTTCAGGAAGAAGCGGGAGATGAGGATAGTGGTCGTGCTGAGCATACTGGTTAGCCAACCTGGAGAAAATTGGTCGCATCAGAATTGTATGCTTACACCTCAATGAGGCTCGTCATCCAGAGGAACGTCTGAGTGGCTGCTGTGAGCGGTGTGCCATCAACGAAGATTGATTGCTTACCCCGGTAGCCCACAGAACAGTCTGCAAGACGTGGAGTACGAACGACGTCCTATGAGCAAATCGGTGACATGAGCAGATGCACAGTAGCTGTGACCATTTCGATGGCGTGCGTACATGAAATAGGTCGATCCTGAATTGCGGGGAGTTAACGGTTCAGCAGAATCATGAAGCGTGTAGTGTGATTTACCATCTCGCAACAACAGTGAGCTCAGGGACACCCCGAGATGGGCTCTATCGGCAAGTCTCTTTGCCGTGAACGTCGCCATCCCCGTTGCAACGAGCACCACGACGTCTGCGGCGATGGCAGATAAACGGGTAGCGATGACGACTATGCGGTCAACAGAAATTAGCGAGGATTGAGCTTGAACGCGAACCACCTACATCTGTACAAAGTCGTCGAAGAAGTTAGTATGCTAGACACAGCAACACAGCACTGATATGCCCACCTTTCCTGAACATTCGAAGGGAGAGTATTGATGAACCGACAGTTCGCAGGAGGTGCGGCCTCAAACAATTTAGACGTCGTGTAGTTGTACTGGGAGTCATCAATGAAGGTAAATGAGGCGACAGTGCATCGACGGAACGTACAACATTCGTTGCGACTGGCACTAAACCCAAACTGAACGTCAACAGCGCGATCAGGCAATCACGATGGGTGATAGCGTAGACGCGAAGGCTCCAGAAGCCTAGGGCGAGTCAGCAATGAAGCACGTCAACGAGATATCATTGAATGACTAACAAGCTGCAAAAATATAAAGCAAAATCGTCGCAACATCGGAAGCTATCAGCATGTTGTACCACCTATAAGGCCATCAGAGCCGAGTGAGTGATTGTGCATAGCAGCGGTACGCGGTACTCACAACTGAAATTGAAGCCGCCAGGTGTCTGTCGTTAGTCAAAGCACGGCAGCACATTATCTTCACGTACGCCTCCCCGCTTGCAGCTTTGAGAGTATAGCTGCAGGCCAGCATATAGCAGAGTGACATAGCGATTTGAGAGGAATAGAATGTTGGCTCCCGAAAGTCGTCTAGTCCATGCATACTCGACCTCCTCCTGGAAAGTGATAACATGCTCATAGCAAAGCAAAACTTGGTCATGGTTGAGCGAGGATTTTACATATTCGGAAACGGGGAGACGACGTACTGCGGACGGCGGTCACGAAATAGAGTGCCTTATGATCTGTCTCGTTGCTAGACATGAATCCGAGCACAGGATGACGGCGTTGGCACTTCCATACACCAGCAAAGGTCGAAGTGAAAGAGAACGGCAGCAATCCTTCAAAGCTTCACAGCGTGAGGCACTGACACTGGTGTATATGCATGGCTACGGAACCCTTCTCATCGCATATCACGACGGTGGCCACTGGTGGGGTGACCCAGAGCCAAAGCCGAGGTGGTGCTGATCCCCGGTGCATCCTAATCTCCGTGCGAGAGCATTTTGGTTCGTTTGATCTAGATTTTGCTTCGGTTTTGCCTCAGTCTCGCTCGGGCGACACAGCAACTGACGTCGATCGTACTGCTAGTCGCAATCGTGGCGATGCGCACCGAGCTCGGGCTCCGACAATGGGTTTTGCCAGGAACGAACGTCACTCGGAAGTAGTTCGATCAACGCTACCATCGTGCAGCCGTCGCGCAGTGATCTGACTTAGCTGAAAAGTTGCTGAAAAGCCTAGAATAGCAGAGAATAGCTTGCTCATCGCAATTGTAGTGTCCCCATAAGTAGCTTGGGTAAGCGACAGTGTGAGCATGGCACTGCAGCAGATATTACATGAGTATGATATATGCAGGGCAATCAACACCCAATACTATAAATACCACGGCAACCCAGCCGACCCAGATTCTTCTAACGACGCCTACTCAGAACCTTGACGCACGAGGTTTTGATAACATTCGCGGCCTTCTCGCAGTCCTTCTTCGACATTGCTGCACTGATAGCGAGGCGGATGCTGGGGCGTGCCCCGATCAGCTCCTGGTCACGCAGCCTCTTCGCGCGAGTAATCAGCACACCCTGCGCAAGCGCGTCGTCTACGATATCCTGCAAGAGGCGCTCCTCAAGCTCCGCATCGAATTGAACCGGGTGCCGTGGGCGGACGGAAGTAGGGTTCGACAATTTGGCCGACGAAGGTGACAGCGGTGTGGCCGGTATGGCCGGTGACAGAGGCGTCGGCGATAGCAACTGCGCTGGCGCGGGCGTGGACGAGGGCGTGCGCACATTGATGTGGATCACAGCACTCGCGTTGTGTGAAGGGATGGTGATGCAGTCCACCTTGTCTAGGATGGCGCGTACTACCCGAATGTTTTCCTGTAGTGTGGTGAGGATGGAGGGGGTGTTGCGCAAAACACTGATCCCTTCTGATGCAGCGACGGTCATGAGGGGCGGCATGGCCGCAGAGAAAACATAAGACGTCCCGTTGATGCGCTGAGACATGGCGGTCAGCGGGTCAGCGGGTCAACGAAGAAAACATACACACTTGATGCTTGACTACGATATGCGACCCGGCGCAGAAACCCCCGGTCGCAGTAAGACCGTTGGCCACCGATCCTACGAGCATGTCGACCTGGGACACCTGAAGAACCGGTAAGATTCGCACATAAGGCCGGACAAGGAGACATACAGGGACATTGTAAAGCTCCGTGAGGCCGCGTCCAGTCCGACCGACGCTCCCGAACGATACACTCTCGTCAAGGATCAGGCGGTACTTGTACTTCAGCTTGAGCTCGATGAGTTTCGGGAGGTCAGACATCACCCCGTCATGCTCGAAGATACCCTCCGTCACTATGAAGCGCCGCGTCAAGGGCCAGTTCTTCTTGATGCGCTCCTTCTCAACACTCTCAAGCACGTGCTGCAGGCTCTCCATGTCGTTGTGGTCATACCAGCGCACAGTGCAACGCGAGATTTGCAGGCCCTTCTGGATCGCGAAGTTCACGCTGCGGTCCGCAACGATGATGTCGCCACGCTTGCAGAAGGCGGGGATGACGGACGAGATCGTGGAGAATGCCTGAGAGTACAGGATGGCATCTTCGGTGCCCAGGAAGTCCGCAATGTCCTGCTCAAGCTGAGTCTGGACGTCTGCACAGCCATTAATGGGCGCCAAGGAGTATAGGACGAGTACGTACCCTGGCTACCATAGAATCCAGGCGGACTGCAACTCCCCAAGCCATATCTTCGTAGGATATCAATGCAGCGCTCCTTGATTATCTGGTTTCCTGCGAGACCCGCGAAGTTGTAGCTGGCCAGGTTTAGCACCGTCTTTCCATTCGCGAGCTTTGGCTTTGGTCCCGTCGGACCAACAACGACAGGGACAGAGTCTAACTCGGCTCGTTCAGCCTCATTCAAGGGCTGAGCGAGAGGTTCTGGAGACCATTCATCAACGAGCTCGCCGATTTCCTGTTGAGCAGTCAGACCACGTCGATGCGTGAACTCGAAAGCAAACCTTCTCCGAAAACTCGATAAAGTGCTTGCCGGAGGCTTCGGCTTTGGTCCTCGACTGGAGCAGCGTGCGGATGGCGAATATAATGAGAATGACCTCGAGGAGCGTGCGCCCAGGATCATCGCGGTGGGAGGACTTCACATAGCGTGCGATGACTGCCGAGCCGGGGATCTTGTAAAACGTAGACTCTAGGGTTTCATAAGACTGGGCCACAAGTGTAAAGAGAGGCTCCAGGCTCGACGCGGTCGTGCTCATCGTGACGGTCGCCGAGGACGTGGGTGTCGACAACAAGATTAGCGTCTACGGTCTAGCGTGACTAGAGCTCTACATATCACAGTACGCTGGGTTTGGTTATCTAACTCATTTATCTCACTTAGCTACAGTATGTAGTATTTCATAGATATAAGTTAGATTAATAGTGTTCATGAGCTTATTCCAAAAATATGGTTATGCGTGCCGCTGGGGCGACGAGACTCAAGTTCGGAGGTCGAGCTCACTACCGCATGCGACGACGACGAACCTGAGCCTCGCGCTCGTCCAACGACGATGGCGTATTCCCCCTCTCATCGCCCGGCAGCATCTACGTCCACGACAAATCTCGCACCACCCCAGACGGATGTGCGGCAGCGGCGAATGACCTCGCCCTCGCTCCCACCGCCATCGCCGCTCAATCTGGTCAGTGATAAAGTTAGCATAGATGTTTCACGCGTTGAACGCGTAACGAGCAGCCGGAACCAGTGTACGGGCACCGCCGCCCACCTTCGCCGCTGAGAAAAGCGACGACGATTGACCCAGACACGGGTGAGATCAGCGAGTCCGAAGATGGGTCGATTCACCAGTCAGAGGAGTCGCACGACAGGAGGTCGTGGACACATTCACACTCTCCGTCTCCGTCAGTGGCAAAGTTTGCTGCCAACTTCGCCCAGCGAGTGGGGTCGCTCGTGAACAGCGTAAGTCCCGGGTCTCGCACGAACGACCTGCCTACGGACGACGAACTTGAAGCAGAGGCCGAACGACAACGGGAGTGGAGCAGACGCGAGGCCGAGCGTATCATGCGCCAGGAGGTCGAGGACCGGCGGACGGTCGAGCAACGCGTTATGGCCATGCTCAATGGTACTGATGGCGAATCTCCTAACTCGCTTCCGCCGCACCCCTCGCGCTTCCAAACTATGCCGCCGCCGGCCACGCCCCCATCACCAACTTCGCAGAAGGATAGCAGCTGGTGGGCGACTGCGAGGAACAAGCTCACACCGACCAAAGATCCCCTCACACCCGCCCAGCAAGTCATCCAGGAGACCAAGGCGCGCGAGAAGGAGCACGAGAAGGAGAAGAAGAAGAAAGAGAAGCTGAGGCAGAAGAGCAAAGATAGTGGTTGGCCAGCCGCACCCGAGAGCAAGTTCGAGGACCCTGCCTTCATGACCCTCGGTCTTGCAGCCGCCTCGTCGGGATTAACAACCCCAGTGCGGCCCATATCCGCTGCGCCGTCGTCTCCCGGGTCATTCCATCCGCCACCAAGTCTCACGGCATCACCTCTGCGTTCGGGTGATGGATCCTCTTCGCAGGGCCAGCCTATCTACGCGCAATTCAATCCCCAAGGCAGTCTCGATGTAGCGACTACGCTTCTGACTATCGCCAAACGCTTCGAAAAACTGGAGAAATGGACTGTCGGACACGTACGGGCCTTGGAGGAGCGTATGGACGATGTTGAGCGCTGGCTAGTGGAGAAAGAGAAAGAGAAGGAACATACGGGTGCGAAGCCGAGAGAGAATGGTACATCTGCTGAGGGAGAAGGAGGTATGGGTGAAGTTCGAGAAGAACTGGCAGAGATCCAGGCCCGTATGGGTGAGCTGGGTCGCGAGATGGCCAAGCTCATAACGGCGCCAGGCAACCTCGCATTGGGCCCCTCTCGCAACTCTGCGGCCATTGCGCGTGCACCGTCCGCGACCTCTGCAGTCGCGGTACGCTCTATCTCGCAGAACATCACCACCAGTCCCACCTCTACACCGCCGCGAGTGGTCGAGTCTGCAAGTCCACCTATGGTCACTGCGGCGGGTTCGTCGCGAAATTCACGCACGCGTCTGCCATACCCTACCGGCGACTACGCTAGCCCGCCAGACAGCACGATGCTTGGACAAGGTCCTTTCTCACCTCCTAATTCCCCTCCATCATCAATCACGTCTGCTACGAGGCATCGGCATATGTCCATTTCCGGGCTTCCCGGACAAGGCACGAGCTCAGTCACCGTCTCCCCGTCTGGTGTTCCCTTCGGAGAGTCGCCCATGTCAGCTGCAAGTCCGCCGTCTTTACCTCCGCCCAGCTTACCTGCAGCGCGGACTAACAGCGTGAGCCCCACGCCGATGAAGCGTTACACTGTCGCACTGGACAAGCCGATCATGAAACGCGGGAATCGCGAGAACCAGGAGGAACGCGAGCGAACAGTGACTCCACATCGGCGCAGCCAGTCAAGGGAGATCAATACTGTATACTTCTCTACCTCTCCGCTGTCAACCTCGCCGAAACCCGACGATTATGAGTCGGATAGCGACTTTGGTGCCAACGAGGAAACAGTGGGCAAGTCAGCAGCCCGTCGCTCGGGCATCGCAGCTGCAGTCGCTTTGGAAACAACAGACGACGAGGGGAGGAGATCGCCGTCACTGTCTCCCGTCTCGACTCCCGCCGCGAAGCGCCCTCGTCCGCAGACAATGTACGGCTCGCAGTTCGCGAATATCGCTGCGCCGTCCCCCGTCACTCCACTTAATGTTCGTCTCCGTTCACGCTCAACTGACCGGTTCGGCCTGGGCATATCAGATAGTAACGGTGCACCTGTACCTGCTACCCCTACGTCCAAGTTCGTGGACCCGCTGGTCGTCCGCCGGCAAACGAAGGAATCCTTGACCCAGCCAGACCCGCCGAGGGTCATGCCTGGCAAGCCTCGGGCACCTGTAGGAGAGTTGGTCGCTTACTTCGATCAGTCGAAGGCGTGAAGTTGTGGCTCTTGGACATTGCGACGAAGTTTACACGCGTATTGTTTACATTATCCCCTGCCTGCTGAATCTTCCCTCGTATTGCTGTCATGCGGCAGTTCCTCAATGCTCTGTGTTGTCGTGAGTTGTCTGCAGTTACCCGTTACGAATCGTTATGAATGCATGCTCTTGTCATCGCCTGTATCAGTTGTGCATACGCGGCATTCCATTCCAGAGACACAGGGTAAATACATGGTAACATACATTGGCATATACAACCGTACATCATGTGAGATTCATACTGTCCTGTCGCATGTTTAGAGCATATTCTGAGACAGGAAAGGCAGCGCTTGTCCCAGTCCTACCCGGCTGGATGTCGGCATCGTAAATAGAGGGTCAGCCAGTGGGTAAGGATCGACTGGGTAACAGTTACCCTGACCAGTGGTCAGGAGAGTCTGCACGTATCTCTGAGTGAGGTGGGATATCAGCGCCATGCGCGGCACGACCGGGCGAGGGGGCTGCCCGTTCGAGTCTTGAGCTTGAGTCTCTCGCTCCCGGATCTGGACATATGCATCCCGGACCCACTTCATGGCTTGCACCAACGCCTCCCAGGCGAGCTGCAGCGTCTCCCACATGCCATCGTCCGACATGGCGACGGTGACAGCGTTGCGCCAGAAGCCCTCGATGAACCGAGCTTGCTCGTACATCCGGGACAGCTGGCCGTTGAAGTAAGCGACGCACTCGGAGGCGACGCGGTTGATGCGCTGCTTGCGTGCAACTCCTTGGCGGAGAGCAGGGTCGGCGGCATAGAGTGGCGTCCTGTCGCCGGACACGTCGAACGGGGTCTGCGTCGGCACGAGCGCGTTGAGAAGTGCGTCCTTGTCGCGCGTGTACATGTACCTCACGAGCAGCTCGAAGGCTTGAGGCATCGGGAGGCAGAAGGACACCAGGGGGATGCGATAGCCATTCACCATCTCGCCACCTGAGAAGATGATCTGGTTGGGCGGTGGCCGCGGGCGCGACTCGGGCATGTCCGAGGGTAGGCGCCCACAATTCGCGACGAGGATGGCGGCGTGAATGGGCATGATGATAACCTCGCGGCCACGATTGTTCAGCCTGTTGGCTCTGTCGGAAGGAGACCAAGTAGACGGTTCCGCAGGAGGGTGAACAGCGAGTGCGTGGGTTGGTAGACACGACAGGCCTGCGTCCGTTACGATGAGGTTGACTTCGGGGCCGCTGGCCAGTCGCGGGGGATCGACACGGCACTTCTTGGATACACCCATTAATCTGGAGTTCACACTTAGTTAAGCGGCTCATAACATGGTGCAGTAGACCCTCCATACCTGGTGCCCATAGCCGCGAGCGCTTCACGTACGTATTCGACGGGGGTGTCCGCCAGTTCTGGTTCGAACTTCGCAATCATATCCGACATCACTGGAGGGAGCGGAGGCCTTTCGATGGTCTCTGGAACGGACACGAGGGGCGAGTTCTCGTCGTACATATTCAACTGCCCGATGTGGACGATTTTACGTTGCGCCATCCTGACGTTCTCTTGAGGGCGTTCGAAGTGTTCAGGGTGGAATGGGCGACGGCTTCTAAGCTTTGCGGACTGTACTAGCCTTCGAGATGTTTTGAGGGCCTTCTGTCTGGAGCGGAGGCTGAGGGCGTCGTGCTTGTACTCGCGGAGGCGCATATCAGTTTATATAAGGCGAGGGGGTGGGGACGGGCGGCCTGGAACGGATGCGACGAACAATGGCCCTCCATGGCGTCGAGGCGAGCTATTTTATACCAGGCAATGAGCCGTGCACAGCGTGTCTGTCGCAGCTTCTGTGCAGTGGATGAGTGTACTCGGATTGATTCCTGCCTGCTATGGCAGTTGTTTGGCGACCTGCAAATACGGACCCACGGAACCAAGTAGCTGCAAACACGCGCCCCATTTCCTCGTTGGGACGACTGTGTGCGCGACGGAAAAACAAACACCGCCGCTAATGTACAAGGCTTACCGCATTGGTCGAGCACGCACCTTGTGGTCAGCGACAGGGTCGGACATGATACAGGCACCGAATACAAGGGTGTCGCCCTTGTCCATTGCGGGACGAGCAGTCCTTGTGGTTCTGGGGCATTGCGATATCATCACCGCATTTGGTTCCAGGACGCTTCCGCGCACCGTGAGCACAGTACACAGAGGTGGCCACTGGCGAACTCGAATGGGCAATGATCCATTTTGTAGAAGAGTCCTGTGTAGGCCTGACGCCGGTTCGGAAATCATTGGAGTGCTGGACGCGTACATCCTGTCTGTTTGTGGCATCGCGCTGTGCCACTCGTTCAATGCTGCCATCCCGTCCACGGAGTACGGCCCGAGATCCAGTGGCATTGGCGACCAGCGGCAGCATCCGACTTGGTACGTAGAGGCCATCCCAAGTCGACACCGTGAGTCCCAAGGGAGACAAGACGCAGAAGAATATGTTCGCACCATCGGTTCCCCGCCTTTGCACGATACCCCAAGACAATCGCCAAGAAGCTACCGAGTAGCGATCCAGGGGCTCGAGCTGGCAAGTTTAGTTTAATGACTCACAGTGAGGACTCGGAGAACCATCGGCGAGCCGACAAGTTGCGCTGACACATCGTGTGTGCGAAAGCCCCTCGTTAATTTCTAGGTTTGCGTTTCAAGGCCGAAGCTAAAGAACGTATACTAATTGAGCACGCACCTGAGCTGTCTGTGGACTCGGGTCAAGTGGAAGGCATCGATGCCAGGAGCGCTTCGTGACCTCGGATGCCATACACATGCCAAGTGAAAAGTATACGTGTTCAACGTTGAGGCACGATCCCGTGCAATTCGTGCATGAAATCAAATCTGCCCGGCGGGCTTGAGGAAGAAGATATTCAGGAGGTCGAACAGAATGAGGTTCAGGTCTGCAACGTGAGTCGTGAGGTGACGACCGTCGCGTCGAAGCGCGTGCTCAGGCAGTGACTATAAGTAGCGCCCGTTACATACCGTGCTCCCAACGACGCCTGACTACGACAGGAAACGCATGGTAGCAGACACGCAGTACTTCAGTGGCCATAGCGTCAGTATCAGTTAAATGAGATCGACAGTGCATACAAAGCTAACGAAAGCGAAACATCCTTGGATCTTCAATAAGTATCAGTACTGTCATTGCACGACGATAAGTTAACGTAGATCTGCGTCCAAGTACTTCGCATCTGGGTATTACATGATGACACAGCTTTCCTCCTTCACCTTTGCAGTGGAGATGCCCATGTCCTGGAAAGTCTGCGCGCCCCGGTACGTCGCTTGCATCGGTGGGCGTCCCGGGCTCGGTGCACGGGACGCCGGCTGCGACTGAGGCACAGGGAGGGAACCCGATTGCACACGGGCAGAGTTGCGCGAGCCCTGCGCGGGGTATTGGGAATTCATCGTCGCAGGTGGGTATGGAGCCGCAGACTGTGACCTGCGATGGTTTGCATGGGATTCAGGCCCGGGTGCGGGCGATGCCCCGCGCGAGCCTGGCGCTGCGGCGGGGTAACCGCGCGGGGGAACGGGAGAGGCTCCTCGTACAGGTGCCGCGCCCGGACCCAAAGAGGACTCACGGATTCGTGAAGGCCCGTTGAGGTATGGGAAGCCGGGTTGTTGCTGAGGAGGCGACCGGCCACGCGGTGCGAGGGGACGCACCTCTACTGCTGGGTAGGCGTCAGCATATGCAGCTTGCGGGGGAAGAGAGGGTATGCGGTGCGGTGCGGCCGCCATGGGGGCGGGCATGGGAGGTGCGGCAGCGGGATCGTACTGGGGATACGCAGCAGAACCTGGGGGCATGGGCTGTGCGGTCTGGCGAGGATTTGCTTCAGAGCGCATACGGGCCTGTGTGCGTTTGCGCACGAGTGTGGTCTCCGTGAGCTGCTCGTGCTCCTTGCGCGAGAGCGACTTCGATCGCGAGAGCGCATTCAGGCGGTCGGATGCATCAGTGTTGCCCTGCTGCGCTGCCTATAAATCCGACGCATTAGTAGCTAGACTAAGGTAGATCACCCATGGAAACCTCACCATCTGGTACCACTTCTGTGCCGCCGGCAGGTCCTTCACGGATCCCACACCAACCTCTATGTAGTACCCCATTGCGAACATCGCGCTCGGTAATCCCCTTCTGGCCGCGCTCTCCGCATACTTGAACGCCAGCTCCTCATCACGCTCGAACACGCCTTCGGAGCCACACAGGAACCACTTGCTCAGCGCCATCTCCGCGTCAGCATCACCTTGGGCTGCCGCCAAGCTGTAGTACTGTACACTCAGCACGGCGTCGAATGGGAAACCGCCGGCCTCATCTGCAAGCTCGAACGCCTCCCCAAGACGCGTCTGCGCGGGCGCGTGCGCGAGGTACGCCGCGCGCTCGAGGTGGCGCCTTGCCTCGAGCGCAGGCGAGGAGCCCGGCGGAATGTGGGACGCGAGGAGATACGGCTGAATGGAGAGGTTGGGGAGTTCGTTGAGAAGGAGCAGAGCGTACACATAGGCCGGATGCGGCGTGTCCACGGTGGATAGGGCAGCCGCTTGCTTCAGCAGCGGCAGTGCCTCCTCTGACGATCGCGGGAGGCCCAGCTGCCCCGATAAGTAAGCCATGCCCAATCGCTAAGTCGTACCCTTCAGCTAGCCGCGAGCGTGAAGAGCGAGGAGATGACGTACAAACAAACACCCCGGGACGGCGTGTGCCGCGCCATGCTCATAACACTCCCTCGCGTGCACGGCATCTCCGAACTTCTCAAAGTCGCGTGCGAGATCGAGCCATGCAGGGTGATAGCCCACCTTCGCCGCCTGCTCGCACTGTGTGAACGCATGCTTCGGGTTGTGCGCGACGTGCTGCGGGAACGCGCCGCTCGCCTCGCACGTCGAGCACAGGTAGATCGCCTCCGAGATGTACCCGGGCACAAAGTTCTGCGTCGCCTTCTTGCGCCCTGCGAGTTTCAGGAGCATCGGGACTGCGACATCGATGAGCCGCTGCAGGTCCGGCTCTGCGATGCGCGCGGGAGTGCCTGATGGCGGGCGGCCAGGATTGACGCTGCTGGTAGATGCCTGTAGACGCTGCGTGCGCTGGACGAGGTCGAGCACTTCGTGGCACCATGCTACTTGACCCGCGGGGTCGTACGACGGCTCTTGGACGGCGTTCAGCTGCACGGATAACGTTGCCACTGTCGGTAGGCGGGTGACGAGATACGTTGTAGATGGGTCATTGAGCAGCTCTTTCGCCGTTACAGTCTTCGCGGGCTGGTTGAGATCGTGGTGATCAGGAGTAGAAGTTGGGTATGACTGGGACGACGATGAAGCTGCATAGTGGTCGTAAGCGTGCGGAGCAGATGCATAATTCTCGAATGCCAATGCCATGCTTCCCTACAGCTGGGATATCAGCAGTCGTTGTCATATATGGTACAAGTTGAACTTACAATTTACACCAGAATGTAGATGGTCGATGACGGTCCCTGGTGGTTCAGTGTAACTGGACACGGGGAAATTCGTTCGACATCGCCCACCATCTGTCTCTATTTATTATGCAGGACGGTCACATAGTGCCGCCGAAGATCGCTTACTATGGTCAACAAACTGCGCGGCCGGCTGGACTCATCGCCCCCGAGGCTCAGGGCACGCGGTCGAGGCGTTTGATCGTGGCATAGCATCCGTGGATAGGGGGCCATATGCAGCCCAACGAGCACAGGCCGAGCGGAATTTTGACAAGAGCGGTCAGTGCTGCCGTCAATCTAGTCTGAGTTTCATCAGCGCGCGATGAGACTTTGTCCTGGAGCGTCCCGGCACTGCGACACAACACGATCCCTTGAGGAGGATGAGGTGGTGGAGGAGGAGCTCGAGGGGGGTCCAGTACAGTCGGATCTGTGCCAACACGTTAACGTTGTGTGCGTAGCGCGTCAAGGAGCGACAGAAGAACAGGAGTAGCACATGTACGAATGACCCTCATATATACTCTTCTCGTGTGTAGATATTCAGATTTTGTGAGCGGTCGCACTGCATTCGGGAATGAAGGGCTTGGCCGCTCAAGCGCTCAGGTCCCGTTGTGACAAACACGACACGTCACACTCCTCAGACAGTGACCGTTCGCGCCGTCAGTCACGTTTGAGGCGCGTCGCGCAACGCATAACCTTCCCAACGCCCACGACCGCACTGCTGCCCCATCCGTGATCATGGACGACGACGTGATATCCATCTCTGACGGCTCCGGAGAAGAGGAATACTTGGATCGCCGTGCCATCCTCGAGCCTGCCATTCGGAGCGTGGTCGACGCGCTCGGTGGCTACGAGAACGGGTCGTATCGTCTCGGTGATGAATGCTACGGATGTCTGAAAGATCTCAAGAAAATCTGGAGGAAGGACGACACGGATGACGAGCGTACTGTAGCCCGTATTCTTTGGGAGACGCGAGTTCTCCCAAACGACCTCATTCCCATCCTCCTGGAGACCGCGGGCAAGGGACTGCTCGAAGATAAATGCGCCATTGCGTGCGCAGATCTTATGACCGCTATGACATGGCCGATTGACTTGGCGGAGGAGCTGAAGGAATTAGACGAAGAACATGACAAGGGTACGGACTATACCCAGCTCACTCTCAGTCACCTGCACTACAAGGCGGCACTCCTGAGGCCGGGTGCCATCCAGGCTCTGTTCGGGATCACTCTGCCATGTCTTTCCAAGGCTCCTAAAGAGCGCAAGGAGCGTGACATCCAGATCATCAACGTCGTACTCTACCTCATCCGCAACCTCGCGTTCATCAAGGACTTGCCACCAAACATGCACCTTAGTGCAGACCAGGCTGAGTTCGCGTCTATGCAGTCCCGTCTAGTCAAGACGCTATCAGATGCGAATGTACTTGACTTCCTGATCACCGTCGCATCGAGCGCCAACGAGGACCCGATGTTCAACGGTTGGAATGCTCTTGTGCTCGAGATATTCTATCTTCTCTTCCGGGGGGTCAAGCCAACTGTGCTAGCAGTGGACCAGGCCAAGGTACGTTCGCTCGCGCGACTGCTATTGTGATCCTTGTACTCAAAAATTGCAGGAGCCGACGCAGAACCTGCGCCGCCTGCTTGCGGTAGAGGACCAGCGCAAGCGAGACTTCCGCCGGAACGCCACATCGCGGCACTCCCGATTCGGCACAACGCTCTCAGTCAAACTGAATCCCAAGAAAGCGCAGGCGAAGACGGATGAGGAACAGACCCCAGAGGCTGAACCCGAACCAGCCGAATCGTCCCAAACCTTGGTCCTGCATCGCCAGCAGGCGCTTAACCAGGACTCGGGCAGCATTGTTGACCGACTGAAGCGGCAGAAGAAGCAGAAAATAAAGAAGACGGACGAGCTGGCGCGGGAGGATAACCTATCCGTGGACGCGAAGTTCATCCTGCAGAACTTCGCGCGCATATTGATCGAGGCCTGCTTCAATCGTGAGTTGATTGAGTGTACTGTTGTGCAGCTTCATAACACGTCCTTCAGCATTCCTCTCGTCGCTGCTGAAGGACATCAGAGCCGAACGAGCGAAAATCACAGAGAAGGACAACCTCCGGCTACTCTATGTCGCGAAGTGGTTCCTGGAGTTCTTTCTTTGCGTCCGTGCTACACAAGGGTCGGAGAACGCATGGAGTTTTGGCCTCGTTGCGGAGGTGACCGACCGAGCGTGGATCGTTTGGGTGCTGAAACGCATGCGGCAGGCCGTCGAAGAGAAGGTATGGAACATTCTGGTTCAGTCACCCTTTGCTCACAGACGTGATATCTTCCAAAGCCAAAAGCGTGGAACGAACTCCAGGCTGGCATAGACTGCCTCACGCAGCTCGTCATCCTAATCGACGCCATGTCCACTTCGCCCGTCGCTTCCGAGGCCGACGTCGCGGACGTCCTCCAGCAGCAACTCATCTACAACGGAGAGGTGCTCGACATCGCGTTCGACAGCCTCCGTGCGTACCGGGAAGGCACACAGAGCCTGGCTTATCTCGACTCGAGCGTTCATCTTGCGTATGCGCTCTTCCGGATGCTCGAACGGTGGGGGAAGAAACGCAGCGGAAGGGGCGAGATGTATGTCCGCCGCAAGGAGAAGGCGCGGAGAAGACGAGGTATGTATGGCCCTTGGGTACTGGCGAAGTTTGGAGCACAAACACTTGAATTCTAGGCACCGGGAAGGGCGAGGAGGACGGTGTACCGGAAGAGGAAGAGGAACCTCAAGAGGAGCCGGATGAAATGATCCACGAGACTATGTTCACGTTCGACATGTTCGAGGCGGTGGGTTGTCCGTGTCACTCATGCGATTGCGTTCTGACCACGGCTACCAGAAATTTGCTCATCCGGACATCACCCAAACGTTACTGGCGTGTGTCGCCCGATTTAAGGAGTTCACGTCTGCGGATAAGATGAAGCGCGTCGTCAGCCTCATGCATCGGCAAGCCGTAAAGGCTAAGGCGGAGGGGCTTTACTTCAACGTAGGCGCACTGGTAGCCTGTGTCGTCGCTCAGTGTACTGACAATCCATTGCTGCACACAGGTATCTACGTTGGATCTCTTCAAGACCATTCTCGCGGACGAGAAGTCGCTACCCAAGGACCAGCCCTACAAAGACCTCGTTAATCTCATTAAATACATCCTACGCCAGTTCTTCAAAGCTGTGGAAGAGGAGTCGTTCCTCGTGGTTCAGGCGTTCTTCCCGATGAACCGGGGCCACTGGAAGGAATTCTCCAGCTGGACGCCGCCCGAGGATAAGAAGGGCGGGCGGGCGGAAACGGTGGAGGACACTAGATTCCCGCCCGACGTCCAAGTGAAGAAAGGGTACTCGTGGAGCGAGCAGCTTGGCATCACGATTGCGTGTCTAGTTGGAGAGGGAAAGAACGAGTTGATAGAGTGGGTGAAGCAGGTGAGGCGAACTTGCGCTCAGGTCACTTCGCGGTCTGACGACGAACCCCTAGATCCTTATGCTAGCTATCGGGCAGCGGCAACGGATCATCGAGGACACGGACGGCTCGTCATCGAAAGTCATTGACGTAGACAGCGACAGCGAGCCGGAGAACGAGCTCGCGGCGGTCACTGCCAACAGAGGGCCTTCTGACGAAGCTCTCGCGAAGATGACCGATTATTGTGAGTCTAATGCTGCAAGTTTACGAGAGTGCAGAGAATGACTGCCGTCAATTTGCCAGTGATACCGTACGTCAGTGATGAGCAAGCAAATGCGGCCACCAAAGATCCGCATCTCAAGCTTCTATTCCGTCTCATCAAGTTCCAGATTCTAGACGAAGGTCAGAGTACTTTGCTGATGTATTGAAGTATCGCGCAGCTGAACTCGCGAGACAGATGCGAATGAATTGGAGTGGTATATTCCTGCAGCGGTTCTGCCGTCCGATCTGCAAAGTTGTCTCAACGTGATCAGCCAATTCCTCGAGACTCCGATTGATCTGGATGGCAAGAACGCGTCGCAACTACTCAACAAGAAGCGACGCAGACGTCGGCGGCGCCGTTCACCCACACCCGACCCCGATGTCAGTGCCTCGGAGGGCGAGGAGCCAAAGAAGCGCAAGGAGAAGAAGAAAAAGGAGAAGCAGCAGTACAAATCAGCACAATTCATCGAGGATAGCGATGCGGAGATGGAGGATATGGAGGCCTTCCTAGAGAAGGAGAAGGCACTGCGAGAACGGACTGCGTTGCTGGCAACGTCCACGGGGCACATCGCCACGATGAGGTCTACTGGGACGAAGAAACGACGGAAGCGGGTCCCGGACAATGGTGCCGCGAAGAAGAGGCGGCGCAAAGGGCAGAGCGGGATTGACGCAGAGGACGAAGTGGCGGAGGCACGGAGTGCATCGAAGGGCGGCGACGATAGCGACTCGGATGGCAGCATCCTGAACCTCTTCGTCTCACCCAGGAGATCTCCTTCGACTCAGCCTACCTCTCCTAACCCCGTCGAGATACAGAAGACGAAACCAAGACCCAAACCGCGTCCTCGGCGCAAACTGGCCAGCGAAGTTACAGAGGAAATCCAGGAGACTACGCAGACTTCGCGTCCGCCTGCCAATGCTATAGGCAGTGCCTTGAGATCTCCATCGCCACTTCCGTCCGCCCTGCAAGCAAAGAAGAGAGGAAGATTGCAACTGGCTATCTCGGATGAGGACGACTAGCTGGTGACCGACCATTATTGTTTTATAGATCTATGAGATGTCGACACTATGCATAAACCACATTAGATACCAATGTCCGCGCGGAATGCATGCACTTGGCCTGCCATGTCAACAGGCATGGGTACGTCACACGTGAAGCACGAAGCCTTGCGAGAGGCCCTTGTCGCGGGCGCGTTCGCAAAAAAGCCGATTCGAGACAATATCGTACCGATGCCCTCGGATAGTCAAATAATGCTATTAACTACCATGAAACATTGTGCTCAATTGTCACGTCATGAAGGCTCGTTGAACGGAGGAGGCGAGCGCTCCAGTCGTATGTACTCGGCGACCAGGCCCGTCGGCATGCTCAGATCGCAATCTGGTGGGGTGGCGGGCTGCTGTGGCTAAATTAGGCACCCTCCGACCCACCGAACCTGCCTGCAGCGTACAATTTCACCTCAAGCGCAAACGACACTTCGACGCGCGGGTACTTCTGGTGAGGTTACGGGTTTCATAGGTAAATGATAAGGTGAGTAGGTAGTGGCTCAGTGGCACAGCCTGAGTCGAAGGATCACTATCATAAGTTTGAGCTGGGTTTGAGCCTTCCTCGGCGAGTGTGTGTAGCACTCTGGCTGCCAATGCAAGCCGCAGACGTGAACAACTCATTCACATTCGTATGCAAAGCGAACGGATTACAGGTCATGAACCTTGGCGAAGATATGCACACTCAGCTGAGTACAGCCGTACAGTGTTATTCAAATATCGCGCATACGGCCACTCCGCCACGGTATGACTGGCCATCGAAGTGGCAGGGATACCTCCCCAAGTTTGAAGCTCCACTCCGGTGTTCGGTGGACCATCATCATCTTGACCCGCTCATAGCGCCGTCGTATACGCTTCATGACGTTCTAGGTTACAGGATTAGAACGGGTACACTGGCACGACCCTTCGCGACATGGAACTGACCGTGAACATCCTGACCAACGTATCCCGTCTGCTCTGCTTCTCGTCAATAGGTCGTTCACATGTCACAGATGGATCTTCATGTTCGGAAGCCTCGTCAATAGTCAGGGCGTCCAACGCCGGTAGCCATATCTCGAGGAGCAAGTCCTCTGCGGTTGACATAGGCTGGAGGTGGATGATACGCGGTCAGTCCTTGAATCAGGTGCAAGCGGGCCGTCACACACCGGTAATATACTGAATAAGACTTCATCGCCATGCACTTCATAGAAGACTTGGGGGAATGCACAGGAGTCGCTGGCCATCATCATGCCTGCGTACAACCAGCACGCGAGTGGAGGTACAGTACCATGGTCTGTCTTAGGGGTTGAGCCTCAGAGGCTATGCTTCTTGGCCCTCTGAGCGCAGGATGGAGATAGAGGAGAAGTGTACTTTAATGCCGCAGAAATCCCCAGGAGTTCGGCATGGTATCTTCAGTGAACGGCTGAACACAAGCTTTGTCGTCTCTCGGCACGGTGAACAGATCTCCCTCTCGCGGGCGCGTCGGGGACCCTGCATACCTTTGCGTCGAACCAGTTGTAACACATGAACATTGCGCCCACGTTCAATTCCTAGGATTTCATAGCTTTGCCGAGGACATGACGAACATTTGAACGTCTTGGCGCTACGCTTCCACGTAGTGAACGAAGCGCTGCTCTCGTAAAGGGCGGGTGCCCTGGCCGTCTTCCAAGTCGATGGAGCTTCCATCCAATAAAGAACGCAATTCTGCCAACAAACTCCTGCTAGTGGCCCGGCGTGACGCGTGAACACCAAATCACACAGAAAGAGAGATGGTTTCTCCAGGCGCGACGCCGTGTTCGGGCCGGGCCAGTCACCAAAGCCAAAGCCAAGCTCAGCGCAATCGCACGGAATGCCACTTCGACGCAGAGGAAGCCGCAGCGCGATGCGGCATTTAATCGGACACCACAATCACGTCTTCGTCATCCTCTCGCTTCTTCTTCCCCCCGAGCTCCCGTAGTAGGTGCGACATGTCCGGTAGTTCCGACCCTGAGGAGATCGAGAGAGTCGAGAGGGCACGGCTGAGCCGTCCGTGAGGCGAGCCCGGGCGACTGGGGCTGTAGTCTGGAGACCGACGATAGAGGGAAAGTAGCGCCTCTGACGATTTGTATCGCCCTTTGAATGCGGCTTCCTCGAGGTCGGAGTCGGGTGAGTCACTGATCTCGACGTAGGCGGGGAGTGCTTTGGCGCGAGGTGCCGGCCGCCGTGGTAGGCCGGACGGCGGTCGACGATCGTCGGTTGCCATTTGTGGGACGGTTTGCGTTGGCCGTGGGTCGGCGACAATCTTGGTGGTTGGACGTTGTTCCGGATGTCCCTCTGCCGTGCTCTCTGCAAGCGGAACCTTAGCATTCCTCCTTGCAATGCGAGGCGCTTTTGGATTGTGGACAGCATGAGGTCTCGCTGTGTCTGATCTTGTAGGTAATGCTGATTTTCGCTCCCTTGAGCAGCTTTCCGCGATTGCACCACTGCGCTCCATGGTCGTACGCGCCTTCAGCGGGGGGTTACCATACGTCTTGGACGTACGCTGCAGAGAAGCGCCCACCAGAGGCGGTTCGTCGGACGAGTCCTCCTCAGAGTCTCCGGAAACTTTATTTAGGTCGAAGAACTCTCCCTCGCTCGAGACTTGTCCTGCACCGGCCGCTTGACGTTTCCTAGGAGCTGCACCCGTGAGTCTTTGTCGGTGTACACCCCTGCTTGTGGCCTTGCTATTGCGGTGCCGAGTGGGAGGCGGAATGTGCTCTACATCGTCGAGGGATTGCCCCTCTTCGTCATCGAGGCCACCGTCACTGTCCTCGGGGTCCGGCGCGTCGTCGCCCCTTCGTCTATAGCATCCCCGTATGACATCCCCCCACAGGACGTACGTACGACAGGACCGGCATTGACCGCCCCGGGGTATCATAGCGAGTTTTCTGGGAGTCGAGTGCTCGGTGCGGTCTTGTTCGAGGAAGTCAGCGCAGAGACAGGATATATGTGAGACCCCCGTGCAGTCTGTAGAGGGACAGAGCGCCATGGTCATCGGGTCCTTGGGGGTCATGTCCGTGAGTTCGCAAATTCGATACAGAGTTGGTGTCGTGCAACGTAGAACTTACTAGGTGTCGTCGGTCCAAGGTATCGTTGCAGATGGAGCATTGTAATGGTCTCGATGAAGCTAACATAGTAGTCCATTTTCGGAGATGTTCTGAGGTAAACATAGCTAGCGGCGTCATCAGAGAATGATTTTAGCGAAAGAGACGGGACATAGCCTACTGTCGTTCACGTCGATCGGGCCCGTCCTCCCAGAACCAGTCTGGCCCGACTTCCCGTCCACGCCCTCCAGCTCGACAGTGCAAGAAAATCCTCGGGGGAGGGCGAGGTCGCCGATGCCGCGGGAAGCGTCATTCCAAATTCTTTCAGCCTCGGAGGTGAAAAGCTTCACATGCAATGGCCACGTATTGTACGGATGGGAACATAACATGCTCCGTGCGATTCTATATATATCCGCTTCAGCGCAGTGTCGCTAAAAGCATAAGAATACGCATACTCACGAGACATTGGTCTTCAAATACCGGGATTTCGAGTTCATCTGGAACACAGCCTTGCCGTCCTCGCCTCGGAGGTGTCGCGAAATGTGCGGGTGCTGCCATGCCCACTCGAACTGCAGCGCCGTGAGCTTAGAGGGAAAACCATATACGATCATTTGCATGATCCAGGGCCTGTTATGCTTGGTCTTCCATGCGCCTTGGGTGATTTCGCCGTTATGTTGACTATATTAAGGGCAGTGACATGTGAGCCAAGCGAATGACAGTCTGACGGTGAGTGTACTGACCGTATGCGCCTAGGGGGGCTCGGAGTGCTTCCTATGTAAGTTCTGTAGCATGACTTCGTATACAATCCGACAATGATATCGAGCAACATATTTGTTACTTACGCAGTTGCGCGTGGAGTCCGAATGCTCTTCAGCAAGTAGCACGCGTAGAATCGAGGGAAATGGTGATCGACCAGAGAAGACTTGACTTTGCGAGGCATGATTTGCGGATCGCAGCTCCAGACTGGGTAAATAGTTTAGATGTGACACTAGTATCAGTGCCGGATAGATACTGCCACGCAGCTGGGGACTTTGTGGGGACTCGAAGGTGGAGGTGGTTCGGTGCCAAGTCCGAGTCGCGCTGGTGGCGCGGCGTGTCTGATTCGCGTTCTGTCACAGCATGTCACGCGCCTTCGCGCCTGTCACACCATTCGGGGCTGAATTTCGTGTCACGTTCGCCTCCTCTGCTTACTAAGACTTACCCTGCACTCTCCGCTCACCCAACGCTCACCTCAACTTATTTCAGACTACGAGACGACGAAAGAAAACGGGATGGGCGAAGCAGGACCTTCTCGTACTGTAAAGCAAAAGTCAAAGAGGTCTTCCAAATCGAAGAATGGAGTACACTCTTCTAAGCTGCGCAAAGTCTCTGAGGCGAAGACGATTGAAGCCTTAGAACAGGCTGCATCACAATTCGTAAGTAGCGAAACGAAGCCCGGGCTCTGTGGTTACTTATGCGTTGACACAGTTATGATCATTGCAGGAGCCTCCTCCGGACCTGAAAGCGTTTGCGGACCTCCCAATTTCGGACTACACCAAACGAGGTGAACACAACTGTACTTTTCCTCCCGTGCATCACCTGAAGTGCGCTGCTTATATAGGTCTCAAGAAAGCTTACTTCACCGAGATGACCGACATTCAGGCGAAGAGTCTGCCTGTATCGCTCAAAGGCAAGGATGTCTTGGGCTCAGCAAGGACTGGAAGCGGCAAGACGCTAGCCTTCCTCGTCCCAGTTCTGGAGATGCTGTATCGAAAGAAGTGGGGCCCGCAGGATGGTCTCGGGGCCTTGATCATATCCCCTACACGGGAACTGGTGCGTCTGTCAGCAGCTCCGAGACGACTATCTCGATCTGAGCCCTCCTTCTAGGCAGTCCAGATATTCGACGTGCTACGCTCAATAGGTGGTTATCATAGCTTCTCGGCAGGTCTGGTCATTGGAGGAAAGAACCTGAAAGACGAAAGTGAGCGTCTCTCTCGAATGAACATCCTCGTCGCGACACCGGGTCGGCTTCTGCAACATATGGACCAGACCATTGGGTTCGACTGCGATAACCTCCAAACGCTCGTATTGGACGAGGCCGACCGCATCCTGGACATGGGGTTCCACCGTACTCTCACTGCTCTCCTCTCCCATCTGCCCAAGTCCCGACAAACCCTCTTGTTCTCGGCCACTCAGACTGACTCAGTCGCATCTCTCGCCCGGCTTTCGCTGACCGACCCTGTCGCGATTGGCGTAGCCGAAAGTTCGGCGTCTCTCGTCACTCCCGCATCGCTCCAGCAGCACTATGTCGTGACCGCACTCGACCAGAAGCTCTCCCTTCTCTGGTCGTTCCTCAAGTCGCACCTCCAAAACAAGACACTCGTATTCCTGTCGAGTTGCAAGCAGGTCCGGTTCGTCTTCGAGACCTTTCGGCGGATGCACCCGGGTGTACCCTTGCTTCATCTCCACGGGAAACAGAAGCAGACAACGCGACTTGCGACGTTTCAGCGCTTCACGGGTATGCAAAAGGCCGTTTTGTTCGCAACGGACGTCGCCGCACGCGGGCTTGACTTCCCTGCCATCGACTGGGTCGTCCAGGTCGATGCCCCAGAAGATGCGGAGACGTATGTACACCGCGTTGGACGCACGGCACGGTACGAGAGCGCAGGGCGTGCACTGCTGTTCTTGGTGCCGAGCGAGGAGGAAGGCATGAAGGCGGTACTGGAGAAGAACGGGTTGAAGGTAGAAAAGATCAAGATTCGGGCGAGCAAGACGCAGAATATCGAGAACCAGCTGCAGAATCTGGCCTTTCAGGATCCCGAGATCAAGTATCTGGGGCAGCGAGTGCGTCCGGCGATATTCATTTTCTACCGGCTACTGATGTATCTTGTTGATAGACGTTCGTCTCGTACCTACGCTCTATCCACCTGCAAAAGGACAAGTCCATATTCAAGGTCGATGAGCTGCCGGTGGAGCGCTTCGCCGAGTCCCTCGGTCTCCCGGGGATGCCCAAAATCAAATTCCTGAGTAAGGAGCTGGCCAAGAAGAAGAAGAACGCGAGCCATGCCGTCGCACTTGCCGAGTCCAATGCTGCTCGCGAGGCACGGGTAAGCGAGGGAGAGGAGAGTGACGCCTCTAGCAGCAGTGCTGGCTCCGAAAACGATAGCAGCGAGGCGAGTGACGAGGAGGACACGGGAAATCAGCCGTCTGCGAAGGACGAAGACAAGGCGAACCGTGTACGGACGAAGTACGACCGGATGTTTGAGCGCAAGAACCAGAACATCCTCTCAGAGCACTACACCAAGCTCATCGAGCACGCGGGTGGCTCCGACGAGGAGGACGACTTCATCACCCTGAAGCGCGCGGACCACGAGCTCCCTGGGGACCCGTCTGCCCTGTCCGAGTCAGAGAACATCTCGAAACGCAAGCAAAGGATGGCGGTGTCCAAGAAGGCGATTGCGAAGTACGGCCCGAAGGGCAGCAAGCTTGTGTTCGACGATGAGGGCGGTGCGCACGAGATCTACGAGATGAAGGCACCAGAGGAGGTATTTGGGGAGGGTAGCGCAGCGGTAAAGGCGGCAGGCAAGGTGTTCGTCGAGGGCGAGAGAGGCCGAATGAAGGAGGCGGATGTGAAGGACAAGGAGGAAGCGCGAGACAAGAAGAGGGAAAAGAAGAGGAAGAGGAAGGAGAGGGAGCGTGAGGTATGTGGTTTCAGTGGATGGACTTCACATCCGGACTGACATTGACCATCGTCTAGGAAATGGGATACGATGCCGATGGCGGCGGAGGAATGGTTGCCACGCTTGAACCCGTGGACGAGGACGATGGCTACGTCAGCCCGGAGTTCGATCTGCCCTCAGAATCTGAGGACGAGGCTCCTCCCGCCAAACGGAGTAAAGCCTCGACCAATCAAGTCCGAAAGCGGGATGCTGGCGCCACTACGCTCGAAGAGGAAGAAGAGTTGGCCTTGCAGCTCCTACGTAGTCGCCGATAGGATGATGTTATGCATGCTCTCCATGCATGCGATTACCAACTGCAGTAATCACTGTCTCCTGCTCTTCACAAAGCTAAGCAATCCACGCTTCCGCATCATGTATGTCATCAGCTTGTGAGTTCGGTTACTGATTTGCGGCTTCTGGCCGAGAGAACACGGTGGTAGTCCTGCATCCTGCAATGAGGCTATTTGACTGGTAAGTGACTCGTAGGCCACTTGTCGGTTCAAGAGTCAAGATTGCTGGCTTGTTCAATCAGAGTGGGCTGGTCATCACGGTCCATGGTACCTGACCGCATGCTAACCCTAGGCCTGTGCTAACCGGTGACCTGATGTTGACGCACAGGAGATGCTTTGCGTGTATTCGGAATGCGTCCAGCCATACACAGGAATACGATGTCGATTGCAGAGGACTTGCTCATCGAGAGCTGGTTACCGGCGCTGGACACCCTGATCGTTCACGACACTTCCGAGCATGAAGAGCTATCTTCTATATGCGTCTATCCGACTGACGACAAGCGGGGTAGATGGGACACATTGGCCAGAATCTTCACAGTCAGTTCCATGTCGCGAAGGGTCGTGTACCCGTTCTGATGCAGTAACCCAGAACGTCATGGAGCATATACGAGCGCTATGAGCGGGTCAAGATGATGGTGGTCCACGGAAGACGGCAGTGGAACCCCAACCTTGAGGAGGTATCCCTATCATTACGACGGCCAGCTATCCCGCGGTGGGATGGCTGTACGCGAGATACATACCTGAGCATGGTTGTACGATCGCACTCATGTACGAGCGTGTATGTCTTCCCGGTTCACGGGTTGCAGTTGGCCAATCATTCTGCGTACGGATCAGAATGAGTTGTCTACGTCTGCGGCTTACATTACTGGCAGCCAGACTACTACAGAGAGTAAGATTGTACAAGCCGGTTCAGTGGGTCTGAGGCTGTCTGAGGGTGCTTGACTTTTCCTGATTTATCATCCAAGGAGCCCGCCACTCCGCCAGATTGCGATCTGCGCAGCCGGCACCCGCCGGCCCGGGACCGGACAATACCCGACGTGCACACTATGCGGCCTTTCCAGTGGGTTACAAGTCATTCAAAAGGGAATTCGTTAACTCTACGATGCTTAGATGGGAGGCATTACAACTGTTCCCAAAAGCCACGCAAGGTGGGCCACAGACTCATCGGTGGTAATCGGCGGTTTCTCCGATTTCAAGTTGCGGACAAGGATGATCATGCACGCTCGCCCTTGGTGCAGAGCCACGCTTTACTTCGAATCCATACAGTTCACTACATCTATGCGCCTCGTTGGTCATGTAGAACGTACTCGACGGGCCTCGGATGTCGGAGTTCATCATGCAGCCCGTGGAGACCCAGGCCACTGTGTGCCCGCGACAAGATTGTTCTCCCGCAAGGCTTCGCAAACCAGAGCTCCGTGTACCCATGAATTGTAAAGCACCCACACTTACGCATGCTCGGTCCCGGATACTGCTCTGAGAAACCCAGGGTTTGTATGAGCGCAGTAGGTAGTTGACCTCAGGAGCACATGCCACGGAGACGACGCGCCGTGAAGTACTCACAGCGCGCACCGAAGCGACGGAAGCGATCTGTGGGTTCGTACGGCATGCCTGACATACTCAGCCGGGAATAAGTCCGCCGCGGGATGATGGGAGATCCCCAACGGTGTCGCTGAGAGGCCGCGACTCGTGGAGTAGAATGGATGAGAAGCTTCGAGCAGCCAGTGCAGAGCATTCGTTGCCCGACCTGCTTGGGGAGGCTGAATGAGGCCTCATTGATGTCGCACATGCCCTGATTGTTCGATGGAGACTTGCACGGATGCGATGCGGGCCTGACAAAGGTTGTGCTCACGCGAGGCCGACAAGCCGGCCCGCCCAAAATAATTACATCCGCCTTTTTCTTCTGCGAAAGACGTCCTTTTCTATTTTTTTGAAATACGGAAGGGTTACAGATGAGAAGCAATTTGTAGATGAGGGAAGTCCGCGGCGAAGAGGGCCTCGCTGGCAGCTGTAAGTACTACTATAGTAGACCGTACAACGGTTAGCGCAAGTTCAGTCAGAGTAGCCGATCGGAAGATGCCGCTTGACCCGATTTATGATCGGAATCTCGATAGGGATCGTAGTTGACTTGACTTGCTCTCTCCAGTGTCCACGTCCACCACGAGTGACCTCAACGTGTGTCGGCCTTATTCATACTTTGGACTGTCCAGTAGACTGCCACTGTCACTCCAGCGTGGTCGTTCAAGATAGGCTAATAGTAGCTCAGCAGCGAGGGAAGTGCATAGCTATCTCGACGTGGCTGCTGACTGCGGACGAGGATCGTCTCAGAGAATGCCTGGGCCCATCAGAACTGTCTCCCACACAGGATGAACGGAGTACCGACCGCAATGATGCAATGTCACACTGCTCTTCCACATACGGCGTGGGGTTCTGCAAAAGCTATGCCCGTCTCTCTGTGTGCGTCTGAATCTCATCATCGTCTCCTCGCCGTGGCCGCCACATTCGTCTCACTCCTATGTGTTTAGGCTGCACGCGACACACTGGATGAGCACACGACAGGCAGTGCAGGAGCCGCGGGATGTCGTCGTACTTTGTCAAGCCGTGTAATGGAATAATGGGCGCCACATGTCGATGGGTACGTCAGCTCATACTTTCAAGTTGTGGCACAACATCACGCCTAAGATGCCTTACTTGACCGTCCGGGACGCCTGTGTGCAGGGTCCAGAGAGGGCACGCGACTCGTGTGCGGCCGGCGTGCATGTGCAGCACGAGACGCCATTGTGCCCATCTCGCAACCCAGCGGCATTATCGTGCCCTATATCAGCCGTGTGCTTCTATTAATAGAGCCAGTCATCGGCCGCACAGGTCCTTCTACTAGCTCTGCTGATGCTCTGGTGGCCGGACTCTCATCATAGGTGGACTCTCACGTTCATGGGAGCATCTAGTCGACCTTGCGTCCGTTCCCTACGCCGGCGAGCTCTCTCTGTCTGCATGCCGTCCGCAGTGTCTCTGCCAAGACCTGCCTTAGATGCAAAACTACAGCTTCCTCGTCGACCGGAAAGCACAAGGATCTTCTATGGTCAGCACAGACACTGCCTCATGGAATTTGACGATCACCGGCAGTCCATCTCGAGGTGGGCGTGGAAGATGTCGAGTGTCCGAGTACACCACTCGATGGTCACAACGAGGTGTCGTGTTTTACAGCAAGACTGTGCATCCAGGCTTCTTCATGTCCGCAGAAGCCGTGCGGTCGCATGGCCGTGGACGCCTGAGTCTCGGTGTTCGCCCACGAGAGGCTTCCGTATATGGCACTCACCTCCCCGGTGCGCCTGTCTGACCTCTTGATCTCCAGGAACGCGAGCAGTTGCATTGCTCCTCTCATTTCTAGAGCTCGTGCCGGGCTCTTTTCAACCACCCGTAGGCTTTATCAGAAGGTGAATCCTCGCTCTCATGCCGATAAGGACTATCTGAATGCCAGCGACTTCTCTCCGAAGGGCACTTGTCATACTTCGGATGGCGCCGTGGAATCCATCTGCTCGTCGCCACACGGACAGCACCAGCATCATCGGACGTGACTTCCCGCATAGCCCGAGTCCAATTCTGGCGAGGGTGTGGGGCCATATGGTGAGCTACAGGGAGGGATCTGCCGCCGGGCGCAGAACACACTCGACGCGAGTATAAATGGCCCGCTGGGACGAGGAGGAGGAGCAGGTCCCTCGGTCTCGACAGCCCCTCGACCCGACAGCCCCTGCGCCTCTAGTGCACCTCTTCCCACACCCGAGTACAGGATGTTCGCCGCTTCGCTCCTCGCCTCCGTGCTGCTTGCCACCACGGCGCTCGCCCGCCCGTCGGGCATCGCCGGCCGCCTCGCGCGCCGCCGCACGGGAACGCACCTGAGCAAGCCCGTGCAGCTCATCGAGCACGCGGCCACCTCCAACGTCTCCAACGTGGAGTACTCCAGTAACTGGGCCGGCGCTGTGTACGATTCATACCCCTCGGTGAGCACCGGCCTCTGAACGCGGGCAGAGAACTGGATGGCTGATGGGGCATGTTGGATGCAGGGCTCTTTCACGGCTGTGACGGGCACCTTTACCGTCCCCACGCCGAGCGCGCCCTCCGGTGGCAGCGGCTCGTACTCTGCCTCCGCCTGGGTTGGCATCGACGGTGATACCTGCGACACCGCCATCCTCCAGACTGGCGTCGACTTCACGATTGACGGTGGCAGCGTGTCGTACGATGGTACGCATCTCTCTACACTGGGCCCTATGAAGTGCGTCAACTGACGGACCGCGCGCAGCCTGGTACGAGTGGTACCCAGACTACGCGTACGACTTCTCTGGAATCAGCTTCAGCGCGGGTGACACTGTGAAGCTGACGGTGACCGCGTCGTCGACGACGTCGGGCACGGCGGTGATCGAGAACCAGAGCACGGGCCAGACGGTCACGCAGGATATCACGTCGTCGTCTGCGCTCTGCGAGGAGAACGCGGAGTGGATCGTCGAGGACTACGAGGAGAACGGCTCGCTCGTGCCGTTGGCTGACTTCGGCACCGTCACGTTCACCTCCGCGTCCGCGACCACCACCTCGGGCTCCGTCGGCCCCGACGACGCGACCCTCATCGATATCGAGCAGAGCAACAAAGTCCTCACGTCCGCGTCGGTCTCCTCGAACGAAGTCACAGTCAAGTACGTCTAGAATTTGAACGCTTGGTAAGACAGATGGACGTGGAAGGGAGTTCGAGTAGAGGTTTGGAGGAAAGGACTTCTTTGCGCTCATCTTCGATGGCGAGTTCTGGTTTGACGCTTCTGGGGGAAAGAATAAAAGGATGTATGTACTATCGACGAGTCAACGTTGCATTGACAATTGGCTTCTCATACTCACGACAGAGCCGATCTCGGCGGATCAGCGGATCGCCGCACTACTGCCAGCAATCCACTTATACAATTTCGCAAACAATACAACTGGAGAAAGCGGGCCCAGTGAGGTGTGAATATTCGTTCCCCACAGGAAGAAAGACCTCGCATGAAGAGCCTCCCTGTCCATGAGCTTGGCATGTTTCCCATCACTGTGATCGCTTTGGGTTACCCTGGGGCCTGCGCCGACAAAGGTGCGAGATATGCCACTTCGGGTTTGGCTGCCCCAGACCGGCCGTTGTTGGCTTTCGATTGAATGCGTCTCGCAGGCCGGGGAGAGCTGTCTTCAATGTGACCGACTGCACAGGCTGTGTGACCGACGGCGGCTCCGCTCGATGAGCAGACGACTGAGCACTGCGTATGCTATGCTTCGGGGTAACAGAAGGTGATTACCGGTTACCCGTCGAAGCGTTACGGCAAGCTCGTCGAGAAGCTACCTCGCCGACACGCGCGCGTCCTCGTCCAGCTACGCACGGAGCCCCCCTACAGCGACACCTCTTCCGAATCCAGAGAGCAGACTCGCCCATTAATCCGAACTGCAAAACCGCACGCGAGACGGTCTATCATTGCCCGCTAGAATTCCCGACCCACGCCGTGCACCGCGCAACACTCGAGAGCGAAATCGGCGTACTATTAGTAGCCTGAGAAGTATGCCCTCAGTGACGACAAAGGGAAGAAATAAAGGATCAAACAAGCAATCAAACAAACAATCAGCGGTTCAACGACGTTTGTGAGCATGGTCTGTGCACCAGCAGCGGAAAGGGAAGAAGAGACTTCGGAGTGCGGCGGTTCCGTAGTGTAATGATCCTGTTCCGAGGGGACTGGGAGGAAAAGGTGTTCACTGACTGAAGTGTCTGGACTGTCCGGAATGGGGACAGGGGGAGAAGAGACTCCGGAGAGCGGCGGTCCCGTCGTCGTCTCGCCGGAATGACCCTGCTCCGAGGGGACGACGACTGGGAGGGAAAGAGGTTCACTGACTGAAGTGTTTGGACTATCGGGAGTGGGGACAGCGCGTGCCTTCTGTTTCTTGAATGCACCTCTGAGGCCAGGCATGCTCATTTCCAACGGCAATGTCTCCGGGTCCTGATGCCGCGATGCGGAAGGATGGTCAGGAGAAGTCGACACTGGCTGGGGAGGGGGAGGTGAAGGGCTCATCGACATCCCCGGCGAGCCAGGCGGGGCTGACGTGGGCACGGGGGTAGATGGCGACGGCACTTGTATTGCCGCCAGCTTCGCCTTGAGCGATGCGTATCGGTCCTTCCTCTCGGTCGTCAACTGCCTGTCCTTCTCAAATGCAGCAATGGACCGCAGGAGGCATGCCGGGGTGCGGAAGGAGATAGTCTCTCTACAATGTGTGAGCAGTAGAGTGTTGACTCGTTGCGCTTGGTCGACAGTTAGGGTGTCGATAGCAAAATCGAACCTGTCCTTCAAACGGCTGTGGAGGAATTGTCCGTTCAGCAAGCCGCGCTCGGAGAAGTCCTCCTCCTCCTTTAGGTCCTCGGCAGTCATCTCGTCACGAGATTTCACCCAATCATACGAGTTGCGCGGGAGCGGAGGGATGTAAGTCGTCTTCGAGGGCGTTTGGGCTATATCATGGAAGAACGAAGTGTAAAACCCCATCAACTTCGAACGCAAGATGATTACGAGCTTCGGGGTAATGGGAAATGTCTGGGTCAGGACGACATAAGAAGGGCTTGGAGCACCAGGGGACAGCATGTCATGCATAGCATGCATCGGTGTTGCCCTACCCTCTCCGAGGCCGAGTCCGTCCTCAGTGAGGATGAACTCGGTGTCAGGAGGTGCGCGATAGAACCCGGTTTTCATGTCCCAAGCGTCGTATTTGTAATCCACACGGGCTGTCCACAATAGACGTTCATCATGCGCCACCTCCCAATGTTCATCCTCGAGGAGTAGGGAGAGTTGGCGGAGCCATACTGCACGAGAGTCGGCCAGTCCGTTTTGGACCCTGTACTCCTCTACCATTTTCGCCGTGTTCGGGTCGAAGTGATTTTCGATGAATTGACGCGAATGATTCCCGTTGCGATAGAATGTGAGGAAGAGGAACTTCCGGAGTATATTGAGGTCAGAGCGGACCAGCTCCACAGAAGAACGTCCCCGATGCTCCGCAGCCTCCAAGACACGGAAGATACGCGCAACGTCGCCCTCGAGTTTGGCGAAGGCTTTCTCGACGCGATACGCATCGGTCAGATCCGCGTCATGATCCTTGTACATGTCAACGATACCGAAGGTCTTGCCAAGATCGGTCGTGCCCAAGTGCAGTTCATCAGACTGTATGTCGTAGGAGTTGATGAGTTCCTGTTTGTACTCTTGAGGCCGTTGACGGCCTTTGTTACGCCCACCGTTGGACCTGTGTTCGAATGTCACTCAACATTGACAAATGGGCGGCGTGCAATTTGTGTCTGCTCACTTTTTGCCCACACTGGTCACTTTCTTGACCTCCTGTAGCCATCCACGTGCAACAAAGCGCGGTAGATAGTGGTGCAGTTGACCAGAGCGAGGTGTACGATGCTCCATTGCGTCGTGAAAGGATCAATGAGAACAAGTCCTCAGGCAGGCGCTGTACTTGGTCGTCTAGAGAGCCTCGGAACGGCGGCCCGCTCGTTCCGAGCTGCTTTCTTTAGTATTACGTCATATGCGAGAATGGCCGCGAGTGTGAGAACCCGCCGGCCGCCCTTTCCGTTGACTGGCAGAATATGTCATGGCTTGCACATTGACTGCCTCTTCCTGGTCACTTCCGTGGGTCGCACGTCCCCAATAGCCCTCAAGCACGCACCCCGGTCGAACTGTCACCGAATCCGTCGGCCGCAGGATAAGTAGATTAATTTAATTCCATCGCGATCATGTCCAGCGATCTGCAACGCCAAATAGTCATCATCGGCGGCGGCATCGTCGGGTGCACGACCGCCTACTACCTCTGCGCGCACCCCGCCTTCGCCGCAACCAGAACCAAGGTCACCCTCATCGAGGCCTCCGTCCACGGCGCCGCCCAGGGCGCCTCCGGCAAGGCCGGCGGGCTCGTCGCGAAGTGGGCGTACCCCAAGGAGCTCGTGAACGTTTCCTTCGCGGAGCACGTCCGGCTCGCGCAGGAACACAACGGCGCGCAGCGCTGGGGCTGGCGCTTCGTCGGGTGCGGGAGCTGGGAGGGCCGCGGCGAGCTCGCTCCGGACGAGGGCACGGGCACGGGCGTCGGGAAGGGTGGCGATTGGCGGAGCCTGGAGAAGACGAACGGGCTGGACGACGGCTGGAATGCACGGAAGCGGCGGGAGGCGGGCTTGCCGGACGACCTCGACTGGGTGCGCGCGGACCTGACGGACGGGTACTCGCCCATGGCGCCGACGGGCGCGACCGCGCAGGTGCACCCGTACCTGTTCACAACGAGCATGCTCGCGCTTGCGCAGGAGAAGGGGTGCGAGTTCGTCCGGGGGAAGGTCACCTCGATTGAGATCGACCAGGCCGCGGGGCAGGTCTCCGGCGTGACCTACACCACGTCCGCCGCGGACGGCTCCTCGCACACCCTCCCCGCGACGCACGTCGTCCTCGCCGCGGGCGTGTGGTCCCCGCGGATCCTCCCCTCGCTCCCCATCTCCGGCACGCGCGCACACAGCGTCACCATCCACCCCCAACCCGGCGTTGCCATCTCACCCTACGTCCTCTTCACCGAGATCCTCTTCCCCTCCGCAGGGCGGCACGGACCACAGCGCGTGAGCCCCGAGATCTACGCGCGCCCGGACAGCGAGGTGTACGCGTGCGGGCCGGGCGACAACAGCGCGGTGCCGGAGACGGTCGACGATGTCGAGGTCGACCAGGCGGCGTGCGAGAGCATACGGGAGCATGTCGCGAGCATCTCGCCGGAGCTGCGGGAGGGCACGGTGCACAAGCGACAGGCGTGCTTCTTGCCGGTCGTGAGCGCGGGCGGGGGGCCGATTGCGGGTGAGGCTACCAGCATTGCGAAGGGGCTGGTGATTGCGACGGGACATACATGCTGGGTGCGCGGCCTTCCTCTTGTGTAGATTGATGTCGAGACACTGATGGTGGTCTGTCAGGGCATCTGCAACGCACCGGGAACCGCAAAAGCTATATCCGAGTTGATCATGGAGGGCAAGATCAAGTGCGCGGATCTCAAGAGGCTACAGCCCTCGGTGTTCTTGTGAGCTTTAGTCACTCGGTCACCGGAATCTGGGATCACAGTGCAGAGGTAGATGGGGATAGAAATGATACCTCATTTGTAGAATGCAACAGGCTATCGGGAGCCGAGTCACTTCGGTCGACAGATGGTGCTTCTTCGCATGACACAGCGCGACACCTAGGAGCGTGCCTCACAAACATCCGCATGAACATAGCCAGAATCAGCGAGTTGAACAACTACTCGCCTCGACTTGTCCATCGCACACGACCAACCACTCGGTCACGGTCGCAGGCACAGACGCAACGTCCAATAGGGTATGGATTGCTATCGTAAACGACTAACAGCTAGCGGGTATGCATGCGAGACTACGGGTATACGGCTCTTGATGCTACATTAGACACAAGCATATCCTACGACTAGTACTCATAATAAAACCGATCCGAGGCAGGGTCCGGGTCCGGGTCCGACGAGAGCGATATGGTATCTATACAGGCAGCAGCACGATACTAGGTGAGTGGGTCCAATCCGGAGAGTGAGCGTATATATGTAAAACTGAAGGAACGTCGATGTGGGTCCGCGCACCCGTCGGTGCTTTTGGGTCGCAAGGCAGGGGCGGGGTCGAAGGAGTGGTGTGGTTGTTCCGGGCTATGCCCAGATCCCCCCGCGCCTGCTCGTCTCGTCTGTATGTCATGTCGTGATTGTCGAAGCCCCCCGTCCGAGCCATGGAGGGGGCGGGGTCCGAGGCTAGCGCCTCTGCCTCCCGCGCGCGCGCCCCTCGAGCTCGCGCATCCGCCCTGCCTCCCTGCACACATTCCACGCAGAGCGCACCATGTCCACGATCCGCCCGTCGCGCGGCCCGAGCGCGAGGACGTTCGCCCAGAGGCCCCCCACGAACGCCGTGCGCTCGCGCAGCTGCGCATCCGTTACCGCGGCGTCATGCGCCGCCGGCTCGTCCGCGTCCGAGTCCCACTCCGAGCCCGAGCCCGCGCTGGACCCCGCGTCGGAGTGCGCGGCGGTGCGGTAGGGGGCGTGTGGGGCGCGGAGGAGCGCGGAGGCCATCGCGGGGCCCGACGGGAACTCGTTGATGACGTGCGTGGGGAGGAGGAAGGTGGCGAGAAGGCCGGTGTACGTGTCCAGTCCGGACGTGCCGCTTTTTCGCCGCGACGAGCACTCCGGCGTGCTGGACGATGATGGGGAGGGCGGTGGGGTGGACGGGGGCAGCGGTAGGTCCAGCCCGAAGAACAGGAGGAGCGGGACGGAGGGCGGGTGGGGGAGGGCCAGGGCGATGGTCGGCAGCTCGACACACTGGACGCCGGTTTCGGCGTAGAAAGGCACGGGGAGCGTCGAGCCCATTGCGGACGCGTCGTCAGCGGAGAGACGTGAGAGGTCGTATGTGAAGCGTTGCGCGAAGAGGTCGACGTTGACGGGGAGTGCGTGTGGGCGCAGCGAGCCGGGGAAGGAGGAGTTGGTCGGCGAGGGTGTGGAAGACGAAGCAGACGGGGAAGGAGCGGTGTATGACGGGAGGATAACGAGCCCATGTGTGGGCATATGCGCGTCGCGGCGAACGGGCATGCATATAGTGGGCGGGACAGTGCGATCTGGAAGGAGAGTGACGGGTGTCTTGTGGACGTTGAAGGAGCGGCATAGTTCCCTGCGGTGCCCGTTCAGAAGCCGAGCCGGACGCAGAGGAGACGACGTACTCGTATGGGTCATCAAAGGGCTGTGCGAGCCTCGTAAGGTAGGTGTGCAGCGCAGTCCCACTCGCGTCGTCGAAGGGCGCGTCGTCCGTGTGGCCGTGGGCGGATGGTGCGGCGTACCAGGACGGCGGCCTCAGTGCGCGAGCGGTGCGTGCGCGTGGGCTCGGAGGCTCGTACATCAGCCTGCAGGTATGCAAGGAGCACTGACCTTGCTCCCTTGCCCCTATGCCCTTCTGGGACGCCTAGCCGGCTCGACGCCAGTGCGCGGTGTCTGCTCCGGAGCCGTTTGAGCGTGTGGCCTGGACGGAGCAAGCCAGCGGTGCGGGGACCAGCGTGAGGTATGGCTGGCAGCCGGAGAACTCAGCAGGACATGATAAGGAGGCTTCGTGCGCCGCGCCACGGTGGGCGAACGGAGTAAAGGGCGGCGGGAGCAAGGGATGCCAGCAAGACGCCAGCGTGAGGTCCCGCAGCGCACTCGCCGGGGCCCATTCGCCAAACTGGGCCGCCATGATCAGCCTCGAGGCTGATCGTCCTCAGCCGCGGTCAGTCACCAGCGCCTATTCCCGCGTCTCTCTTCTGCGCCCTGACAATGATTGATTGTGGCAGCGTCCTTCCGCCTGTGTTCGCCTTCTCTGCTTTGTTTGCGCGCCGCAGAATTCGAGCTGCAGCTTGAATACGCACCGGAGGGCTGGGCTGTTGGCGGGCTGGACTGCTGGTCGACGGGGCAAATGTCGGGAAGGCATGATAGCCGTTTGTGGCTGCGGATGAAGAGAGGAGTTGATTGGAAGCTGAGTCTGTTGTACCAGGCATATCATCCCGTGTTCGACGTCTTCGACAGTTGCTAGGGTCCTATTGGCAGTTTCACCTCCACGCCGAGCCTCTATTGTCCTTGCGCGGGATCCTCCTTGCAAGGCGTGGCTTTTCCCATAACGCGCGTTCCGTACAGCCCCCGAGCCTCGGGGCCAGTGCGGGTCGCGCTGCCTCATTGACTATGGGATTGGGAACAATGGGAGGTTTATGTGGCCTAGGAAGTGGTTTTTGTCCAGGTATGAGCCTCACTTCCCCGTCTCGTCTGCAGGAGTCGGCAGCTCAAGGCCCGAACTCAATCTGTATATCATGATGCTGTCATGCAGACAATTACTCACAGGCAGTAGAGTTTTCTCCCTTCCCGCGTACTACGACGACGTTCAGTCCAGGCGAAAGGACTCGTAACAGGACTCGTCTTACCGCAACTGGTCCGCCGCGTGGCCAACACTTCCAGCAGTAGTGGGCGTCAGGTCTACCTCCGAGAGTGTGTCTGCATCTTCATCTTGGTCATCATACCGCACGACGATCCTTCTCACACCATTCAGCGTTTGCCCGGGACGTCCGAGCGCATGAGTTGCAGCACGGCATACTCAGGTTCGCGGATCTGCCATTGACAAGTTGACCTCTTCTTCGAATCTAGCCTCCACATCTTCATCTTGCGACTTCCTCTTGGAGCTGGCGGACCAAGCTCGGACCGGCGATCAAGCTTGCGTTGCCTCGCGTTCTACGTCCACGGCCGCCTTGTCTGAATCCTCTGGTGCAGCTCGAGATAGCCGTTCCATCGTGAGTGGCGCGATGGGAACAGTTGACAACCTTGTGCTACGTCCGTCCTCGCCAGGCAGGGCCGCCTCGGTGATTGAGTGCAGTGTCGGGCCGTCTACGTGATGCTCTCGATGTCAATAAACATCTTCCGGCGTTTGGACGGCCGGCTGTATGCGTCCCTACGATCAGCTGTGTGGACTGTGAACTGAATGCGCTCGAGCTCGGTGGACGTTTGTCTTCTGCTTCCAATCCGCTTCTCGTAGAGTCGCATACGTACACCGAGGGTTTCGGGCCGACGAAGTGGGGGTATTGGTTGAAGATGTATATTGATTCTGGAAGGGAGCGCCCTTATGTACCCATGCATCCGTACGATGACGTTCTATGCACCCTCGTACTGGTCGCAATTCGTCATAGTCGCATGTGAAGTACTGGAAGCGCCGAACAAAGGAAGACCCTGCCAGAGTGGCTCAATATGAGGCGCGATTAGGGTTCCCTACTACACCACTTCCCTCCCTCCGTTCCATCACAAGTACTTGTACCAGTGCAAACTGCAATCGAGGGCGAGCTAGGGCGAGTTCTTCAACGAAGTCACGAAACCCATGGGTTGACCAAATCGGTGCCACAGCCGAGTGGCGGTCTGTCAAGTATGACTCGCCCGGCTGTGCGTCTTCACCAAATATAATAAGCCCCAAGGTACACATCGCACCGAACGATCGCCACCATAAAGCATAAAAGAGATGTCCAGGCTCACAAAAAGACGGATGCTCCGCGACTGGCGAGAGTGTCGTCCGAGTCGACGTCAGGGAGTCGACGACCCCGTCCAGCCCCGGGTGTTGAACTTGAAGTACGTTGTGCATCGTATATGCCCTCCAAGCGTAATGTACGTCTTCAGAACTTCGCAGCCGCCTGCATAAGCCACATTGTTCTTTTGGCAGGGCTCGGAGTGGCTTTGCGGCCACTATCTGCCTGGAAACATCGAGAACGCCCGTATCGAGGGTGACAATAGCGCCAAGACTTGCCTCATGGCCAGAACGCCGCCCCTTGGCAACGTGACCCGGTGTGCGTAGCCGGATTGGTGTGTGGACCCACCAAACTCGATGCTTCTTTGCGGGAGTTGCCTTACAAGGCAGGATATTTGCCTCGTAAAGGCAGGTGCGCCAACACACACAAACAAACGCCCACCAATCCCCACATTACCTGTTTCGTCAGAAAACCAATCAAGTGTCCCACGCTTCGCTACCTCCAACACCTGCTCGGCGTATAAAATCCCCAAGGGCGAGGGTACTTCTCCCCCCAACCCGGAGCACGAAGTTGAACTTTCCCCCCATCTGCCTCCCGTGCCCGACCCGACGTCCAAGTCTTAACTCGAACATGTCGACCTCCCTGCCTCATCTCCTCGCTGGTCTGCCCGAACTCCAGGGCGACGTGCCTTCCACCTCCACTCTCGAGTCCTCCAAAGGCTCTCGCAAGTCCGTCGTCACCGATGTTCTCAAGGCGACAGCAGTGCGTCGCCGCGCAGGCTTCAACAACACCCCCACCTCCCGCTACTCCGAGGCCCAGCAGCAGCGCATGCAGAAGGCCAAGCGCGCCCACCGCCCTCTCCCCGGCCAGCGCCCCATGCGCAATGCCGCCGTCACCTCTGCCGCCTTCAAAGCAGAGTTCCGCCTCCCGAGGCCGGTCAAGGCTCCTGTCGCCGACGTCGAGATGAAGGACGCCGCGCCGGAGCACGACCTCGAGCCGAAGATCTCCATCGCGATCCCGAGGCGGCTCGCCCGCCCCAAGTACAAGCGCGTGCCGATCGAGAAGGCTCTCTTCATGAACGAGGAGTTGAAGGACGTTCCGATCGAGTATATTCAGGACGAGGTTGCGGCGAACGGGCAGAGGTGCGTTCAACGCTTCTGATTGCTTCTGGTCACTTACTCATCTCTTCCTTCGTCTTAGATTGCTCGCCGTCCTCGAGCACGTCGAGGTACCCCCTCCTCTTCCCGTTTCCATCCCCGAGGAGATCACCGTCGACGTCAGCGACGGCTCTGCCGACCTCCCCTCGCACATGCTTGCCGTCTACAAGAAGGACCTCGCCGAGGGCGAGCGCAACATCATCACCATGCTCGCGGCGCACCAATGCGTCTGGGACATCAACTGCGCCCACCTCCCGTCGCTCCCGCCATCATCTCCATCGTGCTCTGTCGTCCCGTCGCCGGAGACCCCTGCGCGCATCACGGTCCCCGTCGTCCCTCTCGGCCTTCCCAGCCCCGAGCACTTCCGCGAGCTCATGTGCTACATGTACACCAAGCGGTCTGACGAGCTCCTCTCCGAGCTTCTCCCTGCTCCCCCTCCGAGTGCCGCGCAGGGTCAAGACGCGATGGACCGCTACGCTCGCAGCCTCGCCCGCGAGTACAAGCGCGCAGAGCTCCTGAAGCGCATGTCGCGTGTGCAGGGTGTCTGGCGGAATGCGTGCGCCATCGGCGTCTTCGACGATGGCCTCTGGAGCATGCTCGACCTCGCGTGGGACGTCTACGGCAAGGCCGTCACCACCAATGTCCCGGATAGACCGACGCCGGAGTGGGACGGCTCTCTCCAGGGGTTGTCTTTCCGGTGAAGCTATCGTCATCGCTGGGTCGTTGCTTTCCTTCTTGCTCTCATCATCGTCGCATCGTTCTCCCCGGTTCTTGGGTATCATATCATTCTCATTCTCATGCATGAACTATATGGCATTTGTATCGTCTAGCACTGTATGTCGCATCATCATTCCTTCCTCTCTGTCTCAATATGCACCCCGTACCATACTGTATGCCTTTACACCTACGTTATTCTCTTGCAATAGAATTCGCCGTTATGACAGAAACGAACATCCGTCGGTCTTGTAGATGGCCTCGAGGCACGTGACATGAGTACGAGGCAGTGCCGGCGACAACCTTTACTGTGACAATTTCATTGAACATTGTCTTCGCTCACTTCCTCCTGCATCAGCAACTGTTCGCCTCAACTGCCCGTCTTCGACACCATCGCCAGGGCTATGCGACATCGAGCGTTCCCATCTTCGGAGCCACGTTTCGATGGACAGGAAGCGTCCATCTCAACGCTCGATCGCTGACATCCGCCACAACCTCGTACCGGGAACAGTGTCTTCGGGACCCTCGTGGAAAAGGCGCAGACCTCCGTTGAGGCTCATTCAGGTCGTATAGGTATGTGTCGTTGTTAGTGCCACCCCCCGAGACGCGAACTTACCGTGACATAGCCCCAGCGTCCAACCCGAGCGCGCGTGTCAGAGAGCATACCGCACAGCACCACCAGTGCTTAGCGTCCTGACGAGATAGTTGATGGCGGTCACTTAGGAGGATGTCCGAGTCGGCCACGCGCGGGGCGTACCACTCAGGCCGCGCGAGACCGGACATGTCACTCGTTGACTTGCGAATGAATTGGTGCCTTCGCGCCCTCGTTGCGAAACGCTGGAGCGGGTGACATCTCCTCACGCCGCAGATTTCTGCTGCAGCGTTGTCGACGTCAGTATGCGGATGATGGGCCTGCCTATGGAGCGTCTGTTCTGGCCGAAACGCAGACGTTCGTGATAGAAACAACTGAACAATCCTGTCATAGGCTCGAAACGCTGACCTTTTCGTGTCGAACAAGTTGCCACTGGATGCAGACGCCCCGGGCAACACTACACATCTTTTGTTTGCGACGTCAAATGGCATGTCCTGCATTCCGGTCGCGCCCTCGGAGGATGTCCTTGGGCGGACCCTTGTTGTGCATAGGTATGTCCCCACCGCTATCTTCAGTCGAGACGGCATGTTAACGTGCATCGTGCAGTGGTTTTCAGATGCGGAGATGCCACAAAATCAAACCTGTTGATTGCTTGGCGTTGCGGCGTTCGAACACTGACGGATGTTCGCCTTCGGCGGTCTCAGCCCCGTGTCTGCCAATGCGTTGTGTCGACAGGCTCAGCTCTGAGGGGGCGCCAGAGGCGGGATATAAAGTCCCCGCACCTTGGACCGCCCACCCAGCGCCTCCTCAGCTCTCTTCACTCTTTCGCTCACGCTCCACCTCTTGAATCGGTGCCGGTCGGTGAGTGGCAGTCTTACTCACGTCGTCGCTCGCGCTGACCAGCATATACCACGCATATAGCCTGATTCTGTTTCGGTTTTCTCTCTTACGCTACTCTACGTTTAAGTTCACGACTTCCTTGCTTCCCACCTCACCCTTAATCCTATCTACCTCACGACCTTCCCTATACCATGCGCGTCTCCACCTTCACCGTCCTCGCCATGGCCGCGGCTATAGTCTCGCCTGCCATGGCCGTGAACTACGTCCAGTGAGTTCCCTCGCCGCATGCTCTCTACCGGCTCAATCAAACTTAACTCAATGCACTTCTAGGGAGCCTCACTTCCACGCGCACCGCCCGGAGCACACCGCTGGTCACCACGCACTCGCACACGCCGCACACAGCCCTCTCGTACACACCACCCACGTCCCCGGCGCGGGGATCGCGCACGACTTGAAGGGCAATCGTGCAGAGGAGCTCGCCCGGCGCAGCAAGCAAACCGGGGGGACCTCTGAACACGACGCGCACGTCGTTCACACCGGCGGGAGGGGCCACGATAGGCGTGCGGCCGACTTGGAGCGCCGCAAGGTTAACTGGAAGGGCTTGGAGCACGACGTCCCCGCTGCCTGGCACGCCGGCGCGCGGATCGCCCATGACATCAAGGGCAAGCGCGCCGACTCGGAGGAGCTCGCCCGGCGCAGCAAGCAAACCGGCGGGACCTCTGAGCACGACGCGCACGTCGTCCACACTGGCGGGAGGGGCCACGGCAGACGTGAGGCCGACTTGGAACGCCGCAAGGTCAACTGGAAGGGCCTGAAACACGATGTCCCGTCTGCCTACCGCACTGGGGTGAGATTGTGGCATGATGTCAAGGGCAAGCGGGAGGAGGAGCTCGTCATGCGCAAGGTCAACTGGAAGGGCCTGGAGCACGACGCCCCTGCTGCGTGGCATGCCGGGGCGAAGCTTGCTCACGACTTTTAGGCCTGCCACCGTCGCGCCTTCGAAGGGGTTAAGGAGAGTTACTCATGATCTCTTCTACGTATGCGTGAAATAGTCAGTAGAGCATATACCTCATGAGAATGAATAACACGTTGAGGAGTTGAAACTAATGATGGACTACTTAAGACGTGGACTACCTTGACGAATGGATCTCGTGTGGTGGCATACTAAACAGTATGTTCGCCGGGAGCACGCCAGCTGCAGTACTACTCCGGAAATGGTTATTGGTAGCATACTCCTGTGCACAGCACATAACTACCCCCACGTCCAGGGCCTTCATTCTGAGGACATCAAGAGGGAGTGCTACTCACAATGCTTTTGTTCTTGCTCAGTTGCTCTTGAACTATGGCCTCCTGAAATCGACGCGTCCTAAGCTCAAGATGCCAGGGGAGCGCGTTATGCACGTCGAAGAAAGACCGGTACCACAGGCCAAAGTGTGATTCTCTCGACATATCAAGATACATATACATAAGCTTCATGAGTCCAAGACAACTACTCATTGTCGCATGTGAGACATGATGGCACGATCACATCTGTAAGGGGTATAATCTTAGAAGAGGAAATCAAGCATCAATGTCCATCGCGCTGTCATCAGCCATACTAGCCCGTCCCAGAGGCGACTTAAGCCCTTCACCTGCACGACTCCGCCGGCGAGCGTACTCGCTCTGCCTGGCCCGCTTCTTCGCAGCAAGCTTCGCAGCCTCACCACAGGCGCTCGCACGCCCGGTCTTCACTCCTCCCAGAGACTTTCTCGCACCCATACTCGACCTCATGCGAGGGGCAGGTGCAAGCGCAGACGGCGCCGCTGGTTGCGTGCCATCCCGCTGTGACCCGAGTTTCGCGATGACCCGAGTGCGCGAGATCCGTGGCTTCTTCGCGATGAGCCCCTTCGGCTTGGGTGGCACCGCTGTGGGGATCCTGGACGGGCTCGCCAGTGCAGTCGCAGCGGCGGCGAGAGAGGTATGGTGTACGGGGCTGTTCTGCGAGGTGGGACTGCGGAATGTGTCGGCCGTGAGTGGCTGCGTGAAGATCTTAGCTGGCCTCGGCGATCGGGGCGACCGAGGGCTGTTCGTGATCATGTTAAGCGTAGCCTTGTTCGTTGCTGCCACCGATTTCCGCGGAGCACGCTTCGTCGGCTGCTCTGCAACAGGAGGCAGGGACGAGAGCCTCGCTGTCGTTCCCGCATCGGCCTTCCCAACAGTCTTGGCCAGAGAACTGACCGTTGGCGCGAGAAGAGACGACGTCCTAGAGCGAGATGTAGGGCCGCTGCTTCCCTGCGCGGAACTCGTGGACGTCCTCGCCCTCGAAGAGGTGCCGCCAGCAGAAGTGGTTGCGAGGCTTCGCCTTGTCCCAACAGACGATGCAGGCCCCTGCGACTTCGTCGCCAGACTGGTCCGCATCCCCAGCGACGAAGCACCTGCGATAGAGCCAGGCCTCGAGGGTATCTTCGACGTCGCAGTTGCCGTGCTTGTCCTCGAACTAGCCGTCCCCGCAATGGGACTAGCGAAAGACGGGATAGGAGCGCGAGTCTGTGCAACAGAAGACCGCGACGACTTCACGGTTTCATTCCCTTTCGCTGATGCTACCTGCGCGTCGGGTCTCGGCTTCTGCAGTTTGTTCGAAGCGGACACAGAGTTCTTGCGTGCTGTGGAGGCTGTGCTTCTCATACTGGGATTCTGAGGGGCTGGCTGGGCTGCGGCGGTCGTTGGCTTCGGTGCAGTCGCAGGCTGGGTCGATTTGGCAACTGGTATGCTAGAGCTCGCAGGTGGAGCAGGTTTGCCGGTTGTCGTCGAACCACCTCCCATACCCCAGACATTCTTTACGAGCGTCTTGGCAGTTGCGAAAAAGCCGAAGCGTGACTGTTTCGCTTTCGCTGAGAAGACTTATCAGTTAGTGACATACGCATGGGCTCATTGAACACACCAGGTGCGGCTCTTCCACCCACGCTGACTCGGCCTCTACTGCTCCGCCGTCGAGCCTTATTGGCCTCGAGCCTCCGGCGAACGGTCTCCTGCTCCTTCCGCTTCTTGATTTCTTCTTCGTTCATATCGTTGCCTTCCTGGATCGTGCCGGTGGGAGGAGCAATGGACACCCTCCTCCCGTTGTGCACGCCGTCGACTTCGGAGACCCGCACACGCTTGGACGAGCGCCGATCCCCCGGATCCTCGTCTTCTTCGTCGTCGTTATCGTCGGCCCCAAACCCTCCCGGGACGGCCATGCGCTTCCGCGCACCGGCGCTGATGACCCGCGCACCTGCAGCGCTGCTCTTCCGTTTAGCACCGGGTGCTTGGCCCAATCCCAGCACGTCAGACTTGCGCTTCTTCGACGCGGCACCCGCAGACTGGGCGGCAGGAGCAGTGGCCACACGTTTCGCTGCGTAGTGCGTCGTGATCGAATCCATCTTGCTGAAATGCGCTTGATGCGCCTTTGCGAATCTATCCGGGCTGCCTGCCTGCTGGTTCGCGCCCGGCCCCTTCTCAATCAGACCGAAAATGGGCGGCGCCACTCCGACGGATGTCTTCTGTGAGGGATCTTTGCCTTTGGTTTGCTCAGCAAGACGGCGGTGCATCTCTTCCATCAAAGATTGGGCCGTGTCGCTGAACTGTTGATTGGAGATACTGTGCCGCGGCAGCGGAGAGCCGAATAGAAAGGGTTCGCTGCGAGGGACGCCGAGTTTCTTCGAGCCGGAGTCAGCTACGGCAGTGGGAATCGATGCGGCGGGGCGCATAGGGGAGAAGACGTCCGGCGCATCAGCGGGCTTCGGGGTACCCTGGGAGAGAGGTCGTGTTCGATTCTTGGCGGGGGTGGCTCCAGTCGCGCGTATTTCTGGCCTGCCTAGACTGCCGGGCATGTCGACGTCGTCCTCGACTGCCTGGCTGGATGTCTTTGAGGGGAGTAAGTCTTCGAAAGGTATCGCAGGATAGATTCGCTCGAAAGGACCACCAGGGGAGGCAGGCCACACCCTGACCGCCTGCCCAGGTGTGGCAGTCGGGTTCGGGGATCCCAGAATGAGGTCGAAGTCTGTTTGGAACGCAGGCAACACCGGGGTTCCGGGTGCCTCGAGTGCATGCTGTGAGGTGGAGTTGATGAGGCGGATAGTTGTCGTTGGGCCCTGGCCCATACTCAGCCGCGCGTTGGTAGGAGCAGGGGCGCCGGGGCGAGACGGGCTTCCGGGAACGGGGGCTGTCATGGATATGTCGCCGTCATCTTCGTCCGCTGCAGCGCGCGCCGCTTGCTTGAGAGCCTCGACATCCGGCGTGCTCAGCGGCGCGGGTTCAGTCTGTGGCAGTGCGTTCGTGGGCGGCAGGTCCTCGAAAGGAACGGCGTGTTTGTTGAGGCTTGCATCTGCCTTGTCGGAGGCGCGCTTGATGCCTAGCGATGTAGCCAGTGAGCGAATAGAGGAGCTCACGATCGAGTCTAAGCAAATGGAAGGTAGTCAGTAATCAATGAACTATGGCTGCGAGCTCCCCGAGCAGACGTAAGACGAAAGAAGTCATGCTACCACAGCGTTTGTACGCGCCAGTATTTCGACGCACGATAGCCCGTCATTGTGCACAGATGCAGACATTGCACGAAGTGTGTTCTGTTTATACACAGCTGAGCCCATATATGCAAACCAACTCGTTTCAACGCATTCTTGTCCGTGGAGACCTTGTTATGCCTGATATGCGCCGAAAGGCCGTGATGAGTCGCCAGGTTGTTCTCGAGGTGCCGTAGGGTCGTCAAGGCGTTGGATCGGGCAGCAAGGCTTGACGGCCGACCTCGGGTAATTCTGAACCTCCTCGGCTAGGTATCACTTACATATCACCTCGAAAGCGGAGACCAAGCACCACGGCTAGCCCGTAACGAGGGCCTGGTCAAGGCTCACCATGTATATCGAGCATGTTCATTCACTTCACGAGCGTTAGGCCAGCGGCCAACGTGACGCAAGACGAGCTTGACAGCTCAAAATCGACAGATGATTACGACTCACTTTTGGATCCGAACTCCTCTGCTCCGCCCCGCATACTGCCTAAGGTGCCTTTGGAAGAGGTCGTACCGAGAGGTTCAGCAACCTCCTGTATGTCTTCCATTACAATCTCCCATTGTTCGCTTGGCCTTGGCATCTGCACCTCAAATCCATCGTGGATATTCTCCTTCTGATCGTCCCGCTGGTGAGTGTTTGTGGTGCCGAGGAAGGTCTCCTGGCCGAGTTCAAGAGCGTGCTTCTTCAGTCGTTCGACTAGCTCGGTATTCTTGCCATTAGCCTTCAAAGAATGAATCTTGCACAGTTTGACGAGCTGATCGCGCTTGAGTGAGTGCAACGCGGGCGAGTTGTACAGGATTTGGGTGGTGGTGGCCATGGCCAGCGACGACGTTATTTCGCTAGTAGACAAGAACGACAAGCAACCAAAAGAAATTGAGCGGAGCAATACACTTCTCGTACGCAGAAACAAGAAGCCAGGACCAGGAGGAGTGGCGGCCGGCCGTCGTGGTTCAACTTCAACTTTCAAGGTTGTGTTTGCTTCGCGCGTCTCGTCACGTGTGCGCGTTGGCAACGTTCTCACGATCACATAAGCACTTGTTAAATTGTTACTATTAGCATCTCCGTCCAATTTGAATCACCGTCTCACCGGTCTTCCAGCATTCTGCTATCCGCTGCTACTAGTAGGACTTATTCGTGGATACATCGAGTACCCTCCAGGAGGGCACGGAGTTGCCTGCAATTCTCCGCCAGTAGACGAATCATCTTGTGTACTTGCAACACAATATTAATGGTTTGTCCGGCGAGATCTCAGACTGCCTATTCAGGTTGGCTCAGGGTTAGCTGCCCCAACTTATATTCTGCACCCATGAAGACTGACGACATCTCACTGAGTTTGACGTGGATCAGGGCCTCTGCTGCTGACTGCTCCACTGGTCTCATTGATTCCATGGTCTCCGGCAGCTAGACGGACTACAATCCCAACAATGACTCGGAGCAGGCCCCCGGTACCACGCTCGGGCAAGTTATGCGGGGTCTCATCCTTGCCACAATGTCCACCGTATGATTGGAGCTCGAATCCCAAGTCTGCTGTCGACGTAAGTTCCCCATGCCAAGGTGATGTTGGAACCGCACACTAGCCCAGACAGCCCATGCCCACGTTGACACAACCCTCAGTGAGTGTCGGAGGTTACCGTGATGGCCCCATGAACGTGTTGATTGTGCTCACTGCTAACAGGTGCGGCGATCACACAGCCCGCGGCATAGGTGGATTTAAATTCCCAACGGATCATCCCAGTGTGGTCAAGTTGATTCGAAATTGAACAGCAAGTGACCTGCGTCCGCGAGGTGAGCCTCAGTGTCGATATATTCAGCAGCGAATATCTCGGGATTGCTCAGGTGCGTTTTCGAGATTTTTTACGTATTTCATAGCATGATAAATATGGCCCTCCTCAGTATTCGGACCTGGCAGTCACGTAGATCTGCATTAGCACCAGTCGTTCATGCGGCCCAAATAGTGGTCTGCGTAGGTGAGGAAGTCCTTATACCAATTAGCGGGTAATTGACCAACGTGATGCAGTGTAATCGCGATCCGGGCCATTGCGCCCGTCGTATGAGGTCGCACTACTCCTTGGTAGGCTGGGAGTTGTGCGGCCAAGAAGTACATCACTTATGTCATACTGACAGTGGTTGGCAGCAAACGCCGCCACTCAAATCAACTGCAGCGGTGTGGGATTTTTTGTACCTTGTGCTACCTCGTCAGCAGAGCGGCAAACGTGAATACACATTTCCGTCAAAATGACCGCAGCATGGTGAAATGCCCATACTCTCGCCTGCCTCCACGACTCAGCGATGTTCTCTGGTGAATATTCTCCTCGTGCTCTGGTTTCCTGCTCAGCGCTGACAAATACAGACAAGCTAGTCAACAATCATGCTCAGCGGACTCCCCGTCGAAGTGTGGGAGAGGATCATCGACCGTCTCTGGGGAGACTCAAAAACCCTCCGAGCATGCGCGCAAGTTTGCACGACCTGGTACCCACGAAGTCTCCTCCACCTCGTAGGGTCACCGCGACTGACCAGTCGCTCCAAGACATGTAGCGTGATTGAGATCTGGAACGCGCATCCCATCTTGCGTGCCAGGGTCAGGTCCGTCATGGTCTGGGGCTCCGACGGCTCCCATTCGAAAGACGTTCGTGGCCCCGTGCCTCACCTTGCTACCTTTATCAACGGCGATGGCAAAAAAGCTTCCCAAGGTGGACGCGCTCGACATCTGGTATGCAGACTGGAAGGCCAACACAATGATCCCCAAGGCTCTCATTCATCTCTCCATATTCGTGTCCGTCACCGCGTTGAACCTCACACGCATCACGTTCCCGAACGTATTGGCTTTTGGCCGACTCATCGCCGCAATCCCAAATCTGGATACGCTTTTTGCGGAGGATGTGACGTTCAAATCCCCGGCGTATAACCGCCTCGCGTTCCACCCCCAGCATAGCAAGCTCAGAATGCTATGCTTGGACGGCCCAACAATTCCTGAGATCGTGGATTTCCTGATCGATCCCGCAGAGATCCTACGTAGTGTGCCCAAGATTACGATCGGATGGTACCAACCTGTGGCCGTCACGGATCTGAAGGACCGCCGTGTCAAAGAGATGCTCGAAGCCAGTGGTGATAGCCTGGAAAATATTTCGTTTTGGTTGGATGGCCTTCACGCCGTGGAAACGGCGGCCGCATTTGATCATATCGGTAAGGGAAGCCGCGCATTTCTGGCCAGCATGGCACTTACTCTGTCGATGGTTAGCGGCCAACGTCGACCAGCTGAGTCACAATACGAACCTCAAAATCCTTCGTCTAGGACTACATATACGTCAGACCACACCGCTCGATGGGACAACACCTGCGTGCACCTGGCTACCGGATCTTCTATCGAGAGTCGCGAGCAAAAAGCTCACCTTGATCCAACTCTGGTTCAACGTGCGTCAAGTCGGAGAGCATTGAACTCCGATAGCTGATGCCAGCCTACTCGACATGATATCGACATTCCTCAGCGTACCGATCTGCATAGAGGTCGACAATCTGCTGTGTGGCTCCCACTTTTCTGCCCTCTCGACATTGCAGATTGGGCTACTGTGCGACCGTAATGGGGTCATGCTGGACTGGGGGCTTTGGGACGCACTGTTCACTAGCCGGTTATCGCAGTTGAAATTGCGCGGTATATTACGGTAAGTTCTCATGGATTGTTTCCGCGAGGAAATACTCCGAGGCTAATACTCTGTACGATCCCCCAGTACGGTGGTGGAGGTGCGGATGGAGAGTTGAGGCGACGATGCACTCAGGACTAAGGCAATTGGTCTGTAAGGTGATTGAATCGTGTTCGGTATGTTAGTATGCATGTATGAGTACGCCTGAAGAAGTAACGTATAGTGCAGTATGATGTCCATGAGCTGGGCATGTCTCTGCCTCGGTAATTTACCAATAAATGAACAAGACCCCACTCCCGCTCCTGGGATACCACCTGATCGTGCAGCACTTATTGCTCTGCGCCCGAGCTTAACTGTTCTAACTTGGCACTCCACTCTACGACCTTCGGATGCGCCTTTACCTGAGGTCCTCGTCAGACAACGATGTAGTGGACGGCATGGCGTACATACCTTTCTAGCATCGAAACCGAGTACCTGCAAGCCATCCAATGTGGCTGCACGGGACAAGGCGACGTAGCTCTGGCCTATGAGCGAAGTTAGTCTCCCGACCCGACCCAGAGTATGTCTCTGTACCTTTCTCGAAGACCCGGGCAAGGTCAATCTTGACGCGCTCGATGGTCTGTCCCTGGCTCTTATGGATTGACATGGCCCATGCAAGGACGAGTGGAACCTGCACTCCTTTTAGCACCCGACCACCGCTCGAGAGGGCCATGGGGTTGAGCGTTACGTACCTGTACGCGCCGCGCAAGCAGTTTCCCCTCATTGTCCTCTACGCGGAACTCCTCGCGGCCCAACAAGACGATCTCCGTACCATGAGCCGTCCGGAACTCTACGAGGGGGAACAGCTCCTCGTCCTTCACGACGCTTTGCGGCTTCGCGTCTTTCTTCTCCATATCCATGTTCTCCTTTCCTGGCGGTCCCAGAGCGACTGGCGTCCGTCCGTCTGTGCCGACCTGCACATTGCGCACGAGCCCGCCTCCGTTCTTACTGCTCGACTCCTGGGACGCCGACTTCGGCTTCATGGAGCTCGAGCTGCCCTGGCTTTCCGGCGCGGTCACAGACGCGCTACACACGCCAACGCCGAAGAACCCAAGCACGCGCCCGACGCACCCATTCACGAGCCGCTCGTCCACATTCTTGACGAGCATAACCTGTGCATCAGGCTTGAGCACTAGCCGTGCTGGCGCGACCATCTGCTCCAGGATCTTCGGGTGGCTACCGGAATCGCGAGCAGCGTACTCCCGTATAGGGCCAGGCAGTTTTGCTAGCCTACCGTTATTGGAGTTCTCCACTTGCAATCGTAACGGGTATAGCTCTGTCGGCAAGAGCCCGCTCGGCAATGGTGTGAGCGGCCGAGAGAGCGAGGTGAATGTGCGCTGCGCCGAGCTTGTAATCGTTCCTCTCCGGAGCTCGTTTAGTAGCTCAACAAAATCTGGTAAGATCAGTGTCAAAAACCGCGAGTAACTGCACTGGCGTGATGACGGACGGGTATCTTTCTGTCGGTAGACTTGAGTCAGGGTGACAGTATGATCGACGCAGCGTTGCCACGCCGCGCACTCAAAAGCGAAGAATGGCTCCTTGTTAGACTTCGTTACAGGCGGTAGTTGGAAGAAGTCGCCAGTGATGACGAGCTACAGTACGGGGCGTCAAGATAGCCACAACAGAGGATCGCGTAGACGAACCTGGAGACCTCCGAACGGCTTGTCTGTCTTCCTCCGTAGCCTGTCGCCTAGAGACGCAAGCAGCTCAAATAGCTCGCCATCAACCATGGAGACTAAGGGCAATCAGCGACACGAAGGCGGTAATGGTATGAGCTCGGACTCACTCTCATCGATGACGAGCACCTTGGTCGCCTTCCATCGCTGGAACGCCGGTTTGCATGTCTTGATGCAACTGATTTGCCTCTCAATATTCGTCATTCCAGGCGTGACTGCTCCCCATGAGTGAATTGTCATTCCTGTATGCGCGATGATCAGCGCCCCGTGCATGCCGCCACTCAACATAGCGGGGTTCTGATCTTCCCGGAGCCGTACATACCTCCGATATTTGAGGCGGCCATGCCTGTGCTCGCAACAACAGAGACAACCTCTGCTTTCTTGGCGTGCTTCCGACGCAAGGCCGATATAATGGCCCTCAGCAGCAGACTCTTTCCAGTGCCTGAGCGAGTGGTTCAAAACGCCACGTCTACAAATGTGTTGATATATACTCACCAGCTGCACCCGTAAAGAAGACATTCTTCCCCTCGTCGACTACCATTTGGAGGATCTTTCTTTGTTCGTCGTTTAACGCCACAGTGTCCCGGCTACTGGTAGTGCCAGTATTAGAGTCCCCCTTTGTGCTGCTCGATACGGGAACCTGTATCGTATATAATATGAAGTCAGAAGTAGATATAGAGTCAATTGGGAGAGGGGGGACAACCTGTGGGGAGAAGAACCTGTCGAGGGTCGTGCGTGGCCGTTTGGCGTCCTTGGCCGACGCACCATCTTTCGGAATGTCTCCAGTGGACTTGCGCTTTCTTGAAGCTGTGATTGTCGTCGCTGTCGTCGCTGTACGTGCCATTGCAGTCGATGTCGAGCGCCTCGTCGACGGGGAAGACGAATACAAGGTGGGCGAGCGTCGGAGTTTCGACGCGTCGGACAACGGAGAAGTACCTCGACGCGTTGGTCACGTGACGCCGTTGTGGCCTCGCGTTGAGATTGGAGATCACCTGCTGCCAGTGCTACTTATACACTCACCCTTAAGGCCTAAGGGGCCAGGCGGATGGGCAGGAGACTGACACAAGCTGCGAGTGTGGCCTTAGCTCCACCCAGCATTGCGTGAACGTTAATTACGCTTGCCGAGGATATATAATCGTGACAGAGACCTCATAATCATGATGATAGTAGACGCAAAAGATCAGTGCATTGCATTGTAATACCGTGGTAGGGTACAAGCTTGAATACTGGCAAACTGCATACGCACAGTCATCTTGTCGGGCTTTGTTAAATGATATGACCGAGTTTTCTGCTACATCACCCCAGCTCAAAAAAGGCTGGCAGGTTCGACCACAGTACTTGCCCGATGCTATCAGCCCTAGATATGAGTCTCTGATTACATTCGCCGCAAATTTGAGGCCTTGGCGCGGCCACCAGCCTCAGACGCACTGCAGCCCATGCCTCAACGGGGTCTCTCTCCGTTGCGAATATCTCTCCTGTATTTGAATATACGCCCACATCAGCCAGAGTCGCCCAGAATGACTTGATTGCCGGAAAGCACTGGTTGACATGGCCGTCAGGGAGTCCGAGAGTGTCTGCAACAGGGACAAGGACCGCCACGCGTGTATGATAACTGCGTATCCTTTCCTGTCCGCGGACATAGCGTGCGAAGTCCGTCGGCGGAAGCACCTCGAGAGCACGGCCATGTTCGCCGACCCTCGTTGACATACACGTCGAAGCGTAGAACAATGGTGTCAGAAGACTCGAATCGTTGCATCCGGCTTCTCTGAGGAGTGCGATGATGTGGGCCGGGTGCATGGACGTCGTGGCTTGAGGCACGTCGTTGCGGCCCTTCGCTACGGTTGATGTCGCAGCTCTCAAGCTATCACCAGGCGGACGTCGTACGAAAATAAGTGGTCGTCTAACCCCCAGGGTTTTTTCGATGGTTGAACGCTTGTAATGCTGATCCAGAACAGACGGCCACCTGTCTTGGATGCGAGTGTAGATCTCCGTGAGAGTAGGCTCGATACGATATTTTGTCGCCATACGGAAGGCGCTGCTTAGCAGGGAGAGCTCGCTGGCAGCAAATTTCAGGGACTCCACGCGACTGCGGTGTCATGAATACTTAGCCTGACACCTTCAAAGAGCTATATGATACTCACAAGTCGTTGTACACAATCTTCAGTAGCACTTCTGCATCCTCCTTCGTCTCGTCCAGCGGAACGTCGAGACACCCTCGTAGAATATCCGGCTTACGGTCTTCATGCTCGTTTGAAGTGAGAATATCACAGAGCACAGGGGAATGCTTTGACACGATCGAGCGGTGGACGCGGAAAAGTGTGTTCTCGCAGCTGAGATTGACGTTGCCATCGTCGTAGTAAAGCGAGGGATGCTCTACGAACGCGCTGTCATCGTATCTCCCGAGTTCCGCGTCGTCTTCTAAGTGAGGTTGCCGCGACCTTTTGCGGGGTGGCTGGGCTGCGTCCGACATGTGGAGATGATAGATACACCCGGCGGAATGCTACCAGTGCCAGGGACGCGGCAATAACTTCAGATTCAAAAACAATGTATCCTTATGAGTGCTCAACAGTCAAAAATCAGGGCATAACCTACCACACTCACGGAGAGCTGCTGTGTATATCTTGAGTACGGCGCAGAAGACAGTGTGCAGTGAGTAGGCTGAACCAGCTGGTCACGGTCATGTGACGTGGTACACCACGCGCCGGGCGGGTCCCGGGAGCTTGAGCTAAGTTTTTTCCGTTGACGCAGACTATCAAACTTCCCGCGAGCGCAAACTGCAGCGTGCTGTTCTCCCCCGACAGCGACGCGGAATACTTTCGTAGTGATACAGTGTATACTGCAACATCATCAAGTACTGAGCTATAACAGCCCGCGGATTGTACTATCGAGCCCTATTACTATTGCGCATACGGTGAGTATAGTATCGTGACGTCTCCAAGTCCTAAACTTTTGTACTAGCAGTCAGCAAAGCAGGAGTAAAATTCTAAAACAAAGACACAGCAAACCACAAAGTAAGATTCGACCACAATCCCTGCCTGATGGTTTTCATCATCGTAATCAACTTGTCAGAGCATCCGGAACAAATGTTGTATCTGGTACAATGCATGGGATGAATTGTCAGTCTGTCAATTATCAAACCCCATGCCTCGATCGGTTCTCGCGCTGCCGCGAATACCACATTAGTATCCATCCACGCTCCGCCCAAGTCGGCCCAGAAGACCCTAATGCCCGGCCAACATTGATATTCATGATCGCCAGGGAGTGCTAGATTATTCGCAGTGGGGGAGACCGCCATGCACTGCGCGTGGAAGCAGCGTAGATACTCTAGCCCTCGGATATATCGCACGAGGTCCATCTGCGGGAGCGCGTGGAGAACACGATCATACCCGGCGAGATTGGTCGGCGCGCACGTCCAGGCGTAGAGGAGCGGGGTCAGGATCTCTGGGTCGCGACAACCAGCTGATCTGACCAGCGCGAGGATGTGAACCGGGTGAATGAATGCGACACGCCGCGTCGAAGGAGCAGTGGGTCTCACTGTATTCACCACCGTGCCGTCCTCCCCAAGCAACGTTACTCCGATCGGTCCTCTGAGGTTCATCCTCTCCTCGAGTGCTATTCTTCTGTCATGTTTCTCCAAGTCGGATGGCCACTTGTATTTGATTCGAGCGTAGACTTCGACGAGGGTGCGCTCGATGCGAAACTTCCCGGCCGCCCGGAAGATGCTCGTCACCAACGACAGCTGGCTAGTGACGAACGTCAGAGTGTCTAGGCGACTGCAAGGTCGTGTGTCCACCATTCCCGTCAGCCTCTCAGCGTATAGCATGATAGTACAGCACTTACAGGTCATTGTATACAATTCTCATCAGCGTCTCTGCGACCTGTGTCTCGACATCTAGTGCGATGTGGAGACACCCACGTAGCACGTCCGGCTTGCGGTCTTCATGCGCCTTCTGCTCGAGCATATCGCGGAGTACGGGCGAAGCCTTGCACAAGATCGAGCGGTGCGCACGAAACAGCGTGTTCTCGGAACTGAGAATGACGTTGCCGTCGTCGTAGTAGAGCGAAGGGTGCTCTACATATGTGCCCTCATCGCGACACTCGGACGTCGTGTCGTCTTCTGAGTCGGTTTGCCGCGGTCTCTTTCGGGTCGAGTGGCTTGCGTCCATGTTCAAGCTTGACGATCGGTGAATGAGAAACGAAGCGCTAGTTACATCTGAAGTCACCCCGTTGTATATATACTCTGGGTCACCGGTCGGCGGAGCAGTCACCAGGCCAAGGCGAATTCGAATTGGTCGACAGCAAGTCGACAGCGCAAACGTTGGAACAATGGAAGGACATTGGATGCCTTCCCGCAGGCTTTCCAGTGATTCTAAATGCATGCGCGGGCCTTGAATCTTATGGTTAAGGAATGTTTATCTGCAGTGCGCCTCCGTAGCTCCACTCAAAGTCCATGGATGCTACCTTGCGGAGTTCAAATGATGCCGCGCTGCCGTTGTGGCACAACGTTACCGTCGCGTAAGACACCAGCTGGCTGTGCGAATGTGTCTGTATATTTTCAAGCATATATATCTCACTGACTCGCATGTTCCATGGGCGAGGCTTGTCTGCTGTCATTGTCGAGCTAGACCGCTGCGAGACGGCTTCGTCGAGCGAATATGCTACGAGGTAGGTGGCATCGCGCACAGGCGGCATCGGGGCGGTAAGATCCAAATCTCGTCGGAGGCTCAAACTCAACTTTACGGACGTGTTTTGTACCTAGAAGGGGGGGTCCTACCCCCCTTCTAAATGAGCTGTTTAGAAGAGAGGTGTACTGATCCGAAGCAACGGTACACACGAGATGCTGACTTGCCGCAGAGATTTACAGTGCGAATTTAGGATAGAACGCGCTGTAAACCTCTGCGGGAAGGCATCCATTGTAAGAATCATGATACATTTTCTCACGGTGTTCACTGACCCAAACGGGCCACCATACTGACCATATGTTTGGACACCGGACATGCGACATGCGCGTGGGTTGTGGCACTGGTATGTACTATGCGCGTGGGCTACGGTAGCATGTACATACGTCTTAGCACGTTTGTTCGCTTGTGGCGGTTAATAAATGCAGAATTCATCATCATCATCATACGGTAGCATGTACAGCCACAAGGAAATAACAAACACTGGCCTTGGGATGTCCTGATACAGAACCGTGACGAGGAAGCCCGTTCATTTCCTGTTCATTTCCGCAACATTTTGTGCGAACATCGTGTGTACAAGGTTGGTGACATACTTAAGCATGTCCAAAGCATACGGTCTCGTTCCTACATAAGCACAGTGTCCGAACATGCTGCTCCACGAATGGAACATGGCGAGACCATACAGTATTATGCCCGCAAATCCAGCAATCTGAACGTTCTTCGCGTGTCTTGCATCACCATGAGGCTGACATGAGTGTTGTTGTATGATGCGGAAATCAACCGGCTGTCCTCCTCGTGCGGGTGGAAATTCTTCTATGGGCTGCCTTCATGGTGATAGTAGGCGAGCTCGAGACGTCCGGAGGCCCGCGGGGAGGAGCATGAATTTCGATGGATCTCAATTTGGTAAACAGACTCGTCCCCGCCATAGTCTCCCGTAGGCAGCCCACTAGGACGACCTTTCTGAGGGGAGGAGGGCGGTCGTCTCCCCGCCAGGGCCGTCGGGTGGTCCAACAAGTACCACTATGAGCGCCCCGTTGAGCTCTGAAGCTGAAGATCTGAAGTATACCTGAGGCCAGCACCGTCACGTATGCCACCTCTGGCCAACGCAATTGCGCCCTCGAGGCGCTTCTTCGTGCGCTAGGTTCGCGAGTAGGAACAGATGGGAATGGCTGAGGTACTGAATAACTCATCCGCTCGGCGGCGAATTCGAACTTGAACTAGGTTGGAAAGCTCAGGCTGAGTACAATGATCTACTTATGTGGTTCCTGCTGCGAAATATGTTATGTTTGGCCACACGCTATCATTGTGAAGAACAGAACATTGTCTGATATCACCACCTTTGCACCCTCTCGAGTTGGTGTGTTCGCTGTCCGCGTTGATTGACTGCCAGTGGTGCGTACTACACTGGCCACCGTCGGCGTACTGCAGCGCGCCATCGGTGTCTAGAGTCCAGAAGCCGGCCGCGGCAGGACCCGGGACACGCTACGCGCGACGTCACACGCCATGCCCACCCGCCTCCGCCTCCGCGCCCTCGCCCTCGCCCGCAAACTCCAGTCCTACCTACAGTACCGTCTCACTGTATCATACACACCGCTCCTGACACCCTAGGGGACCGTATCGCCTGCGCACAACCACAGCCTCTCCTATTAGACAGCAAATTCTGAATTGGAAAGATGTCGAGCGAATCGACCGCGAAGCCGACGTCGAGCGAGAACATCGTCGCGCAGAAGGTGCGTGTGGGGCGTGTTCTAGAGCGAAGGCGAAGGCGGAATTGCTAACTGTTGTTTTTGCCGTGGTTGGCGCAGTATGACCGCTGCTGTAGGTGTCGTCGTGCTCGTGTTGCTGCCGGGCGACTGACGGAACATGCATGAATTCATGACCGCTGCCCACCGCCGTTCCCGACACTCTCGTTCTGTGCGTGCACCTCTGCAACTCTTGGCGCAAACATACTCGACTGGCAGTGGCGGACCTTCTCGTGAAGTCGTACGTCCAACTCACCCTCACACGATACACACCCCTCTCATCTTGCTCTCTTCTGCTCGTTTTCCTTGTGAATGCTCACGCACCCATTCCTTCTCCGACCGCACCCTCCCGTCTCAAACCCGCGCTCCCATTCACCCTTCCAGAGGCGTAGGCTTCAGTGTCGGCGTGATCGCCTCCGTCATCCTCTTCCGCCGTAAGCTCCTCCCCTCCCCTTCTCTCCTCCACCCGCGCACGACGCTCACACGCCTACCCCTCCGCGCCGCTAGGACGAGGGTGGCCCATCGCACTGTCGACCGGCTTTGGCGCAGGGGCCGCCTACGCGGACTGCGACCGGTCGTTCAACCCCGCGCGGATACCGGGCACGCGCGTCGTCAGCGCGCAGGAGCTTGCGGCGCTCGCGGCGCAGGCGCAGCAGCCGAAGTAAACGGGCGGGACAGACAACGTGGAGAGGTGAAGGTAGAGCGGAGAGCGGAGAGGGGGTGCGTAGATACGCGCACGGATTGTGGGCACGACTACGCGTACGGTACATGGTGGTCATATAACTTAGAAGCGCTTCATCCTCTTGGTCTACGCTGCCCCCGGCCCGCCACCTCCTCCCTTCGCATGCTTCAGAGCTGGCGCGAGATCCTTGTAAACCGGTCCTTCCCGCCTTAGGCTCCCCGCTCCCCGTACTCCTAGCGACAGCGCGCCCTTCCTTTGAGATGATCGTCTAGAAGCGCGAGGCGGCGAGGTAGGACGTTGCTCTCCTTCCAATGCCAACATGCCTGTCAGTGCTCCGCGGTCGGTCCGTCGCTACTCCCGTCTGAGCCAACTTTTATTAGTGCTTCCTCATCCCCGCCGTCTGTGCTGCCCGCGCCTAAACTCAAGTTGACCGTTATTTTCCTGAGAGGGACGATGCGCCTGTCTTCAACGTCGCCATCGCCCCTTGGCGAATAGACTGTCTCCGTTCGTGGGAGCGTGCGTTGCGGCTCGCCGAGGACGAGGCGTTTGTAAAGGACGACTGTATGTAGAACATCAGCGACGGGCCGGCACAGAGGCACGACTGTATTCTAGATCCCTAGTCGTTCGCGGATCTGTGGATGTGCTCTATGGACGAGCTGTGTACTTACAAGACGTGGCTGCCATGATGGGCACGGTGACTATGATCGTCCTGAGGCGTCGCGCTTGTGCAGATAGCTTTGGTGCCATTTGTTGCGAGGATCAGGGACTCGGTCGTGCTGCAGGACCACAGGAGTCCGTAGCGCGCTCCTGCTAGCCAGAAATCGCAGCTTGGACGAAATGGATGAGCACATCCGCCCGTCCCGGTTCGCGCTGGCAGATCCCGGCGTTGAATTGATCAGAGCGGAGCGCCCATGTAGGAATGTGGAAGCGCCCGTTGTACTTGGCAAGCCGCATGTGACGTCCCTGGAATGCTCACCACACCATGTCTCTGCTACACACCAACATCCAACTACCATCTCACATCGCACTCGAACCTTTGAACGTCTGAATCCAAGTCGATGGCGCATACCAACGGCACTGAAGTTGTCCCTACGCTCCCGGAACCTAGCCGCCCCTCGAAAGGTGAGCTGAAGCCCGAGGAGTTCTGGTGGCGCGACCGGCAGAAATGGCTCGAGGACCAAGGCTATGTACTTCGTGCCCGCTACAAACCGGACTGGCTGCCGTCGTGGAAGACGTCGCACAAGCCGTACTGGAAATGCGAGGACGGACAGCCGATCATGGTGCGTGGCCCTTTGTCGCCTTCTTCGACTGGCGACCCGTTCTCGGAGACGACCCAACGCCCGACCTCCCAAGGTTCCCCATATACTCGACGCGACACGGCTGTCCGACGGCGAACCCGTGGTGTTGAAGAGGATCCTCACCAGTCAACACCCGTACGAGGTTGAAATCACACGCTTCCTATGTTCTGAGCCGCTGGCCTCGGACTCTCGCAATCACTGTGTGCGCCTCTATGATGTTCTAGACGTACCGAACGAAGATGACATGGTGGTCTTGGTTCTGCCCCTGTTACGTCGATATGACAGTCCACCCTTCGAAACGGTCGGAGAAGCGGTCGACTTCTTCACTCAAGTGCTCGAGGTGGCTCCAGGACCTACATCAGCCTGTAGCGGCGGTACTGACGAGGAGACTTTCACAGGGCCTACAACTCATGCATCATCACCATGTCGCGCATAGGTAGGGTCAATACGTGTGTGTGTGTGTTCCGGTCCACCTCTGACCGCCCCCAGGGATTGCATGAATCAAAACATCATGTTGGATCCCAAACCGCTCTATCCGGAGCCGTATCACCCTCGCGTCATCGACTGGACCCGGGACCTCTCGCGACCCGTGAAGCACCACATGCGTACGACTCACCCGACCCGGTACTTTTTCATCGACTTCGGACTATCGCGCAGGTACGACCCCGCCGGCGGCGCGCCGCGCGAGCCCCCGATACTCGGCGGGGACAAGTCCGTGCCGGAGTTCCGCAGGGCAGCGGGTGCACCGTGCGACCCGTTCCCGACGGACGTCTATTACCTCGGAAACCTCTTCCGCGAGGACTTCTTGCAGGTGCGCGGTGTGGATCTATGCGGATGGCACGCCGAGCTCACGGCGGTGATGCGTAGATGTATCATGGCGTGGAGTTCATGCAGTCTCTGGTCGACGACATGGTCCGGGACGAGCCCAAGGAACGACCGACCATCGACGAGGCGCTCTCGCGGTTCCAGGAGATCTGCGCGTCGCTCAGTTCAAGAAAGCTACGGTCTCGGCTCGTGGCTAGAGACGAGAATCCGGTGGAGCGCGTCGTCAAGGGCGTCAAGCATGCTCTTGGGAGCACGCGGAAAGTGTCTCATCCTGTGTCGGCCGTGAACAGCGGAAGAGAACAGTCGCCCGCGTAACGAGCACGCTTGTTGTGTCAGTTGGATGTCCAGCAATACAAGCTAGCTCAAGGATTACTCCAGTGTGCACGGTGATACGTGTCATCCGCTTTGTGAGTCGAATCAATGTGTGAGTTTCAGGTGTCGATTGTCTTCAGAAGCTATCCGGTGTTTGACTCACCATGATCTCACACCTGTAATCTACTATGTGGTATAGTGTTGTTGATGTCTGACCTTGTCTGAGATCTATTGGCGGTACATGTATTATTATATGACAGCGACTTCGTACTCGTTGTATTCTCCAGCCCCACTCTCTAAAGACGGCGAGCGCACTGGTTGGTGAGTGCTCCTACATGTAAACCCACCACTCGCAAAGCTCACATCCCCCCTCCCCCCGGCTGTCCCATGCCGCGGTAGCCTCACCGGATTCTCGACGCATTCACGACTATCACGGCTGTCTACGACTCAATCTCACTCGCTCATTCACCAAACCCACCCCTCTCACCGTTGAAACCGCTCACATGCATTTCTCTGCTGCACTGCCGTTCGCATTTCTGGCTGTCAGCCGTCGCCCGCCCTCTCCCTGCCTCTGCGTATGTCTTCTTACTATCGTTGTCGCGACAAAGCAAAGACTGATGACTCCTCCTTGCCCGGGTGCATATGATCCCAGTGAGGATGATGCTGAGCTGTGGACACGCGACGCTGCGGCGGATGCGTGGGCGCGTGATGCCATAGTCAGTCTGCTGGCGCGCGGCGATTTTACTGTTGAGGACGTTCCAATGATCGTTCGCGCATACGCCAACGGACCACTGGCTGTACGCTCACCCTCCAAGAAGCTCATGTATACGCCAGGGTGGCCGGATGAACAGGACAAGAAGAAACAAGAGGAGGAGAAGAAGAAGAAGGAACAAAAGGAGCAACAACAGAAGGAACAGAAGGAGGCGGCGACGAAGGCAGCGAAGGCAGCGAAGGAGGCGGCAGTGAAGGCAGTGAAGGCAGTGAAGGCAGCGAAGGCTGCACAGCAGCCGGAGGATGAACAGCGACTGCTCGATGACTACAGTTAGGTTGTTCCAGGATATGTATATGTATGGCTCAAGTTCGCGTGTCCTAGCCTACTTATCATCAAGGTCACTTGCCAGAGCACACCAGTGGCTAACATAGAGCTAGCTTTGGGAGAAGTATCCATGGGTAGCTGACAGGTGAGCGCAAGTGCAACTTCAAAGTTCAAGTCGTCCGATCCTCGTCAACTCGACCATGACCGCGCCATCCCGGTCCTCCGGGCTCGCTCAACCCGACCATCCAATGGTGCACGCGGTCAAGGATATGCTGGGGGAGGCATTGTCCCGGCGCGCATGTGCTACGACTCGGAATAGGTGCGCTATCGCGTTGATAGTGCGTCTGTTGTTCCGGAGTCGCAGGTGAACGAACGTCCGTATTGGACTATCTCGCACCGTCCCTGTCGCCCAACCTCTCACGCTCTAGAGAGGAGCGGATGTAGCTGCTTCTCAGAGAACGATCTGATCCGAGCGAGCCTCCGCTGTGAGAGCCCACTCAACTCAACAATCGCCACTGAAAACGTACGAACCGGACACACTTCGGTATCCTTCCGCAGAACCACACTCCTGGGCTCCATATGCATCACCTCCGATGCAGACCACTGCACGGATGAGAACGACCAGACGGGTCCAGGAAGTCTTCAAATTCGCATTGCTACCGCTTCAATACTAATGTACAGCTATACAGATTTACACTTGACCATGACATACTCACTAGGTATATAACCAACTACATATCAGCACTAAGTAATAAGATACAGCAAGTCGGGCGCGTGCAGACTCGGGGAGGGAGACACCACAAACTCAGCCGGCGGGAGGTATCCGGGTTAGCCGTGCACAGGGTCGGCAAAGGGGGGGGCAGCTACGACGCGGCGACTTTGACCTTGATGAGTTCGACGACGCTGGGGTCCGCGAGCGTGCTGAGGTCGCCGAGCTGGTCGCCCTCGCCCGCGACGATCTTGCGCATGATCCTGCGCATAATCTGCCCCGCACGCGGTCAGCGAGCCATCCGCACAGCGCAGCAGCAGCGACAGGGCCTACCTTGCCCGAGCGCGTCTTGGGGAGGTCCGAGACGAGGTATATCTTCTTGGGCGCCGCGAACGGCCCGATGACCTTGCGCACCTGCAGCGTGAGCTCCTTGATCAGCGCGGTTTCGTCCGTCCCGTCGAACTTGAACTCCCTGCGGACAGCGCACGTCAGCGGCCCGGCAAGCACTCGCAGAGGGGAGGGACGCACGGCTTCAATGTCACGAACGCATATACAGCCTGGCCCGTCAGCTCATCCGCAGTGCCGACCACCGCGGTCTCGGCGACGCCCGCGTGTGTGATGAGCGCAGACTCGATCTCCGCCGTCGACAGACGGTGGCCAGACACGTTGATCACATCTGCCCGAGCGCACCCACACCCGACCGCATTAGCACCGCGCGGCGCACAGAAAGAGGAAGCACGCACCGTCGACGCGGCCCTTGATCCAGATGTAGCCGTGCTCGTCCCGCGCGGCGCCGTCGCCCGTGTAGAACACGCCAGGGTAGGGCTACATCGAGCGAGAATGGCGTCAGCTCACGCATGCGCGCACAATAGCGCGGGCGGGCCCGGAGACGCGGCTCACCTTCATGTACGTCTCGAGATACCTGTCGAATCAGTCATCCGCGCATGTACACGTGACCGCATCAGTACGCGTCGAGAGGGGGAAGTGAGAGCGACACGCACCGCTGGTGGTCCTGGTAGACGGAGCGCGCGATCGACGGCCAGGGCGTCTTGAGCACGAGCACGCCCTCGACGTCGGGGCCCTCGAGCTCCTTGCCGGTGGTGGGATCGAGGATGGCGGTCTCGATGCCGAAGAAGGGGACGGTCGCGGAGCCCGGCTTCGTCTCGATCGCGCCGGGGAACGGCGTGACGACGATGGAGCCCGTCTCGGTCTGCCAGAAGGTGTCGACGATGGCGCACTGGCGGCGGCCGACGTGGTCGTTGTACCAGTGCCACGCCTCGGGGTTGATCGGCTCGCCGACGCTGCCGAGCACGCGGAGCGAGCTGAGGTCGTGCTCCTTGACGTGGTGGTCGCCGAGCCGGCGGAGAAGGCGGATCGCGGTCGGCGCGGAGTAGAACTGCGTCACCTTGTGCTTGTCGACGGCCTGCCAGTAGCGCGACGGCGTCGGGTACACGGGCGTCGACTCGAACACCATCGTCGTCACGCCGTTCATGAGCGGCCCATACACGATGTACGTGTGTCCCGTGATCCAGCCGACGTCCGCCATGCACGCGAAGCGGTCGTCCGGGTGCACGTCGAACACGTACTTGACCGTCAGCGCCGCGCCGAGGAGGTAGCCCGCGGTGGTGTGCACCACGCCCTTCGGCCGCCCGGTCGATCCGGAGGTCTGCGGGGGAGGCGCGTCAGCTCAGGGGTGCCTGATCGGGCTAGATCACGGATAGACTCACGTAGAGAATGAAGAGCGGGTCCTCGGAGGACATGACCTCAGGCGGGCAATAGCTCGGCACTTTCGCGAGCTCCTCGTGCCACCAGCGGTCGCGCCCGGGCGTCCACGGGACCTCGTTCCCCGTGCGCTTCAGCACGAGCACATGCTCCACGACGGGGCACTCCTTGACCGCCGCGTCCGCGATGACCTTGGTCGCGATGGTCTTGCCGCCGCGGCGGCCCTCGTCGCTCGTGATGAGCACGCGCGACTTGCAGTCCTGCACCCGGTCCCGCAGCGACTCCGCGCTGAAGCCCGCGAAAACGACCGAGTGCACCGCACCGATGCGGGCGCACGCGAGGAACGCAGCGGCTGCGTGCCAGGTCATGGGTAAATAGATGGAGACCGTGTCGCCCTTCTTGACACCGAGCGACTTGAGCACGTTCGCGATCCCGCAGACCTCGCGGAGCAGCTGTGCGTACGTGATCTCGCAGCCCTCATTTGGTTCGTCTGCTTCGTAGATGATGGCAGTCTATCGGAATGAATTGGGGTTGGCGGGGCTTCTCGTGATCTGGAGAAGAAGAAGACGAGAAGCGCACCTTGTCGGGGTGCTTGAACGCCCAGCGGTCTACGCAATTGTATGACGCATTGAGACCACCCTCCGGGAACCAGACGATGTCGCCCGTCTCGAAGCCTCCCGCGCGGACGGTGTGGAACGGCCTGTCCCAGGATATCGTCTCCCTGGCCATCTTGGGCACGCGTCAGACTGCGTTTGGAGTCGTGCAGGCTACACACGTACCTTGGCCCACCACTTGTCGCTCTCATGGCCGAGGGTCTGCGAATGCAATGCCCTGGTGACGGGTGAGGACGCGAGGGGCGCGGAGAGGCGGCGGAACTCACTTGTAGGCGTGGATGTGCGGCCCGACGTGTGGTGTTTTGAGGCCGTCCTTGACACGGGGCGCGATGGGGTGCAGCGGGACGGGTTCGTGGGGCACTTCGGACATGGCTGGGAGGGAGAACGGCGGACAGGGTAATGTCGAGCCATGGCGCGGTGGCGGGACTATATATGAGGGACCTCCCCTGGTCATCCCAGCCTAATCCGCTAGCGGGGCGCGCGTGATCAGACGATCGAGCGGACCAATCATCAGTGTGACCGCCCGCGGCGCGATCCTCCTGTCTATCGTGTCCCTGTCCGGCCTGGCTGCTTCCTGGCACCTCCGCCCGCTGCCCTCGCCCACCGCTACTTCCCGGCCTACCCTTCGTCGCACGACCGCCCGTCGTCCTGACCGCGGTCCTCCAGCGTCGGTGCTGCTTGCCTTCCAGGAACGGATAACGATCGCATCTCGTTGGGGAAGGGCGGGCGTTTGGCTGGGATTTCCCGACGCGGCACCGGTGCGCTGAGCAGTCACCCGGAACGCCGTCGAGGGGCCCTCGTTCGAATACGATTATCCTGTGTCGCAACTGTGTCCTCGTAGACACCCACTCCCTTCTGGACACGTCCGACACGAGCACCTTCTGACCGTATGGGCCGACGTCATGCCCCGAGAGAAGCCTCCGAGGGAGCTTCGCGGCAGCCCCGAACCCGCGCACGGCAGCATAGAGCCCGGATACCGACTCTGCGACGGCGACAACGAAGTCGCAGCGCCTGGCAGCGCAGAGCCCGGGAGGATTTTTGCGCGCGTGCCCAGTTGTCGCCGTGGCGCGATTTCCATTAACCCCGCAGTTTAGCGCGTCCCGTGCGCATGCCCTGCCCCGCTTCCCCGCACCTAAGTACCGAGCCCGCAGCGTCGGAGGGCGTCAGCAGCCTCTGCGTCCAATCCCATTGGCCCCTGGCACCGAAACACCGGCCTCAACCATACCGGTCTCCGAGGAAGCCGCCAAGAACACTCCCTGGCAAGCAATCCTACGCTGCCTGGATCGCATGTAGGCTCCCTACGTGGTCCGATTGCAAGAGTACGTACTGTGCGAATGGCGCCTACGTCGGAGAAGACCCCTGATGCGACCGGAACCGTGTCATGGCATGTTCAGTGCTTCTGCTTCTGGACACGGCGTACGACTAAAGACATCGCGTGAGTGTGCAGCATGTATGTGGCGTGATCTCAAGCATACGTACTACGAATAGAGCGAGGACCCCTGTTGGATTGGCTTACACAGTGCGCCGGACGTCTGACTTCGACAGCAGCTCGGTGGCGGCGATTGAGGGCAAGCGTTGTGCCCATCCAGGACCGGTGTGGGCGAGAGAAGTGTGTACTTAGTGGGCCGCGACGATCAATGTATACCGGAGCTGAGTAGTCGACGTCGATGAACCGCGCGCAGCTCCCTCGCTGCTCGTGCGCGTCTTGTCGGGATGTCGAAGCGCTCAAGTTCGGACGACTGAGAGTGGGAGAGAAAAGGGGGAAAGATTCGATGATCCCTCGCGGCGCAGGCCCGCGGTATAAGTACACACGAAGCGGCCAGATGCGGAGCGCGTCCGAGCTACATGACGTAAACGATACGAGCGGAATGACATGACTTGGAACGAAAGAGTGAAATGGGGAGAAGGAATCGAGACCGAAACAGGCAAGGGAACTACCATAAAGGGAAAGTGCTATCGTGAAGACAGAATGGGACGCCCGCCCGGGCGACAACGTCCTTCAACTCCCTTCAAGCTAAAACGAACGACCGCTGTCTCGGCGCGAGTCTGGACCGACCGGGACGAGAACTATTTACTTGCGCGACCCGCCCCGTCAGGTGCGGATCCGTCCGACGTCGTGTCGGTTTCCTCCTCCACATCGGGAATAATGTGATATGTAATGCAAGTTATATCTTTACTGGAACTATCCTACAACTTTTCCTGTCGAAGGTCTGCTGCCAGTTGCCTGATACAGCCACAAAGTCGCTAGAAAAGGAAGGTCTCTTCAGGGTTAGGTTGCCGTAGCCCGAGCAATGTATGATACCATACTACGAACTTGAATATGCACTGCATGCGCGCGTATATCGCCATCTACTGTAGTGCTGACCCCCTATAAGGATTAATTCGGATGTCATGGCTTCGCGATTGTTTTCGCTAGGGTGTGCATATGGCCCCGTTTAACATTGCAGCGAGCTCAGAACAGTTCGTTGAGCAATCTGTCTATCGACGTTGTATTCAAGCAAGTTCCTATCTTCTTTGCCCGCAGTATGCATACCATAGGAGTACATGGACATGTACATACAGTACGCTGGGCTGGGGGCCACAGTGACACGCTTGTCACAGTAACGGTCACGCAGTGACGCGACGCGACGCGACGGCCTAAGCAACGGGTGTCGCCTTCCTGCTCGCGTTCGTTCGCCTCCCACCGTCCCTCGTAGCCCAGCTCACGCGAAGCCTCCATTGAATTCAATTTTCGAAGCACCACGGTACTCACGTCTCACCACCGCGTCAAGCCGCGGCCGTACAACCGGCCAATACATACCCGTGCGCCGACTCGGAATGCGTGGTCGATCCCGAACGGGCCCCACCACGGCGAAGGCGACAAGGAGCTCAACGCGGGGAGCCGCACCTCCGGGTGGAGAGGCCGTGCCCGCGAAGACAGGCAGGAAGGGTGGGAACCGCGGATCCGGAGGTGCGCGCACGAAGGGGAAGGGCCGGGCGAGCGACCCGGAGGAGCGTGGTCATGCGGGTGGCGCGGGTGACGACGGAAGCGACGGGGAGGACGGGGAGGAGGCGGAGGTCGAGGCGGCGCTGAACAGCGACGCGTTGGACGAGGAGGAGGACGAGGAGCCCGCAGGCCCGAAGCGGAAACGCGCGTCGGTCAGCGAGGCGCGCAAGAAGCGCAGACGCGTGTCGGACAGGTCGTACAGGTACAAGCACGAGGAGGACGGCAGCGAGCCCTCCCTCGACAGCGACGCGCTCGACGACGACGAGGACGTGGGTGTAAAGAGGAAGAAACGCGCGTCGGTGGCGAAGGCTGCGCCCAAGAAGAGCTCGCCGGAGAAGAAGGCCTCGCCTAAGAAGGCTTCGCCGAGGAAGAAGCGGAACCAGGAGGAGAGCGAGGACGAGGATGACGGGCTCGACTTGAAGGATGGCCAAGAGGTCGTCGGTGTGGTCGTGCAGGCGCCAAAGAAGGGACGAGGTATGTAGCCAACGATGGCAGACCCTGACGTTCGCATCTAGGAAAGTATGTGTTGACTGTTCGCTACAGTCCCGCCAGGCCAGATATCCAAGAACACACTCAACTTCCTCTCCGAGCTCAAGAAGCCAGAGTGCAACGATCGCGAGTGGTGCGTCAACTTCTTCCCTACACTCGCTCTGGGCTCGTGCTTAACTCTTTGCCATTAGGTTCAAGCTCCATGGTGCGCTCACCTCCTTCTCGTGTTACTTCGCCTCTGACGCGTGCGCACACACAGAGCCGGTATACCGCCTCGCGGAGAAGGAGTGGAAAGACTTCGTCGACGCGTTCACGCCCCTGCTCGTCGAGGTCGACACCCAGATCCCGCACCTGCCACCGAAAGACGTAATCCACCGCATCTACCGCGACGTGCGTGTCTCTGCCGTACATTCTTCCCGGCCCCTTATGCTTCATGATGCCTGGCCCACTTGGCTTGGCGCGCTTCCGCCGTGCTTCTCGGGCAGGTCGCGATAGCAAGTGAATACGCGTGCTGATTGATTTCCGTTCTGTGGGCAGGTTCGCTTCAGCAACGACAAGACGCCGTACAAGACGGGCCTCTCCGCGAGCTTCTCCAGGAGTGGGCGGAAGGGCATCTTCGCGCATTGTGCGTTCCTTCTATCGGTCGTTCCTGTGCATACGATGCTGATTGTCGGCTAGATCATATGTAAGTTGGCCATCGCGCTGTCTTGCGTAACATGCCGTTGATGGTCGTACGTGGGTTTGCAGCGCTAGTGAGTCTTTGCGTGCGAGGGAAGCGTGTACGTGAGCTGACGGGTTCGCAGTCATACCAGGCGGAGAGAGCCTCATCGCGGCGGGGGCATGGCAGCCGGGCAAGAACGAGCTCGCGACAATCAGGTTCGTTCCCAGCCCTGCGACTCTGTTCGGCCCAGCGGGCTCTGATGCGCTGCGCAGGAACAACATCCTCCGTTCGCCGAGACGCCTGCGCAATATAATCTCTGAGCCCGAGTTTGTGCGCTACTTCGGAGAGGCGAGGCCCGACGCAAAGGGCGGCCGGAGCAACATCTTCGGGCGGGAGGATGAGCTGAAGAATGCGCCGAAAGGCGTGGCGAAAGACCATCCGTGCGCACCCATTTTACAATCAAATGCCGCCAAATGTTGACAGTGGTTGCGCCCAGGGACATCGACTTGCTCAAGTGCCGGTCCTTCGCTGTCGTGCATCAGTGGGTTGTGCTTCGGCGTGCGTGTTCGGGCTGTAGCGCTGACATGCGCTGGCATCAGTTTCCTAGACAGCGAGGTGGTAGCACCGGACTTCAAAGAAGCACTCTGTAAGGTCGTCAAAATCGTCAAGCCGTTCGTGCATTGGTAAACCTTACTGCCATCTATGTTAACACCGAGACAAACTGATGCTCTGTGGATCCTTCCTTAGTCTCAACGACATGATGTCCATCCAAGACGGGGATAGTTCGGATGACAACGACGATGGTGAGGAAGGTGATGACGGCGGTGACGATGACGAATGAGAAGGGGGAAATAGGGAGAGTAGCCGTTATTTTGATTGATGGGCCCCGGTGACTTGTTGTATGATCTTTAGTTCGCTCTTGTTTTTGACGACGTCCTGGATATATGCACGCACTCTACCTTTCCCTCGTATTGTTGTACTCACTTGTTAATGGATAATAGACCCACGGTGTCGCTAACGCAGTAGATTGGGAGTTGCCGCACGGCGCAGACTTTGTCGCGGGGTCAATGCGGTTCGAGCTGCGTGAACGTTCGCCCCTCAACGTCTTGTGAACAAGGAGCACACCAAAAAGCATTCCATTCGAACATCCCGGATATTCAGATCTACTCGACTTTCCGCTGGTCCCGATACTGCTTCGCCCACTGTTATTCGGGACATTAAGCGATTGGCCTACAATGCATGATGATGACTTACGAGCATCGAGGGTATGAACCGTACAGGCTCAATGTATCTCACCTACCAGTCGAATGTCAAGGAATGTAAGAGAGGTGTGGTAAGGATGAACGTGCCTCCTTCTCTGCGCTCCAGCTCCAGCCGGCGTAGACGACTGCGAGAATACCGGCGAAAGCAATGGCGGTGTTCGATTTCCAGTTCGCGGGTCGTGTCCACCAGCCGCCTGTTGACCGTTACAGTGTAGAATGGACAGAGCGAGTAGAACAATTGTGTGAGGGCACGGTCAGCTTTGTCCAGGGCTTGAACGATGAACGACGTACCAGCTGGTGACCAGACTTGCTTGGGGTACGGATATCTCGCGCCTCCTCCCTACAAACATCCTTTCATCAGAACATTTCTCTTGCGTTGACGAGGAAGGCGCACCATTGTGAATGTATGTTGGAGGGAAAGTGATGGACGGGTACAACAGGTCGAGTCTTCCGACCGAACCGGCGTCGGGTCGCTCGTGCAAACACGTGGATGCAGACGCGGAGGCGCGATACCTAGCATAATTACAGGATGTTGCACTCTCTGATTTGCCTCACCACCTCCCCACCGCCTCCTCAATATAGGGCTAGATGCTGAGCGGTCTGCTGAATTATGTCAAGGAGCGCAAGGCTGGTCTGCAGAGATCCGTAGGCTATGTAGGCGGGGCGTACTTGCTCGGGCAATATGTCCTAGGACGACTGGAGGATGTCCGTACGACAGTCATGCAGGACAGGTTCGCGCGAGACAAGTGAGTGTTTGACTGGCTGCTGTCGGCCATGTATTGGCTGAATTGACTCAGGACTTCGGCTTGTTGCTGAATGTAACCTTGCAGTCTGCGCCGGAGGTTTGAGCAGAACCAACAGGACATTTCTTTCACCGTCATGGCGCTCCTACCAACACTCGGAAGACATATCCTGGAGGGAATGGACGTCGAGGGAGTGACTTGCGAGCTGCAGTCTCACTCCAGACCAAAACCCACAACAGAGCCACAGACCCCTGCGTCGGAGTCCAGTCTAACGAGTAGCATGGAACTGGTTTCCAGACCACAACATCCAGACCACTCCGAGAATAGCTCTTTCTCAATGCTGCAGTCAGTGCAAGAAAATGGAGTTGCGACGCCGACGGACCTGTCCGCGTCGTCCGCGAGCTGGGTGGACCAGTTCTCGTCCATGCAGTCGTCTCAGGTGGCGAATGGCTCTGCTCAGGCACCCTCTCCGGACACTGCAAGTCTACAGATGCCTCAGATGGGTGCAGATCTGAGCTTGACCGATTCCGTTGGATCGACATCGACGAGCTCTTCGTCGAGCGTGGCGCCGGAACCTGTGAGCACCGCTACGGGTACTCAGAGTGCAGAGTCATATTGACCGGTCCAGTCTCCGCCAGAGAACGGCTCTGCGCATGTCACCGATACCCCTGCAAAGAGCAAGGCAGAATTGTGGAAAGAAGTCAAGATTCTCAGTGAGTAACCAGTTGACGTACAGGATGGCGTAACTTACGTCCTATGTAGCATTTACACGGACGTTGACTATCATCTACTCAATGACCCTACTGACCCTCTTCACGCACATACAACTCAGCATCTTGGGTCGTTCCAAGTACATCCACTCCGTTATTCAGGCGGAACAGGAAGAACGTCTGCGCGAGCAGATGATGGACGCCTCCATCTTCTCTCTACTCTGGAACGCCGACGATTCGGAAGAGGCAGGGACCAGTGGTGCGGAAGTAATAAGCGAGGAGACGGAGCGGAAGTACCTCACCTTGAGCTGGTGGATCCTCCACGTGGGATGGAAGGACGTCGGCGAGAGAGTGCGGCGGGGTGTGGAGGAGGTCTTTGAAGGGTACTATCTCTTTAACTTGGGCGAGAAACCGTTACTGACCGTACCGCAGCGTATCACTGAAGACCAAATTCACCGTGAACGATCTCTTTCGTCTAGTAAGCGACGTGCGCCGCCGAGTCGAGTACGAAGTGACATTTGAAGGGCATGAACGACGCATAAAGTGAGGGAACTCCGTCAACTCCTTGTGGACTTTCTCACCTCAGATGTCGCAGCTTCTTGTCGACGCTCCTCCCTCCCACATCGGAGACGCTCCACCACGTCCTGACCCAGGGCGGCATTCCTGCCCACATCCTCAACGCACTCGACCCGAAGTTTGATTCCCTGCTCGCTGAGACGCGAACACACGTTGTTTCTGCTTCGTTCGAGCACGTCCTGGAAGCCTGCCTCGACCAAGCGACCGAGACGCTCTTTTCCGGGCTACGGAAAAACATCTTTGGTGGCGCCTCAGGCCCCATCAACTTCGAGGAGAATGACGAGGAGGCGCGCGAGAGGCTGGCGGCGATGCTGCCAGGCCTCTCGAGGTGGTGTCATTTGGCGTTGGAGGGCCTACCGAATGAGCTGGTGGACGTACGTCGTTTCCTTGCCGCAATTCTGGTGTCCTCACGACGCTCATTGAATTCACAGAATCTATCGAGTCTCAGGGAGACCACAGCATTCTCTGCTATCATCTATTCTAGTTATGAGGACCGCTTCTCATAATGATCATATCTTATGTGCTAGTCTCGCTTGCAATGAGTGATGGGTTTGCAGCAGCCCGATCCTTAATCCAGGACGCGGGGTTCCCTCCCCTCGGTGAGCGCCTCAACCTCCTTCAGTGACCCTGATCTTCGTAGCCAATAACCTTCAAGATGAACGTGAGCTTTCATACACGCTTCCAAATTGCTATCGCTGTCTTTCTTTCCTACGCCAGCTTCATCAGCTTCTCGACATCTATGGGCGACCCTTTACTGTTCAAGGCAGCCTCGATGAACGCAACGTCCCGCAGAGCGCCCAAAGGTGTCCCTAGTCCGTTATCCGACCCGTTGATCGCATTGACGAGGAACTGAAGCTCGTTCGGCACTCCATCGGACACCTGTTCGTTGATCTCCTCCGTCTCGCCGGTGACGTTCCCGTCCTTGTCTTTCTGTGCGGTGACAACGGTGACGCGCATGCCTCCCACAGACTTGGGTCCGTCGAGGATCTTGACTGAGTCGACGGAAAGCCATCCGTCGGTACCGACGATCGTGATGCCCTTCGACGCGTGCTCGGCGGCCGATGCGGTCGGTGCGCCCCAAGTGAGGTCGAGGACACCATGCGAGCCGTCGGCGGACTGGACGACTGCATTAATTGTGTCCTCGGGCTTGAGGAACTCGCGGTTGAGCGAGGCGAAGCCAGACACGGTCTTGATCGGGCTGGGAAGCATTACCCGCAGCGCCGCGAGGGTGTGCTGGACGCGGAACGCGGAAAATGTTTGGACAAGGCTCGGGGACATGGCAACCACGGCTTACTCACCACTCCTCCGTCGAGCTTCGCCCACCTCGTTATCAGCCACAGTGCACCTGGACCTGGAGTTACGAGAGGGGCTTACCAAGAACCCGCCCTGGTACTGCGCGTATAGAGGTCGTCGTGAGCAGATTCCTTTTGCACAATGGACGCGTCAACCAGGATGCACTCACGTCTGGTATGGTCCGCCAGGGCGTGTTGTACCACTTGGAACTTGTGTCCATGTAGTTCACCACGCGGGCGTTGTAGTAGGAGACTTTCCCTATCTTTCCATCCTTGATCGCCTTCGCGGCTATCTGGTAGCTCGTCTCCGTCTCGAAATTCTCCGCGACGCGCCAGATCAAGCCCTTCGGCTTGTAGTCGGTCTCATAGTCCTTGATGAGCTCCAGGCCGGACGCGACATCCGGCGCGACTGGCTTCTCGCTGAGGACGTGTTTGCCTGCTGCTAACGCCTTGCGGATTATCCCCGGCTGTGTCGTGATCGGGAGCACGACGATGACGGCCTGGATGTCGGGGCGCGCAAGGAGCGCGTCGAGGTTCCCGTTAGGAGCGGCATCGAAGTACACATCCGGCCTCGACGCGAGCTTCAGCGCTGCCTGCGCGTCCTCCGCGAGCGACGCCGCGCCCTTCTCTGAGCGGGAGTAGATCGCTTTGAGCTCGACGACCGAGGGGCCCACGGTTGCAATCGCGGGGAGGTGAGCTGGTTGCGAGAACACGAATCATAGGTGAGTGTCGTTGTTATCGCCGCCCTTAGCATGTCCGCCGCGAGGCTCACCTTCTTTAGCGAAAATGCCAGAGCCGAGGATGGCAATACCTGTGGGGGCCATGAGATCGAGCTGTATGTGGTGATCGAGTGTTACGAGTTGCGTGCCCCAGCACGATCAGTCAGGCTGGGTTTAATACAGCGTCGCAGCGCAAGATCGTGGCGATTTCGACGACCATTCCGGAGTTCCTCGCTCTCCCGTGTCACCATCGACAGCGCGCGTGTAGTCATCCAGAGCCATGCAAAGAACCGCGAGCGCGCCGTGAGTGCCATAATCCTGCGCTGTGCGGGGTAATGTCGGCTGCTCCGGAGAGGAGCTCAACATCACCTGTCCTGGGTGGTCGGCGCGGCTGTCGAGCGGCGGGTTATCTTATCATGTTGCCAACATGTTGCGGTCACAAAGCAGGAAGCTGGAGATCGCGGCCTCGATACTTCTCGTCTGATCACATTGGAAGTCGATTTTGTGAGAGCAAAGATGCGTAGATCGCGATTCATACACAGTGATCCTCCGTCTTAGTAGGCGTCGACGGGGGGAGCGACCGCGGCTTGTCTTGGCAGTCTTACACGACACAGAGGGGGGTTCATCGATCCAATAGGATGCCGATCTCAGGCACGCCAGTTTCTGTCACAGCTGCATACTCATTACACACGGAATAGCTGCGCAGGTTGCCGTCATGAGGATCAAGAATAACAGAACCGGCGCGGCTGCTGCGACTTGGCCGATTTGCGGGGTAAAGGTCCGCGTCAGCAGATGTATTATTGTCAGGACCCAGGAGTCAGGATAGCTCGTCTACATACTCAGGCTGGTGCAATAGTGGTAACTTACTCGATACAAGGCTGTCATTCCGTCGACGCAGGTGAGTGCCGCCCGACTGTCTAGTGGTCATGATCCCGGAATAACCAAGCGCCTCCAGGGCTTGGTATGTCTTCGCTCCCGAAGACCGCTGCCGCATGTTCTTCTCCAGTCCACCGAATCCGGGGTAATCTCGGGACTCCTCGCCGGATATACAGATGGGTACGAGATCCAATCGGCTGTAGCAGTTGTCGCAGCAGCATACTTAAGAGAGGTGTGTGATAGACATGGTCATCCGTCTCTGCACTCATTGTCAGCCCTATCTCAATCATGAGTAGTGTCGCGCTTTCCAAAAACAAACTTCCGAAGGATTTTCTGTGGGGTTTCGCGACAGGTGAGCGAGTATCCTCGCACGGCGTCCGCCGGCCCAACTGACTTACACACTGGAAGCGAGTTTCCAGATCGAAGGCTCCCTGGATGCGGACGGACGAGGAAAGTCGATCTGGGACGACTTTTCGCGCCAGCCGGGCAAAACACTCGACGGCGGCAACGGGGATGTCGCGACGGACTCATACAACCGCTGGAAGGAGGACATCGACCTGCTTGTGTCGTACGGCGTGAAATCCTACCGCTTCTCTATTGCATGGTCCCGTATCATTCCGCTCGGCGGCCGCAACGACCCTGTGAACGAAAGCGGCATACAGTTCTACTCCACTATTATTGACACGTTGCTGGCGAAGGGTATCACCCCGTTCGTGGTGCGTACTCAGCTTGCCGGCTGGTCGGCGCGCGCATGACAGTGTTGCCACGCAGACAATATACCACTGGGACCTACCGCAGGCTCTAGACGACAGATATGGCGGTTGGCTCAACAAGGAGGAAATCGTACCGGACTTCGTCAACTACGCCAAAGCGGGTCCCCTGCTCCTTCGTGTGCTGCGCAGTCTCTGATACCTTAACAGGTCTGCTTTGAACGGTTCGGCGACCGCGTAAAGTATTGGTGCGTTCTCATATAGATCATGCTTCTCGAGCGCAGAGCTCGCTGACATCGCGCTTCTTCATTAGGCTCACATTCAACGAGCCCTGGTGTATTTCTATCCTCGGCTATGGCCGTGGCGTATTCGCACCAGGCCACTCGAGTGACCGCAACCGGAGTCCTGTAGGCGACTCTGCAACCGAGCCGTGGATGTGCGTGGTCCGATATTACTCGCAACTCGAGCTATTGGCTGAATGCGCCCCGTGGCGTGTCATCGTGACAGAGTTGGACACAGCGTCATCCTGGCGCATGCCTACGCATCGAAATTGTACCGCGAGCAGTTCAAGCAGGCCCAGGGTGGCCAGATTGGCATCACACTCAATGGCGACTGGATGATGCCATATGATGATGCCCCCGAGAGTAAGCCGTGCACTGATCTGCTGTGTGCGGAAACTGTACTGACAATCGTTGGATTTGCAGACATTGAAGCGGCTCAGCATGCGTTGGACGTTGCAATAGGTCCGTCTCATTGTCCTTCATACGAGGACGCACCATCTCATCTACGGACTCACACAGGCTGGTTCGCTGTAGGTGTCTCACCATTCTTCTGCCCATCCTTGCTCCCTGGATGTACGACCGACGAGACCCTGACGACTCTCAGGACCCGATCTATCTCGGGCATTACCCGGAGTATCTCGGAGTCATGCTGGGCGACCGGCTGCCGGTATTCACGCCCGAAGAGCTCGCCGTCGTGAAAGGCTCCTCCGAGTTCTATGGCATGAACACATACACCACCAACCTTTGCAGTAAGTCCTCGCTCTATTTCCAATCAATGAGGCTGAAAGCTCTAATTCACGCCCCTGCCACTCAATCAGAGGCTGGAGGCGACGATGAGTTCCAAGGGAAGGTGCAGTACACTTTCACGCGACCGGACGGGACACAGCTCGGCACCCAAGGTAAGAGACACTCCTGTAACCCCACGAGCAACGATGTGACATGATCGACACAGCGCACTGTGCCTGGCTCCAAGACTGTAAGCTCCCAGATCGTCTGCTTCGGGGAGATCCTGAATGGCGTCCCTCGCAGATGGACCTGGCTTCCGCGATCTGCTCAACTACCTATGGAAGGTACGCACTATTGTCGCGCCATCCGTACGACCACGTTTAACGTCCCTCTCAGCGTTACGGAAAAGCCATCTAGTGAGCCCTCCTTCGCAGCGCCACGTCCACGGCGCCCTCGCTCACCACTCTGACGGGCTTGAAGCGTGACCGAGAATGGTTTCGCGGTGAAGGACGAGACAAGTAAGCCTATCGAAGAGGCGCTCTCGGACCACGACCGCGTGCACTACTTCCAAGGCACGACCTCCGCCCTGCTTGCCGCTGTCGCCGAGGACGGTGTCGACATCCGGTCGTATTTCGCGTGGAGTACGTCTTTCACAGACTCTGCTCACAGACCGCTCTGATCGCCCATCACTAATAGGTCTGCTCGACAACTTCGAATGGCGAGTGTCCCTTTGCTCCCCCATTCCCTATCGGCGCAACCCGAAACTGACCTAATCGGTCGGCAACGCAGGGCGGACGGCTACACGACGCGTTTTGGCGTGACCTACGTTGACTACGACAACCAGAAACGCTACCCGAAGGACTCTGCGCGCTTCATCTGCCAGGTGCGTCCATCTACCTCCTGTGTTATTGCGCGTCGTCTGCTGACGACCACCCCAGTGGTTCAAGGATAACGTCGAGAAGGACGAGCCTCCCGCGCCGCGGCGCAAGGGCCCGCTCGCCGCCCTGGCGGCGCGCCTGGTCAACGCCGTCAAGGCTTGATCGCGATCACTGGCAGGCTCGATGCGCGAGTGAGGTTGCGTCGATATGCCGGACGGTGCCTCGACACGGACAATCATACACGGATGTACGATATGTGTTTGTATACATGAGATATCGCTGACCCCGACTCAGGGGTCTTGTGTGATGTCGTCAGCGTATGGAGGGTGAAGTCGAGTCTGCTAGATCGCGCTGTAACCCTCTCAGCGATGTTTCGCCCCCTGCTGTGGGTGGGGACTGCTTGCCTCTGGGATTTTAAAGGGTTTAGTGAGCTGTGGAGGCCTCTCACAGTGGGAAACCCGATGACTCTGGAATTAAGTATATATGTGTAAAGTACAGGCGTACGTACGACGGTCTCGCATCGCATTTCCCACAAGACACACGCCCATGGTCGTAGATCCGGTCGAAGTCCACGTGCCAGCGGTACGAGCTCACTCTGAACGCTTATCATCCACGAGCCTCCTCGGATACCAGGCCTGAACTGACCCTCAACCGATGGAGTTAGCTACTCACGTTTGCGAGCTGAGGCTACTGTATACAAAACGTACTGTACATGATCCTATCAAAGCACACACCTAAAAAGGACGGAGGAATAGCAACATGCTGGCAAGATCTACGAGATGAACAGTCTGCGTAGCATCGAAAATTCGCAAGCCTCTCCTGTCTTGGGGTCCTTCACGATACCGACGTTCTTCTTGGCCATGTCCTCCAATTCCTTCAGCATCCTCGTCGTCAGCCGAAGCCCTACACAATGCAGGAAAGACGTACCTCTCCCGAGTAGACCTGGCCGCTGTTCGGGAACGCCATTGGCATGTTGTCCCCATCTATGATCCTACCCGTTATCCGGCAGACAATAGTCGAGTTCACGTGGTGGCTGAAGGGCACTTCTTCAGCGAGCTTTCCGAGGGTGGGGTCGCATACGGGACAGTCGACGTTTTTCGTCTGTGGATCGTAGCATGCTGGGAGCTTGAGCGACGCCAGCCCGGCGTACATAGCAAGATGAAGCAGCGGCTCGCTGGGGAGTGTACTGAGATTGTAAAAGGCCAGTCGGAAGGACTGAATCAGGGTGTTCCAGCGCGATAGATCATATAACCGCTGAGGAGCGCATCAGGTTTATGTTTCAGGACAGCATGTGAGTTGAGAGTGGCGCACCTTGTACGGACTACAGGTCGTATTCGGTGGGAAGCACAGGAGAGCAGAAGCCTGACGAATCTGAGGTAGATGGGTTTCTTGCCAGGGTAACAAATATTTCTTCGAGTACGCTATGGCGTCAATGTTCTTCCCGGCTCTCGCCAATTCGATGTATTCTTGGAGTCGAAGGTCAAATTCTAGTGTATTCTGATCGGGAGAGACTATGAGACTCAGGTTCGGCAACTTCGTAGGATGCCTACCTTGACTTTACGGAGAGCACTCTTGTTATCACTACACCACACCAAGGCTTCGGCGCAACTCCGCTGTTTGAGAGCGTCTGCTATCCGCCGGATGTCAGAAAACAGGTCTATGTCCACCAGGCGCTGTTACGGGACTTGAATGTGGCAGTGAGGCGAGCAATGCAAATGTGCTGACCTCAATTCCCCGGTCATCCGCTATCATCTTAGCAGTCTTCTCCTTCCCGTTTCGCAAAGACCAATCGACTAACCACCGGTCCAGACGTGTGTCTGCCCAGCGCGCGAACTCCGGGTCCTTGGTTGTCTGCATAGTTTCCACGCTCATCAGGTGCTGGAATCGTTCGCGCATGACGCCCAGGGTTGGTGAACCGGAAGAACTCTGCAAGTCTGCAAGCTACATTGTAGTTAGAGCAAGTAATAGATAATCAGTTTACAATGCCAACCTTGCGCTTGAGGTTCTCCACTCGTGTTATCATGCCATCCACAGCCTCGATGGCATCTTCCGCGTCCCTACTCTCCAGCTTTGCACGCTTGGCGATGGCATTTGCAGCCGTCTGTACTGCACCCAATTCCTTCTCAATATTCTTCTGAGAACTACGGAACACTTTGCGGTAGTTCTCATACGGCACCTGACGAGATGCACGGTCATGAGCGCGATGACCTCAAATATTGCTGAGTTGCGCTCACTCTCGCGAACGGCTGTTCGAAGAGCATGATACCCTCGGTATTCAGCTTATTGACGCTCATGCTCGTCGAGATCGAGGCTATTGCAAGTGGTCGGACTGGTTCTGCTGAGGGAGTACCTATCACGACCAACACGGTACAGAGTAGCAGGCAGTTGCCGAATGCCATTATCGCCAGATCGTCTCAGACAAGAATGAACTGATGGCCACTCACCGGCACCGCGAAACAGGTGGTAGTATGACCGGTTCCCGCCGCCAAATCTCGGGTTTCGTCGGTGTGTTTGTTTATTCTTGTCATATACATAGCATCCTTCAGTAACCGGCACTGTTGATAATAAGAGGGCAGTCGAAGCTACCTAGTAGTCGCAGCGAGCCTCTCCAAACGCGCGATCTGCGCCCGGGTGCCGGTGGCGGTGGCAGTTGTGGCACGAAAAGCACGTGACTGAGGACGCGTCCCAGAAAGGCAACTAGTTGCCCCTGAGGTAGTTCAAGTTAGTCTGATTCAAACTACTCAGTCAATATTTTCTGAGAGCTCGCGCCGTTGCTACCGTTGGCCGTCGCTCGCGCGCGCGCTGTACTATGGCTCGACCTTCTTTCTCTCGCATCTGCCTGTCTTGATGCGCTCTCGTCGCGTTGTGTCAAGCTGTACGGACCTGTCGCCAGCCTTGCTATTTGTATCGCTGTACACGCTTACCCAGGCCCATTAAGCTATCAATAAATTGCCACCGCATCAACCAACCTCCCCACCATCCGCCGGTGCGCCCAATCACCTGCACCCCGCCTCCACCTCCCCCGCACCCCGACACGTCCTCGCCTCCTCCTCCACCGTCTCCGCCCCTCCTCCACCCTCCTTCGCTTCCTCGACGACCTCCGGGTGCTCCTCCGCCTCCACCTCGCCCGCTCGTGCCCCGTCCACGGGCTCCGGGTCGTCCTCCTGGTTCACGAGCTCCTCCGCCGCTCCCTCCGCCTTTGACCGCCGAGGCCGGCGGGGCGTGGTGGACACGCGCCTGGGCGTCATCGGTGATGAAGGCGAGGCGGGCGTATCCGTACCGGCGACGACGTTCGTCGCTGTGCGCCGTATCTTTGGCTTGGACTTGCGCATGGGCTTGCCATCGGCGTCCTCTTCCTTCATGGCTGTGTCCCCTTCTACCTCTGCCGCCTCCGCCTCCCCTTTCGCACTGGCCTTCGCCCTTGCCTTCGCCCGCTTCCTCGGCGTCCCTTCCACCGCCTCCGCCTCGTCCTCACCGTCACCATCCAGGCCCTCGCCATTTTCACCGCCTTTCGCGGGCGCACGATCCTTCCCGCGCACGAACGGCTTCGGAGGCTTCTCAGGGCGCAAGTTCTCGTGAATGACCTCCTCAAGCGCGTATATCCTGTAGAGGTGGAATACTGCCTGTTCCTTGTCCTTCGCCTGCCAGCGAAATCAGCCTCCTGGTGAGCCTCGAAGGCGCACAGACGCACCTCGATCATCAGGTCCACGTCTGCACCCACCAACTCCTCCGGCAGTGTTACGCACCGGTCCGCGTGCGCGCGCTTCTCCATGACCGTCTCCGCGCCCGGGCGTGGCTCGCTCAGGTGCTGCTTCTGCCGGATGCCTTTGCGCGCCCAGCCTGCCGCGACGAGCGGGAGGAGCTCGGGAAGCTCGTGTTTCGACGGCTATCCATACATCAGTTTCAAGTCACAAGTGGGAGGGAAGCGCGCGACTCGGACGTACGTAGATCCAGTTGTGGTGGTAGTCGAGCACCATCGGGATCCCGAGCTCGTCGCACACGGGCAGGAGGTCATCTGGGTTGTAGCATATCTGCAAGGGCAGTGTCATCAGTACTGCGCGCGGTGAGTATACGGTCTCTGCACACCTCGTCGTTCTCGAGTACGACCCGCGCCTTCATCTCGTCCGTCAGCCGTGTGTGGTAGTTCTCCCTGAACCGCGCGAGCGTCGTCTCTTTGTCGCCGTACACACCCTACGAACACACGCATATCATCAGCTATGTGCGAAGAATTAGCACTGGGGAGACGCACCCCCATGTGAATGATGATGACACTGTCTTGGTCGAGCCCCATGTAACGCATCATCTGACAATGATCTGCATACTCATTAGGATGAGCACCGTAGACGTAGAAGGTGCATACACTCGAGCTCGCGGACGCTTGCAGTGACCACGTCGTCCTTCGGAGAGGCGAGCTGGGTGAACTGGCCTGGGTGCGTTGTCAACCTGTGGCCATAACGCTTCGCGAGGTCGCCTGCTCCCTATATGCGTGGCGTTCAAGCACGGGTCAGTTCATGGCAGCAGAGCTCTTGCACATGGCGAACCTTCAACTCTTCGCGCGCGTACTCGAGGTCGTAACCATGTACCTTGTGCGACGCAAAGGGGAACATCTCCGACGAGACCCGGAAGAACCGAATCCTATTCTTCTCGTTCCACTGCCAGCGCGAGGAACACCGTCACTTGTGAGCGTGGACGAGCAGGAACAACAACACACCTCAATCATCTCCTTCAGGTCCCGCGCGTTCTTCAGGCCCAGCTCTTTCGCAAACTCGATGCCGTTCTTCCTGATCGTCTCAAGCCGGCACGTCCGCGAACAGAAGATCGGCTCGGGCTTCGTCGCGCGCAGGATCGTGTTCAGACACGCGTAGCCCAGCCTGCCCGTGAACTTGGTCTCCTTGCGCTCCACGGGTGGGATGTCATACACAACCGGCTCCGTCGCCTTCTTCCGCGTTGTACGTTTCTGCTTGGCGGGCGATCCCTCGCCGTCCTCCGTCAGCGCGCTCTCGGCTGCCGCTGCAGGGCGTTTAGCTCTCTTTCGGGGCGTGCGCTTCTTGGGGGCTGGGAGCTCGTCCTCGAGCTCGCTGAGCGGGCTCGACGGCTCGTCGGCGTAGGTCGTGGTTACGTTGTGAGTGCGGCCGGACACGTGTCGCGGCGAGCCTGGAAACCCCGCCACCGGGTCGCTGAGGGCTAGCACAGCAGCAGTCGCGGCAGCGACCGCGTCTTCGGTCGGAATCGCTGAGGCGACCGTCTGCCCGGTGGTGATCGCTGCGGCTGTCGTCGTGCGTTTACGCTTCGGCATCGTGGGGAACGTAGGGCTCGGGCTGGGGAGCACTCTCGGCGAGGGGTTGGGGAGAGCTGAGAGGTGCAGACGGAGAGCAGAGGGGGCTCGTCGCAGAGGGAGGGCGAGGCGCATTTGTCATTCCGTCAACGCACGTCCACATACAAATCCGGATTGGAATGGTGCCCAATGGCGTCTCGGCCCCCGATCGCGGCCCCGACAGCGGGCGATCGCGCCTCATTCGTCCTGTCGACGTCAGCCACCCGCAAGTGGTGGAATGACAGCGCAGCACGCCCAGGGGCTCCAAGCGTGTGAAGCAGCAGACCTGCGAGGCCTGGCAGGTAGAAGTGGTCAGTTACACTATGCTGTCCCAGAGAGCGGCACGTACGTATCACAGCCAGCAAGTACTGATGGCCTGAGAGCAGGACATGCCCCGAACGCATGCAGCGGTAACACATCTTTTGTCTCGACAACCCATCTCGCTCATATCAACCTTGCCCTCCCAAGACATACGAGACACTGGCAAGGCGATTCATCACTTGCGCGTTCAGCATTGCTTCGTGAACACTTGTCTGAGACACAAGTCAATGGGAAGGCCTCATCCCGCAGATCTAGCAGAGCGCTCTTCCATGGTAACGCGTTGCTTCCGTTATCACAATAATGCACGCACGATGTAGACGTTGCGTGCGCATGGATACCATGGACATACCGGTCTCAAGCCGGAGACTCGGTGGCGAAGGCATTGATACCATGGCTAGTGAAGGGTGGCTAGTGAAGGGGTGCATGGGACTTCCAGTCCATGTGCACCGTCACCACGCCTCAAGGGATTGTCCTCACGGCCAACGAGAGACAATGCATCCGAGACATACAGACAAGAAAAGAGAACTCACGAATGAATTTGCGGATGACGGTAGCAGTCTTCACCCCCCGAAGTCGCGATCGGCGGGTCCGTGATGGTGCGTGAGTATGGAATAGAAAAGACCAGCTCGAACATCGAACGAAGGACGTGTGTTCTGCATACATCTAGTCAGGCGTGGAAGCTATGCCTCCAGAGCGCGGCAAGACAACTTCACTGGGAGAGCCCCCTTTCGCATGACAAAGACGTCATGTATGTCCTCCGGCCACCGCTTCGCGTCATACCCAGTCGCGAAGCGCATATCAAATGTCTGCACCAGCAGTGCGAGGACAACGCGCATCTCGACCAGCGCGAGCGGCTTCCCGACACACCCCGCAGAGCCCGTCGAAAACGGTATGAAGGCGCTCCTGTCAGTGACCATGTCCACGTTGGTGGCGGAGTCCGCGAGCCAGCGCTCCGGCATGAACTTGTCTGGGTCAGGCGAGAAGTAGCGTGGGCTGCGGTGCATGGCGTAGGGTGGGACCGTTACGGCAGTACCCTCGGGAATGAAGAGACTACGAGATTGTCAGAGGAAGTAAGACAAAGTCACGGGCATAGCGCTCACCCGGGCCCAAGCAGATGGCCACCGCTTCCTTCAGACGGTGCACGCTGCAGCATAGTGGGCACAGGAGGATAGAGGCGAAGCCCTTCGTTGCTGTGCATGGAAGCTTGAGGGAACCATCCATGATGATCGTAAGAGCAGACGCACATTACAGCGTTCAGATAGGGCATCTGAGCAAGCACGGTCGTGTCCGTTGGTTCCTTCGTCCCGGGAGAGAATGCCTCGTCGATCTCAACCCTAAGGCGAGAGAAGCAGACCGGGTGCAGGAGCAAGAAGTAAATGATGTTGCTGAGTGTGGTAGCGGTGGTGTCGGAGCCGGCGACGATAGCTGTGCTAGTATTGGTCACCACGACGGGCAAGGGAGTGCGCTCCTGTTCCAGCTTCGCTTCATCGTTCTACATCATCATGACTGTGAGTCAATTACACGATGCACGTACGAGACAGTTGACTGACGATGTGATAGAAGAGGTCGTAGTGCATAGAACCCTCCTTCAGTCGTTTCGTGACCAGTCTGAGTGCCAGCTCGCCTAGCTTGTTGACCTGTAGTCGCAGCAGCCTCGCTGCGTTCACAGTCCAAGGGACTTGCTGAACGACGGAAGGCATGCTGGCAAACTGTGAGCGGGGTATGTAAGCTCCCAAGTGGTGCGGACTGACTATAGACTGGATTCTGTGCCACCGATGAGCCCATCTTTGTCCTCGCCCGCGTCGAGGAGCCCGAACGTCTCGCTGAACCTGAGCGGAAGGTCAGAAACACAAGGCTGAGTATAACCCCAGGCGCATACACGAAGTCACCCATGAAGTCGAATCTATGGTGCCGATCAGCTCCGACACACTCCGGACGGTAGACGTTCCTGCTCACGAAAAGAAACCCAACCACTGCGCCATATCGACCTGCGCACGACCGTCGTGCATTGTGGCTGCTTCACATCGCTTCTTCAGTTCCCCGACCAACTGCGATGCCCGACGGAGGACGATCGGTTCGTACTGCTTGACCGCGGATGTCGTGAAGGCTCTGTTCCAGACACGCCGCAACTCCGCATGCCGCTGCTTGTCGCGCGCACCGATCAGCCCGCCTTTCACGCTGGGCGTCGTACCCTTATTCCCCGCCGCCTGGCGCCCATCCCACACTGCGGATACACGAGTGAGCCGCCCGGCAGAGGGAACCTCGGATGCATCGATGCTTACTGGGACCCTTTGGCATGCTATCCGTGCCAAGGATACCGGGCAAGAGTGTTGTGTCGATGATCGATAGTTCATTTGGGCCTGAGAATCTACGTCAGCCACAGACGGTGCATGACCACAATGACTACTGACCAATGCGAACGATGGGGCCATATTGGTCGTGAAGATCGCGAATATATAGGTGCAACTTCCCCGTGGAAGCTATCCATGTTTTGATAGCTTACATGGTACGGGGCCGGGGTAATTGGACAAAGGGTGCACATGTGATAGGCGGTAGACTGCAATCGAGAGCGCGAGGGCAGTGTAGTACGTTCCGTACGTAGTAGTGAAGGATGTCAGAGTCATAGGCGGCACTGCGGACGTGAGCACGAGTAACGCAGGAAGAAAGGCAAGCACTGCTATTGATAGACGCAGGGACGCCGGTTCGAACGTCTTGAAGAATGCATGGGTCGCCTATGACATTGTCATTGTCATTAGATGTCGTGGACAGCTGGGTAAGGAATGCTCACCAACGCCAGCAATGTAGCCGGGACGAGCGTGGGGTACATTCCAGGAGGGAGGGTCGGCTCCGTAATACTTCTCTGATGTGCAGGACAAGGAGGACACGAGAACCGACCGCGCAAGAACCCCGTTCTTATGGATTGTTCCGCCTCAAGTTTCTACTGACGCCAGCGCCAGCTCCGGGATTAGGGCGGCCATACTTAGCCAGACTGACAGTCGTGAAACCGTGTACTTCGGGCTTCTGAGACCCCGAAGAGGCTTGGTCTAATATAGCTAGTCCATGCTGAAAATGAACAGAGTATCTGTGAGGCGATGGACATACCTCCGCATAATGTGCTATCGGTTGGCAGGGTGGAGTGCGCAAAGAATAAGATTCCACAGTGTACGGTACGGCAATTTGGCGGCAATGTCGTCTTCACCTCACACAAAGACTGGCGGCGATCTCGGCGTACCGACCGTTGTGCCAAGAAGTTGCATACGCCTTTCACAAGCCACGGCCGCTGATATACGACTGCCCTCCTCCCCTCCAGAAGGTCGTGTTTAGAGTCTGCCTAGGGGATACTAGGCCGCTAAAATAGTAGCTTCGTTCGCAGCACGCATATCAACACTAGACTGAGATCATAGATCATAGAACTCACCCAACAGTGTACTCATACGGTCATGGATACCTGTCGTGCCAGTAGTCCATTACCTTGCGATGCTGAGTAGCACGTACGATGGAGACGCGAAGGTAATTGGCGAACGAGTACCATACCTGGCTTCAGGAGTTGACGATGAATCTGCACAAAGACTGAACCCCAGATGATTCGATAAAGGCGAACGTGAACGTTCAGTGACACCTTAGTAACACCGTGACCGTGCATACAGTACCCCATTGGGTGCCTATGGCATCTTGGTCACAGAGTGAAGCTATGAAGGAACACCACGAGCACTTTCTGTGAACTCGGCCTCGTCTAATGGACGCGCCGCAGCGAAGCAACTGCACTTGCGCTGCTACCATTGGCCGTTGTACTGACTAGTGACGAGTTGTCAGTATGCAATGAAGCGAGTCGCAAGGCGTATACGTACTTGCCATTCATATTGGCAGGACTGGGAAACATCTCAAGACTGCAGTTCCTGTGCGCCCTTCCGAACCATTCTCTGCTGTTTCAGTCCCTGCTTCGTCCGTCGACACCACGGAGGAAGAACAAAGAGCGCTCGACATATCCAGCCCGGCTGTGGAGATACCTGGCCTATGTGCATCGATTTCAGGAGGCTCCCGACGGCTGAACTGTTGCCGCCATGTATGTCTCCTACAATACTGACTCCCTTGTAATATTTGACGTACCTAGAGCACCTGACGACCGAGGACATGCTGAAATCATGCCCGTCAGGTTGCTGAATACGCTCGTCCGTATGCTGCCCGTATGCCTCGGGGATCGCACGGACCAAGCGCCATGCTGGGTCATGCATGCCTCTGCGGATCGTATATATCACGTCGTTCAGAGAGAATGGCGGCCTGCACGACACTGCCATACCACCATGTCCAAGACCGCCCACGACGTCCACGCGAAACGCATCATCTTCGACAGCTCGCTGTCATTCGTGGAGGTGACGGCACGGCTCGATCGGGAGCTGAACAAGGATAAGGCCGGCCCGAAGCTGCACGAGTTTCTGCGGGGGGTGAAGACCAGAGCAGAGCTCGAGAGCGGGCTGCAGAACATCAGCGGCGGGAACGACTTCATGTGCGTCCTTCTCCTCTTCTCCTCTTGTCTCCGGTCATCAAGCTCGCGTTGTCAGACTTTTCGGAGCGCTGTCTTTCGACGGCTGGCACAACGCATACCTAGACCAGACAGGCCAGGCGCCGAAGATGACACAGTACATCTTGGGGAACCCACTCATCGCCGCGACGATGATGCTGCATGACCCATACGTCCCTCTGAACGTCCCGCCGCGAATCCTGGTCGTGGAGAAGGCGGACAAGAGCGGGACGCAAGTCGTCTATTTCCAACCATCGTCGCTCATCGCAGTATCCGCCGATGGGAATGTGAAGCCGGAGTTGAAGGCGGCGGCGGAGGGACTGGATGCGAGGCTGGAAGCGTTGATGAGGAAAGTCACGGTGTAAATGTACGTTACCTGCCCAACCCGGGCTGTCTCGACTTCTTGAATGTGGCCCAGGCTGCCTTCAAGTACTTCCTTGTTGTGATAATTATTCCCGCACTGATGTTCGCGACCCATGGTTCCTGCTATCGATGAGCCTCGTGTGCTGCGAGAAGTCGTCTACCCTCAGTACGCGGCACGTTACACGGGCTTACCAGGTACGCCAGACGGATGGCTCTTTGAGAGCCCAAACGCCGAGGATTGCAGTCAAGAATGCAAGAGCTGGCTGTTTCTGTCACCACCGTAAGAACACAGGGAGAGTGTCTATGTGAAAAATGTCATCCCTGTGTCATCCACTATATAGCAAGCGTCGTGGTGGACGAACCTCGGCAAAATTTGATGGAACCGTAATGCCTGCAACTATGGCAGTAACAGTCGCGCGTGTAAGACAACTAGAGTATCCCGAGCAACGTCCACACAGGAACGCCTCAAGCTTTCAAGGTCTGTGTCGCCGTGGTCGAGGAAGACGGGTGGGACAGGTAGTCAGTTGGCTGTGCATGTCCGAAGGTCTGAATCGGGCACGGAGATGAGAATGGGAGATAAGATTAGATGGCATTATCACGCCATGACCCCATTCGGGCTGCGTTTCAGCGAAGACCTCAATCCGACCCACCACCTCTCTTGTCTTCGTACGCTCATCTCCCCATCTTAGTCGTGCACTAGCACAGAACAGGAGCATCGCCCAAATGCAGGAGGACAGCGAGTACGAACCCGGCACGAGCGCGTCCACCATCCGCGGTCTGCGCCGACTGAACACCGCCCTCCACATGTCCGTGTCGTCGGGGTCGGACGACACAGCGGTCGACACGACAGGACAACCAACCGCGACACCCCAGCACTCATGTCCGGCCTCGCCGCACAGTGCGCTAGCATCGCCGAGCAGTCCGTCAGGCGACTCCGTGTCATCCTTCCCGTCCGAGATCTCGTCCTCCTTCCTCTTCTCGTCTGGTCCTGGCAGCCCTCCACATTCAGGCCTGACCCGACACAGCTCACTGCCAGGCGAGTCGGACGACGGTGATCTGCACGACTCGACCCAGGGGCTCATCATCCCGTCGCTGACGCTGCCCGCCCCGGCGAAGCGGCCGACGCCCTACGGCCAGACGCTGGGCGACCTGCGGCTGCTCATCCTCGCGCCGCGACGCGCAGCGGCGTCGACCTCCTCGCTCACAGCGCATCTGCTCGAGGACAATGACGACATCGTCGAGCTCGGCGTGTGGGAGGAGGAAGCCCACGGTGCGGACGCAGCCGCGCCGAAGGTGAGTGTGCTGCGTGCGTCCACGGACTGGGTTGAGCACCGCGATGCGCATGGGCTCGAGCACACCGAGGCCGCTCATAACGTGGAGATCGTTGAGCTGCCCGGATACGACCCCTCAGACGACGTGCGTGTTGCTGCTACTGACGCACACGGCGCCCGCTGATGATTGTACAGGCGGAGACCATCCTCGGTCATGCGCTGCCTATTATTCACAATCCCTTCCACCAGGTGTCGGAAGTTCTTCATCCAGAATATGCACCGAGTGCAGTACTTGCGAATCTGTTGTCGTCTGGGTCAACGCCCCTGTACACTGCCCTTATTCTACTCTTGACTTCATGTAAGTGCTCATCTTCATGACGGTCTGTACATCCCGCCGCCTATGCCACATCGGGATGCGTTTCATTCTACAGCACGCCGGAGGGGGTGCCCCTTACTGCTGCCGTGATTTCTGACATCTGCATTCCTCCAGCACCGACGTCGACAGAGAAGTCGCTTCTCGACGCTCTGAGCGCGCACATCCCCGTCATCGTGCTGCCGCCATTGCCGGCACACCCAACATACCCCTTCCAGACGACGTACCCACCTTCAACTGTCTCGTCTGCATACTCGTCGCCGAGCTATCCGTCGGGCTCCAGCTCCCCTCACACGAGCGCAGCGCTCTCGTCGTTCCGGCCCGCGACGCCGCATGCGCTTCGCACAGGCCTGTTCCGCACGCCCGAGACCCTCGCGCGCCTGCGCTCAGAAGCGGCAGCCCGCTTCCTGCGGTGGCGCGAGGTCGAGCGGGCCGTGGAGAAGATCAGCCCGAGCTCATCTTCGGACACGGTGCGCGCACCGAGGACCCACGCGAGGACGAGGAGCGGCTGGGACAAGGCGCGATGGGAGGCGGAGTGGGAGAGCTCGCTCTCGCAGGAAATCGCAGTCGGGCTGCGGGAGCGCCGACGTGCTGACACCGCGGTCGCGTCGCGTCCGCGCGAGGACCATCCGCCTGCGTTCTCGGGCGCGGAGCCGCGAGTGCGGCACGGCTCGCAGTGCGCACCGGCACCGTTCGACCCGCTCCACGTCGGGTCGCTGCTCATGGTTTCGCTTTCGCTGCTCGGCCCCCTCAGGTCGCGCGTCGCGCGGTCGCTGCTCTTCCGCACTGACGACGCCGAGAGCAGCTCGCGCACGAACACCAGCCGGTCGATGGACCTCGGGTTGGGACTGGCGCTCGTGGGTGCGTTCTGCGCTGGGATCGGTTTGGGTCTTCTCGTCGCTAGAGGATGAATGACCGTCTTCGCTGGGTGGGCCCGGTGCGTGTTTGTACGTGTAGGCGGGCGTTCGTTGTTGTACTGCTGTAGCTGATGTGCTTGTGTATTGTTGTAACTGATGCTGTACTCGTTGTCACACTTGCCATGAACTATACCTGTCTCTGGACTCTTGCAATGTCTATTAGCATTGTGTACCTCACTTAATTATACCAGTATGAATTGTTGTCGTCTCTGCAACTATAGGTAAGCAGCTTCCTGCCCGAACATCCTTCTTTGGGCGGAGCATCATCGCGTGTTCGGCATTAGCGAAGGCCTAGCCGAGCAGTACCTCGCTCGTGCCCGCAGACGGACCCGGGAACGGTCAGAGCGCTGTCCGCCTGACCATGTCCGCTGCACGTCCTCCGAGTTCCGAGGTTCAATATCAATAGCGAAGCAGGTGCTTCTTGCCTCAAACGCTTTTGTCTGCAGCGTGCTGCGAGTTGCGCCCTCCCGCTTTCGCCTCGCTGGCGTCCTAGGTCTACGATGCACCGAATGTCGAGTGCTGAGCGGCGGCGCGCCGCACCGCACCGCACGCGACGAGCGCGAGCCTCCGCGCACGAGTCGAGGGCGTCGCTGAAGACGAGCCGCACGCGCACCCGCTCGCCGCGGGCAAGGTCGACCCCGAGGAACACCGACCGGAACCTCACAAACTGGCCGACGTTCACGCTGGCCCTCGTCCGCGCCGCGCTGCTCTCGAGCGGACACCCTCTGCACCTACCCCTCCTCCTCGCGCATCTCCAACGAAGGCTGAGACAACGGATCCGTCTCGGGCTTGACTGTGGCTTCTACTTGCGGGCCAACTCCACGTTCCTTTATACTATTGCCGATCCTCGAAACGTTCACGACACTCACGACCCGGATCATGACCTCTGGCTCGAGCCAGTTGATGCACCGCAGGCGGATTCATCGCTGGATAATGCTCAGTGGTACCGGGTACGTTCGTCGTGCGCACCTACGACTCCATGTTGACGAGGCCCCCCCCGTAGAGTCCGGCACCACTCTGCGTTGGCTACTCACCGAGACACTCGAACAAAAGCGACCCCAGTATATCCGTCGAAGTCGAATCGCTGACAGACAGTAGGACCCGACGAAGCAGTCGGGCAGTCTGCCCTCGAATATTGGCGCTCATCCGGACGTTGGGTTTTCGCTGTCTTCGCACCATCATTCGCTGTCCCTAGAGATCATGGCATCCGATACCCCTCTTCCGGCATTTGCGACCTGGGCTGCATCATGGACTTCAGTAGACAGACGCATTCATCACGATCACGCAGATACGTTCTTCACGTCAATCACGCATAGAATGGGCAATGCATTACTCCGCTTCCAAGCAATGATGTGCAGTGAAGAGTCGGTCCGATTGAACGAGTTGATACACGGGTGGTCGAGGATAGCACTCAGCCTTGGAAGGCGACGCCCTTCTTGGAAGTTTCTGCTAGGCCTCCGGCGGCATAACCGGTGCCTGAACCTGCATAAGACGCGCAACCAGCTAAGAGCGATGAAGCCGGCTCACCTTCTCGAGCGAGCTGAATGATATCCTTGTCCGCTAGCTTCACATCACAATGTATGCATTGCTTGCCAGGCTTCACCAGCGTGTCCGTGCAGGTCTTGCACACGATGTGGCCACAAGGTTTCATGACTGGTATAGGACGGCTTCAAAAAATCACAGTGATACGGGAAGGGTGTGGGCTTACGGTACAACAACGTGCTATTTGACAACGTCTTCTTACAACACGGGCATATAGCAACTTTCTCGTCTTCTTGCTTCGCCCTGGGTTCTTCGCCGTTTTCAGTGGCAGGCGTAGACTCCACGGAAGGAGGCGGAGCAGTTGAGTCCTTCTCCCGTACGAAGTTCACAGGGATGAGGTTCTTTCGTCTACAGAGCGAAGAGCGTCAGTCCACCGATGACTGCTTCAGGACAATTTGATGGGACATACGACAGCGGGTGTGCTGGATTACCGCCGTGGCATGTTGTCTGCAGCTTCACATCGGTAAGTGACGTCGGCGGACCGCTTGATGCATACGTAGGTGTCAGCGACGGCAGCCAGAAGTCGGGCAGCTTGTGCTTGAGCGCCTCAGCCTGTTCCCGTTCTATCTGACGAAGGGCAGCCTCTTCTGCCTCCCGCGCAAGGGTCTCGACCGTGGACTCATCGAAGTCGAACTTCCGCTTGGAGCCCCGCGCTGCATCCGCATGTATCAGCGCTCTGCACAGAGAGGAAGAGAGGACAGACTAACATTCTTTGGAAGCACCCGATGTCGAGACGACCGCCGTGTTCGCCAACCCCAGCTGTCCTCTCTCAAACTCCAGCAAGACGCGGCCCCGAGCGGCCTCTCGCGCCCTTTGCCTCTCTTCTTCTGCTTCTCGCTTCAACGCCTCCAGTCGGGCCTTTTGACGCTTGATATCCTCGAGTTGCGTGACTGCGGTCTAGTTGTTTAAACCTAGTGCACGCTGTTTGGAGAAGACATGACTGACGCACCCAGGTCCGTGTATACGCACTCCTTGCAGAAGAGATGACCTTTCTGGCATGCTACCGGCTCTCTCGCACTTTGGAGACACAGCGCGCAGGCATCGAACCTCCTCATCGACTCGTTTCCTAGACGTTGCTGCAGCGTTCGCCATTAGCTTCACGCGAAGTACACGCTGCGTATACTCACCCGCTTCGTGCCATAATCCAGTTTCTTGTATTCCGCATACGAGAAGATTGACGACGCGGTGTTGTTCTTGCTGTGTTTTGTCATACTGGTGCACTCAAGTCCGCAGAATACGATGAGGTCGTGGAGGATGGACTACAGGCAATGGTACCGGGAATGGTACCGCATCAGGGAATCCCCTTCAGAACGATAAGCGATTTCAGCGTTTATAGGTGATTTCAGTGTTTGTAGACTGTCGAAATATTACGCCACTTTACAAGCGCTCGATAAAGCGCTTGCTATGACGGTCGTTATCGCGGAAAAATACTTACACTGAAAACTTAGTTGTCGCGTAAGACTTACTACTTAGTTGACACGTGAGCCGTACACTTTGGACATAGATTCATGCCGTTTCGTGCACTTGGTCTCTACAATCATGCATATTCCTTAGTCACTACTGTATATAGTTTGCAGTGAGACACGAATCTGTTGTCTGTGCACCCTAGAATGCCCAAGTCCGCAGCGGCGCTTCGGCAGCTGGTCAATTGCCTAATGCGGAATGGCCAATTGAGGCGACTATCTACGCACGACTGCTGTTCATTGCATGACATTGCACGGTACAGATAGCACGAACCCCGGAAGCCCACTCTTGGTTATATAGAAGCGGATTTGTGGAATGCTTTTTGACACTCCATAGCCCCCATTATAGACGAGGCGTATGGCCCGGGTAGGACTCGGGATGGCTGCCGATGGCATGGCCATGAGCCCGCGGTTCTCATGGTATGAGAGGACTAATATTATGACATGGAGTAAAATCGTATCAAATCAATGAAGAAATGGTATGCATCACAGAGAATACAGGGGGAAATGTCTGGCGCAGCGATCCTGGCAAGTGCGATGTTCATCCCGATTTGGCAAGCCTCGGCCTCGGGCACATCCCCCGGGCGCCAATTGCACTAAGTCTAAGTCGCGCAAAAGTAAGTCTTCCGAGTCAGAGTAAGTGAACCGCCGCAGAACTACGACCTGCCCGTAAGTATTTTACCGCGAAACCGTCACTCATAGCTTGCAGCCGCCTCACCAGATTTCACTTCAGCGCCGCCTTGCGAGCACTCTATAAGCATCATCCAACGCGTATATGTATGTACTGTGTTCTCTGTTGCTTCTTCAGCACAACATGTTATACTGTACTCGAATTGTATTGGTTTGCACGAGAACAAATGGGATTACCGCGGGCGCAGAATAAAGACTTGCGTGAGACGTGGAAGCTTGCCACGCTCTACAATCGACTTGCATACAGATTGTAACTTAGTGAGTATGTTATGAGCTTGTGTAATTCGCTAGCGCTATAGTGCTTTTTACTGTTTATAACGATTTCCGGTGTTTATATTCACTTACAAGTGGAGATAATGGCTATATCTACTCAGTGCGAATTCTGTGATGCCGGCAGTTGAGCGGGAAGCGCAAGATGTATGTCAGCCCAAATTAGCGTTATAAAAATCTTTGGGTACTAGGTTGTCACTGCCCCATGGCTGAGTTGGTTACAGCGTCCGACTGTTACTTACGTAATCATCGGAAGGTCGTGAGTTCGAGCCTCACTGGGGCAGAATGATTTTTGCCCGGTGTGTCTCCTTCATTGAGGAGGAGGAGCGCATGCAGCCTGAGGCCTGAGGACTGCATACTTACTCAGGTGGGGAGCGCCTGCGAAGCCACATGCTGTTTGCTCATGTTTGGGGTCAGTGGCGACGCGCGAAACGGTGGTACAGAGTCTTACTGCAACTTGATGACGTTCCACAGGCCACATATACGAGATTCAAACGCGTTTTCCGGGGTTATTTCTATCTCTCTAGGTAGTGTTCAATCCAGATTTGCGAAATTCTTGCTTCTTCATGTTGAAGCTGGCTGTATCAGGTGTAGAAGTGGTCTAGATAGTCGCATTTTCATAAAATCCGATTGAACACTACCTGCGTAGGAGGCACGGCATCATTTTGTTCATTGGCTGCTAGAGCCAAAAGTGAGTGGTTCGTGCTAACAAGTCGCTACAAGCTCGACAGCTCTGACGCGCTGACGCCTGTGCCACAGACGCGTTGACCACATCACGTGATTGAGACCATTTGACGGAAATGTATGCGAAACTGGTCTTTATGCAGCTCTTTGTAGACGTTAATTTTGAGGTATTACCGACTTCTCCCACTCAAAGAGTCCAGTATGTAGTGTGCATAACGTTTTCAGTGGGTCGGTAGCACCTCAGCAGGACGCTTATGTCATCATGTGGCTGGTAGGCGCTCTGTCGGTCATTGCTCTCAGGCTGGGCGATGTAATGTACGCGACGTAGTGGGCATTGCATACGCTGGCAATTGGGGGCTAGTATATTTATCAGCTGTTAAGCAGATCTGTGTGTGGCTTGGGGGGTCTGAGGCAGCGAGTGCGACACGATCGCGCCAGTGAGCTCACAACTTGGTGGAGGATGAGGGGGCACCGGATGTCAAGGATCGGTTTTCGATGTACATACCTCGAAGTCGCCGTTTGGGCATTGTTCGAGCTCGGAATTTGGCACTCGCCGTACCGAGTTTTTACCTGTTCTCGTAGCGAATCGTATTATGGTTGGCGAGACGTCCGAGGTTCGTTTGCCGCGCGCCTCGGGCATCTGCGGGCCAGGCCGCTTACGTAAGCTTCGCTCGCACAGTGTCCCTCGCTCGTGTCGGACTGCCCAACACACTCTTGGTGCATTTGAACCGATTTATATGGACCTTACAGATGTTTTCAGTAGGTTTCCCGGTCTGTGTGGGATAAGGACGCGTAATAATGGTCATTTTGGGAAGACATGCTGTAAGCGCCCGTGATAATGAGCACATCAGTGATCTTATCTGAGTTCGCTGCCTAAATGGGTAGATGTAGCTGGAGATCACCTGCTCGTCCGAGAAATCAATAACATTCAAGCACAAAACTTGTCCAGCCCGATGCACATTAGCATAACCAAGGAATGTCAGTGAGGCACATACTACTCAGATACTAGCATCGCAACCTGACATAGTAATCTGTCCGAAGACCGCCCGTTTAGGTAGCCATGTCAGATTAGATCACTGATATGCCCGTTATCACCGGCGCTTATGTTGTCCGTGCGCAGAAATGGCGGTTTTGCGGACAGTGCATCTCAGAACTCGATCTCGACACCCGGAAAAGCCAGTAAAGCACGGTATGGTATTCTTCAGCATCCTGAGTTGTGTCCGTTATTGAAAAAGCAGCCAAATACTAGCGAGACACTGTCTGCGAGGTCAGTTTACGTAAGCGGCCTGGCCCGCAGATGCCCGAGGCGCGCGGCAAACGAACCTCGGACGTCCCGTCAACCATAATCGTATATGCTGTTTGCTGAACATAAGCGCCGATGCGATCTTCCACGACAAACCGTGCTGCCATTCTGTACGGTTTGCAGTGATGCTCTGGCACATGATCCCGGTTTCTAACAAGTTTTTCATGTCCAATTGCATCGATTTTGCTGATGACTCGATGTACGATCGCGATAGAGGCACTCTATTAGTATTGGCACTCTCTATCCAATACTATGCCATCAACTGCACGCGTTGAATGGGTCAACAACACGGCGATTCGGCCTGTCATTACAAGGATTACATGAGATCTCGTGGACTACATAGAACAGCATACCGATCTGCACCCTGATCGTGACCTTGTCACTTCGAGGTGAACAACACACGACTCGGAGCTTAGTACTAATAAGCATACCCCGAAGCACGCGTGAAATTTGACAACTTGATGAGGTGCAGGTATACTGACTAAGGTGTACACAGATCAAACAATACCTAATCTGGAGGTCAACGTCGGCTTTGGTGAGGTTTAGTCGGTGAACAAGTGGTCTGAGCATGCGAGCGACAGTCTGACCATGTTTTGGGTGGCGCACTGCTGACTAAGCGACCATCGGCGGCAGAGGCGTTGCCCCTCCCCATCAGTAACTTACTGTACTTATGTGACTGTAAGTAATTGATGGGCAATACTACTGCCACGCGTTGATTGGCCCGCCGGAACGGATGAAGACGGCGCCTCGTGGCCGGGCATGCTGAGGCACACGGATTGGTTCCGTACATGTTCGACTTTGCCGTCGACGCTCGCCTTTCTCTTCCTCCCCACCATTACATTTTGCTGTGACTACTCCACGAAACAATCATGTCTGGAAAATCAAACCCGGCCAACCAAGCACGGTACGCTACAGCTAATTATGCATGGCGGATCACCTCTCAATGCCCACTTCCGTCTCGATCGCTAGATATATCAATGACTTCAGCAAGGCCCTCGCGAACGAGGTCCGCATCCTCCTGCAAGAGGTTGGAAAGCTGCGGGATGAGCGTCGGCAACTGCAGTAGTACGTCTGCTCATTCCACCGCCGAACCGCAAACACTAACGAGTCCCTGCCGCACGATCGCCCGGGCATCGTCGCGCCCCCGCAGCGAGATCGCCGAGCTCATGAGCGTAAAGTCGAAGCACGGCGCGGGCGGCGAGTACACGCCCGACTGGCAGCCAACGGTGAGTTCCTCTTGCATCGCACAAGCCCCTTCTGACCCGGGTTCGCGCTAGCACGTCGAAGAGCCGCCCCCGCCGCCCGCCGTCGAGCCGCCACCCGCACCGCAGAGCATGGCTGGCGACGGCCCCGCACGCCCCGCGTGGCGCACGGTACACCCCCGGCAGGAACGCCGCCAGAAGGCGAAAGCGAAGGCGCTGCCGCCGCCCCAGACCCCTGCGCCCGTCTCCGAGCCACCGACCCCGAACATGCCTGCGTGGGCGCAGTGGAAACGTGCGTTTCATCTCTGTTGTGAGCTGTTGATGATGATGCTGACGTCGATGCAACGTTGCATCTGCGTTGCTCAGCGAACCCTCTGCTCTCGCCGCAGCCCATCCCTGGCACAGCTGCTTCTCCTCTACCCACTGATATGGCCCCGCCTCGCATGGGCCTCTTTGGTATTCACTGTCTCTTCTGTCTATTTGACTCCTCTCACGTTTCCTTTAGGTCCTCCCTCGCCACCCCCGAAGTAGGTCTCAATCATCATGTTCGTCGGATCGTGTCAGGCGGAGACGAGTTATCCAATTTCCGATACTTGCAGCTATCTTTACATCCTTGTGTTTCGCTCCGGTTTTGTTTTGCTTTCTCTCTATCGGTCTCTCCCCCACAACGCTGTAGTCCTCGCTATGATTCTGGAACGAAATCTCATGTCTTCTGGTCTTCTTCCTTTGCTCGATCCACTCACGCCGCCTGATAATATGCTGAACTAGGATGCGGGATGTAGTATTGATTATGGCATATGTGTACGATGGCTGTTGTGAAATCGCGATGGGGGTTGATAGCGGGTTGCTGGTATAGTACAAGCTATGTGACTCGTGAATGATCGGGGAGATGCGATGCGGTAGCAGAAGCACATCAGTGAGGTACGATGTTGTATCAAAATGGCAGATAGTCACTTATATATGAACGAAGTCGGTAGGATGTTGTTTGGATGTTGTACAGTGCGTTGTTTTCCTGTATGTTGATTCGTTGCAGGATCAGAGCAGATGCATGTGAATGAGGCGACGGAGAAGAACAGTTGATCTAGACGTCGAAGATATCCAGCTTGACGAACAACGTAGAGAAGAGATACTGCGAGAGTTGAGCATCATGAAGCGGAAGGTGTCGATATCCTATACACAGCCCATCAGCCACCCATCCCCATCCGATAAACCTACAGCACGACTCACCCATATTCAAACTCCCCAGACTGGCGCAATACACTGCGAGCGGCTCCTCATCCGCCGAGCCGTCCTGCTTCACCGCGAAGCGCACGAAGACGAGCTCGCGCATCTCGCCCACAACGTCGAACGGGACGCTTAGCTGCTGCTCCCACACGGGATTGAACCCGTTGTTCTTCACCGCCGCCGTGCGCTGCGTGACCGTGCGCGCGGGCATCACCGCCGCGAGCGGGTCCTTTGCGATCGCGGGCGGCGCGTCCGGCGCGGTCTGCGAGGTGCGCCGGGAGCGTGGGAGCGACGGCGGGGAGACGTGGTGCGGGACCTCCGTCCAGTCTGGGATGTGCAGGGACACCTCGATGAAGGGATCGACGGTGGACCGGTCGATCACGTCCCGCCCTGACGAGTCCTTGGGCCGCGGGAGCTGCTGCGCGGATATAATGGTCACCTCGAGACGGTGGCTCGTACGCTTGCTGAGGAGCTGCTTGTCGTTCGAGCGGAGGGCGAGCGGCTTGAGGACGTAGCCCGCGCGCCCGTTGCGCTGGAACATCGCGCGGTTGATCATGTAGCCTAGGTCTGCAGAAGTGTCAGTTGGCTGGCGAGCACACATGCACGCCTACTACTGACCGAACGTCTGCCAATTGATTGCCACCAACTGGCACCCCGCCGACCAGAACCGATGGGGCTCAAAGTTCGTCGAGCCGATGCGCGTACCCTTGGGGTAGATCCTCACAAGGTGCGTCCGATTGTGCTTGATCAGATCCAGCATGCCCTGCTTCATGATCCGGTTTGTGGTGCCCTCTGAGAGCGAGAACAGGTGTTCCGGCGCGTACACTTCCTTCTTGTTGAACCCGCGACACTTGACGCCGACGGTGTACACGAGAAGTGCGACGAGAGACAACGACATCTTGACCCTCTGCGGAGGCTGGTAAGGAGAAGGAAGCGGACGCGCGTCTGCGCGGGGTGAGCCTCCGAGGACTGCACGAGCCTTCTTGAACTCGGACTTGAACTCGGACCTCAGCTCTGTGGAGAGTCATATGAACAATGATTTTAACTATAGGAACGCGTAAATGACCATACCCTTCATGTGCGTGGTCCGCCATTCCTTCAGCTCCTCCAATTCTGAGGCGGATGATGTCTCTGTCGAGGATGACTCCGAGTCTACCACGATTTCCTTCTCCTGCATGCCATCCTTATCCGTCACGAAGAGGTTCTTAGCCTATTTAGATCAGTTCAAGACGTGCTGAGCGAACCAATGCATACGCGCATACCTTCAGCAGGATACACCCCTTCAAGTCTTCCGGGCTCGGGAGATACTCCAGTGTCGGTCTCCCGTCCACAGGCGCACTCACCAATGCGTCGCCGAACTCCTCCTGCATGACGCTCGCGATAAGTTCCTGTTGGGGGAGCGAGCAGTGCACCTCCGCCGAGATGATGACCGGGTAGGGCGACGCGACGAACGCGTACTTGTAGATCGCCGCGCACGCATCGCGCAAGGACACCTTCGTGACCAGTGTGTGCTTGTGATACACGACAGGCTCGATTTCGCCGTCATAGATGTCGACTGTGACAGGGGATCGTTAGGAACGACGCTTTCGCGCAGAAGGGCGCGTCTGAACTCACGCTCGACACTCCTGCAGCTGTGCAGCAACGCTCGGATGTACCCTTCGATCGTACTCTCACCCACAAGTTGATGGCCGACGAGGTACGTATTATGCGAAGAAGAGAGGTAATAGTCTGAAAGAGGGCGCGTCATGTCATGGTAGATCTTCCCGTGCTGGTCTGCAAATGCAGAGTTGTCTGTCGACAGAAGGAATGTCGTGAAGCCCTTGAGGGACATCACGGCGGTCTCGACAGTGAGGCCATGAGTGAAGTTGGATGCCGACGTCCCGGATGAGGACGTGCCGACGGAGGACGGAGGGCGTGGTGAGCTGCCTGTACGGTTCGTGTGCGTGCCAGAGGGCTCGGCTTGTTTGATCGCCGAGGCAGACTGGACAGCAAGTTCCAATGAGTTCTGAAAGGGCGAGGATGGAGGGGAAGTGCCGCGCTCGTCTGGCGACGAAGCGTACCGCAGGTAGATGCGCGTAAGCTCGGTGGCACTCAGTGATGACTGGATGGGGTATCAGTTCGCATGAGTTAGAACAATTGGAGTACGAGACGTACCTTCTGGCATGTACGCATGAACCTCTCAAAGGCCTCGTAAGTCACGGTTCCGCCGGTTCCGCCTGCGATTCGCTCATAGAGGTGGTCGATCTCCGGCCGCGCTTTGAGAGCCTTCACAAAGCGTTGAAAGTCCACGAAGTCGAGGTAACCCCGGCCTTGACGGTCTGCTTCCTGCAGCGCGAGTATTGTGAGTGCTGAGCTGCGTCGCGTAATACAGCATCACTGACCTTGAACCTCCGCAACAAGTCATCCTGACTCGGGTTGATGTTCAGCCTCCTACACATCCGCTCGACCTCCTCAAACTCCAGCCTCTGGTCCATCCCCGAGTCGCCCTTCCAGAACTGCTTCTCCCAGACCGCCTGGCGGACCTCCGTATGTCCCAGGCCACTCATGAGCTTCTGCCGGATCGCATACAGCCGACGCAGCGTGAGGTCCCACATCTGGAAGACGTCGCGCGTCGCCGCGAGGAGGTGCAACGTCTTGTAGCGCCCGTCGAGCACGTAGACAATGGTGAGCCACCGGTCCTCGAACGACGGCGCGATCTGGAACTGCTCGCGGTAGTAGCGCGCGTCGGCCCCTTCACGCAGCTCCTTGATGTTCTCGATGGGGACTAGCGGACATACTCGTGAACAAGACGGTAATGGATATGAGCAGAAAGATTTACTGATACGCAGCTTCTTCGACTGCCAGACTATCTGACCCTGGTCGGGGTCTAGCTTGAATACATATCGCTTCTGCTTCTTCGCTGACACCTTCAGCATAGGCACACCCTGCTGTAAGAGCTGCGGGACCGTCACGTCGAGCATTGACGATTCCTGCGCCACCGGCGATGCCTCTGCATCCTCCGAGGCGTTAGCGCGTTCAGACGTAGCGACCGGTTGCATTGAGTCGCTCGAGGGTGACGCCGAAAGATGCACTGCCATCTGAGGAGTAGCTCCGAAGGACGGTCGACGGCGGTCGTGTGGCGAGAGGGAGCGTACGGGCGCGCTGTTGCTATAATGGACTATCGGCCTGGACGAGTGCACCTCGGAGGAAGAGCGATGTTGCCGTTTGGCCTTGTCCGTCCAGAGCTCGGTGGGCCCGCTGACGTCTGGGACGAGTTCGTAGTCGGAGAGGGACTCGCGCGACGACCGCGAGCCGGACGTGGAGCTTGCCCTGCGCGCGAAGCGAGACGCACGAGCAATCTGCGTGTCCTTCACTTCGCGTAGCTTCCTCCGGATAGACCCGCCAATCCCTGTGTCGATGAGCACGCTGAGCGGCGACCGCGTTTGTGCAGGACAATCGACACGCACCTTCAGAGTTTCTGCCTCTCTGCAGGCCTGGGCTTCCTGGCTCCTGCGGCGGCTCCCCCTTGGCGGCGCGTGGGGGACTGTCGGTTTGGGACATCGTTCGTCCGGTCAGAAGCTAGAGCTGCTCTGTGACGACGATGTCTCAGACTGTGGAGATCGCTCGGAGTTCGCTTCTATAAAAGCCTCGCGTATTGCCTCTGCTGCGGTGCCTTGAAGTGACTGGCGAACGTGTAGTCTACGAGGCATGTCGTAATTTGTCATGAACGCATATCTTCAAGCTATCGTGAGGTCCGAGAGCGGTGTGGAATCTTGATGAGATGTGGACCGAGGTGGGGGCAGTGACCAAGGAACATCGCTCCGAGGCGCGCCCGCGGCGAAGCGCCAAAAAACGAGTCAAAAACTCTCAAAAGAGGCGGTGAAAAGGCAGAGCGGGCAACATGACCAGCCATGACGTGTGAACGAAGCTGGCCGCATTGCATCCTGCAGGCAGGAGAATACTGTATGCACTAATGATAATATATGGAGATATACAACATTCGGGTCGTTCATCAGACTTGGCGTTAGTATGCAGCTACTGTACAGACACATGTCCAACCCTTGACAGATTGCACGGAAAGAAGAGGACGACGCTAGAAAAAACCCAAGAATTCAGCACTTGATGAAGTTGCCGACTATCAACGTCGGAATCCCGTATGGATCCCGCCGAATGGTGAAGGAGAAACAGCAGCTCATGAAGCCCTCTTCCTTTGGGGGGTCTTCTCTGGGCTTGCCACGAGATGGCGTCAAGGCGCCGGAAGAGGGGAGGAGGGGCTTGTAACGCAGCACGCAGGATGTGAGCACCGCTTTTTGGTTGGAGTCGAAGGCAACGTTGCCGTACTTCTGCAGCTCGAGTCAGACGCGTCATACAGTGCCATAGGCTGGCGCTCACCTCCCAGTAATTTACAGCTGAGTCTTCTGCCATCAGCTCATAGATACATAACCGCCCCTTCGGCGACAACGATTCAGCATCCGAAGTCATAGATGTCAGGCTGAGGACACCTACGTCACGCAGCATGTACCCATCAACACCCACGAGCTCTGCGAATTCGCGATTGGCTTTGTATATCTCTCCGGTGCGCCGCCATAAGCACGCCGGGATCGCCATGGCGGAGAAGACACGGTCATAATCGAGTAGTAATCGCTCGAAGGCCTCTTCGATGAAGACGAGGTCCTGTGCAGAAGACCAGTGAAACCATGGACTGTGATGGGATGGAGGACTGCTCACGATATCTGTCAATGATTCCGACTGGGCTATTGCTCGGAACTTTGGCCGCAAGACCGACAACGGCTGCAGGATCTTCTGCTTCGACTCCAAGGAGACGCTGCAGCAACCAGTAAGCTTTCATAGCCGACACTTCTCGGGTGAGTCCATATGGATTTGAGCACGTAGGCATAGTAAGGTGCCTGGTGAGACACCTATCGCGTCACCGCTACATTGCTGCAGCTGAGGTAGTGTCTGCAGAATCCCCTCTACTTGCATGTTCTCACACACCTCTCGCGCGATGCACCCACCAGTGGCACCCATTACATTTGCGGGCCAAGCAGTGGGTGGAGGTCCCACAACCTGCACATCGCGCGACAGGAGCATAGCAACATGCAACTAGCTCTGATTCTGAACATTGAGGTGCGTTATTCTCGGCGCGATGACAGATTGCCTACGCACAGTTTGATGTTCCCTGACCAGACGATATGGACTACGTATCAACAGACAACAGACACGCACTTTCTGTCCATCCATCGTGATAGGCGTGCGTAGCCCTTCACGTAGTTGTACGGCTTCAGTAAGCCCGCTTCGTATTTGCTGCGGATGACCATATTCAGACGTTCGTTCCGTGAACCCGATGCTTGATCTGCCGCCGTGAGGAAGAACTTCTCCGTCTTCGTCGCTGCCGGAAGCACGTCCGGCGCAGGCTCTTCTGGAGGCTTCTCTGGTGATGGAGGGGCAACAGCTTCAGAGGAGCCCGAAGGTTGTGGATGGGTTATATATGGGTTGTCCACGCCGAGGGAAACAGAGTTGCCATATGGTGTCGGAGACATCAACGACGGGTTCACCCCTGGTGGCTGGCCGAAGAACGAGCCATCGTCCAGGGACTCCAGAAAATCTCTGTGAAGATGTATGAGGATGCATCGGGCGAACTCGTGGGCGGCAACAACAACGTACGAGAGAACCGAGAACTCGTTCATTGCGTCGGGCGGATATAGGAATGCGCCTTGTGCCATGCTCATTCCCATACCAGGCCATCCTGTGTTCATCGGGGCAGCAGCCATGGGTGGTGCAAACTGAGAGGGACCTGGCAAATGATCCGCCTCGGTACACAGCGGGTATGGCGTATTGGAAATTCACACACCAGGCAGATTCCTCGTAACGTCTACGGCAGGATTCGGTATCGAGCTTGTAGGGCTCGCGAGTGCGGGAGCCTTTTCCTTGCCCGCAGAGCGCTGCTCGTCGTGGCAGAGGTGACCAATCTCGCGTTTAATACTGCGCGCCCCGATTCATCATGAACGAGGGTTTCTCCGCGGTGGGCGAACGGAAAGACACACCAGCGTTGGCAGGGACGGCCTTCGTCGCAGGTCATATGGCTGCGACGGCAGTAGAGACAGGCATGGTTGACCTTGCGGCGTTTGGGGCCTTTTTTCTTCTTGCCCGTGCCGTCCTGGTCGTGCTCGCCGCTCGCCGCGGTGTCGAAATTGTGCGGCTCGGTCGAGGCGGAATCAGGAGTGGTGGCATCGGCGTGGCCCGGATCGTTCGCAAAGCTGGACATGGTTTGAAGTCGGGAGTGTTCGGCGAGGAGCGCGAGTGCGCCCATGTAACTACGCTTTCTAATGCGGTCTCACCCGAGTTAACTAACTTTGCTACCAACCTTTGCGGACTTTCCTTACCTCCTCACAAACCGCCGCCACGTGTTTCTATCGGCGCCAAGTAATACACAACCTATTATGACGCTTGTTCTGTTCAAGCCGACATGTACGATGTGCAAGGCCTTTCTGTCAACTTCTCTGTTTTCCCTTCCAGATCGCATTTCTGCAGGGTCTGCCGAGGTGGACGATGGTGCAATGGTGGACATGGACACATCGCCGACGACCGTCCGTCCTATGCGTTAATTCGGGAAATGTTCTAGCAATCGCCATCAGCGGTATGTACTATGTAACAGCCTCGGAGCAAACTGAATGAAATGAGACCGCTAGATGCAAGCTAGACGGTTAGCTCTCGTATTCGTGAGCTACCGGAACGTCGCTACGTGAACGGAAGAAAGCGAGGGACTGTGGAAAGACTTCGGTCAGTAGCATTTCGGCTGTGACGACTCGGAGGTCGCGTGTTCCTGACAACGTACTCATGAGTCTTCTAGCAGTGGGTTGTGCGCGAGACCTCAACTGTGAGTCAACTGGAAGGTAGACCTATGACAGGAACGAACATCAGTTTGACCAGCTAAATGGAAACCCGGTCCACCGTACCACAGGGAACAGCTATAGCACTGGCGTTGACCGCGGTGCTAGTTGCTGGATGTCCCAAATACCGCTAATGGTACGCCTTGCGACTCGGGTCACCGCACACTGACAGCCCATTAGCAAGTATGTGGGGTTCCAGAGTGCCCAGGATTATTTCCGGCTGTTTCTCGTCCCTGATTCGTCGGTCAATGCCACGGTGGAACGAAGAGGAAAGTATGCGGGGAGACTCGGAGCTATGTACGTGTGCTTTAACCTGAGCGTGACATTTGACCGGTAAATTACAGGTCCGTTAAGTGATCCAACATCGTTCCTGTCCAAGAAGTGCGTTACAGTACTCGCGTGCTATGACTCTGTGTTGACGAAGGGTTTTAGTAGACGGACAGGATGATTGATGGTGGGGATTCCACGACAGAACCTCGCAGTCACGCAGCAATGAAAATATGATTATACAGTAGTAGCAGTGGAACTGATTTAGCATCCCCATACTATTCGCCGGGGCTCAACGGGGAAGCATGCACGCACGGAGACCCGCTCTCCATACAGAGATCCAGGCTTCAAGCGGTCACGGGCATCTCCTCTTCTACTTCTTCAACATGCCATTCCAATGTGGCCTATGATAAATATCTACGAGGAACCTAGTATCCTTCGTCGGGCCTTCCGCAGCGAACGCTAGCAATGTGCTTCATCCTCTGGGATACTTACTACTGCCAGTGTGTGCCGTTCATGAGAGGAATAATCCGCTAAATACTCAGCGGCGCCTCATCTGAGACGACATCTACATATTCTATCATGCTCTTGAAGTGCGGTCTCGCTGTGTGTGCTGATCAGTGAACCAACATGAACGTCCTTGGGACCCGTGGTTGAATATTTGAATATCGAATCTTGATCGAGATCCAGCCATCGTAAATCCCCGATCTCATCATCTAAGATACTCTCCCTCTCTCTCCCTACTTATGGCTTCACCCTCACATTATGGCCTCCACTAGCATCAGTTCATTGCATTGCCTTCCGTAGGCGCAATAAGCCATCGAGGATGCCACAAACATTTCTGGACCTACCACTGGAGCTTCTACCGGTCATCATGCAGCAGCTTGTCCGGCCTAGCCACTTCGCTGCGCTGTGTCTGGTCAACAACGCGTTCTACACATTTGCAATACCATATCTGTACGAGAGTGCATTCATTTATGCTTGGCACAAGGAAGGGAAGGCAAAGGTAAGTAGACGACGCGAGTCGCTAGAAATGTGCTAACCTCTGAGAGCCCGTAGGTAGTCAAGTTATTCCGGACCCTTAGTACATGTCCACACTTGGCTGAGCATGTCCAGCGACTAGGTGAGGAACATGTTTCACTGAGAGAATTTAGTGCTCAGCAGCGTACTAACCAGCTCCTCTAGAAATCAGGGATTTCCCCAAGTCATTTTACGTCGCTGAGCACGAAGCGACGCTCCAGCTCTGCCTCTCCGGCATCAAGAACTGCGTCAACCTCCGCGCATGCACCTGGACGCGCGACGGCTCGCTCACGACCGAGATCCTCGAGGCACTCCTCCCGTGCGCGCACCTCGGGGAGCTCGAGATCAACGGAAACCACGAGAATCACTACGACCCGTGGGTGCTACGGAAGTTTACGCACTTGCGGCGGATATCGCTCATTATGCCGCGGCACGCGGTAATCGATGTCCTGCCGACGTGGACCATGGCTACTGGGAGCACTCTGAGGCACCTGACTATTCTATGCAAGGTGGGAAGTCCGCTGGGTCAGCGTAGAGACGTGCTGACGGCATTCCTGGCCAGACTCCGGGGACGGTCAACGATACGGCGTTGCAAGAGATGGCCCCGAATGTGCCCAACTTGGAACGTGTGTACATCGCCGGCTGTGTCAAGGTGACGGAGCGTGGCGTGTGGGCAGTACTATCCGAGAACACCCATGGCCTACTCGCGCTCGGAATGGAGGGCCTCTCGCCGTCGTTTGTACGAATCAGCTCGAGCAGGTCAGGATGAGTCTAACCGACGGTCGTAGGACATGGCGAACTTCAGCGATCTATGCACACGGCATAACGCATTGGCACGCTTGCGCTCCATCACACTGACAATCGACGGCTCGCCGACGTGGAAGAAGGACGTCCTGTCCCTACTACATCCCGCCCCGCTGGAGCAGTTCCATATCTCCACAATCGGGGGGAACGTTGGTCCCACCTTGGGTGAGGAGTTCTGCAGCGCGATCGTGGATCGGCACGGAGCGCGCTTGAAGCGATTCAGCGTGCACAGGATGACTATGAGCTTGGCCAACATTGAGTACATATGTAGGAACTGTGGGATACTGGAACAACTTTTCGTTGTAGTCGAACAAGGGTCTCTTGTGCGTATCTTCCCATGCCTATTCCTTGTGGTGCGTCTAGCTGAAAGGGTGCGCAGAGCAAGTTGGGTCCGATTCTCGCCCAAGCGAGGTCCCTGCGCGCCGTTCACGTGAACCGCCCCCTCGACCTTGGCTCAGAAGACGTGCCCATGATTGCGCGGGATCAGATCCTCGACATCGTCAAGCAGAGTGGGCCGAGCCTCATGCAGTTTGGCTACAACACGCGTGTCTTCCAAGTGCGTGCGCTGACGTACTGCTTATGTCGACTACGCATGCTGATCACGGATCGATGAGCTAGGTTGAGCGGATCGTTCACAGGAAGGAGGATGGTTCGCTGGAGGCGGAGACGCGGTTAGGCCCGTACGAGAGCCCAGAAGTTCCAGAACAGTTCCTCGTTGTCCGCACCTGAGCACTCTCGGCTCATCTGTGTTCGCTAGAAGTCCTAGGGCATCTTCAGACAATTTGATTGTACTTTCTTCAATGTTGCATTGTTATAGCGGTCGAGAGTTATGTCGACTTGGCTGGAGACTGGATGCGAATTGACGTCAGAGGCCGTGACAATATCGTGACTCCTTGCGCCCCAGCTGTTCTCCCCGGAATAGGATCGTCGAAACCAACGTGCGCAAGATGAGAGATCGTGAATTCGCATCGCTGTCGCTCTGAACGAGAGTATGAGCCGAATTGGATAGCAAATGTTCTTACCTGTCGGCCCGGAGGATGAGCGGGCGAGAAGAGGACGCGATGCTGGGCGATAGGAACGCGTGACATAACGCGTCTGTTACAATGGTCACAGCGCCGATGACGGTGTAGATTAGATCGCCTGCTATAAAGGCAGCTCCAGTCGGATTTCGTCGACAACACTCTCCCTGCACCCACCATGTCGTTCCAAGTCAAGGAGATCCAAACTAAGCCGTTCGATGGCCAGAAGCCAGGCACTTCCGGCCTGCGGAAGCGGTGAGTACTGCGTTCGGTCTTGGAACGGTATCAGGCGCGTCGGAGGTGCCACCGGAGCATGGCAACCATCCTGGAGATGTGGTGGTCGGTGGGCGGAGAGGGCTTAACGAGGTTGCGTTGCTGCGGTGTGGGACTGGACGCGTCTGGGGACTCAGTCCAGGCACGTCGAACCAGCCGCGTTCGCTGCCACTGTCTGTGAGGCGCTCAGCGACACTCCGAACAACCTTGACGCCGACATCGAGATTGACGGTGCGGCATTATACACCCACCGGTTGTGCCTCGTCCAAGGGATGTGGTTGCGGCATCTCCAAGCTGCCTGGGATTGCTCTGGCACTGTCGGATTCAGAAAGATACTGACGATGCCTGGATAGGGTGAAGGTCTTCCAGCAGGAGGTGTGCATCCAACATTTTGCATTTTGCGACTGTGCTAACTGGAGTAGCATTACACAGAGAACTTCATACAGGCCATCTTCGACTCCATCGAGCCGAAGGGCATGACCCTCGTCATCGGTGGTGATGGCCGATTCTTCAACTCCGAGACGGCACAGCTGATCCTCAAGATCGGCGCTGCGAACGGAGTCGCGAAGTTTATCATCGGAAAGGACGTGATTCTGTCCACACCTGCCGCGTCGAATGTCATCCGGAAGTACAAGGCAAACGGTGGTATCCTGCTCACTGCGTCACATAACCCGGGCGGGCCGAACAACGACTTCGGTATCAAGTACAACGTCTCGAACGGTGGTCCCGCGCCGGAGGGCGTGACGAACAAGATCTTTGAGAAGAGCAAGACCATCTCGTCCTACAAGGTGCTCGAGCTCCCGCCCGCGGATCTGAGCAAGATTGGCACGTCCAAGTACGGTCCAGCGGAGGTGCAGGTGATCGACTCGGTCAAGGACTACCTCGAGATGTTGCAGGAGATCTTCGACTTCCCCCTGATCAAGAGTTTCCTCGTCGAGAAGGCGGATACTTTCGGTGTCCTCTTCGATGGTATGCACGGTGTCACAGGCCCGTACGGCCGCGCGATCTTCGTTGACACGCTCGGCCTGCCCTCGTCATCCGTGCAGAACGACAAGCCGCTGCCCGACTTCGGCGGGGGACACCCCGACCCGAACCTGACCTACGCACATGATCTGGTGGAGCGTGTCGAGCGCGACAACATCACGTTCGGTGCGGCCAGCGACGGTGACGGCGACCGGAACATGATCTACGGCAAGGGCGCGTTCGTCACCCCGAGTGACAGTGTAGCGATCATCGCCGACTGGGCGGCGGAGGCAATCCCGTACTTCAAGGGCGGCGTTAAGGGTCTCGCGCGTAGTATGCCGACGAGTGCGCAGATCGACTACGTAGCGAAGAAGAAGGGCCTTGAGTGCCATGTTGTGCCGACCGGTGAGACTTGCTCTTTTCTCTGAAGCTGTGGACGACGCTGATCAATACGCGGTGTACAGGCTGGAAGTTCTTCGGCAACCTAATGGACGCTGGCCGTCTCTCCATTTGTGGAGAGGAGTCGTTCGGTACCGGCTCGGACCATATTCGGGAAAAGGACGGTGTCTGGGCTGTTGTCGGTACGTCTCGTCCCCGATGAAAATGCGACTTGTGCCCTGACAAACTCTTAGCATGGCTCAACATCCTCGCCTACGCGAACAAGCAGTCTCCGAACGAGACGATTGGCATCAACGAGCTTCTGCAGAAGCACTACGCCGTGTACGGCCGCTCGTTCTTCTCGCGGTACGACTACGAGGAGGTCGCCTCCGACGGCGCGCAGAAACTTGTCGACAAGCTCAACGCGCACATCGCGAAGGGCGACCTCGCGGGCACGAAGCACACGTCTAAGTCGACGGGCCAGACGTTCGTCGTCAAGGACGTGTACAACTTCGACTACACCGACCCGATCGACCACAGCGTGTCGAAGAACCAGGGCCAGGTCGTTGGCTTCGAGGACGGCAGCCGCGTCGTGTTCCGCCTAAGCGGTACGGGCAGCCAGGGCGCGACGGTGCGGCTGTACGTAGAGCGCTATGTCGCGGCCGACAAGGGCAAGGCGGAGCTTAGCAAGCCTACGAAGGAGGGTCTGCAGGGCTTGATTGAGGTCGCGCTGGAGCTTAGCAACCTTAAGGAGTTCTTGCAGCGCGATGCGCCCACTGTCATCACGTAAATCGGGCTGGTGGTAGTCGTTGGATAGGATTTACTTTTGGGAAGGAAAGAACAATGTAGCAACATCTTTGTACGCAGGCAGATCGCAGAAATGGACATAGAATGAATGTCGCGAAGTACCCAGAAGCATTAGGCGGCCTCGACTGGACTACGGTTCTGCGTGTGCAGACGGCTCGGAGAGATCTCGTTAGCGGCACTTCATGGTATCTCATGAATCTCGAAACCGAGAGACACCGGAGAGAGGTTCACATTATGACTGGGACAAGTATGCTATCAAGAGTATGTGCGCGGCCGCGGACAACGTACTATAACATGATAATGTCTATGTCAGCTTTGTTTGCAAGGACATCAAATGCTGCATGGCCGTACTTTCCGACGTTCTGGCGAACAGGTACTTATAGAAGTGCCCTCTTAATTGTAGTGTTTCACAACGATACCGTGGACGACATCTTGCTCGTGGCCATCGTCCCTCTTCTTGAGCTGTACTAGGCCGTACCGACTAGAACTAGCTTTTCGCCACTGTTCCGAAGTCGGTGCATCCGCGTCCTCGAAGCGCCGCTTGACGCCGACCTTTTGCAGGACGGGGCTCTCGGTGTGCGGGACGAGTAGAACGTCGTCGTCTGGAGTGGCGAAGTAATATAGGCCCAGGCGAGGGTAGCCGCGCTGATCCTCTGGCGGCTGGACGACACGGTGGATGGTCGCCTTATAGTACCCGCCGGAGAGGAACGCCATAGCTTCTCCGGCATTGATTATCTAGAAATCCGACCATGAGCGGAGGTGCTCTCGGTTACGAACAGCCTGACTTACGACTGCGTTGTCAATATGCTTGACCCAGCGCCATTTACCATCTGGAGACATCACTTGTAAGGCGGCAACCGGCTGGCTCCACAGCATGGAAATGCCAGTGTAGTCTGATGCGTTGTAAGAGTACTAATGGACTTGGTTTATTTGAGAATCCACGTACCTGCATGACCCTTGAGCCAGACATTCTTGGTCTTTTCTTCTTCCTCGACGGAACGAGGATAACTGGGGATATATTGCTAATGAACGACTGATGATGCACTGAAGCCCGAAAATGACACGCACTACTTCATCGTGCGGACTGATTCACTAGTGGTCAGAAGTGCTCAATAAGGGCGCAGACAGGGTGATGTTTGCGTACACCAGGTATCACCCTCGGCGTCAAACTGGAATTGGTTGACGAACGTCTCCTCTGGCAGCTCAAGACACGTTGCGAGGAGCCTGAGTATGCAGGAGTTCGTAGTGACCGACAAATCAATCGGTTCGTCACATACCGAAGGACAGGGTGCAAAATTTTGAGATGACAGAATCGCGCAAACTCAGTGATCTCAGGTAGGAACGGACGCAGTGCTTGCGGATGCTGCCTCTTCGTTACGTCTCGATTGACTGTTCTGCCAATCAGATGCTACAAGCTCGGCGAAGAAAGGTAAGCACGCCGTACTGCTGTACTGTTCAATCTGATCCCTAACTCCTGCGTCGATGTGCTGGGGACGTTTCGTGATTGAGACATATACAGTAGTGACGGCATACCCAATATTGACGCAGCTTGTAGCCCTGGAACGTTCCTGTTTCCATCGCGTTTCCCTCGTAAGCCTTCTTCTCCTGGTCGGACACTTGAGTGAATGCGGCATCTCCGATATCGAGCATCCTGTCCGTCTACCGAGCGCCGTCAGCAACAATACTCGATCACATATGAGCACAGTGATATACCTCAGCTTTTGTATGACCATGATTCACCACGTAGAAGAAACCGGAAGTCGTCATCGCATCATGCACCTTCTGGGCCAACATAGTGGTGCCACCCGGGCTCGCCAACTTCGCGAAGTCAATGATTGGCAAGTCCGCATAATCCACTGATACACGGGTACAGAGTCGGACGTCAGTACTGCGCTGCATTGCACGTATACTCACGGTCTGCCTTCGTCGCAGGGGCAGGGACCCAATGAGGCACCGGTGGCAAAGTCGTGCTTGACATTTTAGCAAAGGCGTGCACCAGCGTGCTGAATGATGGCATAAGTTTGTGTGCATCCCCCTAGACAGTCCCCCTTATATGCGCTGCAAACAGCAATGAAGAGGCCGGTGTACTTATTGCTTCCGCGAGCTTGCCAGACAGTATCTCGCCCCGAGTAGAACTCAATGAAGGCGTCAAGACAGATGCTGCTCCGTGAACTTCTACGCATGATAAGGGGTCAGCTGGCAATCGATTTAGAAATTGAAAAAGAGGGCATACTATCGTTCGGACGCTGCGGTCATAGAGATGTCGAGAACCTGAGCTGCTTGGCTTCAGTACAATAACAAGATGCAGTAATCAGCTTCATACCTGTGTCCCAAATGCCGTGTCTCGATGAGTTCGAAACATCGCGCTCTCGCGAGAGTCCTATGACATTGATCACCGTGGCATGTCAGTCCGCAGACACCCCTCGAATGTTCACTCGTCGCCGGTCATCCTCTGGAGAGCGGATTCCAGGCCTTCGCGACGGGTCAATTCCGGCCTTGACCGGACTTTGGTTCTGCGTGTGCGAAGAACGGTTCAAGAAGGCTGCATCAATCGCGCTTCCACTACTATACACTGGCATCGAAATTGCTGCACAACCGCGAATTCAGACACGTACGGCGACACTCCCGATGGTCTCTCAGTTGTAGTGCTTGACAACGATACCATGGACGACGTCTTGCTCGTGCCCGTCGGCCCTCTTCTCGTGCTGCACCTTACCGAACCGACTAGACCTGCCCTTGCGCCACTGCTCTGAAGTCGGTGCGTCTGCATCTTCGAAGCGCCGCTTGATTCCGACCCTCTGAAGGACGGGGCTCTCGGCATGCGGAACGAGGAGAACGTCGTCATCGGGCGTGACGAAGTAGAGTAGACTCAGGCGGGGGTAGCCCTGCTGGTCTTCCGGCGGTTGGACAACACGGTGGATAGTCGCTTTGTAGTACCCGCCAGAGAGGAATTCCAGGGCCTCGCCAGCATTAATGATCTTTGAGGCACACAGATAAGAGGGAAATGAGCGGGCATGAGGAGTTCGACTCACTACAGCGTTGTCGATGTGCTTGGCCCAGCGCCATTTGCCGTCCGGAGACATGATTTGCAGGGCGGCAACCGGTTGACTCCACAGGATGGTAATGCCAGTGTAGTCTATTGCGTTATGAGCACCCAGGATGTTATCACCTCGGGGTTCACCCACCTGTGTGGCCCTTGAGCCAGACGTTCCTGGTCTTTTCTTCGTCTTCGACTGAACGAGGATAACTTTGTCTTATGAACAATCGATAATGAGAATCGAGCGAACACCACGCACTACTTCATTGAGCGAACTGATGCACCAAATGGTCAGACATATTAAATGAGGGCATAGATGGAGGCCCATATACGTACCCCAGGTATCGCCCTCGGCATCAAACTGGAATTGGTTGACGAACGTGTCCTCTGGCAACTCAAGACGAATGGCGAGGAGGCTGTTGTAAACAGGTTCGTGATCATCGACAACCTGACGAAGCTGTTACATACCGAAGAACAGGGTGCAAAATCTGGAAGTGACAGAATCGCGTGAACTCAGAAATTTCAGGTAGGAACGGACGCAGAGCCTCTGGGTGTTCCCTCTTGGTCACGTCTCGGTTGACTACGCTTACTGTTAGAAGGATGGGCGCTAGACACATTGTATGAACGCACTATTGTAGTGTTCGATCTGATCCTTCACACCTGCATCGATATGCTGCAGGGTCTCCGTTAGTCAGTGAACGATACACTGAGGCGGTTGCTGGCATACCCAATATTGGCGTAGCTTGTAGCCTTGGTACGTCCCTAATTCTTTGACGTTGCCTTCGTAGGCCTTCTTCTCCTGGTCTGATACCTGACTGAATGCGACATCCCCGATGTCGAACATCCTGTCTGTCTGCGCAGGGCGATCAGCGACATGATACAGCGACTCGACGGCGTACATACCTTTGCTTGTGTATGACCATGATTGATCACGTAGAAGAAACCGGAGGTGGTCATTGCGTCGTGCACTTGCTGTGCCAACATTGCGCTGCCACCGGGGGTCGCCAGCTTGGCGAAGTCGATAATCGGTAAGTCGGCATACTCCACTAAGGGATGGGCCAGGGTGTTGTGCGTCAGCTGCACGAGAGTGTATTGAGGGATTGCTCACAGTCTGCCTTTGTCCCGGGGGCAGGGACCCAGCGAGGCACCGATGGTAGGAATGTACCTGGCATTTCTTCTTGAATCGAGAGTGGGCGACCGGGGATGATGGGTAAGAGCTGCCTGCCGGTGGCACGTCCGTACGCTCTCCTTATATGCCAGGTACACATACGTGGCGCACAAGCATCATTGGACAAGCAGTATTGTTACCGTGAGCTTGTAGACGATGTTATACCTTAGCGGCCTTACGAGAGCAACACAGACTTGCACAGACTTCTGCGAATGATAAGCGGTCAGCTGGAGGTCGAAAAGACACAGAAGGAAGACGTACGTAGATTCTGGCTGAATGCTACTGGAGTCTTCCATTCCCAGAGCTGTCCAGAACAGAACTCAGTCCTGCATGTCAATGCCGCACCAAACTCACTCCGTACGATGTTTAACTTCGCTGGTATGATTGGGCAGCGACAGTTTGGCGTGAGACGGGCCCAGTGAGCCCCGATCTTCCAAGAGAATCGTGGTGCAACCATTTTGACGAAGTTGAACTCAGTCTTCTATACTAGGTCCCTGTGAGCCGCGTCCTGCCTTGGTTGAAGTTCTCTCTCGCGGGAACCTCAAAAGACACCCTTGTTGAGGCGGTATGTCAGTCTATGAATACCCTCACGCCTTCTCTGGATAGCGGCGTTCCTTGTCTCCCGGCCGCAACCCGTTCACGTCAGCGATGATATATGATACCTTGGAACATCATGTTCAGTCAGGACAGCTGATACGATGACTTCACAATGTAGGCAGTATTTACCATAATGACTGACCATGACGTCCGGTGGTCCATCGTTTCGACTTCCGGCTCGTACAGTAGTCGTATACCGTACTCGCTTCAGGTACTACCAGTTGTACTTTGAGTCGGAAGCTTCAAAGTCCATTCGTGGATGTTTCAGGGTCTTAGACGGAACGTTCAATTCGCGTTAACAAGTATTTGTCACTGAGACTCAGTGAGAGCCGTCAATACAGTAGTGGGCTGCAATATTTCGTGCAGTTCAGTTGTTCGCTGGGAGGTGTCCGTCGCGGTCGACGGGGGGTGCCACGAGCCGAATGCAATTCTGACGTAATCACCAGAAATGGCAATCCCTGCGACTGTCCTCGGTCACCGTGGTGGCGAGGACTCGGAGTGTGGACCATTCACCACCCTCTAGCTTCGACTTGCAACGTCTTCCTTCTTCGCATCCTACGCTATGTCTGATTACGAGGAAGACTTGCCTGTGAACAGTGGCGCTGCGGAGGTAACCGCGGAGAACGAGGATGTCGAAGAGGAGTACGAAGAGGACCAGGAGGAACGACCTCGCAAGAGCTCACGGAGAGACTATGACGACGACGAAGAGGACGAGGAAGATGAGGAGGACGAGGAGGAGGACCCGGGCGCAGAACGGGGAAAGAAACGTAGAGTGGGTGCCGACATCGAGCAAGCCACATAGACTTGTCACTAACATCCACCCAGAGGACGAAGCGGCCTGCCGTCAACCGCTTCCTCGATGTGGAGGCCGAGGTGGACGAGGACGAGGATGAAGAGGAAGACGTGGACGAATATGCCCGCGGTGCGTATCTTTGCACTTTCAGTTGACGAATACAGTCTCAAACATCATGCAGATGAGTTCGTCGTTGGCGGAGAGGCGGAGGAGGACGACCTGGCGCGACGCGCAGCGGACCATGCAAGATTTGACAGACGAGAACGAGAGCTCGACGACCAAGACCTTGCGAAGATCGCGGAGAACCTGAATCAACGGTACAGGCGCACCGCGAAGCGGTTTACCAGCGACGCCGAGCTACCGCAGCGAATGCTTATGCCGTCCGTGGAAGACCCAAGCCTTTGGCAAGTCCGTGTGAGGGTAAGCAACGCAATCGTCGTTATGTATATCCAGCAGCACTGATGCCTCGCCCACAGCCTGGCAAGGAACGCGACCTTGTATTCAGTCTCATGCGCAAGGCTCTCGACCTGGAGTTCTCGAACCGGCCACTTCAAATATTCTCCGCCTTCCAACGCGACTCACTGCCTGGTATGATCTATGTGGAGGCCCACAGCGCCAAGCAGGTCGCCGACGCCTGCAACGGGCTAGTCGGCGTCTTCCCAAGTCGCGGAATAGTGCTCGTACCAATTGACGAGATGGCTAGTCTGCTGCAGATCAAGAAGCAGGACCTGACGGTCACTCCGGGGAGCTGGGTGCGTATCAAGCGTGGCAAGTACCAAGGCGATCTCGCGCAGGTCATGGACATCACGGAGAACGGGGAGGAGGTCGGCCTCAAGTTCATCCCGCGTATTGATCTGAATCCCAAGGACGACGCTGCTCTCGACGCAATGGGCAAGAAGCGAAAGAAGGGACCGTCAGGGCTGTCGTCGTTCAGCATGCGTCCGCCGCAGCGCTTCTTCAACTACGAGGAAGCTGTCAAAGTGTATGGACGTAAGGGCGTGTCGAAGCGGAACCAGGTGTACGTGTTCCAGAACGACACGTACCGGGACGGCTTCATCGAGAAGGACTTCCGCCTCACTGCGCTTCAGTTGGACGACGTCAATCCGACGCTAGACGAGATCACCCGGTTCACGCGCGGTCAGGATGGCACGGAAAACGATGCGAACGTCGATTTGTCTATCATCGCCGAGGCATCGCGCAAGGCTGCCATATCCGTACTGCAGCCCGGTGATCACGTCGAGGTCTTCGAGGGCGAACAGGCCGGTGTGCATGGTACAGTCCACTCGATCGAGCAGGACATCGTCTCGATACAGCCAGTAGGCATGGATCTGGAGCAGCGGATCCAACTACCTGCACGCAGCGTCCGGAAGCGTTTCAAGCCTGGAGACCATGTCAAGGTCATGGCAGGCCAAAACGCCGATGAGACCGGTCTCGTCGTCTCGGTCGTCGACAATGTAGTGACATTCCTGTCGGACATGTCGATGCAAGAGGTATATAGTGTCTTCGAATCTTGTCTCATTTGCTCAACGATCCCTCATTAGGTGTCAGTGTTCTCGAAAGACCTCCGTGAGGCAGCCGAGGTTGGTACAGGAACTAACGTCGTCGGGAACTACGAGCTGCACGATCTCGTACAGCTTGAGTGTGTATTGATCTCTTGATGTCTCCGGCATACTTCCTGACCTTCTTGTAGTTTGCAGACGGTCGGGGTCATCTTCAAGACGGAGAGGGATTCTTTCCGAGTGCTCGACCAGAACGGTCAAATTCGGCTTGTACAACCCCACCAAATCTCGATGCGCCGAGACTCGAATAGGGCTATTGCCACTGACGCGGAAGGCCATGAGTTGCGTGTCAACGACAATGTCAAGGAGGTCGACGGGGAGGTAAGTTGGCCAGCTCCACGCACAGATGTTTTAGATTGACGTGATATTGGCTTAGGGACGCAAAGGTCGTGTTCTCCACACGTACCAGTCGTTCTTTGCGTTCCTCCACAACCGGGACTACAATGAGAACGGCGGTGTGTTCGTCACGCGTGCTCGGTCTTTGGTGTCTCTGGCGCCGAAGGGCAATGCTATGAAGCTCGGTACAACTGACTTGTCGAAGATGAACCCGGCCTTGACCGGTGGGGTCGGAGGCATGGTGGGCTCTGGCAACATGGGCCGTGGACCCCGGGACCGACTCATCGGAGTCACCGTCACCGTGACGAAGGGACCGAACAAGGGCTACGTTGGTACCATCAAGGATACCAACGGGCCTATCGCTCGAGTTGAGCTGGTCACTGGTAACAAGGTCATCTCGATCGATAAGGCGAAACTCATGCGGAGAAAGTGCGAAATCCAATCTCTTCTGTGTACATTTTCTGACCGTGTTTTCAGCCAAAACGGTGCGTTGGAACCGCTGGAGGGACCGAACAACATGGGCCCACCACGGAGTGGTTTCAACTCCGGTGGCGGACGCACGCCAAATCCGTATGCAGGCAACAGCGGTCGTACGCCTGGTTGGGGCGCCGTCGGGCGGACACCCAATCCCTATGCAAACGGCGGTGGCAAGACACCACATTGGGGTCAGACGCCCGGGTGGGAGAAGACCCCTGCGTGGCCGGGTGCGTCAGCGACGCCGTTCCAGTCTGGCGACAAGACCCCTGCGTGGCCTGGCGCCTCACGGACGCCAAATCCGTATATGCAGAATCAGCCAAAGACGCCACGCTGGGACGGCTCAGCGCAGTCGCCTTCACGAGGGCAAGCGAAGTCGCCAGAACGTCCACAGGCAGCCGGTGGATGGGGCGGTGTCAATTGGGTAAGTGTAACGACACGAAATGTACGCTTGGGTCACTCACGTATAGGGTCACTCTAGGGGGATCTCAGTTACATTGACAATCCGCAAGCGACATCACCTGCGGCGAATCCATACACTGGTGCACCAACACCTGGAGCCCACGATCTCTACCAAGACTTCCGGACCCCCAACATCGGGACCAGTATGGTCACTCCGGGCCCATCCGCTGCTGATTTCATCGGCAACACCTCGGATGCACCCTTTGGTAAGTTTTTCGTGCACCTAGAAAGTCGCACTGTACTCACAGCCCCTCAGAACTCTCCGATCAGTGGCTCCTCGAACCAGACTTCTCGAACCAGCGCGGTATGCTTGTCGAAGTCAAAGGCTCCTTCGGTCCCAGCGGCTGGTACAACGGGGATTACGAGGGCAAGCAGGGCATCATCCTCTCAATATTTGACACCAAAAGCCCCAACTTCGCTGCGACGGCAAGCGTGCGCTTCTTCGAGCCCGTAGATCCAGCCAAGTCTGCGCTTCAGGTGCCAGTTGAGGTTCTCAAGCCGGTCAAGCCTGAGAAGTATGGCACGGAGGTCCTCATCCTCCACGGTCCACATAAGGGTCAGCAAGCGAGAGTCAACATGGTCGAAGCTGGCGGCCTCATGGTCGTGACAACAAAACAATTCACAGTGGACGAGCTCAGCGCCGAGAAGCTCGTGGTGGTACAACCAGTCGATTGATGCGCCTGTCTGTAGTTGCTGTAACATACTGACTTTGTGGTTACTTATTTCATTGCCGTTCTTGCGACTCCTTCATACACACTACACGCATCTGTAACACTAGTGGAGGCCCTGTTACTACGATGTCACTTCCTCCGTCCTTTGTCATACTTGGGGACATGATTGCACGCTACATTCACCACCCAACATGAACGAAGGGCACCCAAGAGAATGTCTTCGTATCGTCTTGCTTACGCAGCATTTGCACAGCGTGATGCAGAGCCACGGCTGCCTGAGAACTGTCTGGTTGAACAGAACCCGACAGTAACCTCCTGTACACTTGCTCCGCCACGGTAGGCGCGACCTCGTCTTGGATGGACCACATCGTACCGATGATGCTCTTGAATCCAGCTGCAAGCATTCCAGCCGCTAGATGCGCCGCTTCATCTGGCAGCATGTCAGTACCCATGGCAGTCTGACATGCGGAGAGGAAGGCGAAGTCAGCCCGTTCAAAGGACGCGGAGATTAGCTCCAAGAGCGCCAACGGCCCGTCGTGCAGCTCAAAGCGGCTCTTGGTAGGCTCTTGTATATCCTGCACTCCGTGACACGCAAAGTGCACCCATCCGTAGCCGCTGAGGTTATCGAGAACCGCTTGTACATCTCCGTCTTCGTCCTGCAGAGCGCAACAATTGACGTTGCATTTCTCAGCAACTTTTTGGATACATGCCACTTCGACTGCAGCGTTGGGTAGAGTTGCTGATTGACTGACACAGAGTATGCCGTTGAACTTTGCGGCTGAGAGTGAGCGTCGCGCGAATGGAGTTAGCGTCGGTGTGTAGGAAGAAGCCGCGAAGTCAGATAGCTTGGTTCCCGGCTCATCATCCGCATAGATACCAGCTGCGTGAAGGGGAAGCGATGCAAGTAGACCTGTCGGACACCACCAAAGACGAGGCAAACCATTACCGACGGAGATCGGCTCCATAGAAGGTCAGAAGTCGATAGGTGGCAACACAATGACAACTCACCGAGAATGCCAGCGAGTCTAATACAGGTTTCACGACTCGCTGCCAGAGTTCTGCAAGGACGTTCTCCACACTAGCGACCGAGGAATCTGTTGATATCATCTTCGCTGCCCTTGTCGTGCGTCGCCGAAGGTTTGAAGCGGATAGCAGATGCGACAGACCTCTGTGAAGCCGTTGCGCGTGATCGAGACTAAATGAGTCCAAAGGGATATGGATGACATCGTCCAGTCCCTCCATCAACACAAGTGCGTCGCATTGGAGTTGGTCAGTGTTGACGATAACCACAGGACTGCGGTCGAGGGCCTCCTTGATTTGCGCAAAGGTCCTTGGCCGCAAGAAGTCCTCGAAACCAGGTATAGCCCTGGCCTGCGCCATTAGCCTATCCCACTCTTCTGCTCTCCTGCGCTGGTCCTGCGCAGGCGACTCCGTGTCCGTCACAACCTCCATCTGAGCACCGACTGAGTCCAGAACGTCGGATAAACTCGTGAGGTGCCCCAGAAGTGTGTTCCATTTTTGCCATTCACTGGCAGTGCGACGGTCCTCTTCAGCTGCTTCTTCCAAACGAGCCGTGCCGAGGAAATCAGTCGTAGGAGCGGCGTCTCTGGAACCGGCTGTATCAAGAGCGCGCGAAACACGATCGAGCTTCGCAGCAAGAGCAGGTGCCACTGCCCGCAGGTCATCGAAGGAGGATCGTAGCTTCGATTGTTGGCCCCAGACGATAGCACGCGCCTGATCTAGCCACTCAATGGCTAAGCAGTGTTCACCCTGTGCAACGGCTGCGGCCACCGCCTCAGTAGTCAGCGAGCTGCCCATAGCAGCAAGCTGCGCATGACGGTTTGCTATCGACTTGCCAATCCATCCTACGCGAGGCAGGAGCTCTACGGCTGTGCCGTATGCCTGTAGTGCGACCGCATGGCCGTCTTCACCACGAGACCTAGCTGCGCGCGCCCAGTCTTTGGCAGCGAGAAAGGACGTCCATGGCACTCCGTTAAGCATTGTCGCGGCAATACGATAGTTCTCGATGGCTGCGTCGAGATCATCGGCACTGTTCTTGAAGTCAAAGCGTCGCTTCAGTGTGTGGGCTAGTTGTATAGCAGCACATTGCCGGAGGGGGTTCTCTGCGTCCGCTGGAGTGGAATCCATGGCCTCCTGATATCGATGGACGGCTTCGTCGAGGTCGTCGGGGTCTTGGGTGACACTGAATCTGTGGACGTAAGACGCTGCCAGGATAGATACCACCGAGCGTCGTCGATAATCCTCCGGGTTCAATGCATTGAGCGCGCTCAAGCTCAGAGATATCGCGCGGTTGATATCGTCCATATCCGATTTTAGACCGAACCTAGCCTGCAGTGCCCCTGCCAACATCGATAGGCCTCCGGGTCGATCTGCGTGTCCATCCGGCAGTAGTCCTAGCGAGGCTTCGAATTCCACCATTGCGCGGTCGACGTCGGCGGGATCATGGTGACGCTCGTATCGAGTTGCATAGGCGCGGCCGAGGTTGTGACGCCGTTTCTGCAGGTGTGCGAGGCCCGTGGGTGTGAGCTCGACAGCCCGCTTCAGCGTTTCGACGGCGAGATGCATGTCGTTGTCCTCGAGTAAGATGTCTGCACGACATAGGTATGCGTTGCCGAGGGACGCGACGTGCAAAGCTCTCTCGGGGGCGTCATCCCCGGTGCTATCCAAGGCGCGCACCGCACGCTGCAGCGTCGTGACGGCACGGTCGATGTCCTCGATGTTATGCAGAACCTCGAATCGGTTGTGGTATGCGACTCCCAGGTTACCCAAGCAGCGCCGCAGCTCGGGGTGTCCGTCGGGGACGAGGTCCACCACCCTCTCCAGCGTCATGACCGCGGCTTCCGCATCCGTGAGGTCGCGCTGGAACATGAAGCGCAGAAGGACAGCGGTGCCGAGGTTGAACAGAAGTGTATAGTCCTCTCTGAAGGTGAGCGCCCTCGTGTGCGCAGCGATCGCCTTACTGACGTCCTTGAGATTGCGCGAGTATTCCGCGCGTAGGACGTACGACGTGCCGAGGTTGGTGAGCCTGTCGGGCAGGTCGATGTCCGACTCCGAAGTGAGGCGCACTGAGCGCTCGAGAGCCGTAATGGATTCGTTGATATCCTCGACTTCCCCAGAGAAGCGGAACCGGAGCATCTTCGCCATGCCCCACCGCCGCAGATGAATGGGAGTGTCAGGATGGTCTTCGGGAACGATAGATTTAGCTTGCACGCAGAGATCAATTGCCCTTGATAGGTCTCCGCGGTCTCCGAAGCGATCGTAGAGCAAGATGTACATCGCTGTCGAGCCGGTAAGCATGTCGCTGAGGCAGTTGATAGCGTCCGCGTTGTATTCGCGAAACGCTGCCACGAACTCGGTCATCGCGGTCACGTACAGCTCCGTCTTGTCACGGAGCAATTGATGCTGGTCCGACCTTGGAGGCGCGCGGTCGAGTACTATCCCGATGGCCTCTCCGAAGGTGGGGAGTGCTCTTGCCAGGCTGAGAGTGTCGCCGAAGGCGCGGAATCGCTCGTAATAACGTGTGCTGATGTCCATGAGAGTCAACCACTTGTCGGGGTCTGTGTCTCGAAGCCTAGAAGCGACGTTGTATTCTTGATCAAGGTCTGTTGGCAGATGAGGCGTCGTATGCGGTTCCAGTGAACATGGTAATACGTGGATCTTACCTGTCGCTGGACCATTGCTACCGAGGACACTGCCAGGCAGACCGGCCTCGAAGCTCTCATCTTCGAGGAGAAAGAAATCCAGTTTCAGTTCTGCTTTGGGATCGTCGCATCCCGTAGTCACATCGAACGAGGCCGTTGCTATAGCGAGAGGGTCGCCGGTCTGTTCAGCATCTGCAAGAACACTCAATGGAGTAGACTTACTGTCACCCTGCAAACATCGCGCCAATAACTCGTCGCTGGTGAGGTCGACATAGCCGAGAGATGACTCCGGTCCAGTCTCTGCGGTCCGATACTTCACTTCCAGTCTGAAAGCACCGCTGCCGGGGCGACTGAATACGGGACTGCGTTAGCACGTGCGAGCTTGAGTAGTGTACAACACAGGCACGGACATCCGTATAATCCCAGTCTTCAGATTCCAAGCAAGGGTTGATTGTCTGGTAAGCGCTTCTGTGCGGAGGGCTTCGTTGCCTTCGGCGATGAGGGCGACCACTACGGACGACCGATCTGACAGTTGCCGGGGAGGCGACGTCCACCGCAGTAATATCTCTGGTATCCGGCATGTATGTGAGTGTCATTCCACGGAGAGAGTCAGAGACAGCACCTTGGACTAGAATCATGCTATGTAACGTCGTCAACAGAACACGCTTTCAAAGAGATCGCGGGACATACCTGATGTTGTACCGTTAGGTCGAGAGGATCGGTATGCGGGAGCAATGGAGCCATGCTGAACAATGGACGAGTTGGTTATATGGTTGTCTTCCTCCCGATAAGGAACAGATCCGCGGATTCGGCGTGATATGAGAGGAGGTGGGTCGCCGCTGCGTGCAATGGACCACATTGACAATGATTAGAAGCATGTCAAATGAGCTACATCTACATTGATCAGCTCGCGGCAGTGCCCGTTTTGCAATTGCATGTACCTATCCGCATCTAGATTTGTCAGGCAAATCATTGGGATTGTCTCGGAAAGTGACGTTGTGTACACTCGAACACAGCAGCAAGCTGGAGTAACTCCGCACTGACTGTCCTATCTTCCAACACAATATGATGACGAAGCCGCCAGTGGTCGTGAGGTCTGGCATCGTGAATATGACATATCACGTAGTAAGCGTTGAGTAGGAGCTGATAGTATCAAAATCGTACCTACATTACTTCGGAACTCGTTACTGGAAGCCCCATGTTCAGTGAATGCCTAATCCGCGCGAATCGCCGACGCAGCGCGGGATCGCGAGGGAATCCGATTGTTGGACGCACCTTTTGTGGCTATTCCAGGGCTGACAAAAAGGCGCATTTCATCTCGTAAGTACGAGCCGGATGATTAGACCTGTGTTGGGATTTACCGCCCTGAGCGGCTGGGCCTGATAGCACACGGTCAACTCGTGCCATAAGCACAAGCAACCTGAGAGCTACAAGGGTTAATGAGTGCTGTATTATACAAAAGACGAACACAAATTTTACAGCACCCTCGCCGAGCATGATCGCAGCGCGTGCTTGGTACGTACTTCTGATACCTTCGAGCTGATGCAATTTTACGGTCATTCTGCTCGTATCAGCTGGCGCATGTCCGTATCGTCTGTTGGCCCGGGATGGTCGCGCCCGTCAGGAACCTAGTACAGGCGGCGTGAGCGAGAGTATCCAGCCCAGACCTTGATGAATCCTTGGCAGACGGTACTCTCCGCAACCCATACCAGAGTTCAGTGCATGATCCCTTGCATGCCGGATCCTCATGGTTCCGGTGCATCGATCCGTAAGGCTGAACAGAGATACCAGTATTCGTGGACGATGATGCGCTGGCAGGAGCATCACGGCGGCCGCATGCGAACGTCCTGTGTGGCTGAGCCCTATGTAATCTTAGTCCGGTGAACCCCAAATCATGTTAATGGACGTACGCTGGCTCTCTGTCGTGCGGATGGTGGCAAATTTGATGCTTGCATAGGTGTGACCAATTGAATAATTCGACTGATTGTCCGATGACTGCCAGATCATTCGCAGACTCCGTCAAGCCGCATTGCTCCGGCGTGGCTCGCAGATCTTCTCTGAAGGATGATCCCCATGGGAAATGCTGCGAAACGATGCCATGCCGCGCTCGAGTTGAATTCCGAGTCGATGTCCAGTATGATAGCAGCGGGAACGACAATATGTCGCCTGCAAAGAAATACATTCAAGTAGGTGTTTCTCTGCTCGCTATGGGGCCGTTGACATCGCTTGGTTGGTGGGTGGGAGAGCGGAGAGAAGATGTATGAAATGTGTGCGTGTTCGCTCAGGACGCGTGGTGGGCGCGTGACCGCGACTGTGGCTGGGGCCCGGCGAGCGCCTGGGGAGCGTGTCCTCCTGGCGGCCTGCCTGCGTCTTCCTCCTCGGCCCATGCCAGTGGCTGCGGACTACGAGGATCCTGCTGCTTCGACAGTTATCCGCGTCTACGGCTACCACTTATCTACCATCCTATCGCTACAATGGGGCTCAAGTCTTTCCTCCGCTCGCTCTTTGCCCACCGCTGGAGCCTGCCGTCCATGGCCACCCCCAATTACGAACTGCAGCTCACCCACCTCCTCCAGCCAGGCGTGAGTGAGCCGCTGGATCCGCGGAGGTTCTTCAGTATCACTGGGCTCGAGGGCTGCTATCTCAATGGCGATTTAACGCTCTACGAATGTGTCATCACTGACCTTTGGCTCTACAAAAAGGCCAATCTGTCGAATCACGAATACATCGTGCTCAAGGTCAGGTACAATGCCAGGGACGTTGGTTTCCTGCGGGTAGAACGCACCATCGACCGTTCGGAGGAGCATGGGTCTTCTTGGACCGTCTCCACCATCTCCAGCACCTCCAGCACTGCGTCCGCGTCTTCGAGCGTCGCTATCCTCGCTTAAGACATCATCACTCTCTGCACCACAGAGAACATGAACCTCTTGGCAGTCGACGAAGAACGGATCGCGCATGCAACCCTGAATCCTCCCCCTACCTTCGCCGCCGTCGTGGCTGCGTGCTTGGTAGTGAACCGGGAGAAGCCGTTCTACGAACTGCTTACAGGTCAATGCTATTGGTTTGCAGGTGTGGTCATCCGACTTATCTGTGATGACCACACGAAGCCGGTACCCTCTGACACCCGGAAGGAGGGCGAATGGCAGAATTTCCTCGGTGTCATGTCAGACGCGAAGATGAACGAGAAAGCCAGACAGCTCAGATCTGGATACATAGCGACATTAACGACGCTCCATGACCAAGCAGATACAAGAGTACAGGAGTCACGGAGGGCGGAGGAGGCGGTAAGGAGGGCAGATGAGGCGGAGAGGAAGGCGGAGGAGGCAGAGAGGAAGGCAGAGGACTTCCAACGCCGGTACAATGAGCTTCTCGCGGTGCGCACCTCCATGACTATCTGTATCGTACTTTGCTCAACTATCGTCAGTCCCGGGGATCGACAGCCGCAGCCCCCGCAGCCACGGCCACGACCACCCGTTAAGCGTGAACGCGTTCACGCTTAACGTTGTCTCTTCCGACTCTCGCTGCCATTGGTTTTATCTCGGATGCCCTCTGCTCCTTTTGCCACATTCGCTATCGCTCTCACTTTCTCTGTTGTCTGAGATCTGCGCACCCGATCCGACCCCTCTCCTCGATGATGTTCTCGTCTCGCTTCATACTGTGTACCATTATGATCAACTTCCGCCTCGCTTTGCTCTGCTGTACCCCGATCTTCGCTTTCCTTGCTATCGTGCTGTCGATTATATTCGCCGAATTATGCCGTCCGATTTCCAGGACAGCTATCCCGCTTGAACGGTCGCAGAGATGTACATCGCGAAGCCAAACCGGATGCGACGGACTGTCGACATTACTGCAGGTGCAATACTAACTCGAAATGCCGCCAGCGTTGGCGTGCCAGCCTTGCTCGGACGTTTCGCGTGAGAGTCTTACTGTAACTTCGTTCTTCTTTATTGTCTTGCTGAATGCGTTCACGAGTACTAGGCTGACAGAAGCAGATTGGCCGTGCATCATACTATGGAGCCGCCCGCATCCGCACCCCCGCAAGGCCCGCACTCAGCTGTCTGGCAGATAAAGGTAGAGGAGGCGGTCGCGGCGCGCCAGTTCTCACGGTTCGGACGTATGGACGTTCAACGCGTACGTTCCAAGTCAACCGTTCACTTGTACATTTTTGCACGATGCTCGACTGGCTGTACATGGTCGCCGTCAAGTCGAGACGCGCGTGCGCTATCGACCGGTGGCTAAATGGACGCCACTCCTCCTCCTGAGGCGGGGTCAGGGCGCAGCTAAGTACGAACAGTATGATATATACGCAGGTCGCGTGAGGCGTCAGGTTGGACGATGATGACGACACAAGGCACACTAAGACTGGTATGGCGAGGAATGCAAACAACAAACAACAACGGTCGAAAGGGGTAGCGTTCATTTCGACCTGCGAGAGCCTTGCTCTCCGAGCAAGGGATACGTGGATCAGAGAAGGTTCCCGTTTCTCCCGTGGTCGCGTGTTACTATTATAATACGCATATCCGGTGAAGTCGTTGACATCTGTATATCCGGTGAATTCACTGACATCTGTTTGGCATCTCCCACATGCACATCCGCCGTCTTCGCCTTTCCCTTTATGCTCGACATTTGACTCATCTCATGACCTTCCCTTTCAAGGATAGGTTCATCATGGTCAGCCTCATGATTGGCTTTAGCTGCTTGCTAGGGACCTGCTCCTCCTCGAGCTCCGCATCAGGGGCCCGGGCAGTTGTTTGTCGCCCCTATGTGTTCGCAAACACCGACTACTGTAACCTCCGGCGTCACCTACGGTTTTCTCATACTCGTTCAAGCAACCTCCGATCAAGCTTCAAGCAAGCCTACCGGCCAGGTGGAGCGAAGCGAAGCAATCCCTTGTTCATCATCCCAGAGCTCTGCCACTGTCATAGTCACGACGAATCTGAAGATACAGGTGGGTGTGATCAGCTGGCAAGCTCTGTACGGAGCGAGGCATGAGCTGTATCACGCGGACTGGCCCACATGAGCCTTGGTATCTCACTGTCCTGCTGTATCGTCCGCTTCTCCGCATAAGGGATCATGCGTCCACCAGTGGGAACGATGGTCGCAATACTTATATAGCTCGACTATACGTCGCCCGTCCTGTATTGAGGCCTGACAACGACCACCATGAAGGCGGTACGCTACTACGGACCAGGAGACATTCGTGTAGACGACATCCCCGAGCCCAGCCCGGGCGACAAGCAGATCAAAATCAAAGTGAGTGTCCGTATTTCTCCCTATCGAACATCACTGACTGCAACTGACAGGTTGCTTGGTGAGCAGTCTGGATTTTGCGAAGCATCACCTTACGGTCAAGCTGAGTATGCCATTCGAGGAACGGAAGTGCGTATTCATTCACTCTAACGACAATATTCCACGGGACTCACGTTCCCTCCAAGTATGCGGCTCGGACCTACATTCGTACTTTGTGCTGCAAGCGCCGGTGTCGCCCACACTGACGACGCCGCATCCTACGACGCAGGAGACGCTTCCTGTCGTCATGGGGCACGAGTGCGTGATCCGATTCGATGCATCACTGCCCCAGGTCGTCGATTCTATGTCTTTTCAGGTTCTCTGGAACAATCGTCGAATTGGGCAAGGCGGTGGACACCAGCAAATTCTCGGTAGGCCAGAAAGTCGTAGTGTGCGTCGTCGATTTTCCCTCTGAAGCGAGCCGTGTGCTCAGCGCTCAGCCTTTGCTCATAGGGAGCCGCTCATTTCATGCGGCAAGTGCGGGCCGTGCTTGTCGGGTACTCGCAACCTCTGTCATCAGATCACCTTCATTGTGCGTCCCCTTCAACTGAAATATAGCCTCCGTTCATAGTCTACCGACTCTGAATAGGGCATCGGCGGATGGGGAGGCGGCTTGGCGGAGTACACGGTCACCAATGAAAATCTCGTCCATGTCCTCCCAGATAATATCCCACGTGAGTCGAGCCTCTCTGCCTCGCATTCAGAACGTAGATCTGATTCAGTCGACACTGCAGTGGATATAGGGGCGCTCATTGAGCCTTTGGCCGTTAGCTGGCATGCGATGAAGATATCCCACTTCAAGCCTGGTAGCAATGTGCTAATCATCGGAGCGGGACCTGTGAGTGTTCTCGGAGAAGTGAACAGATGAGCACGTCTGATGTAGACTTCAGGTCGGTCTCCTGCTATTGAAGATTCTGAAGTACGTCCCGCTCGCCTTGCGGACCTGACATTGCTGAGTGTTCATCGCAGAGCGGAAGGCGCATCTTGGATAGGAGTATCTGAACCCGCAGCGGCTCGTCGCGAGACCGCTATCAAGCTCGATGCGTCTGCAGTCTTCAACCCGCTGACAGAAGATGTCATCGCTGAGACAGTCCGGGCTACCGATGGTGGCGCCGACGTCGTGTTCGACTGCGCGGGAATACAAGCTAGTCTCGATGCAGCCCTGGGCGCGGTCCGGACCCAGGGGAACGTCGTCGAAGTCGCCATCTGGGAGAAGAATCCCGTTATCAACATCTTGACGCTTCAGACGAAGGAGGCGATACTGACTGGTCCGTGTTTTGTTGAGTCCTTGCGTCGGAGCGGCTGGCGTACTAACCTGCGCGCAACGTGATAGCGAGTCTGGCGTACGATCGCAGACATGCTGAGCTACTCAAGGTTGTCGCGGAAGGCCGGATCCCGAACCTCGAGGAGCTAATCACTAGGAAGATTGCCTTGGAGGACTTCGTCGAGAAAGGGATCAAGGCTCTCATCGCGGAGAAGGATACACAAAGTGCGTCTATCGCAAAGACTACCTACACTTCGTCGCTCACCGCTCCAATCCGCACACAGTCAAGATCCTCGTCCACCCCTAGCTAACGCGGTGTTCATGTTCGAGGTTGACTCGGCGCGCAGGGTATCGCTGTTAGGAGCGCCGGAATGAACAGCTTGGTGTATTTCTTAGTTATGCTGTTACCGTTGTCTCGGGTCTGTACCAATCGTATCTCGATCCTGGAGGATCGCCAGGTACCGAGGCCGTCCAATCATCAATTAATGCCGAACGGCTCCCCGTTCGTTGAGGTCGTGCACACAGACTGACTCGGAATATGTATCTCATCTATTCGCTTCGTTCTCCTCCAACTGTGATTCATAGTCAGTTCAGTCACTTCCTCGTCTTTTGCGACAGCCTGTCACGGTGCTGGCAATAATGTCGCGCTGCAACCGCTACACGCTGGCACGCACACATTCCACGCACTCACAAATGAGACCGTTGTACCACGGCTAGGCGGCTCCCCGGCATTGATTCCCTCAGCCTTGCGGCACACACGCCTTTCAGCCTGCAGGGCGCTCGTAAAATATCCTGGACGCCCGTCTAGGCAGTTATGTTGACGCCGAGCAGCAGGTTGACCGCCATCCTTTACGCCCTCGCTATCGTGCTAGGACTCTCTCTTTGTTTCTCTGTGATGGGGTCGCTACCAGACTTGTACGAGGCGGGCATTGAGGAAGTTCAGGATGGTCTGAAAAAGAAGTGCTTCACCAGCGTTGATCTCGTCAAAGTGAGTGGCTCCATCGATGTTCGGCTTGCGCAGGTTGATCGAGAATACGACCGACCTCGCATGCAGGCATATCTCGCTCGTATAGAGGAAGTCAACTTGAAGGGCCCTGCGTTGCGGGCGGTCCTGGAGACCAATCCGAACGCGCTCAAGCAGGCTGCAGAGCTCGACCAGGAGAGGGAGGCTTCCGGGCCCCGCGGTCTTCTCCACGGCATCCCGATCTTGCTCAAAGACAACATCGCCACGCTTCACAGCGAAGGTACCCGCACGCTGTACATCCCCACTGAGCCGCAAATTTTAACGTGCTTCACTCTGTAAGGCATGAACACCACAGCGGGGTCCTACGCCCTGCTCGACTCCGTCGTCGACGGCGAGTCCTTTGTCGCCGCGCGGCTGCGAGCCGCGGGCGCGATCCTCCTCGGAAAATGCTCCCTCTCGGAGTGGGCGAACTGGCGGGGAAAAGTCCCGTCTGGGTTCTGCGGGCGCGGCGGCCAGGGCACGAGCCCGTACGTCCCGCTGGGCAACCCGTCGGGCTCCAGCTCCGGCAGCGCGATCGCGGGTGCGATAGGCCTCGCGACGGGCACGCTCGGCTCAGAGACGGACGGCTCCATCGTCAGTCCGAGCAGCAATTGCAACCTCGTCGGCCTCAAGCCAACGGTCGGGCTCACGTCGCGTGCGGGAGGTACGCGCTGTTCTTTGTGTTTGCCTTTGAGGCTGTCGTGCGAGGTGCTCATGGCAGCTTGTGATGCACAGTGATTCCGATCTCGGAGCACCAGGACAGCGTTGGTCCGATGTGCCGCAGCGTCGCGGACTGCGCGGCCATCCTATCCGTCATCGCGGGGCGCGACCCGCACGACAACTACACGCTGAATCAGCCCGAGACGGTGCCGGATTACACCAAAGCCTTGAAGAAGGACGGCCTGCGGGGCGCGCGCCTCGGCGTGCTGCGGAAGGTGCTGCACGGTGTCGACGCGAACATCATGATCGCGTTCAACAAGGCGCTGGAGGACATGAAAGCCCTCGGCGCGACGATCGTCGACCCCGCGGACTTGGCGGACGAGTGGGACTACGACGAGGTGTGGAAGCGCGAGGAGCTCGTGCTCTGTGGCGACTTCAGAGCCAATATTCACGGCTACCTGTCGAAGCTGGTGGAGGTTCCGACGGGCGTGCGGACCGTCGAGGACCTCATCAGGTTCAACGAGGAGAATAGGGAGAAGGAGCTGGTCGAGCCATACTGGACGGACCAGGCGACGTATGTCGCTGGTCCCGTGGTGCTCTTTGTTAAGTTGTTTTTGACACGTTGTTCGCAGGTTCTTCAAGTGCAGCAACATACACCAAGATTCAAAGTTCTGGGACGCAGTGGCATACGACTATCGAATGGGTCGGCAAGACGGTGTCGATGGCGTGCTGAAGAAGTACGAGGTCGATGCGATCCTCGCGCCCATCGCGAGGGCGTCCCTGCCCGCCGCGGTCGCAGGATATCCTCTCATAGTTGGTACGTACAATGGCATCCAGTGTGATGTGAGGAGAGCTGACCTTGTCATTGTGTCATGGGACGCAGTGCCCCTCGGCTTCCAGCCGCCTCACGTTGCGCTCACAGAGGCAAATCCGACGCGTATGAACGGCCCGAACATGCCCTTCGGAATTTCGTTCCTCGGTACCGCCTACAGCGAATTCCAGCTCATCCAGTACGCGTACGCGTACGAGCAAGCGACGAAGCATCGGCTAGAGAAAAAAGCGTACCCCGAGGCGATACCAAAGACACAGCTGGGAGACGTGATGGGTAAGCAATCATGAATATAACCTAGACTCCGGGCGACGTATCACGGAGGAGAAAGTGGGCAACTGCACGGGCGAGCGGATGAGTGACGGCATATGCGTGCAGATGGACAAGTGAGCTGAGGTCAGACCAGACAATGTGTAGATAGGCGAGAGTGAGCGGGTACGTGGGCGAGTGTGTGCAACGGGATGTCTTGCTGCCAGTGGCGAAAGCACGATGGCCTTTATGTAAGTGTCGTAGAAGACTCGCCGCGATTGGTAGCAGAGGTATTAGGTAGAGTCGGCGAAGGGCGATCGGGCTAGTGATGGGACGGCGGGTGATGTTCTAGTAGAGACTAGTGGGGCCACCTCAATATTTGAATGCTCAGGCTATCAAATACTTAAATACACGCAGCGCGACGAGAGCGAGAATAAACGAGAACGCGCAAGATGACAGAAGGAAAGGCGAGACAAGTTCAAAAGGACAGGGGATCAATATTCAATGAGTGACAGACGAGCGATCGTTGACTGTTCGGGAAGTAAAATTACCGTATGTTGGTTCCCCTTTCCGCTTCGTCGAACGGCGGACCATAGTCTCGGTGCGGGGCTGACAGCGGCGGAGCGGTGCTCGACGTTACCTGACTTCGCGTCGGTGCTCCGTCTCTGCGCCTTCCAGTTCGTCGCGAGCGCGTCGGTAGAGTCGATTGTACAGTAGACCGAGGTTTGGAATGTCTGTGTGCAGAAACATATCAACTATCGCAGCCGACCAAGCAAACAATAGTAAAAGCGTGACGCTACGCGTCGCTCCAGCCTTCGGTCGGATTTCCCTTCCACAAAGGGAGCGCTGCAGCTACTTCAAGTTACACTGGCAAGGGAGAGCGCCCCACAGCCGCTAGTGGTACGCGGCAAGCTATCGCCGAGACGCGGCTCTGAGGAACAGGCTGCCTGAGGGATCTACAGAGTTTGCATAGCGTAGCATATTTAGTGAGGGGCCGCCACTGAGACAGGCCCTAGTAGTAGGAGTTTTGCAAGGTGTATAGATAGCAGCTCCTACGAGGAGTAGTCCGTGATTATGCGATACAAAGCGAGTGCGAGCAGCGAGAACATATGTGTCCACTAAGTGAGAGTCCGACAAGGCTACTCTATTGTCCTTGTCCTTGCAGATCTGAGACGAGCACGGGCGCAGCCCACTGGCAGCGTGAGGCTACGGGTGTGCGCGAGGTCTGCGGCTGTAGACATGGGCGCGTTGTGGGGGAGCGGCGGCGTTTGCAGCTGCCACGTCTGGTCGTATGGGGGTAGGGCTTGCGGTGGAACCGATGGCGAGGACTGCAAGGATGCAGAGCAGGAAGGTGCGCATGTCTGAATGCGGGCAATCCGTCTGTCAGTTTCGTACGCAGTCTCAGTGACCGAGCTCTTGCTCACCGATCCAAAGTTTAGCCTACGGAATCATCAATGAGGATTTGTGGTAAGCTTACAGCTGAGGGGCACAACTCACTTAGGGTGAACGTATCCGGAGACGTTGCAATGTCGTGAAGTGTCGTCAAAGACTGCGCCGGGGATCGCACGCGCGCGAACGGGGCTGCGACTGGTCTAAGCGTTCCGCGCAGGATGCTCTTATAATAGGAGAGCCAAGAATACGTAGTGCTAAGGATAGCAGCAATGGAGAAGAGAATCGACGCAAAGGCGCTGATTTTCGCGAGATCGTGAGATCGTGAGGCGCGGTACGAGATCCAGGGGATAGAGGGGAGTCCGTGCGTCTGGTTGCACGTCGACGTTATATGCCCACGACAAACCGCCACGTCGCCGCCTTTGCTGCGGACGCAAAGGGAGAAGGCAGGGTGACGGGGCCACACAGCCTGCTGCAGTGCACGCGCGAGACACGCCCTACATGACGCTAAGGGAGGCTGACAGTGAGGGGCGCGGGAACGTTCATCCGTTGCATTTTCTCCCGTTTAGGCCGGTATGTAATTGGCCGGTATCAGAGTTTGACTGTGGGTCTATATTCCGTGTGTCGGGCTCATTCAGTCTGAAGATTTGCAAAGCGAAAAGAGCGTTGAGGTTGAGTATTCGGCGGACGTCCGGGAGCCTTGTCAATGTGAGCCACAACATGCCAGCAAGCAGTAAATGTCCTAGATTACTTATGTAATAGAGCCACGCACATCACCGCCCAATCACCGCCGCCGGCCATCACCTCCAGGCTCCCGGTTTATGGTGCACGTGGCTTACATAATGAGTACCTTCTCCTACGTATACTCCGCCCAAACTCCGCCTTTAGTTACTTAGCATAGTCATCCGAATTCATTCAAGTTTCGTTCCTCGTTCCTCCTGCTGTCCGATGTCAATCATCAAGTACAGTGTGAAATGTCGTACCCGACACCGACAGAGCAGAAGATGCACGAACACTTAGGCGATACTTGGCATTTGAAAGACAAAAGACTACGCGGCGCTTCCATGAGTGGGTTGTCCAAGTATGGCATCTTGATGGCATCCATTGTTCTTTACTAAAGCCTTTACTACCTTTAGCGTCATTTTGGACTGCTTCTGAGGATTGTTATCACGCCGATCGTGATAGCAACCACTTAAGGGTGGCCGATGCTTCTGTTGTGGCCATGGCCTCGTGTCGCTCCAGATTTGCTATAAAGGTTCGCCCCGCGTCCCAACTCGTCTACGTCTACGCTGTCCTGTTCTACCACAACCATGTCCGGCGACAGCGACAAAGAGCGCGAAGATCGCTTCCACTATTCCAACCGTCGCCGCAAGGTCACCCGCCAATGGCTGCGCGAACCTGACGGCGAACCGCTCCCGCGCCCGCCGCCCGTTGGGACGCGTGCTCCGAACGGGCTCATCTGGGGACACACCTGCGAGGACCTCATGTGGATCCAGCGCATCCCGAAGGTGGACGTGCTCACCGTCTGGTCGCGCAGCATGATCAAGGAGTTCGGCGAGAACTACGACGAGGCCGAGTTCGACGCGCCCGAGCCGCGCCCGCGCGTGCGCCGCCCGTGGCCCGTGCTGCGCCTCCCGGACACCGTGTTCGACAAGAACGTACCGCCCGTTGGCGCGTACGACGAGGGCTCGGACCACGAGGATGATTCCGGGTCGGACGTGCGCTGGTGGCGTGTGCGTGTGGACGACCCCAAGACGGGCAAGGCGATGAAGGACAAGATCGTCGATCGCGTCGTAATCGAAGACATGGACGACGTGTTCGTGCCTAACGACGGGGACAAGCCTGTCATCTCTCCGCTGGGCCATCCATACGCTGCGCTGTGGAAGCAGGAGTTCCGCAAGCTGTACGCGGCTGCTGGACCGACAGAGCTGCGTACTCGATTCACAGTCATCGGGCGACACGGTAATAAGAACGGCCGCTGTGAGCTGGCCGATGGCACGGGGCTCATGGCGGTCATCATGGGAGAGTATGACGACGACGAGGATTCTGAGCCCGGGCTGCTTATTATCGACAGTAATCGCCTAGTGCACATTCGTCATGATCCGAGCCCAGTGATCTTCCTCAACAAGGCGAAGAATGCCAGAACCGATGGCGAGGAGCAGGCCGCCGGTAGGGAAACACGGGAGTGTGACGGAGACAAGCCCGGAGGTCCGTTGGAGGATACGAAGGAAAGTGCAGGCGGCGCAGCCGAAGATCAGGACGTTGACGTGCCTATGCATGTCGCGACTGATTCAAGCGATGGTGACAGCGAGTCTCTTTCTCGACCGCCGTCAGAATCGGTGCATCCAGACGCAGAGGAGGAAGAGCATGATATCGCGGGGTCAAGCCGACCACGACTGGCGGACACTGAGTCCTTGGAGGACAGCAAACCGCGCTTCGCTGTATCCAGTCCGGATAGTGACGAACACAAGGCTTTCGAGCCATCCGGGCTGTTAACCGAGGGTGAAGACACAGTAGTCGAAGAAACTCTTCCTCCGGATGAAGGCGATGAGGCTGTTGCGGAGGAGACTCCAGCAGAGGCTTCAAAAGACTACATGAACGACGATGGCCGTTTCAAGGAGGATATCATAGCCGACCTGCCGAAGCTGGAGGAATTCATTCCCGAGGAGTATTTTCCGGACGCACTTCTTGTCCATCGCGTCAATCATGTGCGTTGTTTCCGTTACACATGGTCCCATTCAACTAATATAGCTTTTATGCAGGAGCCCCGGAAGTACAAGCGCGTCTTGCCGAAGTTCGAGCGGGATGACATTGAGGATGAACCAGAACGTCTCGGTACACTCTATTTGAACGGCCCCAAACTCGGCGAGGGGCACCACTCATATGTGCGGCGCGCGCCCCTGAAGCTGCCCCCGCCGCTCAGCGCGTACGGCAAGCACCGGATGGTGACTGTCGCTGCGAAGACGTCGTTCGTCCATGTCTCCGCGCGCAAGTTCTTGCGGCACGAGGCGGAGATCTTCAGCCTGTTCCCGCGGCACCTGCAAGAAGAGTACTGCGGCTACAACCTCGTCACGCCCATCAAACACCCCGTTCCCGTGGGCGCCATTGTGCCTAAGTTTTACGGGTACTATGTTCCTGTGGAGAGCGACGGCTCGGCCCCGGACCGCAAGTATGAGGACCACAAAGACGATGACACGTCTCAAGGCAAAGGGACGAGCCCGATTCTGCTGATGGAAGAGTGCGGCGAGCCTGTCGTGCCGCAAAAGTTCAGCATCGACGACAGGTATGTCTGGTGCTCCCATGCGATGTTCGTGTTCGTGCTGAGACCCATGCGACTCTAGATCGGAGTGCTACTCCCTCATGGCCCGTCTGCAACTCGCGGAGTTTCTCCAGGGCTCGATGTATGTGCGCAACATCCTGTGGCAACCTGGTCCGCTGTGGAAGCCGCCGCAGGAACGCTCGCGGGAGACCCCGAGCTTCCGCATCATCGATTTTGGGCGCGCCCTGCACTGGGAAGAGTACGTCAGCAAAGAGGAAGACGAGAAGAAGAGGGAAAGCAAGGCTAAGGAGTGGAAGGACCAAGCGAGCTATGACCAGACTAGGATCGAACGTGAATTGCTCATCAAGTTTTGGGATTACTGAAACCAATCATCTTGCGCCGTCGGCGTGCTCTCCAAGTCTGGATGCTGTGGCTTTGCTGTGACTCTCGTGTTGTACAATACTTTGTTGTCGATTGTATAGTATCTGTTGTTAACTATTGTGTTCACGTCTTATCCCTACAATCATCTGTCGCTTGCTAGTACGCTGGAGTCATGAATAACCACCTCTACTAATACTACCGCTTTGTCCTGGACTGGACAGGAGCATGCCCGCTGGAACTAAGTGACGGTAGCGGTCGCAGCGCAGAATGGAGCCCACTCTAATAGCCAGTCGGACTTGAGAGATGCCCTATGTCGGTTGGAGCCACCTCCAGCGAGTGGAGCGCCTTCAGCGATACAGCCACAAGAGTTTAATGTGGTCTGGGTATTGTATAGATGCCTTGATGCACCGGACGACATCATACGTAGCAGCAGCAGTGCGTACGCCACATCCTCGGAGGTAGCTGCTGCATCACAATCGCAGACTAGGGGTCTGACTTGAGGGGGGAAACGGGTAGGCTAACTTGGCACGGTCAGTTCGGGTTCCAACGCTATTCTGGGGCCGGGGTCGCCGCGACGAGACCGAACTATGGACCCACAATCAAAGCCGCTAGCGCATAGCCCACGCTAGTAGCAGGGAATTGCCCACCGCCCGACTAGGATGACGCAGATAGTAGTCTGAAGATGCGCATCTTCGGGGCGTCGACGTACGGATACCGGGCGGGGCGCCATCTTTCGAGGCCCGCCTCCAAGCGACGGTACGCCCGAGCGGGGATCGGTCGGGCTCTAGCCAGGAGGCCTGGCGCTGTTCGCGTCTATCACTCCTTGCGGGTTTGGAATACGAACTTGAGTCTGGACCGTTGTTTTGGGGTTCGTTCTGGGCAGGGGGTTCGGTCGGGTCCCATTGAGTAAGTCCCTCGGTCCGATGCCGCCATCCTTGCTACCCTCCTGACGCGTACCACCTTGTGTTGATTTTGTGGTGCTGCTTCGGTCCGATGCCGGTGGCGAATACCGTTTGTGCAACGCAGCTCCGTAGGAGGCTAGTAGTGGGCTGATTGATGCAGCTCCTGTTGGCGGTCGTGCACACAGCGTGAAACATGAGTGGCGTCGCTTTCGCATGAATGTATGAAGTCACAGCGCACCTTGAGAAATGTGGTCGTGCTTAGAAACCAAATGGAGCAGTCGCGGACCGAGAAAGGGCACCTGAGAGGCGTGGTGGCTGCCAGAGCACCTTCCAGGACTGCGCGGTAGTCGGGGTGGTGTGGTCGCACCGGAGGAATGGTCGACTTTGGGTTTAGTGCGGCGAATGAACAGCGAGTCTAAACACCGTGGGACAGAGTAGTGAGCCTCTTTTCGTACGCACCGTGAGGCTCAAGGTATCACTCCCGCGATGACAGCCTGAGGAACCCAGAGGCGTACCGCGTGTCTTTGTGAATTGGCAATGCCCTGGAGCCAGTTCGATGATCGCGATGCGCCACACCGGAGAGGTACATTCCAACTGGGAGTAGTACGCGACCGTACCAGTGGAATCCGCGATGTCCGGACGATGATTCACCGCTGTCTTACTGCCTAGCGGTAGCGGTAGATTGATATTCGTGTTTGCAAAAAGGCTTGCTGCGGATAGTGTACTTGGCTCCACACTTGAGCGGCCTGATTCGCGCATACAGCCTGATTGTGGTCCTCGATTGAATTATCCCGTAACCAGTGGCCTCAGCAGGAGTGCCCTGCTAATTTGCAGCCGGTTCGCAGCATCAGTGCGCCCGTACGAGTGACTGCAGCACCGCTTCAAGTTGTGTGGTCGCACCGCATGGGGAGTAGCTCCAGAGTGTCCGTACCCTACATCGGATTTCTGTACGAATGTTGAGTAGACGGGTTACTGGCTGCACAGGCCGAAGAGACACGCACATTCGTCCATTCCACCGGAGAACGGTAATTGACAGATGAAAAGATTGGACGCAAATGGCAAGTAGGACGAGCGGTGTACGTGTCTTGTCAATGGTGATGATGGAAGACGCGACCACCCGGCACAAACTGCTTGCGAGTGCGTGAAAGCAGGACCGTTATGACATGTGAGCCCGCACCGGCTGTTGGGAACTAAACACGTAGCATCCACGCGTGGTCAGGTCCGAGGATACAGTTCTAGCGGTAAAGAATTCAGTTCGGTGACAGTGCGTGAGGAATATACACACAGAGTAAATGTTACATTGCTGGATCCGTCTACTTTGATCCGCGATCTTCAACGCCCGATGAGCCCGCTAAAATGTAGGTGTCGCGCCGCGGCAGACTCGTAGACTCGGCGCTGCGTTGGGTACGGGTCCGGTTTCCGGTGTCGGCACTTACGACATATTTCCTGAGACATCTGTGGTCTTTTCATCAGTCCGATATCGGGCTCGACATAATTGAGGTCAAACACCGAGCAGCGAGATGTGGTCTGGGGTACGGTGAGACGGTGGTCAATGTTGAAGCTGACGTGCCGCGAGATTGACAGCGCTGTGTACTTAGCTGCGTCGTGGACATATCTCCGTCTCGTTTCGGCAAGTGATGGTCGTAGGTTGTCCGGAGACATGCTAAAACATGTTCGGATGGACTGCACCTCTCGGCGCCGTACCTCAACTTCGGCGATGCACCTAGTATCTGTCAGATGCCTCGGACATTCATGCTGCTTGTGGGCAGAGGACCCACTCGGAGAACCTAGAATTTACTGTGTGCATGGGAAGGTACCGTCCTGTTCCAGCCGCAACTAGATATTGCCAATGGATCACAGCATTGACGTTCACAGCGAGGTAGATCGCCTGTGGTGCTCGGACGTAGATGGGATAAATTCCTGTTAAAGGTTGGACACAACATGGAATCGCTCAGCGGACAGAACCGCATGAAAGAACGTCAGGAACAGCTGCAGCAGACCGCTGGTGCCAGTGGTGGCTGCCAGTGTGAGTGACGACTCGGACTCGGAACGATGTCGCAGCCACCGTGTGACAGGGAGTGACGATCACAGCGTCACGGAAGATCCCGAGGTCGCGGTGCGCACGGCCCCCGCGCTCTTGTCCGCTGTTCGCTCCTTGCTCGCTCCTCCCCCTCACACGCGTCCTCCTCGAGCTCCTCGAGCTGCGCTGCTCGCTAACTGCCTTGGCTTCGACCATACGCGCTTACGCCCTCAGCGCCGGTCCTCCCTTTCAGCAGAGCCAGGCTTACCAGAGGTTGCACACGATGTTCGAGATCCTATCATTTTCGGTCCTCCAGGTCCTCTCGGTCATTTCGTTCCTCACCTCGATACTCGCTGTTCTTCATGTCGGAGCGGGCTCGCTGCACCGGCTATCGAACAAGTTCGAGGCGGATCTCAACTTGCCGCAGCTGTCCCTGCACACGGGCAAGCCGCATCTTTGGAACTGGAGCGGACTGCCAGCGTCGTTCTCGTTGAGCAGCATACTGGGCGAGGAGTCACAGGAGCAGTCTGCGGACGAGAAGGGATTGAGATATATGGGCGGGTCGGACTTTTCGAGAGTCCACTGGCAGGTCGGACGATCAAGATTTGGTGAGCTCTTGCCTCCCGCTCTGCAACTAAGTCATGTCGCGTCCTAAACTGCTCCCGTTCATTCCGCAGGTCCTCAGTTCTATGATTCGCAGCCACCATTATCCATGGCAAAGGTCATCATGTCTCGCCACGTCAGTGCTTTCTCGCTCGTGTGACTGCGTCTTCTGTTCGGGGCTGAATGGACGGCTTCTCTAGTCACAGCGTCGGCCAGTCCGCCTACCACGACGCATGCCGGGCGCGCCCCGCCCTACGCCTCCGTCACGACTCGTCGAGTCCGTCGTATAGATTGCATGTCCCTGTCATGTCCCCTGAATGACTCTGCATGACGCATGACATTCGCACGACCTGCGCGCTCCCTCCTTATGGCCGCGGCCAAAACGGATTACCCTCTTCGTCCCACAATACCCAGGCCCCTTGGGGTCTTTTCTTGCCAGTATGTGGTGACTATTCGCCCTGCTGCCTTTGCTCTCGGACGTTTGTTCGCGCTGCTATCATTGTTATTGTGTGTACCAAGGACTCGTCGGTGCTGTAGGCAGTGCTGCCACTACTTGGCTTGGTTGTATCACTGTTAGGCTGTGTGATGTAGCGGGACTTCTTTCGTAGTTTACTGTACCTTTTGTCTTTTCACTACTACTACTGACATTCTATTCCACGAGCCAAACGTCACATCTGCATCGTGTCGTAGAAAGTTGGACACTTGTCTAAGCTTAGCAGGAGTCTTGCCTTGCGACTATCAAAGACGGCGATTCGCCCAGATTGAATAAACCATTTACTTACCCCACTGTAGTGCGCGTATTGATACCGTATTGACTCCACTACAATCCACACTGACCAAAGACTTACCACTCTAATGTGGCGCTTATATAGTTCCAGCATGTTCTAAAGACGCCTGAACCACGTTTGTCTTAAATCTTGAAGCCATAGACGCGATGAACGACCTGCTCAGAATACCTCTCGACTTCACAAGTCTCTCGCAAGCAGACTACGCGCATATATCGACTAACAAACCTCGTAGATCAACATGGCGTCCCACCGTGCTCTTGTGTACTTCGATATTACGATCGGAGCAAAGCCTGCCGGACGAATAGTCATGCAGCTGTACAGCGACATCGTGCCGAAAACTGCGGAGAACTTTCGCGCGTTATGTACCGGTGGAAAGGGGGAGACAAAGGCAGGCAAGCCGCTGCATTACAAGGGATGCTCGTTCCACAGGGTGATCAAGGGGTACGTCTGGTCTGCAGCTACAGGTGACGCCGGTGATTAATGAACGTACAGGTTTATGGTGCAGGGCGGTGATTTCACCATGGGCAATGGCATGGGCGGCGAGTCTATCTACGGCGAGAAATTCGACGATGAGAACTTTGAGGTCAAGCACACGAAGCGGTTCCTGCTGTCGATGGTATGTACGCGGCGCGCGCCCTCCTGTCAGCGCTCTGCAATAATGCGGTACTGACCGTCGCACATCCGCCAGGCAAACTCCGGCCCAGGAACGAACGGATCGCAGTTCTTCATCACCTGTAACGCAACGCCACATCTGGATGACAAGCACGTCGTCTTCGGCGAGGTGATACACGGCAAGTCGGTCGTACGCGCAATCGAGAACACGCCCACAGCCGATGGCGACGTGCCCAAGTCCCCGTGCGTCATCGCCGACTGTGGAGAACTGTCCCCGGACGACCCGTCGCTCGCTGAGGATCCGACCGCCGCGGACGGGGACCCGTTTGAGGATTATCCAGAGGATCAGGGCCCCGTAGATGGCCAAGACGTCATCGAGAAGCCCGAGGCCGCACTCAAGGTGGCTAAGCAAGTGCGCGAGATCGGGAACAAGCTGTTCAAGGAGGGCAAGTCGGAGGAGGCACTAGCGAAGTACCAGAGTACGCTGTGTTTGTCCACTATGATGGTGGTGGCGCAGGCCCACTCACTAGGTTCGCGCAGAGGCGATACGCTACCTGGGCATGCACCAGGTCCTACCCGATGATGCGCCACCGGAGCTTAAGGACTCTTACGATGTTTTGCTAGCACCGCTTCTACTCAACTCGGCGCTGGCTGCGCTCAAGGCTGGAGGTACCGCCAACGCTGAGATCGCGCTGCGTGCGACGGATCGGGCTCTGGAAATGGAGCTGAATACCGCGGACAAGGGTGCGTACTCCTCATGAGACCGCGGTACCCTCTTTATTTGCTTGAATCGACAATTTATTTTCTCTCGTGTAGCGAAAGCGTTGTACCGTCGTGCTCTGGCGAAAGTAGTGCTTAAGGAGAGCGATGACGCAGAAGAAGATCTTGTAGCCGCCCACGAGCTCGTGAAAGATGACCGGGCAATCCTGACTGAGCTCGAGAAGCTTCGGCAACGGAAGAAAGAACTGCGGGACAAGGAGAAGAAGGCGTTCAAAAAGCTGTTCGCATGATGGGGGCGGGCGTGTATTTTGAAGGGCCAAGAGAAGTTGACTGTCACAAATTTGTATTATGTAACTAATAGACCGGGCAGCCTTCGGATCCTCGAGTCCGTGGCATCACTGGCGTGCGTGCCGCCCTGCTTGTTGCTCCGTCTCCTCCAGTCCACCTAGACTATACCCCGCGTGCTGCGCCTGCATGCCCGGCAAGTGATAGCTGTCGATCACAGACACTGCGGTCTCGCGCTATGGGCTTCTCGGACTGCGCCTGTCTCCTTGAAAACCACCCTCACATAATGGCCGGTGGTGAACGAGGTGCTAGGTTACGCCAGTTGGTCGGCACAACGCTGTGCTGCACGGACCTGTTGCTTCCCGATATGCTGACACAGATGCACCGTTTCAGACTAGCGAAGGCCTCCACGCAGCCCTACGTTCCGCTGACTAGTGACTCTTCCGCGAGCGTCTCAACAGCGATAACGGGATGCCGGTTGCAGATCCTCGTTGGTCCACTCTGGTCCCGATCATTGCCGATCGTATTGTCAAGGATGAGTCGTCCATGCACGTGGCTTTGCAGGCAGGATGTGACGGTGCTGATAAGTACTGCTCCTGTAAAACTTCTGGCGCCAGGTGCTTATGTTCCGCTTACGAGTCAGACGCAGAGAAGGGCGGGAGTCGGCGTCTTCGAGTCACGGGGAAGGTACGTTCATTTTCTGGACCATTCATTCCGGCCGTGGCAGTCAAAGGTCCTCCAGGGGACCGTACAGATGTAGACCCGCATTGAAACTGTTTTTCGAGAGGGGCGAGCTAATATTGTATAATGAACTGCGAAAACTGCACTGTGGCTTCGGGACTTCCGAAGATCACCAGCAAGAGGTGGCGCCTTGCGGTGATGCGGCGCCGCTGGATGCGAAACGCAGGACAGTGAACGCCCTGACTCTTCGCGTGGTCGTCATGGCTCACTACGCACTACGCACTGCCATCCCGACTTGCACGGGCCGACGACCGCTCTACGCTACTTCTCGTTCGCATGACAATTCACCGCGCCTCATAGATCGTCGAATCAAGCAGGTTGTTACTAGGTTACGCAACATGCCTATACGACCATCCTGTCCGCTCAATCCGCGCGGATGACTCGGGCAAACCATCCTGTGAGGCTGGCTTGCTAGTGTTCGACAGTATGTGCGATGATGTCACGTTATCCGACCTATTGACTGAGACGGTCGCGAGTGGTATCAGGATGACGGACATCGTTCGCATTGGGTCACAGTTCATCAAACACTGGAAGGACATAGGGCGCTGCGTCCGTGGAGACGACTTACTTCAGCCCTCGGTGATACACCTAACATGGGTGGCGGGCCGTATGAAACATGTCAAGGCTAGCCATGTGCTTCACAGCAATACGTCCGGGGGTACATGGTGGATTTACAAAACAGGTAGGTTAAGTTTGAGGTAAGTCCGCCAGTTCCTTCCGCGAACCGCGAGGGTCTTGAGATCCCACAGCAGGTTCCTAGCACAATCTGGATTGGCGCTCTCTGGCCGCGATTGAGTAAGCTATGCTCGGGCGGGAATCGGCTGCATGCCTCAGGGCCCAACAACACAAATTAACCTACTGTGGCTTTGCGGCAAGGTGACTCGTCACTCTCTCAGATCCAGCATCGCGCATATCGGGATATCTGTGTGGTGTCCAATTACAGATGCGCGACCACGGCCGCTGACACTGCCTGTCTGTCGTCGGTTTATGTGGAAAAGTTTCTGCTGGAGACTGGGCGCATCGCTACCGAAACGGCGTGCGTCTGGACAGTCATACATAGCTGTTCTGACGCGAGACGCACCACATCGCGGGACGCCTAAACTCTTCAGTTGTATATAATGTGCGTCGACTCTGGTAATGTACTCACCTCAGTTGTACTCTTGCACTCTCCCCGCTAGATCGCAGCCTCCATCTATTTATAACATGAGTACGGCGCAGGTAAAGTGTCCGCTACCAAGGCAAGGAGCCCGGTTACTCATTTGCTTGACAGACTAGCCAGGGTCAGAGTAACAGACAGTCCGACTCAGAAGAGGACCACAACACGCCAAGGACGCCGCGCCGTACACCCATGGCATGCCAGTTCTGCCGAGGTAATGCACTTCGCCACAAGCTGACATCGGGACTAACCCCACTTTCAGGCCGGAAGCTAAAATGTGACGGTCGTCAGACATGCGCTAACTGCCAGCGCCGCGGTATCGCCTGCACCTATGTTCCAGTGTAAGTAACACGCTGACCACATGTCGAGCTTTCACTGAGTGCACCGCGGCGCAGTGCGGCTCAGAAATAGAACACAACGCCGAGACACACCGTCTCTGGCAACTCAAGCAGCGCTATTCTATCTATTTATCGACTCATCTGCTCTTGCTGTCTTTTTTTATCCTGCGTCACATAGGGCATGCTCATCTGTACACCGAAACCGAGTACCATACTACGTAGCCACTAGCTTGTATTAAATCAATCCGTATTAACACCTACGACCAATCGTCGGATTTCTCAACTAATGAAATAGCGAAGGAACGCTCGTTTGCCACGTAGGGAAGTAGAAGGCGATGCGAGCGCAGTAGGGTCGTCCGGGAGTAGTACTGAGGTGAACACCGCCACTAGAAAGGGCTTGAGCACCGGGAAGATTAGTAAGGGATCAACACTAACCAAATTGTTCTATCCGCGACGATACGGGGTCCTGCTGTGCAAAGTAGTGTAGAATAGCAGTCGTTGAAATCCATACCTATGCTGCGGCTGAATAAATAGCCCCAAGAGACGAGAAATGGCTTACATTCAGGTTCACTGCTGGTAGTTCCTCTAACAGCTGCGTTTACGGGGAGATACGTTAAGACACGCCACATTCTATGCAGAGGGACACGGACCTCGAAGGCTTGATTCTTACTAGAGACTTCCGCACATCTCGAGAACATACTGACCGGTATCACCGGATCAGGAAGCATTTCAAGAAAGCGCATGAATACTTCTCCGAATGCCAGGGCGACCACAGGCTCCTTTTCAGGATGGTGGAATGGGAATTCCACACCCGTGTCTAGGCACTGCCTCGTTCTGTCAATCAGTGACTCCGACGGACAATACTCGCCGTCATACCGACCTCACAGATTGTGTCAACTGCCTTGCTGTCACCAGCCTGCAGGAACAGTCCCTCCTACGAATAGCGTTAAGAACCTGCCCCAAACGTGTATGTGACCACTCACGGCATTAGTTGCGTTCGTCATCAACCAATTGATCAGACGCATGACTTCCCTTGGTGCGGTCACGGCATGATCCGCAGGAAGCAAGTCATTCAAGGATTTCAGCCCCCGGATGGGTCCAGGAAGCCGTGCAAGCATGGAGAGGTTATTGGCAAAGGAAGTCCGCTCTGCAGATACCGTGTTACTTGACAGATGTCACTAAGAATGCGACAAACCACATACCATACTTGGCGACTGCCGTGATGAAGTGGTCTTTGCCCATAGCAGTATGCAATATGAGCGTGCGCGTAACTTCGGTTTGGGATATATTCAGCTTTGTCGCCAACGCTTTGTCGACCCGCGTGGAAATGTTGATATCTGTACTTTCGCCTGGAAGTAATAGACCCTGATGTTCCTGGATGAGTTGCAGTCGGATGTTACATGTACAGCAGTGCCCACCGACACTTGATCGACTTCAAGCCACTCTGGGACTGAACCATCTCAATCGAAACCGTGGCGATTTCGCAGCAATGAGCGAGAGCTCACAAATATTTGTGCCGAGTGTAGTGGCAATAAAACGATAGGTGCATGGGGTCTACGCGTTGACGGTGAGCGGTTCAACCAGGCTCAAGCAACGCGCTTGTTGTACCTTCCCGATGTTCTCGACGTGTAAGCTCCTTTGGGATGGCTTGCGGTACCTGAAAGGCTTGATGAATGATTGAACAGCGCTTAAACCTCAGACGCACGAGAATGTCCCGAAATCGATGAATGTGGCATCGACTCTCAGTCGTGGAACTTCGTCTGACTCCTCAATTGAGCCCACTTCTCTCCACAAGCCCTGCACAAACTTGTCGAATGCAGTTGCATCAAGCGATGCCACCTAAATTCAGAGGTATATCAGGACATTGACATTACACGGACACTTGTGACCTTGACGCACCCGGACGTCAAAGTTTGCCGAAATCGGCTTGTGGTCGCTCATGGATATGTCTGGGTGGCTCCCATAAGAAGACTGTTCAACATCTACCATCGCAGAATGCGTATGAAGTATGCGATCGGTCCATGCAGGTTTCCTCCTGTCGATGATCATGAGTGGTTTGAAAAGCTGAGCAGCGCAGGAATATACTTCGTATCATAACCCAGGGTGTCCGCCATCGCGTCAGTGGCGAATCGATAAGACCTGGGCGGTTAGACGCAGACTCAGAGACAATTTGCGCATGTAATGAGGCGACGACCTCACGGTGCATGCCGTATAGGATGTTCTTTGAAGTTTTCGAAGGCTTTCTGCATGTATTGAGCCAAATATAGCTGATGCGTTGAGGTCAAAAATAATTGACCCTCGTGTAATCAAATGTGTACAATGCAAACCTGGTCGAATCTCAACAGGAGCTCCATATTTGATTTCCTGATCTTCCCGGAAGAAGAGAGGAGGTATCGCACATCGGTCTCCGGCAAATTGAGCCTGTAATTAAGATCTCATCGCGTACTGTCAGTTAATCCCGGCCCGTGGATAGAGCATACTCAGACGCTAACCTCCCTAGGCAGAGTCCAGATATCAGCAGCGCGTTTCAGCAGCGACTCATGAAAATCTACCATCCAGAACAGCACATCTGTCTCGAAGATGTTGAGCGTTATTGGATTGCTCTCCGAAGACACATCATCCGGCGCTAAGGGCTCTTGGCCTGTCATGCCGGTGTCGAACAACAATCGTTTGCATATGTCATGGAAGTCGGCATTCCTCCTGTCCACCATCTCGTCGAACGCTGCCAAGTGTGAGTTGACGAATGTCAGTGTACTAGGGCGCGTCGATGCCGCTTCCTCCGAGCTTGTCGGAGCGTATGCCATTCGGACGGCGGTGGCACCTTTGTTGCCCTAGGATGATCCCTTGCTGTCAGTGCCAGGAGACCGGACGGTTTAGTGCAGCGCACCATCATCCCCATGATACCGGCGCCGACAGATGCGCTTCGGATGTCACTGAAGCTTTCCCTGAGGCGCTTTCGGACTATCACAAGCAACAGCATCCCGACGAGCTGCTTCGACACGAGCTGAAATTGGCGAACAGATCAGCAAAAATGTCCACCAAAATTGTTGCATGTTTGCGGTATGACCACGCCCCGGTGGACGTCGCGCCGTAACGACGGCCCTGGCAAACAAGTAGGGATCATTTCACATGCAACGCAATTTCATTTACCTTTTCATACAACACAGCTTTCTCGCCCAAGCCCGCAAAAACCGCTGCGCACCATGCGTCTTCTCGCACGGTCTTCGTTGAATAGAGCAGCGCCTCGGCGGACAGATCGAGTTCTTGGAAGGCTAGGACAAAGAGATCCGGATCGCCTTGATCCTCCGCGACACGCGTCTTGTCATCCGCACCCGCAGCTATCGAGTCTCTGGCGTCTAGACGGCGTCAAAACTGTTATCTGATACACCCGGTAAAACTCACCGTTCGAGGTGTCTGTGTAGAGGGACGGGAGTTGAGCACGCTGCGCAACTGAGAGCCGGTCCGACAATACCTGTGCTCAATGGGCTCTGCGCAAGATCGCTGAGCGAAAGCGGAGATATTTCCTTCAGTGGGGGAATGAATTGTTCGTAGATACGATCGTCACGGAGCCAAGAAGAGAGGTCCTGGGTAGGCATCTTGCCATTCACGTTGAAGGTCCCCACACGGATGCTGTCGCAGGGTGAGACATGTATGAGCCGCACATACAAGTTGTGGAGAAGTTCATACCGGAGGCTAGAGCGCGGCGCTGTGCTCGCTAAAAGCTGATCTCTGACTCTTCTGCGGATCCAGTCTTCTCGGATAATCGCCATATCAAATGCCTCGTCCCCAGGCTGACCTGCGCTCGCCGGGGAGAGCAGAGTGTGTACGGGCTTCTGGAGCATTCGTAGATCCGGCGGCACGGATGAAACTGCGAAGACGGTGGCGTCAACATACATTGTATACGGGACGCTGAACTTACGTATCGCTGGGCGGCTCGGTCTCTCAATATACGCTGCCAACCAACTGAGGTCTTGCGGCTCAGCCTGAAGAGCAGAAATTTCTTTGCAGCGGCGACATTCTGTAAGTGTTGTCCGGAGCCCTTCTGAATCATACGTTAGCAGCGTCAACCGCTCTGCTTCAGGAGCCTTGTCGGCGGCAATAGTCAATGTAAACGCTACGTTGCCATGAGTGATACTCTTCTTCTTGATGTGTTATCCCCGCACCTGTGTTTGCGGAGTTAGATTGGGTATACCTAGGTAGGCCGGTAGCTTGGACTGTGTTGGATGGCATTTGTGCCATTGACATTGAGAAGCCGTCGGTAATGGGGATTGCACGTTCGAAGCTGTACTCATGTTTTGACGAAGGAGGTCCTTGCGCCATCTTGATGACGATCACACTGTTAAATCGGATGAAGTTAGTTTTGCGCGGCTTTCTCTGGATCATGAGATATTTGGCGGCTAGCATGACGCATGACTCCTGCATAGCTTGAAATGTAGAGGTACGCACGAGTGCTAGTTGACTATGGAAAAGACATCGCCACATGCATAGATGAACGATGTTTACTCACCAACCTTGGCCGCGGTCGCCGTCCTGCGGCTCGAAGTGCGTGACGACAGCGACCACCCGCTTGCGACCATGGGGCAGGTCGCTCCTAGCCCGAGGAATATTATCCAAGCCTGAGGTCCCGTCTTGAGTGGAGATTATGTACGCCTCGGTGGCCGCATTCACGATCTCCGACGGACGCAAGAGACCCTGGACAACGAGCTTGAGCCTGTCGGACATAGCACGACCCGAAAGGAGCGCTGTTGTTCCCAATCACACGGAATTTGTGAGCTAATAGAGAACCGCAAGCTCAAGTAATAGGGTGCTTGCCAAAAGGCTGCGACATCGCAAGGGATCACAGAGGTCTTGCAGTTGAAGCGGTGCGGGACACTCCACAAGTTAGCGCGTAGAATGATACGTTACCTACTAAGGCACCGTGGTACTAAGAGGAGCTTCAAGGTAGGGTCAACTACGGGGAAAGCATTGCCCGGTATGTCAGAGTAGTATCACACACCGGCAACCACAGTGCCCGGCATTTGCCGGCGGACGTATGTTGAGATCTAGATCTGACCCGGTGCGGCTGCGTTAACCGGCGCGGCAGAATCCCGAATTAAACTTGCAACCAAGAGTTACGACTCATAAAAGTATTCCAGTCCTGGCTCTGTACACATTGCCAATGCGCGATTCTGTCTCATCATCATCCGATTGTGGTCCGGGCACACAAAGTACAATGTCGCTGTGGCCGAGTCTCTGCATGAATCGACCATGTCATGCACGGCATCATGATACTACTGCCACGTATTACTTAGGACGTGCTGCAATGCACCATTCCAACCACTCGCGACAAAAACATATCATGTGGGATTGTCTATCCTCGACATACGCATAGTACATAACCCGTCAGTGAGTCACAATACCAGAGATATCGTCTCCTTGATGACGCTATTGACCATAGCCACATAGCTTGCCCGAACGCTCTCGCTCCGCGCCTGTCTGCAATCCTTGCACCCACACCCCACGAATGCCTTCGAGAAGCCAACGCCTCCTGGCTGGCCACACCCCGAGCGCAACTGCACCATCTCCCTCGCCCGTGTCACCCGCTCTGCGAGCTCCGTCCCCAGTTGGTTGGCCTCGTCCCCGCTGAGTGGGTCCGCCCGCGTGCAGAGCTCCGTGAACGCGGGATTCAGCCATTGCGGGATGTCGTGCTTCGTCGCAAGAACGATCCGCTCGGCAGGCTCCAGCGCCGGCGCGTGCGTCTCGATCACCGATATCGTGCGTTCGCGGATCTTGTCGAACAGCAGGCGCGAAGAGACGGACAGCAGGGCTACCCATTGCGCCAACGACACCGCGCGTTCGTACATCCTGAGGTATGCGCAGCCAGTGAGCGTTCCAGATGCCAGGAGATTCTACTTAGTACTCCGGAGTGGCTCACCCTTCGTACAGAAACGACAGCAGACACTCCAGTTCGAAGGGTGTCACGTCAGGCAGGCGGATTGCCGTCTCTTCTGTCTGCCCCTCGGAGCTTGCCTCGGTCGGCGGGCACGCGAACATCCCGCGGAACAGCTCCGAGTCGCGCTCGAGGAAGTATCGGTGAACCCTGAACAGATGACCTTCGCGCTTGCTTTCATCGGTGACCTGGCAACTGTGAGGCCACAACCCTAGCATCCCAGACGGGCGACATCGCACTTACACAGAGGAACACGACCTCAGGCTCCAGGAAGAAGCGAGACCGGTTCATGGCAACAGGTTGAAGCGCAAACGAGCCGTCTGAATGTTCCGTCGTAGTGTTTAGGTGGTCGGGTGGAGACATGATTGAGCACGAGCATCACAGCGTATGCCTCGAGGTCGCTTCAGGCTGTCGCGACCGGCCATGCGTAGAACGACCGAGAGTGCGCCCTTCACACACGCTGCAGGCCCAGCCTGTGAATCCGGAATGAGGCTACAGTCAGCTGCGAAACGTGCGCGGCCGCAATATACGTTGTATGAGAAAACGAAGACCAACGTGGCGCGGATAACATCCTGAAGAGAAGTGTATACGTCGCCAATACGTCGTGTCAATTGAGTCTACCGTACACAGAATACATGATACACTTGCAGGCGGCCCGCGGCAGCCTATTCACCGAATGAGATATGTATAGACCGGAACGCGATGTGCAGACATGCGTCACACATGCGCCGGCACACGACCTACCTACGACTGCCCGTGCGAGAGGAAAGAGGGCGAGGAGAATAGACGAGAAATCGTCCTAGTTAGCGCCCGCCTCCTCCGGCGCCTGGAAGACTTCGTGCACTATCTCGGCGACGCGCTCCGCATCGAAGGGATCCTCTGGAGGAGGCACTGTCAAGCCTTTCCATTCTCCCCAGCAGGATGCCGTCGACGGCAAAGGTTCAGGCTCAGGTGGCGCTGGGGAGGCCGTCGTGCGCGAATTGAGGTTTTGACGCACATTGCCTCGCCCACCAGCACCCTGGGCATGCCTCTGCTCTCGGGCGACGTGGTCCTGACGGACCGCTTCTCTCGCGCGGGCAAGAAGGATCGTTTTCTCGAGCCCCAGCTTGTGCCCCTCCACGCTGTTGATAGGCAATGCACGTTGGCAGACTGCCGCGTATGACGGCGCGAGCCACTCAGGAACGAAGTACTTGACTGCAAGTACAACCTTCTCCACAGGGTCGATGCGGGGCCTGTGGTCGTGTATCTCCTTGATCGCTCGCGCACGCAGTTTGTCGCAGGCCCAGAATGTGGAGATGCTCAAGATGTCGATCCATTGCGGCAGTGTCACGCCGCAATCGTCGAACATGCTATGTACCGATACGTACACGTATGTGAGGCTGAGTTTTCCAATCATGCGGGAATGGAACTCACCCATGGTACAGAAAGCGCAACAGGCTTTCGAATTCGCGCGCAAGCACCTGCTTGAGCACGATGGGATGGTGATCATCCCGTCCTTCTGCAGTCATGGAGTCTCCGGGCGGGAGTCCGAACATTCCCTGGAAGAGCTCCGATTCTCGGATTAAGAAGTACTTGTGCACCTTGAAGAGTTGCTCCTCAACCTACATCATTGTTTCAGCGGCATGAACGCGGCAATCCAACGGTTATACATACACAGATGATAGCCATATCGTCGTCGATGTAGTAGAACGGATGCCGCGGAGGCGGTGTCGGCGGCGGCGGGACCGGAGTTGGCACGCGCGATGCCTCTTGTACACCGACAGTCGACAATGAAGGTGAAGGACTGTTGTCTCGTATGTCAATCAGAGCGTCTTCGTAATCCATGTCTGGTCCTTCATCTTGCTCTTGTTCCTGTTCATACTCTTGCTCTTGTTCTGGCGCTGGGTTGTATTCTTCATCTAGCAGTAGATTCTCCTCCCGCTCCCAGTCCCGCTCCTGCTCCTGTGGCTCGACGCTGAGCTCTTCTTCGACCTCGGAGTCGATGCTCTGCGTACGTTTGAGTTCCGGGGATATGGGGGGAGGTGGAGAGTCGGGCAGAGACGATGATGTCGATGTCGATGGCGACGGAGGTGAGGACGAGAAGCACCACGAGCTTATCGAGAGCGCAGGCGACGTGCTGCGTGAGATGTTAGAGTACATGTTGCACAGCGGCGATAACTAGATCCGAGTGCGCAAGTGGGATGGTGAGAGGGATAGCGGAAGGGCGGACGCCACAGAGGTAGTGAAGGGTAGATCGCGCCTACATCGACGGCTCGTCGTTATAAGTGAGCGATAACATGCTCCGAACAATGGCTGTCCATGTCCGAGTCTGGGGATGAATGACGTGCATCATGCTTACCGCCTTCGATTCCCAGGTAGGCCTGCCCAGCGTCCTAGGCCTTGTACCACACTGGCATGCACACGGGCACGGGGCCATGCTGTAAGGAGAATCGGACATCGCAACATCGCAAACCTTACTTTATCTGCCGCCCTACATCGCAATACAGCGTCCGCATACTGATAACAATACACTGCCATTGTGAGCTCACATACCGAACTGGGAACAACGCACAAACGCACACATACTTGAGCAAACACTGCGGACTGTTCAATCTAGCAACGCGTCCTGGGGTCGCATACCTCGTCCCTCGCCCTCATTCTCCCAGCCAGAACACATCCATGACAGTCCGCGACACCAGCTCATCGTCGAACGTGTCCGGCAGCGCAGCGCGGTTGACCGAGCGTGTTTGGTAGACTGCCCGGAACGTCTCGTCCCGGATAGTCTCGCGAGCACGTGCGATCCTCGCAGTGATCTTCGCGCCCAGCTGGTCTGCCTCCGCATCGTCGAGCGGATGCGGCCTCCGGCACAGGTCTCCGTACGCCTTCGCCAGCCAAACCGGCACGTCGTGTTTATGCGCGAGCACAATCGTCTCGACCGCGGTCAGCGAGTCTCTGCGGCTCGAGATCTCCCGGATTGACCGGGAACGGAGCTTGGAGAAGCGCAGGCGAGAGGAAATGTCCAGCAGGGTCACCCAATCGCGCAATGACAGTGCGTCATCTTCGAATATTCTGGTCAGGCAGCATTGTCAGCACGCATCGAACCTAGAACCGAGTGGCGGGTATACGTGCCTGAAGTACAGGAAATTGAGTAGGCAGTCGAGATCATGTTGCGACACATCGGGAAGGGTGATCGCGGATTCGTCTGAAGCACCGAGGTTCCTCCCATCCTTCGCGCCCTCGAAGAACAGCCGCCGGAAGAAATCGGAATTGTGTTCCAGTAGATGACGATGTACCCTATAGAGGCAACCCTCTACCTATCGGGTAACATCAGCACGCGTCTCCCAGAGTTCAATTGAACACTGACACTTATCACGACCATCTCATCCCGTATGTAGAACATATCATGGAAGGATGGGCGCACAGCAGAACGTGGCGGTTCGGACTTGGACTTGGAGCTTGTGATTGCTTGAGAAGAGCGATCTTTTGGCTGGGCATCGTCGGGTGGGCATGTCATAGAAGATGACAGCGCTGCTGCAGAAGGAGGAGTCGAAATGGGCGACTCGGGTCGACTGGGCGTCGTATGCGCTCTAGGGCGCCGGGCAGTCCGACGGTGCGAGCGTGGTGGTACAGGCGCGACGAACGGGACGGCAGGACTGTGCGGAACGATGACCAAGTTCATCAGGTCTGTCCTAGACGCCCTGTTCCCAGCGAATTCGACCAGCGACGCGACGCTTGGAGACGGAGTCTCGACCTCGACATATTGCTTCGGCGGAGACGGGTCTTCGGATTGGTGAGATTCAGTGTGGTCTGTAGTGGAGTCCTGTTCGGAGTGTATGGGCGAGAGCTCTGTGTGAACTAAGATGGGCGAGACGGGGGACGGAAGGGCGGATACATGGCGAGCGGGAGAGTGGTTTACCCAGCTCGAGGGCGGCGAGGATGAGGATCGGGACGTCGAATACGTCGTCGGAAGGGGGACAAGTGACTCGGGGATCTCGATCTGCAATGGCTGCATGCTGCAGTTCAGTTCAGACTGAATGTTAGACGTAAGTATGCCTTCCGAGGATGCGACAGCTCAGCGCTCAGCGCTCAGGATTGGGGATCAGGTGGTAGTGGGCGACGGCTGTCGTTGGCCACTGCAAACCGGAGTGCCTATAAGACTCGGGTTCCATTGGATGCTGAGCAGTAAGAACACGCACCTCCTGCACGCCTCATGGCCGACACGAGGCTACGGAGGGCTACACGCATGTACAACGCATGTCGTGGTGGATGGGGACTTCACCTTCTGAACCTTCGAGTTCAATCATCCGGCGACGGGAGTGCTTTCATCAATCAGGTACTGCATCGCAGTGGAGGTGGGCATGATCCGCCGGACACGATGTTACCTGGCGGTTACAAAGTATACGTTACTTCAACCAGGTCGAAGGGTATGAATTATCCAAGCAATTCTCAGTCTTCAAGCAAGCTCGTAGTCGAAAGCGTGAGCCAGGCGACTCGGAGACCCTAAGTCATTGCATACGTAGCGCCAGGTGCGAATTGCAACAGAGCATGCGAGTTGTTGAGTGCAAGCAAGTTGGCACAGCGTTAGCGCTCGCGGGACGTGCGCTCAGGCTGGTAAGCGCTCGTGATGCCTAGCACTAAGTTACAGTATTAGCTTTCGTTACATAAAGTCATCAGTGAGTCCGTTGTTCGGGATTGAAAATGTACAGTGAGTCTGCGTGAGCTGAAATGTCATATCGAGACAGCATTTTCATGCCACAAGGACAATATATAAGAGTTATTAGTATGATAGTATACTTCGTTACTAGACGGGCCTGAGGAAACGAGACCCGCAGCCTGCCCTACCCTAGAACTTCCAGCCGCCTGCAAGGTCCATGATACGCCAAGGGTCGTATCTGGCTCTGACCTGCCGCAGACGACCGAGGCTGTCTCCATACATGCTCTCGACCGGGTTGCTGTAGAGGGCGTAGTTGTTGTACAGCGGAGTGTTGGAGACATCCTGCCCTTCGCCAATAGCGAGCTCGGTGAGTGTCCGACTGCTCTGCTGCATGACCTGGTTGATGAGTTCATCGTTATTGGGCGACGTCCATCCGTAGTAGATGAGCATGGGCGTGAAGTGCTGATCGCGTCTTGGAGGCCAAGCAGAGGAGTCTGCACTGGCGTGCGAGTATACGTTTTGGAGAAAGGGTTCGACATCGTAATGCACGACGACGTCAGGGACCTCAGACGCCAGCGTTCGGTACCAGTACTGTGTATGCCCATGTCAACGGCGACCTCAAAGATTAGAATGGGGGGATGAGACGTACAGTTGTTTCGTTCAGAACGGCGTCGAAGAAAGAGGATGAAAGATCCGTAATCGAGACAGTATCAAAGTACCCGCTTCCATAGGCAATGAGTAAAGTGAGCTGGTGGGAAGAACCTGAATGACGCTCACCGCATTCCAGCCGTAGCGTTGGTGCCCGCACTCTGGACCATCGATAGATACGAGCGTACAGTCATGGCACTCATGTTTTGCGCCGCGTCTGGGATATCCATGAAACCATCGAAGAGCCCTTCGGGTGGTGCGGGTCCGTCGTAAAACAAGTCTACCTCGATCAAAGTCTACACCACGGATGTGAGTACGGATGGTCAGCGTCTGACCTACTGTATGTCGAGGTCATGGCCCTCACCTGGTTTTGCGCCGCAGTAAAACCAACCATGACGTCTGCCTTGGGATCAGCAGCGTTGTTCCAGAAGTGCAGGGTCGCGTTCTTGACCGCATCATAGTCTGTCGTAGGAAGCATCACTGATCCGCCCTGTCCAGAAGTTAAATTCTATTGGCTGTCATTGTCAGGTATTAGATCAGAGCGCACCCAAACTTGGCCTATCGGGAAGGTGTCCATAGTGAACTGCGTCACGATTCCCTATCGCATGTCCGAGTCAGGTTCAGTTCGTCAGTGGAGAACAGTGATATCTACAAAGTTGTTATGTCCTCCCTGGAAGGTAGACGTCAGTGTCATGGTCTTTCGCAATACGGATCATCCCACCTTAAGTGCCCAGAACAGATCAGGATCTGACGTATCCGTAACGGCGCTTATAGTACCGTTTGGTAATACCAACTCGAATGCTCGAACCGTGTCAACTGTCAAGCCGTACTCATTCGACAGAAACGAATATCCTGTACCATACGGATGGTCAACAATGTGTCACTAGGGGCCCATAACGGCTTACCGCCACCAAGAATGAATCCTCCGACGCCAATTCCCGTCGCACGAGAGCCGAGGATCATCACGTCATGTTCTTCGAGGGCTGCATAGACCTCGTCGTAGATGAGTCCCGCTCCAATCGTTGCGGTTTGGGCAGTTGGGTCAATTGAAATGTTGTTGAGCCGCGTCAAGGCAATCTGAACGCCGGTTGTGGATGAGAAGTTAGGGTTTGTGTTGTGACCGCCGCTCTTGATCTGCGGGCATATCAGTCAGGTCGTTTCGACACAAAGTGATGACTAGCTACAGACCGCAAACGGTGTGCGCGTCGCGCCTACAATTTTGATCTCGTCGCAGCATGAGTTGTATATCAGGTTGGAGTGAGGCGCATACTCACGATTGCAGCAACATCCTCCGCTGTGCCGGGCTCAACTGAGCATTCGCTTAACTGCGAACTTGAAGATGCAAAGTGATAGTTGTCGAAGTCATATGACGTAGCGTCTGCAGAATACAAACATTGAACCGCGATTCAACGCCGTACATCGAAATAACACTCACTAGGATAGTAAACCTCCGACGCAGAGGAGACGGAAGCGGCGATCAGCTTGCACACATCACCGGGGCCTGTCGGATACCATGGCCAAGAGACTGCTTCAGCAACGGCTGTAAGCGCGGAAAGGCACGAAAGAATGAGTGCCGCGAATGTCACAGAGCGCGACATTCGGCGAAAGAGCACTATCGAGACGATAAGTATACCCGTGAAATGACACGCAATACGGAAGGAATATACCGTCGACTCATCGTCCACAGGGCGTATTTATGCAACACCTGTCTTAGTCGCGTCGCCGAGCCAAACCGCGCATCAAGTCGCACTGATGCGCGCGGGTTGCGGAATGAGCGCGCCGGGACAACCATGACAGCGCGTACCTCATGCACAATATGTTGGCTGTGCTCTGACACGGATGGACTCGAGTGCGCGGAGATCACAGCGTACACTGCATATCGCAGTAATATGGGCGATTCACGCTCTCTAGGGTCTAGAGCGCCTGCAGGTTGTGGAAAGGCTGGTCAACCTACTTGAATGCACTGCGGTCATGCTCGATTGGCGACCGCCTCGGGTAAGACGGATGCACCGGTGGAGAACGCAAAAGATGCATGCGTTGTCGAACCGCATAGCCGTGTCAGTTTGAAGACAGTATGGCGACTCACTGTGACAAATGTCTGTAACATAGCAAGCGTCCCGATGTAAGTATCGACGTCCAACTCGAACGGCGGATGATTAGAGAACAATAAGTATAGAGTCTACAGCCTGCTTTCAAAACTTCCAGCCGCCCGCGAGCGCCATAACGTTGTCCGGGTCGTACTGGGCCTTGATAGCTTGCAGACTTGCGACGTTGTCGCCATACATGGTAGAGAGCGCGGTGTCGTAGATGGCATAGTTCGGGTAGTGCGGCGTGTTGGCCACGTCCTGACCCTGACTGATCGCTACCTGGGTGAGGTAACGCGCGCTCTCCTGCATGACGCTGTTGATGAGTGAGTCCGAGGCCTCCAGTGACCAGGCGTAGTAGATGTTGATGGGCATGAACCCCTGAGAGCGGGTAGGAGGCCATGCGGACGGTGAGCCGTGCGAGTAGATGCTCGGTAAGAACGGTTCGATGTCGTAGCTGACGAAGAGGCCAGGGACCTCAGCTGCCAAAGTGGTGGACCAGTACTGCAAGATACCTGGTCAGATAGACACTAGCTAACGTCTGGGATTACCATACCTCAGTCTCATTCACTATGGCATCGAGCAAAGGAAGGGTGATGTCTGTGATCGACACAGTTTCGAAGTATCCCCTGAGCGGGGGTAAGATTCTGCTGCATATGAGTCGCAATTGCCACTTACCGGAGGCCGAAAGTTGCATTGCTAGGTGCGGTTAAAACGAGAGACAAGAACGAACGAGTGCTGACATCGCGAGTGAGGTAAGGCATCGCCAAGAATTCGTCGAAGATCCCGTCCGGTGGTGTTGGTGCATCGTAGAACAAGTTCACCTCTACAGCCGTCTGCATTCAACGTCGTCAGCAAGGAATATTTTGGGGATAGCATGCATAGAACCTACTATACCGAGGTCCCAGTTTAGGGTAGTAAGGATTGACGCCTTAGGGTCAGCTACGTTGGCGTAGAAGTTGGCTGTGGCATTTGTGACGGCGTCGAGCTCGCCCAGAGTGATGATAGCGCCACCCTACAGATCGTCAGCAACAAAGCAATAAACACAAGCCTGGACATACCCAAACTTGGCCTTGTGGGTATGCTTCCAAGATGAACTGGGTCACGATGCCCTGTATCGCTCATGAGCCCTCGAAGCCACTGACAACGTAATGCTCACGTACGAAGTTGTTGAATCCTCCCTGACCGGCGTCGTCAACACGAGTATGTGGAACGGTGAGAAGCAAGACACGCTTGCCTTCAAAGCCCAGAATAGGTCGGGATTCGATTCGGTGACAGTGGTGATCGTGCCGTTGGGCAGCACTAGTTCGAAAGCCCGTACAGTATCAACGGTCAAGCCATACTGGTTGCTGAGAAAAGAGAAGCCTGACGCTGATATCAGGACTGACATTACGCTTATGTCCTTCATATAGCTTACCTCCACCCAAGGTGAAGCCGGCCACACCGACGCCAGTTACACGGCCGCCGACGACATTCACGTTGTAAGGCTCGAGCTCTGCATAGACGTCGTCCCAGATGAGGCCCGCGCCTATCGTCGCGGTTCCCGCGGATGCGTCGTATGTCACGTTGTTAAAGCGTGCCATGGCAATCTGGACGCCGGTGGTCGACGAGAAACCCGGGTTGGCGCTGTGACCACCGCCTTTCACCTGCCAGCCCTGAGTTACACTGAACACCAGATCGCAATGCGAACAGGCTCACCCCGAACGGTGTTTGTGTACGCGCCAATAAGTTGATCTGTGCACAGCCATCAGGTGAGGATTGGGTTACATGAGTATGCCGCAAACAACTCACGACAGTGCCAACATCCTCGGCTGTCCCGGGTTCGACGGTACACGCAGATACCTGGGAGCTCGATTGCGCCCAATGATAGTTGTCCTCTGTGTAGTAGAGTTCCACTGGGCGGGACCAGGTAAGCCGCTGCGTTCGATTGGTAGAGAATCTCACTGACGCGGATAAAAGATCTCAGACGCGGAAGAAACGGTCGAGGCTATCTCTTTGCATACTGCGAGCGTAGCGACATTTCTGGGCTGCGTGGTCGCGCACGAAGCAGGAATGGAGAACGTAGAAAGGAGTGAGAGAATGAGCGTGAAGCTAGTAGCAATGCGCGACATGGTTGTGGCAGCTCCCAACCTCGAGTCGCAAGGCGGGTCCTAACGAATCTACAAGGGGGTGAGAAAGCGCACGCACAAGCAGCATGGCAGCACGTTCTTACGCTATTAATATAGGGAGGTGCAGGTTTTAAGGCACTGTTCGAGGTGTCCTGCATCATCATCGTATTCGTTCACACGGGAAGCGGTGACGAATGCCAGCGGAGAGACAACCAAGAGAGCCCGTTCTGCATTTGCGGGAAGGTGATTGTACCGGGAGACCCGCTCAGCAGCCGACAAGAATGTTCCCGTGTGTATTGCAACCGTGCAAGACCGAGGGATGGTCATCCAGCTGACGACCTGGGCTGAGGGGCTAACGATGTAGCGACGGCCGGTAAAGGGGGGTACGCAAGCGGCGTAACTGCCAGGAAACAGATACCATGTCACTGCATTGCGAAAGACAGTCAGGCTCCGATATGAACAGTGGTTTGTATATCGCACGCACCTTCACGAAACACGTCACACTTTTGATACCTCCCAGTTGAAATGCTACTGGCAAAAAGTGAGGTTCAACTACTTCCCGCGATGCATGGCCGCATCCTCAATCAAATCTAGCCAAGCCTTTCAATGACGCATGGACGCGGCAAATCGTGCTCCAGGTTCCTGAGGACAATAATAACAGATGAGGCCGAGATGTCGCCTCCTAAACCGCCAGAGAATGCGTCATCGCAAGACTTTGCTACGCGTTTCAAGCAAGTTGTTCCTTACCGGATACAGACCACTCGTGCAGAGTCCAGACCTTCCCGTCAGGGGGATCAAGGACAAGCATTGCAGTCGTCACTGGTCGCCGTGGTCGTCATCGTCCGGGGTAAGCGCTGCTACTTACGCCTCTGATCAAGACTGTTGCAATCCCACGGGTTGTTATTTAGAATGGCGGCAAGATGGCAGCAAGACGTACCAGATACCTGTTCGTATGGCGTTACGGGCGGCATGCGATCCGACGGTGGAGCCAAATTCATCTACACTACGATCGACATATGCATAGAACTCACTGACGCAGAGTCTGCAGCCGTATCTCAAGCTGAATCTCAAGGCCAGTATGTAGGTGATGCTGCGAGGATCATTGCATAACACCGGTAAAAATACGAGAAAGCAGTATGCGGGCATGCGTCATGAGTGTGCATGTGAAATACATGTATGTAGCGGTTTTAAGGTCTCCTACAACGCGACGGACAAGAACCAGCGAGCTCAGAACTGAACGCCGATGTCAGTCAGTACGCTAGGGCAAAAAGAGTCGTGCTGTGACTCACCCTCAGGGATTGGAAGAACCACTTGTTCTTCCCGCTCGTGTACCTGTCCTCGAAGAGCTTCTTGATCTGCTTCTTCGCATCCTCCCGCTGTGTTGGCTCCTTGAAAGTCTCGGCAGCCACGGTGCCCTTGAGACCCTCCAGCTCAAGTGCGTACCGGGTGGGGAACAGGTGAGAGTAGTTGACGACCTAGCAGCACGTACGTTCCGTAAGGTCGCAGCTCCTGTACAGACAAGGTGGGCACGTACCTTGATGAAAGGCTTGACCTTGCTCCGCTTCGCCAACTTCTTCTGACCCATGCGCTTCGTCACTTTGAGAGGGTAGCGCTCGATGCCCGCAACGATCGCATGAGGGTATGGCCGCTCCTTCGTGCCCTCATCCAGCTGCTTGATCACTACGACCTTCTTGCCGGCCTGGCGTCCCTGGAGGACGATTGCGACCTAACGAATGAATTAACACCTTGCCCTCCCCGTACGAGTCCTGGTCCTCACTTTTCCGGGCTTGTATACTGTCAAACGTCCGTCAGCGCACCACCCAGCATCATGCGTGCAGGAACATACCACGAGGCATCTTGAGGGGATTACGACCGACGGCGGCGAGCTAGATTCCTTACCTTGCCCTTCGGCGTGACTGCTTGGCCCGCGGAAGGCCTTCAGCCACTCGGGTTTTGCCGAGTGGTACTGTACAGTAGAAGGTGGATCGATTCAGCAGGCGCTGGTCCGGCTAAGCAAGCCCGGGAGACTGGCACTCCCAAGTTGAAACGAACCATAGCCAGCGAATCACGTGCCCCGCGCGCGAACTTGTTCACTGCGGCCTGCCAAATTACAATTCACTCTTATGCCATACAGTACTGCTTCATGATTCGAACAATGGACGCTTAAGCTTAAGCTTCATCCGAAGCTGGGTATCCCATGCGCGTCGCGGTACTGACGCCTTGGCACGAGCTGAGAACCTATGAAAGTAGTACTAGGGTGCCCGCACACAGTTCTGTCGCGGTCATTCCTCAATTCGATAATATACATGTGAGTACTCGATACATCTGCCGGACTGACCGCATCTGACATAAGTATCGTATCCCAGGCTCGTCCATTGTCATTGTATCTATATGGAGCGTATATGCCAGGGCTGTGTCAATTGACAAGCTGTCAGAGCATCGGACCTTTGCTGCAAGCCGCAGGAGTCCCGCACACTACATAAAGCTCGACGATAAGGACACAGACGAACTGTGTCCTACGAGCTACCCTCACCCTCTAGGCACCGCCCATACTTACCCAACATGATCGAGCCTAGTCTCCAAGTGAAGCGCGTCGACCATGTCTACAATATAGCATCCCGCGTATGGACATACGAGGACACCAAAGCGCAGACTGAGCCCCAGGTCCTACGTGGCGGTAAGATGGCAGACGGCTCCGACGCCTGGCGGTCGTACTGCTTCGTGGTCGTCCGCCAGATCCCTATGCAGCAAGTCGCGGGGGCAGAGCCTACGGTGTCGATCGCGGTCAAGAGTCCGTACCTGGTAACGGCGTGCAAGAACGTCATTGGGGAGGTCCCAACGATATCCTGGACGGTCAATCCTGTGAAGGTAATGCCCGCTTGATTGATCCTCGATTGCTATACACTGACCAATCACTAGCTCTCGATCGTTCTCCCCTCGCTTCGCTGCGTATCTGGACGAGCTGCAGGGGAAATCGGATCGCTCGAGCGAGGAAGCACACATCCTCGACAGTCTCCGAGTCCTCGTGGACTACATTCATGAAGAGCACCAGGTCACCATCTCTGAGATTGACAACCTCCTTGCACACGGCGAGATCTCGTATGATCTCATCTACGCCATCCTCATTCCTGGAACAATAGTCCTCACCACGGACAAGGCAACGGGAGAGCCACGCGCTCTTAAGCTCGCCCACTGCTTAAAAGGGCCGATGGCTTATACGCTGAGTTGCACAGGCATTGACGCCCAGGACAACTGGCAGTCCCCAGGGAACAACGCAGGTATACCGTCGATGCGGGCTACATGCGCGCCGAGGGTCGGTGAGGTCCCGCAAACGCTGAACTTGGTGGGTTTCCAAGGCGTCGTGAAGATCAACCAGCTACCTGTATACCCTATACAATATCACAGCGATGAGGCGAAGCTGAAGAAGGCGCTCCTTGCTCGGGCGCGCAAGTGGATGGCCCTCAATGGTGTGCACCACGTGCATTACCAGGGTACCGCTGTGGCCGCGACGAATTCTCCTATTGGGGAGACGTACATCAACTACGAGGTGAACAGCTTGCGTCTGAAGTGCGCGAATAGTACTTACCAATGCTCACGCAATCAGGTTGACTCCCGAGTCATGATTGACAGAGGTAAGCTGCTGGTACACGGACTATGAACGGCCCATATTGACTCGTTACCATTCCTGAGACACGTTCAAGCATCACAACGCAAACTACGCAGTACCTTCACCTCCGCACCCAACCCAACCCGTCTATAAGATGCCACCGGACAACTGGATCCCGCACATGAATAGTGACGGCCGGATAGAGCTTCCACCACCGTCGAAGCCCTTGACGCCCGAGGCGACCATGGGCATATCGTCAGACGACGACCTCATCCTCGCCTCGCCGGTGCTGTACAGCTTCAGTTTGTCTGACGAGTTGTGGTGTAAGCTGGCTGATTTTTGTGTCCTTACTTATCACTCACCGTCATTATTCTCTAGTGGAGTTCAATGTCGAGAAGGTCCGCCCGATTGTGTGGTCCGATGAACCCTTCACGAACCTCGTCCTCCCGGGAAACCGGAGAGACTTCTTGCGCTCCCTCGTCGAGGCTCACAACTCCGACCTTGACTTCGACGACTTTGTGCATGGGAAGGGACAGGGCCTCGTCATCAACCTCTTCGGTCCCCCCGGAGTCGGAAAGACGTTGTCTGCGGAGGCAACAAGCGAGCACCTCAAGCGCCCGCTCTATATACTCGGTGGAGGAGATCTCGGAGGGGACGCAAATGCTGTCGACACTACTTTGAAGCGTGCCTTCAGTATTGCTGCCAGCTGGAGTGCGATCGTGCTCATAGATGAGGTGAGTAGTGCGCTTAGTCACAGTGGTCGGCCGCAGGTGTCAGACATACTAATCATGGGCGCAGGCCGATGTGTTCTTGGAGCGGCGCTCTATGCATGACCTCGCGCGTAACGCCATGGTCGCTGTTTTGTGAGTGCCCCGTACGATTAATCGTCAATCCTACTAACATGCCGAATTGCCAGCCTACGGCACGTTGAATATTATCGCGGGATTCTGTTCCTCACCACGAACAGAGTCAAGGTGTTCGACCCGGCCTTCCTCTCTCGTATCCACGTCGCTCTCCGCTTCCGGGAGCTGAGCAAGGAGGCGAAGCTACAGATTTGGCAGGCTTTCCTGCACAAAGTCAACACGGGCGACCTCACCGACGACGAATTAGACGAATTGGTTAATCGAGAAGTCAATGGACGTCAAATCAAGAATGCCACTAGGACGGCAATGTCTCTGGCGAAGAGTCGCGGGGAGAAGTTCGGGTATAAGCACCTTGCGGAGACTCTTGATGCGATGGAGGAGTCTGCTAAAAACTTTGTAACCGAGTCCTAGACGGAGTCCAGAATGAGGCTCGGGCTTCCGAGTTCTGCACATTGGATACTTCGCGCTTCATGACATTTACTCAGACTGTCTATCGTTAGTCTATCAATGCTTGCTCGGCGAAAGTCTGCTGGTAATGAGTCTGCGCGCGGGTCGGTGCATAAGATACGGTACGCCGCTGCAGAACGGCGAGTAGGAAGGTGATGAGCGGCTTCTTGCCGCGTGAGCCTGCATCGAGGTTGCTCAGCTCTAGTGAATGAGCGCTCGAGCGCTGGTGTACCTTCCCCAAGTCTCGAGCTTGATCACAGACCTACCTGGTTGTTAGAAACGTGTCGCTCTGGATACGAGCTCTGTGGGATTACTGGTTTCTACTCAATACCGGTAAGTCAGTCGCGGTCGATGGTGTCTTCACCCCGCGCACCCGCAGACAGGCATAGCTGCGCTGAGTCCTGCAGCTGACACCTATACTCGACCGTGACGCGGTGCTACCATGAGCATCTGCAGGTGAGCGCATGTCTTCGATTTGATTGCAATGTCGGGTTGGTGCGGTGCGCGGCGGGGTACATGAACCAGTACAGTCTTCACCTACGAGTCTTTGACCCCAAACCATCCATTCAAAGAGCGACTGCTCACCAGCTTCCTCCTCATGCAGAAGTACATGAAGGCGCCCTTCGCCGTTGTCCTCGCTTTCTTCCTGTGGGTTTTGAAACCTGGTCACATATTTCGTTGCATCTTCGGTCCGCATCACCACGGCAGGATGCGCATAGCGACGTACAACCTGCGTTACGACTCTCAGCCTGACAAGATTTCCGTCCGCGAGTCAATCGAAGCATTGCCGAGTCCTCTGGAACGACCGCGCTTCCACGGGTGGTCGGGAGAGGTGCCCTGGAGTACGAGAAGGTTGAAGGTCGCACAGCAGCTGTTGCTTGAGAGTCCAAACGTGATTGGTGAGCTCCGATGTCCCGAATACCGGTATATGTATCGACAGTGCGCGGATGCAAGGCTTCCAGGAAGCCTTGGTCAGGCAGGTCCACGACCTCGCAGAGCTGCTCGGAGACGATTGGGCATGGGTCAGCTATGCACGCACGATCCTGAAGGGCTCTCAACTGACTGGACGTCATCGGTCACGCAGGTCGGTGTAGGCCGCGACGACGGCAAACGCGCGGGCGAGTTCTGTCCCATCTTCTACAAGAAGTAATCCCTATCGCACCTCGTCACTCACCGTCGAACTCACCATAGCTCGAGCTTGCAGGTCTGACCTTACGCTAGACCACCACGAGTCATTCTGGCTTTCGTCAGTCATCTCCCGTGCCAGTAGTACCGGGGTTCACTCTGACACTCGACACCCGAACATACAGGGACAAGCCGTTCGAGCCATCTAAGTACCCCGACGCAGGCTCCTTCCGCGTGTGCGAAGTGACCCGCTTCAAGACGACTACCAAGACATTCACCGTCCTCAACTCACACCTGGACGACCGCTCCGACGCCCAACGCCGCCTCGCCGCGTCTATGCTCCTCGCGCGCGCGCGTTACGAAGCCTACGCCACCTCCAGCCCCGTGTTCATCACGGGCGACTTTAACAGCGCGTCGCACGGGTCCGACTCCGGCGCGTACCAGATTATCACAGGCGTGGTTCCTCCGGTGCCCATCAACGAGACGTTCGCGGAGAAGTACAAGGTGCCTGTGCACGGGGATGAGAAGGACGCGAAGTTCGTCATGGTGGACCTCAAGGGGGAGACGCCGCGGATGCAGGTGGCGGGCGACTTCGCGACGTTCACGGGCTTCAACCGCCCCGGGGACACGAGCGTGTACACGCGGATAGACTTCGTGTTCGGCGGAAGCAGCAGTGGGTGGTGAGTGCGAGGTCTGTGGCGGACGTGGACGGCAACTGACGTGCGTGGCATGGTGGCAGGACTGCGGACGCGTACAAAGTAGGGACTTCGCTCACGGACGATGGCATACTCGCGAGCGACCACCGGCCGGTCTACGCAGATGTGACGATTTGAAAGAGCCTGTATGATACCATTCACACTTCGACTCGAAGTAGCTCTAGTTGTAGTGCCGCGATTGCTTGGACGAGACGCCAACATACATGCTAGGCATGACGTGCATTCATGCATGGGACCGGCCCACCACGTCAGAAGGGTATGTGCGTAGTGTACAGTGTGTGATATGCGGAGCGACAGTATGCTATGCTTCAGTGGTACACATGGGCTCAGTGATGCGACGATACAGACAACAGGTAGATGCAGCCAGAGCGGGAAATGATGCAAGAGTTCGCCCGACATAACTCGATATATCAGGTGCATTGTCCACAGGAAAGGTGTATCCATGAGTTTCACAGAGGTAGAGGCGAGAGTAGCTGCGGTATCGAGAGGGGAGATAGTGCCGCCGATAAGCTCCCTTTTCTTCCTCTGGGCGTCGTCGAGCGCGGAGGCGACGGTGGAAGCGGTGTGCCGGTGACAGCGCCCGGTGTCGGACGCCTCCCCGGCGGGGCGGGGTAGACTACGCCTGGCGGAAGTGGTGCCTCCTCGTACATCGGCCCAGAACGAGGTTTGGGTGTCGCAGGCTTCGGCGTCCCGGATCTGCGTGAACTGCTGGTGGTCCGTGACCGCGTGGAATCGGTCCTGGACGAAGAGCTCTGGTCCATGTCCGAATAGGTGGGCGCGTAGGGAGTACCCGACCTGCTCATGGCTGGAATGACCGGAGGCTGCGGTACGGGTGGGGTAAGGGGCACAAAGCCAGGAGGTAGATGCCCCTCTGGCGGAATGGAGGCCTCGGGCAAGGGCGGAAGGCCTCGTCTGTCCTTGCTCACCATCAACGCTGGATCGATGTAGTTGTGCACGACTTCCAGACTTGGGAGATCCGTGTGGGACGTCTCCGGGCTCAGCATGTGAGGCTGGGAGAGGGTGCCCCCAGAGGATGCTGGTGACACATCCTTCGTCGACTGCGGCCGCTAGCTGGTCAGCACCATACTGGTCCCAGAAGTCAACGACGTACCGGAGACTCGACTTGGATGTCCGGTACTCCGCTGCTGGTAGATGTTCGATTTTTCCACTTCTTCCTGAATAATCTGTCCAGGGTGCTAGGTTTGCTACCAGACGTCGAATCCATTCGTCCTGGAGTCTCGGGACGCGCCGGAGTCTTTGATCGAGCTGGTGTTCGTGAGCGAGCCGGTGTCTCAGGACGTACAGGGTGAGAGGCTTCCATGAATGGCTCTTCCTTTGGACGAGGTCCCCTGGGTGACTGTATTGGACGCTTATGGTCAAAATTAGTTGCATCAGAGCGACTCATCGTAGCGGTGTGCGATGGAACGTACGTCCTCTCGCGCTTGTCTTGCTGGAGTCTTGCGCCCGCTTGGTGAGCTGATCATGTCCCTCAGGCCAGCAAGCATGTCGGAAGGAGATCGGCCGTGGCTTGCTGACCGCTGCCGGTCTCCGCGCGAGCTAACAATTTCATATTGAGAGATCGCGGTGGAGGCCTTTGATAGAGGCGAGAAGGCTGACCCGTAAGGCTGAGAAGGTCCTGCACCAGCTGTGTACGCGTAGTCCCGCGCGCGGACGGGTTGTTCATAGGTTGTAGCTGAGGACGCAGGTACGCGCATGGTCGCCTCGATCAGGGAGGAGGAGGAGGCGCGAGGCGTCAACGGTTTCGTCATCTCATGCGGTGGTGGGAGTTCAATCACGTTGTCACTACTCATATACGGGATCCAGTTGTCCGGTGGGATGTCAACGGGTGGGTGCGAAGGTGAAGGTACTGCGTTGTGTATAGGGATAGGATTGATCGCCTCGTCCTGACGGGATCGCGAGCGGCCTACACTGGGGTCCAATACGGATACTGGGTTAGGTGTCGTAGCGGGTGGTGGTACACTGGGATGGACAGGTGAAGGCGCGGCTATGCGAGGACTCCTCACTCTGATCGGGCTGGTCGGCTCCCTCCGCGGACTGCGCATCGTAGACCTAGTCTCCTCCGAGCTGTAGGGGTACAATGGTGTCGATTCAACCGGGAAGCACCGAGCAAATAGGACCTACCGAGAAGGCGGCCTCCATGTCTGAGGCGGCGGTGAACGCGTGATGGGAATGATCTCTTCCGGCTGACTCCCGCTTCCCGTCGCGTTTTCGTCCTGCTCCTCTTCGTCAGACATGTCATCGACGACCGCCGGGCGTCGCGTGTATCTCCCGGGTTCGTTCCGAGACGTAATGCCAACTGCCCGGGCTTCGTAATAGTTCATCTCCCTGCCCTTGCTAAGACCTTCCTGGAAGCCCTGCTGACGCCCCTCCTCCCTCGCCCTAGCAATTACCTTCTCTTCCTTCAGCTTCCTCGCGAGCGTCCTTGCCCGCGCCGCCTCCGCCTCCGCGTCCAGTTTATCCTGTTCCAGCCTGTCCACGATCTCCTGCGCCCGCGATATCTCCCTCTGCGCCTCTTCCACACGCAGCTTCCACAGCCTCGTCTCCTCGTTCGCGCGCGAGACATCCGAATGCGCCTGCGCGATCTGGTCACGCGCCTGTCGGAGGCGCTGCAGCGTGTCGATGGCGCGCTGCTCCGCGTCGTCCGCGCGCCGCGTCTCGTGCTCGAGTCGCTCGTTCGCGAGCATGAGCATGGACCGGTAGTGGTTCGCGTCGCGCTCCGAGCGCGTCATCAGCCGCGCGAGCAACTTTGCCTTCCCGCTCGCGCCAGCCCAGGAATGGTCGTGGTCGTATGCGTAGTCCCGTTCGCGCGGCAAGTGTTGCGCCGGCGCCGGCGAGGACCGCGAGCTCCGCGAGCCTATCCGCGACGGCGCCGAAGGGAGCGTGTCGCTCGAGGACGAAGACGGCTCAACGGCGTCCATAGCGGTCGGCGGTACAGGGGGGAAGGGGTATTCGGTGCTGGAGGCATGGTCAGCGCCTAGGAAGTGGGAGGTAGATATGTGGTCTATAGACGCACCGGCCTTCGTCCTCGATTAAAGGGAACATGGCAAGCGAGGTCTGCTCAGGAACAGTCAATTGACATGCGCGACGTGAGTAATGGGAGGGCACATTGGGGACGGGATACACGCGCCGCCGTCATGGCCATGTCGCAGACGTAGGGAGCGCTCTGGCAGTAGAGCTCGCTGGCCGTAGATATTAACCCGTCCGCTGCCGCAGTCCCGCGATCATGCACCAACGTCGCGCTGCAAAGGCGTGTTACGGTGCAGCGCCATTAAGCCTTATCCATGCGCGGACAACACGTGTTGATAGATCGCCGGCGATTGTAACGCACAAGGAGCTCTTAAGATGAACACTCTATACCGCAATGCGGTGAGGAGGACGGGAGGAAGGACGGACGAACGAGTCGAGGTCCCCAGAAGAAGTGGGAAGTAGGGACCCATGAATCAGATGATGCTCCATCCTCCGCGTCCACGACCGGGTCTTGGTGGCTTGACCGCCCTCGCCCAATGGCCGTTTTGGCTGTATTGATTGGCGTCATAGCGCCGATCGCGGATACCCTCGGAATAGGTATTTCGTCTCGGCATGAACGAATCGGAAGGTGAAGGTGCATTGACTTCGCGGAAGCTAGAGCATCTGACCCCGATGCGCTCATGAGAATGCGATCGAGACCATGGGACTCAGGAGCGGTCCGACCAGCAACGTGTACGGCAGGAAGACACTAATCACTCACCATTGAAGCGATAGCGTTCAGATATGGTTATGAACACAGCTAGGCCTCTTTTGCAGGGTCACGGTAGTGTGGAGGAGTGAACCCCGCCGACCGCGAGGCAGCAGGGTACGATATTGCTCTGGTCCGACCGAAGAAGCTGACGTACGATGGAGTGTATTTGCTCGATGAGTAGCAGAGCTAGAATAATCTGAACCTGGGGTGTAGGTACGAGTACAGGTTGGTCTTCGCTGCGCAGGCAAGTCAACCCGCTGGGAGAAAGCAACGAACACAGACGGCCACCACACGAGAAGCCACCTCAGTGCACAGCCCAAGCCTAAGCTTTTGTTGACCAGCAATACAATCAGGTCCTCTTCTCTCGGTGTCCCTTGAAGACGCGTTCCCAATTGTAGTTTTAGCGCGTCCGTCACGCGGAGAAGGCTGTTGTTAAGAGTGACCCGAGTTCCACCAACTTATGAGAGGGCATCGCAAGATTCGGGCCAGTTGAGATAGGCTGTTATAGTCAAGTCGTCGCGGCTGCAGCAGAGTTTGTAGCCCAACGCAGTCGTGGTATGAGACAAAGGTCAACGCGCGTTTAGGCCTCGCGGCTCGGCGCCTCCCGGTGGCTCCGAGTCTGTGGCACAAGGACACGGTACAGCTCAAGGCATCACGCTTCTGAGATCTGAGTTCTTACCAGACTATATACGCAATCGAAGGGTATACCGGGCTCGGGTCAAAATCAACTTACGGCCCAAGTAAACATTAAGTATTCCAATTTGCACGACCCGGAAGGCCGACAAAGCCTGAGCCTTTGTTCTAGACTCCGTCTAGGACTCGGTGACCGAGTCTCGCTCATAAAAGTCACTAGCAAACCCCTCCATCGCGTCAAGCGTCTCCGCAAGGTGCTTATACCCGAGCTTCTCCCCGCGACTCTTCGCTAGAGACATGGCCGTTCTAGTGGCATTCTTGATTTGACGTCCATTGACTTCTCGACTGACCAAATTGTCCAGTTCGTCGTCGGTGAGGTCGCCCGTGTGGACTTTGTGCAGGAAGGCCTGCCAGATCTTTAGCTTCGCTTCCTTGCTCAGCTCCCGGAAACGTAGAGCGACGTGGATACGAGAGAGGAAGGCTGGGTCGAACGCCTTGACTCGGTTCGTGGTAAGGAATAGGATCCCGCGGTAGTACTCAACGTGCCGCAGACTGAAAAGACAGTAGTCAGTAGGGTTGACAGCCGTAAGCATAGCAGTACTCACAAGACTGCGACCATGGCATTGCGCGCGATGTCACGCATGGAGCGCTGCTCCAGGAACACATCGGCCTGTGCACGGATTATTAGGCTGTCTGGCACCTACGGCCTGTCTGTTGCTGAGCGTACTCACCTCATCTATCAGCACGATTGCACTCTAGCTCGCGGCGATGCCGAAGACGCGCTTCAGAGTAGTGTCGACAGCAGTCGCGTCGGCGCCAAGATCTCCGCCCCCAATCATGTAAAGCGGTCTTCGGAGATGCTCGCTCGTGGCCTCCGCAGACAGGGTCTTTCCAACTCCCGGAGGACCGAAGAGACTGATAACAAGACCCTGGCCCTTCCCCTGCACGAAGTCGTCGAAGTCGAGGTCGGAATTATGAGCCTCTACGAGGGAGCGCAAGAGGTCTCTCCGATTTCCCGGGAGGACGAGATTTGTGAAGGGCTCGTCGGACCATACGATTGGGCGAACCTTCTCGACGTTGAATTCCACTTTAATACGAGCAGTTCAGGAAGCAGCACAGGTGCAGATGCAATAGACTTACACCAGAGTTTGTCGGACAGGCTGAAGCCATACAGCACGGGCGTGGCGAGCATGAGGTCGTCGTCAGATAGCTCCTGATTTCCAGCTGCCTGTCTGAGTAAAGTCTGGAAATCCGTAAGGCCAAATAGCGGATATTGCTTCTGGACTGCGCGGCGATTCGCGGCTCCGGCCGCGGCTCCTGTTCCCTGTACTTGCGCTTGCCTTGGGACTTGGGCCTGCTGCCCGCCATTTGCTAGTTGGGCGCGAGGCATATCGTAATTTGCATTGCGGTGCGTGAATTCGTCTGACGTCACGTTGAACATCGACTGTCCATAATGCGGTTACGCGCAGCTTACTTCTGTCAATCATGATCCTAGAATCAACCTGTCTGAACGTCAGTGTTGCATTTCCCATGGAATAACCGACAACTCACATCGTATTTGATGTAGATCTTGCCCCCCATAATGGAGTCTGTTGCACTTGCAATGACCGCAGTTCCCTGGTAATGCACATGCTGCACGCCGTTCAACCCCATCCATCTGCGGGCCCGAGCGAGGAGTGCTTGCTTGAGCTTCACTTCGTCGGTGTGGTACTCGATGGGGTATATAGACAGCCGTTTGATCTTCGCGACGCCTTGAAACCGTGTCAAGTGCAACGTTCGCTCAACCCTGCCAAACTTCGGCATGTCTGAACCTTGCTTTGAAACTACGCCGCCAAAGAGGTCCACAGAGGGCGGACGGTCGAGAGCGTCGACACCTGTGCAGTTCAACATGTAGAACATGGGTCCCGCCGTGTAATTGTGGAGTTGGAGAGCGCATGGTTCCCCCGTTGCGTTGTCCGTGGTGACGAGTAGTGTTCCAGGAATGAGGATAGCATAGATTAGGTCATACGTGATCTCTCCATGGGTGAGGAGGTTGTGAATCTTAGAGATGGTGATCTGATGGTTCTCGCGCAGGTAGTCAACGAGGACACGGAGACTGTCGAGGATATGCACCTCCTCGCTCGAGGGGTCCGTCTTACCCTGCAGTTCGTCTAGATACGCGACGAAGCGAGGGAAGAATGAGATCAACAGATCTATCGAAAGCTAGCCATTCGTCAGAACTAGTCGCCGAGGATGCAACACAAATGACGAGTACCTCTAGAGGGTCAACAGTCCATGATATGGTGGGGACAGTTCCGACGACGTTCTTGCATGCTGCTAACAGGTACGGACTCTTGATGCTGACCACGACCGTAGGCTCTAGACCAGGAGCGGAGTTCGGTGGGGGTATCTTGCGCACGACCACAAAGCAGTACGACTGCCAGGCGTCGGAACCATCTGCCATCTTACCGCCGCTCAGGACCTGGGGTTGAATCTGCGCTTTGGTATCCTCGTATGCCCATGTGCGGGTTTGTACATTGTAGACATGGTCAACGCGCTTCACCTGGAGAGGAGGTTCGGACATGTTGCCAGTGGCTAGGTATGAGTGGTACCTGGGGGGTGAAGTAGCGGCCACTTACTGGCATCATCCACGTCGCGGAGTCCTTTAAATTAACGCATATCGAAGGACACGCTGCGGCTTGCGGAACTGCGGTGAGTCGTTATTGCTGTGTGACGGTCTGGATAGTAGACACTGCCTTGTACACATGTCCATCTGTTCTCCATAGAGACCGTGACAGTACGACAGACCCGGTCAGTTCGTTTTACATGTATCGGGGAGCTCACACATCGCGTGCATGACTTTGGCCAGTCCTACTCCATTGCCTCACCGCCCAACGATTACCCCGGCACAGCAATGAACTACCTACCGCCAGAGATGCGCTTCGAAGGACGTGCCGGCCTCGAGGCGGACGTGTGGAATTTGGGATGCGCAATCTTCGAGATCCGCGCGGGCTGCCCGCTCTTCGAGTCGTTCTTTGGGAGCGACGCGGACATCCTAAGACAAACTGTCGAGGTGCTCGGAAAGTTGCCCGACCCGTGGTGGGGATCCTTTCGAGAGCATGCTCTGTGGTTTGAAGAGAATGGAGAACCGAGGAGCACACAGGCTCAGCAATCCTCTGGTGTTCTCATCCCATCTTCCAAAAGCTCTATTCAGGCAAGGCTGCACTCAATCGGCACGTTGGACGAGCCACCATCCGTCGACGAGGGTCCTATGATCGAGAAGCCTGGGTCAGCTTTAGACGAAGAAGAGATAGGGTTATTGGGGGATTTGCTGGTGAAGATGTTGAGGTATCGTCCAGAAGAGAGAATGCCGATGCGGGAGGTTATGTGTCATCCCTAGTTCACCCTCTGAGGGATGGGCATACCGGACATTCAATCGCTCCTCCAGTGGTCGCCGTCGCGGGCCGCCTCACCGGAGACTCGGAGACTAACTCTGAGCTGCCTTCGACGCGTAGAGTTCCAATGAGGTCATCAAGGCTGTAGGACGAGTAATGAACGGTTAATCAAGCGGTGGGTGAAGGCGACGACTCCGCGAGACGTGATTGTGGCTGAGGCGTGTGGCCGCCGACTACTCGAGGATGATGTTGTAGTTTGTGTTCATACCTTCGCCAACCGGCATATCCGACTGAAGACGATAGCCATCCGCCGCTACTTAATCGTGCCTAACTCGTGCCAGTGTAAGCATGATAACTCAATCAGGGAGAATTTCAACCAGACGTCGACGTGAATGAGATGAGCTTGGATCAGCCATTCAAACTGATGTTATCAGGAGGTCTAGAGTCTAGACGACGCGTAACCGTGACCATCGCGCGAACTACAAAGGCGGACCTTACTCACCACTTGCCGATGCCCTGTCAAACAGCTCAAATCATTCGTCAAAGGAGACATAATGATATTATTGCGAGCGGCGAGCGTGATAGTTTGACAGCATAACAACCGTAACTTGAAGACGACCAGACAGCGGATACGAAAGCAAGATGACAACTCAGAAAGACCAAAGACATAAGTCAGCGACAGGTGCTATGGTTGAAAAGCGATGATGTGGCGACTCCCTTCGTGGGCTTTATGAAAGCAGCGCAGCGACGACCGGTCTGCTGCATTCGGCCTCTCCATAGGGCCCGCCACCGCTCGAGCGTGTCTAGTGGTGTGTTCAGCGAAACATAGAGAACAATGAATGACAGACGTACCGTGAGCCTTTCGATGGTGATCTGAGTTGTCGTCCTGATCACGCAGCGCTGAGCTGTCCGCTGCGAAATCGTCCCGTGAACCAGTCGCGGTGGGTCCGGAGGTTTCTTTGACGGGGATACAGGAGCTGGTTGTATGCGCGGCACTATCCTCGACTCGGATGGAAGGACGGACGCCCACTGCAGGCTCCGGAACGTCGTCCTCCGTAAGGGCGGGCGTACTCGCAACTGGGGGACGAGCACTTCGTTTGCCAGTGGCACGTCTCTCCCGCGAGTCTTCTATCAACCTACGGATGGAAGCGCACAGTCAGCTGTCTGTGAAGTCAACCGTACGAAAGCTGGCCGACAACTGACCGTAGAATGTCTGCTACCTCCTTCATGAAATCAGTGGGGCTGTTCACCCTATCTACGTCCGACAAGTTGAGCGAGACCGACACGAGCGGGATGACGACTCGATCCTCGGTAGGGTCGTCCAGGAATAAGTCATACAGAACGTCGGACGGCGCAGTACTCGCAGAGTCCGGCCAATCACTCTCCGAAGAGCAGATCGAGGACGCAGAGCTTGATGGGGTTGTAGAGTCGTAGACATCATCCGGGTCGGCTGGATCTAGGTCCGACCTAACGGCGTCGCAATGAGATTCGGCGTCCCGCCCCAATCCGGATGGAACGGATGGTCTCGAATTCATACGAGAGTCGCTCCGCGCCTCTGAGCTCGCGACCGTCTCCGGATAAAGACTTTCGACCACCGAGGCGTCGTCATCTAGTTCCGGTTCCTCGATAGCCGGCTTGGCATCGCGGAGAGCCCTTCTCCTATAAACATCTTCGCAGAAGTACATATCGCGGTGAATCGTCTCGCGCGCGGATAGGGAGATGGCGTCTTTGTGGTCGTAGCATTCAGGAATGTTGGGGATGCGGACAGGCACGACGGCAGACGCATACTGGTAACAGTTCGGGAATGGGAACGGACGGCTCGGCTGTAGCGGAGCCCGCGACAAGGGGTGCTCAGTCTCGGGGAAAATGGGTATGCACATTTGCGGCTCGATGCAAGCGTCGTCGTCCTTTGGACAGAGGCCTTGGCCCACGAGAGCGATGCGGCACTTGTGGTCTGGCTTGCCCGGCATTGGGAGCTCGTCCATCTATGGCAGTAGTCCAGCTTGGCGCGGCGTGCACTTATGTTGTGGACGTACCGCTGTAACGTGTGCCACATACTTTTGTACCCGTAGCCCTTGTGCAGCTGCCAGCAACTTCGGGTCACGCAATGGCTCGACCATCTTGACTGGGTCAAGCTGGAGAACGAGGTATGTACCATGACGCGGAACCATGAACCTCGTCTCTAGAGATCTCCCAATGAGCATTGCATCGAGGATGTAATGATGAATGGGGCTGAACAGGAGCCTTGGAATCGTCCGTACCTTGTTGTTCTACGACAGGCGAGTTGGAGGTCACGCCCGAGAACACCATAGTACTGGGTAGAAAACTATGGGGAGACGCTGTGCAGTAGGCCTGACTGAGGCTGACGGGAATAGAGAAAGTGAACACGGAGGGTCGCAGTTGGGTTGCAGCTTGCCGGGCCAGGTGGCGCAACTGAGGCTCAGGGCGATGCGAGGACCCGTGAGAGGCGGTACATATTTGGCAGTATTTGGCTAGCAAAGAATCATGTGTGGGGCCGCTGGGGCGAATGGGCTGACGTAATCATGATTGGATTATTCCAATTCCGCTCTAAGTACCTCAGCCTTGCGCCTGAGGGCGGTCGTATATGTAGTACAGTAATCACTAGTAGAATCATGAACATTTCGCCGGACGGGTCGACGAGCAATGTTCGTGCCAGCCCTCATAAGGTTCACAACGACCAGCATCTTGCCATTCTTTCCACAGGATATCACCACATATGGGCCGAATCTACCGAATGTTTCGGTCTTCGCAAGTGGTATCGTGAGATCTTTTGGCGTTATCGCCAGTCTTCTTGACCACAAGAGTACTGTATAGAATCAGATCATGGGATCTCGAGCACAACTATCATAATAGCCTGAGGCTGGGCAGAATCGCAATGTAACCAGACCCGACTCCTCGCTACCCCTGTCACGATGGCTTCCTGTACACCTGCACGCTGCCTCTCCCTCTCCGCTGACCCTGATGATAGTCCCGACGCAGCACAGCGTCTTGTGGCAAGCAGATCCACTCCAGTCACCTATGAATCGTCCTCGCCAGCGTCGCTGGGTGATATCTATTCGCTCAAACAATCAGTCAAGAGAACATATCTACGTATTCTCGCACCGGTGCTTCCCCCACAAGCGATGAAGAAGTTTAGAAAGACGACCTCACAGCCTACTTCAGGCAGATCTAGCCGGCATGACGGGGGAAGCCTAACGCCATCCGAAGCTACCGGGAATACGTCCCAGGGTCTTCGTTGGAGGCCTTGTATCATCAACAACGTTGGTGTAGACGGCCTAGAGATCTTCCCCATGACCACATACGACAATTCCGCGTTCGACAAACTGTCACAGCTCCATCGTCTTTTCTCCATTGCCGTCTATCCAGACGATGATCATCCCGCTCATATTCATACTGACCCTGAATGGGCGGGAAAGAAATCTCAGTGGGTGATAGCCTACGCCTACCAGGTTGATGAACCAGCTCAGAAATGCCGCTGGAAAAATGCATGGACTCCCACCGGAGCAGAGAATCAGACTTACACCGTGAATACAAACCATCGTGTAACACCGGATGAAACTTTCGATCCTTCAAGTGAAAGATCGATAAAATTGACAAAATCTTTTTCACGATATTTCGTATGAAAGATTGTCAATAAAAGTCAGAAACAATCAATTAATCATTCAGACTCGAAGTATCAGGAACAGATCACAGAAGGATTCATTGACAAGTGTCTTTGATCTGTTTGTGATCCTCTAGGCAAATGATTGAGAACATGATATTCAAAAATTCTTGAACACTATGTGGCTCAATTGTTCTGAAAGGATTGAAAACAGATTGTCACATGGGGTGTTACAATCTTTTCTCAATCTTTCAGGCTGTCACAATCTGTTTCAAATCCTTCCAGCTGTTGATATCTTGGTGAGATTGGAAACAATTTGTATCCCAGGGGTTCAAAACAATTTGCCCAAAAGGATTGACAAGAGATTGTGACACTAGCTGTGACACTGTGCCACTTCCCTATGACAGAGCAGTGAAGGCAATTATGCCAAACCTATGATAAGCTGCCTTCTGCTGGTATGCTCAGTCATTTTTGGTCCCTCTTTCATTGCATCTGGACATGCACAGGTCTGGGACATGTTCATTAGTCATACAATGAGATGCACATCTCTAGGAATGTACAATCACAAGTACAACCCTGTACACTGAGTGCATCTAATGAGACTCATGTGATGGCAGGCAATGAATGAGGGACCAAAAATGACTGAGCATACCAGCAGAAGGCAGCTTATCATAGGTTTGGCATAATTGCCTTCACTGCTCTGTCATAGGGAAGTGGCACAGTGTCACAGCTAGTGTCACAATCTCTTGTCAATCCTTTTGGGCAAATTGTTTTGAACCCCTGGGATACAAATTGTTTCCAATCTCACCAAGATATCAACAGCTGGAAGGATTTGAAACAGATTGTGACAGCCTGAAAGATTGAGAAAAGATTGTAACACCCCATGTGACAATCTGTTTTCAATCCTTTCAGAACAATTGAGCCACATAGTGTTCAAGAATTTTTGAATATCATGTTCTCAATCATTTGCCTAGAGGATCACAAACAGATCAAAGACACTTGTCAATGAATCCTTCTGTGATCTGTTCCTGATACTTCGAGTCTGAATGATTAATTGATTGTTTCTGACTTTTATTGACAATCTTTCATACGAAATATCGTGAAAAAGATTTTGTCAATTTTATCGATCTTTCACTTGAAGGATCGAAAGTTTCATCCGGTGTAAGTCTCGACACCCTAATCGCGTTACGAGATACTTCGCTCCGCAAGATGGACGAGTGGCAGACTATGTGCAAGGACGATCCGCTGTTAGCGACGCAAATGCTTCAAGTCTGCATGGTTAGTGGCGTGCTGTTCAAGTGTCGCGAGAAGCATCAGTTCAATCCAGCACCAGGATTATCGTAGCATGAAATCTGGTGCGACGCAATCCTCCAGAGGGTCCTACGGAAGCCCGGTGCGTCGGTCATCTCAATCTGCTCGACGGGCATTGACACCCGACACCCGACCACAAGAGAACCTCAAGATCCTCCTTGGCGAAGTCGCTCTCAAGCTACGAGAGCATACGTGAATCCTCCCTTGAGGGTCTCAGTGAGGTGAAGTTGCTTGGCGGATGCATGAGATGCAGCTCACCTTTTCTAGCATCAGCCTGAAGCTGGACCAAGCAGTTCACAAAGTTTGACCGCTCTGATGGCCAGCGATGATGCATCGCTCAGGAGGCTGTCCCACGGCAAGCCGAATACCAAGCCTCAGCCGGACGCAGACGTTCAGTATAAGGAGTCAGATCGACCTCACACAACGGTACGCATGCACCATTGCTGCTTATTGGTGCTGTAAGAGCAGCAGGATAGTTGTGTGGTACTCACAGTCCATACAGATCCCGGTTGTACGCGACTTGGACTCCTCGACGAGTAAAGAATAGACCTTCACGGCAATTTGTCTGCGTGCAAGAATATTGCTATAGTGAGTGACTCGGATTGCCCCTACTAGTACAATCCGCTCACTCGAATTCGTGGGTGCGCCACTAGTAGCGAGAAACGCCCGTCAATGTAGTCCTCCCATGGTCTCCAGTTGTATCTACCTTCCAGTTCAGTTTCGAGTCGTAGTGCGACTCCGTATTTGCGCTCGCCGGTCCGCCGCCTGAGACTACATTCCAACTATCCCGCCCGTCATGCGTCACGGCTGACGAAGTGTACTGGAAGATGCGGAGTTGATGCGGAGGCTGGCAATCTCTGGCAGCCCGCGTCGTCGACCCGGCTCACTCGCCTCGAGTACCTAGTCAGATCTAGTCAGACCTAGTCTCGTCGCTGAGCGCGGCGTGATGGGTTTGCTCACTTACAATGTTCTTTGTAGGTGCGAATTATGCCCAACATGTGTGTATAGCCGGGGGCGGGCGTTGCAGCGCAGAAGTTGGCGGGCCAGGAGTCAACCACATTGCAACCACACTCGGCGATCGATAGACCGCCGTCGTAGCGCGTGTGGACGATAGCCGGGTATGTTGCGCCTTTGTTACGCCCCCCCTGCATCATAGATCATGCTCAACAAGTGAGCGTCGGTACTATTAAGACCGTCTACCTGAGGTTCGCAGACTCGGACTGGCGGCTGCCAATTTACTAGACCGGCAGGGTAAAAAGCGCATGCACTATTTGAAATAGTAGTATTTGGAACTGTGTCCCTGTCGCGTACCGTCACATCCATGTCACAGTCGTGAAGGCAAAAATGAGAACCAGTCTGCGTGAGCTCGTCATTCGCATCGGGGAGAAAGGATGGGAGGCGAGGAGGGCCAGGCGGCCAGGGACGTAGCTGAACCTACTCAGGGCCGCCGAGGGACATATCTGCAGTAGCACGAACTCTAGTATGGAAACCGGCAAATGCCCCGAGCCAACTGACGACATTAGATAGCACTAAGTACTGTACTTATTGCGCAACCCTCGCACCGACGCCTGTTAGATCACCGTTGGGTCCCCCAAACTGCTCGCAAATCGCCATAGCGTGTTCATGGAATGCGTCGCTCAGGCCCTGCGGTTTCCCGTGCAAGAGCAGATGGGGCAGGACGCGCGTATGGAAGAGTCGCTGAGATACGACGCCACCCTGGAGAAGGATTCAATAGGTAATAACCCATATACGGGATAGCCACGCACGAATTGATGGTTCACGCCTCCGACAATCGCCTCCACGGCACCGCCAAGTACCTTGTACAGTCCAACACCCCTCAAGGAAGCTCCGCTCGTGTCCATCGAGGTAGTCGGGGGATTCCACTTGAGTGCCTCGCCCAGTGACCAGGCGGGCGCGACATGTTCTCCCAGGATGTAGGTGTTGAGCGTGCGCTCAGCTATGTGCTCAAAATCGTGGTCTTGCCGGACCGATGGTGATGAATCCAGCAGCGCAAACAAGTAGAACTGCATGACTCGTCTCCCTGAGAGGCAGTGAGTATTGGGCCGACGAGGAAGGGGAGCGACTCACCCATGAAGGATAGCCGTGCATTGTGCCTAATCTTTGCGTCCGGGTGACTTGCATGTGTGAGCGCTCGGTCGGCAAGTTCTGCTGGGAACTTCAAAGGTTCGAAGAGCGAATCGAGGTATTCCTCGGGGCTGGCTATCCGGTCCTGACGTCGAGTTGATGCAGTTCGGAGCCCAAAAAACTGAGCTGGCGCAGAGTCGTGTGAGGAAGTTGGTTGCGCCTGCGCCATTGCAGACAGCGACCTCCATTGCTGTCTTGGTCTCGATACTGCTTGACGATGAGATGAGCTGGTCGACCGAGCATGATACTACTCACCTGCAGCTGGTCGACACGGTATCGAGGCCTTTCTCGGAACGGCCAGCATACGTCCTACATTTCTCGACATGTTTGACCTCCGACCAGATCTTGTTGACCACCTCACACAGCGAGGTCACAGAAGAAGACGGAAATAGGACGCAGCGAGCGCAACTCGAAGGATACTGAACTCGAGAGGCTCTTTCCGGACGAGTGCAAGAGCTCTGTGTTGCCACGTGATGGATCGAAGGCCGGCGCCTTTCACCAGCAAACTCAGATCATGGTCCACGGACTCACGGACTCGTCCAAGTCTCCTACCAGTCCGTTCCTCGTCTTGACACTGTACACAACCCCTCTGTCGTGGCGGGAATTGCAGCGGCCTGACAAGCTGCGAATACACGGAGAGCGCATGCGCATATCGACAAACATAAATTGACCAACTAAGTAGTACATTCCGAGTCACAGCAGAAATGCAAACATTCTGATAGCACGACGAATAGCAACGAGATCATACACAGATGTCCAAAGCACGGAACACACGATTAGCAGGAAACAAGGGAGCCTCACGATGGACCGCCGTATCCCTGCGGGGGCGGCTGCGGGACGGGCGCTGCCGGCAGCTGGTGCTGCATGAACGAATTCCACGTCTCCTGCAGACTATAATGCGCAGCCATGACCGGCTGCTGCTGGTGCGGCGGCATCGACGGATGCGGATGCTGGCGCATCTGGGTCATGCTACTGTTCCGGCTGAGACTGGGCGTCGGCACATGGCCGTACGAAGGCGCAGGTTGAGCTGGGTGAGGGTAGTCGACAGGCGTCGTCGGCGAGTACAGATGCTTATGTTCGATGTGTCCTGGAGGGACTTGCCAGAGTTGCGAACGCGTAGCAGGTGGCGGGGGTGGGGGCGGCATGTTGGCGTGGTATCCCTGACCATGCATCGCCGGGGCAGCGGACACGGGGGGATTCTGGTAATGCCCTTGCGCATCGGCATGGAGGCTGGTATCGAACATCGGGTACGGCGGGAACGACTGCGAGTGAGCCTGAGGAAGGGCTGCATGTTGCGGATCAACCGGCACCAAGTGAGAGGTACGCCCAGTATACTGGGATGTTGACGGTTCGCCAGCCTGCCCGTGCCCTTGCGGCGGCGAAGGATACCATTGAGAGTACCCGTGTTGGTCCCCGTGACACTCGGCGCCCTCATACCCATGCGAGTTTGCGAAGGCCTGCGAGTGGTCGAGCTGCTGCGGCGGACTTGGGTAGTCCGGCGGAGTGTGATAGGGCCCTGTTTGCTGTACACCGCCGAACCGTGCCTGCTCCTCCAACCGGGCTGCCTCCTGCTTACTCATGTAGTACGCATTCACGTCCCGAATCTGGTTGTCCAGCGCTCCTTGGAACCCACGCATCTCGTCCACAAGCATCGGGTGCACCTCGCCACCGTAGCTCTCGAGGGCCGGGAACATCTCTACGGACGCTGCCTGTGGACTCTCCGACGAGCGGCCTGATCCCGCTCCCGAGCCAGGGGATGTCATTGAATCCGGTGAGATGGGTCCGGAACTCGAGCTCGGCGTACTACTGGAGGCGCCTGGCCGACGTTTTGAGACAGAGCGTGCACGCTGAGTATGCGATTTTGTCGCGACAGTCCGCGTTCGTCCACTGAAGATCTGAAGCTCGTCATGCTGCTTAGCGTCCACGCGGGGTGTGAAGATGTCACGGGCAGGCGGGATGCCCTGCGTGTAGGTCGCGTATGCTTTATCGTGCAAACGCCGGACAACAGGCTGCAATGTGTGACATGAACGGACCCGCAGGACATACAGGGCGTTACACATACCAAGAACTTGACGGCACGCCCGCCGTACTTCGCAGCATTCTCAAACAAGTCATACGCAAGTCGCAACTCTCCCAGCGCAGCCTGAGCCGTCTTCGTCGTGCCTCCATGCGTGACGACAGACGCTAGCATCACCTGTCGTGCGGCATCAGGTTCTGCGTCGACAGCCACGCCACTTAAGCACTCACAGTAGCAGAGAATGCATGTGTCCACAGTACCCAGAACCTTGCTATCTGTATCGGGAACAGGTTGAACTGTTCGCGCAGTGAGCTCAGCAAGATACACGCGCTCCGATACCCGGCGAGGAACGAGGGTGAGTACGGACTCCGAAGCGGGTCCGTCGGGTGGTCGCTCAGTGCTTGTGCGAAGAAACATCTATGCACGTAGAGCATTGCTACGAGGCACTAGTTAATTACTCAGACTTGGCGGACATACACGAACAGTGACTCACTTAGATGGAGGTAGTTGATGGGCATATAGTGGCTCATGGTTTCCGCGAGACCCTTGCCTTCCGGTGGCGGGCCAGTGGCATATTTTGGCAAGGGCATGTCTCTCAATTTACGATCAAGTTCAAGGATGACTGTGTATTTCGGTGCACGTGGGGTGCCCGTGCCCTGAACCACTTCCGACAAACATTCCTTGCCCCAGCGCGCTTTCCACGCCGAGACTTTGCACCGCGAACGCGACGATGAGTTTACTGCACTCTGGGTGTATCGTGAAACACTCACAAGATGGCTGGGGCGTACCGTCGTCTGCCAGTGTCTCGTCGGGGTCCGCAGGGAGTTCTGTGTCGACGAAGGAAAGCGCGAACGTGGGCAGACGACCAGTGGCTAGAGCTTGCCAACAGTCTGTGATGAACAGCTCCCAGAACAGCGCGCGTCGCTTCTGCACTTCTGCTGGCGATAGCTTCCAGCGCGCACAATCACGATCTACAGCCTTACCATGAGTGCGATTCGGTGGGTCAGATAGAGGACAAACTCACGAAGGCCGATCTAAAAGAGAGGTAAATCAGAAATCAGCACACAAAGGTCCTAATGACGTCTTGTGGTACTTACACTCTGCGCGAGCTTTGAGCTCAGACCCATAAGTGCCCAAGTGCTTTCGATGCTATTCTCATCCGCAACCAGGCCCTATGCCACCGGAAAGTCAGCCTTCGTTCTTCACAGATTCGGCATATGCGCCTACCTGATAGATGCCCATTAGACTCAACGTCTGCACCGTGACAACGCTGGGCGGCCGGTCCAGCACTGGCTCGAGATTCAACGCAGCCCTCGTAAGCTGGATATACCGTTCCGCCTCCGGATTGTTCGGTGCTGCCGGCAGGTCGGCGTCCGTCAGCGCGCCAAAGCAGAAGATCACGAATAGCAACGCCAGGTCGTGCGACGACCCGCTCGACCCGCCGCCCTGCCTCTCCAGCGCGAACGCCGCCGCGGTATTGCTCAACGCACCGCTCTCGGCGGCCTCGTCGTAGAACAGCGGGAGGATCTCCTCTAGGAGTTGCCGCCGCGTCACCGCGCCAAAAAACCACGGCGCCTGCTCGAGGTACAAATCGCACAGCTGCCCTGCCCGCGGCCACGGCGGCAGGTAGCTCTCGATTAACTCCTGCAGGTCCTCTGCGGGGATGTCCGACGGCGCCGCGGGGAACGACATCGTGAGCCGTGCCAGGGATGAGGGCAGCATCGGACCCTTGCTAGGCGGGCGCATCGGCGCCGTGGGAGGCGTAGGCCCCTCGTCCAGAAGGAGGCTCTGCGCATATAGTCAGTGGCCGTGCAGCTCCAAGTAGTCGCGACACACCTCCGAGCCGGCGGACCGGCCGTAGAACGTCGCTGCGCCGTCGTCGCGCACGGCGAGCGTCCCGAACGAGTCGATGTACTTGCTCTCTTCTGCTTCCTCATCGTCCTCCTCTCCCAGCGCGTCGCCGAACCTCGCGTTCGCGGCGGAATGCAGCTCCAGGCCGGACTTGATTTTGAGTCGATCGTGCGAGAGCAGCGGGTGCGGGTCGCGCGAGATCGACGACTGGCAGAGTGAGAGCCCGTCTTCGAGTTCACGGATGCGGTCGCTCATCTCCGCGATCTTTCGGTGTAGGCGGTCGGTGTCCGCCAGTATAAACCTAGTATGCGCATGTTAGACAGGATGCGACTGCGTTGGAAAGGACAAGCTGTATCTCAGCCGGAGCAGCAGCATGACCCAGATGCGCCAGCATCCGCATCCGTCGATGCCGCCGCATCAGCAGCAGCCGGTCATGGTTGCACATTATAGTCTGTAGGAGACGTGGAATTCGTTTGTGCAGCAGCTGCCGTCAGCGCCAGTCCCGCAGCCGCCCCAGCAGGGATACGGCGATGTTCGCCTTCTGTATCACAGCAGGCTCTCAAAAGACACAATGATTTCCAAGACGACATTGGTTGAACCGCTCATACATCGCTCCGACCCATGTCTATGATAGACAGCTGCAGGATGCTGCGACTGCGTTGGGAAAGCCAAGTTGTTATATTCGTTACCACGGGCCGTCGCCCTGACAGTCGGTAGGGGACTGAACAAGGGCTGAGCGCTGAGCGCTGAACAACGTTCCGTCGGGCGACCCGCACCAATCGCGAGCCCATGGCTGAGCCGCTCATACATCGCTCCGGCCCATGTCTGTGCGACCGCATTCTCCTCCTGCAAGCCAACAGAATGCACGGCGACTCACCTGGTACCCTGACCAGTAGTAAGGCTTCCATTGGGACAGATGGAAGAGCAACCTCTCCGCTTGCAGGACGAGCAGGGGACGGTCTTGTCGCACTTGAGCTTGAGGCGGCGGCATTCTGCGCAAGATATGGCACCTCTTGCGCGCTTGAACTCCTGCTCTTGGGCCCGTGCGATGCGCTCCTTGTCGTCGCGGGCGCGAACGGCGTTGGGCATGGCGGGGGATGTACGGTGTTCAAACAGCGCAAGACGGGTCGCGGTCGCGGGACGGCGGGCGGCGGCGACGGCGATGGCGGTGTCGGAGCCGGCTGTTGGGCGTGGTGGCGGCCAGTCAGCAGGGGTCTACGACGGCGAGCAGACGATTCATTGCGTTTGGTCGGCCGTGGACGTTCTTATCGAGACACGTCCGTCACGCTGGCCATTCAAATATTCACGTTCGCCGCTTTGGGCAGTGCCGCCAGGTGGTCTCCGCCATCTGCTTCCGCGGCCATCACCTGCGAATATATTTGGAATATATCTCTCCTCTTCCCACCACGGGTCCTCCACGTCCCGGGTTACGTACTATCCCCGCTCTTCCTGCTCTCGTCGTTGCTGTGTCTTGGCCGCCCGGGACACCTCGCAGAACAGGCTGAGGTACGGGTGCACATGGATCGCCTTCGAACAAATTGACTGACTGAGCTCTGAATCGACCAGGCGAGCGATTCCAAAACGGAGACCCATAACTCCTTTCCGCCTTCAGCATCGTGTTCTCACCCCGTCGCATGTGGCGATTCATTGCGAGCAAGGTTGCGGACGGATACGCCGTGCTCTCTCATTTGTCCAAGAGCGCAGGGTTGATCACGGCCGGGAGTTGGCCTGACAGCGTGAGTGGTCTCTGACAGACTGCGGCAGCCCGTATTCGTCTGTGGCGTTTCCCTCTTCAGAGCCAATACAGCGCAACGTTGACAAAGTCGTAAAAAAGCCTTGCACGTGTCAGGAGCGTGTTTGCTTCCGCCACTGACGGTGAGTGTCCTGGCTGCCCAACAGCTCCGCGGAACCGAGGCAAGACAGCGGGCGTTGACAGCGGCGGGACCGCGGTGTTTGCCAGTGGCTCGGTGTTCGCCGTCGACATAGCGCAGGCGCGATGGGGAGTGACAATGCTACAGACCTTCATGACGACATACGGGGATAGCCCGAGTCGTCGTGCGGCGACAGTGGTCATTTGTTGCAGCCACGCGACGACTAGTCTCAAGTGGGTATCATGACTATCCTACGACTATCATTAATGGTGCATGGCCCCGAGGTGCTTGCGAATCTTCGCTGGAAGGTCCAGAATACAGGCCTCAGGGTCCGCATGCGTGGCTTGAGCTAGGAACATTCGCGCACAAAGCCCTCATCATCGACCTGACATCAAACATGCAAGTAACCTCGCGCATACATGCCGTTGAATCCGCAATCAGACGGTCGAAGGTCAGACTCTGCGGATCCTTGGGGCCCTAGACCTGATGGTTGAATAACAGGAGCCATACGCTTGGTGGTTGTCCCGCAACGAACTCTATAGACATGCGCGAGCTCAAGTCCCACACGTTCGCATGGCACATCGTACCGCAGAAAGCATGACGAGTTGAGTTAGGTAAAGTTCCAAATGATCTGAAATCTGAAATGATGGAGTCAACGAATGGATCGTCAGTCAACAATCAGACATCACAGTCGTGCGAAAGGGTACTCTTTCTCATCCGTATCATTCATACGCATATAGCCACTCGTCTGACCAAAGTACAACAGTAGCGTGTGGTGACCAGTCCAGGTAAGCTCTGTTGTCGCTTCTGAGCTCAGCAACATACTTACTATCTGTGTACCGTAGAGTATACGACTGGGTATCGTTGTACCCTTCTGGTCTAACCGTCGCTCCAATACTCGACGACCATGCTATTTTGCTCTTGGAGCTCGACTTTCACCGCTTGTGCTTATGTCTCGCGAGATGTCAACAGCCAATATCTGGCAACGTGCAAACGTTAGTAGAGCACAATCGCTCAGCTAATGTTCAGCCGGACACGGTGAAGCTTGCATAGATCATCTGAGTCGCGCGGAACCAGGCCGTGAGTATCGCTTGTCTAAGTGGTCAGTACTCAGTGATATCTGGACGCCCGCATACACCCAGTTCATCATTCGTCATAACTGAAGTTCAGTGTTATGCGTGGAACAATTCCTCCATGACATACATGACACCTGCAATTTGTCATGTAAACGCGTTGTGTCCTGCACTCGCCGCACGCTGGCCCTTGCGAAATGCTGTGCTCTGATGCATGCGCACTTCAACTGGGATGTCGAATCATGTGCGCCAATGACGCTAAGGAGCACGGTATGTATAAACCTGCAGCGGCCGAATGTCACTGGGATCAATGGCAATATTTGCCAGAATTGGGGTGGTATCTGGTCGAAGCATACCACTACCAATTGAGTTGCGGTAGAATCTGGGTAGAACCAGCCGGAGTGCCTCCTGGCAGCAATAGCAGTGCGTTGGACGGTGCGTAGAGTACTCAACGTCTCATCCATGCGTCTTCTTTATTTTATATTCATGCACATCTCTTCCCAGAAAATCTTAGCTTGTCGACAAGAAGCACCGTCTATGCTCACACTGAGGGGACGATCACGGATCTTCTGGCTATCGCGAAGAACGAGGACATGATCAAGCCCCGGTGTTATCCATCTCCGTCCACGCAATTGATGTCAGATGCCCTCGGCTGCCGCACGGGGACTGGCTATTATGAGGATATTAGGGTTCGCTTCAAAGCTTATCTACTCAGACTCAGAGCGCGATTCCCTCATCTGCGTTCGCCGAACCCGCAGCAACAACGAACAAGTTTCCCGTGTATAACCGCCGCGCGAAGGCGAACAGTAGCTGACTACGATGGTACTGGGACTCAAGATAGGCAAGGCCGAGAAAGGAGGGAACGAACGCAGATGGTCATTTTGGTGCGGTGAGAAGAAAGGAAATATTGACTTCTCTGGACTCGGAGGCGATGCGGAAGTCAAGTCGTGCGCAGATGCAAGTCCAAGGTATGTCGTGAAGTGGCTCCGGTACATACCATGACTTATATCGTCCTCCGAGACCCGCGCCAACTGTGCGTGTGAAGCGGGTAGACCATGTCTTCAACCAGAAGAGTGGCGTGTGGGCATACAAGGACACAAAGATCAAGTCTACGCCGCAAGTCTTGCCCGGTGGCAAGACATCGGAAGGCACCGACATCTGGCAGTCTTTCTGTTTCGTCGTAGTGCGCAAGTTCCTCAGGCACTCTGAGCCGAGAGACGAGCCGAAGGTATTCGTGACGATCAAGAGTCCGTACTTACAATCAGCGTGCAACAGCGTCATAGGGGAGGTCCCTGGGCTTTCCTGGACGATCGAACCCGTCGAGGTAGCATCTGTTCGCATCCTCTGTCATTCTTACTGACACGGCGGCGTTGGCAGCTCCCGATCAATATTTTGATTCGGTCTTTCCCGCAGCTCACGGAGTATCGTCAGAAGCTGCAGTACAGCGTGAATCGCTCCATCGACGATGACGATGTGCTCGCTAGCCTCGATGCTCTCCTGAAGTATCTGCGCGAAGACCACGGAGCCACAATCAGCCGTATCGCTGCGCTCGTAGCGCAGAAAGAGATAACATTCGATCTCCTCTATGCCATCCTGATCCCCGACACGTTGTTGGTCTGCGCAGACGACGCGACGGAGGAGCCTATCGCGGTGCAGCTCAAGGGCTACGATGACGACTACACACTGCACTGCGAAGGCATTGACGCTGCTAAGTCTGGGATCGAGTTCGGCAGAGTCTACGCTAGTTGGCACATTCGGCATTTCAACGGAGTCGTGAAGATCAATACACTACCTATCTATCCCATGAAATATCACAGCGATGAGGCAGGCCTGAGGGGGAAGCTCCTCGCTCGCGCGCGCAAATGGGTCAAGCTCAATGGCGTGCACCATGTGCAATACCAAGGCACCGCCGTCCGCCAGTCCAACGTATACGAGGTGAGCTGCTTAGGAGTCGGGTACGAATGTAGTGATGGATGTTTCCACCAAGATCGACTCTAGGATTATGATCGATAGAGGTGACAACTTCGCAGTCGGTGCTGCCATTATGATGAACTGAAGCGAGATTGTCTTTGTCCCAGGTGCCTTCGTGCGCCACAACACAGATTACACGATGCCCAAAGTCAAAGGCCCGAAGGAGTCTTCGGTCGATCCAGAAGGATCCGAGATCGCTCATTCAGAAGTCGACACCAAGGTCGACGTGCCCTGCGATAAGGCGATCACTGATCCGCAGGACCAGATACTGGCAGACGACGAACTCATCCTTGCTTCACCTGTCCTGTACGGGTTCAGCCTTTCTGATAAACTATGGCGTAAGTACGCTCATCACTTGGAAATTTCCTTGCTCACTAGTGGACATTAGTCAAGTTCAACGTCGAGAACGTCCACCCCATCGAATGGTCCGATGAGCCGTTCACGAACCTCGTCCTCCCGGGCAACCGGAGGGACCTTCTGCGATCGCTCGTCGAGGCACATAACTCCAACCTCAATTTCGATGACTTCGTCAAGGGGAAAGGTCAAGGTCTCGTCATCAGCCTTTTTGGCCCTCCCGGAGTCGGGAAGACGATGTCCGCGGAGGCCACCAGCGAGCATCTTAGGAGGCCGTTGTACACGATTGGGGGCGGGGACCTTGGAGACAAAGCGAACGTTGTCGATGACAGCTTGAAGGATGTGTTCAGCTTGGCTGCGCACTGGAGGGCGATTGTCCTGATAGACGAGGTAAGCTCGTTCAGTGCTTCACTGGTGTCGATCCCAGCCATGTTGATGTCGCGAACATAGGCCGATGTGTTCTTGGAGCAGCGCTCGGTCAACTACCTCTCACGCAACGCCATGGTTGCAGTCTTGTGAGCGATCTTCATATCCTCGACTGACCTATTGTTGATTTGCGCGATCTGTTAGTTTGCGGCACATCGAGTATTATCGCGGCATCCTGTTCCTCACTACGAACAGGGTCAAGGTCTTCGACCCAGCATTCCTCTCCCGTATCCACGTCGCTCTGCGGTTCCAAGAGTTGAGCAAGGAAGCCAAGCTGGAGATATGGCAGGCCTTCCTCCGGAAAGTCGACGCAGTGGGCAACCTCACAGCGGATGAGCTAGACAGTCTCGTCGGTCGGGACGTCAACGGACGTCAGATCAAGAACGCCACCAAGACAGCGATGTCGCTCGCTAAGAGCCGCGGAGAGAAGCTTGGGTATCGCCATCTTTCGGAGACCATTGATACGATGGAGGAGTTTGACATCGAGTTCAGGGCTGTGTCCCAGAGTGAGGACTTGTAGCTGCGTAGTATCAGTCCCCTCAATTGAACATCCATTGTCCGTTCTGGCCAGACCCAAGCAGACAGATGCATTCTAATTGATGGGAACAACGCGCTATGTTGTCCCCCCGGGACGCAGTAACGTTCAATTTCGTCGATAGCATACTACATTCCATCACATACACGTAGGTCGGCTAAGGGCGTGCGGATCACTTTGAGAGCAAGGTGGTTGCGTTCATACGTAGGTAAGGGGGTGGTGGAGATCCAGAGACGGGTCGACCCCGGGTAGCCGGACCCCAGCACTAGTGCCAGCTGCAGTACTGCGTCTGCGTCTGCAATGTGAGCCCAAGCTCTACGGCGCAGTAGGATCCTCCTCCGAGTCCTGAAGATGAGTGTCGAAGGATTTGTAGAAAATAGCATGTGTCCACTTGTCAACGTCGCGATGTCAGTGATTTTGAGTGGATGTAGGGGCGGGAGACACACGGCGTTCACAGTGTGCTTGTGTCTGGTAGATCTGGTATGGCGGCGTCCTGCCATGGCCAAAGGTCTGAAGGGGGCATGCTGAGAACGTGGGAGATTCTGATTACCCCACGGTCGTGCCATGGCGCGAACAATTGCGGGAAGACAAGAACGACCGATTTGGCGATGCCGTCCGCCCACTCCTTGCTCTGTATCGAGACATCGACCACAACGTTTATTCTGATGTCGACCTCCTCCAGAGCATCGAAGCATGACTGGACCATGATGGTATGCAGGGCACTCGATTGGGACGAGACGAGCTTCTCTTCCGATGTGGTGAGCTCCTCCAGCCTGAGAATGTCAGGCTCTCCCCATGCCGAAACAAAGATACTGAACTCGAGGATGATGCACTCGAGCTGGTCGCTTCGGAGCATAGCGAAGGTGGCCTGTAGCTCAGCGGCCGTTGCCGGCCAGCCCTCTTCTAGTTTGTCGGCAATGACGAACAGTGACAATGTCAAATGCCGCAAGCTAGTGTTGTGAACGAAGTTGAGACCGGTCGCGGTGTGATGATAGACTATGTCACAACGTCAGCAGATGACCGGCTTCACGAGATGGCGATGTCTGACCATGTTTATAGCAATGTTGCTCGTGAACGTGAAAAGACACCAGAGCCGACCCACTCTCTTCCAAGAGTCGATTGATATTCTCGTCACGTTCACGATCATCAATCATATCAGGCGAAAAGTGCATAAGGTCCAGAGTCAGTTCCTGGAGCGAGGCGCAAACGGCCGAGCGTAGAAGCCAATCGATAATAGTTTCAAGATCCATCGGGTCTTCTTGAACTTCATAGCTCATAATTGTGAAGCTGAGCGATTTGAGCTTGATGTCAGCATTCCTCCTGGAAAGAGCGAGTGCTGAAGACCGCGCTTGGTCGCCGGCTGAGTGGGGTCGCCGGAAGGTCACATCCTCCAACGCAAGATTCTCTAAGTGAGGGAATGCACAGACAACCCGTTGTAGCTCGATAGTGTTGCTCAGCGTGACAAGAGACAAACTCAGCGAAACGATGTGCTTGAGGTGGTGGAGGGCACGATAGAATGTCAGGTGCATGGCGGGATGCAACAACCCATTGATACTGAGTATCCGCAGAGCGGGAAGTGCGTGAGCGAGGGTGAGGGGCAGGGTAGCCAGAAAATGGCTGTCTTCCTCCTTTGACCGGTAGGAGCCGATGACCAGTTTGTGTGCTCGCGCGAGCCTTTGCTTGACACGAGGCGATGTGCGGAACTGCTCCAGCAACGACTCATAGTTTCCGCGCGTCGCGATTTCGACGCTGGAATAAAGGTTTCGCAAGGCTCGGTGATGCCATGCTCGGCAGACCAGTGCGGCAGCGAATAACGTCGGATGGCCCATATAGTCGATGATGCACTCAACGACCTCGAGTGGAATGCGGCTAGAAAGTTCTGGCGGCAAGGGATTGCGTCGAGTTGTTTCGACATCATGATCGTTATCCACGACGTCGACGTCGAGGTGCTCGTCATTGGCGTCCCATGGCCAGTGATCGCCGCGCACCACTGTACTATGCGTCTGCGGCCGCGGGGACTCGGGCATAGGAGTCTGATGAGATAGTCAGAGATGTTTCAATTTTACTGCGGTGCCGAAAGGACAAACTCACAGATGTTGTGTGAGCTACCACCAAGCTACCGCTGGAGGCAGGAAAATGGCGGGAGGAAGAGTTGAGGAAGAGAGGCGCGGCCAGGGCGCGTCAAGCGCTCGACGCCAGCAGTGGTCACGTTCCCGCGTTCCCGCGTTCCCGCGTGAATATTCGCCGGTCCCCTCCTCCCAGCTGTAGAACGCCACTTTCACGTCTTGCTCTCGCGTTGACCGTAGCCACTGGCGAATATCCAGTTTCACGACTCGACTCATCTCCGGGAGCCACCGGCAACTACAACAATACGACTTCGAACAGTTCCACTGGCTACGGCTGCTATGGATTCTCTGACTCGTCAGGAGACTCTGACCATTCTGGCTGGGATGGGTGTACAGCTGCCTCCCGCTACGAAGTTGCCAGACGAAGCCCTGCAGAAGCGACTGAGACAAGCCCTGAACGGTGCACAATACATTTCAAACGTGTTGGCGAATTCTCCCCTGGATCCAGCTACTCTGTCAGCATGGCCGTCGGCCCACTCTGTGTACGAAGGCGTGAGGCGGGGCAATTTACAGGAGGCACAACAGAACTACCAGGCCAAGCTCCAAGGAAGGGAGACGGAGCTTTACAAGAACCCTATACTCGATGCCCGACAGACCCTCATGGGCATCGCGAAGTGGTGGGACGAGGAACACAAGTGGATGGTATTGCAGGACCCGGAATCGGAGCAGTGCGCGATCAACATAAGAGTACGTACCCCAATCGCTTGTCGGTCGGTCAGCATTCACAGATCAGGCCCACAGCTGCTGTCTGTCCTCGAGCTCGATAAGGATACGCCGGTCATTGTCTTGCTCTACCAGTCTGTTACTCGGGCGAATGTGATGGAGGGGTTGCAATGGCTCAATCAAATGCGAGACAAGAATGGCTCTCCGGGATACTTGGTCAACATCAAGTGCACTCCTCTCGAGCAGAAGCTCCTACTGAGACTCCTGGCGATCAACGCTAAGCTGCTGACGAGTACCTATGTACCGAAGAAGGAGTCTTCGGAGAAGAACTTCAAAGTGTCGTTCCTGCTCCCGCTCGGCCCGCTCAGCTTCGAGGACGTGGGCAAGCTCAACAACGACCCGGGCTGTGTTCTGTGCGGGCGGAAGACGACAAGTCGCTGCTCGCAATGCCAGTCGGTCGCCTACTGCGGAAGCGGTGTGTTAGTCCTCGCTACATACGCATCACCCATTTCATACTTTTTTGCAGACTGCCAAAAGGCCGATTGGTCTCACCACAAGCGCGTATGCCGATCCTTGAATGGCGGGACCTGGCGTTCCGCGCGCTTTACGACCGTCTTGCCAGGCATGGAGGGCATGTACGCAGTGCCATTGAACAAGCACAGCTCGCGAGCGACCAATGCGATGAACACGCCTCGCCAGCTGGACTCCTCTGTGCTCCAACCGAACCCGCACGGCAGCCGCCTCTTCCTTGTGAAGCTCCAGGCATCGCTTGGCGGCACGCCGTCGAGCATCATGGTCTACGACAGGCAGCGCTCCATCGACGTATACATCCACGACCCGGAGGTGTTCGACGACATGTTGCGGGAGATGCGGGGACCGAGGGGTGGCTATGGCGGCGTGAAGATGTATCGATGGGCGAAGCGCATCAGCGACTGGGAGCTGAGCATCTGTTCGGATAAAGAGCCGCAGACGGAGATCAAGTGGTGACGGGTTTGCAGGTGCGTTGTCGGTCTTCATCACCCTGTCCGACGACCTCCTGATTTATGCTGTAGGGTGTCCTATGATAGACTTGTGTAATGCTACTTTAAGGCGCCGATGCCGTGCAGTCCCGGCATAATGTCATCGTTCTGGTTGTACATGTTTGGTCCATCCTTTTTGTCTCGCTCACGTCGACCCTTCACCGCTCTCGAAGCTTCAAAACCTGTCTCTTGCGCGGCGTGCGCCACGATAGGTTGACGTTCAGGTGGGCTACTAGCCTTGTGGAACTGGAGCACACCTCGAGTCTTGCTAATCAGATGAAGTCCCTCGCCGTAGATAGCCATATGGCAATCCCCTTGGTAATGGACCAAATGCTCGAATCACCAATCGACGATCCGCAAGCTACCCTTGCCGCCGGTCCACACGCTGCCTTGATTGGTCCCTAGCGCAGAGGTTCGTCTTCGATCCCTCGAGGCGCGTTCTCCTTCCCTCGCTTGCGCAGCGGTGGAGCACCCTGGAGCACCTCGATGACTTCGACAGCCGCGCAGAGGCCAAACTGGCACCTACATCGGCGGACGCTTTCGGCTACGCAAGAACGCCTGCCGCGCTGTCGTTTGCGAAGAACATCGGTGGTACCCTGCTGCATTCGTCATCGGCCCGTTCGCGGCGCCCGTCCTTGCGACCAAGACATTCCCCTCCTCGTGACTGCTTACTGGCTGTACGGCATGGACGACTGCCATGGGAAGGCTCCCGGAATGCTATGGAACAGTCGAGCAAGCCAGTACCTGCTCGGCGGGGAACTCAGCCGGGGATCGTGCGAGGTTTGCATGACTATAGCGTCCCGATTAAGGTAGGAATCTGGTAGGATGTGACTGCAAGCATCTATGAAGAGCAAGCCGGGTCGGGACGTTCCTGGTTGAAGCATGGAACAATTCACAGTTGCACGTTGTGCTGCCGTTCACTCGTTCGATCATGCTGTTCGAGGCGGGTGGTGGGATCAGTCTTATCGGTCGGAGACCATATGCTCATATGCATGGGTTGCATGCGGGCCCGGACTCCATCAGCTCTGTTGCTTGTTATCGCTGCTGCTGCCGGTTCTCATTCTATTCCCGTGTCCAAATGTCGATGGCAAGTGTGATTGGCGTCGAATTTGACTGCAGACAAAATGGTTCACCCTGCAGTTCTTGACTATAACACCGCAGCACGCGATCGACGTCGGTGATGGTGGGGATGTCGTTGCTGTACAGCACGGACAGCTTTCGACGCCTACACAATGGTTCACAACAACATGAGGCGATGGACAATGGGCGTGATGCCTCGGTCCCGCTCCTCGTGCGTCGCGCGAACATGTGAGTGGGTTGATCTCGACTTCTGCGCACATCAATGACAAGTTCCGTAGATCCTGGGAGGAAGCTGTTGTCTAGTTGTTTATCCTTTCTCCTGGATGCGTGGTGCGCGGCCATCCCATGCTTCTATCAACGTGCAACGCGTGTGTGACCATGCTCTAGGTCCTATCGGTCGTTGTAGGGATTCCCTGTGCTCCCACCCATCAGTGGTCTTCTGCCTCGACCAGAGCACGTCGCGCGGCAACATGCTTCTGCGTACCTTTGCACCAGTTCGTTGCCAAGGCTGAAGCTTATGGCGAACCGACGACGAATAGCGTCGAGCGGCCGGTGCACTGCGATGCATCAGGTATAAAACCACGGCGGGAGGACCTACGTTCGCCAGGTTGCCCTCGGACTTGACAACTCTCTCGAGTCGACGCATCCTTGCTCCTGACCTGCATCCTGCGTGAAGATGATCGCCACCAGCTTCTTCAGCTTCGTCCTCCTCGCCACCGCTGCCGTAGCTGCCCCCAAGGGCCGCCTCGCGGAGCGCCTGGCCCGCCGCGCTGAGGGAGCGCACCAGTCACGCCCCATGGTCGTCGAGCAGCCGGAGCTCAGCAACGTCTCGCAAGTCTCGTACAGCTCGAACTGGGCCGGCGCCGTGTGGGAAAAGAGCTCCGTACGTTGTGCTGTACTTCTCGCTGTTTGAAACCGTATTGACCTCGTTGTGATGCGCATCGTAGGGCACCTTCAAGTCCGTCACCGGTACCTTCACCGTGCCCAAGCCCTCAGCCCCCTCCGGCGGCTCGGGCAGCTACTCTGCCTCCGCTTGGGTCGGCATCGATGGCGACACCTGCGGCAACGCCATCCTCCAGACCGGCGTCGACTTCACGATCGACGGCGGCAGTGTCTCGTACGATGGTACGCATCTTTCTGCACCAGGCCCTACAAAGTATCTAAGCTGACCCATCGCGCACAGCATGGTACGAGTGGTACCCGGACTACGCGTACGACTTCTCCGGCATCAGCTTCAGCGCGGGCGACACCGTCAAGCTGACCGTCACCGCGTCCTCGACCACGGCCGGCAAGGCCGTGATCGAGAACGTGAGCACGGGGAAGACGGTCTCCAAGTCGATCACGTCGTCGAGCGCGCTCTGCGAGGAGAACGCGGAGTGGATCGTCGAGGACTACGAGGAGGGCAGCTCGCTCGTGCCCTTTGCGAACTTTGGCACGGTCACCTTCTCGGGCGCGTCTGCCTCGACCGGCTCTGGCTCCACCGGCCCCTCGGGCGCGACGATCATCGACATCCAGCAGAACGGAAAGACCCTCACTTCCGTTTCTACCTCCTCCAACAGTGTCACTGTCAAATACGTCTGAACTCAGACGATACTTCGCCAAGCCCTTACCATTGGTCGCAATTATAGACGGTTGTACGTTGTAGTTGTACCTAGAAGGGCTTGTATGTGTGTTGAATGCAAAGACGGGTTGTATGGCTGTATCCAGCGGGCGAATTTGATTGTGTTCAGCAGCGATAACATGTGGTCATCCACCGGACTCCATCCCGCTGCCAATTCTCATGATGATGGATGATGTTAAATGGCTGCTTCGCCGACGTCCCGTTCGCCGATGGGCCCACAGGCAATACTTGATGCGTCCGGCATGTACAGCTCAATAGCGAGTGCGAGTCATCGCACTCCTTGTTTGAAGGCTCTCAGTAAGTAGAGTCACGCTGCCACGCGCCGACCACTATCCAAGGACAGTCACTTAGTTGTGTACATTCCGAATGCAGGTCCAGAATACGGTTATTATACAGAACCTTGTACTTGAAACCCGGATCATGGTCGTGGTCTACTTCCTGACTAGCTCCACTCCACCAAGTCTACGTTCTTGTTAAGCCATTTCTTGTCATCCCGAGCTAAACGGCCACAACCGGCCACACGCAGTTCGCTGATCAAATCCACAGCACCCTGCGTTGCCGCGTGAGCCTCGAAGCGCGCCTGGACGAATGCCCTGATATCGGCACTGCAGACGTTCTTGCAATAGCGAATCCAGAGAGTTTCGAGGTGCTGGAGCGGCCAGTCGACTACACCGTGGTGGTAGGATGGTCTCGCAAGTTCTTGGAGCACCTCGCGGTTCAAGCCCCCGCAGCTGTAAATCTCCACATCAGAGGCTGATGCGCCCCTGTAGAGATAGATGAGCGTGTCTGGGTCCTCGATTTCGTACAGGACGATGCTGTATGAGTCTGCCAAGAAGCGTGGTTTCGAGCGCCCGCGAGGTAGAGTGCACCGCGTGTAAAACACTTTTCTAGCGACATCGGCATTGCAGAGGCGGTGGTACTCCGCTATAACGTCGGCGGACATGTTCGCAAATTGTAGCTCGTCGACCCATTCGTACCCAGGGCCCGCGATGAGGGGTGGACCTGAGTAGGAGATATCCAGATGGAGGTTATCCAAGGTCAACTCGCCGTTCTTCAGATTTCCACAGGTCAGGAGGAACGCGACGAGGTCGACGAGGGGGAAGGGCGCATGGTGCGAGGCATAGTTGGTGAGGTTGACGCTGTATAGCACGGGCGAGATACGTCGACCGAGAAAACGCTTCATGTACGATTCGCGGAAGCGGGCACCGCACATTCTGAGTTTGTGGAGCACGGGAGTGTCGAAATCCCCTGCAGTCGGCGTGGTTGAGTCTGTATCATCCACAGGATCATCACGAATAGACTGGAGTGTCAAATGCCGGAGGCCCTTCGCATGCCCGACGAGGTCGACACCCGGGAGCGGCAGCGAGCTGGAATGCAGGAGATGCAAGTGTAAGATCGCCCACCGGCTCATATGCGGCAGCAAAAGCTCCATGATAGCGTGGATCCGTGCCCTCTCTGTACGATCCTCCATTGTTTGCTCCCGTCTCCGCAAAACGTAGATGTCAAGGGGTTGCGCTCGCGACCAGGCGAGATATTGGCGAATCCTCGAAAGCGGAGTAGGATCCCATGTCCCCAGCCAAATGATCACTTTTGTCCAGAAGACAGAGACAACAGACATGGCCGCTCGCCACTCGGGACAGACAGAGGCTAGACACTCTGCGGAGGGATGGTGGGGGTCTCGGTCGTCCTGCCAGTGTCGCGAAGATGGGTCCCATGAGTGGCCATACGTTGCTTGTCTGAATGCATATGCGTCGCGGAGAATAACAAGGAGGACGTCAAGTGGAAGATCATTGATGGTAATGCGAGGCCCCTGGGCAGCACTGGGAGACGAGTTGTCCATCGCGCCACTGACATTCAGTCGCTAGCATGCCAGTGTCAGCTGGAATCAGCATCGAAGAGGGCACAAACATACCTTCTCCCCTCGTTCAGAGATCGTTCAGAGATGTGCCGTCTTGGCCAGATAGACGAGAATGGAGACACGGAAAGATATCGCGCTCGAACGAGAGTGGCGACGACGGGCCACGGCGCCGTCGCGGTGCCAGCTGCAAGCCACAGACGCGTCGTGCACGTGCCAATACCTAAGTGGACCCCCTCCTCCTCCTGACACCACGACGGCGTCGTTACAGTAGCCTAAACAAAGACTCATGCTCAGAGGGTTCATCCAAATCACCGCGACATACACATTTATACTTGCCCAGTCATCAGAACCATACACTTGCTCAGTACGACATGCTCTGAGGCGCGGAACGGGTACAACAGTCTCTACCGAGGACACCATCTCGCAGTGCGCAGTACGTACCAGGATCGATTTACACCGTGACACTACTTACTAGCTAGCTCGCCAACCTCCAACTGGCGAAACCGGGCCAATCTCAGGCTCATCCCATAGCCACGCCCGACTCGGACAAAGCTACCCCCCCCCCTCTCGAGTGAGAGCCCGTCTTCGAGGTCGCGGATGCGGTCGCTCATCTCCGCGATCCTTCGGTGTAGGCGGTCGGCGTCCGAGTCCACCAGGATGACCCTGTGCGCATGTTAGACATGATGCGACTGCGATGGGCAAGACAAGTTGTGATGTCCGTACGCGTGACCATGGGCCGTCGCCCTGACTAGTCGGTAGGTACTGAACAAGGCTGAACAGCGTTCCGTCGGGCACCACGCGCCAATCGCGAGCTCGGAGCCCATGGCTGAGCCGCTCATACAATGATATCATACATCCCTCCGACCCACGTCTGTGCGACCGCAGCCTCCTCTTGCAAGGCACCATAATTTAGATCCACGGCGACTCACCCGGTACCCTGACCAGTAGCAAGGCTTCCATCATGCACGCCAGACACACACCGACACGCCACGCCACGACCCGCACAATCCCCCTCATCCAACTTGAAACCCTGAACTCGATCGCGAACACAACACTAGTCGTACTCCACCATCCCAAACACCCCGGCACCGCGACACGACTAACTCACTGGCAGCAGCCTCTCCGCCAACACCGACAGACACACGCCCGACCCGGACCCAGACCCAGACCCAGACAGCGAATACTAATACCAATAACATCACCGGCGCTGCCTGACCTCCGCCAAACGGTCTACTAGTAGTGGCTCGGAACGCGACGGTATGTAAGCATGCGGTCCTGTTTCTGTTTGCCCGGATCTCTCATGTCGCGGCATCGCAGAAGGCAGGCCTAGGGCACATCTTATGCACAGGAAGTGAACGTACCGTTTGCCAGTCACTTCCACTGCCAGCCTTCGCAGTACATATGCTCACGTCCCCCGCGCTCAGCTCGCCCTCGGTTCAGTGCACGAAGGCGCCGAGAACAGATGGGGATCCATGGCGATACGAGAGACGGACCCAGCGGAGGAACGGTGAGCGGTCAGGTTCACAATTCCCTTCCTGGAGTTGAGATCGGCACCCGCATCAGTGTCCACACCAGCAGAGCGAAGGTCTTGACCCAGGTCGCGTTGGCCGAGCGTCACGGCCTCGAGATCTCCTACTCGCACTCAAGCTAACAAGGCATGCTTAAACCCTCCATTTCCAAACCGCGAAAGAGCCCGAAAGTCACTACGATTGGCCCGGATGTACTAGCTAATGATCTTCTAGCACTACTCGTTATCCACGTCACTCGCCATCGAGTCAAACGGCATCTGCACGATCGCCAAGCCCGTCACCATGCTCGCGTCGTCCACCGGCGTCTGCTCGCTCGACACCACGCCGACGTACACCGTCCCCTGCAGGTTGTCTGGCACCGTCGCCTGCTTGTTGCCGTCGATCGACGTGAAGACCGCCTCGAGGCCACTCAGCCACATCAGGTACCCCGCATCGGCGCCGCTCGGGTTGTCGAACGTCAGCTGGATCGTCGAGCCTGGCCACGGGGTTGAGGTGGAGATGCTCAACGCGGGGAGAAGTGTCACGGGCAGCGGCGGGTTCGAGGACGGGCAGGAGGTGATGAATTGTGCTGTGGTTGAGAGAGGCAGGTCAGTCTTGGGCGCATATATGGCTTCGAAAATCCACTTACCGGCGAGAGAGTAGGCACCGGTTGGCGTGAGCGGCGTCTCGAAGGGTCCATCCCAGGGTTGCTGCTTGAGGACGGCAGACGACATCCATGCAACCTGGCGTTCCTCAATCGTGAGGATAGACTACATGCCGTCGTCAGCTACTCGCCCAACAAGATCAGGGAGCCGTACGCACCGCTGCCACACCGAGCGTAGCCTTGTCGTCGATGAACTGGGCGGCACCTAGGTACGCCGCGGCGCCGACGCCCTCGATGGCGAACGACGTCGCGACGAACGAGCGCGGATCCGTGTATGGGCTGACAGTGTCTGTCAGCCTCCCGCCCGTGATCAAGGTAGATGGGCGACTCACAAGGTGTACTGGCAGGGCTGGGGCGCCTGGTCGCCGAGGGCCTTCTGGAGGGTCGCAACGTGGGTCTGCTCGTGCAGCATGATCTGCTCGTAGCGGCCGCGGACCCAGTCGGGGAAGCCCGCGTCGGCGAACGCCTGCGCGTCGTACTGCGCGAGCGCGCCCGAGTAGAACGCGCTCTCGAGGTGCTCGAGCGAGAGCGCGAACTGGAGGATGTTCGTCTCTGCGGGCGCACACGGACACGGTGAGTGAGTTGGTTGCCCGAGCGAAGCGGGTACTTACGGTCGGGCGCGGGGCCTGGGGTGGGGGCCCCGAGGACGACGGCGGCGGCGATGAGGGCGGCGAAGGTCTTCGTGAACATGGTCGTAAAGGAATGTGGGGAGGGGGGAGGGGAAGCGGTAAGGAGCGGCAGGGTAGTAGGGATGTGGTGTCAGACGGTGAACCGACAGGGGATGCCCGCCGTCCTGCCCGCCTTTTATACGTGGGTGCGGGCGGCGGCGGCTGTCTGGCACGAAGTGCGGCGGACGCTCCGCTGTGACAGCTGGCGAGGCAGGCTCGAAGACGCGGCGGCTGGCGAACGCGGGCCGCCATGTCGCGGGATGTGGCCCGCCGCGTCGTGGCGTCGCTGTGTCGTATGGAGTTCCGCCATTCTGCGACGCGGGGTATGCGCAGCCGTGCGGCGAATGCTATTAATGTGTGCGGATGAGCTGCTCAGCAGTATGCACAGCCGCACAGAGGCTGATCGGCGGCGTCACCCACACCGATCGACCGCCGCCATGACGCACCCGAGCGTAGTCTGCGCCTCGTCGCGTCATCCCTGACGCACAGCACCGTCAATCCAGGCGGCCGCTGTGCAGGCGAGCGACCTCGAACGGCGTGTTCCCTGCGTCGATGAGCAGGGCTGCTGTCACGCTCACAAACCGGGCCTTGCCGCCAAACCACAACTGAGGTGTAAGACAGCATCAATGAGTGACATGGGTACACGTGGGTGTCGCAAGTAGCTATGTACGTTCGCGTCGATCTCGCGAGGGCAGCCACAGGATCATACGGTAGCGCCAGGAGGCTGATGATCTCAGATCCTGAATCTACTCACCGTCGAACTCTACATTCAGCCTAATCGTCATCGTGACATATTCACGAGTCAATCGCATCATAAAACCCAAATCACTTAGAGTCTTCGCCCGCGAATAGATGCATGGAATCAAAACCCAATGCGAAGACATCGACGCCAATCACTCGGATAGATACTAATAAGACATCGCAGAACATCCAAGTCCATGAATTGTCCCGAAGCCCCGAGTCCCCGGAGCTAAGCTTCGGCTCTAGACGAAGTCCAGCGTGCTGTCCGTGCTATAAACAGTGTGGTTGAGCCACGTCTCCCCATACGTGAAGTTCAAGCTTTGAATGCTTGTGACGCCGACACCTGCCGCGATGGCCTGACCCAGTGTGGCATTGACATGGTTGAATAGAGCAACCTGTCGCTCCCGGACCTCCTGGCTCACCACTTCGCCGAGATGGCCAACCACGTTGCTAGATGGGTGGGAACGTCCTCAGCAGCTGTGAGAACGCCGGCAGTCCTGCGGGAAGATTCACCTAATCAAGTTCTGCTGGTCCTGATCAGACATGGTGTTCCAGAAGATCCGCGGCCAGGAGAAGTCGATCTCCGTGACCATGGAAAGCGACTGCACAGCACCGCCCTGCAAATACCCAGCGTGAGATAGACCGAGACAAACGGGGGAACTTGAAGCGAGTACGCACTGTCCACTGCTGGTGGGAATCGAGAGTGTAGGTTCGATTGTAGAGACCAAGGCGGCTCATCGTGGACATGTAGTTGGGCCTGTTACCTTGGTTGCCATTGATGTTCATATGTCCGCCACGTTCCCAGTTGGCTGAAGCATCGGAGTGAGACCATTTCTCGTGCACGCTGTGGCCTCAACTCACCAACGGGGACAGTAGGAGCATTGACGGGGATTTGCTGATGCAAACTGAGCTTTCAATGTTACGGTATGATGCGAGCTTGACCCACTATGTGGTTGACACCCAGTCGGTATCGCTGGGTATCTGCATCGACTGTCAGCATGAGCGTTTCTCAACATCTCTGCGTACATACCGGAGTAGGCGAACAGGCGCGCCTGCAGCATCGGGTCAGCAGAAGGAGCCCATCCGTCCACAATGTGGGACGGTGAGAACGCGGCCTGTTCGACCTCCGCGAAATAGCTGACCACAACGATCAGCGCCGCTCCCGCCGATCACAGCATGCACCTTCAACTGCGGCTTACTTCGTCGGGTTCTGGGTCAGATACATCTTCCCGATCTCGACCTTGGGAACGGTTTCGTCCCAGTCCCTTCGGAGGAAGGTAAGAATCGGGAGCGTTTGTCAGGGCCCGACGTACTACTCACTTGGTGAGATCGAGGACGTTGTAGGTGTAGTTTTCGGCCTGCTCCGGAGCCATGACTTGTGCGTACACCGTCCATCCCGGGTAAGACCCGTTTGAAATTGCTTCGTACAGATCTTGAGTCGCAAAGTCCGGATTCGTCCCTTCGTACAGCCCCATTATGTCAAAAAATGCTTGGAACACAAAGCCGCAGCCGTACTTACCTTGGATAACGGTGGCCTCTGCGTTGGTGAAGTTCTTGACCTACTCAACGACAAGTAGGTCAGTGATATCTCAAATATGTTGGTAGGCCCCCCACTGACCCCCTGCATGGTCTCAAAGTGTAGCTTCACGTAGTGGAATGAACCGTCAGTCTGAATCCATCTGTGGTAATTGTGCATCAATAGGTGTGACACTCCTTGCCGCGGTTCGCCGTACCGGTAGGTATGACCAGTCCAAGCATCCATGTGTCGGAGCCCGTAGGGCGTACCGCGGTCGGAGAACAGGATCATCGCTTGATACAATGATTCCGGGTTAGCGCTGAGGAAGTCCCAGAACATGCTGCGTAACACCGAGAGTCAGTGCCGTTACGTCCACATGTACCAGTGAACGTACTCTTTGTCCTTCAAATTCGTTTGCGGGTTACGCTTCTGCGTCTGTGGCCGGCATGTCGACGTCAAGGTCACTCGTCGTAGGCACACGAATGGCGGACATACGTGAATGAAGTACGGGAACTTGGATGGGTCACGAATGAAGAACACCGGCGTGTCTGTGATGCACCAATCATCAATGTGATACCATGAGACTCAGCGTGGAACATACTGTTCATCACGATGTCGAGGATACCCTTGCGAGTGCGGAACCTGATCCATGTTTAGCACCAACTTGAAGCACTGACCCGCTCTCCAGGCGTTCACTCACTTGACCGCAAATCCACGAGGATCACGGGCCTCATCCGCAGACCCCGTCTCCCCGCCGACGGTGCTGATGCGGACTGCAGGAACACGCGATCGTCAGCTTCTCCGTCGAGCGGACACGCAACGACGTACCGGTTACGGGCGTCTTCAGACCATCCTAGAAAGAGGCATCAGCAGAGCGGATCGGGTGTGACGAGGTGCGCGTATCACCTCACTGAGCATATCCCTGTGCCAAACAAGGATCAGTGATGTGGACCACACTTGATGTGAGGATAGTACTCGTACATCATCGTATACTGCTTGCAGAAGGATGCATTGGTCACTTCGAAGTACCCATGTGCACCCGCTAAGGGAGAAGCGCAAGAATCAGCTACAACATCATGATGAATCAGTGGTTCGGGTACTATACGTACCGCCCTTGGCATGAACGACGCGTTCAGGGATGCGCTCGCGATCAAACGAGCCGAAGAGCTCGGTCAGGTGGTAGTCCTCCAAGAGCAGAGGCCCTGCAAGGCATTGTGAGCACCCGGGCCACAATAGGGCATATTCGCCGCTGCATACCATTCGAACCAATCTTCCAGGCATCATACGGGTTCGTATACGGCGCGCCATTCTCAGTCGTGTACTCGAGCTGGGGCGCGGACTCTCCGGATACCTGCAACTGCGCGACGAGACCAGTGTTGAGGTCGTAGCTGAACGGCTGGGCTCCTGGGGCAGGAGAGGTGACCTCCTCCTGCGATAGGGCCCCGAGGAAGGCGTGCGCAGTGATACTGGCAGCGACCGCGGTCGTGAGGAACCGCATATCGAGGAGACGGTACAGGCGTTGGATGAAGCTCACTAGAGGGGACGGTGCTGGGTCGTTGACAGACAGTCCGTTTTATATTGACGTTTCATGACAGAAGCGTTCCAATCTACACCTAGAGTCCGAACCGCTTCGGCTGCTACAAGGCAACGTGCTGCGGAGGTTGTGGCCGCACAACTTGGGATTTGGACCCTGTGCCAACCGTTTCCGAACTAGCCGGTGGCTCGGCCATACGAGACACTTGAGATCAATCTCAGTAACGTACCGCCGATCCATATGGAAAACGATTGGACACATACCCGGTCCGACGGCCAGGATGTAAGACGCCGTCGACGGATACGATCTTGCAAAACGTCTTGACAGCGACGGCATCTCAATATGAGATGATCTTCCTGACGATGTTACAAACCCAATGAAACATCCTCAGAGCCCGCTATAGCAACAGGCCCAGGTCGATGGACTGCAGGCGCCGCTTAGCAGCTTCCTTACGATACAGAAAGTTAAGTATGCGATACCGGCTGAGACCGGTGGCCTCCGCCGAGTCCACAATCGCAACGAAGGCTACTAGGGAGTTGCCTTGAATTGTATGCACCATCCTCAGGCTCCGAGGAAACGGACGCAGTGGGTTAGACTACCGTGCACTCTGGTCCGAGACCGATAAAAACAGCTTTTCGGAACGGGCCTGGCGCTAGGTTGATGTGGATGTCTGTCAGCAGCAGTTTGAAACCGGCAAGGCGACTACGAGACCAGACCTGCATGCCCACGAAAGACGCCCCGATGCGTGTCGTCGGCACTGTCGATTCGAGCGACATACGCCCACGGCTATGCCTTGGCTGTGACAACGCTCGGCCCTCCTCCTTACAATCGCCATCGACCGGATTCGTAGTTCCCAGCTCGCCGCGATCCGTCGCTGCCCGACGAATGGAAACGGAGGACGTCAGTGCCGCAGCACCACTCATCTCGTCGCGAGCACTGGACGCGATGCGTGGTCTGAGGGACGTGCTCCTGCATGCGAAATGCATCTGCCGACGTGTAGGTTGAGGGTGTTCTGTCGGTGGATGGTGATCTTCACCTTCTGAGCTCCGAGGAACAACGGGCCCGGAGGCGAGTAATGTATTCGCTGAGCTTGTGGGGACGCATGGCATGGAAGGAGACATTTGTGCGCTCTCGTATCACGCTGTACTGTGGCGCGTCGCACTCGCATCGTCCGGCCAACGCGTTCCGCACTGCTCGTCTGATATGCGCGTTCGGCTCGTCCATCCTTGACCGCCGTTCACGAGGTGATCATTGTCGAGCGGAAGGAGTACCGCAGCTTCCCCCGCAACTGCGCTCTTGTGCGACGAATGCAATATTCGAGACGAATCCAGTTTGCGATTGCGGCCGGTCTTCCTATCAATGGCGCACCCGAGGCACCCTGGCATGAAACTATGCATCTCGCAGAACAACGGCGCACCCACACCCGCACCTGGGGTACAGGTGCCAGCACAGCGGCACGCTCGCTTCCGTGGACATCGCGCACGGGCGATGGGACGCGAGCAAAAATACGAGGGCTGAGAACGGAGCAGAGCATCGGTGAGTCTCGTTTCTGAACGAGTCGTATTAAAGAGTACTAACCGTGCCTCGAAGGTGGGCTAGCCGCGAGGACGTGCCATGCGGTGGCTGTTTGTTTGACGGCGCGTGCAGGTGAGGGTTGTCGATCGTGTCTTCGGAGTCGACGTTGCTGACTGGAGATAGCTCGCTGCAGTTCGTCCCGGGTCTGCGAGCTCGCTCGTCTGAGGACTCTGCCGAGCGCGGGCCCAGTGATGCATCACGGCGGGCCATGACATGACGGGCGGCGAGCAGAGGACACGGGCTTACGCCGGCGTGTGCTTGCGGCGTAAAGGAGAGGGTCCGCTGCGGGTCCGAGATGGGCGCAGGTCGGAGTGTGTCTCGAAGCCCGCGCGGGCATGGGTGTGCGTAGGTAGTATCGTCCAGATCGCCGTCAAGGTCTTGTACGCAGGCCGCTGTGCCCCGCAAGACAGCCAGGTCGATTGTTAGACGCGACTGGCCAGTCGTCTGTGATCGGTTACGCGTCGCGCGAGCGGCGTACTTCCTGTCTCCGTGGATGCAACTGATGTATATTCATGTGGTGCGTTGTGTATCCGCGTTCAGCGCATCACTCGGCCTGTAGCATTGTATAAGCCTGTAGCATTGTATAAGCCTGTAGCATTGTATAATTCTGTAGCATTGTATAAGATTGATCGAGAAGCAATGGACTCCAGCCACGTACCGGTCGGTCATACGCCCGCTTCGTTCGCCAGGCGCCATCCACGTCGCAGTCGGTGCGCAGAAAGGAACGAGACACAATGAACCATAGTCCGGTGGTCGAGTCCAATGCCGACGACGTAGAGCGCGACCACAGACACACGGAGCACGCTACTCCGCATCGACTCGAAGCGAGAAGGGCGGTGCAAAGTACGCAGGAGAGGATCCCGGGCGGCCTTGGGCCCGTCGGACAGAACCAGTTGCGGCGTCGTATCTGAGAGACCTCCGATTTGCAGCATGTTCAAGTAATTCATTCAGTTAGCAGCTTCGGTATGCATGTTCTCTGTCGTCGTCGTCGTCGTCGAGCAGCGTTGTACACGTTCTGCGAGCAAGTCATATGTACTGAGCAAATGTCAGTGAATTGTCAGTTATAAGTAAGGACTGGCCGCTGCGGCGCGTTTCGGGAGGAGGCGTCGTTCATTGGCACGTGCGCGACGCGTCTGTGGCACCGTGCACTGAGACGCTCTGCATCATGATCCTGGGGGTATGTCACTTCGTCGCAAATTCAATTCGAAGGACGGATTAAGTCGATGAGGAAGTCCTTACATCAAAACTTGGTCACTATGGTACGTTCAAACCGTTTGTCCACTCGTAGGTTTACCAAAATAGACACTACGGCATACAGCGTCCTACGCGCCCACGATCGCATACGAGCCATACGGGAACGACAACGCCGCCAGCCCACTCAACATCGTCGCATCGCTCGTGGTCGTCGTGGTGTTCTTCACCACCCCCGCGAACACCGTCCCGCGCAGGCCGTCCGGCACAGTTGTCACGCCGCCCTCGTGGATGACCGTGAACGTCGTGGTCATGTTGTGGTGCCACGCCATGTACGTTGGGCAATCGTCCGTCGCCTGTACCGTGCTGTTGTACGAGACGGTGATGTTCTCGCCCATCACCGGCGATGCGGGCGTCACCGTCAGCGCGGGGAAGCTCTGCACTGGCAGGTCCGGGTTCGTCTGCGGGCAGGAGGTGATGAAGCCGACTGTAGGATCTCGGTCAGCACGCATATAGCCGGTGTAAAGGCGCGGGGAGCTCACCCGCAAGGGACCAAATGCCGCTGAAGTAGAGAGGGGTCTCGAAGTCGCCGTCCCAAGGTTGCTTATTCCGGATTGCGGAGCTGACCCAACCGGCCTGGCGCGCCTCGATGTGCGAAATAGCCTGATGACGCCAATCATCAATCTCGACGGCTCGGTCAGACACGCGAAGAAAACGCACCAAGGACGCCGACAGTACATCTTGGCTGTGGACGAAGAGGGCAGCGCCCATGTACGCCGCAGCGCCGACTTCCTCGAGTGTCTGCGACAGCGACACCCACGACGGGATGTCCGTGTACGGGCTATATCACAACCCGATGATGTCAACCACCACCCACAGGCGAACAACATAGCAGCTCACTAAGAATAGTTGCACGGCTCAGGGGCGTTCTCGCCCAGCTGGCCACGCAAGAAGTCGACGTGCGTCCGCTCGTGCTCCCTGATCTGTGCGAAGCGCCCGCGGACCCATGGCTCGTACCCTGCGTCGGCGAACGCCTGCGCGTCGTACTGCTCAAGGCCCTGCACGTAGAAGGCATGCTCGATGTGCTCTAGGGTGAGCGCATATTGCATGATGCTCGTGTCTACCGGGCGCGAGGTTACCAACTGGGAAGCGAATACTCTGTGCATAGCGAAGGACGTACCTGTCACGGCGGCGGGCGTGCTGCGACGGGCGGGCGCGGCGGCGGCGAGCCACACAGAGGACAGCGCGATGAGGACGGTGGAGAACAACATGGTGGTCGTCCGCGGGGAAGGGCCGTCAAATTACTAGTGTCCTAGAGAGCCACCGAAGCGAGACTCGAGGAGCCCTTCGACGCGCACCGTGCTCGCTTTATATGCACGCGCACGATCTTCGCGACGGGGCGGATCTATCACTGTCAGGGCACTGACAGGCCCCAGGATATTGGATGACCTGATCCTGCTCGAAGCCGGAGGCGAGGCGCGCGAGCAGAAGCTCAGCCGAAGGTCGAACGTGCAGGCGCAGGCTGAAGCTTACTGGAAGCGTGACCGTGCCAGTCATCGGAATCCCATTTGCCGTCATCAGCCCTTGGGACGCGCTCAGATGCCAGCCAGTGAAACGCGTCCGCCGGGGGTGCTCCCACTGCATACGGACCCCAGTTGCGTCACTATTGCCGTGCACCGGGAACTTGGAGGCCATCCTGCGTGTTTGCGCGGGTAGGACGCATCGCCTCTGCTGCACGCCTATCTGCGCGCAGTTCGCAGAGCCTGATTTACTGCTTATGGCTCTGCTCGCAGGTTGACGGCGGCCGTAGGGATGGACGGGAGAAGACGTGCGAGCGGGGAGCCAATTACCGCTGTGCGTCTCTGCGCCTTCTCGCCTTCTCTTTCTCGGTATTGGTCGGTCCATGCTTCCTCCTCCGCGCCGCCATGTCACTGGCGGCCTCTGTCCATACCACTGGAGTACTGGCACCCCAGGGCCTCGTTCTCCTCAAAGGGCCCCCCTTCCCCAGTTTGTGCGTGACGTTGTGAAGAAGGCATACCAAGGCATCGCGAAGAGCGGCGCCAGTCAGCATTGCAGGCCCCGGTGACCGGTGACCAGTGGCCTGCGCGCCGTCGTACCACAGCCGAGGATGTTCAGTAATGCGGGCAATTCGGTGGCTGCCGGCGTCGTTGAAGTGCCAGTGGCATGGCAGTTGGTTCGTTAGCGTGCGTATGTCCCCGCTGCTCCCGTCAGCCCGTCAATCTGTGGGATTTTGGTAGGCTGCGTTTGGTGCAAACGTCCAGCGTCGAGGCAACGTTACGTGAAGAACTCGAAACCGTTCGCACGCATTCTGAGGTCGAACCAGCGAGGGTAGGGCGTCGGGCGCGCATGACGTCGTTAGCATGATGAGCGTGAGAGTCGTCCCATCTCAATGTTCATCTTATCTGATAATTCCTTTACCTCCTGATCAATACTAGGTGCGCGAGGCTGCTTTCGAGATGGGATGATCTCTCTGAACTCGAGTTCATGCGGTCGAGGAGAACACAAGATGCAACCAGGAACACTGAACTGCGGGTCACGAGTCGGTCTGTGTGCCCACCTGCTGCAGCCAAAGGACGCATCACAGTCACAAAGCCACCACACTTCGCCGAGAAACACCGCGCATCCCCGCAGAACACGAGGACCATGTCGCACACCGCACGCCGCAGCTCGCGTTACGGTAGCAATGTGCGGATGGACTGCGCAAGATCCTCTTATGATCATTGATCCCAGTGACGTGACGAGTCCTCAGCCCCGCTCGCTGCACTATGTAAATGGGGTACGAGTCGGAGGCGAATGACCTCGAACAAGGGAAATCCACAGATGTCATTCAGCTTACACGACGTCCGGGCCTACGTGGTACATACAGACGCGACTGCGCAGGACGCTCTCCCGCCGGCAACGACCCGACCATCGAGAGGTTCGCGGCCTCAGGACCCCTCTGTGCGATCCAATGTCGATGCGACCGCAGAGCCCGCCGGTCTCCGAGCAAGGCTATGTACCAATGTGACTCTGCTATAGAGAACGAATAGTAGCCACCACCACCAACATCCTGGCATTGGCAGACTCGCTCGCGATCCGTGACAGCCTGAGGCTCTCGGTTCGACATCATGTAAGTAGCGACAGCCGTAGCTGGCATACTTAGCCCCTGACAGTCGAAGTTGGATGGCCAGCGAGACAGCGTGTGAGTTCAGTTCTATTCACTGGGCAGCTTTAACAAGCAACTCCAGAGCGTCATGTATAGCGTCAGACGGTCAGTCACGGCGGCCATCGAGTATGAATGTCGATTCCTGTTCTCGAGATCAAGGGCTCATTTTGGCAATGTCACTCAGGCCATCGAGGTCACAAGATAATATCCGGGAATAGTGAGTGGAAGTCTGTTGTGAAACCCAGTCCGTCAACCCGACAGCGACGCGGAGTCACAATCACACTGGCAGGCCCACGACAAACTCCACTTGTAGTGATGGACCGCCTGTGCGCCCGGTGGTCTAACGAAAGAGTCGGAAAAACAGGTTTCGTATGTGCAATAAAATGCTTCCCGCACAGCGCTACTGATCCTTGTCTGACATTCGCAGACATCGCAGGCACTGTAGGCGACCTATGCACAGCTTCCTTCTGGGCCACGAATAACACCGACAGTGACCAACGCACTCCAACGCACCCGATCTTCTGAACTCAAATCCACATCAGCGGGCAAGCTCCGCCAATTGAATGCGAGACGACATCCCCGAGAACCCCGGATAGGACGCCATGACATGGGGGAGAGGACGAGCAGAACGTATCTGGAGGTTGCGCAAGTCAGGATGTTCATACAGTACATTGCACTGTAGTTCACCCGTTTTCAGAATCATCATACCTTGCGTTCTTGATCGCGTTGACCCCAGTGGAACTCGAACACGGCAACACTCTCAATGACATCGTCACGCGATGCCAGCTTCAGTGCTTGGACAAAGACCTCGCCACTTGCACCGCACGTCTACTCAGACATTGTCGCAGAGACAGTGGTATCAGGGACAATAAATACAAATCTGTGCCATAATATTACACATTCAGTATCCGTGATGTGAGTTCGCCGTTATATAGTACACGCCAATGATCTAAACACGCAGACGGACCTTTGCCGCGGGCCGCTTCACTGACTCTTAACACGCTCGTACCCGTCCGCCGATCCCCACCCAAACCAGCTCGACCGCCTCTGCACAGGTACGGGGTGGCCATCGCCCTCGCCCTCCATGTCGCTCGGGACCTCGACCTCCTCGAAGTTCGAGCGCCCGTTGCTGTCCCCGCGCTGCCGGAGCGATCCCGAGGACGACGACCGCGAGGGGTTGTTCGCCTCGGGCACCGGCACGCTCGGATCGGAGAGGTCATACGGCTGCGCCTCGGACGCGAGCTCGTCGCGCCGTGCGTGCCCACCCGCGCTGGTAGTGGCGGCCTGGGTCGCGGAAGCCTGCGCCTGGCGAAGGAGCGCGGCGCCAGAGGCCAGGACACTGGGGCCGTACGTACCCCACAGGCCCGAGACGAGCTGGGCAGGACCAGACACGGGATCTCCGAGTGACGGCCGCGGTCCTGCACCCGCCTGCGCGTCCCCTGTACCCGTCCCGGAGCCGACGCCAGACCCAGGGCCCGCGACGGGGACGTTCATCTGGCGCAGCGTTCCGGAGACGTGCTCCCAGGCTGCGCGGAGGAAGCGTTGGAGGGACGCGTAGATGAACGTCTTGAGCTGCGCGAGCGCGGAATCGATCTCATGCTCGTGCGCGGCGAAGAATGGTCGGAGGTGCGCGGTGTAGAGGTAGCTCGCGCCGTGTGTCTGCGGGAGGGCAAGATATAGCAGGAAGAGGGTCTTGATGGTGTAGTAGAAAGGAAGCCTGAGGAGAGGGTCGGTGTACGGACGGCGGGGTGGACAGAAGCGGACTTACCAGGAGACGAGCCACTCGGCGACGTACTCTACGGCGACGATGCAACCGAGGACACTCCAGTACATCAACCATCTCTCCAGTTCCTCCTCCGAGGCAGGCCGCTGGGAGAGCACCTTGTACGATGCGTACCCGGGATAGAGGAAAGCGGTTGTGGCACTGCGATGCGTAATCATTCGGGCTTAGCTTCCCATATTGTCGACATTCGAACTGCGCGCACCTAACCACTCTGAAGAGAAAGTAGAGCAACATGACCGGGACAGTTGACAACTAGCTGGCCCAGGAGGTGAGCGTATATGAGGAGTTGCGGAGGAGCTACATCCTGCCTGCAGCCTTCATTTAGCAGACGCCGGGCCGCCTGCTCGCCACACGGTAACGATCGATTGTACGGATTGTAATCACCCTAGTACCGATCGTAACGCCGACCATACACTCTTCGCTTATCGGGTAAGCAACGCCTTACAACAGATACTATCGACTCTTCTTATCGAGATGGACAGGGCTTCTATCCTCTTTCTATCTAGACTGATGAACGGATCCACGACTTCCCCTCATGCTACATTGACCACGCGCACTCCGGAATGACCGTGTTCAAGCTCACGGACTCAGCCGTCCTACATAAGCCACAACCTGTCCGTGTCATGCAGCTACTCGAAGCTCGAAGACATGATGACAACCGACGTTATCATGTTGCAATTGCTTTCGTGTATCTTTGAAGCAAGTGCTCAACTGACCGTAATATATATCTCCGCTTGAGGGAGGGAATCAGGGAACCGGGACTTTCAAAGCAATTAGATGTGACGGTTCATATGCAACCCGTAGGTACAGGACATGAACACAGACTTCCACTATTCTATCGCACGCGCACGGCCAGCAGCCACACTCAGAGCGCACTGGCACCTGGAGAACGTTGAGCTCCAGCTGGACGGTAGGAGGCGACCAGTACTTACCAGTGATAATGTCGACGAGCTCGTTCGTGATGGAGGCCTGGCGACCACGGTTGTACTGCATCTGGAGCTTGCCGATCATGTCCGACGCGTTCTTCGAAGCGTTGTCCATGGCGTTGCGACTGTACAGCCGTCAGCCGGGGCGAACCAAGTACAACCTGAGACAAACATACCGAGCGCTCTGCTCGCACGCGTGGCCCTCCACAAGAGCAGCGTAGACCGCGTTGGCGAGCGCGAACTCAGCGAGGTCCTTGGTGACCTCCTCCTCCATCTCGTAGGCCTTGAAGCCGGCTGTAACGCATGTCATCACAATGCCTCATACTGCAGCAGGGAAAGTCACATACGAGAGTTCTTCAACGCCTCCTCGGTCTCGACCTCCATGACGGCGGACTCATACGAGATAGCAGACACGAACTTGTTGTAGACGATCGCGATGCTGTCGTACTTGACATCCGACTTGATGATCAAATCCGCGACGCCCGCCGCATCCGCGAATGTAGGGATGTCACGACCGATTTGGTTGAAGCTCATGACGAGGTTCTTGCCGAGCGCACGGGAGAGCTGCGCCTTCGACTTGTCACCGATGACCATGATGGGCGAGTCCGACTCTACGCTGCTCTCCGTGTCGGCAAAGATGCGGCGTGTGGCCTTCGTCACGGAGGAGTGGATACCACCGCAGAGACCCTTGTCAGAGGAGATGACGATGAAGAGTTTGCGCTTGGCGGGATCTTCTGCCGGTGCGTGCTGGAAGACCTCTGTAGGACATTTCAAGGTCAGTAGTGCGGTAGTATTTCCGGAAATCTACAGACCCGAGTTTGCGACACCATACTGCTTGCCTGCCTGCATGGCGCGCTGTGCCTTGTTGAGTTTTGTGGAGGCAATCATTTTCATGGACTGACACGCAAAAGTTCAGTATTAGCTGAGGTCGTGATCTACCGTTCGACTGGAATAAGCCATGCCCGACTCGGGAGGTCAATTCTTGCCTGGGAGCAAGTCAAGCCTCACTCTCAGCAACTTTGGGTCCTTGCCGGCCCCGTCGTAGTCTGCCCTCTCGTTAAAGGCCAAAGGTCGAACGAAAGCTCACCTTGGTGATCTTCTCAATATTCCGCACAGACTTGAGACGCAGCTCAATCTCGCGGAGGGTCGCCATGTTACGCGCACCAGCGGGGGCGGCACCCAGCGCTGGAGGCTGGGCAGCCAGACGAAGCGTGCTCCGGGCGAGCATGGCGGTCGACGACAGAATGAAAGTGGTGGAGGACGAGCAAGAGGACGAGTGCAACGTCGGCCGCGACCGACAGCGGGCCAGCGCGGAACCTCGTGGGAAAATGAGCACGCGGAGTCCGAATCGCCTGCCGGTTAATCTGGGCGCTTGTCGCGCTGCCTTGACTCGAGCTCATCGCTACAGACAGTGTCCGCACATACTTGGCCGTCGTCCCCTCCACACCAGAGCTTCGTGAATATGGCATCCGAAGAGCCTTTGTTTGACCCGGCGCTGAAGAAGCGCAAGAAGAAGACCGTCGCGTTCTCAGAGGACCCGCTCGGTGCTGAAGCCGATCCTACCACACCTGCACCCGCGACGATCGAGGATACGACGACCAATGGCGAGGCGGTGGATTTGGGGCCGAAGACGATGCATGAGCAGATGAAACAGAATGGGGATGTGGATGCGGAGGACGGTGTTGAGGAGAAGAAAGAGGATGAGGACCTCAAGGCGATGTTCGGTGATCTGAAGAAGAAGAAAAAGAAGAAGGATATTCCTATGGACTTGGTATGCTTACCGTGCTTCTAGCTGAAGCCACAAAGCTGACAGTGTGCTCAGCCGGAGGACAACTCAGGCACCTCGACGCCCACGACCGTCCCAGCTGCGACCGAGGATCTTGACTTCTCCGATCTCAAGAAGAAGAAGAAATCCTCGAAGAAGAAAGCTGCTCTGGACATGGAGGCATTCGAGAAGGAGTTGCACCAGGCAAAGGCGAAGGATGCCGATGAGGAAGAAGGCGGGGAGGAGCTTGTTGCTGAGGTCGACGAGGCGGAGCTCGGCGATGACCCGTTCGCGCGGAACGAGGGTGTCGTCAGCACGGACGCAGGCAATGAGCCATGGCTCAGCAGCGATCGCGACTACACATATCAAGAGGTAAGTGATGCCTCGCACTTCGCAAATTCCTGATGCTGAAGTGTCATCGCAGCTCCTCCAACGATTCTACGCTCAACTGCATGCAATCAATCCAGCCCTGCTCAACTCTACGGTTAAGCGTTATACCATCGCGCCCCCGCAAATGCTCCGTGAAGGCAACAAGAAGACTATCTTCGCCAACGTCTCCGACATATGCAAGCGTATGCACAGGCAGCCAGAGCATGTCATCCAATACATGTTCGCGGAAATGGGTACCACCGGTTCGGTGGACGGTTCCGGTCGGTTGGTTATCAAGGGTCGCTTCCAGCAGAAGCAAATCGAACACGTTCTCCGTCGGTATATTGGTACGCCTTGCCCCCTCACGTATGTGTTGCTACGATGTTCATTCACTATCTCTAGTCGAGTACGTCACGTGCAAGACGTGCAAGTCGCCCGACACCCTTCTCAGCAAGGAGAACCGTATATTCTTCATGTCGTGCGAGTCTTGCGGGTCACGGCGTTCCGTCGCCACTATCAAGACCGGTTTCCAGGCGCAAGTCGGGAGGAGAAGCAAAAACAAGACCGGCTGATTGGTCAGGTCTGGGAGGATGCTGTAGCCTATCGTGCCTCGCGCATATGTACTCATTGCATTTCATTGCACACCGCCACTGTATACTACCTGTCATTGACGAGCAACGATTGCTACACATGGAGAGAACGCTGGACGTGCGCCGCAGTCATTCCAACACAAACATTCTTGGCATACATATACAAGGCTACTATAGAGTGCGGGGGTCATTAAGGTGGTCGGACACTGATACTTACTGGACACTGTAGTAGGGAACAAGCTGCAAGAGACGTACGGGACAGGACAGGACACATCGAGGGACGGACAGTGGACGAATGACACAGGATAGATGACAGACATATAACGCAACAGGAACAGGCAAGGCGGTGATCAGCGAAGGTGTTTGGCTCATGAACCAACATCACCGATGCGAGTGAGCGCGGCACGCCGCTTTTTCTTGGGCGGCTCCTGCGCCTCCTCGCGAGGAGTCTCGCTCGGCTCGCGCGTCCCCAGCACGCTCTCGTCTACGCTCGGTGCGGGTGTCAGCGGTGGTTCGCCTTCTGCCTTGCGTTTGCTGCCCACCGCGGGGGACGCCGCAGGCAGATTCGCAGATGCACGCGACGGCGTCGAGAGGGGCGTTGCTGCCGTCGAGTTTGTGAGCGGGAGAGAATGGTGGTGCGCGATGGACTGGAGCTGCAAGGTCTGCTGCTGCGTGTGGTGAACCGGCAGGATCTCGTCGAAGACGACAACAGTACAGTAGCCGTCGCGCGACGACAACATCAGGCATTGACCGTCGGATGACCTGACCAAGCATCAGGATCGAAATTCCCAACATTAATCGCGAAAGCACATACCATGTCATGTCCGTGAACTCGTCGTAGTGCAGCTTCGATAGCAGGCAGACAGGGCCGGACTGTTGGGTATCGTAGATCGCCACAGTGTCCATCGTTGCGACGGCATATAGCATCCGATACGGTAGGGAGAACATCGAGGCCATTGGCGTGGGCGTGGGCGGGATCGCTGGGGTACCTCCGCGCGACGTCATGGGTGTCGGTAGCCTCAACGAGTCCGTCGCCGAGAGGGCGGGAGACGGCATCATCATACTTGGTGGGCCCGTCGGGATCGCAATGCGTGGCGCGGGTTGGGCGATCGAGCCGCTCGACGGTGAATGCTTCAATGGTGACGAAGGAGCAGGTGTAGAGAGGAACGTTGACGAGGAGGGTGTTGGGGCGACATCGATGGTTACTTGCACCTCCTTACCCTTTTCGATAGTCACCGTCGGAGGCTCGCTCTGCTCACCTGAGGACACGCCGGGCCGTAGCTCGTAGAGAAGCGGCGAGAAGCGCACTGCGACGCTCGCCTTCTTGAAGCCGGGCAGACGGGCAATGGGCGGGCGAGCAAAGTTGGCACGAGAGTAGATGTACACGGACGAAGTTGCCGTCTCCTTGGTGTCGCTAGATCCCGGTGACGGATTGCCCTTGCGCCCTCGCGCCGGCTGCTCGCTCTTGGACGAGCTCGGCTGAACTGATGGGTCCTCGAACTGCCCAGCAGGAGTGAGCAGCAGCCCACCATCCGGGCTAAACCCAAGCCGTCGGAAGAAGTTGGTGTAGCTCTCGTCGCCGTAGAGTTTCACCGACGCCCAGCTGGCAGACGCCTGAGGTCGGATAGCAGGAAGTGCAGGCATAGGCGAGGGTGAGCGCCCGTAGCGCGAGTGTGTGGCCGGTGAATGCGCTGCACTGGTGCTGCTGAACGACGACCTCCGCGACGGCGTGTAATCCATCGGTGGCGGCGGGAACATGCTTGCGGGCGTACTCGGCACTGACGCTGTGGGCGTCAGAAGTGCCCCGCCATGGTGCTGGCTATTCGAGCCGGACGCGACTGCCTCTTCCCGCAGTTGCTCGCTGGCGCTGGTGATAACGGACTCTGTCTCGCTCACTGTCGTCGATTCGCGTCTGAACGTCGGTGGGCGGCTGCGTGAGCTCGGTGTACGGCGGTGACGATGCGGCATACGCGAGTTCTTGCCGACGGCGTGGATGTCGAGGCCATCGTCTTTGGTCGAGACGCTGTAGATGTGCATAGAGCGGTCGCTGCTCTGCGTCGCGAAGAACTCGTTCAATGGATCCCAAGCAACACCTTGCACGTAGTGGCTGTGTTCCGCGATTTCTTGCAGGCATTTACCTAGAGGACATCAATCATGTTGATACGCCTCACAATGTGCCCACTCACCATCGCTCGTAGAGAAGATCCGCGCACAATTGTCTGTGCTGCCGGCCACGATGTAGTCGCCCGTGGGACTCCACGCGAGATCGTATACTTGCATGGTTGTGCATCTAGGGCGGGCTCAGCACCAGTGCTGCGCGGTATGAGGGGCAACTCACCGGAAAGTTGTCCGTGGCTTCCAGTGCTCCTTCTCATACTGCAGTTCATCGGGTGTGAGGTCGCTTCCGAATGCATTGGCATGCGGACTTGTCGTTGGCGACCAAATGATGATCATACCGTCTGAACAAGGAAATTAGCGCGTCGCAATGTACCATTCATTGTGCAACGTACCGTCCCCAGCTGATGCAATGAGTTCCCCTGTTATCGGGCATTAGGGGCGTGTGACGCGTGTATTTCGCGTAGAGTACTCACCATTCGGGCTCCATCGTACAACATTCACCGGTGCAGAATGCCTGCTTAGGGTGGCAAGGTACTCGACGCGGGGCGGCCGTGGCGTCGCGCCCTCTGAGCCAGACGCTGCCACCACGGACTCGGGCAGTATGTTCGGGTGCACCATCCACAACTTGTAAACGTGTCAGTGAGCTTCTCGTGTAGATTGACGCGTACACTCACTCTGACATGGTTGTCCTCGCCGCCGGTAGCGAGTCTGTAGTATTGGGTCACGAAGTGCTTGTCGTCCGCCGGGCGCGCCTTCTTGAACGAGACCGGCTGGAAGTCGCACGTAGATATGGGCTTGCTGTCGTGCCAGCGAATCTCTAATGTTCGTACGCGCATTCTGTGAGATGGTGAGGGTGCTAGTTCATGCTCTGGAAAGACAATGGTCTCGTGTAAGTACGGGTGTGCCACTCGACGCGCGCGTAACGATCAAGGTATTGATGTATTCCGAATATGGAAGGCCATGTAGTCAGCTGCCACTGATAGGCTCAAATACTGAGACTCCTTGCAGTTGAACGCGAGCAGTGCGAACGGACGAGATGAGTGTCGATACACTACTATATATACTGAAAGTAGTGTACATAAGTATGAAGCGCAAGTCGTTTAGGGTAGGCCACTACCTTCTACACTGCGGACATACTTAACCGTGATAACATTGTGCGAGCCTAACCAGGTGTCGCCGACGGTGCCACTGTCAGAGCCCGCATCTTTCGCGCACATTGAGTCGAAAGTGAAGATCACTGATCTGAAATCCAGACTTGGTATCACACTAGACAAACATACTGCCATGTGTCGCATGGTCAGACTCATTGGAACCCGGTCGACACATAGAACCGTGTTCAAGTTGAGGCTGTATGTACTGTAGTTACAGTACGCGAATGCACTCTTCATTCAATATGCACCCGGGGGCTACACGAACAACAACGACTAGCTGAAATCCAGACACCTACATTCTACTCTTGCCTTGATAGCCATGCGTACTGCGTACTGGCACTGCTACCGGCCGTAGCCTTGTGAGTACTGCCCGTATTGCTGAGGCGGTGGCGGTGGCGGCAGTCCATATTGGTATCCAGGTTGCTGTTGTTGTTGCGCCGGAGGAGACGGCGATGCATACTGCGACTGATATGGGACGGGAGGAGGCGGCGGCGGGAACGGCGAAGCGGCCGCGGGCGTTGACGACTGATATCCTCCGCCATATTGCGGCTGTGAAGGCGGAGGCGGGTATGAGGCCTGGTGCTGGGGGTGCGAGTACGGCTGCTGCTGTGGTTGACCATATTGCGGCTGCTGTGGCTGTGAGTATGACGGCTGGTAGGTATGCTGTGGAGCGAGAGGATACTGTTGAGACAGTTGGGGTGGACGAGGTGGGGGCGGGGGGCTAGTAGCACCGTTCGGCGGAGGGGAGGAGAATGTCGAGCTGCCAGCGTTGAACATGTTGAGCGATGCATAAGGATCGAGCGCGGGGGCGGATGGCTGCGATTGATAGGAAGGTCGTGAAGGCGGAGCTGATGGAGGCGGGGGTGGGTAAGGTGACCTCGCCGGTTGTGACTGAGGAGGCGAGGGATACTGCGGTGCAGAAGGAGCAGGCGCCGACTGCCAGGAACTTTGCGGAGGAGCCGGAGGAGACACCATCCCGTTCTTATTCTGGATATTCATCGAGGCAAATGACGCCTCCAGTCCTGTAGGCTGGGATTGCACTGGCCGTGGAGGTGGTGGAGGTGGTGGCGAAGCCGCTGCCGACTGGGAGAGCCGTCTCTGTGTCTCAAGCCCAGCGGCCAGCCTTTCGCGGTCCACGGTCCGCTCTGACACGAAGGACTTCGCGTTTCGCCGAAGGATCGTGGTCAACTCCGTGAGCTCGTTATAGAACTGGAGACCCTTGCTTTTGGGGGACAATGGATATCAGTACGACTCCATCACCGCGGTTATTGAGGGGACACGTACGCAATACCGTCCCTGACTTCCATATAGCCATCTCGAGCGCGCGAGAAACGGCGAATGGTATCTTTCTTTCTCCTTTCCCGTTCCTCCCACTTCTTCGCGCCAGGCCCGCGTCCGGCCAAGTCCTTCAGGGCACGCCAGAGGGTAGAGACCTCTTGAATTGTCACCTGTTCATGATGAACGGTGGCCGTCAAACGTTGTTGGTAAGACTTGAACTTCTCGAGTTCTCCAGCGAAGAGGTTGTTCTCGGCGCCAGGGTTACGTCTGTTGAGAAGCAGAAGATGCGAGACGTCGTCCGTTTGGACCTGATGCCCGTGAGCAACATGCGTATTGCGCAGATACGTCGATACGACTGACCTTCTCCTTCAGGTCCTTCAGCACCTGGATTCGCTCGTGAGCAATCTTGTTCAGTCGACCTAAGCGCTCCTCAATCTCGTCGACCAATTGGACGATCTGCGCACGCTCATCCTCGTTCTGAGCATCGTTCGTCACGTCCAAGTCAAGCAAACTCTCGGTCCCGGCTCCGGCTCCGTCCGTGCTAGCTCGGAATACCTCCTCCACCTGAGGTGAAAGCAGCAGACGGATCTCGCCTTTGACGGAGTCCCATAGCGCAACCACCTGCTGATCAGACTGAGCTGCGGCGTCAAGTGAACCCAGGTGCGACTTGAGCTCCTGGCGGAACGACTTGGTGAGAGAGCCCGACGGCTCCTGCGTCCAGAGATGCTCGTATTTGACGCGCATTGCCTCGCAGTCCCGACTCTCCGTCTCGAGCTCCCTGCTGATGCCATCGAGCTCGCCCTTGACGGTCTCTTTGAGCTTCGTCAGCTGCACCATGAGCCTCTCGACGCTTTCTCTCTCTTCCATGATCCCTATGTCTTCACGCCACTGGCGCACCTCCAAAGGCACTTCCTCCTCACCGCCCACTCCTCCCTCGGCGATAGCCTTGAAGCGCGCCAAACCCTGCTTCACACCCAGCGATTCTAGCGCGCTCTTGACTTCCACCTCTGCGTTATCGGCTTTCTCCACCTCGCCACGCACGAGCTTCGCCTTCTCCTCGGAGTAGACACTAGCGCTCTCGTGGACACTGAGAGGAATGAGGCGGACGAACATATCCGGTCCTATTACTTTCTGCACTTCCGGCGCCGCATAGACCTCCTGGATCGTGATAGGGGTCGCGATGGTCGCCTTGTCAATCTGAGGCAACGCCTCCGCGGCAGGGAGAACAGCATTGTAGATGAGATCGTTCTCTCGCTGTGCCTCGTTCTTCTTGTCTGTGCAAAGGGCCAGGTGGGCTTTCGTGAGGTCAAGGATTGCCGAACCAGCATCTGGAGGGAGGCTGGGTGACATCTGCGTGACGAATATGTTCGAGAAGGAAGATGCCGAACGGTTTGCTTCCTTTGCTGCCGCCTCGGCTACTGTGAAACGGACCAGAGCGTCGCCGTGCTTTCCGGCCGCACTGTCCGCGAGAGCGCGATAGTACTGCGCCACAGATGTGAAGTATTTCCCCTTGATCTATATGCCCAGGTGAGCGGCATCTCACGGTACAATAGCGAAGGCGTACTTGAAGCAATGACACCCAGTTACGGTCAAAGATACCCTTGCCCATGAACTCCTTCACCTCCTCCGAAAGTGATGTGTACATGAAAGCCGTCTGCGACGCAATCTTGGCGACAAGGGCGTTGCCTTTCTTCTCGTCGGTGCATTTCTCGAAGAATACCTCCGTCGCCTGCGCGAAGATGATGCCAACCAGGAACTTGATGACCTCCCGACTGAGATCGGTGGAAGGTGCGTGGAGGAAGTTGTCATTGATGTATGTCAGCATTCCCGCACACGTCCGGAAATAGTAGAAGGCGCGCTTCAACCCCTCGGGGTCAGAACGGTTCTGAGACGCTGCAATAGCGGAATGAGTCGCCGCTATTTGGAAGATAATGGAGGCCTTCTCATAGGCTATCGAGGTCTGGGTGATAAGCTTGTTGGTGAACGCATCCCGCCATGGGAAGTTAACACGGATTTCAGCAAAGCGTAATTCTAGCAGCTCGAGCTGTCCGAAGTACTTGTACAGCAGATCGCGAGCTGCGGTGCAGAGTTAGCTAACAGTATCAATGAAGCATATATCATTATGCACCAGTCATATCGCTTCCCGCTCCCTTGACTGCATCTTGCCTGCAACGCTGCAGGTTCGCGCACTCCGTTGCGTAGTTGTCTGGATCCTCTCCATACGAGTGCGAGATCGCGCTGCGGATCGGCGTTGTCCAGTCTACCTCCTCCGTAGACTTCTTTGGGATAGATATCATAGGCGAGTTGTGCGCCATCCTGAGACCTCGGACGATGGAAAGTCGTGTATGCAGGAATCGGTGTCTGTTGTTACCTGGCGACTGGGTAAGCCGTCCCGGTGCTCCAGCTGGTAGTACAGAGCAACAAATAGCTTAGAGGCCAATCAAACCGCCTTAGATGAGGGCAGAAGCTGACGAGGTCGAGTAGGATGGTCAAGACAGCTCGTGAGTGTACGGCCGAGTCGACTTCCGCGCCGCAGTGGGTACGTATGAGTCACGTGAACGTCCGTATACGGACGAGTTAGAAGCCAATAGCCTAAGCCTTTGATCCTAACAAGAGCAAACAATGACACTCCGCCGGCTCGTTACGATCAGGCTAGCTTGCCAGCAACGACTGACTGGACCACCATGTCCTTTCTCGTAGGACCTATCTCTGGCGCTCTTGCCGCAGGAGGGGTATGTTCGTCACTCATACGGTGCTTAAGGTAACTGAGTGAGCTGTCCAGGTGTATTATGGTTTCTCCACCATGATCCAAACACGGTAAGAAACAATCTAACTTAGATGCCTGACCAGTTCGCGTACTGATGTCTCGCCTGCGTACAGAACCGAGCAGCACCGTACCGAGTGAGTGCTCTTTCTATATGACGCTCCGGAGACACTGGATAGTGGACACCCTCGCAAGTTGGGGCGCGGATCCATTCGATATGGATGGTATCACTCGTCGATCCCCGTCTGTTCTCCGCGCTGCTCAATAATTCTGCACTATCGCTAAACTTGCTTCTCCGTGTCTCTGTGCAATATAGCTGTGCTGACGCGATGTTACTCTATGTGCAGCTTGCGTACGCTCTCACGGCGAATGGTGGAAGCTGATACAGCTATCCCCGCACCGCCTCCTGCTTCAGAACGTATCGTTCAACGCCCGTTCACCACCATGCTCAAGCACCAGTGGAACACGCAAGTGGAAGCACTCTTCCAAGCTGCGGGGGATTATGACCAACGTGCGATTAATTGGGGACGGAGAGTGCTCTATGGAGGCGATGCTTCTGTTTCGGAAGGAACTAAAACGCACTGACTTTTACATCATTTGTGGATGTTCGTTCATTTCAGTATTATTCGCCCCGAGTCCTCAACGCCCGAACCATTCTAGTGTCTCCGACATTCAGGCGCACCTAAGGCGCACCGTTGTGCTTGTACAACGTGTGTCATCGTCCGAATGGTCTATGGGGACTTGATGCGTGTAACACTATGCGCGATAGCTTCATTGCGTTTATTCTTGGATGTCGTCCTCACTTATACCATCAGTGTATCCTGGTGGCCCCCCTTAAGCTCTGGATTTATGATGCACATGGCTCAACGTCTACAGTTGGTCGTTGATGTGGTGAGGCATTCGTTACGTTTATAGTGTTTCACTGGTACTATCCAACTCATTTCTGGCTACACCCACCAGTATCTGGATGCGATAACGGCGACGCAGAATTGGTGAATATGCTTGAAACATCCTCAATCTGCATGACGCGAAAAACTCATCCGTCTCTGCTTCTTGCCATCTCGCATCTATACTGCACGAGGTAAGTGGCGTCGTTACCCAACCTTAGGAAAAACTTACACGCTCCAGAGGCAATGACATTCGCTCACCGGAGTAACTTCTCTTTACGTGGCTTAGGAGCCTATACGACAACGCGCTAAGTGCGGAGATTAAGCTTGCCAGATGCTTCAGGGTATGCTCCATACCGCGGCCATAGAAGGAGCGGCAGCCTACCATGCGTTCGGCACTGTATTAGTAGTGGTGTCGTCATTGTGCCGTGTCTGCTCCGGAATGTCATTGACCCCATGCATGCAGGATCGACGCAGTGTTGCTACGGCCGCCGCCGTTGTCCGTGTTCTTCTACTCCGAGCCTCGTGACATGTCTAATGGCATGGCGCATGGCGCAGAATATGCGCCGATTATTGAATGAGTCTGACATAGCCTCGCGCAGCTCATCCTCGACGCCTCGGTATCATCCTCGGAGAACCCAAGACATGCTCCCCGTCTCTGCATCCGGAATGGTCGCTCCAACGTGTTGCATGCCGCAGTCGTGCTTTTAGCCGGCCCGAGCATACAGTCCGCATAGTAAGCATGCGGGTTCTTGCAAGTCCCCGCCAATAGGTACATGGTTAACAATAGGACTCCGTCATAGGTTGGGCCCTTCGGGTGGCCGACGGTTTGCCGACGGTCGACTCTCAGATCTCAGGGACGGCGGTGTATAGAGTTTCGATCGAGGTGTTTGAGTCCTCGGATCGGATCAGATCATTCCGGGAACTCTGCTCAAAGCCAATGAGGGCGGCGACAATTGTCAGAGACAACGCCAGAGCCGGGTCTGGTCAATTCGATCGGTATGTCGCGCGGTCCAAGAGTGCTCATGGGTGTTCGGTGAATAAGGTACATGGAGACTCCTGTCATGTGCTTCATCATGCTCACTCTCGTATGGTCCATAGCACGAAGGGTCGGTGTCTAGCCTGGTAGTGCGTGCAAGCCGGGGCGCTCCACGCGCAATAGCAATACACTACCTCAGTCATAGCGCCTCATAGCGCGCGCCCGGAACGCGGTGAGGGGCAAGAATAGTTGCCAGACGCTGCTACCTATTCGGGAGAAGACGATGTGTTGTGCTCGACGAGCATACGGCGCCCATCAGAAGGGGCGAAAGCAGCGGGAACGGCATTCGCCCGCACATCTCAGGATTGTATGGGCTTCGCGTCTCGTACCCGCTGTCCCGGGTCATCCGCACTGATGAACACCCTTCTCAAACGGCTGGACGTGTTGAATGCCGCTCGACACCAGCCCGAGCGGAACAACCAAGACAGCCAGGCCATGTGCTATTGGTACAGTAAGCTTCCGCCATTTCGCCCTCCTTATGCGTTGTTCATACCGGCCTCAATCTAGCATAAGTGACGTTTTCGTTTTCGCGAGAATGTTCGCCAGACTTTACGCAAGCAAGTGGCATACACGAAGGATGTGTCCGTTACTGCACAGCGCTCGACCGAATGGCTTCATGGTGCACAGATACAGCTATCTGCAGCAACATACGGAATCTAATGGCATGACTTCCTCTGCTGCCGCTCCCCAACATTGACAGTACGTTTAACCGGCTCTCCGCCATACCGTTTCTCAGACGCACGATGACGTTTCAGCAAACTTTATGGCCCAAGCGCGCTGATGTACGTTACCCAGGAAGGTAGCTTGAGCGTTCTGAGGTTGCGACATCTCAGCGAGCGCGGTAGTTGTTGGTAAGTACACGGCCGGAAAAAAATCTGGAGGAATCCTATCAGCGGAGGTACCGTGTAATTTCGCGCAGTCCCACCTGTGAGCAGCCTGCGATCTGCATGCGATCTGCTTGCAATTCAAGGTCGGCGTTTTGCCCTCGGGTTACGTGTGCATATATCACAGAGTACTTTGATGGACCCGAGGGTACGGTACACCTACCTTTTTGGGTAGCGTCAGGTGACGCACTCGCAGCGACAGCGAAGTCCGAGGCGAGGATAACTTACTGGAGTGGTGAGCAAGGCTGCAAGGGTACTGTGATCATAGAGACATTATGAATTTGCCCGAAATAAGATTTCCTATATCCTCACGTATTCTGACTTCCGCGTTGAGAACGCGCGATACATATGTAGCATGCTCAAGAGTCAAGCTAGTCAAGACCGGACTTGCACTTGAAGAGGTTGTATGGGCATGGATGATATTGACATACATATACAAGCCGTTGAGTCTGCTAACAATGCCAGCATGGCTCAGTTGGCTACGACGTTGCCTCCATCTATCTACCATACCGGGGTTCGACTCCCGCTATGTTTGACCTATTTTTACAGTTTCCCCTTGTCCTTATGGCCGGCTATGGTTCCCCTTTCTGGTGGGGATTATGTCACAGCGGCCCACGTGTAAGACCTACAAGCAAACCACAGGCCCGTCCTGCAGGTGCGACATCACCCTTGATTCACAGGACACCGTCAAGCTATCCGTCAAAATATCATCATTCCCCTGCGGGTGCCTCGTTACCCGCCCTACGGTTGCCTACTGGCAGATTTCTGCCCGTGTAGACTTCGGTCTGGTCTCGTAGTCGCCTTGCTGATTTCAAACCGCTGCTGACAGACATCTACATCAACCTAGCTCCAGGCCTTTGCCGAAGAGCTGTTTGCATCGGTCTCGCACGAGAAGTGCACAAGAGCTTGTTCAGTTCATCCCGAGCCCTGAGGACGGGGAATGCGACTCTAGTATCCTTGGTTGCAGTTGTGCACACAGAAGCCACCGGTATCGCATAACTAGCCTTGTCGTAAGGAAGTGAAATAATGTCAAGCGGCGTCCGCGGCGCATCGACCTGGGCCTGTTGCCATAGCGTGTTCTGAGGAAGCCTCATCGGGTTTGCAACATCGACAGAATGATCAACCCCTCGTAGTGAAATGGCGTCGCTATCAAGACGCTTTGCAAGATTGTATCCGTCGACGGGGTCATACATCCGATTTCGGACCGGGTATGGGTCCAATTGTTCTCCATGTGGATGTGGTACGTTACTGAGATTGATCTTAAGTGCCTCGTATGGCCGAGCCACCGGCTAGTTCGGGACAGGTTGGCACAGGGTTCCAAATTCAAGTTGTGCAGCCACAACCCCGCAGCACGTTGCCTTGCGGAAGCCGAAGCGGTTCGGACCCCATGTGTAGTATGATACGCTTCTGCCATGAAACTTCCATACGTCCAAAGCGGCACGTATCCATCCGCCTATAAAAACGGACTGTCTGTCAACGACCCAGCAGCGTCCCCTCTAGTGAGCTTCAACGCCTGTACCGTCTCCTCGATATGCGGTTCCTCACGACCGTGGTCGCTGCCAGCATCACTGCGCACGCCTTCCTTGGGGCCCTATCGCAGGAGGAGGTCACCTCTCCTGCCCCAGGAGCCCAGCCGTTCAGCTACGACCTCAACACTGGTCTCGTCGCGCAGTTGCAGGTATCCGGAGAGTCCGCGCCCCAGCTCGAGTACACGACTGAGAATGGCGCGCCGTATACGAACCCGTATGACGCCTGGAAGATTGGTTCGAATGGTATGCAGCGGCGAATATGCCCTATTGTGGCCCGGGTGCTCACAATGCCTTGCAGGGCCTCTGCTCTTGGAGGACTACCACCTGACCGAACTCTTCGGCTCGTTTGATCGCGAGCGCATCCCTGAACGCGTCGTTCATGCCAAGGGCGGTACGTATACCACCCGAACCACTGATTCATCATGATGTTGTAGCTGATTCTTGCGCTTCTCCTCTAGCGGGTGCACATGGGTACTTCCAAGTGACCAATGCATCCTTCTGCAAACAGTATACGATGATGTACGAGTACTATCCTCACATCAAGTGTGGTCCACATCACTGATCCTTGTTTGGCACAGGGATATGCTCAGTGAGGTGATACGCGCACCTCGTCACACCCGATCCGCTCTGCTGATACCTCTTTCTAGGATGGTCTGAAGACGCCCGTAACCGGTACGTCGTTGCGTGTCCGCTCGACGGAGAAGCTGACGATCGCGTGTTCCTGCAGTCCGCATCAGCACCGTCGGCGGGGAGACGGGGTCTGCGGATGAGGCCCGTGATCCTCGTGGATTTGCGGTCAAGTGAGTGAACGCCTGGGGAGCGGGTCAGTGCTTGGTGCTAAACATGGATCAGGTTCCGCACTCGCAAGGGTATCCTCGACATTGTGATGAACAGTATGTTCCACGCTGGGTCTGTCGATGGTATCACATTGATGATTGGCGGACCACAGACACGCCGGTGTTCTTCATTCGTGACCCATCCAAGTTCCCGCACTTCATTCACGTATGTCCGCCATTCGTGTGCCCACGACGAGTGACCTTGACGTCGACATGCCGGCCACAGACGCAGAAGCGTAACCCGCAAACGAATTTGAAGGACAAAGAGTACGTTCACTGGTACATGTGGACGTAACGGCACTGACTCTCGGTGTTACGCAGCATGTTCTGGGACTTCCTCAGCGCTAACCCGGAGTCCTTGTATCAAGCGATGATCTTGTTCTCCGACCGCGGCACGCCCTACGGGCTCCGACACATGGATGCCTGGACTGGTCATACCTACCGGTACGGCGAACCGCGGCAAGGAGTGTCACACCTATTGATGCACAATTCCCTCAGATGGATTCAGACTGACGGTTCATTCCACTACGTGAAGCTACACTTTGAGACCATGCAGGGGGTCAGTGGCGAGCCTATCAACATATTTGAGATATCACTGACCTACTTGTCGTCGCGTAGGTCAAGAACTTCACCAACGCAGAGGCCACCGTCATCCAAGGTACGTACGGCTGCGGCTTTGTGTTCCAAGCATTTTCTGACATAATAGGGCTGTACGAAGGGACGAATCCGGACTTTGCGACTCAAGATCTGTACGAAGCAATTTCAAACGGGTCTTACCCGGGATGGACGGTGTACGCACAAGTCATGGCTCCGGAGCAGGCCGAAAACTACACCTACAACGTCCTCGATCTCACCAAATGAGTAGTACGTCGGGCCCTGACAAATGCTCCCGATTCTTACCTTCCTCCGAAGGGACTGGGACGGAACCGTTCCCAAGGTCGAGATCGGGAAGATGTATCTGACCCAGAACCCGACGAAGTAAGCCGCAGTTGAAGGTGCATGCTGTGATCGGCGGGAGCGGCGCTGATCGTTGTGGTCAGCTATTTCGCGGAGGTCGAACAGGCCGCGTTCTCACCGTCCCACATTGTGGACGGATGGGCTCCTTCTGCTGACCCGATGCTGCAGGCGCGCCTGTTCGCCTACTCCGGTATGTACGCAGAGATGTTGAGAAACGCTCATGCTGACAGTCGATGCAGATACCCAGCGATACCGACTGGGTGTCAACCACATGGTGGGTCAAGCTCGCATCATACCATGACTTTGGAAGCTCACTTTGCATCAGCAAATCCCCGTGAATGCTCCTACTGTCCCCGTTGGTGAGTTGAGGCCACAGCGTGCACGAGAAATAGTCTCACTCCGATGCTTCAGCCAACTGGGAACGTGGCGGTCATATGAACATCAATGGCAACCAAGGTAACAGGCCTAACTACATGTCCACGATGAGCCGCCTTGGTCTCTACAATCGAACCTACACTCTCGATTCCCACCAGCAGTGGACGGTGCGTACTCGCTTCAAGTTCCCCCGTTTGTCTCGGTCGATCTCACGCTGGGTATTTGTAGGGAGGTGCTGTGCAGTCGCTTTCCATGGTCACGGAGATCGACTTCTCCTGGCCGCGGATCTTCTGGAACACCATGTCTGATCAGGACCAGCAGAACTTGATTAGGTGAATCTCCCCGCAGGATCGCCGGCGTTCTCACAGCTGCTGAGGACGTTCCCACCCATCTAGCAACGTGGTTGGCCATCTCGGCGAAGTGGTGAGCCAGGAGGTCCGGGAGCGACAGGTTGCTCTATTCAACCATGTCAATGCCACACTGGGTCAGGCCATCGCGGCAGGTGTCGGCGTCACAAGCATTCAAAGCTTGAACTTCACGTATGGGGAGACGTGGCTCAACCACACTGTTTACAGCACGGACAGCACGTTGAACTTCGTCTAGAGTTGAAGCATAGCCCCGGAGGCTCGGAGATGTGGGACATTTGAAGGAAGATCATGGACTTGGACAATCTACTAGTATGATGTCTTAGCATCATCAGTATCCGATTCTATTCGCATTGGTGATTGATTCCATGCGCGGGCGAAGACTCTCAGAGCGATTTGCGCTTCATGATGCGTTGCGATTGACTCGTAAGCATGTCACGATGACGATTCGTCTGAACGCTCGAATGTAGAGTTCGACGGTGAATAGATTCAGGATCTGAGATCATCAACCTACCGGAGCTTGCCGTATGATCCTGTGGCTGCCCTCGCTAATTCGGAGCCCGGACGTACATAAGTACCACTTGCGACGTATCAGCTAGCTACAGAACGCTTCAATCACTTGCTCAAGCCTCTTCAATCAATTAGTCCAGTTACCTCCGACATCTACCCGTGTACCTCATTGACGGAATTACTGTCCTACACCTTAATTGTGGTTTGGCGGCAATGACTGGCACTCAGGGTCGTAGTAGGGCCCGGGGGACGTTGCCAGGTATTGCTATGATGAGGTTGTCGTTACCTCCACTTGTGGACTCAAGATCTTGCTAGTGACTCGTACGTAGTGTCTATGTCCATATCGCTTGCGCGTGGAGGCATGGGAGGAGATAGATATTTCTCGCTGAAGGGTCGGAGCGTACACGGAGGTCCTGTGGGCGCGAACAGCTGTTAATCCTTTGCTAGCGATACGCAAGCACTCCGGAAGGGGCAATGGGATTCTGCTTGCTGTCGTGAGGGTGTGTACCGCGCATATTTCTTCGTCGTCGCCGGTTGATCGTATCGCACCTTCCAACAGGTGTCTCTTCGACAGAGCTTCAGCGCCTGCCTGTCTCGATGAGAAGGTGTCTCGCGAAAAATTCCGACCGTCGCTCAAGTACTCCAGGTCGGTCGGCGAGAAGTGAGCCCCATGTCCACTCTCTTACAGGCTGGCGTTGTCGATTTATGCGCCACCCTCCAGGTCGTTGGCCGCTTTTGTCAGACGCAGAATCAGCGATCGCACTTGTGGACGTGGTGTGCTGACGTGGAAATTGTATGCGCCCCGTTCGCCATGATAGATAGCGGCATTCAAACTTCACCGTAGGCGCTGGAATGACTTCGCGGTGGTACGCAGAAGCTGATTTTCAATGTGTCCGCGAAGATGCCTCAGTCAATGCGCAGTGGCCGATGCCGTTCAAGTTCCACCTTGAGGGCACGGGAACCATCGCGCCGTGTACTGCAAGTCTGGGGACAACCTTCACCAATCTCGGTGAGGATGACTGAGACTCTTGCTAGATGCATGCCGACTGCAAGTTACCGCACCGTGGCCACCTCCTCCTGCCGTTGATCATGAGGACAGGATTGGCCTTGGCAGCCGTTCACCTGGTATTGCAGACACAATTTGACTCATTCTAGCACTATGTTACGGACCCTGACAATGTGAGTCATGTCCGGCTGTACTCCGCTTTCTGACTAAAGAGGCTGTGCGCAGATGTGGCACAGACATGCTAACGCGGCTCAGGGGGCACGGACAGTGTTTGTGGCATCCGGTGAGTGGAAGTCGGACACCGCGCGCACGTCTTACGCAACCGGCTAGACTTCGATGGCCAGGCCAGACACGTCGCTGGGGGCAAGCTGTGCAGACCGAGAGTTTTGTATGCACTGGTCGTCGTCGAGGCTTACGAGAACTCAATTGCTGGCCGTCCCGACAAAGTCTCGGGCCACAGCTGCGTCTGTAATAGCGATTACGAAGCGCGCCGCTGACTTGATCCTGAGGTTTCTTGTCCGGGATTTGACAATGATCGAGGAGCGATTGCTGGGCCCTGGCTGGACCAATGATATTTTTTTTCTGAATGCCGGAACCAAGACACTGGACCCGATCACTCGCATGTTCGCGACAAATCAAAGTTTGGACCTCGAAAGTAGTTTATTTGGGCCCCGCAAGGCGTCGCCGCTTCCGGGCACGGTGGTAGCAGAGTAGACACGCGGGGCAAGGTAGATTGAACCAGAGGGTCCTGGCAGATCCCAGAACCCCGCGGTCGCCAGACGGGCGAGTTCGACGAGCACTCGAACCGTCTGGAAAACCCCAGATCCCGCAGTCCCTGCCTCACCGCGCCACTTTCTTGCCCAGACGCAACTCCGACGTCCCAGAACGGACGCGATCTGCGAGGTTCGATGGTCGGAGATAATCGTTGGGTCTCCGACCGAGGCGGCCCGAGCGCTGGGCCGCAGGCGCGTTCCCGGACCTTTGGCTGAACTCCACAGCGGCGATCGCGAAAGTAGCTATAAAACCCTGCGCTGCAATATAAGACCGTCAGCCTCGTCGATGCTGGCCATCTGAACGGTCTCCCCTATGGCTACCCGGCTTAGCAGCTCTTCCACCTCTTCCCACCGGCATTCACTCTCAGCCCAGGACCGAGTGAGTGGTACATATAAGCTCCAACTCCAGAACCCATCAATCTAACTCACCGGCGTCTAGAAGGTTCGGCCAGTAGGATCGTCCTCGCGTGTAGGCCGGCCAATCCGCTTTGTAGGCGGTCAGTTCGCAGGACGTACGCTTCGAGCCGAGCTGAATGAACTGCAGAAGGCAGATCTGGGCCGAAAGTGCGTTCGTTTCACTACTCATCCCGAGGTGACAATTGCTGACGACTTCTTCCGCGCTGCAGGTACGCCCGCAAAGATCGCAGGCCATTGGACCCGCCACCGGTCGTCCAGTTTCAATTATTCGAGGTGTTGCACGCCGATACGCCGTCGCAAACCGAACGAGAGTTCGAGGATTACGAGTGCGTGTGCTCCTATGTTTTCTGCTGATGCTGGGTTCGTTGTTCACATCCTTTTCTTCAGCGCAATCAAGAGCTTCGGCGTCCTCTGTCACGTTGACCTCTTCCCGGTTCCAGACCAAGATGGAGACGAGTCTGATGGCAGCGAAGAATCAACGTCCTCACAGTCGCAGGCGAGTACAAGCACCTTCCACCCCCAGGCCTTTCCTGCCCCCTCGCCTGCGCCGGGACCGTCCCGGGCCAGCTCAAATCCGTACCATTCAATCTACTCGCCTCCACCTTCGCCCGGCTCCTATTTCATGCCTCAGCTCATGCCGTCATCGCTGGCTCACCACATCCAATCGATCCCCGCACCGCTCCCGCCGCCCGACATCTTCCCCTATCCGCTTCCGACGACCACGGCGGCGCTGCTGCAGTCGTTCACCATGCCCGTAGCAGCGCCGTTACCACCTTTAGCGCCAGAGTTGTCCCTCAACCTCCCAGGAGCGTCCTATGATCTTATGCAAACGCAGATGAACCAACACTCAAGACACGGTGACGCGTCTCCCATGCACGGGCAGTCGCATTCTGGGCCTCTCGACCCCGACATAGTTGCCTACATGGGCGACTTTGCGATCCGAGAGAGCTCGAAATGCACCGCGGACCTGGTGGGCGCAACCTTCGTGCAGTCCTCCGGCCTGGAGTACAAGGGCAAGAAGGCACTCATGTTTGTGTTCTCGGTGAGTGGTATTCTTGGCTGGACATGGAGCGCGCCAGGGCTGACCCATCCCGTTTATCGCGCCAGGATCTCGCAGTGAAGACGGAGGGGACGTTCATACTGCGCTACCGCGTGTTCAACATATTCTCCCAAGCGTCTGGGATTGACGTACCCATTCTCGCGCAATGCTTTGGTGGGCCGTTCAAGATCTACCCGAGCAAAGAGTTCCCGGGCCTGCGCGCCTCAACGGACCTCACGAAGGTAAGTGCGCAGTCTCAATCGCATCTTTGAACTGCTGACGACAGGTCAGCACATATCCCATTTCGGGGTACGGCTGAACCTGCGTGAGACCGAGCGCAAGCGACGGCGACACAGCGAGAGCTCGGCGGATAGGTCACAAGATAGCGCGCCGCCGTCTTCGGGCGAGACGTCGTCCAAGTCACCGAATTCGACGTCCTCCGGGACGACAAGTGATCGCAGCGAGTCCCGTGGCAAGGGCAAAGATCGCGCATACGACATAGACGGCATCAGCGAGACAAGCAAGGACGACTGACGATGCACCAAGGCAACTACACCGCCGCTTCACGGGTACCTATGTGTCTTCAATCGGGGTTTGTGCTCAGGTTTTCCGTACACGCTTGCAACAGGTCTTGGCCATAGGTTCGGACATCCAAGAGCACTGGGGATCTAGGATCAATTGTAGAACAGCATATCTTACACACGGGTAATACTCCTCGTCTGGGCAAGTCTTGATACACGGACGCACGGACTGCCGATGGAGTCGAGTCCAGGCTGGTTCTTGGGAGGCTCCTCGGGATACGTACCTAACCGTATATCGGGTAATCCGCTCTCCATCCGCGCAGCATATACGGACGTGTGGATGGAGGGATAGACAACGTGCGCGGGGGCGAAGTCCAGGCGAGATTCTTCATGGTGTGCTTGATAGTTGTATTACTTTACCATCGTGTATCCATACTACACTTGCATTTGTAATACGCGCAGCCGAATAATGTCTCAACGCAGTGCATGAACGAATCGGGAAACGGGGCAGATTACGGGGCACTCACCACGGACGTCTGGACCGTGCATGTCACGCGATTATACGCTCGCCTCTCGGGCTTCCTGATGGGTAAGGACACAGCAGAGAGGATTCTTTGCGGAGCTACGTCAAATGCGGTATATGGAGATTGACCAGTGGACTCAGCTTCTGCGACGCAGCGACTCCTTATATGCGCCAATGTGCAGCAACACTGAGTACTGATGGCCCGTCCTTCTCAGGCGCACCTGGACGTAACGCAAGACTTGGCCGGTCAGACGTTCGAGTTGCCGGTCTTCCTAAACGATTGGACGAGTGCACTGGTGCCTCGATCTGACGTTCCTACATAGAGGCCAAGCGCGGCCCGTGTCACGCCTTGTCTCCAGCGATTAAAACTTACCAAGACTAGCAGATGCGGTCGTCACCTGCAGGAGAGGAGGAGGAGATGAGATGGTGTTTGTCGGAGGTAAGAGGCGAGTGGCTGGAGGATGTAATAGCAGTCATGAATTGGAGTCTGGGTCACGGTGTTCTGGATTGCCACCCTCGCGTACAGCGGCCACACTAGTAGCTCAACTGCAGAAAATTACAGAAAAGCTTTTGTGTTTTAATCGCAGTCTAAGACAATGCAATTTTTGACTACATATTGCTGGGGTCGTGCGCATTGACAGTTGCACTGCACTGGCAGCAATAATAAGCTGTGGGCAAAACCACGCAAGGAAACGGTAGACAGCGAACACGCCATTGCTGTGATGCTACCCGCATCGGGAATGGCAAATATGAAGCAGTGTCGTAGCAAGAAAATCTTCATCGAGTGCACTCGACGACTGCATGAACTCACGAGCCTCCAACGATGCAAGAGAACGAACGCGTATCTCGCCATACTACAACAGCCCATTATGCGCAGAATCATACAGAAAGCTTGCAACTAGTATACAGTGCTCCCCCGCAGCGTCGACGTAGAGCTCATTAAAAGGTCCGGCTCCTCCTCCTTCACAGCAGTCCCTTGGATCACAGCCAGATCCCTCAGATCTTTCTGCAATATCTTCGTCAAGTGCGCCAGCCCCGCCTGCTCTTGCTCCAGAATCTGCAACGCCCGTCAGTCACGTTGAGCACGCTATTCATCCAGCGAACAACACACTGACCTGTGCGATCTGCTGGAGCCCCTCCTCGTCCACAACGGCCCACTCGACGCCGCCCGTCTTGCGATCTCGCTCCCGCGCCGCCGTGACGGCGCCAACAAGCGCCCAGAGCTCGTTCAGCTTGCCACGTATCCTGCCCGTCCCACCAGGTCGGCGGATCTCCTGATCGATATCTTCCAGGGCCGTGCGGAGGGCCTCTTCTTCTGGCCGGATCGCGGACGAGCGCACGGCGGGTATCAATAGATGCAGATGCTGCACGACCTTCAGCACGCGATGCGTGAGCTGCGTCTGAAGCGCCGCGGCGCGGTGCAGGCGCGATGCGTTCGACAATTCGTGTCGCTGGGCGAGAGCTTGAATACGCGTTCGGAGCTCCTGTAGATGATTGTCAGGGTGTGCGTGCGGATGCAGAGTAGGCTCGAGACTGGCCTTCAGCTTTTCTTGGTGCATTGCGGCTTGTTGTGTCTGCGCCTCTACACGTTTTTGCAGGTCATCGAGGCCGTTCGCAATCACGGGGACAAGGCTAGAGACAAACGGTGAGCCAGCTGGTAAACTGCTGAATCACAGTACGGAAGCTAAAGTACGACATACCAGCTCGGATCCGGGTTTTCCCTGACGGCTTTTTGCCATAACGCATCGTTTGTCGCGTTCGCAGGGCGCCCATACAAGTGTACTTGCGATGGGTCCACGAGGTTGTAGAAGTAATGCTGCGCCGAGACATCAGAATGGACGCGGAGAACACAGCGACACTAGCGTACCTGGAACCGACACTGCGGCGACGCAGGGTTCCACGCGTGGTATATGCTCTCGATCCGCTGCTGCAGCGACACAAACTGCGATTGGGCGTCTGCCTGAGTCTGCCCGGCGGGCACCAATGCGCGCGATGAGTACAGATTGCCTTGTGTGGCGCCGAGAGAGCCGCCTAGCGTGCTTCCGCCGAAGAGCGAGCCCGTTCGTTGCTGTTGAGGGGCCTGGCCGAGAGTCGAGCCGCCGAAGAGCTGGTTGGTGCTGGGACCTGCTTGAGACTGGTTTCCGAAGAGACCGGGGACCGGATTCGGGGTAGTGGTCGTGCTTCCGAACAGACCGCCTGAGGTTGCTGGCGCTGGGTTAGCGTTTCCGAACAGTCCTCCACTGGCATTAGTCGTGTTCGTGTTCGTATTTGTCGAGCCAAAGAGGCCGCCACTCGGAGCAGACGTGTTTGTTGAGGTATTACCGAACAAGCCACCGCCCGTCGTGTTCGTATTTGTTCCTCCTGCGTTCCCAAACAGCCCGCCTCCCGTCCCGCCGGTGTTGCTCGACGTGTTTGTGCTGCCAAACAGCCCGCCCGAAGGCTGGGTGGTGTTCGTTCCTCCGGTCGTGTTGCCGAAGAGACCACCTCCAGTCGTGTTCGAAGAGCCGGCATTGCCGAACAGCGGGTTTCCCGTGGATGTTCCTGCAGCAGGTTGGTTACCAAAGAATCCTCCAGTGGTCGGCTGTGCAGACGTGTTGCCAAACAAACCTCCACCTGATTGCTGTGTATTCGCCGTGTTGGTACTCCCAAACAATCCACCTCCAGGCTGCGTGTTCTGAGTGTTCGAGCCTCCGAACAATCCTCCCCCACTCTGCTGCGTGTTTGACGGATTCGGGTTTCCAAACAATCCTCCACCACCTCCAGATTGCGTGTTCGTCCCGCCAAACAAGCCTCCGCCCGTCGTGCCTCCAGTCTGCTGGTTCCCTCCGGCGGGCGGGTTCTGCTGCTGATTGTTTCCAAACAGAGACGTACCACCTGTTGCAGGTTGTGACGCGTTATTGGTCGAACCAAACAGACCTCCAGATGGGGCGGGTGCCCCGCCCTGCTGCTGAGGCTGCTGGCCCGGATTCTGTGTGTTCCCAAAGGAAGAGAACATATTTCTTGTGCTCTTTCCGTCGCTAAGAATGAATGAGAATTGGTCTATAAAACGAGAGTATCATTTCACCTCCGAGCAACGCGTCAAAGAACAAGAGTGGCTCAACGCCCGACGAGGGCAAGTAACTGCGTATAAGCGCTCGCCGCTACAGCCCGTTCGTGGAACACCACGATCACGTGCACGTGGCGACGAGTGTAATCGCGCAGGGGGATGCGGAGACTCGTTCTTTGTCTATTCCATCTACATAGCTTCAAGACTTCCTCAACAGGTGGTCAAATAAACAGTAGCGTTGCCAGGTTTCTCCCATGACTCAGACACATGATCCTCAGCTGGCAGTGCCCGATAGCGTTTGCTTCCTGGACGTAACATGTGCGCCATGGTTCCCACCTACAGAAGACGGTAAGTTATATAAAGGGTTGGTTGTATCGTATCTCATCCGCACCATCCCATCGTCTTAACCTCCAACATGCCGAGCACCAATGCAGGTAATTCCAGCGCAGGTAATCACGCAGCTGGTGTGAGTTGTCCCAGTATGCTTTTCTCATTCCGCACACCTCTGAGCGAGAAAAGAATGCTGGCGCAACGCATCCCAACGGCAAGGCCAGGATCCCCATTAAGAAAGTAAAGCGGGTTCATGGTCATAGAGAGGAGATCCCGTTACAGGCGTACCGCGATGCAGGAGTGAACGTCAACCGCGGCTGGAACACGCTCGTGACGCCTGACGAGGTCGAGGAAGCGAGCGATGCCTGGGATGCTAGAGGCATCCTGCACGACGTGGATACGCAGTGGGGCGCGCTGCCTGGCGGCGGGGCATACGAGGAGAGTAACGACTACTATGCATCAGGAATTTACGACTTCTATTGAAGGATTACGAGTAGTAAGTACGTCATGAAGCGCTGCTCTGGGATGCACGTCGGTCTGACTGTGTTTATTAGCTTCATAGGCAGCGTGGAACATGTACGAGTAGTGGTGATGGTGTATTGCATAAGAGACTGCGTTCGCACATTGCAGACCTCGCCGTTCGTGTTATCGCAGGGACATACATTGCTACATGCATCATTTTACATCCGATCCTCAAGCTACATGAATAACTTAATCGCAATGGGACAAGTCTAGAATACACGCAGCATCTTTCGCACCATGGTGCGGAATGTGCTGATATAGATAGGCTGTTGAGCGAATCCCGTCGGCCTGAGACTGCACATCGCAGGTGCCAACTGAGCCGCGGTGGGTGAAGCTGTGCCAGTTGCGCCAGCCGCTCCTGAACTTCCTGTTGCAGACGCGCCGGACCCTCCGGCTCCGGACGTTGTGCTGCTCGATACGTCGGCCGCGCTGTATGAAATGTTAGTGAACAGTGAACTTCTATGTGGAAGGAAGGCACGTACGGGCAGAACGTCAGAGTATAGTCAGCATTCTTCGACGCGTCACAAGTCCACAAGGCAGTACCACTCGACTCATCGTACGCAAATGCGTAAGCGTCGGGGCAATTTCCCTCTGGTTGTATGGTGCATCAGTAATGTCACGTTTGTCATCTTGTTTGTGCCACTTACTGAAGAAACTGTAGTAGTCGACACCAGATGACGGGCAGGTCGCTGCGGTGCTGTGGTCCCCAGAGCAGCAATTTGGTGAGTTGCCTGCCAGTACAGTATAAGGGTTGCGGGCCTTCCTGATGAGCGATGTGAGACTTACTTGAATCGCCGCCGAGGTTGGCACCGCAAGCACTCATGCAACCGAGCACCGTGCCCGATGAGTTCGTTGGTCCCTTCAGGGAGTCTGGGCCTGGTGGCGACATGGGAGTCAGGATTTCAACTGAAAGCAACAGGGGTAGAGGACTTACAAATCGCGTCGAGATCCACTGGGCAGCTAGCCACCGAACAACCGACATTGTTGGTGATCGCCAGAGGCACATTGAAACCATCGACGAGCGATACTGCATAACGTCATGGCATCGCGCTACCATAGCACAGCCGATAGACCCTACGTACCGTCGTAGTAATCGTTGCTGCCTGCGCTCAAGGTCCATTCAGCCAGACTTGCTGGAGTGTTGCCTGGAGCGGTACATTCCAGTCCTCCGCTGCACGAACCAGAAAGACAGGTCTGGCCGGCGCTACTGTTACTGAAGTCACAAGCCAGTCTGCCCTGTCGATCACTGTTACGGAGTATCGTATGTCGTGACATAGTTCCGACGCACCCATATCCGACCCGAGTCCCAATCATTGGGTACCGAGAAGCTTACGGAGGTGTGAGGTGGGGCTTCCCATCTGCATGTTCCGATACGTGAGTATTCTAGTATAGAGCTCGGACTTGACTCACCCAGTGGGTTGGTCTGGCGTGGAGCCAGACGATCCGGTGAAGATCTAGTCGAGGTCGTGATCAGTAATCAACCTTTGTACTTACTCATGTGGGTGTGCGAGGCCCGTACACGAGCATTTTTACGACACACTTACGGCAGGCCTGGTCGCCAATATGAGCTTCTCGTCCGACTATCGCGAGGTATTCAGAAAAACAACTCACCATACAGTATACGAGCAGTTGTTCGCTACCGTGAAGGTCCGCGCAGAGGCTAGCGATACAGACCCAAGGATAGGCACGTAGAAGGCATAAGTCATAAGGAGTGGCATTGTCGAGTCGTAGTGTGTTGTTGTGGATCTCAGCGGGTGCGTGGTCGGTATACTAATACAAGCGGGTATGATCTTGGGTGTCGGGCGATAGGTGGCTGACCGCGGCCAGTGTGTGGTTATCACGGCAGCCTAAAAGCCCACGCGCAGCCACGAGAACTTCACGCTGCGCATGCACGCTTGCGGTGCCAGTGGAGTGAGCTTGCCTCGAGGTGGTAGGACGGAACAAAGATAGTAAGTATTAAGTAAGTAATTATTACACGCGTGTCTACGCGTACGGACTCCGTACATGAACGCACGTGATGCGCGATCTGTGCTCGTCGCGCGACCGACTCGGGCTCGGACAACATCCCATCTTCGATTCCTCAGAGCCTCTTCCCCAGGCCTCAGTTGGTGCGGAAGTTGCTCTTGGAGTGCGTGTGGCTCGTCGTCGCAAATCCTACTCGGCTGTTTCCAACGTCGTACACGGTATAGAATCGCTCCAACCACCCCATGCCGTTTATGAAGTCGAGGCCGCTGCCGGCGACTGCCCCGTTGTCGGACACGATCAGGTAGATGCCATCCGGGTCGCCGCCAATGTATTCGTTCAACTATATCGCACTGGTAAGGATGGGCATGCGTGGAGCGCGAGGGAACGTACGGAGCGAGGCCAGAGTTGAGCATCTGGTGTGAATTCATATACGGTCTGACAGGCTCATGCGGTCAGTTTCACTATCCGATGCGGGACGTCCAACAAAATTGCTCACGTCGCCAATGCTGAAGTACAGACTTTCGAGTGCTTCGTATTGCTCCTCATCGATCTGGAGCAGCCCGGTGGTCTGATCCATGGTAGCACCCGTCATATTCTGATATGCGTCGAATGCGTCTGCAAGAATAGTCACCACCTGGCCGTGTCGAGCCAGGCTGTAAGAAGTACGCACTCGTTGCCAGTAGGAGGAGCGTCGTTCCAGTATCGATAATGCCTGCCGTAGGGCTGAGAATTTCTGTCCCGCCGTACGTCACGGTCTGCTCGATGCCTACGTAATGACTCGCGGGGCTAGTCGATGTTATGTTGCTAGTCCCCAGTACTGTGAGTCTTTGGTTCAATCGTCGAGAGCTCAAGCACTTACACGTAGTTTAAGGTCCCTTTGTACTTGCGTTCGTCTATTCCACCGAAGGTGAGCTCTCCATTCATCTCGGCCTGCGTTGTGGAGGGAGTGAATGATATCCCGATCTCGTACGCTTCCAGGAGGCCTTGCTTCCACGCATTGTCCACCACAGTCGGGACACACTCGTTCAGCCCAGGTAACTGAGTACCTGTAGCGTACCTTGGGTAAGAGTCCTAGTACGCATATTTAATCTGGGAGACTTACCACAAGTAAGGTCCTGTGGCCCGATGCTGTCATACCATGTGAGTAGGTCAGATTGTACTGAGCAACCTATGCATGAGCCCCTACCCCATGATCCCGTCTACGCCGTCAAACCCTGAGGAAACCAAGGCAGCACCCAAACCTTGCATTGTAATTGTGAGCTCAGGCCCCAGGGAGATCTGGTCCATGACTTCGACCCCTGGAATACAAACGTAGGTCAGACACGCTCAGCCTCTACTACCACATCCACTGCGTCTAACATACCTCCGAAAAAGCCGGACCCATACGAGACAAACTGCGATAGACTTGTCAGGCGACTATCCGTTAGATATCTCGAGTATACTGACCACTGTGTTCGGCGTTACCACCGTCGTCTCGGAAAACACGTAAGGATTCGACATGTTCGCGCCGGCCCAGGTATTAGAGCTACCCGTGTCAATGAGAAGACTATCTAACAGACGACATTCCTCAGCACAAGATATGCGTCATGAATGGAAGACTTACAATTGGTAGGCGGATCCCCGATTTGCACCTAGAGATATCCATTAAGCACACGCCTTCTCCGTGCAGAGACCACGTACATTTGCTGTGTAACTGACGATCCTCGACGTGGCATCGACGTTGACCGCGGACGCAGCCTCGGTAGCGGAGCTGACCCCGACGTACTTGCCTTGCGCGCGATCGCGGAGGAACTGCGCTCGCGCCTGGTCGAACTGGACGATATTGTTACTGCTCGCGTAACCGACGCGCCGCGCGAACGGAAGGGTGACCTTGGATGCTTGCGCCGGCGGCGACATAGACCCGGCGAGCATGTCGAGACCGAGCGGCAGGTCGGGTGTTGGCGCAGCCTGCGACGGTCGAAGCCATGCGAGGGCGAGGAGCACCGGGGCAGCCGTCAACTTCATGATTGGTACGCGTGATGTTGACCGTCGTCTCTGACTTGTGGAGGAGGGGGAGGATCCTCGCTGCCATACTCTGTTTCTTATATGGCGGCGGAGGCTGACATTGTGCGCAGACTGGTGAGCCTAGATGCAAGCGATCATTTCGGTACGGACTGGGGATATCGGGCTGGATGCAAGCCGCATCCATGTTACCGTGATCGAGGTCAGCCATATACATTGATGAACCTAGTAGGTACGCGATGTATCTTATATGCACAGAGGGTACTATGAGCGTATATAATGGTAGCAAATCGGGTGAGGGGCATAAGGTGAACGTACAAATCAGCGCGAACGATGTAAAAAGCAATCTTGGTGGAAGCATAGCGTGATAAGTGGTGTACTAGCAAGATAGCACGAAAGGGTGAGACGACCCCGAGCAAAGCAAATCCAAAGAATTTGACAAACCGAACATCTAGATCGCCGCGTTGCAGTTCGGGCAAATCACCGGCGGCTGGTACATCCACGTCTCGTTCTCCAGCTCCTTCTCGCGACACTGCCAGTACGCATGGTAGGTACGGTGTCGCATACCGGAAACCCACGCCAATTCTGTCACAGCGCTCCTGTGGATCCAGGGCCGACCAGCTGTCATTGATCGACTCATCGGGTTCAAAGGCAGCATAGACCAGCTGACGTGCAAGAACAACCTCCTTCACATTTCCGGCTGGTCTCCAACCATCTTGGGCTGGACCCGGGCGGCAGACAATGGGGCACTGGGATATGCAGACAAGGGCTGGAGGGAGATGTGCGAGAGCATCCAACCGGGACATCTCTGAATGTGTCATCTTTCTGGGCTAGACTAGGCTCGTCGAGTCTGAGCCCGATGAACTTCCCGTGCTGTCTGATCCTGTATCAGATCCTGACTCCTCGGTGTCGCTTTCAACAAATACAACGTTCTCCACTGAGTGCAATGGGAATACTGGCGTCGTATGAGCACTTCATTGTTCAAACACAGGCAAGAACGACTTGCCTTCGCACTGTCCAAATCGCAGCATACGTCCGAACGTCCTTGCGATCTTTGTTTGTTGCGGCGGCAGCGGGTTTTGCCCTTCCATCATCGAACCTGTATCAATCCTGCGAAGACGATTCAAGAACCACAGTAAGGCTACCTTAGTGCCTATGCAGAGCAAAGAGAACTAGGAAATTACACGCACAAAGTTGACAATAGAATGTGTATAGGTCTCCGCTCTCGAGGGCTCGCGGTCGCCAGCACGGCCAGCAAGTTGACAGTTTTGTAAGAGACAATTTCGGCAAGGACACGGTTGGTTCAGCTTCAGCAAGGTTGAGCAGCGGGCCTGAATGCAGGCTTCGTTTACGTTTCCGAGTCGCGGCCGTTTGCGCCACCGGCGCGTCGCGGGGATGTTGCGCGTCGGTCAGGTGACAGGTCAGTGTCGTGTCGACCTCCTTCGACCGTGAGTCGTGACATTGACAATCGCTTTTTCCCTCGACGCTTTTACGTTGTATACCAATACTTTGAGTCATCCTTAGTCTCTGCTGCGACGATGTCAGAAATAGCGCGTAAAAGGCCCCGTGTCTCACTTGATGCCGACGCAGAGCAGAAGGTTCTACAAGATCATCCCGCGCTTTATCACGACGACGGAAATGTTATACTCAGCTGCGGCAGCACGCTGTTCCGCGTCCATCGCTCGATTCTATCGAAACACTCGCCCGTCTTTCGCGACATCCTCGAGCGGAAGGAAGACACTAAAACGGAGATACTACGAGGATGTTTGCATGTTGCCCTAGAAGACACAAAGGAGGAGGTCGAGGCGCTTCTGAACGTTATTTACGATGGCTTGTGAGTTTCAATCCGTACGTCAAAACGAACTCATGAGTAGAAATGACCCATCAGCCGTGTCGACTTTCCGGATCTGACGGTGGTCAACTTCCCGACCCTTTCGAACATCTTCCGCATGGCCACGAAGTACCGCATCGACCGTACGCAGACAGACATTATGAACAGGATGAAGCAGGAGTGGCCGTACGACCTAGACAGACGCGATGCACGCACTCAGGCTGGCCTCCGAATCCAGCAGCAACGACAAGCTGCGAACGGCGCCGCCAATGTTAACGTAAACGCCGCGCTCCTCGAGCAAGAGGAGCTCGCCGTGCCGCCCGCCACCGCCATCGCCCTCCTCCGCAGCGGCGGGTGCACGGACAAAGAACTCCTCGTGCCACTCTTCTACGCCCTTAGTTGCAGCGCCTGGCAGTTCGGCGGACCTGCGGTCGGGCACCATATTGCGTCGCTGTCGCATGCAGACATCGAGCGGTTCGTTGTCGGCCTCGAGCAGATACGCACTGCATTTGCTTCATTGGCGATGACGATGCCCGACTCTAAACATGTCGCCATACCGGCATCACACATGCCATGCTACAAAGGTGTCTCACCCTTTTGGCAGGAGGCACTCACAATCAAGCTGCAAGCGCAGTATGCCGACGCGGCGCGGCGCCCTATCGAACTGTTGAAGGACGCCCTCGCCCTCGCCAGGTCCCCAGGCTGTCTGGCAAAGCATGGGCTTTGTCCGACGTGCGCCGCTTTGGTTGTCGCGTATCTTGAACGCACACGGAACGAGTTTTGGAGCAAACTGCCGACGTTCTTTGGGCTAACGTAGATGCTCTCTCCTTCCCTCACCATTCACTCCCATGCAGACAATCTATAAAAATACCTTACCAGTGGCCTCCTGGGGCTTGGCCGATCCTGCACTCGCTCGATGGACCACCGGTTGACCCAGAACTCGTCCCACCAAGTGTCTCTGCACAGACTCTACTCGTATTGCCTCCATTCTCACCCATCGTTCATACATCGCATCCTCGTCTATTGCTAGTGGCTCTGATCTATGCTACCTCATATTGCTCTCCAATGTCCGGTCACAACAGCGTCGCCAATTCATGTCATCTTGTACCATTCATTATGTACTGTATATACTGTAAACATCCACTGATTGCTATCACACCTAACGTGCTTGTCTCCGTGACTCGCCTACGCTCATGCGCCGGACATGACGGTATAAAGTTGGAAAGGGCAAACACTCCCGGTGCGTACCAGGCGCTGCACAGTAGAGAGTACATCTCGCTGAGATGCACGGATATCGAATTACTCATGAAGAAGGTATGCGCGGCAATGACATGACTCAGATGCTATACAAGAATCCGGACGATGCGACAAGTCCTACGAGAAAACCAGAGTGTGTGATATGCAGTACAATGCGTGGGGGCTGTGTTGCAATGCGCTGGAGCTAGTGGACCGACCGTCACTGTCTGTGCGGCAAAAGTGAAGTCAAGCTGGGCTGAGAGGACGCGGCCCCCAGCGCACTGAAAGCGTGGCCAACCGGTGCCCGCCCGACTGGCACCGCTGGGGGTTTCCTCCGTTTCGCTGGCGGCGGAGGTGCCGCCCTTCGATGCGGCTTCGACGCCGTCGACGACGACGAAGACGAGAGCACAGACACAGGGGAGTCCGGCGGGTGCACGGGCGACAGCGGGCTGGCAGGCTCCATCACCATCGACGCCTGTGCAGCGGGCGCGGACGTCGGCGACGCGTAGTCGTTCCGCTCACGCGTCGTGAGCGTGGAGAACGCCGCCGTAGTTGCCTCCGTGTCCATCGAGCCCGCGCGGTGTCGGGGCTTCGGCACAGACGAGGTCGCCGCCGAGGTTGACGCGGTGACGATCCGCGGGAGACTCGTCGTGCTGTCCGCGCTTGGCTGCCGCAGGCCCTCGAAGTGCCCTCCGCGCGACGTCTTCTGCTCCGACGGCCGACGGGACATGCCGTTGCCCATGTCGAGCAGATTCTCCGCGCTGCGGTGCCCCTTGTAGTTCTTCCCGCGAATCGAGTTCGACCGGTCCGGCCGCGTGGTGGTCGTGGGTGAGTTGATGCTTTGTGGATCAGAGAGGATGGAGGTGACCGATAGCGCGGGGCTATCGACACGTCTGGGCGTGTCACTCGACTTCTTGCGGAACTGGACGCACCAGTCGCCGGACAGGCAGCGCAGGACGAGCCGCTTCGTTGTGGGGTCGATATCCCGGATGGACTCGTTCTCGACGAGTGACTCGAGTGTATGCACGATCTGGGCGCGTTTGTATGGCATGGAGCGCAGTTGGGTCTTCATCAGGAGGGGATGTAGCACCCGGAGGTACGTATGTCGGAGCTGTGGCGAGTCCGTCAGTCGATGACGCAGCTACACAAAAAGATCACACACCGACTCGTTGTCTTCATCAATGTTGCCAATTTCTCTCAGGAATACGTCGACCAAGACGCAGAGATCGTTGGTGTAGAAGTACTCGGACATGCCTTCCGTTCGAAACAAAAGGTAAAGGAGCTTCAGGACCAACAGTTGCATGCAGAGATCTTCCGGACTTCGACCTAGAAGCTGGTAAGCCCCCAGTAAGTGATGCGCCCGATAATGACTCACTAGCCCGATTGAGCATGAATATCATGTTCTCGCCGAACGTCATGCTTGACCCTCGCCGTGCCATTAGCACCTGCAACACACGGTTGTCGTTCTCCGTCTTGTGATCTCCGTGATTGTGCTTGCCTCCCCCATTCTCTTCATGAGAATGTAGCGCAGCGACCATAAATTGCTCGTTCAAAGCAACCTGAAACTAGTCAGCGAAGACCGGTATGAATCACACGAGCACTCACGATCAACTTGATCACTGAGTAATTGAACGTCTCGTCCTGCATGTGCCGAGTCTGCTCAATGAGATCGAACAAATAGTCGATGAAAGAGTCGCTGAAGTTCTCTGGTCCCAAATGAGCGTCAAGTGTGACAGGCGACTCGCACTGCCCTCACCTAGATCCTTCATCGTCATCTTCTGCACTCGACAGACTTCATAAAGAAGGCGCACAGATAGTGTCCGTAGCATGGCTTCGATCGGCACTGCGACCGCGCGCTGGTACCCACTCCCACCGGAACTCGCGCCTGAGAATGTGTCCTCCACGTCCGGATCAACGCTCACAAGGACATTGTCCATGAGAAGGGGGAGCAGCGGTTGCCAACGTTTCTGATCGCGCAGGAAACTTGCTTTCCGTCTGCCATAGGCCAGGAGGACGCCGTAGAGGATGAGCTGCTCATGAGGGTCTGTGGCCTGCGGAAAGGCCGACGGTTAGAGGAACACTGAGAGGAGGAGTTTGCACACCTTCAGCGTATCATCGCAAAGAATTCTAGTCATACGCTGTGAGTGGAACTGGAACAGCTCTGATGCAATGAGGAGGTCGCATGCGTGCTCCATCTGCAATGGGCTTTGCAGGTACTGTTCTGTGCGGGGATCAGGCTCGGCCATGCATATGTCGAAGATGTTTGTGTTCACCATGATATGCCGCGCAGAATGAGACGAAACGTCTCAAGGTGGCGTCTAGCCGTTCCAGGGTCAGGCCGTCTGCGACATTGAGCATGTCTTCCAGCTCTGTACATCGATGTCGTCAAGAATGCATGACTCATACGAATCATCACTACATACCTGACCAGAATTGCTGAGCATTCTCGATAATGTACACCACCCCGAACACATCCGCCGGCGGGACAGGCATTGCAAACGGACCTGTGCCACCTGCAATCTCGCGCACCGGAGACAGCTGTTCTTACCTGTACCCTATCCTCGCAATAACCGCTGCGATATGGCCCGTCTATGGGGCTCGACGGGAAGGCGTAAAGGGAGATAGTCGTGGTGGAAGACGACCTTGGTGTTGGATATATCTGGGCAGGATCACGTGTAGTGCGAAACAGGGTCGGCAAGCTGGAAGCGAACATAGCTCTACTACATCGCTTCGACCCCCGCTGGCCGACGTCCGCATCTCCTACGAGCTAGTCTCTTTTGCACAGGTCAGGTCACACTGGACAGCCTGACCAACTCTATCACGTCTCGCTAGCTTCAGGTTTGGAGCTGTTCCGGCACGGGACCGTAGTATGAACAAGCTCAAGAAACCTGACCATGAAACGGCACGGGATGGACGAAGCACACCTACAGCCAATGTGCCGAATAACGCACAAGTCGCTTCCTCCTCCAGAGCCCAGAGTCGTACCATGATGTACGCACAATCCGCCTTGGTACCCGCCTCAGGTTCCTACAGGTCGCAAGCTACGACCTCGGTCAAGACAGCCTTGAATTTCCCGCCAAGTGTGAAACCCACCACCACCGCGGAACGGTACTGGGCCGCACGCGCGCTGACAGCAGAGACTCTGCTCTCTGCACGCGTTGATCACCAAGGCGAGCTGCTGGCGTTGAGCACTGCGGAGGAAGAGAAGCGCGCGGTGAGTGTACCGTGTCTTCCAACGGATGTGCAGTCGCTAACGAATCGTGCTTCACCGTGTAGCGCGAAATTGCCCTTCTGCAGCGGCGGCATGAGGAACGTTATATGAGACTGGAATTGCTTGTGGTGGGATCATTCATGGATCTGTTGTGGTATGTCTTGACTTTGTACGTAGGTCTTCCTCGTGTGTTGCCTTGTTGCGACCGTCGCCGCAATCGTACATTCGCATTCTTCCTTGCACCATCACACAGCCACCGGATGGTCCATACCCACGCACTTCACGATACCCATCCTCTCTCCATTCACATCGGTGGTGAGTGTTTCACACGGGATCCCCCATCCGCGCGCCTGCATACGTACCCATCTATGCGCACCAGGTTGAACATGAGACGTCGACGCTCAACACGAGACTAGTCACTGCGTCAGCAGCGATCCTTGCCGTGCTTGCGTATGCTTGTTTTCGCTACTGGATGATCCACGGGCACAAGCGATGAGAGTATGGGATGAAGCAAGACGCTGCGAAATGACCGCAGTCGGATAGTAACATTCCTTCGCCGTCCGCCTTGCCTCCCGTCGGACCTTTCATTACGAGAAGTCCGTGCTTCGAGTATACATGGAAGTCCTGCCTCTATAGACTCCTCAGCGACTCCTCAATGCGATCGTTCCGCTCCACTGGGTCGAAGGGTGAGCGTGGCAGCGATTAGAACCACGCAAAGTCAAGTACATATGATCAGACTTGGAGATGCAGGTGCGTGTCTTTCATCATGAAAATGTTCCTGCCAGTGTATAGGATCCAGCCGGACTTTACATTAGTCATTGACCAGAGGTCCGACCTAGCCAACCTATGCCAAACCGACTTGAATGTCGCGACTCGCCTCGCTCAGCTCCCTCTCACCGGTATTTGCTAACGACGAGTACAACCGACAGTCTTCTCCACACCAATGCGCTGTGCCGCGATCCCGTGTATGGTTGTCAAGGGTGAACCTATCAGCGCTCCGTCACCGCAGGCAATGGAAGGTGGACGAAGACGGACAGAGACCAGTTGAAATTGCAATAGGCTCACACCCCGTTGCATTCCGACGTTCGACAATCCCAAGGCATATCTGACAGCGAGGGAAGCTGGAAGGGGTGCTGGTAACGTCCGTAGAAAAAGTATGTGGTATATCCCCGCGTTCAATCAACGTAATAAAAAAACAATGCATACTGATTGTGGACATTCAGGGCTCTCGGAAGACGGTGTACTGCGATTGGAACCAGCTCTCCTTTCATGGTATGCATTGTACCCTTAGGTCTTACCCTTGGATATCATGGTGGTCACCTTAGCTTCATGCGTCGCTACTTAAACTTTGGTACGCAGTGCTAATCTTCGCCTTGGAATCATTCTGTTTGAGTGAAGAATTTCCTGAGCGAAACGGAGTCGATCTACTTAGTAAGTAGTATCAGAACAGGATCAAGATGGGGAAATTTTTGACGGGGCTATAACAGGTTGTACAAACGTAGTACGGTGTCTAGCTGACCCGCACTGCATCATACATAGTACAAGCCAGGAAAGATGGGTGAGTTCTGTATCGTTCCCGCGTTTCCAGGCTATTATTTAGACGCTCCGTACGCTTGTATGCAGCGACTGCAGACGACTGCCAGCGAGCCCTGGCCTAAGATGAGGTCATTGCCATCAAGGGACCAAGGTTGGGACAGGCTTGCCGGGTGGAGCGACGACGCGACAGGTTGCAACATTATCGGCTGCAGATGGCCTGACGTCGTTGACCACAAGCGGAGGGGTAGGAGGCTAGTTGAATAGATGAGGGTCCGGGTCAGTCACGAGCCGCTACATAGACCATCAACTTACCGAGACGACAACGTTAGGGATTAACCTCTTCTCGGAACTATAGCGGCCAACTGACTCTCAGACTTTCCCTTGGGTTCTCAAGGCGAGGAAACATGGTCATTATCAAGACCTCAAGTGCTCAGGACATGGGACAATAGACTCTAAAGGTCAAACAGCTTACGGAACGTGTTGGTCGACCTTGCCGAATTAAACTGCGCGTTGATCGTCAATCACTGCACAACTTTGAACATCGGGAGTTTGAATTTAGACCGGCGTCGAGGCGGAGGCGATTACATAGCTACTAAGCTAGTGCCAACTCTAACGATGCGGTCCCGAGCTATATTGTGGCGCCAAAGGAATACCGGTCCAGAATTTCCTCGAGGGCGGACACTGCAGGCTAGAACAAAGCCGATTTCAATGAAAACTGAGCTCCGTCCTGGTCCCTCAGGGGCCCACGGCCTGCGTTAGTATCGTAATTGCGCCTAAGGAAGGCCCGATACTGTAAAGAAGTAGAAGAGCACCAAATTATCGCGCAGTTTCACTATGCAGCGGAGCACTTCACCTGGTTGAGAGTGCCCGTTTCCAAATACACCGGACACCTATCTATGTACACAGAGCGCTCCGCGTGGATGTAAGTACGCACACGCAAATTGAGCGTCATCTGGCCTTGCTTCCATGCTGTTAGTAAGTAAAGGGCGTGGTATCACCAGGTGGTCCGGCGCAGCAACACCGTGTGGCTGTTGTCACAGTTGTGCTAGTTGTTTCTGACGTCGAGTTGATGCCAGCCCCCAAGCTGCTACCGTCGGTCAATGGGCCGCGCGCCATCAACATCGAGGGCTGTTACGGCGGTATATCGCGGAGCAGAAGACGAAGAGGACAAGAAGTCGACGAGAAGAAGAATTAAGCGAGAAAGAACTTATTATCATAGTTTAAGTATGTAGTACAGAAAACGGGAGCCACTCAGTCAGGGATTCTAGCTCCGACGCACCAAAACAAGCAGGTGCTTTCCAAATCAGGAAGGGAGGTAAGCGTTTGTCTCGTCTGGGTCCCACAGCCCTCGCCCCTTCGTCACGACTCCGACTCACGCCTCCCACCTCCCTCTCCCCATCGACGACGAGCTCGTCCTATCTGCCATGGCTGGCCGTCCTGGTCCCCGCAGCCAGGAAGGCATGTATGTCTCCTCCTCTCCCATTTCCGACCAGGACCCCTTCAGCAACGCCCAAGCGGCGGACGGACGCTACTACGATAACGACTCGGACAACTACAACCGTCGAGACACGTACATGTCGGACAGCAGCCAGAACGGTCTGAACGACGACGACCGATACTATGATCACCATGGCGCGTACGACCCGTATGGTGAGTAAACTTGCGTCGGAAGACGTCTTTTTCTTACCTTCGCGCAAGGCCCGCAACCCGATACCGACTCGGAAGCGGAGGTGTATGGCGCAAAGTACGCCCCCTCTGCAGAGTCGCTGGGCCCTCCACGGATGGGGATGTCAGAGGCATCCACACCGACGTACATCGATTCCACCGGCGTAGCGGGTGCGAGAGAACCCTACCCATCATGGGGCTCCGAACGCCAGATCCCGCTCTCCAAGGAGGAGATTGAGGACATTTTCCTCGATCTCACGCAGAAGTTTGGGTTCCAGCGCGAATCTATGCGCAACATGGTGCGTGTTACGGGCGCCGCCTGGTCGTGTTTCCACCTGACGCCGGCCTGCAGTTCGACTTCATGATGCAGCTACTCGACAGCCGTGCGTCGCGGATGTCGCCGAATCAAGCACTGCTCACGCTTCACGCGGATTACATCGGCGGGCAGCACGCGAACTACCGCAAGTGGTACTTCGCAGCGCAGCTGGACCTGGACGACGCCGTCGGTCAAACACAAAACCCTGGCCTGCAGCGTCTCAAGTCGGTGAAGAAGCGCGGTGGTGGGGGCCCGAAGAGCGCGTCGGAGAAGTCGCTGCAGAGTGCGATGGAGCGATGGCGGCAGGCGATGCACAACATGAGCCAGTACGACCGCGTGCGACAGATCGCGCTCTGGCTGCTCTGCTGGGGTGAGGCGGCGCAGGTGCGGTTCGTGCCCGAGTGTTTGTGCTTCATCTTCAAGTGTGCGGACGACTACTACCGGTCGGCCGAGTGCCAGAATCGGATGGACGCCGTGCCGGAGGGTCTCTACCTGCGGACGGTGGTAAAGCCTTTGTATCGGTTCATTCGTGACCAGGGATACGAGGTCGTGGATGGGAAGTTTGTGCGGAGGGAGCGGGATCACGATAGCATCATCGGATATGATGATGTGAACCAGCTTTTCTGGTATCCCGAGGGCATCGCGAGGATTGCCTTGAACGACAAGGTGGGTAAATGCATACGCTTTGGGCGTATCGGATACTGACCTGTATTAGACCCGCCTAGTGGACCTGCCGCCTGCTCAGCGGTTCATGCAGTTTGAGCGGATCGACTGGAACCGGGCGTTCTTCAAGACGTACTACGAGAAGCGCTCGTTCGGGCACCTGCTCGTGAACTTCAACCGGATCTGGGTGATTCACATCGCCATGTACTTCTTTTACACGGCGTACAACTCGCCAACGCTCTACAACGGAAACAACTCTGCGGCGATGCGCTGGTCGGCCACCGCGCTCGGCGGCGCCGTCGCGAGCGCGATCATGATTGCTGCGACGCTGGCCGAGTTCTCGTACATCCCCACGACATGGAACAACACCTCCCACCTTACACGGCGGCTCCTGTTCTTGCTAATCACGCTGGCGCTCACCGGCGGTCCCACCATCTACGTCGCGATCGCGGAGAGCAACTCCCCCGGCGGCTCGTTGGCGCTGATCCTCGGTATTGTGCAGTTCTTCATCTCGGTCGTCGCGACGCTCCTGTTCGCCATCCTGCCTTCCGGGCGGATGTTCGGCGACCGTGTGGCGGGCAAGTCTCGGAAGTACCTCGCGAGTCAGACGTTCACCGCGAGCTATCCTGGGCTCTCACACACTGCCCGGCTGACCTCCATTCTCGTCTGGGTGCTCATTTTCGGCCTCAAGTTCACGGAATCGTACTTCTTCCTCACGCTGTCGTTCCAGACGCCGATCCAGGTCATGGTCGGCATGAAGATCCAGAACTGTAACGACAGATACTTCGGGACCGCACTGTGCAGGAACCAGGCGGCGTTTACGCTCACCATCATGTACCTCATGGACTTGGTTCTCTTCTTTTTGGACACCTTCTTGTGGTGGATCATCTGGAATACTGTCCTCAGTATCGTGCGCTCGTTTGCCCTCGGGCTGTCGATCTGGACACCGTGGAAGGACATCTACACCCGGCTGCCCAAGCGGATCTACGCGAAGCTTCTCGCTACGGCGGACATGGAGACGAAGTACAAGCCAAAGGTATGTGCTGCATACTCTCCGTCTGACTATGGATCACTGACATTCGGTTCGTAGGTGCTCGTCTCGCAGATCTGGAACGCCATTATCATCTCGATGTACCGCGAGCACTTGCTCTCGATCGACCACGTGCAGAAGCTACTCTACCACCAGGTCGACATTGGCAACGATGGCCGTCGCAGCCTCCGCGCCCCGCCCTTCTTCATCTCCCAGAGTGACAAAGGCTTCAAGGGCGAGTTCTTCACCAAGGGTAGCGAAGCGGAACGCCGTATCTCGTTCTTCGCGCAATCGCTGACGACTGCGGTTCCTGAGCCCATCCCAGTCGACGCTATGCCGACGTTCACGGTCTTGACTCCTCACTACAGCGAGAAGGTAAGCCGTTGTGTCCTTGCAGCGTGGGCGATGCTGACGCGCTTTCTAGATCCTTCTATCGCTGCGGGAAATCATCAGGGAAGAGGACCAGAACACGCGCGTCACGCTGCTCGAGTACCTCAAGCAGCTGCACCCGGTTGAGTGGGACAATTTCGTCAAGGACACGAAGATCCTCGCCGAGGAGTCCGCGATGTACAACGGCACGAGTCCCTTCGGCACTGACGAGAAGGGCCAGTCCAAGGCCGACGACCTCCCCTTCTACTGCATTGGTTTCAAGAGCGCGGCCCCCGAGTTCACGCTGCGCACGCGTATCTGGGCCTCGCTCCGTGCGCAGACGCTCTACCGCACCGTGTCCGGCATGATGAACTATGCCAAGGCCATCAAGCTTCTCTACCGCGTGGAGAATCCGGAAGTCGTCCAGCTCTTCGGTGGCAACACGGACAAGCTTGAGCGCGAGCTCGAGCGCATGGCCCGCCGCAAGTTCAAGTTTGTCGTCTCGATGCAGCGCTACTCGAAGTTCAACAGGGAGGAGCAGGAGAACGCCGAGTTCCTCCTGCGTGCGTACCCCGACTTGCAGATCGCTTACCTGGAGGAAGAGGCGTCGCGCAAGGAGGGCGGCGAGGTCCGCCTCTTCTCCGCGCTCATCGACGGTCACTCCGAGTTCATCGCCGATACTGGTCGCCGTCGCCCGAAGTTCCGCATCGAGCTCCCCGGTAACCCGATTCTCGGTGACGGCAAGTCCGACAACCAGAACCACGCGATCATCTTCTACCGCGGCGAATACATCCAGCTCATCGATGCGAACCAGGACAACTACCTCGAGGAATGCCTCAAGATCCGCAACGTCCTCGGCGAGTTCGAAGAGTACGCGGTGTCGAGCCAGAGCCCGTACGCGCAGTGGAGTCAGAAGGAGTTCAGCCGCACTCCAGTCGCCATTGTCGGTGCGCGCGAGTACATCTTCTCTGAGAACATCGGTATCCTTGGCGACTTGGCTGCTGGTAAGGAGCAGACGTTTGGTACCCTCACAGCACGATCCCTGGCATACATTGGCGGTAAACTGCACTACGGTCACCCCGACTTCCTCAACGCACTCTACATGACGACGCGCGGTGGTGTCTCGAAGGCACAGAAGGGTCTCCACCTGAACGAGGATATCTACGCCGGCATGAACGCCTTCGGTCGTGGTGGTCGCATCAAGCACACGGAATACTACCAGTGCGGCAAGGGGCGTGACCTCGGATTTGGCACGATCTTGAACTTCCAGACGAAGATCGGCACGGGTATGGGTGAGCAGATGCTCAGCCGAGAGTACTACTACCTCGGAACGCAGCTGCCGATTGACCGGTTCCTGACGTTCTACTACGGCCACCCCGGTTTCCATATTCACAATATGCTCGTCATTTTGTCGGTGCAGATCTTCATTGCGACGAGTGAGCCTGAATACGCTCTTCTCCGGTTCCATACTGATGATGTATACAGTGGTCTATCTCGGAACGCTCAAGGGTGAGCTCACGATCTGCAAGTACACGTCTTCGGGTGCGTTCATCGGCACACCTGGATGCTACAACCTCGCCCCGGTGTTCCAGTGGATCAACAGGTGTATCATCAGTATCTTCCTGGTGTTCTTGATCGCGTATCTGCCTCTATTCTTGCAAGGTATGGCTGTTTCCTTGATGACGATTGCGATGCTGAACAACATCTCCAGAGCTGGTGGAGCGTGGTACATGGAAGGCTATTATCCGTCTGAGCAAGCACTTCGCATCTCTTTCGCCTGCATTCGAGGTCTTCTCGACCCGAATCTATTCTCACTCAATCGCAAGCAACCTGACATTCGGTGGTGCTCGGTACATTGCGACGGGTCGTGGATTCGCGACGACGAGGATCTCTTTCAGTATCCTCTACTCGCGTTTCGCTGGGCCTAGTATCTACCTCGGAATGCGGCAATTGGTGATGCTGCTCTACGTCACGATCACGCTGTGGACCGGATGGATCATCTACTTCTGGGTCACTGTCCTCGCACTCTGCGTCTCGCCATTCCTGTTCAACCCGCACCAGTTTTCTGCAGCGGACTTCATCGTCGACTACCGGTGAGTCTATTCGCAGCCCACTTTTTCATCAATTTTGTATTGACACGCTTTTAGGGAATTCTTGCGCTGGATGAACCGTGGCAACTCTCGTGTTCACCAGAACTCGTGGATTGGCTATTGCCGTCTGTCACGGACGATGATCACTGGCTACAAGAAGAAGAAACTCGGTCACCCGTCTGAGAAGCTCTCTGGCGATGTTCCGCGAGCTGGTTGGCGTGCGATCATCTTCTCCGAGGTCATATTCCCGATCGTCATGGCCATCTTGATGACTGTCGCGTACATGTTCGTCAAGTCCTTCAAGATCGACGGCGTTCAGCCGCCAAGCCCGCTCGTCCGTATCGCCATCGTCTCTCTTGGCCCCATTGTCTGGAACGCGGCTATTCTGCTGGTGTTGTTCATGTTCTCGTTGTTCCTCGGCCCGTTGCTCGACACACCGTACCCGAAGTTTGGCTCGTTCATGGCTTTCCTCGCGCACTCGCTGGGTGTCGTTGGCATGATCGGATTCTTCGAGTTCTTGGTATGTCCGCTAGTCTATGCAAACAGTGTCCCACTAACATCATTTTGCAGTGGCTCCTCGAATCTTGGAATGTTGCGCATGCCGTGCTTGGTCTCATTGCGGTCATCTACATTCAGCGCGCGATTCACAAGGTCCTCATCTCGGTATTCCTGTCCCGTGAGTTCAAGCACGACGAGACGAACCGTGCATGGTGGACGGGCAAGTGGTACGGCCGTGGTCTCGGCGCGCACGCGATGTCGCAACCGGCCCGCGAGTACATCGTCAAGATCATCGAACTTTCGCTATGGAGCTCGGACTTCCTCACTGGACACTTCCTACTTCTCCTCTTAACGCCACCGATCTTGATGCCCTATATTGATCGTGCCCACTCGACGATGCTGTGTAAGTGCCCTCTGTTAGATTCACACTGACTTCGAAGCTGATGCTGTCTTCAGTCTGGCTTCGACCATCGAAGCAGATTCGCGCTCCTCTGTACTCCATCAAACAGAAGCGACAGCGTCGCTGGATCGTGATCAAGTACGGCTTCATCTACGTGCTCGCCATTGCCATCATTGCCGCTCTAATTGCCATCCGTAAGTCTCCCTTTTTGTGCTTTATATGTGGTATCTGATTTTCGCCTCTAGCTCTCGTCTTCCGTCAAGAACTCCGTGTAACCTGCACTATCTGCACGAAGATTTGAGCGAAAGCGGACGGTTGTGCTTGTAATTCGCCCCCACTACCACCACGATCTCACATATCATAGACTGTTGCACCTGTACTGTTTTCTCGCCCACCTGTATGACACGGACTTGTCGGCGCCGTTTAGGCCTTTGTTTCTTCGTAGTACGGAGATGGACTTCCCTTATGCCCGCTTGTGGCGCACCCGCCACCGATGACCTACGTACCCGCGTACCTACTACTAAATGTCATGAACATTATATACATAGTCTTGCTTCCACCGGATCCAGACCTGCGGGCGATCGCCGTTCGTCCGTGCAATCGTCGGCGGAAGGAACAAGGGTTGTCACCTAGGGGCACACTGCAGCATTCAAAACAAGCAGGATCGGCGTAGTTAACTCGAGCACGGGCACTGCATTGCTCAGGCACTGGCAAGAGCCCATCGTCCAACTCAGTAGTTCTATATCGACCTGCTTCGCCACAGAGGTGGCAGGTGCATTGACGCCAACGGGCCTGTTCGCGCTGTTCTTCTACCCCTGGCGGATATATCATCCTCAGTATCGTCCACCGTTCAATTATTGATATCGTGCTCTCCAACTCATTTCCTACATTCACTCTCACTGCAAGTGATACAAGAGAGGCTTTCACCCTATTATTCATTCGACCACCACACACCGTAACGAACCTTGGTATCTTTATGATATTACCACTTCGCGTTAGATATATACGACAATGCCACCAACGAGGCCTATGATGACCCAGTACGCTATCGAACACCACCCAACAGGCTGCAGCCGTATCCTACATAAATCTAGCCACCCCAATTTGAACGAGAACGAGAGCACAGACAGCAGTCCATCGCCAAAGCGCACCGTAATATAGATGTCACGCTCGGATCACTTCGCAGCGGAGAGCTTGACGGATGAGAGCGCATCAGCGAGCGCGCCCTGCTCCTCACCACCGGAGCTGTTGCCGTCGGACGAGCTGTTGCCGAAGTGCATGACCGGGTGCTCGCCGTCGACGTGTTCCTATGAACACGGGTTAGTGATGGTATGATGGAGGCTGACAACGCGGGGCACGCACCTTTTCGGACTCTTCGAGGAGCTGCCGCAGGCTCTTGCCCCCAATCTGCGGTTCGGGTGTGTGTCCGTGCGCGAGCGTCGACATCCGGCGCATCGCCACCATGGAGAGCACCGCTTTCCGGACTGCAGGCACACGCAACACGGTCAGTACCTCGCTCGCCAGATGCCTGAGAGTAACGCACAAGTCTTCTTCGCATCGAACGCCTTCTTCACGTGCGGCAGCAGGTCCTTCGGGCCGCCGTGCGGGCTCTCGGGGTCGGGCACGTAGTGCGGCGTCGCGGACGCGAGCCATGGGAGCTGGAGTGCCTCCTCCGCGGTTGGGCGCGCGGCGGGGTCGATCGTGAGGCACGTCGTGACGAAGTCGCGCGCGGTTTGCGAGACGTTCTGCCAGTATTCCTCCGGCTCGAACTTGTAATCGCCCGCGAGGATCGCCTCCATCTCCTGCTGCTGCGTGTCGCGGTCAAACGGCGTGTAGCCTGTCGAAAGGTCAGACGAGGCGAAGTCAAGGAGGCGGGGAATGGCGTACCGCAGAGCAGGAAGTAGGTGATGACACCCATGGCCCAGACGTCAACGGGCTTGCCGTGGCCGGCTGAGGCATTGTCAGCTCGTTGTCTACTGTATAGTGGGGAGACGCATACTTTTCTTGAAGATCTCCGGGGCCATGTACTGTCAAGCACGTCAGTTGCCTATCCACAGGTTCTCAACGTGAAACTTACCCCAGGCGTACCACAAACTTCCGTGAGTAGATGGTCGTCCATGACCCGACTGAGGCCAAAGTCGGCGATCATAATGTCTGCATCCTCGTCCTTTGTCCGAAACAGCAGATTCTCGGGCTTCAAGTCTGGGGACACATGGGCAACTGAACTCGGCTCCCAGTCACTAGAACTTACCCCTATGTACAATGCCACAGCCGTGGACGTACTTCACCGCGCCCATGATCGTCCGCACGAGCTCGGCCGCATCACTGTCCGCCACAACTTGAGCAATCTCAATGTGCACGCCAAGAGAGGAAGACTCACGCCTCATAGTAGTTGCCCTTGGCGCATATCCGGTCGAAGAGCTCGCCGCCTGTGCAGAGATCGAAGCATAGATACAGGTTGTGGGACGTCTAGGGAGGATGTCAGCAACCTGTCATCAGCGCATCGACACACCCGGCAATGGAGCCATAGCAGCCGCTAAGCGTTCCCATCGTCTGTAGGCATGGCGTTGAGTAGCCTCATGGCAGCACTCCGCATCCGCCGCGCATGCCATCGGCGCTAAGCACCAGAACACAGTCGCCCGGAATCGGCTCGGACTGCTTCTCGCTGACTATCCCGGCCCCAGTCATCGCCGCATAGCCTATCGGCAGAGGAGGATTCGGGCTCGTCTGCTCTGGGTGCCGCGGACGGCGCCATGCGGGGGAGGGACCGCTTCGTGGGTTTGCGATCTCGGCCAGCCAGTGCGTCATCCTGGCCAAGACACACAAGTTGTGCGGCGCGAACGCACCGTATGGCCGACCAGGCACGCGAGGAAATGCTACAGGAGACGGAGACGAGGCTCACCTCGAAGTAGTCGTGCAACGTGACGATGTTAGGGTTGCCTCTGGAGACCTTCTTCAGCACTGCGATCTCGTTCCGCACCTGGACATCGGGGACGAAGAGCGTTCGTCAGTCAAAGTCGTCCGGCTGCACCTCGCGGCGGGGTATCGAGACGTTGCCTCGATCCGCAAGGCTGAGAACACGCGAGAGTATATGTATGCGCACCATGTACTCCCGGCCCTCCATGAGCTTCTTGTTGATCACTTTACATGCATAGTACTGCCCCGTCTTGATGTGTACAGCCTCCTTTACGATCGCATACGTTCCGCTGCCCAGTGTCTTCCCCGTCCGGTACTACGTAGAAGTGCAGTCCTTGAGGTCAGGCCGTCGCAAGGCAGACGGGTCACGGGGCTCACCTGGCAGGGCACCGTAGCTGGGGTGGGACTCATCCTGCTCGACTTTGCGGACGTGCTGCGATGGCGGGGCTGGGATGACGGGGAGAGGGTCGCGGTGGCCTGCGACGAGGAGAGGGTATAAGTACTGGCTGCAGTCAAGGGCGCTGCCCGAATAGACGCACCGCTTCGCCTCTGTCGGGCTGTGCCGAGGGTCTCCCTCGTCCCTCCATCGATGTCCTCTGCGTCTCCCCCGCATCGCCTCGCTCTTTCCCCTTCGAAATATGCGAACGCAGCCGCTCGACCGCGGGCGAGTGTACTTGTGAGGATGTCGTGGCGATGTCGTCCGCGCGCGTGGGCGAGCCTTCTGATTTGTCGCTCTTGCGCTTGTGCGCGATCTTGCGGAGGTAGTGGAACATGGTGGGCAGAGTCAAGGTGGGTCGTTCTGTACACCCGCGCCCCAGGATCTCCTCTATATACGTTGCCGCGCCAGGGCTGCGTGCTTAGCGTCCGGGCGGCACAATACGAAAGGGGCGCTGTACAGGAATGTGTAACGCTCGCTCTGCCGGCTTCGCGCGGGCTTCAATGCTGTGCTCGGCGAACCGACCTCGTCCAGTGCAATATCAACCTCAAACGTAACGTATTCCTCGATTTGGTGAGTCGCGCTTCCCCGTTACGCCACGTAGAGCAGAAAAGTGACATTCACGATGCACAGGAGTTAGAGCGGCTGGCGCATAGTGACTCATGAGGCTCGTCCACTGTGCTATGTCCGAAGGTACTCTCGCTGCGCACGGCGAGCAACCGGCGACTGCGGCAACATGCCGACGCTTGCGGTTGGCGATCCTCCCAGCCGATGACGATGTCACGATGACTTCCGTCTGTCGGCCACTGGGGATGATCCCAGAATATGCACATCAGTGCCGTCCGTATCCCACTGACTTCGCAGCTTTGGATGACATCGAGCTGTCCTCGTGTCTACAAACCCGTTATATCGAAAGGAAATTGCGGGTGTTCCGAGCAATAATTGGATGCGGCTATCGCTTCCTTGTCAAGAAGTTATCACACTCGGTTAAGCATAACCCTCCTTCCTTGCCTCAGTGATAGTTCATGATCTCATGCAGTGTTCTGCAGCTTCTGCTATACATCGACGCTATCGCGGCTCTTCTCAGACGCTTCGGTGACCATGCAGCCAAAGGGCCAGCGCCCTGCCGCTTTGGACCACACGAAGCCGAATAGGCTCAGACTTCGATGCATGTGAGTTCTTTCATTAATGTGGTGTTGTGAAGATGCGTCCACGTTGCGACCAGCCACTGAATTTCGAATTAATAGGCCTCGAGGTTGAAACCCAGGGTCCGACCACCGCTGACATCGCGCACATGAAGGATCGCGTCTGCGTTGATCGAAGCCCTGAACCATAGCTCGGTTCACTACGAGACCTGCCTCACTACTCTGTCTCTTGCTGCGTTTTGCTGACAGCAGCCATGCCCGTCAGACAAGTTTATGCATGCGTGCCCTCCTCCGCCTTATCCTGTGTGCATGGTTGTCAAGGGTGAGTCTCTCAGCGCTCCGTCACCACAAGACGTAGGACACTGACGGAGACGGATGGAGAGCGGTGGATATCGTAATAGATTCACACCTCGTTGCATTCCGACGTCCAATATGCATGTAATCTCAATGCATGTCTGATAGCGAGGCGAGGTCCGGAGGATGCTGGTCACCCCCGCGCGTGAACAACATGCGCCCGCGTCTTCTCTTCGTGTGATCTGCAATACAATAGGGCCGCTCGTACTTATTGTGGCTGTTCAGGACTCTCGGGAGGAACGTCCACCTTCCACCTTCGTAGCGATGGTGTATTGCGATTGGAATCCACTCTCCTTTCATGGTTTGTATTCTACCCTAGGATGCAAACCACGAAAGGTAGGTGAATTCGTTACTGCTGTCGCTGCGCACGCATCTCCGAATTGGGATAGTGTACGTAGCATTTTGCTATCGAGCTCAAGCGGATCGACGCAGGGAGGTACTAAGAACCAACATGCCACCTACTCGCACGACCGCTGAACAATGTGTTCTATGATCGAGTCTTACGTCTGCCTGAAGCAACGGAAGAATGACTTGATAACTTACACCGAGTCGACGCTACATAGTTGTGTCATGTACTGTACAGATCATCCAGAAAATATAATAACTAGGGACCAACCTGCGGGGGGTCGTCAATTGGCAGAGCTGGTCACATGTCAGGTGGTTGTGACATCACGCGTTGCAACGCCACGATCGTGTGTAGACGATCGCGGTGAGAACGGTACTTGGGCGAGCTTGAGGCTCGGAGGCCTGGATAGACTTGGAACAGACCGCACAGCACATCTTTCACAATGGCACAGAGATGTCCTTGAGTATCAAGAGCGATGTTCCGCCAGTGACGCTGATACCATACAGCATCAGGAATGTGCACCACCTGCCTATTTCGCCTCATTGAGGCAATGAGGCAATTAGACAGTTTGAGACGGGCTGCCTCATTCAAGTCTCATTTGAGTAGATTATCTCTCATCTGAGACGTGATGAGGCAATGAGGCTCATAGGGCACATAGACACATGAGGTACTTAGGTGAGCCGGAAGACAGTGCAACGAAACAACAAATATATTCAATTGAGCTGTATCCTACAACAGCAATCCTAATTCCTTGCTCGGTACCACTCCGAGATGCGGTCAGCGACCCTATTTGCCAGCTCCGTGAGGGCATCCACATCCCATGAGGTCGCCCGATGCGCACTCATGCCCTGTCATCTCCACATGCTGTCCGCTGCTGCTCAATCGTCATGAGTATCAACTGTGCAATGCTGATCAGCGTCTCCGACACGTCTAGAACACATTGGGGCCACGCACCAGTCACCGCAACAACCTCGTCCTTGTTTGCGGGCCAGTTCTTGTACTAGCGCCAGATCGTCGCGCTATAGTACACACCGAACACGTCAATAATTTTCACCTCAAGCCCAACCTATTGAACTCACTCACCACCCAGCCCAACGAGCACGATGCATCGACATTGAGAAACATGCACTTGTTGATGAACAGGCCTCTACACACTGAGTCAGAATCAGGACGAAAGCGGGGCCATGAACAGACCATATACAAAATCATATGCGCTCTTTCGCCATATAGTGTTGGAACCCCCCACGCTCTACTTCACGCAAAGCTCCCGGTCAGATGCATATACAGGATAACGAATCACGAGACGAAACTCACATAATAAGTTGCCGCTAACCAGACGCGGGACGTGTGGGTCACCACCTACTCACGTCTGACGTCACGGGAACAAGGCGTGCGCACCACGCACATGCTTGCCGTTGTGTTCTTCGTAGAGGCGGTGGATGCCCAAGGGCTGTACCCGCACCCGCTGCTCGCTCGCCCGCCCGAGCCCTCACTCATTGACGTGCCCTCCCTGGTACCAGCCATCAGCTTGCTGCACGCTTGTGTACACGAACCTTACGTTCGATGTGCTTGTGGGTTGTCTTGCACGTCGATGTTGGGAGACGAGGTGCCCGCGACTGCGTGATGTGAGGGTAAGTGCCAGCGAAGCAAGGCCGCGCGTGCGCGCTGACTCGGAGCGCCGGCGGTCGGAGCCAGGTCGGAGTTGTAATGTAGTTCAGGGCAGACATTCAACGGTCTCCGGGCAACAGCGCTGTCTGCTTATGGCCGGCCAACGTCGCTCTCTGCCTCGTCAGTCACTGGGACCCTTTGCAACCACCCATACAGTCAATGAGGTGAATGGCCCGCGCGACCGACGATGTGCGCGTCACGCGCATCCGCCAGCTGCGTACGCGCACCATAACGACCTCCCCGCACGACGCGACCGCCTTGCCCCGCAACATCCTCAAGCCAACATGCGGTGATCTGTCAAGATACCGCTCGCGTTTCCCCGACGCAGATAAGGGTTGGACTGAGTAGGAGCAGAACGAAGGGCGCGGTGAGGGCTACAAGGCCAAGCATGAACGCTCGAAGGTATGTCCTCGCTCTCCTGTTTGCCAGTGCCCATACACCCACTCCGACCGGCCTGCTCGACCAAGAACCTACCCGTTTGCCCACTTTCTCGGTTTCCCGCATGCTCGTGCGCTTGCTCACCTGCTTGCCCACATACCTGCTTGCCGACTCGCCCGCCCTGGCACTTGACAGCAGGTTAAGTAACCTGCTGTCATCTGTTCGACCGACCCGCCACGACCCACTGTACCCCACGATTGACCCGTACCCGTTTACCACCCGCGCGTACCGGCTGAAGACGCGGCGCAGCGTGGCACCCCTGCGCGTACGGTCATGACCCGCCAGGCAAACGGATATGAAGTGCAAGGGCCGGCATAACGGTGAGCATGGGCATTCTGGTGGAAAACGACACACCTACGAGACGGCGGACACGGCGGGTGAAGGTGCAGCAACTCACGAACGAGCGGTAGGCACAGGCACAATGAGCCCAAGTGCAGAATGCCCGCGATGAGCTAACTGCCTACACCGGCGGCGAACGCAGATCTGATTTTGAGCAGCGCCCGGAACGAGGGTATTGTATCTCAGTGGCAATAGTGTGTCGCCATAGATATTACTGTAATGCATCCTTTGTATCGATATCGTAGGAGAGGGTCGTCGATCAGTGAGTTGTATCGTCAATCAGTAAGTATGCAAAATCACAGCCAGCCAAGTCAGAGATCTGTGAGGTAATGAGACAAATTAGGTACGAATTAGACAGGTGAGGCCGTTTGAGGCCGTTGAGGCAAGGTGCCACTTTCCTGATGCATGTGAGTCACTCGTCCAGTAACGGTACTCGAAGTCCGTGAACGTATCCATTCCAATCGACAATATGACCATGCAGTCGTCCACCTATGTGCCATAGTATTTCTGGGCTACCACAAGGCGGACGAAAATGTTCCCGACGCCAGCGTAGGGTGATATCACTCGATGAGGTGCAGGTGAAATTCTTCTTTTGCCAGCCACAGCTCTGCACGGTCCTACCAGACGACGCGCCAGCCCCGCCCGATGTGACGACGTGCCGCGAATCATGTTCGTTTCCATATGCTTCACGGCTAATGTCCGGCTTTACAAGCGACGGCCCAAGAAGGTGCATTACGAGCGGCTCAAACAACTCTTTGGCAGCAGACCACGCTGGTAGAGTCGGGATAGCCTCCCCAATTAAACTTGAACGCGTCTGTGGCTGAGGCGCTGATGCTTGACGTTACCTCAAAGTCACGGCCCGGTACCGCGCTCCGGACAATTCCAGTGTCCACCGTGTCGCCTCTGTTCCCGACCTTGTCAGCAACTCACTACGCGCCCTCGACAATATTGATGGGTACTTGGCTGGGCTCTCAACAAGCGGTACTGTAGACTGCTTTCCAAACATCTCAACCTCGCACCGGGGACAGAGCCGGAAGACTGCGATCGCGAGTGCGCAGCCGCCTTGTATATTTCTCAACACACTAGATCGCCCTATCTGAAGCAGTGCTGGGTTGGAGAGGAAACCGAGCTCGTGTTCGGTGTCTACATCATCATGGAGGACAGACACAGGGCACACCCTCCCAAGCGGATCGAGACATTGCGCGTGCCGCCAATGTAGTTTGCGGACAGGCTACACTCCTGGATGCCGCTCAAGTCTCGTCTCAAATAGTTCGGATATACCGACGGGTCGTACTCGCCTTGGGACGGAGAGAGGTATCCGGATAGCGTTGATTTGCGCGAAGATGACGACGTGGGCGACGAGTCCCAGTATTTTCCGTACGACCTGGAGAGCAGTGAGTGGGAAGATGAAGAGGACGCACAAAACCATGGTAACCACGACGATGGCAGTGAGGAATGTTGTGAAGGTGAAGGACTGGATGACAAGCTTGTCGAAGGCGAGGAGCGCAAGTTCCTTGAGTATCGCGGAGAGGATGTCCCGTGTGAGGATGGTCTCGAGCATGGGGAACACGCCGAATGCGACAGGCAAGTCCACGTACACTCTCCGTGCATGACTGAGGTCTGACGTTGGAGACCTCCAGGCAAATTGAAGGGTGTGGAAACGCAGCGACTACCTCTGTTCACAGAGACTAGTAATATGAGCCAAATGAGAAGGGTGGAGTCCTCTAGGGTGTTCAACCTTCTGTCCCTTTCCCTACAGAGGGTGAGCTCTACACGTAGTCACTTTCTGTGCTGACAAACATTGCGCCGTCCTTGTCTATGAACACGCTGTGACATAACAGTTTCATCGCTTTCATGCAACTTGCCTGTCGCGTCATTTTTCCCCGCATCCGTTCTCAGTCGGATTCATGCTCTGCTTTTAGTATTTGTCCCATACCGGACGTTTCATGCGAGACGCAGTGTATATACCGCGTCTCTAGTACCGCACTTCCGAACGCAATCGACCGTGTCACTATTTCCCGATGCCACAGATACGTCAAGAGCCTGCTGAGCGTATAGAACGCGCGTACAGAGCCACCGGTACCGGACGCGCCGCGAGGCGCCTGTTGCTGACAGATTCAAACAGGACAGTGGCTGACAGAAAGTACATCCCAGCATGCATAGTCTTGCATGTACGATTGCAGCCGGCACACCACGGAATTTGGCTCTATAAGTACACGCATCGGCGAAAGGTAGTGTGATCTCTCTACGCTCCTGCCCGAGTGCGCCGTGACGAGAAATGGACTTGGACAGGACTACGAAGGGTCTCCCGGCGGCGTCCTATGGCGGATGTGCTTGCACAACTTCTAGTTCAACCTAGCAAAGACGTAGAATGAAGCCTTTGAACGTCAACGTGATACAAGTCACTGGTGACTGCTCACCTCTGAAACTACCCGGTCTACCTCCGCTCTCAGAGCGCGCAAAAAATCAGGCAGCTCGTGGTATGCACGTGTTGCACACATGTTCCTACACTCCCCAGCCTTTGAGAGAGCTAACTGTGTCGCATTGAAGCTTGGGTGGTCCGCCCCAACATATTCTGTCCCATCATATCGCAGGGCCGCCGCGCACGGTCTCTGTCGCACGACATCGCGTAATGAGGCCATCATATCGGCCCACCATATGGAGGGTGTGCCAACACCGCCTTTGCATTGCACCGTATTTGTAGTCGTGCAAGCATGATGAAAGCCTGTAAGCCAACACCAGGTCGCGTCAATCCAAGTATAGCTGTCGAAAACGTGCACGGCCGCTGCTGCGCAGCGGTCGCGGTAATCGAGAAGGCGCAGGTAGGTAGAAGCCGGGATGTAGTTCAGATCTTCCAACGACTTGAATCCGCTGTTGGCTATATGTAGGTTAAGAACCCTTTGGCAGACGCTTTAAGTATCTCTTCCTGCAGCTCATAGCGAATGGCCAGAGCATACACCCGGAGAGGCTCCGCATCGGCGAAGACAATGAGCCTTTGACCGAGGTAGTTTAGAGCACCGTCCATGGAGTACTTCCTTACAGCATCCAGCAAGATCGATGCCTCATCCAGCGTGCGGATGGGCGTCTCGCTGATAGGATAGCACAGGCGTAGTAAGCCATGGACGGTGCGACTGTCCTCCGTCATGTCAACCACGGGTGGGCCAATGGCCAAGTTGTCCGAGTTCCGTGGCGCGGGGAGAGTGAACATGTCCTCGAATATAGGAGATGCCTCGGCGAGAATGGCCTTTCGCACGCGGAAGCGAACGCCATCCGACGAGCGCAGGATGAGGTCGGCGGTAGGTTTGTTGAACGGCGCTGGCGCATCAGTCGCAGGGTTCGCTGCTTGCTCGATATCGGCGGCGTGGGAGCCGGTTTGCGACGACACTGCGGGGAACTGATCAGGATCACGACTTGCAACTTCGTTCAGTGACTCACTCTCGGTAGTACGATGAGGCTACGGCTAAACAACGATTGACGATGGCGGCTTGATGAGGGGAGTGAGCGGGGGATACGCGCTGCATGGGACAGGGATCCGATAAGGTTCACCGCCGCGTGCGAGGCTGCCAGCATACCACGGTAGGTTCGCGAACCGAGCGAAGGTGGATGGCTTCCCGCGCAGACGCTCAGAGTGGACTAGGAGCACTCTTTGTTCGCGTCCACTCAACAACGGGGCTGACTGGCTCGTGCAAAAGTCATGGATATGAACAAGGCAGTCTGGCGACGCACCTTGTCCGTGAGTTCAATGCGATAACGTAGCTTATATCTTGACTCTGAAGCCGTGTCCTCACACCGAACAAAGACGCCAGTGACTTCGATGCGGCTGCGAGTATCCCAAGCGGGCGAGCCATGTCCACAACAACCTTGTCCCTATTGTGCTCTAGGCCCCAGAGTGAGGTCGTCCTCTACATGGGGAGAATGTAGTCTGTGTGATCTGCCCGTCTCACTCCGCTCACTGGCGTGTCCGGCATGTCTCGGTAGGTGTTCGTCTTCATAGCTTCTACGGCACCACGCGAGACGTAGTGTAGCTACAAACCATTGCCGAGAAATGAGTGTAAACATTCCAAACAGTATTATCTCGACATACCATGGCAAAACTACCATCAACCTCACGCTGCTTGTGCCGTAGAGGCAGCTGGCTGAGCCTCGGGTTGCTTGGCGGCCTGCAGTCGCTCCCGCACCATCACCCGTATCCGCATGCCCTCCCATCCCAACAGCTCGTGCCGAGTATCGAGAACGTATTTGTCAATCCCTCCGTACTAGGGCACGCATCGACAGATTAACACAGACGACCAGTCCCACAAGAGAAGAGTTGAAGCACCTTGTTGATCGTCTTCAGCGCACGCGTGGATACCTTCACTCGCACGAACTGCTGTAGCGCATCGGAAAAGAACCGTTTGTTGTGAAGGTTGGGCAACCATGACCGCCGCGTTTTCTGCATTGAATGCGGGACGCTGTTGCCATATTGTTTGGTCTTGCCATGAAAGAGACCGAGCTGTGACCGCTTGAAAGGACCGCTGATGATTTCCTTGAGCAAGGGTGAGGAGACGAACATGGTGGGCGGAACGAGACTATAAAGTGGCGCGCAGCGACTCGGAAGATCGCCAGCACTACCGAGTTCCCGATTTGGTAATACTTGAGGCTTGAACTCATTTCATCCACACTACTGTTCCGTCAAATCTGAACGATACCTGCCACTGCACCCTTCGACTTGGGCACAAACGTCTTTGATGATGCAAATATCGAACTCATGGTGCTATTACACTCAACTACTTGTTCTGCAACCTGCCCAATCCACACAATTACTGCAACTCGCATTAAGAGTAACCGTCACGCCGGTACATACTACACGACCATGACGGAGTTCACCACGCGGCGGGTCTGTGCCGCCTTGATACTCTACGCCCTGTCCTTGCTCTCCTTCTCCTTTGTGACCTTTGACTGCTGATTGCCTCTGCCCGCGAATACCCAAGCGACCTGGTTAGGCAGTTTGACATCCACCCCCAGCTGCTCTGCGAACGTCCAGACGGTCTGATGATCCCGCAGGAATTGCCGACCGACGAGCACCATGTCAATGTCCCTATTCAAAACTTCCTGAGCAATAGTTGCGTGCTTAATCCCGCCGACGCTGGACACGAGCATCCTGCCACCAACCCTCTTCTTGACGGCAACCGCAAAGCGCGCCTGGTACGCGGACTCCTGCACCACAATCTTCTGTCGCGGGTCAAGACCTCCACTGGAGACGTCACAGACATCCACCCCATGGTCGGCAAGGATCTCAGCGAGCCTGACTGTATCCTCACAACACCACGAGGGCTCGTTTGGTGCGACCTCCTCTAGCCAGTCCGTAGCAGAAACACTGATCGCAATGGTTCAAGACATGGACAGCGGTAAATCATAAAGCAGCTCACCGGAAGAACAGAGGCATGTCCTCTGGCATGAGCTCCCGTACGGCGTCCACAATCTCGACCGCGAGACGTATGCGGTTCTCGAACGAACCACCGTACTTGTCAGTCCGCTTGTTCGTCACTGGACTCATGAACTGATGCAGCAGGTATCCGTGCGCGCCATGGATGTCAATGGCGTCGAACCCGGCTTTGACAGCGCGCACCGCTGCCTCAGTCCACGCCTTCTTGATCCGTTGAATCCCCTCTTTGTCGAGCTCCGTGGGTACAGGGTCACCCGGACTGTACGCGATGGCAGACGGCGCGAGTAGCTTGTCGGGCCAGCCACCGACAGCCTCGGTTGAGATCGCATGCCGCGCGAGCCAGAGTGCCACCGTAGAACCCTTGCGACCGGCGTGGTTGATCTGGATGCCAATCTTCTGGTTCTGCGAGTGAGCGTACTCGACGAGCTCGCGCAGCGGTTCTATCTGGGAGTCGTCCCAGAGGCCGACGTCTTGCGGCGTCCCCCGCCCCTCAGGTGTAATGCTCGCGCCCTCCATGAAACTGAGGCCAGGCCCGAAGGTCAAAATACCGCCGACTAAATCGTGGGTGTCAGCGCTTTGGATCAGTCGGACATAGCTGATTGCTCACTATGCGTCTTGTGGTACGGCGTGATCTTTCCGTCTTCGGCAGACTGCGTGACCATGGGCGAGAGCTGCGTAGTGCAGTCTGGTGAGTAGGCATCCAGTACTGTCAGAAACCGACGGACCAAGATGCGGTTCTGCATTCGTAGACCGCGAATTTGCAAGGGCTGGAACAGCTTCGGGATAGACCTCCCATCGGGCTGAGGGTCGAACGCCGTCCCCGCAGGAGGATCCTGAGCAGGCGTGAAGTACGAGGTGTTGGGCGCAGCAGCTACTAGGATGTCCTCCATACTGCAAGGCAAACAACTCGGTAGTAGATAAACAGTGCCGTGGAAGGTGGGCGTGACTTTATACTGCATTATAGTAGGCGGTCAGCCCACTTCACTCCCATTCATTACTACCAATCACCGAGTACGTCTGCCATTTCTGGATATGCCGGTGACGGATCACGCTGAGTGATCAGGGCTCTGTTCATTACTTCACGCAGTGCCACCAGCGCATAACGTTGCGCAATCGAAACACGTATGGTCGTTGATCTCACTCTGAATCTGTGCGAAAAGAAAATGCAGCTTATACGGTACGTTGTTTATTGTGCGCATAAAGACGTGGGTATCCTCAGCCACATACCTTTCTATGACAGTGCTCCCACCATGTTTCCGTAAATTTATTCTCCCTGCGCGGCTTCGAAGCTGGCGCCGATCGCGAAGGATGCATGCTTGTCCACGGTATGTCTAGAAACATCACGCCCGGAACTCGACTGACTGCGTGTTATGAAGCACTAGCGGTCTAGGACTGACTGTGATCAGACCTGTACGTATGCTCATGCTTCGCGTGATGCTATACTTTGTCAGCCACGTCAGTCGGCAGCACTATTGCTGACTGTCAGCGTCACATTTGAATTCATTCATTGGTGGATGAAGGCGCTCAGAAACAAGGAGGCGCGCATCTTGCGGTAAGCAGCCCTTTTCAGTTCTACATCGAGTCTCAGTGCCCCTAGCTTATGGACACAGAACAGCACAACAATCGCAGGCAGCGCGTCCAGAAGCCTTGACCGACGCGTAAGACTTATTGATGCCAGGTGGGCAGGACGATCCGTGTCTCAGACCAGGAGTCATTGCTTGTGGCAGCTGTACGTTCTCTTCTGCGTCAAAGCAAGAGGGGACAGCTCATGGAGGAGGCTGCCGATGCAGGTCAATGGTGGAAACCCAGTGCCTCAAAGTTTCCGACCGTGAGTGCATGCTTGAGGTGGACGGTACGGGGCGGGACGATGGATCTCCCCTGTCTGACTCCCTTCCACGGATCACTCACGGGCCATCGTCTTGTCATCACTTCACTCGCCGACTTCCCCTGCCAATACGCAATTCAGTTCTCCGACGATAAGCTCAATTTTAGCTGCTCTGCAAACGTCTACGCCCACCTGATGATCCCGCAGGTATTGCTAGGCAAAAGACACCAATTTACGGCCCCATCTAGAAGTGCTTGGGCAGCGCGCTACCTTGATCCTGCCGGCGCAACCCAGGATATGTACCCTGTCGCCGACCTGCTTCGAGCAGCGAGCGAGCCCGGGAGGCAGGCTCCGTGGACAATATTGTCTGTCACTGGCGGAGGCATCCAGCGGAAAGGTCTGAATTAACTGGCTGTCAAGGGCTCGTCAGGTACAGTACGTCTCTTCTAGCATGTCTGTGTCAGAGACACTGATTGCGTGGTCAAGGAATCGAGAACCAGTTTGCAGTACCTTGGTTTATAGCTGATGCTGTCGCGAATTGAGCGGCGATAATCCTTATATGTCGGTGGCGCGCGGAACAGCTGAGTGATGTCACGATGTTCTTGAACACAGCTCATGAACAACGGCTGCAGAGGTGTCTGAACACTATGACACTGGGGCCTTGCAACCACCGCGTTCGCAGGCTGTGTCGCGAAGTGGACATTTGAACCCCAGCTCTCAATCCGTGCGCAACCGCCACCACCGCCGACGCAGCGTCCCCGGACCGCAGCGCCACTGCCCGCCACGCCCCGTCGCTGCCCCGCCACGCCCCGTCGCTGCCCCGCCACGCCCCGTCGCTGCCCCGCCACTCCCCGCCCCCGCCGCCACTACAGCCCGCCCCGTCACCCCCCGCCGACGCGTCCCTCACCTCGCCGCCACCGTGTCCGCCCGCCACAGTGTCCGCCCCCTGCCCGCTCACTCTGACTCCGACCATCAGCCGTGCCCGTCACCTCCGCGCTCGACGCGCCAGATGCGGCGGGGGGCGACAATGTCAACACTGAGTCTGGTGGCGCCTCCTGCCCAATCAGGATCGCTTCCATCCGATCGATCACCTGCCCCGGGCGCCTTGGCCCCGCTCGTCCCCGCCGTCCCTGCCATACTACCACCGCGTCGCTGTCGCCGACCACCTGCGCGTCGCTGCATGTCGCCGCGCTCGCATCGGCCCCGCCACCGTCCCTGCCCATCATCCCCGCCCCGTCGCTGTCCCGTCTGCGACCGCACGTCACATGATGCTGCCGCCACAATACCGCGCCTCGCGCGCACGGACGCTTACTTGCCCAATGTCGCCACGCAGCCGACCTACGCCGGTGCTTCGCCACACCCACCAAGGACCCCCAAGAGGTCCTTGGGAATAGTGGACCGCGGGCACACGGACGCATGCTTTCGCCCCGCCGCACGCCCTTCCGCCCTGCACGCACCGCCCCTCAGGCCAGCAGCGCTCATTGCAGCCATGCCCGTCACTCAACTGGCCGTTCCCACGTCAGCGACACCTTGCCCCGTGGGGCAGAGGACATTGCAGAGTGGGAGATGTCGTGCGGGCGCCACTTTCGCCTACGAATCCGTATGCGAAACCCTGCGGGCGCCCACAGAGAGGTTTGGACGCGGCCCAATGGCGGCGTATGCGTGCGGTGTTTGAAACAACCGAGTGTCATGGTGTCGTTTGGTGGGCATGTTCGAACTATTCTGACAGCGGTATCAAATGCTGACCGAGGGCGCCACAACTGGTGGTCAGCAATTGCGGCGAGAGCACCCAACGACTGCATGTTTCGTTGGCGGTCGTTACCAGGACCATCCCACCCCAGTCCGGATCCCCTCAAACAGTCTCTTGACTAGAGCCGCTCATGAACCATACAGCAGTACGGGCGTAGTCCATCTTGGGCTGATGGTCAGCTCGGATTTTGTCCTCAGCCTAGAGTTCTAGGCGTACTGTTCTGCGATATACTACTACTCCACAACGTGGCCAAGTACTGTATGCGTCTTACTCCGGGATATTGTGCGGATTGATCTCACCCGCATATCGCTGCTCAGAATATCCTAGGTTTGACGCCGCTCAGTTGGGCGCGTATGTTGCTTCTCTGTCACGCCTCGAGCTCCTTGCACGCACCACGGTGCCTCAGCACAGTCGCTGCTCTTATCCTCGCCTCCATCGCATCGATCCTCAGTCCGGCGTACGTGGACGTCCCATCGCGCTGTAGCCTTGTGAGTCCTTCGCTCACGTCACATCACTCAGAGGTCTGAAGCATCTCCGGTACTCTAGATCTAGAACTAGGTGCACGGTCGACCTGCAATTATGGACGGTGCGTCGGATTGTGATCGCTGCTTTGATCAGGCCAATGATTTTAATGTCTACGACAATGACAGCACAAGGGAACGTACAGAGCAACGACACGTCGACGAACGGCACGGCCAATGAGTCCGAGCCCGCTACGCCCACCGACGCACCCTTCCCTTTCAACAGCCCGCACGCGGATGTTATCCTGCGATCTTCTGATGGCATGAACTTCCGTGTCCGAAAGGCGATCCTCGCTGAAGCGTCTCCCTTCTTCGAGACCATGTTCAGCTTGCCCACTGGCACGGAGCAGTCCACGGAGAAGACCCATGCTCCTGATCTTCCAGTTGTCCCGATGCCGGAGGACAGTACAGTGGTGGTCGGCCTGCTGCAGTTCTGTTATCCAGCTGGTCGACAACTGCAGGAGATGACACTCGATGACATCGTGGGTGTGCTACCAGCAGCGAGGAAGTACACGATGGATCGGATGGTGGAGTACGTCACTCCGCTTTTACAAAGATTCGTTGCAACTTCGTCGCTGCGTGTATACTGCCTCGCCATACGTTTCCAGCTGGGCGAAGACTTGACTCGCGCTGCCGCCAGAGGGTTCCTCGATCATCCTATCCAAGTTGCATATTCGCACATCACCGAGCTGGACTACATAAGTGGTGCCGCTTATGCCCGCCTACTAGACTATCATAATCGGTGTTCCTTCCATGTTCAACAACTCTTTGTTCGCTACTATACAGGTATCGACTCGGCCTGGGACGAACGTTGTTGGCATCAGTGCAATTTCGAGTCCAAGAAAAACTGCACTTATCGCTCCTTCGAGAACTCTCAACGGGTCACCGTGTGGTTCTCTGGCCTTATGGTGCGCTGCCGGAATCTCGCGAAGGACAGGCCCTCTTCCAGAGAGTTTTCGTTACAGAGCACTATCGCCAAAGCCCTGGTTGAGGCTGGGAAGTGCACTTTTTGCGGACCGCGTGCCTGGGGTGACTTGCAGGTTTTCCTGCCTTTGTTGACAACTAGAATCGACGGTGCCATATCTCAGGTCAGTGGTACTACAACCCAAGTTTCTCTGTAGAGTGTGTGTAACTGATATACGCTCTCCGTAAATATCACAGATCTCGTTGGACGTCGTCGCAGAAGCGCTGAGCGCCTAGGCACGAACTACGTAGGACAGACGAATCTACAGGTTGCGACAGTCTGTACGGCTATGTTTCTGTATGCTCCTCGTGCAGTGCCACTAAAGTGTCGCGCTCCAGCATATGCAACGGGCAATTTTGAGCCCGAGCCAGTCCCAGTCAACCCTGACCGAATCTATACTCGATGTATAGGTTCATGCTCAGATATCGTCAATAATGGCATGTGTATGTACGGTGTTATTTTGTCTATGCAGCAACATGAACGGCGCTTCCGGTCCATCTCGTCCTGATTCCAATCACCAACTGCCACTGCCAATACCCAACTCGGTTCGCCAACGAGAGTCCTAGCTAGTGACTGCTTTGCAAATGTCTGCGGTTGGCATCTGTTGATTCCGCAGAAATTGCCAGGCAAGAGATACCAATCCAAAGGCCCTGTCCAGTAGCGCTTGGGAAGTACGCATCCTCTATCTTGCCAACGCGGCCCAGAAGATCTTGTCGCCGACCTGCAGCATCATTAATGGTGGTGAGAGCGCCCAACTCGGACTGTATGTTTCGTCGGCGGTCGTTACCAGGACCATCCGACCGCCCCAGTCCGGATCTCCTCGAATCGTCTCTTTGGGCAGATGCGACTACAGCTGCTCCGAGTCATGGACCACACGCTGGGATGTTGATCGTATACGAGCGTAAGAGGCTGAGTCAGTCTTGCGCAGTGATGACCAGCTCGATATCTGTCCTCAAGCTGAAGCTCTAGGCGTCAGTGACTACTATCTAGTACGGGATACTACTGCTACACAGCGTGGTCACTGTATGCGTCTTTCTCCGTAAGATCATTGTGATTGATCTCATGTTCTTGTGGATTCGAGCACTACGGCTGCTCATTTATCGCTGCTCAGAAAATATTAGGTTTGACGGCTGTTTTAACTTATCGTCTGCAACGGAGACTAGGAATTTGACGCCGCTCAGTTGGACGCGTATGCTGCTGCTTCTCTGTCACGGCTGTCAGGTGACGCGTGTACGATACACGTAAGTAGTTGCTGTGGCTAGATGGAATCACCTCCTCCTCCTCCTCCTCCTCGAGCTCGTTGCACGCACCACGGTGCCTCAGCACAGTCGCTGCTCTTATCCTCGTCGCCATCGCATCGATCCTCAGTTCGGCGCACGTCTCATCGCGGTGTAGCCTTGTGAGTGCTACGCTCACGGCAGATCACTCAGGGATCTGAAGCATTTCCGGTACTCTAGATCTAGAACTAGGTGCACGGTCGACCTGCAATTATGGACGGTGCGTCGTATTATGATCACTGCTTTTATCAGGCCAGTGATTCTAGTGCCTACTACAACGATAGCACAACAAGGAAACGTACAAAGCAACGACACGTCGACGAATGGCACGGCCAACTTGAAGGGGTCCGAGCCCGCCCACCGACGCACCCTTCCCTTTCAACAGCCCGCATGCGGATATTATCCTGCGATCTTCCGATGGCATGAACTTCCGTGTCCGAAAGGCCATCCTTGCTGAAGCGTCTCCCTTCTTCGAGACCATGTTCAGCCTGCCCAACGGTGCAGAGCAGCCCGCGCACTCTGGCGGCTCGGAAGCTCCTGGCCTCCCAGTCGTCCCGATGTCAGAGAGCAGCACCGTAGTCGATGGCCTGCTGCTGTTCTGCTATCCGGCCGATCGACGACTGCAGGAGATGTCGGTGAATCCCGACGACCTATTGGGCCTCTTGCCAGCGGCGAGGAAATATACGATGGACCGGATGGTGGAGTACATCATCTTGATGTTACACTACCTCGCCGAGGTGGTACCGCTGCGCATCTACTGCGTCGCCATACATTTTCAGCTGGGCGAGGACCTTATCCGTGCCGCCGCCAGAGGTTTCCTCAACGAGCCTGTTGCATATCCATACACCAGAGTGGCCGAGCTAGACCTCATCAGCGGGTCCGCCCACGCGCGTCTCCTGGATTATCACAGCCGCTGCTCCCTCTCTGTCTCAAACAAAGTCCTCACCCGTTCCAGATATGCCATCACAGACCCAGCCTGGGACGATCGATGTTGGCATAAATGCGCGTCCGAACGCAACACCTGTAATGCTGAGTACTTCGACTCCAATGGCTTCCGATGGATCGCTTCCTGGTTCTCTGCTTTCATGCAACGCTGCCATACAATGGTGAGGCAGTATCCATCTAGGAAGGGATTCGAGTCTGGAGCTAGCATTGTTCAAGCTCTCGCCGATGCGAAGAAATGTGATTTCTGCGGACCGAAAGCATTGGCTGATGTGCAAACCTTTTTGTCGTTGCTGACAGACAGCATCAACGAGGCCATATCGAAGGTAAGTAGCTTCACTTACATGATTCTCTTTTTTTTGCAGTCATCCAGGCGCGAACCGCTGATACATGCTCATAGATTTCGCTGGAGATCGTCGCTTGGACGGGAACCGGCGAATGGCCTAGTTGGCGATACATACCACAATAATCGCCCGTGACTCGTCTTGAAATCCCTGTAGCGTCGTGAATACGTTGCGTTCATAGGACTACATTTTACTCGTTGACTGTGATTCCCTTCGACGAATGATGTGCTTCAACTGTTGTCGAGTACCTATGCATCGTTGTACACTACTTGAATTTTAGTATTATGGCACCATCGTATTCCAAAGCTTTGCAAGGCCACTCATTCGGAAAGTTGTAATCTACAAGACCCGACACATGTACACTCCCGTAAGACGTTTCATCGGTAGCCAGCTGCGAGCCTGAGTGCGACCTCGAATACTGGACTTCGAGTGACGAGTCGCGTAGAAAGCCGCCCTACACCAAACCCAGCGCTAGGGTTCCACTTTCCTTGAACGGAATACTTATCCGATCTGTCAAGTCTTCTTCAAAGCTTTATTGCATCTCACTTTGACCAGTCATGTCGACTGTGGCACAGGGCCAAACCGCTCCGTTCGCGGGTACTCTCGATGTGCTCTCTCGCATCCTACCCGCCAACCTACTCAAACCCCGCGTCGCCATCGTCTGCGGGTCGGGTCTGTCGACACTGGCGAGCAGTCTGCGTGATGTAGTCGAGGTGCCGTATTCCTCGCTGGAAGGGTTTGGAAAAAGCACAGGTGCGTGGCTTAGTTCAACCATGATGTCGAGAAAGGCTGACTTGATGTGTGCATCAGTCGAGGGTCACCGGAGTGCTCTGGCATTCGGTCTGATAGGGGAGGGTAAGGGCATCCCAGTGGTTGCGATGCTCGGGCGGGTGCGTAGTATCTTTCATAACACTTAAGTTGCCTAACTGATCCGAGCTCAGCCAGTTCCACCCATATGAAGGGCATTCACTCTCTACCGTCGTGTATCCCATTCGTGTCCTAGCACGACTAGGCGTTCGCGATATCATCAGTGAGTCCGCTGTACCCTCGAGTGCGACGGATCTAACGGTTGAGGATCGTCCGCAGTCACAAACGCGGCGGGTGCGCTCAACCCGAACCTAGATGTCGGCACCAGTAGGACCTTCGTCTTCTTTACATCCAACTTCGGCTCACGTTGCATCCAGTTGTGTCCATACAAGACCATCTCGCACTCCCCAACCTCACCGGCTTCAATCCCCTCCTCGGGCCCGCGCGCCCAAACTACCCGCGCTTCCTCCCGCTCTCCACCGCCTACTCGCGGCCGCTCCGGCGACTCGTCTTCCTCGCTGCGCACGCGCTTGGGCTCCCGCGCGACGCGTTGGCGGAAGGCACGTACGCGTGGGTGAGCGGCCCGACGTACGAGACGCCCGCGGAGGGCCGCTATATGCGCGCGGCGGGCGCGGACGTCATCGGTATGAGCACCGTACCCGAGGTGCTCGCTGCGCGCGAGGAGGGCGTGAACGTGTGTGTGCTGAGTTTGGTCACGAATAAGGTCGTCATCCCGGAATATGAGAGTGTCAGGGAGGCTGTCGAGGCAGAGGTGCGTTTTGAGTTGCTAGTGAGGCTGGGCTGTGGCTGATGCTGGGGAAGCTCGCGGGACGGACGGTAGAGCAGGCGCCGGAGGCGGAGTTATCCCATGAGGAGGTGCTGTCGGTGGGTCAACAGAAGGCGGGGGTGATGAAGGCTTTAGTAGCTAAGCTCATAGAGCTCATTGCGGCTGAGCAGTGATATAGATCGTCCTCTACTTTAGACTAACAACAGGTGCAAATCCAATCAACTACCCAATGAGACGGATGGGAGGGGACAGATGTGTTCTGCGGCCAAAGATGTCGCCGGAAGGGCAATGTTGGGTAAGTCCCCTCGACTTCTGCGGATAGTCATCGTTCACGGACATGCATTCACATGTCTCCCAGGTGACGCATATAAAAGGCATGTCCGCTGAGTTGAGGGCATGGCCGACTCATAGCCTCGCCAAACATGCCAATGCTGTGGCGATACGACCACCAGGATCTGAATGCATCACCTCTGGAGGTCCGCGACTTCCTTACAACAGTCCTTCTGGAAGTCTCAAGTAGGTTTGACTCCGTATACGTGGGCGCGTGGGCGACTTCTATGCCTCGTTGTGCATATCACGAGGCTCAGATCAAGGGTCTGCGGAACCTTAACTCGTTTGCATAATAGCCTCAAGCCCTACCGTGGCTACACCCCATCGCAGCGTGAGTGCGCTCCTGAAGGAAGAGTTCTGCGTGAACATCCAGGTGGGTTTACAGTCACAATCAACACATGTATATTGGGAGATCCACGATACTCATAGCACACTGACAGCGCATCATTCGTGTTCACAAGGGAGCTGCGAATAACGCATATAGCAGAGCATGAGCGACTCCGGCTTCCCTTTCAACAGTCCGCATGCGGACGTTATCCTCAAGTCTTCCGATGGTGTCAACTTCCGCGTCAGGAAAGCGATCCTGGCTGAAACGTCTTCTGTCTTCGATGGCATGTTCAGTCTGCCTACTGAACAGTCTGCGGAGGCAGATGGCGCTGGCACGCCGGCTCTGCAGGTCGTCGACATGACGGAGGACAGCGCGACGCTGGAGGGCTTCCTGCGGCTGTGTTACCCGGCCGATGTGTGCACGCGAGAGCCGACGTTCGAGGAGGTGTCGATGTGGTTAGTCGCGAGCAGGAAGTACCAGATGGACCGGATGGAGAGGCATGTCGTCCATACGCTCCGAGAATTCATCGCGACCTCGCCACTGCGCGTCTACTGTCTTGCCGTACGGTACCAGCTGGGCGAGGACCTTGTTCGCGCCGCCGCACGGGGCTTCCTTGACCAGCCCATCCAGGTCGCATACGGACACGTACCCGAGCTGGATGGCATGGATACCGCCGCCTACGCCCGTCTCCTCGACTATCATAACCGGTGCTCTGCCGCTGTCCAGCAGATATTGAGCGATCCAGCGACCGCGTTTCAAGGCGGGGTGTGGTCGAAACGGTGCTGGCTCCTGTGCCACAGCGAGCGCAACGACTTCCGCTTCCGCTCATCATCAACCCATGTGTTCTGCACATTGGGGACATTGTCCGACGGCGCACTGCACGCGACGCGCGCGAGCCTTTGGTTTTGCCAGTTCATGGATCGTTGCCGAGCTCTGGCGAAGGAACAGCCGTCCGGGAAGGAAGTCTCATCAGAGAGTACCATCGCCCGAGCCCTACTCGATGCGGGCAAATGCGACTATTGCAGGGATCAGGCCTGGGATGACATGCACGCCTTTGCGCAGATCCTGGCGCGTACGATCGACCTCGCCATAAAGATGGTACAGTGCAGCTACCTTACATATCTTCATGACAGTCCGGACTGAATGCATGTCCCAGGTTCGGTTGGAGATCGTCTAGTGAGATCGAGAGCATGAACGTCCCGTGAGGCTCGACTCGGAGTGTTATTTCTTGTCTTTGATCACTGTGATTGTAGTTTGTTCGAAGGAGGTGGACATGTACGTCGCTTACATCCACCACTGTTATCGTCTTGCTTTATGGTCCTCAGTGTTGCGCAGACGGAGCCTGCAAAGATTTTTGTCCCTTGTTACCGTTCAATCAGCGATGACTGGCTCCTGATATTTACTCTGTCCAGTCATTGCTCTTCATACGATCTCTTAGTAAACTGGCCTGTGTTATAGAATGTAGTAAATATTGTTCATGAAGGCTCGTTTGTTCCCTTTTGCAGGTCACGGGCATCTCAGATGACAAAGTGGTGATCTACGGTTTTGAGGGAGCTTGTGTACCGTACTATGCCTCGCTGGGCATACCACGCGGCACCATTGCGGTTTCTGCACCTCATCCTCATTTCTGACATGTCTTACCCACTCATTAAGCAGGGTATATTTTCTCGTGCCATGGTGTTCTCTGCACTCTCTGCCCTTGGTAATGGCTAAAAGCAACGATGCACTGTTGCAGGTAACTCGATGCACGGCTCTTACCGCAGCATCTCGCACCACTCATCCTGACCATGCACTATAGGTTTCGCTAGAGATTGCAAATACATAGGACGCACCGCTGCAGCAACGTCAGCGTTGGAATGATACGCCTCTCAAGAACCCACGATAAGGATGGCATATATACTGAAGCACTAATTAAGCCTCATATTGGCGAGTGTCAGCGCCAGCGGCGCGTCCTTGGACGCGTCGAACACAGCACATGCACCACGTGACCGTGTCGATACACTCCCTGTTCTTGAGTTCGTATACTTAATCTGACTGTTATTATTGGTATTATCGAGAAAGCTTCCACTTGAACATTGCATAACGTCTCAAGGCGAGTCAGGTCGATGCAACGGGCGTCATCATTCGGGCAGGTATGCGTACACATGCACGACGCATTACTTGAAACGGCATCTCGCTTTCCATTTTCGTCTGACGTTCGATCCTCTCCCGTCACATTCGCTCTTCCTCCTGCGTCGCTGCTCAAAACCGATGGCGTCACCGACGGTCAGCTCCACATCTGACCGTACTCTCCGTAAATATAAGACGGCTGTGCAGTGCTCTGGTCGGTGTCGGAAATGCCCCTCTTCCTCTCTGACCACCATATGCGCTCAGCAAGACTAGGCGCATGAGGGCGTGCCGACCCGTCTATAGGCGTCGATGAAGAGCAGCCAAGGTGTCAAAAATGAAGCTACGTAAGTGATCCATTGCAGCCATCGGTTTCACTTGTCTAGTCGACTTGGAATATGTTATGCGTGAACTGTATCTCGTGGCTTGACCCGGGGTTGATATGTCTGCCCGCACTCTCAAATGATTGAAGAATGCGGCGTGATCGGAGCCACGAGACAGACAAATTGCGGTCGAGCTGCATTTGCGCTTGTGGTCTTGAGTGCCGCACATTCGTGCATCCTCGCCAGAGTCGGACGGGAGCGACGAGGCCGAGCACGGATGGCACGCGTACGAGTATCTGCGTAATGGATCAACGCCACCTGACAGAGCGGCCCTCAGGATCAGTTCAGTGCGGTGTTCGAGAGGGCGATGGATCACATACACTGTGTCAACCTTCATCGGCACGTCCATTCAGGGCGGGTGTTGCCTCGACGGCGGACATACCGGCATACGATTGGGCGTTCGCCGGTCGAGACGGCCGTTAGTCTGTGGAGGACCTAGCGGCGGTGCGTACTGTTGTTTGAGAACGCTTGGTGTGTGTATGTGGCAGCTAGTCAGCTCGGGACTAGAGCACTCCGGCTAGTCCATAGCAGGAGGCCCATACGGATCACCTCCCGCAGATCCGACCGCTTCGTGTTCGTTTGGTGGCCTCGAGGCCTCGAGGCGTTGCCTGGTAGGGAATAGTCGGAGCGCAGCAGCAGCGCTAGCAGGATGAGAGAGGTATCTACAGATGGCAAGGTCTCGCCGGAGACAAACGCGGCGCGGGCGCACTTGTGTCACCATATACGAGTAGTGAGAAGCGCACCAGTGCAGCTGAGGAAGCCGTGATGAGCTGCGCGGCGTGTATCGTGCGGGCTGGTGAGGCCCCCTCTCGCATACCTGCTTTTTGGCCCCACAAGGTGACCCGGGGGCGACTTTCTCTGCGCACCGGCCTAGTAGCGATTTGTTAGTGCCCACTGGCGACTGCGCTAGCTGCGTCAGGTCTGGAGAAGCTGCTAGGCATTATTTGGCATGGCTGTAGGCTCCGGCGTGCTATGGAGTGGCTGACAATTACTGCGACAGGCGTTCAATCACTTGTGTGGTTCGCAGTCAAGGACGTACATTGGCAATCAGACATGCAATTATCGGCATCTTCAACTCAGTTCGGTATCCGGCAGGTGAGTACCCCTTGTAAGGTGATAAAGGAGAAAGCTCAGCAACGGCATGTGGATAGTACTGGCAGAGGGTGAGTGGACGGATTGTCAAATACATACTGCGCGCGGCGCGGGGACCCGCGTCCACAGGTGCGGCGCGACGCCGCGAGAATTCGAAGTGCGCGCGAGCGAGAAAGTCTGATGGGAGGTGGACCGTGATTGGCGGATGGTGTGGCGCCTTCATACGTGCACCAGGACCCGCCAGGCCGAATGCGAGACGCGTCTGGCGGAGTGGCGGCTGAGGAGCGTCCCGTAGCAGGCCGCGCAGTGGGACGGACAGCGTTAGAGGCAGAAGCGCGCGGCAGCGACGGGGAAGCGGCCAGATAAGGCAGGCGGTGCGCCATATATGGACTGGCATGTGGGCAGTTGTGCGGCTAGCGGGGCTGGCTATTTATGCGGGCGCCCCGGCTGCTCGCGCTCGGGTCGACGCCCTTCTTCCTCTTCCGACCGACGCGAGCAAGGCACGGCCTGCTCTCATCTCTATCAGGCTCCGAGTGCGAGAGTGGCCAGCGCGACACGGCGAGCCCACTTTCTCTGTCCAACTCAGTGTCCCACTTGCCGCCCCTCCCCCGCCGCCGACGTCATACCCCCAGGTCGCCTTGTCCCTGGCGCAAATTCCTGTGTGGCCTCCACCGCTCGTTGAGCTCAACGTCCACCGTCTCTGCGCTGGAGTCTGCGGATCTGTTGGTGAGTACACTCGTCTGGTCGAGGAGGTCTTGGCGTCGCGAACCAGGCTAGGGCGGCTGTGCTGGGGCGGACTCGAGTGTGCTCCACCGTGGTTCGTTCCCGACGGTTCCAAAAGCCTAAATGTCTATTTCGTGAGCATGCTCAGAGGATAGGCCTTGAGAACTGGACTCGCGACTCGTCTGCTGGCTGCGTTGGGCTCGTGGACGCTTCTTATGCCATGTCTGGTTCGGTCAGAACCGCTGGCGTAGCGGGTGGCACCCCTCCATACCTTCTCGCATCCTCTATGATTGCTGTAGCACTCCATATGCTGATGATTCCCGTGCTACAGTGAACCGACGCGCCTGGTACGCTGTTGAGCCGTCATAGGAGATTCGAGCGCGGCGTAAAGGCTGTCATCGTAAGTGGCGATTTTGACTTCTAATCATGCTTAGCGGGCACCTTTGTTCGCCTCATGCTCTTCGCAGTATGGAAAATGGCCGGCGCTCTCTCTACTTGTGAGGGACGGGGCGTGCCAGACAGCAGGGTGTCAAGTACGTTTTGACGTCATGATTGTCCCTTGCTTGCTTTGCGACTTGAGGCGCGCTCTAGAGCCGGCCTTATACATGCAGGGGCATCGTGCTCGCATTTGCTTTGCTCGTAGTCCTCGTCGGGACAAGACCGCGGACTATGTGGCGGCGGGAGGCAAACGTTTGGATTTTGACTAGTGGAGTCGGCCAGTTTGCCACGGACCACGTCTCGGGTTGGCCGGTGTCTCCTGTCTGTCACTCCACTCGTGTACTATATGTACTGTCTCCCTAGGCTCACATCCGCGGGAATTCTTTCTCGTCTGTTGACCCGCCGCTCTTTGTCTCAGCCACCTGACGCCTTCGCTCAGAGTCCTCCAGCTAACGTCTCGATCCAACACCCTCCCGGTTTCATCACCTCAGTGAGTGCTTCTTCCTTCCCAGAGTGTCCGGTGCAAGCAGGTGGTCGTGGTCTCTGCTGCGTGCAATTGGCAGGGGAACAGAGGTCAACATGTGAAGCGGCGAGTGACGCAGAGGCGAGCGGCTGGACGATCCTCCAGATATGGATACAGTCGACCGAGTGCGTCCCGCGGTTGTCAGTCGTGCTAGCTTCGCAGCGTCTAAATGTGGCTCTCCGGCGACGTCTCTGCCTCTGGCATGTGCACGAGGATCAGACGCTCCTGTTCGCGAAGGCACGCTGCGTACATTTATGCACGTCCGGAATGCCTGCAATAGAGATGATTTATCTCTGCTCCATGGCTTCTGCGGATCTTGGAACGCTGCACCTGTCCGAACTACTCCGCTGCTAGCTATCTCCTGGCTGTCGCTCGCATTGCTGATGCTCTTTGCAGACATAACTACCATCCTGGCCACTTTCCTCACCCCCAACCATGATTCTCACCCTCCTTCCGCCGACGTCTGCCCCGACGCTACACCATCCCCTCGTCCTCCCTGAGCCGCATCATGCGCGCGCACCACTGCCCGTCGGGTGGGCGGCCCAGCTCGCGGGACTGCAGCAAGACGGCCTTGACATGCCGCCGAGTATCCACGCACTGGACGGCTCGAGCGGGTGGTCTGCGATTGTGGAGGAGTGCGTATTCGAGCTGCTCGACAAGCAGGGCGTGCGTGTGGAGTGTATTCTCGTCGGGGGAGGCTCCGTCGTGTGGGATGTCTCTGGCGATGGGCGGGCGTGCGCGGGGATGCTGAGAGAGGCCTTGTCGGACCTCGCAGCTGCGAAGAAGGAAGTGGAGAAGGAGCGCGCGGCGGTCCTACCCCGCCCGTCTGCGCCGATACATCATACGTACCCAGGCGCTGGCAAGGTGGAATGGGCGCAGTCGTCGGACACACTCGCGCTGCCGCCGCCAGTCGCGAGCAAGGCCACGAAGCACAAGAAGCAACGCTCGCTGTTGTTCTTGTCGAGTATCGTTAGTGGTCTGCACAAGCTCGCTGCGTCCGCATCGCCATCACCAACGCGCTCAGCATTCCCGACATCCCCGTCACCCACCACCTCGGAGTTCGCGTACTCATCTAGTCCCACACAAGCGAGCTTTGGAGAGGGCGCTCGTTCCGGTGCAAGAAGTACAGCGTGGACAACCACGCTCGCATTCCTCCCGCCCGCGCGGAAGACTCCCCTGCCCTATAGCGTCGCCCGGCCACTCTCGGCCATCCTGCACGCGAAGGCGCGTGCGGGGCTTGTGGACGCGTGGCGCCGATATGTGCTTGACGAGCTGCGCATGCGGCTTGGGTTTGGGAGGAACGTGGAGGACGAGCTGGACGGCGCATTGTGCGCGTACGACTATCCGCGGTGGACAGCAGCCCGGATGTTGCGGCGGACGGAGGAGTGGATGGCGTGGCTCGTGCAGGAGGCGCGGGAGAACGGGGGCGCGTCGCCGGATATGGACCCGGTGAGCGCGTCGCGGCCGACGAGTGCAGCACTGTCGGTGACAATTCCCTCGCACAAGCCGGAGCGGACCGCGTCGGAGCTGTCGGGGAAGACCCTTGTGCCAGCGGAGGAGGAGGGCGCGGGACGAGAGGTGAGCGTGGAGGTGGGCGAGGTGATGTACGACGAGGAGGGCGATGGGGAGCGGGAGGTGGACGAGTGGGAGGAGAGCGTGAGCACCGAGGCGAGCAGCTGCACGGAGGACAGTGAGTCGGTGCACACGCCCGTGGATGGAGAGGAGGGCGCGCCGTTCCAGCTACCATTCCGCTCATCGTCTGCATCGCATTCGCGCGTGGCCTCGCTCGTGGACGCGCACCCGCAGGCAGCAGACGTCCCCAGAAGCCCGACGCCGCCGTCGAGCCAAGCGACGTATGCGGCGCTCAGCGCACAGAGAGTGCATCTGCTCAAGCTGCTGAGGAGTATGAACACTCATCGGGCCACGGCTGCGCAGGATGCGCGGAGTGCACGGGCAGTCCTTGAGGTGAAGAGCCGACGGCGGGCATGGAGCTCGCGTGCGTACCTTGGGCGAGCAGAGGGCCGGCTATGCGGGCTCGCGACGCCTGTACGGAGCTCGCCTCTCGCGCGGTGCGAACCGACGACTGCAGCATGGGGCGTACCTGCGGAGGGCGGTTTGGAGGTGTGTACGGGCGAGTGCGACCTGAAGGAGCTCTTCCCTGTGGAGGAGGTTGATGAGGACGAGGAGATGGAGGAGATGGAGAACCTGCAGGCTATCAGCCTCGCTGGCATCGGTGAGGGCGACGAGGACGCGTTGGAGGATCTCGAGAACGGCCTGCTTCCCCCGATGGCGGTGCCCAGCCCGTTTGGCGCGTCGACGCCGACGCGTGTGCGGACGCAGAGTATGTACGCCCCAAGCCATCCGAACGCGGGGTCTCCGTTTCCGCCAAGGGGCTCGTCGCTCGCGAAGCCAGCGGACTTGGATCTGCACGTCCATCCCCTCCCCAACCGTGCCCCGCAGAACTTGTCTCTCTCATTGCCACTGCCCCTCCCACCAACTCCGTCACCTTCACCTGCGGCATTGCCCGGCCGGCCTCTGACAGCTCGGACGGTGTCTGTCGCCAATCCAGTCAGCCGACCGCCACTCTCTGCGTCTGCGCTGTTATTCCAACCGCTGAAGCCCAAATTCGAGAGCCAGACGAAGTTCGCGCTCATGGATCATGGTGGGGACGCGGATGATGAAGACGGTCCGCCGTACGTCAAGGTCAGCGTGGAAATGGAGGTGGGCGTGAATGTCCGAGAGGGCTGGGTTGAGGGAGTCGGGGTACGGTGATCACCTGTGCCCTGGTGAACTGTCAAGATTGCTCTCACATTCCCCTCGCCTGAAGTGCCCTCACTGGCGAACCGCCTCTACTCTCGGTCTAACTCTCCGTTCGACCTCTCGCAAGCCGTCGCAAACTCTCGCAATGCAAACTCTCGCGCAACTCTCGCTTTGGTGGACTTTCATTTCTCGGTCTCAAACTGAACTCGGGTATCGCATTCTGGATCTTGGTCAACTAATATCTATTCTCATCGTCTAATCGTCGCATTCGCCGCGCTGTGTCAATAGTCTTTCTCCGTTTCACTGCTCGTGCATCCATTCTGCCATCCGTTCCGTATATGCATGCTCATCTAGTCATCATCCGTCCATTCCCCTGCATTCTCCCGTCTGTCCATGAACTTTGCACACCGAACCCTAATTACGATTTCACGTACATGCTCTACGATCCACGTTCATTCTCCACCCCGGCCTCGCGCGCTGACCCGGGGCACCGTACGAGTACTTCGGAATATTAGATACTGACTTACGGGTATCCGTAGTATTAGTTAGCTGCGCGCACCTGTCGATCCTTTCGTCGGCCCCGCCACCCTTGCTCCTGTCAACGCTCGTACTCATACTGTCTGCCTGACCGCTCGTTCGATGTACCGCCGAGGTCGGTGTAGGTAGAAGACAATTGAACCAAGTATTACCCTATCGTCATGCTGGTTCGATAGTTCAAACGTTCATGGCCGCCATCGTACGTCTATGTAGGTATGCATGTTCATTCCTTCAAGCTGAGCGCTGAGCACTAGGAGTGCTTGACGGGGCATACGTCGGGAACACATTCATTGGCCTACTCCATGCTCGCTGAGCTTGCCAACTAAGTTAGAAGCTTGAAAGGATACACGTGTCCATGACTTCCATGCCTCATTCAACTTGAAGTTGCACCCTCACGAGGCTTAGGTCCGGGGTCGGTACTCCTCGTGTGCAACAAGGCTCACTATTGTCGGTGAATACCAGCGAAGTCCTCAGACGGACGGGTGCTACCGTACCTACATGGCTGTCATATGCATGGACGTGTCGCGCCCCATACGACTCCGCGGTACGTACGGCGTTCCTACGATATCGTTCATCAAGACAGTCACTGTGAACAGCGGCATAAAATCATAGATCAGTGAATACATTCGACAGCACGAAAGCAAGGATGACGAGCAATGGAGTACAGCACAACAGAGCGACGCAGAACCGAGTCCGAGTCGTAATGGTAGTACACAACATAGAGCGAGATGTGTTTAGTATTGAGGAGAAGGATCAGATTGGGGCTGCAGACGAACGACGAACAAGGGCAAAGATGGGAGCAATAGCGGATAGAACGAACAGCAAAGTAGAGGCCATTCGGGGTGGGTCAAGCGTACATGCTTGACGATTGGCCGTGGCCGTCAGTCGGCGTGGCCTCGGGTGCGGTGTCTGCGGCTGTCAGTCCCTGGGACTGACGTGACAGTTGAGCAAAGTACAGTACAGATACTATCGCGGAGGTGCTCACCGCGCGCAGCTCATTCAACATTCGTTGGAGGTCTTCCGCCTTCCTCTCCGCCTCCTCCCTCCGCCTCCTTTCCTCTGCCGCCTTCCTCTCCACCACCTCCCTCCGCCTCCTTTCCTCTGCCGCCTGCCTCTCTGCCTCCTCGCGCAGTTCCACTTGCCTCCCTGCTTCCTGCACTCTGGTATTTGCTTGGTTACGGAGCTGCAGCAGGGTCGCTGTGTACTTGGACCTGAGCTTCTCAGCTCCTGCGTTCATCCTCGCACCTGACATGACGCGGAGGAAGTTCTGCCATTCGCCTTCCTTGTGTTTGGTATCGAGTATTCGCTCCAGCCTCGCGCCGTCATCACAGATAAGACGGATCACGACGCCTGCGAACCAGTAGCACTGGCCGCTAAGCAATTCGTAGAATGGCTTGCGCCGGCTCACTACCAAGCAGGCAGCAACAATGGCAGCAAAGCTGGGGGGAGGATCCAAGGCACTATGCGCAATCTGTTCCCCGTCCTTCGTCAACAGTTGCCTGTTCTCTGTAGCGCATAGGGTGACGATGTCGTGAGCAGGAACACCGAGGCTCGGAGATGCGGGTGCGGTGCCGCTGGAGGTGCTGGAGACGCTGGAGACGGTGGAGATGCTCCAGGAAGACGCGTTCGGCGTCCAGGAAGACCCGTTCGACTCCGGACGGTCGACGGTGCGTTCCGCCCGCAGGAAGCCAATGTCCCTGCCATGGTACGTGACGTTGAGCACGATGAACTCGTGGTTCGACAGAGATGTTGCCTTGTAGAGCCAAACATTGGTTATAACACAGTCGTAGAGTTTTGGATTGCCATTGAGATAGCAGTTCTCAAGGCTGGTCATATCAAAGAGCCTCTTCTGAGTCGGATCTAGCGGCTGGCTCACATTTGGCTGGAGTAGCTGGCTGAGCTGCATGGGCAGTTCTTCGGTGGGGGTAGCCATGAACGGCAGGCTGCAGTGGGCAAATAGCGAGCGAAGGAACGACTTGAGTCCCATCGCAGCGATGAGGGTAGATATGCGGCGGCCGTAGACGCGTATGGCCGTGTCGACGAAGAGCAGGATCTTCGCAGCCCGCAACCACTGAGCGAGCTGAAGCCACCAGGAAGACACGCTCTCCCAGGCAGTCGCGGTCACGTGCCCTCCACGCGTCCGAACACGCACACATTTCATACATCTCCTCTCCGCTCTCCCATCCGCCAATTTACCGAACGGCTGCAGTCCCCGTAGCAAGCAGAGCAACGAAGGATTTGATGTGTTGTGTTCAAACAACAGATCTTCGTTCCTGTTGCCAGTGCCATTATCCAAGTCCAACCATATCGAACTCCAACATTGGAGGCTAGCCACGTCGTTTCACCGCACCTCCCATGGGGATCATCCTTCAGGGAAGATCTGCGAGCCATACTCGAGCAATGCGGCACAACGAAGTCTGCAATCGACTTAACGATCAGCGCACGTCCAATCTAGTTGGTCGCACCCATGCAAGGATCGAAGTCGCCAACATCCCATGTACATATCCAGCGTACATCTGCTAAGTTACGTTTTGGGGTCAAGGGCATTGCATGGTACAGACAAACCCTTACTCGGATTCAGCGTGCCCGCACCACCCGCATTTCGCCTGCACAATCCGCTACGGGAGCGCATAGGTATTCGACAATCCGCCTCTGACTGTCACGGCACGCGTGATGCAAAAGAACACAGCTCAATATTTCGTTGTAGCGTCGTTGCCTTGTTGGTCGTTGCAGGGGCAATGTTGAGAGGACCTCGAGCCTGACTCAGCCCGGCCGGAGTGAATGTGAGGGTGGATAATGTGGGTTCGCCTCAGATGTAAGGCGAGCCGGTTCGGATCGGCTCTACAGTAACCACCGGCGACGTGGAGGCCGAAAGTGGCTGCTCGCGCACTGGTGACTGCGGCGAGTGTGCCCTCGACCCGGCGACGGATCCCTCATGCTTCGTCTCTCTTTTTTCTACCCTCTACCACATTCCGTTGAATATATACTGTACCTCGAGGCAACACTCGTAGCTCGCCAACTCTCGCTCGCATTAGTCAGGGTGTTGCTACCCACGTCGGTACCGTGACCACGACAACGCCGGCCAAACGCTTACGCAGGTGGCAGCTCGTGCTACGAGACAACGACCTGCCCAGCCTCGTCGACCTCCGAGTGGCCTGCGCGGTCTGCACCGGTCCTCGACGGGTCCAAGCCTCTTGCAGCATCATCCAGCGCTTCCGTCTCCATCAACTTGAGCGGCCCCGGTCTGCGCGGCATGTCTCTCCTTCCCTCGACATATGAACACCACCTATCGCCATGCTGCATGAACCAATGAAGTCCTCACCCACCACTACCACCCCGAGCGCGGCCTCGACTTCCTCAGAGTCGACCTCCGACTTCCAGCAGCACGCCCTCGGCCACGGCCTCCTGAACCAATTCGGGCAGTTCATCCCGAAACACGCGCTATTCCAAGTGAATGTCGAGATAGACCAGTTGTCGAACGTCCCCCTCATCAACGGGCAGTTCGCGGTACGCTGGAAATTCAAGAATGCACAAACTCGCTCCGGACTGATCTCGAGGATGCGCGGGAACCCGTCGTGGTCTTCGAAGGGGAGGAACAGCGCCAAGGGCAAGGGGCGCGCGTCAGAGCTCGGCCTCGCCATCGAGGTGACCCCGGCGGATGAGGATGATGAGGAGGGAAACGAGAGCAGCCCCCAGGACGAGGGCACTGAGGACGAAATGTATCGTCATGCGAGCGGGTCGTCGCTCGATCTCCTCACGCCGTATACCCCTGACACGGCAATGCCACCCACCACCCCAGCGACAGCAACACCAGCAGATATGCGAAAGACGGCATCTGCAGCATCCGTCACTTCGACGACAACGACGGCAGTGGCTCGCGGGATTACCCCTTTCCAGCCGCTGCAGAATTACAACGTAAAGTGGGGCCACCAGGTGAACGTGGCCGTGCAGATGGACGTGCACCGGGAGACGGGAGACTTGTTGCCGAACGAAGTGAAGTTGGTGGTGATGCAGGTGCGTAGCCTCGTGTTACGTCGCCGCGAGGAGTGCTGAAGATCGCCTCTAGCGAGTGGTCCCGGGAGATCCGGACGCGCCGAAGCAACCCCGGCTGGGTGCTGTCTACCTCAACCTCGCAGAATACGCTGATGCGGGGCCCGTCACTCGACGCTACCTCCTCCGCGAGAGCAAGACAAACGCCACGCTCAAGGTAGCTATCCGATCGTTCTCCTTGATTTGATTTGATTTACTGACGCATATAATCAGCTCACAATCACACTCGAGCATATTGGAGGTACGAAGAACTACCGCCCTCCCCCGCTGCGCAAGGGCGAGATCCTCGCATCCGTGACAGGCTTGCTTGCCAACAACGACCTCATGCGCACAAGCATCGCGCGGCAGCTCGACGACTTCACGCATGCGACCCACCCCGGGCTGCAAACGTTCATGCAGGCGGACGGGCGTGCCGATGGAGACGGGCTCGCGTCTGCGTCGGGCCTGCGTGCGACGGAAGACCTTATCGAGACGCTGTTCAACCCCCTCCCGAGTGCATCACCCGCGCCCTCGCCCTTCACGTACTTCGCGCCAGCCGCGGCGCGGCAGCACAGTGTCGGCAGCATCGGCTCGGTCGACTCCCAGAGCGACTCGTACTCCGTCGCGCGGAGCTCGACTCGGAGCGGGAGCAGCGACGGGATGCATGTCGACGTGAGTGTGGAGAAGCTCGCGGCGGACAGTACTGTAGACTTGCACCCGCTCGAGTCGCCCCGCGATGCGAAGGGTGCGTGGTGGAAGGTCCGCACTCGCCCGGGGACGCCCCTTGGCAGGCACTTCAAACTCCCGTCGCCCTTGCCGCAGCGACACACGGAGTCGATCCACGCTTGAGTTGGATCTGCATCTATGTCATATATGTCATAATCACTTCCTTGCATGTGGTGCGCGCTCGTTTCTCTGGTTTCTTCTCACTTTTGGCCTGTGCGGGCTCGCTATGGTTATTGCGTTCGTTGACCTTCTCATCTTTTTTACGTTCTGTCGGACTGGATTTAGACTATATTGTAGTCTGCTAGGTTTTGCTTAGTTCTTATGTATCACCATAATACCTTTTCTTGGTTTGGGCCGTGCTGGTGTCACAGCTCCGCACTTTGGACGTCCGGAGAGCCACACCGGTAAGCCGTACGCGCGTCTTGTCTTTCCAAACGGGTTGGCGACTAAATTACTGATACAGGTGAAAGGATGCTCGGGCCCACGCGGTAGTCGGTGTACGCTGGTAAGGTACTACAACCCCTCGGGGGGACGTGGTCGACGAGGCTTTGCCTGCGCACTGGTCTGCTGGGCATAATACCAGGAGTCCGCGTCATCTACAGGGGGTCTTCACTGTAGCTGTTCGCCCAGCACACGGTGCTTTCGCCGACTTTGCCTTAACCGACGCTCGTGCTCCGACAAGGACGCTGCGTGGCAGCGGGATGCCTTTGTCGACGCTGTCCCTCTCATCTTCGAGCGGATGCAAAGGCTGGTCTTCCACGCGTCGCTGCACTTCTGCTTAACGCTGCCCCTCTTCCGATCTTTGACAACATTGGAACAGTTTCGGTCCACGTTGTGCTGCTTGAGCGAGCTGTGGTGGATGATCCGTGTGTTCCCGCACCTCAATTGCCTCAAGCTCGTCGAGATGGACACCTGCCCGCTCCGACTGTCCATGCGACGCGAATACGCTTGGAACAGCTAGCTTTGTGCCAGAGCTTATCACCATTTGCCTAACGCGGTGCGGAACTGTCACTTAGTGTTGTGTCACTTGTTTTGCGGCAAAGCTCAGAGATGGTCTTGAAGTTTGAAGGAATCGCACATCCGAGTCGCCATCGTTCTACCGCGCTTTGTGCGACTTCCTTCGAGCTTCAAGACACTCGTTTTCAGCATGCGGGCTAGGGATGCCCACAGTCCCGACTCCAGGCATCATGTACATCATGATTTCGGCCTTCAGCGCTACAGCAGCGAGGCGAAACACTTACTTGTTAAGTTACAGTCAAGCATACCACATCTTCAAGCACTGCCCTGCGATGACGTGACAGTTCTGTCCCGCGATTGTCACTCTCCATGACTTGCCTTTCACACGGCGTGGTTGCGGTCGACGGCAATCGAAGCTGCAATGTACTAGCCTTTCCTCAAGCCTTCAGCTTCATCCCGGCGGCATGTCGCTCAAGGCCAATTCTATATTCACAGACCCGGAGATCCCTAGTGCGTATTACTTCTGCATCCTCACTTCGTGATATCAGGATTGACAGCATTGCGTACAGGAGCCCCTCCTCCTGATCTCACCGATACTACCTCATTCGAGGAGGTTCTACATTTCATATACGGTATCCCAGACTACGCCAAGAAGTCTCGCCGGCGGGAAAGCGTTGAGGCGGGTTGGCCAACAAGAAGACATACCCACCCGAGTCTCTCGCGCTCCCTTTCCGGGCGCATCCCGTTCGAAGTGGTTGAGTTGATCATGGACATAATGTCCCAGGGGAGCCTCGCCTACTGCGCAATGGTCTGCCGGGCGTGGCACCAGGCAAGCATGCGTGTCCTCTACAGAGATATCGCCATCTCTAGTCGTCCGGCGTTCGACTCCCTGGTGGCCTTCGCCTACAAGGACGCTCGTGCTCCCGAATGCTTCGCACAGACCGTCGCATTGCGGGTCGATGGGCAGCGGGACGTCTTCGCGCATGCCATTCCTCTCATCTTCGCGCCGCTCATGCCCCACCTGCGCAGGCTGGTGTTCTACACGTCGCTACACCCACTCATGCACCCGAGCTTCTTCAACACACTGTCTCTCTTCAGCGCTGTGACCACTTTGGAACTGTTCCGGTTCAGGCTCCGCTGCTTCAGCGAGCTGCGGCAGATCATCTGCGCATTCCCGCAGCTCAAGTGCTTCAAAGTCGGCGTCGGCGTATTCGAGACGAACCTGCCGCTCGCGCCTGTTGTACACCCAACGCGGATACGCTTGGAGCAGCTCGTCTTAGGCTGGGGCCTGACGCCTGCAGTTATCATCCCGCTCGTGCGGTGGCTCGCCGGGTCTTGCGCCTGCGCCACTCTCAGCCATCTCGCCATCTGGCGGAGCCCCTTCAACATGTCGCTGCAAGTCAATGTGCTTCTCGAGGCTGCCGGAAAAGCGCTGTTATCTTTACATGAGATGGATCTCCACTCCGATGGTCAGTATCCGTGTGATCTTGGCGATTGATTCAGGACTGACAGCGCTCCACCAGACGACCTAGGCCTCGAGTTTCTGTGGCCCTCGGTTCACCAAACTCCTCACACAGGTCCGTCCTCACGGAGTGAGATTGCGCTGCTTGCAGATAGCATCGACACGCATTGCACGTTTGCACACAGCCCAAACCTGCATACCATACGATTCGAATTGCGCCCCTGTGCTCTGGACGACGAGCCACGCGAGAAGTGGCATCTCGTACTAGAGGAGCTGGAATCCGTACTCAGGACAGTACGCAGCCCCGACCTGCGGTGTATCAAGATCCACCAGACGACACGACTGACCGGGAGGTTCTCCCGGCTCAGTACGCGACCACATCTCTTCTACGCAGACTTGGAACCGCGCACATTGACCCCGCTCCATCGAGCGATGACACAACCTGTGTTCGGAAACTTAACGTCGGTCGAATTCTCTGTCGACGTGGACTACAGTGCATGGGAGTTCCTCAACTCGGAGGGAACTGTGGCCATGGCTGCACAGAAGCTCTCCGATGGAATATCGCGACTGTTGGCTCCGTGGAACGTTCGTGGGCTGGTCACTGTAGTCCAGAAGAGGAATCCAATATATTACACTACTCACCGACAATACCTCTCTATGAGACACCTCCTCATCCTTCCTCTTAGGCACTCCGGCCTCCCATAGCCCGAGGTGAGTCGGTGATTAAGCATTTATGGACCTTCATTCGGGCGCTTATGTTCACAACATTCGCGGACCGCACTCAGGGCAATGGCTCCCCTCAGGCTCTGCAAGCTCCTCGTAATAATACCTGCCGGACCCTGTATCTGTGCTCTCAGTGAGCGCGCCTCGTGGATTACAGAGGCGGATCGTGGAGTATGAGCTTGCCGAGCGGATTATGCAGGCAGCAGGTGGTGAAATACGGGTGGTGCGGGCACGCTGAGTCCGAGTAAGGGTTTAAACGTTTATCTGTACCACTGCATACTATAGTAACTGGTTTGCTCCAAGCTGTACAAGCAAACTCTGAATACCAATCGATGGCAATAAAACTTCAACACCGCTGATTGCACATGGGCCCCGGAGTGGGTAACCACCCTCAGTCACCGATTTCCAACGAAACCTGCATCACGGATATGAGTTGGTTTGGGACTTAGCATAGGCAACAACTTGCCTTTGCTATTGCATTGTCGATCGCGGTCATCAACGAGGGCACGAATGCCTGCAAGTCCCTCCGCGCCCGAATTTCGCAATGAGCGCACTTCCAGGCACTCTCCACAGCGTCCAGAGTGGTATCCTGAGACGTGATCTCTTTGCCGGATGGCCTATCCTTCACCAGACTCTCGCAGCGCTTCAAGAAAGTATGGAACCAATCAACGATAACGATAGCAGAGCTGTCCTCCACAGTCCTGTGTGTTCCAGAAGGGCAGAATGACTCGCCATTCTTGGACATACAAGTGAACCAACACCTTTCCTTGCTGCGTGGGTTATCCGCGTAGACGTGTCGGATAATGGTGGACTCGGCAACAATAGAGCAGCGGCGATGGTAGTCCAAGAGGCGGACGTAGGCAGAAGCACTGATTTGGTTGAGTTCGGTGATGGAGTTGTAAGTGTGCGCCGCGTGGATGGACTCGTCAAGGAAGCCTCTTGCAGCAGTACGGGTCAAGTCTTCGTCAAGCTTGTAACGTAGCCTTCAACTTGGGTGGGGAAGGTTTCGGAAAGGTAACATCGGCAGCTCATCGCGCGCAGGACCTCGCGAGCATCCGGAAGGCTAGCCTCCAAATATGCATACTTGCAGGAAACATCGTAACCCGCAAACGCGAGCCATGCATCGTGTGCCGGGCGGATAGGTAAAGTGGTTAAGGAAGGTCTGAGCAAGGTCCCAGTGTTTGAACTCGGAACGGACGTTTGCGTATGCGTCAACTTGACATTCCTCGTCGAGGTCTTGCGCTATGAGCAGTCCCTGCAAATGGTGTCACGCCGGATTGGATATGTATATAAGTATGTCAGATCGACATTCCAGTCATCTCTCGCGGAGGTGAACCAGCGTATAATACCCTAGACTAAGAGGATGTGCACCATGACGGCAATGGCTCAGTGCGCAGGAATCAGTGTTGCGGCAGGGTATTAGGGGACGAACCAACATATAATTGTCGTTCAGCTGCGATGCGCTCAATGGTCCTGAATACCAAGGCCTTCATCTTCTATGTTTTCTGTTCTATGTAAGTACCACATTAGACACGATGACCAGCTAGTACTGCTCAGTGGCACGTTCCCGTGTCACGGTCCTCCCATTCTATATTCCTCGCGAACGGGGTAGTAAGTACAAACATAACTACATGCTACAGATCGTCCGCGCACCTCCCTCACAGTCGCAATCCATTTTTGGTGTTCATGCACATAGGCAGCAGTGGCACCTACACACTCGCGCCCTTCTCAACGGCCGCCCGCCCGTCGCCCACGTAGCGCTCAATCACGGCCTTGACCGCCTCGATGTCGTTCGGCACGTCCTCCACGCGGCGCTCGCGCTCGAGCAACCCGCGGAACTCCTCAGGGAGCACGTCCTGCGCGAAGTCGAAGCTTGGCTCGCCCGCCAGCGCGCGCGTCACTGCCTCGGAGAACTTGGCGGGGTGCGCCGTCGACAAGACTACCTGGACCGTGCTCGGCGCGCTGTGCACAGAAAATGTCAGTGGCCATGCAGCGAGATGAGAGGAAGAAGACCTACTTGTGAGGGCTGACGAGTCCGGCGGCGCACAGCCCAACCGCGGTGTGTGGGTCGGCAATATAGGACGGCGAGGAACCGTAGTACGATCTGATCGTCTCTAGCGTCTGCCAGGCACATCCCTCAGTATCATCGAACGTACGCACACAGTGGCGACACGCACCTGCTCGTCCGATATCCGCTCAGCCACAAAGTCCCTGCGCGCGGCCTCCAGCACGGCCGTAGGGACTTGCACGCGGCCGTCCACCTTCACGGCACGCATCCAGCCGTCAACCGTCGCGCACGCTGCCCGCACGCGCGCCACGTCGTCCGCGCTCGCGCCCTGCTCCTCGTACGCGAGGTACCAAAGCAGCCGCTCAAAGTTGCTCGAGACGAGGATGTCCATCGCGGGGCTCTGTGTCTCGCGCACGCCGGCGACGGCCTGCTTCCCGTCGCTCGCACCAGGGGAAGGCGCGGAGTCGACCTTCTCGTACGCGCCGCTGCGCCAGAAGCGCGCGAGGATGTCATTTGCGTTCGTCGCGATGACCAGCTTCCCCATCGGGAGGCCCATGCGCTTCGCGTAGTAGCCCGCGAGGACGTCGCCGAAGTTGCCCGTGGGAACGACGAACTGGAGCTGTGCGCCTTGCGGGAGCTGGTGCGCGCGGCGAGCGTGGAAGTGTGCGAGGAAGTAGTAGACCGTCTGCGCGAGGATGCGCGCCCAGTTGATCGAGTTGACCGCGCCGAGCCTGTGCCGCGCGTTGAACGCGGTGTCCGCGAAGAGCGCCTTGACCGCGTCCTGGCAGTCGTCAAATGTGCCGCGCACCGCGAGATTGTGGACGTTCGCGTCGGCAACCGTTGTCATCTGCGCCTCCTGAATCGGCGAGACGCGCCCCTTCGGGTGGAGGATGAAGATCGAGACGTCCGCCTTGCCCCGCAGGCCGTAAATCGCCGCGCTGTGTACAGTGGTCTGTGCGTACATCCCAGGCGAAGGGAGAGCGTGCTCACCTCCCAGTGTCCCCGCTCGTCGCACCAACAACAGTCAACTTCTCCCGCTTCTCTCCGGGACCTTTCCTGCTGTTCCGCCGCACGAGGAAGAACTCGAAGAGGTTCCCGAGGAGCTGTAGCGCGACGTCCTTGAACGCGAACGTCGGGCCGTGGAAGAGCTCCAGCACATACGTCTTGTCGCTCAGCTGCTTCAACGGTGAGATTTCTGGGTGGCGGAAGGTGCTGTAAGACTTGTCGACCAGTGTGCGCAGTTCGTCGTGCGAGATCTCAGAGGGGGATATGTAAAGCGACAGGATCTCTACTGAGAGGTCTTGGAAGGAGTAGTCGCGCCAGCGTTCCTCCCAGTCAGCGGGGAGAGATGGGATTCGTTCTGGGATATAGAGACCGCCATTCGGGGCGAGGCCTGTCAAGACGGTCTACGTGTTCGTTAACAAAGTCCTGCTCGCGAAAGACCGAGCGACCTACCTCCTCGAAGGAGAGCAATTGTTCAGCCCCTCTTGTGGAGAAGTAGCGCATTGTAATTCGATACCGTTGTGGATCCAGATGCAGGGTTCGTGCAGCGAAGATCTCCTGCGAGCGCAATGCGAGCGAGTATGAGGCTGGCCTGGAGTAGGCTTTGGATCGGTTGCAGCTGCAGATGAGTGCAGATGACTCGCCATTTCCCGGCCGGGCGCTCATGCGATGTATTGCTGTTTTTGGAAGTCATTGAGCGGGCCGTATACTGTTTTCGAAGAAGAACCTCCGGCATTCCTACCCAGGATAGTACGTGGCCTGATAGAACAAATGTGCTGCGTAGCAATTGATAACCGCAGCTTCCTGAAGTCAAGGTGTCGTGTAGTTGTCTCCGCGCTCGACCAGTTACAGTGTAATAGCGGCAGCTGCCGCGCACCCAATTAATATTGTGGTTGCCCATTTCCCCGGCCCCGCTATGTCCGTAGAGAAACTCTGATATGGACTAGAAAGCACGGGAACGCACCAGCCCGAATGCGGGCCCCTGACCTGCAGACTGGTCTGCAGTTGGTCTGCAGGTCGTCCTTGCGCGCGTTCCGCGTCCACGTGAAGATGGTTGCCGAGGTTAGAGTAAGCCTGTCGAAGTCTTTCGGACGCAAGGCCGACAAATCCTCCCGTCGTTGCGAAGCACGGCTTGGATAGACCCCGGGTATATAGCCCTGAGGCACGGCTTTCACTTCTGGGCTGACTCGTCGCGTTGGGTATTCCATCGTCCCGCAAAGGTCTTGCGCCACCAAGCCACTAGCAGGTCTGCGTCAACCTTCAAACCGTCCCAAGATGAGTGCAATGTGGTCCAGGTCCGTCTCGTACGCGGGTTTCGCGAGGCGACCAACAGTTTCGCCTCTGCTGCGTCGAGGGTTCGCCAGCAGCCTGTCCAGGATGCGTGAGTGCAAGTCGTGCGCAACGCGAGGATGACGCGCTGACATGCATGGCACCATGCTTTCTACCTCACACCACCCACGGGCTATCGCGACTTCACCTCGTTTCGCAAACAACCACACACGACCCCGACGGAATATTGTTCCACATTGTTGGCTACTGTACTTCGCGACCCATGACTTGCAGAGGAGAAAATTGCGGTCAAGAACCCAGTGGTGGAACTGGATGGAGATGAGATGACGAGGATTATCTGGAAGAAAATCAGGGAAGAGGTGAGCAGCTATGTCTTTCGAGCCGTAGTCCGTCCTAAACCTGTAGGCTAGCTCATTCTCCCCTATGTCCAACTCGACATCAAGTACTTCGACCTCGGTCTCGAGCACCGAGACGCGGTACGTGCATCTCGCCGCCCTCGCCTCCAATCCTCCTGACCCATTCACGCCTTCGCATGCCGCCCACGCACACAGACGGACGACGGGGTGACCGTCGAGTCGGCCGAGGCCATCCTCAAGTACAATGTGGGCATCAAATGCGCGACGATCACGCCAGACGAGGCGCGTGTGAAGGAGTTCAGCCTCAAGCAAATGTGGAAGAGCCCCAACGGGACGATCCGCAACATCCTCGGCGGCACCGTCTTCCGCGAGCCCATCATCCTGAACAGCATCCCCAAGCCGATCCCGGGCTGGAAGAACCCAATTGTCATCGGCCGTCATGCGTTTGGTGACCAGGTGCGTTGCCGTCCTGGATGCACGCTAGAGCCTGTGCCAACACGGTCTGGATGCAGTACCGCTCGACGGACTTCGTTGCGCCGGGTCCGGGCAAGCTGCAGCTCGTGTACTCGCCTGCAGACGGCGGCAAGCCGACTGTCATGGACGTCTACGACTTCAAGGGCAAGGGTGTCGCGATGAGCATGTACAACACCGACGATGTGAGACAGTTCCGTCATAAGACTCACCCAGGACGGTGCTGACTAGTTGGGCAGTCCATTACAGGATTTGCACACTCATCCTTCAAGATGGCACTGGCTAAGAAGATGCCCCTGGTATGCGGCCATACTTGATCGCTTCTACTCGTTTTACTCACTACCGCCGTGCAGTTCATGTCAACCAAGAACACGATCATGAAGAAGTACGACGGTCGCTTCAAAGACATCTTCCAGGACATCTACGAGAGGTCAGTCTATCCCCTCGCTGCTTGCCGACCCTAGCCGACCTCCTTCCAGCACGTACAAGTCGCAGTTCGAGGCGGCAGGCATCTACTACGAGCACCGGCTCATCGACGACATGGTCGCGCAGGCGATCAAGTCCTCGGGCGGGTTCGTCTGGGCGTGCAAGAACTACGACGGCGACGTGCAGTCCGACATCCTCGCGCAGGGCTTCGGCTCGCTGGGGATGATGACCTCGGAGCTGATCACGCCCGACGGGAAGACGATCGAGTCCGAGGCCGCGCACGGCACGGTGACGCGCCACTACCGCGAGTACCAGAAGGGCAACGAGACGTCGACGAACCCCGTCGCGTCCATCTTCGCGTGGACGCGCGGCCTCAAGCACCGCGCGGGCCTCGACGGGAACGAGCCCCTCAAGGCGTTCTGTGACGACCTCGAGAAGGCGTGCGTGGAGGTCATCGACATTGACGGCATCATGACGAAGGACCTTGCGCTCGCGATCCATGGGAAGGAGATGAAGCGTGAGCACTGGGTCGTCACAGATGCGTACATGGACAGCGTGAACGTGAGTAAACTCAAGCATACCCAGAGTGGACCGCACTGACAGGACCGTGACCGTGCAGAACAAGCTCAAGCAGAAGATGGCAGCGAGGGCCAACGTGTAGATACTTATCGTGTATCCGTAGGCCTCTTGGGCCAGTTTGTGTGCAGTGCCGTAGTCTTGCTACTTATGTATCCCACATCGACACACTACTTGTATTGATTGAGAATGCGACTTGTTTTGGGCGTGCTCCTGCAGTGACTGACTGAATAATATACATGAGATGATACAACGGCGACTTATGCGACACAGAACTTCGATGTATGTACACTATCATATGCGCGGGGTCCAAGAGAGCGGGGTATATGCAGAAAGCGAATGCAAGACAGAACGAAAGACTATGTACGGGGATAAAGACGATATTGATACGCAACAGGTGGAAAACGATCGACAGCCGCGGGGTGGACATCGCGGCCGGGGGAAGCGACAGAGGAAGATATTCGATACATAAATACAAGTCTTGAAGGGTCTTGCAGTCGGAGGGTATTCATCCATACGTCGTTCAGACAAACATTGAGACGTCGAGGCCGTCAGAAAAGTCGAGCACAATGATCTTTTGGTCATGCGAAGTGCTAGATCCGCCATCCGTCAGCCACTCTCCGCGTCAGGGGGAAACACTGCGGGCACACTCACCTCACAATGCGGCAAAAGTCAAACTTCACGTCGAATATATGGCTGTTGTGGCAGTTGCGGAACTCGCGCAGCATCTTGCCCGTCCGCCAGTCCCACACCTTCACCGTCTTGTCGTAGCTGGCGCTAACGAGGCGTCCGCTCCTCGGGTCGAACGACAGCGCGCGCACGAGCAGGTCGTGCCCGGCGAGCGTGCGCAGGCATGCGCCCGTCGACGCCTGCCAGACCTTGATCTTGCAGTCGTTCGAGCCGGAAATGATGTAGTCATCCTTGAACTCGATGCACGCGAGCCCGCGGTCGTGCCCCTCGAACGTGCGAAGCCGCTTGCCCGAGGGGATGTCCCACAGCATCATCTTCCCGTCCCCGCTCGCGCTCACGACCTTCCCGTCCTGCAGCCCGACGGCGTTCACGGGGCCCTCGTGGCCGCGGAACGTGCAGTGCAGCTGCAGCGTGCGGCGGTCCCAGACACGGATCAGTGCATCCTTCGAGCTGGGAAGACATGAGCTGGGAGCACTCGCATATAGCAAGGGGTTACTCACCAGCTTACGATCCATCTTGAGTCGATCCTGAGGTCCAGGACACCACCAGTATGTCCCCTCAGCACCGCCACAATGTCTGCCTTCACCTGGCCGTCCTCACCAGCCACAGGTGTGCGCGCACGGAGATCCCACACGCACACCGAGCAGTCGCTCGAGCCGCTCACCATGAAGCCATGCCTCCACACATTCTCATCCACCCATTCTTCCTCATCGTCCGTGGAAAAGTCCCAGTCCTTATCGAACTTGAGACACAGCACGCTCCCCCGGTGGCCCGTGAACGTCGCCAGACAGCGCCCCGTCTTCAGACTCCACACCTTGATTGTGCGGTCGCGCGAGCCGGTCACGATCCGCCGCGAGTCGAACTCGAGACAGTACACGCTGTCCATGTGCCCGCTGAGCCGCTTCACCTTGGGCTCCCATGTCGATGCGCCCCCGTCCGCGCGATCCTTCGCACGCCACCGGCGGTCCAGCTCCGCCCGCACCCGGCACGTCTCGTACCATGCCAGCTCCAGCGGGGCCGGCAGCCACGACTTCGACGCAGATAGCGGCGCTTGGGGGGCCCGCCGGAGGTCGATGTCCCAGCCATCTGGTTGGCGCCGTGTAAACAACGAGCGCCAGACGGAATTGTCTCGGCAGAGGCGGTTCCACGTCCTGTGCAGAACACGTCAGGATGGTGGTCCACTGGAGCGTAGCGCATGTACGTACTTGCTCACGCGGAGGCACGCAAGCACAGCTTGCAGGTCAAGGAACGACAGCAGGTAGAGCGCGGTCTCTGGAGGCAACAGACCTACGATATCTGGAGAAGGCGATGACGACAGTCAGTTCATGAACACAACCGCGGCCAGCTCGCTACCCGAAATGAATGAATGCACGAAATGAACAGGACGGCCCCGGACGAGCACTCCGTCGCAAGGGCAGCAGATCATTAAAGACGTCGGCAGCATATCGCGCACGTGGCCACGGTTGGATTGGGCGATGTTCGCGCAGGAGCCAGCGAGGGGACTGCGAGCACAGCCGGACCATGCACTCAAAGCACTCACCAGTACCAGTGATCCGTGTAGCGTCGATGAAGCATGCCTCGTCGTCGATCAGCTCGCCCTCCTCGCCATCCAGCGGCGGCAGGTTCATGTAATCGATGTACTCGGTGTCCGTCACGATGCCGTCGCGCCATGTCGATACGAAGGGCAGACCGGCGCGCCGCTTGCCTTTGCGCCCAGGAGAGCCTTCCCGCAGAGCGTCCCAGATGCGCGGGATGATCCCCAGCGTGAGGCTGCGCGATGGCTTCATGGGCGACGCACCGCTGCCGTTCGGGTAGTACGTCGAGGCATACGGATAGTAGCCGTTCACAGTGCGGCGACCAGAACTTCCGCAGCGCGGCGTGTTCTCCATGGAAGGGCACGGATACTTGTCCGCGTCCCAGCTGACGATGGAATATGTGTCCGTGCGGAAGCTCGGCGAGGGCGAGGGTGGGCGCGTGACCGTCAGATTGCGGGGGACAGCGACGTCTGCGCCATCGACGGTCTCCATCTCTATGTTGGAGTAGGCTAGTGTGAACGCGGTGCTGGCAGAGGTCGATGCGCGAAGGGTGTCAGACTCTGGAGGCAGATCCGAGGTGGTGATGAATGGAGAGCCGAGCACGGAGGTGCACATGTTGCTGAAGCGTGCAGTCCGCTCTTCGTCCGCAGTGTGTGCTCTATGGGTACGGCGAAGAGTTGCGGCGGCCATGACGGATGCGACACAGTGAGGATGAGGGCTTTGGGGCCGTCGAGTTTGCTATAATTTAGGTGGGTAGCGACGCGAGACAACGTCCGAGCAACGTCCGAGATAACAGGAGAAGGCCAAGACAAGGCCGATGCAGTGAGATGGGTCTCGTTTGATGACGCGTATGGAGATGGAGTATGGTACCGTGACGATGACTGAAATGACCGGCGAGCGACGAGTGCACCAGGATCGCAGAGCTGGGTATCTTCTGGCAGCGAGAGGGTCGCAGAAGAGGGGGGACCGGGCGTTGATGGTGGAGGTGGTTGAGGTGGCGGTCCAGCAGACAATTAGGGTGGAATGAAAGAAGGCGGCGAGAAAGCAACCTAGAACGACCGACACACAGACGCCCCAGCAGCGCGTGCCATCCACCACGACCAGGTGTCGGTGGGAAACCCGAGCCGGGCTCGGTGAGTGCTCGGTGGCGCTTGACGCGGACGCCTTGACGGTTCGGCTCGGCTTCGGCCACTCCCATGCGTCGAGCACGCATCTGGTCTACTGTCCTGCACGCTCGTTGAGTTTGTCAGTGATATATGACTCGAAAACATAGGTGTAGCAGCACGAGATACTGACGAGTCTTGCGGTACTTCTTAGTCTGAGACTTCCGCCTCCCACATCATGTCATGGTGCAGATCTGCAGAGATCGAGACTTGCTCGTAATGTCAATATTTAGTACTCAGGGATACGGCCCCGAAGCCCAATCAATCATTGGTGCACGACGCACAGAGCGACAAAGATGAATGGAGTACATAATAAGTACTCACCATTGAACACAAGGTCTCAGGCCGAGTGGAAGATTCACGCATCTCGGAGCGTACGGTGACAGGAAGGGATGCGCATATACCCATCAAATGGAGCTATTTTAATGGATACAACAAATCTTGCTGTATTTCCCTGTATACAGCGAAGTCAGTCGTATGCGGTATGTGCCTTTTTTGCCCTGGACGCACCTCTGCTAAGTACTGGTGACCAGGAGAGTCCTATGGGGCCATGTGATGGATGAATCCGCTGGCTTTCTGTGTATATAAAAAGCAGTGAGCTCACAGCCGTTCGCCGTCGACCAGAGCCCGAGTGTTGAGCGAAGGTCTGAAGCTTGAAGCTTGATGAAAGTCCCGCATACGGCACCAGTGCGGTGGCCAGCCACATTTTAATTGACGCGTCGCGGTCACGGGATCGTTCCTGTTTGGGGCATGCGCCGCCGCGGTTCGATTCGGTTTTAAGTAAGTTGAACTTGCGACGTTGGGCACGTCTCTTGGTCGTTCGCACTGTCCGGATCCGTGGTATCATTCGCTGTTAAAATCCTTTCATTCTCATTGATTTTGCTAGCAGCGCGGCAGTGTGAGTATAATTTGCTTACGACTGGACATAGATCATCGTCCGAGTTCAGCCTCTACTAACTACTATGGTCAGGCCTGACGCAAGTAGCTCGGGGATACCGTCAAGGGGGATCGTTCAAATGTATGGCATTCAAGTTGCTGCTGCTTCCATAGCAAATTACTTCTTGGACCACGTCAAGTCTGCGAAAGACGAGTTCCTCAGGCCCCGGCCGCCGAGTCCGCGATTGCCAGGTCCGCCTTCGAGCTAATGCTGTTGCAATCGGCGCAGAGCACTTCGTGAATGAACGCAGATTCCAGGGCACCGAGCTGACTGAAAGGTGCGTTGGTCATACCCGACTACACAGCTGACATTATTTATTGATGACGCTGGGACAGATCGTCTACGATAGGTTCCGTGTCAACCGTAATGAGCAATGCTGTCGTCGGGTGCATTCTGCCAGAACCTGATGACCTGGACGTGCTGAGTATGAAGCGTCTGCTTTGGGGCATCATATCTGCAATGAGGCTGATCTGTTGCACCCACGCTGAGGCTTCCTCGCAACGTCGATCGTCAGTGGAATAATAGTCGACGGACTTGGGTACTTTTGTCCGCGCATTTTGCAAATAGATGAATGCTCTAGGCTACAGACGCCCTGTACAATGACAGTCGACAGCACTTTAGACACTCGGGCAACAGCAAAACGAGACGCCGCTGTGTGTGTGTGCAGATGGGTCAAGTTCAAATGTGGGCCTCTCCTTAAGCTTGCTGACTCGTTGAACCTCACTGGAAGGCAGAAGCAATCCCGCTATCCTGATCAAGGCGTCCGGGGACGACTCGGGCGCAGCACTGTCCCGCCGAGGCAACAAGGCACCACAGCCTGCCGCCGGAGAACAAGCTTCAGAAACAGAAACGGTGAGCCTCAGGCTGCCGCATCATCAGCAGACCGGAGGATGATGAAGGCCCAGTCACTAACTATAGACCTTCCAGTCAGCGTTCATCACTCGACTAAACAGGCTGACGATGGGGAGGTCCGTATCTTCTGTCCTCGAAGCCCGAGCCTTCAGCTCGTCCGTCGTTGTTGTGCCAATGCATGAACAATGTCGGTGTTTGAGAGTCCGTGAAAATGCTGGTGAAGTCTTTGCGCACGGAATTGCTCGAAGCCCATAATTGTCTTACAGTGAGCGCTCTAGGCTATTCTAAGTTTACAATATAGTAGCTGATCGCTGCCAGTGCCCGAGGCGAGCAGAGATAACGAGGATTGGCAATATCTACTACTACGGTCAGTGCACGCCTCTTCTGTTTAGTACTACGTATACGTCCTGCAGTTCACGTCATCTGCGCTTCTTCCGAGCGGCAGGTCCGCCCCAAACATTCTAGCAGACGCGTGGATTACTATGGCCAGCAAGAACAGAAGCTGACGCTTCTCTTCGCTCTTGCTCAGCGAGTGATCAGCACAGGTTCCCTGCCTTCCTATACAAACAACGGAAAGATGAGTGGGCCAGTACCGGTTAGGGCGAGTTGTTCGCATTCTCTTTGATCGAGCGACATATATAATGCGGCGACTGTGCTGAACACCAGATAACGCAACAGGATCCCTCGAGATGGAAGACTACCACGTCGCGGCTGCACCTAACACCTCTTACTTCACGCCTCTGCAGGATCCACCGGCGGGGACCGCTTTCGACCCACAATCCGATGGGAAGCCTATCCCCAAGCTGTTCCAACCTATCAGGATTCGCGGCCTGCAGCTGCAGAACCGCATCATGGTGAGTTCATCGAGCTCGATGGGATGCAGTGGTGAGACTCACGCGCACCCCCTGTAGCTGTCACCCATGGTCCAGATATCCGGCGACAATGGCAAGGTGACCCCCTGGCACACGGCGCACCGTGAGTAGCTCTATGAAATTCAGCATTTCTACGGCTCATAGAATACCGACTATGCAGTCGGCGGTATCCTCACCTTCGGCCCCGGCCTGACCTTCATCGAGGGCGCAGGCGTCCTGCCAGAGGGCCGCGTGATGCCGCAAGACCTCGGGCTCTGGGACGACGCGCAGATCGAGCCGCTCCGGCAGCTCGTCGAGTTCGCGCACTCGCAGGGCCAGAAGGTCGGCATCCAGCTGAACCACGCCGGGCGCAAGGGCTCCACCGTCGCGCTGTGGCTGTCCTTCCACGCGATCTCGACGCGCGCGGTCGGCGGCTGGCCGGACGAGCTCGTCGCGCCGTCCGCGGTCCCGTACAAGGCGGGCGAGCCCGTGCCCCACGCGCTTGACGAGGCCGGAATACGGCGCGTCGTGCAGGGCTTCGTGGATGCCGCGCGCCGCGCGATCGAAGCGGGCGTGGACGTCCTCGAGATACATGGCGCGCATGGGTACCTGCTCCACCAGTTCCTGAGCCCCGTTACGAACAAGCGGACGGACAAGTATGGCGGGAGCTTTGAGAATCGTATCCGTCTGTCGGTCGAGGTGGTCGATGCGGTACGGGTTGTGATGCCTGAGGACATGCCCCTTTTCTTTAGGTGAGGACAGTGCAACAAGCCCGTCGAGGAATATACTGCTGACCGGTTGTGTACAGGGTATCTGCAACGGACTGGCTGGAGAAGGTCGCACCGAACGAGGCATCGTGGCGCTCTGAGGACACCGTACGGCTGGCCGAGGTTCTCGCCAACCACGGAGTCGACGTCTACGATGTCTCCTCAGGGGGTCTGGACGCCAGACAGAAGATCGAGTTCGTCGAGCCCGCGTACCAGGCCCCGTACGCGGAGGCGGTCAAGAAGCGGGTCGGCGACAGAATGCTGGTGGCGAGCGTCGGCGGCGTGACAGACGCGCACATCGCGCAGCACGTCCTCGTGGACATGGGCATCGATCTCGCCGCCGTCGGCCGGCAGTTCCTGCGGGACCACCAGACGGTGTGGACGTTTGCTGAGCAGCTCGGGGTGGAGATCAAGCTGCCCAACCAGGTTGGCTGGGTATATGGTGGAAGAGGCGGCGTGCGGAAGAAGAAGGAAACAGTCAAGGAGAATGGCCGCGCTGTGTCAGGGAAGAGAGATAGCTTCTTGAAGGTCACGATGAACAGGCTGTCGGTGAAGCTGAAGTGAAAGCGGATGGAGTTATCGCTGGTCTGCGGAGTCTTTGGATTAGTTAATTCGCATTCTGTGATTGTGTGCCATAGAAACAGCTACATTGTAGTTCACAGTCTAGCTGTGTTGTTTTATAGGTCAACGTATGTCCATAGTAGGTATCTAGATGCTAACGTTGTGCCAACTGAACTACCGTGACGCGAGGAGCGTGAACGTTGAAGGTCAAATATCGTGTACGGAACCCTCAAATCCCGCCGACGTCGTGCCCGCTTGACCCGTACACGCGTAGGCATGTTGCCGATGTCCCATCCGACCTATCCAGAGTCCGCGCCTCAGTTCCCGTGCGCAGACGGAGCTGTCGCCGGAATTCATAAATTTGACGGCTGTGCCGGGCGATTGCGCTAGTGGTGAGGATTGTACCTCGTATGATTGCGCGTTCTAGCGTCGACGTCCGCTCGGAGGCCTTCGAGGTCGGGACTCGAGTGAGGGCTGCAGCGCTCAGCACTCAATTCATCACTGCATTCCAACACGGCGTTCGTGGAATGGTAGTGTAACCTGGTGTGACGTCAGGCTTCAAGAATTCAGGCGATACCGTGTGTGCTCCCAGGGGCTCCCAGTAGACGCAAGACCGCACAAACATATGTATGTGTCAATTTGATATTCTGTTCCGCTCGACGATAACTCGTCCTCACTGCAGAATGTCAAAACCTGCGCACACGCCGAAAGTTTCCATGTATCGTCGTGAAACTTTCATGAACTCACGTGATACTTTGCTCGCCGCCGGAAACTTTCATTCCGGAAACTATCGCTCACGAAACTATCCAAACTATCAATGTCCCTGAAACTTTCGTTCGCGTCGTCGGAAACTTTCATGGTAACGGATTTGTTCAATGTATCAATGTATCGTAACTTTCAAACTTTCAAAGTATCAAACTGTCGTGCTGCTGCCTAGGCGGTCGATCCACGGTATATAAGGAGGGGCTCCTGGCTGTTCAATCGCCATCCGAGCTCTGTCGGTGTCTCGTCTGAGCGACCTCGACCTCCTCCTTCTCGTCAGACGACATGTCGACCATCTCTATGCTAGCCTTCACTGAACGGAACCCTGCCCTTGCTGCTGTTCTACCCCTCGATACACTCGTACTCTTCATCCGACTTGTTGCCCATCTGAAAGAGCGACTATCTTGGAGTGTTTCAGCTTCTCTTTCAGAGCCCCCAGTATTTCTACCACCTAATATTCTCCAGTTTCTCAGCCTTGCTCTTGACACTCATCCCACAGTTCTGCAGGAGTGCTGGGCAGCCCTGAGCCATCACATATGGCAGTCTCATGTCCATACACAAGGGTGGGGTTCCAGTGATTTGCTGGATATTTTTCTCATTCATGGTACAGCCTTAGGAATTGGTATGTTCAGTCTCATTCATATCATATACAGTGCTGATCTAGTCATTTCTAGGCTTCTGTGATATGTTCCCACCTATGCGGAGCTGTCTGGATTGTCAGGGTCATGCAGCTGCTGAGGTTACTGACCTGACACAGCTTGTCTGGACACAAGTCACTGTCTTCACATGCTATTGGGGTCCCATTCCTTCCTGGTCACTGTCTGCAAAATGTCGTGGTATGCATGTGTTGACAGATACTGTGTGTGATGGAGCCCATTCAGCGGAATGGCCGATGCTGTTAGGGTAGCGGATGCGTGAAAAACCCCAATGTATTCGGCGAGCTGACGTCGGCCGAGCGGGGCGTTTTCATTAACGGGATGGGCGAATAGGCGCCTTGGGTTGGTGATGGGCGGATGACTGGGCGATAAACGGTAGCAGGGTGCCGTTTCTTTTTGCAGTGCATTGTTGGGATAGGCGGTCGGATGGTTGGCCTGACCAATGGCCATGTAGTCGGCCGAGCACGTAAGAGCGAGTGCATTTAAGAGCGAGTACCTTTAAGAGCGAGTGCCTTTTATTGTCGGGTGGCATTGGCCATGGGCCAGCGGACCGTCGGATGACATTGATAGTTGTGCGTTCCAGTATTGGATGGGCGGGCGGACTGTTGGCCCGCCCAATGACCATGGGCGAACCAACGTCGGCTGATATGGTATTGACGGTTGGGCTCAACGATGGGCGGGCGGACCGTTGGCCCGCCCAATGACCATCGGCGAACCAACGTCCGCTGATATGGTATTGACAGTTGGGCTCAACGATGGGCGGGCGGACCGTTGGCCCGCCCAATGACCATCGGCGAACCAACGTCCGCTGATATGGTATTGACAGTTGGGCTCAACGATGGGCGGGCGGACCGTTGGCCCGCCCAATGACCATCGGCGAACCAACGTCCGCTGATATGGTATTGACAGTTGGGCTCAAACGATGGGCGGGCCGACCGTTGGCCCGCCCAATGACCATGGGCGAACCAACGTCGGCTGATACGGTATGAACAGTTGGGCTCAAACGATGGGCGGGCCGACCGTTGGCCCGCCCAATGACCATTGGCCTGGCTCCTAGAAATGCAGTGGGGCGACCTAAGGGCGAGTGCATTTCGTGCAATGCCTGGGGTGCTTGGCCAATTGCATGCGACCCGCTTGTGAGCAACCATCCGCTTGTACGTGGTCTGCTTCTAGGCATCCGCTTATGCCTGGTCCGCTTATGCCTGGCCTGCTTATGCCTGGCCCGCTTATGCCTGGCCCGCTTATGCCTGGCCCGCTTATGCCTGGCCCGCTTATGCCTGGTCCGCTTATAGATGTCCGCTTGTAGGTGGCCCGCCCAGCATGCGCAGGGACAGGGGGAGAGGGAGGTACGGGACGGTCGAGCTCAGGATGTACCTAGGTCTACATAGGGCTCCGCCCTCAGTGACCCTAAAGGGACGAAACAAACAAACAAACAAGGTGGCCCACTTGTTGGGTGTCCCATGTCACCTGGAGACGTCAGAGCGGCGGAAAGACTGTTTGGCTCTCAATATGTTCCCCTTCATCGGCGTCGATTATGAAGACATGTGGGCAATTGACGCTGCTACAGCCCTGAAGAGGGCAACATGTTGTTCCAAATCTCACTGAACGGTGCATTCCCCTTCAACTGTCCAAGTGCCTGCATGTTCAGTACCGATGAACGGAAAACATATCGGCTCTCGATATGTTCCCGTTCATCGGCGTCGATTATGAAGACATGTGGGCAATTGACGCTGCTACAGCCCTGAAGAGGGCAACACATCGTTCCAAATCTCACTGAACGGTGCATTACCCCTTCAACTGTCCAAGTGCCTGCATGTTCAATACCGAGGTAGGGAAAACATATCGGCTCTCGAGATGTTCCCCTTCCTCGGCATAGAATGTGAAGACGCATGGCCAGCTACAGTCCTGGAGAGGGCAACACGTCGTTCCAAATCTCCCTGAACGGTGCATTCCCCTTCAACTGTCCAAGTGCCTGCACGTTCTATACCGAGAAAGGGAAAATGTTCCCATTTCTCGGCATAGAATGTGAAGACGCATGGCCAGCTACAGCCCTGGAGAGGGCAACACGTCGTTCCAAATCTCCCTGAACGGTGCTTTCACCTTCAACTGTCCAAGTGCCTGCATGTTCAGTACCGAGATATGGAAAACATATCGAGAGATCGACTCTCAATATGTTCCCATATCTCGGTATTGAATGTGAAGACGGATGGCCAGCTACAGCCCTGGAGAGGGAGCGGGGAAAGAGACGGCACACAAGGCATGTCGTTCGCAAATCTGTCGGCCCTTCTTATATACGCGAGACGATCCTCGCCTTTGTAAGCCTTTCTATATATACGCGAGGCGATCCTCGCCTTTGTAAGCCTTTCTATATATACGCGAGGCCAACCTCGCCTTTGTAAGCCTTTCTATATTTACCCGAGGCCAACCTCGCCTTTGTAAGCCTTTCTATATTTACCCGAGGCCAACCTCGCCTTTGTAAGCCATTCCATACATTGGACATTCTATAACCTTCGGCGACATAGGATGTAAATGAAGCTCTTGTTGGGTTCCGCTTGTAGGTGGCCCGCTCGTTGCTGGTCTCCCCGTTGCTGGCACGCTTGTTGCTGGCCCGCTTGTTGGCAGTCCGCGTGTTTCTGGTGCGCCGGTCCGCCATCTACATGGCGACTTGAAAGATCAAAGCAGCGTAAAGACCAGGCCACAGACTTTCGCTTCTTCACCTTTTGCTTCTTGACAGAATGCATCAGGCGGGTTGCTCGGGTTGCATCTCGATGCCGTCACTGACGTGCAGAGAAGCTGAGGCTATATGGTAATGGGTCTGCCATTGTACGGTCAAATTTATCTCAGTTTCAATTGCCTTGGGGTGGCACAAACCTTATGTACATGCATCTCAACAACGAACAACCAACCCACCATGTGCAACCGCGACTCCTATGTTTGGCACGACAACCTTTACGTGCTGTTCCAACTCCTCCAACTGTCAGTAGAAGCCATTCAGCCCTGGTTCAAGGGCTTTGACGAAGTGGAGGAAAATGATATGTAGGCGGTTCTATTGACTTGCATGCACAAACTGACATATCACTACAGCCTTGACCATAGGGTCATGCTCGTACATATGGTGGGCCAGCACGTGCTCCGAAAGGAAGTCATCACGAAGGACGGCAAGCGCCGCACGTGGACCCTCTACGCCCAGGCCTCTCCCGTCCAAGATGAATATGTCTTGCGTTGGCTTGTCGCCCTCGTGAACGACAATAAGTCTCAGCACGCCGATCCATCTGGAGAC